TGGCTATAGCTTCTAATAGATAGGCCACCTCTTAGTTATCTGTGTCGTCTAAATCTACCAAGGGTTATCAGCGAGGGCGAACAAGAAGTTATCTGGCGGGGAGTCATTGACCTCACATATATGGCCTCGAAAAAAAGGTGGCTTACAAAGAAGCCAATAACGAACCTTCGGCGAGTCTCTTGCCACCATCTTTCACCACTATACCTGTCTACAGTCTCCCTAGACTAAGTGGAAATATATGGTTCTGCCTCTTTGTCGGGGAGTACGCCGGAAGTTCTATACATAGTACTCCCTACCTAGATATACACGCATCCTACCAAGATGAAAACATACCTATTCATTATCATCACCATCATCTCTATCCGTCACAGATCGCGTTCATACAATATCGCATGATTCCAGTATCTAGCAAGTCTACCAGGTAAACGAACTTACGTTCATGCGCAGTCTGAAAGGGGCAGCAGCTAACTGCATTGGCCAACTGGGCCGGGGAAAAAGAAAAACTAGCAAACAACCGAGCTCAAGTTGACTTTCCAGCCGAGCCATCAAGGCAACTACGTAATTGTCGCTCTTCCAGACCCCGATCTTCTAGATGGGATTATTACTAATGTATCTTAATTCTTATACGATCCATTAAGCGATCTAAAATCTGGTCCTCGTTAGGTAGCCATCTGACTGACCCTCGGGGTAAACGCAAAGAGGGTTTCCAAGACATATCCTAGATTTTCTTCATCGGCGAGGCACTTGGTAGGTACACATATTGAACACGGGAAAGCCGATCGTCGCAAGGAAACAGAAAAACAAAAAACTACACGATGTCAATACAAAGCCCCTGAATGCTTACACCCTCGTAAGTAGACACTACCTAATGAGTCACAGCCTTAAACTCTCAAGGATCAAGCCCATGTCGTCGACCTACATACAGGCAAACAAACATACCTACATGCCCGGAGCAACATCGCCTAGCTCCCCGGTATCAGCCTCACAAACAAGCAGCCTATCCAAACGAGACCAAGCTGAAAAAGCAAGCTGCCTTGCAGAAGGGGTACGAGTCCTAGACAGTAACAAGCCACCGACATACCCCGAGCAGGCAGATATGTAGCTGAAGACCAGGTACCTACCTCCGGCACAATCGCACGATACGACAGGTATGTAAAATTTCGACACGGAGCTCCAGGCAGGCAGGTAGGCAGGAAAAGGTGAGTCAGAACGAACACCTGCCGGACTTGGATGAGTGCAGCCAGCCATATATTGATTATATGCATGGCATCAAGCCCACCGACCCAAAAAAGCGACGAACTCCGCGGTCGATCCACGCGGCCCCCAACTCTGAACGGCCATCGTAGCTAGCCCTGTCCGCTAAATAAAAGCAAGCAGGCAAGCCACGGCTGAGCCTCGGATCGGCTAGAAGTGGCCCAGGCCGAAGAGGCGTTCGCGAAATGAAGAAATACCTCGTTTCGGGTGATGTTACGTATCTATTTTCCGCGACGCGTTATATCGGGACCCGAGCACACGGGTATGAAGGGGGGAGGCACGGGACGGTCGCCATCTGCGAGGCTGTCGCGGGATGGATAGGTAAGTGTGTACACTTTTGGCGTCAGCAAGTATGGGTTAGGTTAGGCGTGAGCTACGCATGCACACCTATCTCATCGTAGCCAACATTTCCCTCATTCGTGGGGGAGCGCGACGCTGTTGGGGCAAGGATTGATGGCCTTTTCCCACGTGGGGGAATCTTGGGAAATAATATCCGAAGAAGATATCATCTTACATATAACCAACTATGAGGAATATGGTAATGATAAAGGGGTTTGGAAGGTGATGGCGAGCATTATGTTCTAGAAACATAGGTACCTACCTAAAGAATACTTGGCATAGAGGTCCACGGGTATATTTGATGCGTGATAACATCGACGGTAGAAAACAAGGCTCTAGGATATACCTCACATATAATATCCAAACGCATAATGTTTATCGCAGGCATATTCCAACATCGATGTTTTTGAGGCGGTCGATATTGAGCGGTAAAAAGCGTAGTGGATATCTCGCAATAAGAGCTGCACTTATAGATCCACAGCTAGAGCAAGGGGCGCGGCGATCGGGTTGGCGTCGTTCGTTTCGGAGAATAACCATCTCTCTTCTGTCTCCTCTTTTCCCATGACGACACTTCGATTGGAACCGACTGGGTCCTCGCAGTTGGGACAGCGATTTACAGGCCTTCTCAACAAACGAACGAACTATCTATCTGGACGCGGTTAGTCTCAGGGCTGCTACAGGCTACATGCCTAGTATATGTACGGAATACGCGATGCATATAACTCCGAGACGGCACTGTTCAAAACGCCTATCACGCACGCATTAAAGAACTGAGACATATCATTTAAATCAGATGAAAAAACAGCATGAGACTTCAGATAAGCGCAAGCAGACGCACAGGCGCCGCCCGACCGCATCCATAGCATACTTCCCTTATACTTGCCTAAAGGATCGGGGTTTAAGGATACCAGCACGGGACGTTTGCAAAAGTGAAGAGGCAAAGGGTAGGTAGGTAGTTTTCAGGTGGGCTACTGCGGCCCTCGTCACATTTTTTTTTCTCTTCCAGCCAGCCCCGGATGCGTGACAACGGCGCACTGCCACCGTTCCCTCGGAACCTCATCCGCCAATTTATGTTTCTGCCTCGCGGCGTCTTGTCCGAGATGAGCCAGACCGAGCACACGGGAAAAAGTCCTTTGTTTGCCTGTATAATGCTTCTTTTGATCATGCGCGGAGGGGTTGCGACGCTCGAGCCCTTCGTGGTCTTGAAATACCTATACTTAGATAGACTAGTATACGTCCTACTAGGCATCGTCTCGCATTTGGGTCACGGGCCTTAGCAGGGTAGAGGAGAGATACCCCAAAATCTACCCGCCGGCTACGTCTACCATGACGACAATCGATCTATACGGGTGTTCTCTTCGCTTGGCTGACCTCCCGTTTGCGAAATAAACAGAATTCGCCCCCCGGTGGATGGCCACCTCGGTAGCGGCCGTCCGCTGCTTTGCGGCAGGCAACAACAGGTAAGTAAGTAAGTAGGTAGGTAATTAATGTAATGTACCTATTAGTTACCTATTCACCGCCCCGTGACGGGTTCATGGTTCCCAAGGTAGCAATCCGTGAAGGTTCGTACAGAAGACCATTGCCTATTTGCTTGCTTCTTCAACAATCTTCTCCCGTCACTAGTGGGAATTAAATCCCCGCGAAAGGAGGGAGGGAGAGAGAGGGGTCCGGCACGGCACAGATCTGAGAGTCTGGGGGAAAGGGGATGCGCGTCTTTAGACAATAGACATACGAAGCCCACGAAGGCTAAGGTGGTGTTTGATCGGATAGGTAGGAGAGAAGGAACCAATTTAACAGAAAAAGGTCGCGGGCGCTTAAACGGTCCCTCCCTTATCCAATTACAGCTCGCGACTCCCGTTCGAACCGCTGCATGACACACCCATCCACCCTTCACTGAGAAGGTAAGGTCGAGCCAATGGGGTTTTGACTTCGGTCCGGAGCCAGCGCTTAAGAAGATTGCGCACTGAATGTCCCCACCTTCTGTTTAGACTTCAGACTTCAGACTTCGAAGCTCCAGTTTCGAAAGGAAACCCTAATGCGAAGAAGGACTAGCGCCGTCCATTTTCCTTCATTCTCCCCTGTCGAGCCCCGCCATGCAAGTCCCAGGATATCGGGACGCACGAACCGACCAATTAGACCGAATATGTCTTTTGTACATAGAAGTCGGGCGTCCCGAGTAGCGATGTACCGATTACATTCAATCAGCATCTTTTTTTTTGTATGCATATGGCTGTGTAAGTTGATAGGTCTATCTGCTTAGCCTACCTCTAGGAGTTCAGAAGAAGAGGATAGGTTGAAACATAATATAAAGGGAGGGTTAGCTATATGAGTGATATAACTCAAGTTGTGCAAGTGAATGGGAGTATAGGTAGACATGAAGGCATACCGTACCTATACTGGAACAAGTCAGTAGACTAGTGTAAGCCACCCGTCGACGCATCCACTTTATACTGAATAGCATAATAAGCAACGTCAAAAATGGTGGTGTGGGCGATCTTGATCAGGGGCCCCCCCAATCTTGGTTACCTACCTACCTATCTGACCTACTACCGCGGGCAGTTCGCGTGGTCACAAAAATAAGAGACCGTGTGAGAGGGCGGAGACGGCAGGCGTAGGCCACCAACGATGGCCGCGCTCTTGACCGAAATTTCCCCCAGTCTAAGACGACCAGCCAGTAAGTCGTCAACGCTTACGAGCCCAACCTCCTGGCCGCATTCGAGGTCGCCTTAGCGGAAAACAACATTTGACGTCCGCTCCCGTTTTGCGATTCAAAACAAAATAAATAAATAAATAAACAGTCCAAAATCCGAGAAAAAAACCACGTAGGGGTCCGCCTATAGAGACTGATGGTATAGACATAAACACTAAGCTCTCGTGACAAGCTACTGGGTAAGCAGATAGTAGGTAACGAATACCATGTATTGTGAATGTTGGCTACACGAATTTTGACACTGTTCCATCCCGTGCTATCCTATAGCAGCCCAATCGTGCATGTTCTCTCCCTCACGCCCACGCCCACGCTGGCCCCCTTTTCAAAGGTCCACACACCCACACACATCCGAACCGACAAAAACAAATAATAAAAAATTCCAAAATAATTCCAAAAAATCCCCTGGTATCGCTTTGCAAGCCCCAGGTTCCCAGGGTTGCTGATGCCCGCCAGCAAACGCCAATAAACTCCATCGCACTTTCTTAACAGAGATCCGCCCAAATCCCGTCCTCTTTGTAATGCCAGGTACGCCATGGATCTAGATCGTAAGAAGCCATAAAGTCATTCCCACCGCTTATCTGATGGTTTTTGGCGAAGATGCATATCCCATCAATTCTAGCGGTGGCTTTGTTGCGGATTTGATGTTGATAAATATTTCGAAGAAGGGGAGAGGTAGAGAATGTGATGAGTAGTAGTAGTAAATGAGTGAGTGAGATGTAAGTAGTAGATATGAACAAATGGAAAATAGTTGACAATTCTTGGCATAGAAGCCGATATAGATTTAGGGGAGGGTGTTAAGACTTTAGTTCGTTCGGATTTGAGTAGGTGTGGTTAATAAGGGGGGCCGTCAAAATCGACGATCTAAACCGTGTTCGTCCGGGCCGCGGCCGCCGTTGCAGCAGCAGCTTGAGCTTTCGGGCAGTCCAAATGCGTCGTCTTCCTTCTCTTGCCTTTCGGTGCCGGGTCCATTCTCGGCGTATAGGTAACGGTCCTCGTAACAACCTCTCGAATGTGCCGCACGCTCTTTGCTGATGATTTCTGCGCCCTGCAATCCTGCGCATACCTAGACTTCAACGCTGCTTCCCAGTCAAACGGTGATCGCACTGATCTCGCGCTAAATGGAGACCGCGCCGTTGCGCTTAGTGGCGAATCTATCGTAGATACGGCAGGAGACGGCGGCATGTGAATACTAGGGAACGATGTCGCACCTGTTGGCGGCGCAGACATCGGTTGGTTTGAGAAAGGGCTTGGTGGAATGCCGGCTGGTGATTTATGGTTGCCACATTTACAGGAACAGTCCGTCTGTTCGCTGCTTGCCGTCGATGGTGCTGATTCCTGCGCTGAGTCATCTTCTGGCGTACTAGTTCCCGATGATCTCTTCTCCGGCACAACTGGCGAGGATACCGACATGGCCTTGAGGAAATCCATATAGGCTGTAGGTGGGCTGATAGGGGTTCTAGCGCTGTTAGGGAACTCCTCCTTAATAAAGTCCGGAACTGCAGATAGAGGTGTCCTGGCCGAGAGAGCAGAGAGCTCCGAGGGGAAGGTGGCCGTGACTGGGGTGGTCAACTGCGCGAGCTTTGGCTTGCATGTAGGCATGATGACGAGTCCTGATGGTAAGTTGAGTATGTGTTGGTTATTGGAATAGCCTCAAGTCAAGCGAATGACTCGGAAGGGTGGAAAGACGGGATGCCTACAAGCTGCACAACGAAGTCGCCCGTGGTGGAAGAAGAGTAGGTAGGTGGTGATGGATGAGGGGGGATAGGTGACTATAATATGTAACTCTCTGGCAGGTCAAGGATGAGGTTGCTGCGTGGAGGACAAGGATGCTGGAGAGCAACCTAGTCAATGCTGAGACGAAGGCGCCAACGGGAAGCTAAGCTACACCCCGGCTAGAAACACTAGAAACGCTAGGGATCGATGTGACAGATCCCAATGGTAGGGGGTGTGGTTCCAGAAGTATGTACCGTCCTTGGGTTGTTGGAAATCCTTAGATGGGTAGGTGTTCCTCTGAGTATATGTAACTTATACCGAACAAAGCTAGGCACACAAGACTAGGTAAGCAATGTGTTTACCTATTATCGGTACGCGCTGCAAGTTGGAGACGGGATGGTCAATAGACAGACGGACACGAGAGTATGAAAACAAGGAAGGTCAACTCGTGGCCCGGCTAGTGGATAGAGATCCGAGAGAGACGGAAACAGACTGAGGGAGCGTTGGCGCGAAGAAGAAAAAGGTCAAGGTCCAAGGTCCGTCTCGAGGGCGGCGGCAGTGGTGGGCCAGTTGTGGATGTGCAAAGTGAACGATGTCCCTGGATTGGTTGCTTAAAGGCGGCAGGGATCAGGTGCCCTTAGATCCAAACCCTTTACAGCTTTAATTGCTGTGTGTACGTGAGGTATGGATGCGGTAGACGCAAGATAAATGTACTGCTGACTCTAGATTGCTTGATTAGCCTTGTTGTATTGTATTGTACTGTATTGGCGAATGGCTTCATTGACCGGGGGAGCATGTAAGAGGTATGTACGAAGTAGGAATTAGGAATAATATAAGAGCACTTGACTTACATCTTTTTATTAAAATGATTCACTCTCCGAAGTCACTTCCACTTTCCAAAAGTATAAGTTACCTGAGCTGGGGTCGCGGTTGACTTAGCCTAGCTCAGTTCAAGGACCTATCCGGGCTTGTGTCTGATTGGTTCGATAGCCTTCGTTGGTGTGGTTTGCCAGGCGCAATATACCAGGGTGTAGCTGGTGGGTATGGATAGATCGGAGGTATTCGGTACTTGTGTTAAGCGCTGCCGCTACTGAGTACCTCTGTATATATACTATATTTGGGTCCTGGTTAGCGCCGTTTCGTTGCCCACTCTTCTGATTTGACGTCTTCCTCTCCTGCCCCTGTCTTCTAATATCTTCCAATGTCTTTCCTTATTGCACCTTCGTCACGACCAGCACGGGAGACAGCCTATGACTGCAACCATTCACGACTCACCTTCACCTAAACTTGAGCGGCAAGAAATCTTAGATCATATAGATCAGGTCAAGAATTTCTTTTTATGACTCTCGGCTCTCTATCCGGATGTGGATTTTGGTCAGACGTCGAGCTGAATGAGCTGAGTAGTGGATCGCGGGATTGCCGTCGATGTGGCGTAGTGATAAAACGATGCTTGTATGCTGGGATATGCTGGGATATTCTGGATATGCTAGGATGCTATATGCTGTACGTCGATGAAGGTATGTAGGATGTTGATATTTTCAATCTTGGGGTTTCAGCTGTCGAGTTTCCTCAAGCAAGGTCCGTCCCGCTGTGTCTTACGCACGGATGGATTACACAGAGACAGATCGTGAAGTCCGGGGATTCATGACATTTATGTGCCATTTAATCTGTTTATTGTTTCAATCTCTAGCCCCCCAAATATCCTTCTATATCATGGTATTGCTTCATTCAGCGCGCGGTTCGCGATGGATGCTTCGTTTTTTCATTAGACTTGCACAGCCAGAGGTTACCTATTTCCCATGAATAGAATGATTGTCTTGTTTTTTGCGGCTTGAAATCTGAACTAGGCTCAACCAGAGCGCGCGCCACATGATGCACTACATCGGCCGAAGGCATTCTAGAGACGCTGTTGGCTAGGAGGAACTCAACTGAGCCTGCCTTGGTGGTTGGGGTCCCCAATCTACCATAGAGCCCCCCTCGAATCTCATATTCGATACTTGCAGCGCGCGCTTCCTTGGGTCCGGATCATGAGGCCACGGGAAAATAACCTCTTCTTCTAACTGAAATAGAAAATCATCTAGAATGCTTCTATGCCAGTCACCTCCCTCAAGTAACCCAGTGTTGTGGAGCCGCCGCACTTCCCTTAAGCGCCGTCAAACCCTGCTAATGTCTACGCCAACTACTCCTCCAACTACTCTCGTTAGTCGTCTTTGCGCGCTTAGGATAAAGCTTCGATATAGTTGCTAAAGATATTGACTTCACTGCCATCCCACAGGAAGTGACCGCGCCTAGGATGCATGTTGGTAAAGAAGATACCGGGTCCTGGTACTCAGACAGTAAGGTATGTTGGAGATAGCTTGACCTTAGCATCTATCATTGGCTTCCACGTGTAAAGGGATGCGGCTAGAGTCCTTCGCAGACTATGTCCCATGCAAAGGATGGCATAGTATCTTGATAGCTAGTTGATACATATGAACTAATGCGTGGCAAGAGGAGTCGTGCAGATTCTATAGATGTGATATACACATGGGTCCGATAGACGCACTAGTTTGTTCCCTTTAAGTAAGCGATGGAGCGGGCTACTATAGTATTCGCCTTGGATGATCCTTTGCTATGCCTGCCAGTAGGTCGTACCAGCAGGACCTAGAGTTACTCCACGAGTTCATCGCTCTATACTTACTAGGTAGGTAGGTAGTGAATGAGTGATTATAGATAGGCCAACATGGGCCAGAGAAGACGCATACTTGTCTGTCGGCAGCTCCAGCTTTGAGATGCTTGGTCCAAATCTCCCTCTACCCCAAAACCACTGTACAATATGCTGCTTTAAGCGCGCAGGGCTGTAAGCAAAACTGGGTGAACGGCAACCAAGATGAGCTATCGCGGTAAACGTTCCCACATCATACGCTCGCTTTCAACGTCTTGGTCCAAGGTAATGGTGTGTATACGCACGTAAAACGTCACCACTTCGCCTCACGTGTGATATATGTTACTCGTCGAGCGTAGTGTGTGTTTACTATGTGCAGAAAAAGTGCATTTTCCTCCTCATCATCGAAAAGCGATAGTCTCAACCGTTGCCAATCACCATCTCGTCGACACCACCTCGCAGAGATGAGACGTGCCACGATACGCCTCTCTAAAAACGACGTGATTTCTTAGCTTCTAAGAGCATAGAGGATTATCGCGACGCATCACACTTCTTTTGGTCAGTCCCAACGTCAAGTATCCACACCGTCATTGGAGATGCGCATTCAACTGGACAGGGCTCCGCTCTATTAGCTATTGACCGCCATTTGTGTGTTTCCATAGACTGCCTAGATGCGAAAGGGAGGAGATGGAAGCATTGCCGATTTTCATTTGATGGGGTTAATGGAAACTAGCTAATCAGGGTGTTCCCCGGATGGGAAGAGTCGGTAGGCAGTAGAGATCATGTCGTGTCGAGTAGATACCTGCAGCCGATCTTGGGTTGTAGGTATGTTGCAATAACATAAGAGGGAAGGTATGTATAGAGTACTCGGAGCGGGATATGGTCTCGATACCCCCACGCGTGAACGCCACCAAGGTAGTACCAGTAAAGAAGCCACGGCGGAAGAACATCAGTTCCATACGGTAGCTCCCCAGATTGGTATGTGCGTTGATCTTACGGGCTTTGCTTTCCCCATCAAATTTCCTTGATTTCTTTCGCTACTGCATTGCATAGAGCCACTTTCACTCCAGCCCCGGTGAGTACGTGAATCCAGAGTCTTTGCGTATCGCTAAGGCGGTCGTTGGCACTCTTCACCTCGGAAAACATCACTTCCCGATTCGGTTCTGTTCTCCAGAGGATTAGATCTGGTATACCGCCGCCTCTCTGACCGTATTCCTGTGCCATGACCTTGCATATGGCGGCTAGCGCCGCGCCATCAAAGCAGCTTGCTAGTTCCAAAAGATCATCTAACTCATAGTCCCAGTTGAGGCCGACAACACAGGTACGACTATTGCGCTCTCGCAGGTCAACCTCCTCGATTAACGCCGCCGCCCCACCATTCGCAATCTCGACAAGTCGATGGTTGATCTCAGACGCTCGAGTCGGGTAGAAGGCATCCGTGTGCAAGTCTAGCGGGCATGTTTGGTATGCAGTCTGGAACACATTGGGTATGTAGAGGAAAAGAATGTCGAAGAATAGGTATGCGAAGAGGGTCCTAATGATACCTCCCTCCGCGTGATAGCCCTTCCAGCCTTGGCTTCTATACGAGCTTAGACACATGGCTTCCACGCTACATTCGCCGTTGCCGTTGCCGTCGTCCTCAGCCTCGTCCACCCATATAGTCTTCGTGCTCGCCTCTCGTCCATTTTTACCTACGATATCATCTCTCTTGATTTGAATACCCTCGGCACTATGTTCTTCAGGCTTTTGCAATCGTACATGGCCGAAGTCATGTTGCAAGCGCTTCGGAATCTTAAGCTGCTTCTCAAGCTTGACTAAACGCTTCTGTATATCGTAATGATAAATCAGATGACAGTCTCGATCCTCTAGGGCGGTCTCGCAAGTTGTCACTGCGATTCGCTTCCAATGTTTCTTCTGCAACTCTGGATCTTTGTAGGAGGGGTCGGGTTCCGAAGTACACATGTAATGCTCTTCTAAAAGGGCCTTCCGTTGGTACCATGAGCCCCGTCGGGCTAAGTGAAAAAGACGTTGATCAAGTAACTCAATCAGCAATTCACGTTCCCGTCGATATTCTTTCAGTCGACCAAAGACATGCGCGGCTTTATGGACGATTCGAGTGTACGGATGGGCAGGGTTGAGTCGCCTTAGATAAGCCCCCTCCCCGGATTCGTAAACCCTCTCTTCCTTTTCCTGTTCTTCCCTCACCAACGCTTTCCACCTTGGATATATCTCTTCGAATGTCGCAATGACTTTTCGAAAATCTGTTTCTCTAACGGGGCCATTAAATTCTAGTATGCTGTCGACAGTAAATTCAGTCCTCATGGCCGTTTCGAACTCTAACAGTTGAGCTCTAGTTGCGAAGATGTTGGTAGACCTGCTGACGATGTATTTCGGAAAATTACGCTTCGATATCTTCGCAAGTATGATCGTTGTTAGAGACTTCTCCGTCCATTCAGTGGACCTGTAGAAAACCAGGTGAACTCTTTCGAACAATTTAAAAACAGGTAAGGAGAGCCTTATACAAGAGCCGGCTATAGCCAAGATTTTCTCAAGAAAATGCTTTCTTCTATTGGAGTTTTCGCTAAGACCCACTGGGCCTGGGGATTCTGTCTCGGGCGTATTTCTGTCTGGAGAGTCTACAGAACCCTTAGTGCTAGAGCGTCGTAGGCCTAATGAGAAGAGACCAGCCTGTTGAGTGCTCATCTTACAAATGGATTTTGCGAGCTCCGTTTTATTCTTGCCTTGGACTTTTGCCTCTTTGGCCAAGGCTTTGATCTCGTCTAGATTGAGAAGTGATATAGCCTCTTCTACACTTGTGATGAATTGTTCGGACATGTCTGCAAATGCAAAACTCCCATTGAATATGCATGGGTCTCGATCTAGGGATGGAGGTATCGGTTCTACTGGTTCCGGGGTGGGTGGAGAGCCAGAAGAAGTTGGTGGCAGATCCCGACCCTTCTGTAACTCATCAACAGCTGCTTTGATGTCTGTGATATCGTCGTGATAGCGCAGACGGGCTATACGATGCCACGACGCTGTTTTCCTTAGAAATAGCCGCACATACCTACGAAAATAAATGAGAACTGGGTTTTGTATATAGGAAACACCTGACGTTGAGTCACGTACAGGAATTGAGCTTCGAAACTTAGAGTATTCCATTGGTTAAAAATGTATATTTCTTCCTCGCCAAATAGATGAGACTCCTCGTCAAGTACTGTATTGAGAGCGAGGTTAAAGGCATCAACGTAGAGAGATGTTTTACCTCTCACCCATTTCCTTGAATCAAGTCTTGACGCGGCGGTTGCATCATCGTCTTCATTTTGCGAAGCTCTGAAATTTTCATATTCCTCGAGCGCTTCTTTTCCTGACTTAACCTCAGGAAGTGAGGTCTCAATGGCGGTTTGCCGAAATGGAACGACCTCTGCCTCCGAATTTTGCGACGCATCGTCATCATCATCGGCACCCAAAGCCGCAGTATCTTTTCTTCGGAAACCTGGCAACGGCTTCAATGGTGGACTGCTAGGTTCAATGGCCTGGTCTGAATCCTCATCGCTATCGCAAACCTCCTCTCTTTTAGCTCTTTTAGTAGGAGGCTCATTTAATGACCGGCTATGCTTGTCATTAGACTGGGATTTTCCGGCATTAGATGGATTTAATCTCTTGACAAAAGAGTCCATTATTATCGTGCATATCAAGCAGAAGCCATTGTGGCCGAAATAAACATATCAATGACAGAATATGTACAAGTTTAAATGCGGTGAAAGGAGGTGAATGACTTCATACAAAATGAACGCGTGGCAAGACGCGACCTTGAAGCTTTGTGGGCAACTGCGATGCTGATGTCCTACCCCTAGGTTGTTATGATTAGGTAATTACACTATTGATGCTAACATTTAGCGACATTTAAGCCTCAAACTTAATGCCCATGACGCCGCTATGCAAGGTACTCCCCACCGTAACGAGACCGCTACACCCACTGTATGCACAACCTAGCACAGGAACTCAACGGTACTTCCAGGTACTAAAAATCCCACGAACCGAAACCGAACCTCGTCGCTTTTGTTTTTCCTCGTACATAACCACCTCTCACTCGAACAATGGCAGACGAGTCGATCCGCAAAACCCCGATTCCAGTCCCACACATCTACGGCCAACCACCCACGCAATCGGAAATGTCCACTACGAACGAAGCCCCAGCGCCTGCCGGCATCGAGCAGTCCAGCTCGGACCCCATTTCGTCCTCAGCTCAGGTGCCCGCGCCTAGTACTGAGGCAGCTGCAGTAAGCTCCCCTCCCCCATATTCACCATTCACCATATTCACCGTCCCAATTCTTCACACCTTCCCCTCGTCCACTACAAAACCCACCACGAAACAAACACCCTTCCCAACAACCAATACCAAAAACCAGTACCAAACAACCCAAAAACTAACAACAATGCCTCGTTCCTCACCCCAGTCCCCCAGCGCCGGCCTCACCACCAGCGCAGCGCAGGGCACAACCAGCACCTCCAACGCCGCCAGCCCGAACCCAACGACCGCCGCAACCGGCGCGCGAACAGGCACGCCTCTGCGCAACACCAACGGCGGCCAAGAGAACGCGAACGGCTCCTCGCGCGCCGCCTCCCAGCACCCCGACGCGGGATTCACGATGCCGGCCGAGGCACCTCCCCACGGTGCCCCCGCGCGCCAGTACCTGAACGCTCTGGTGACGGGCCCGCTGCTCGACGGCATGAAGATGCTTGTCAGAGAGAAGTGAGTTTATCCTATCTACCTACTTACCTGCCTACCAACCTACATACTTGCCTACCCACATACCTACATACCTATAGATCTACCCCGTACCTAAATCTCCATCACGCGACCATTACTCCCTAGACGCGTCCACGTTCGTCACAACCTGTTTCCAGGTTTTCTGCTATGGTACTTTTCCTGCAAATACGACTACTAACACAAACTCCCACAGGCCCAAGGACCCTCTCCGCGCTCTCGGTGAATTCTTGATCCAGCGATCCAAGGAAACGGAGACGGCGTCGACATGATGGGTTGGACGGCAAACAAGCATATGCACGGAGTTACGGTTACGGTTACGGTTACAGGAAAAAGAAAAAGTCGTTTCTCGTTGCTAGGGTCTGCATGGCATCATGGATTAGGCCATTGATGGATGATACCACATTGCATTAGGGCCCTGAATTGCTTTTGATACAGAGGAGGATTTTCGTGGAAGTCGGTATGCGCAAGTCAAGTCTATAAGAGCACACTGCAAAGCCTATTAGGGGATATGCGGTCATAATACCATTTTTCACGAAGACGTAATTTTTAATTCGTAATGATCTCAGCTCATGTGAGTGTTCATTGTTCGCCTATCTCATGGATGCGACTATGTATAAGAATCGAGCATCCGTCACTTTTGTGGCTGCCCAAAAAAGCAATCCCGTTTCCACGAACTCCGTGACCAGACCTAGCATTCCATGCAAAACATCCTTCAAGAGTTTATGCTTATGCGACGATGGTGCTGGCAGTGGCACTCTCGTATTTCCAGGTGGGAGGGAGAACACCGACGGTCTTGTAGTAACGAGCGAGACGGTGGATTCGCGACTCGATGAGAATGAGACGGAACTTGGCGTCCTTGTCCTTGCGGTTGCGCTCTAGGTGCTTTCGGACGGAGACGGCCTAGATTTTTACTATTAGCATCATTCTCAAGGTATTTTTTCAACTAGATATTTAACTCACCTTCTTGATCAACATGTACAGATCCTCAGGAAGCTCGGGAGCGAGGCCTATATGAGATCACACCGTCAGCCTTGACCAACAGTGGCATTATAGTTGTCATGGGTTCCTAAGAACACCATGTATATTTTATAGATTGAATACAGCCATGCGATGGCCTCGAAGGGGGGGTTATTTCATGTCGTACCATTGGACTTAAGGATTCGCAGGATCTTGTTACCTGGATAACATAGTTAGCTCATGTAAAATGCGACATGTTAAGTATTGAATTCATTTTTTACATACCGGTGACAATGCGGACCTGGGCGATTCCGTGGGAGTCACGGAGAACGACACCGATCTGAGAAGGAGTAGCACCCTTTCGGGCGAGTCTGCAGATTTGCTCTTCGACCTGAGCGGGAGTGGTCTTGAGCCAGGCGGGGGCAACGCGCGAGTAGGGGAGCGCGGAATCCGAAATTCCCTTTCCGTTGGAGTGAAGACGACCCATTTTGATGATTGTATTTGTCGACTGGTGGTGGTTGTTGAAGTTGTCGAAATGATTAGAAGGTCGGAAAGTTGATGAATTTGTGAAGTTTTGAATGGGTTTAATTTTTTTTCAAGAAAGTTACTAGCAAGATTGTGCGTTGACTTCGGTTCCACCCAGTGGTCAGTGCACAGATCGTCTTATCTTATCAGAGATAAACGAAGTTTTGCCGACGCTAGCCAAGGTTACCAACATTGAATCTTATGGGTCCTAGGTAAATTTTATTTCTTCTTTGTTCCTCAATATTTTTTCGTGCTTGAAGTCTATCGTCAAATTATTGACAAGAGTTGATAATGCGATTTCTGTAGATGATATATTGAGGCTTACCTACAGGCTGCATCTGGTGGCTTGGTAAACCAATATCTATCCAAATTCTGGGATTGACGTGGCTTTATTTAGCTGGACTGAATCGATCTTCTCAAGGTAAGCCACCCTGAACCCATACAATCCTCATTTCAACTCCTTCCATTTCTATGATGAGACACTCCATACTTTACTTATTTTCTGGTACCTCTTATATCATCGGGTCTTCGGACCTGAAATGTATTAAACGGACTTCTGACAAACGGATTCGTTGCCTTTCAGTTTTCACATGAATCTATTTGATAGCTGAACCTCAACTAACATAACTTGCAGGTAACCTTGGAACTAATGCACATGTAGACTGCGCATATGGGCAGATATAAGATATTAGCAAGTTTTTCAGGTCGCCAAACGGAACCACCGCATAGAAACCACAGCGAGCTTGAGGGTCCAACCTAGCTACTTGTGTTACCGAACGACACCGCGCGATGTTGGCCGACATGTTAGATGATTTCCAGTTGATGACCTGATAATCCAGCGCTGCTTATATTCTTCAATATGTATGGCCGTGTCTATATTGCATTGTACCTCATCAGTTGATATTATATAAACTATCGCCAACGTATATACTTGTATAGCAATGAGAAGCCATATTCATATCACGATAGCGTCAAGTGTCTATTTCAATAATCATACCTTGTCTTCATATATTTGTCTCCAGACATGAATTTCGCGGAGTTCCGGGATACTCCACTTCCTTCCGGCTTCTATACGGAGGGGTTAATGATTCACTTGTGACTACTATGACCACCTCTACGGGCTGGTCCGAGGTGTGGTGCATAGGGCCGAACGAAGTGCAGACTCTAGATGGCTCTAAAGCGATTTCAACTGTGTACATAACACGGGAAACATGTCTCGGAGCTACTGTTCCGAGTCTCTCCAACAAAGCTAGGTCAAGAGTAGTTGGATCCATTACCTGGTTAGCTTAACCTCTTAAGTTATCAATACTACCTCACCAGAGCTGCCAGAGCTCCATAGACATGAGTAAACAACGACCCATAGATTTATGAATACTCACCTCCTATCTCTATGACCTTGGTAAACGATATACGGCAATGAGGATTACATTCTCAACGCCTTACGCAATACTAATCTACGAGCCATAACCCAGAGCCGGAGAATTAACGTACGCTCCGGATTGTTTACGTGCTAGAGCCGAAGACTCGGGTGCGGCTAGACGGCATCAACAACGTTAAGCATTAGACCCGGTTTATTCTCCGGATCTCCCTACATCACCGTATAAATCCATTTGTCCTATTCGCACAGAAGGGACGGCGGCAATTAAAAGATGGTAGCACATTTTCATTTCAATTCAGAATGTACGAGCTGGTAATATTCTAGGTGACCGTTTTTTCCCGAGCTAACCGCCCCCAGTCATCCCCATCATGATCGTAAACATATTAAGCGCGTATCATGGGTATTTTCCCCCAGTTCCTAAATGTTCTATAGGTTGACAGCCTTGCGGAAGTTCTCGCCCGCATAGATGGCGTTGTCTCCGAGTTCCTCCTCGATACGGAGGATTTGGTTAAGCTTGGCGAGACGCTCGGAACGAGCAGGGGCACCAGTCTTGATCTGGCCCGCTCGGATACCGACGACAATGTCGGCAATGGTGACGTCCTCGGTCTCACCAGAACGGTGAGAAACCATGACACCCCAGCCGTCAGCAAAGGAGTCCTTGGCAGCCTGGATGGACTCAGTTAGAGTTCCGATCTGGTTAACCTTCAGGAGCAGGGCGTTGGAAGCCTTGAGCTCAATAGCCTTCTTGATACGGATAGGGTTGGTGACCGTCAAGTCGTCAGCGACGATTTGGATGTCTTGGGTCTTGTAGAAGTAGCTCCAGGCCTCCCAGTCGTCCTCAGCGAAGGGATCCTCAATGCTGACAATGGGGTACTTCTTGGCTAGGTCGGCGTACAGAGCGGCTAACTCTTCGTATGTGAGCCACTTGGTGGGGTCGCTCTCAGGGTTCTTGAAGTCGAGGTCGTACTTCTTGACGTCCTCCTTGTAGAACTCGCTGGATGCAACATCCATAGCGATCTTCACCTGGCCTGTGTAACCAGTCTGCTCAATAGCATCGGTAATAAGGTCAAGAGCCTCGGCGGCAGTCTGGATATCCGGGGCGACACCACCCTCGTCTCCGACATTGCCCGCAGATTGGCCGTACTTCTTCTTGGCAAGGGACTTTAGCTTTTGGTAGACCTCAGAACCTTGACGCATAGCCTCGGTGAAAGAAGGAGCGGCAGAAGGGACAATCATGAACTCTTGGAAGGCCAATCGGCCACCAGCGTGGGAACCACCGTTCAAGACGTTCATGAAAGGAACGGGAAGGACATAGGGCTTCTTGGTGCCGGCAAGGTCCGAGACGTGGGCGTATAGTGGTACACCCTTCTCAGCAGCACCAGCCTTGGCAATGGCCAGACTGACACCCAAGATAGCGTTGGCACCAAGTTTCGTCTTGTTCGGTGTTCCGTCAAGGCCGTTGAGGAACTTGTCAACCGAGCTTTGGTCCTTTACATCAAGACCCTCCTTGATGACGGCAGGGGCGATGATGCTGTTGACATTCTCGACGGCTTTGGTAACACCCTTGCCACCCCACTTGCTCTTGTCACCGTCACGGAGCTCACAAGCCTCATGCTGACCTATCGTACCATGTTAGCGGGTGGGATACGTCGGAACCGCGTGGAGAGCACGAACCGGTGGAAGCTCCAGAAGGAACGATGGCACGGTGAAGACCGGTCTCAGTGACAACGTCAACCTCTACGGTAGGGTTGCCACGAGAGTCGTAGACAGAACGAGCGTGGATCTTCTTGATGGCCATATTAACGTCTTATGTGTATCAAGGCTGCGGGAAAATGTTGAGTTAGCTAAAGAGTGATTTCGAATTGAATAAAGTTGAGAGGAAGTCTAGCGAAGTTTAAGGCAATTAATAGAAGAACCTTGTAGGTAAGAAATTCGCTCAGAAGGAGCTTCCCGTATGTGACTCAACCAAGGGGGTAGAATATATGCCTCAGAAAAGCATCAAGATAGAAAATTGTAGGGGTGGTGAGGATTGGAGGGGAAGGATGGTGGGATGGCGGGGTAGCTCAAGATATTATCGAATAGAAGGAATTGTGAAGGAAGCATTGGATGTGAACAAATTCACGATTGTTTATATATTAGGTATGGACTGTATGGACAGCTAGAGAAGTGAAGCTCGTAGACTTACTATTTTCTAAGGGTTCTGCTAGGATGTAGGTGATGAGGTGAATTGATGAGAAGGAAGAAGAAAAAATACAAAGTCAAGAAATTATAAGGTACCTAAATGCTTCCAGGCTGGGCGGAGGGTGGGCTGCTTGGCTGAACGGACAACGTGAGTGAGCAAGAGAGCAAACGGAATGGGACGACTATAATTGGACTATAATTGGCGGGCTGGCGGGGTCCGGCGACGGACCTCACTAGGATGACACCGCGGAGGAAGGAGGGTCCTGGTAGGCTGGAACTGCTGGTACTAGTTTGGTACATGTCTCATACGCCAAGCTCACTTGGCTACACAAGTACCCTAATAATTACTCCGTAACTGCATCTAGTAATATGGCTTGGATAAAAATTAAAAACTGTTGGCCGTTGGACTAGCCCATTGGCGCCATCACCGGCCCGACCTACGTCAAGGTCATGAAGAAACTTTGCTTTGTAACACGTTACCCCCCCCTACGTAATCGTAATCTACCTAGCTATCCCGTTGGGGGAGAGCAGGAACGAAACCTGTATGCGAACATTGCGAGGTAACAGCAATACCTTGTACTTGAAACTTGCTGGGATGGCTGACCTAGGTCAACCTACCATAACACCTTCTATATATATCCATGGGTAGCTTTGATACTGTGACTTATCAAGGCTAAGATATACATGTGTTTTTTTATCTCCCATGACTTGTATAGATAGGCACCGAGAACCTCTCACGCAAAAAAAGCAATATTACATAAGTCAAGATAACATCTCATCAAAAGCCTCAAGTAATAGATTTTATTTTCTGCTTTTCCCTACACAGAGTACTTTTTCTATCCTTGTCTACGGGTATCTCTCGGGCACCTTTTTGCGTGAAAACACTCCTAGCAAATGCCCTCTAAACCCACATAGAAATCTCGTGATCCTTTATTCATCAGATTCACGCTTGCTCTCATGAGCTACCGCCGTATCCATTTTCCTTGACCCATGCCGCGACATCGTCATGATCACGTTCCAGCCAGGAGATCTTGCTACGGATAGCATCCTTGCTTTGGGCAAGGGGTTGGGCGAACGACTTAGTGTCAATGTCCTTGAAGAACTCCTCTACCCTCTGGAGTTGTTCCGGTTTAGCGAAACTGGATGTGCAGATAGTAACCATCGAACCTAGGATAGGAGCGTTTCCGCTGAGTCGCTTGGTGATTTCCGGCCACTTCTCAGTCATCCAAGTGAATAGAGCCTCAATACCCTCGGCATGGCTTCTCAGCCCGCTTGCTGGAAGGTATAGATCTTGGCTCTTGACCTCGCTGCTAAGGACAAGGTCCAACGTGCTCTTGATGAGGGCCGGCTCTTTGGACCGACCGATACACCGCAGAGCGGTATTGCGCTCATCGCTGTTGCTAGACGTGCGGAAGAAGTTAAGAACTTTGTTGTACTAGGAATTGTATTAGTAACAGCTTAGACGGACTTTCAAGGCGAAACTTACTTCTTCCTTTCCACCATACTTCAGAGCCATGCTGAAGACGCTACCTCGGATGTTCGGGTGGATTGCTGACTTGTCACCATCCATATACTTGTTGAACATCTCCTTCGATGCGGCGATGATTACTTGGTCGCCGGCCATGCCAGCTGCACCAAACAGCATGGACTTAAATTGTTGCTCAACATGGCCATCCTTATCCGAGAAGTTCCAGCCTAACTTATGAGCTCTCTCACTAATGAGATCTTTAACGAAGGCCTCGAGACCATTCTTCACGGACTTGTCCTCAAATACCCAAGCTGATTGAACGGTCGCAACCCTAGCGATGATTTCGCTCCATACAACGAACGACTCTTCTGTGTCGAAGCCCTTCAGTAGGTTCAGAACTCCAGAAGTTTTCTGATAACCCGATACGGCAAGAGCACCAGCATCGGCAATCATTCCGGCACGGTCCTCAACCGTAAGCAAGCCATCCTTGGCGGACTGACCTAGCTTGGTGAGACGTTCCGGCGTGTAACTTGTTCTGTAAATGCTTGTGTGGTTTGCATTCAACTTGAAGAAGTCCAAGTTCTTAACCTTGAACACATCTTCTCTCTTCGTCAACGTAAGAGACTCTTCTACACCATCCTTCGATCGGAGACCTAGAAAAACCGGATATAACACTTGATCTTCTTCGGGCTTCGTGTCACCAGTCCTTAGGAATCGATTCTGCTTGACCTGAATTGTGCTTTCTGCCGCGTTTTCCGTAACTTGGACAACGGGAAAGCCAACATTCTTGGTCCAGATGGACATAATCTCCTTGACAGGCTTGCCACTTGCCTCTTCAAGGGCTGCCCACAAGTCCTCTGTTCGAGTGTTACCGTAGGCATGTTTCTTGATGTATCTCCGAACGCCGTCCAAGAAAACATCCTCACCAAGGTAGGTGGAAATCATTCGAAGGACGCACGAACCCTTGGAATAGGAAATGGCATCGAAAATCTGGTCAACCTCGCTAGCGCGCTTGACTGGTACTTCGATAGGATGGCTGCTCCTCAACGAGTCTAATCCCAAAGCACTTTGGAGGTTGTCCGTAACGTAGTTTTCCCAGACCTTCCACTCTGGGTAAAAGTAATTGCAGCCTGGGTGGGTGGTACTGTTAGTCGGCCATTCTTTTGAATTAACATGAAATAGGAAACTCACTTAGCCAGCTCATCAGAGTCGCGAAACCTTCATTCAGCCATAGACCTTCCCACCAGTCCATGGTTACTAAGTTGCCAAACCATTGGTGCGCCAATTCGTGCTGCACTACCTCGGCAACACGCTCTTTCATGGCTGCACCGCTAGCCTTCTCATCCAGCATAAGATCAACGACACGGTAAGTGATCAAACCCCAGTTTTCCATAGCACCTGCCGCAAAATCAGGGATAGCAACCATGTCCATTTTTGGTAGCGGAAAGTCGGCACCAAAGATCTTCTCGTAATATTCTAGAGTTCGCGCGGCGAGATCGAGAGAGAAACGACCGTGTTCGATGTCCGAACTAGGGGGAGCGTACACTCGGATTGGGACACGGAATTTCTTGGTCTCAATATAGTTCAGCTCACCAATAATGAAGGCAACGAGGTAAGTCGACATGAGAGGGGTTGGGTTGAACTTGACAGCCTTCTTCGTAGATCCACTCATCTCTGAGTACACCTCCGACTCGGAAGCAACGTCCATATTGCTGAGGCATGTCAAGTGCTTGTCTGCAACAAGGGTGATGGTGAACTTCGCCTTGTGCATGGGCTCGTCGAAACAAGGGAAAGCGCGGCGACAATCGTTGGCTTCCATCTGCGTCGTAGCAAGGACTCCCTCCGAGCCGTCAGGCTTCTTATACGTGGAACGGTAGAACCCTGCCATTTGGTCGTTGAGCTGGCCGCTGAACTTGATCTCCAGCTGAGTCTTGCCCGTTGGAACGGCATCCTTAAGCTCGATCTTGGAGATTTGCTTAGATTTATCGTAGGTGATCGCGGACGAAGAGCTGGCGAGGCTGTTAGAAATAGGGGCACGTGTCCAGCATACAGCGCAAACTTACCTAATAACGTTATCCCCAGACTTGATGTGGGCGCCGTGGATGTCAAGGTCGATGGTGTGAAGAGAGATAGACTTAGTCTCATCCTTCACATCGAAGTCGATAAGCACCTTTCCCTCGAAAGTGAACTTGTCAAAATTAGGCTCTAGAGTCACATCGTAGTGCGTCGGGATGACGTTGGTCGGGAGGAGCTCGCGACCCTGGGTAGGGTCTGGCGCGGCTCCCCCGGTATGCTCGATGTCTCCAGCAAGTCTACACATGTTGTGTCTCCGGTATGAGCAGTGTCTGAGGGGGGTCTTTGACAAAGTAGTACTTCTAGCCTTCTCAAGGGGAGAAGTTCGTGGGACCGAGGTGAGTGAGGAGTAATTCGTAAGACGAGAGCTAGGTGCAACTTTGGGGTTAGTCTATGAGCTTAATTAGGTTGGAAGGGCGGTCAATTGGGTTAGGTATACCAGTAAGAGGGTGGAGTGGTTAAGGCAGGACTGCGCCAGAAGTGATTCCGTCTCCACAGAGATGTGGTTGCTGTTGATATGGTTGGTGTAAGAGAGGTAAGCGGTCTTAGTCGGACTCGTGTAAGTGTTGAGATTCGAGGGACAGACTCGACACGATAAGCGGCGCGAAGAGACATGTGCAGGAAAGAAGGAAAGAAGGGTAATATAATACAATTGTTATATAATACAGGTACAGTTCGAATAAGGCACACTTGGTACTCAGTAGTGACTCGGAAGTTTCACATGCGGTAACTATGCGCTATTACGATATGGAGGGGCTTAGAGGGGTATCCAAAGCAGCCGGTTTATTCGTAAAAGGAGGGATGGAGGGGTGGAGGGGTAGAGGGGGCGATCCCTATTCGTGCATTATGAGATAAACGATAGATCCAAGACTTCTTAATTTTGCCAGCCCAACAATGTGTCTGTGTGTGTATATACAATTATGTGCGCGGGTGATGTGCTAGGTCAGGTATGGATGAGAATGAGCCCTTTTTTTACTTGGCCATCAGGGTTCGTGAAAATCCTATGTACGGACATGGATATTTTTGATGCGGAAGGGAAAAAAGAAAAAAAAAAGGAAATAAAAAAGTTTGATCTGTAGAAATGACGCCACGGAAGGTAGGCGGTGTAGCGGGATATTTACAGGGGTTGTCCCACACGACTTTGATAGGTGCTACTTGGGTAGTACCTTCATTTGATCTTTCTAGATTCGTTAGATTCGCACCAACAAACCCAAAAAGGCCAAGAATGTACCTACCAACTACGGCAACTAAGACGTACATATCTCACACATCAGTCACGCTGCTGGCGACCGTCTCTCCCGAAACCGCAACTTTTGGAAACAATCTCATGCAGGGTCGTATTCGAGGCATCTCAGCTATGCATTCTAGAACGTAGATCCCGATATAGACGAATCGAAGCGAGACAAACCCCGTCCTCACCATCCACTCAGTGCTACACTTTGATACTCGGGTCAAGTTCGCAATTTGACATGGGCGACTGTCGTGCGACTCGAAGGTCCAACGGTACGGATATAGCCATTTAGACGTCTTAGATAAGAATCCGATTTATAGAACACGATATTGCCTAGCGATGCTTAATATATTGGAAACACTTAACTTTAATTTTCCGTCTTCTTATTACCCTGAGTCTGTGTTTGTTGAGCGGTATCATATACCTAGGTAGGTATACTATTTAGCTGGGAGGTAACATAAAGGGGTAGTATGAGAAACTTATCCTTAACTCGAGACCGTTCTCAAGACATAGGAATCTTCTAGGCTCCTCTTCATATAACAAATGGCGACATGGGAACCTAAGTAGGCAATTAGAATCAGCTAGATAGAACCATCGTAGTTGTATTCACTCTCATAATAGGTTTGATTATGTGTAAGTATTGGCTGACCCCTAATCCCATCCACCCCCCTTTCCGCCGAAACCCTTCTCCTCGATCTTCTTTGGGCCCTTTGTCGGCTTCTGTTGTGCCGCCTCGTGCCGACGTAGCTCCTCCGGAACCCTGGATATCGAGCTCTTCGATAGCATCTGCCGTAAGTCGTACATGACGTCCGCGTCTTCGTTCCCTAAGAACGTGATGGCAACACCGCTCTTTCCCGCACGACCCGTACGACCGATACGATGTGTGTAGCTTTCGATGGACATGGCCATGTTGAAATTGACGACGAGGGAAACGTCCTGGACATCGATACCACGACCAGCCAAGTCTGTTGCTACTAGAACGTCTGTCGAGCCGCCGCGCACCGAGGCCAGGGCCTGCTCTCGTTGTTCCTGGGTCTTGCTACCATGAAGTGTGACAGCTGAGAAGCCCATGTGCTTGATTTCTCGAGCCACAGCATCACAGTTACGCTTGATGTTGACGAAGACGATGATGGGCGGTGCGAAGTCGTTAGATGATAGGATCTCTTGCAAACGCTTCTTGCGGCGATCTTCTCCAGGTACAAATTCAACTCGTTGCTCAACTGTATCAACAGCTTCTCCAGCATTTCCGATAGTTACTGTGGCGGGACGACGCAGATATTTCTTAGCGATTTTCTCGACAGCTGTAGGCATAGTGGCCGTGTACATCATAGTCTGTCTGTATCGATCTTTACCACCTAAGTGCCTACTCATCAGCTGCGCATTTTCGGCGGCATCGGTGTCTGGCTTTTCGTTGGTGACGGGAAGCGCGTCTAAGATTTTATTTACGGGCTCTTCGAAACCCATATCGATCATACGATCTGCTTCATCCATGATAATGTAACAACACTGGGATAGTACTAGTAGACGTCGCTCGATACAGTCGACAAGACGACCAGGTGTAGCGACAATAATCTCTGCACCATTTCGCAGCGCAAATGCTTGTTCTTCAAGCGAATGTCCACCGACAAGACTGACAACTGTAAAACCTAATGGAGTTGCGAACTTCTTAGCTTCCGTCTCGATCTGCTGGACTAACTCTCGAGTCGGGGCTATGATGAGCGAGTAAGGACCGTCGTTCTTGGTGAGCTCAGTCAGAGGAGGTAGTTCTGAAATGTAGACCAACAGAGGTAGTAAGAAAGCGGCCGTCTTTCCTGAACCAGTGACAGCCACACCGATCAGATCTCGTGCCTGGAGAGCAATAGGGATTGCCGCGCGTTGGACCGGAGTTGGCTCGTCATAGCCAACTTTGATGATAATATCTAGCAGCCGTCGAGGTAGACCAGATTCCTGCCAATTCCGCATTGGGTTCGGAATAAGCCCACCCTTCGTCGATATACCGAAGTCTTCCTTGAAGATACGCCAGTCTCGTTCGCGCATGTCCTCCAGCTTTTTCTCAGACCAGTGTTTTCCTAAACCGTTGCGGTTGGCCCTCTCCTTTGCCTTTTGCATCATATCCAGTAATTCTTGCGCTCGTTGTGCACCATTCTCAGGATCACGCTCCATAAGAGATCTGGCATATTTCTTGGCATTCTCTTCCGTCATGTCATCACCAAATCCGGCCAGCCTTCCTCTTCCAAAGAAGGTTGGCTCTGCTCTCTCGGCGTAGATAGGGTTGTGATCTTGGGTCGTGTCCTCTTCTGCATCCCATTCAAAATTGAATTTCTTATCCGTCGTCCTTCTTCGTTTCTTCTTAGCCGAGAATGTTGACTGATTCATTTCTGGACCCATGTATCGTGCTCTTATCGAGGCTGCTTCTGCTTCTTCTGGCGCTGGTCGTTTTTCTCCCACTGCCCCCTTTTTACCTCTTGACTTCCCTCGGACCTCGCCATTTTCGTGATCATTGGCATCGCGTCTATCATGGCCAGATTGGCGCATAGCCTTGGGCCCTGTTGGAACAAATGGCGCGTGATCTCGATCGCGATCGCGGCGGTCGCCATATCTTCTATCGGGTTCTCGCGTGGATGTAGGTCTGTTGCTAGATTTACTCCGTGCTTCTTCTTGGGCCTTCCGCCTTCGCCTCTCTTCCTCCTCCTTTTCTTTCTCTACTGCCAAGCGCTCACGCTCGGCCTTGGGTATGAATCTTGGCTTGGCAGCAGCATCGTTCGCTTCTTTCTTTTTGCGTAGGATCTCTTCGATGTCTAGAGGTGTTTTTCGCTTGCTTGCTTCGCTATTTTTTCCGTTCATTCCATCTGCCCCGTCGGTTCCATTAGTGCCGTTCGTATGCGATGACGATCCGGCTCGCGGTTGCATTCCCATGATCGAAAGATGTTGATGTAGATAAGTCTTGCTTCTTTGTAATACTCGTTGAGGCTTTCAAATCGGGTTGAGTCTTCGGAAAACACAGCGAGTTAGGTGATTTAGGCGACCTTATTGAAGATGCCGATGATGGAATATTAATTCACAAATCCGACTAAGCGATTCTACTTTATTAAATAAATAAGAAAATAAAACAGTCGAAGCTGCTTTTGTTTCTAGAGGCAAGGATACTGGGAGAACTTGTCGGGGCACGGCTTGTAAAGAACCGCCCAGGCCACTAGGGACTTGAGCCAATCGGAGAATTTAGATTGAACAGAGACCCCTGCCAATTACCATTCACTGCCAAAAATTGGGAAGCTGCTCATTCACTTTTGCGACTCGCACCTTACTATCACGGCATTTTTTTCTCAACCGCAATTAAGTACCCTAAATAATAGTTGACAATTTCAACTGTGATTGGGGATGGCGGCGGTTAACACAAAATTCGTCGAGCTAGCGAAGCAGCTGCACCCGCGGCTAACCCGTTTCTTCGCCAAATACCCTCCAAATCAGATACTCCCAGCCTCGACGAGAACGAACACGATCGAGGGCGGCGCAACGCCAAACCCCTTCCTACCACACAAGCATCCGATAACCGGAAAATGGCATGACCCAGAGTTCTCCTTGAGGCGACAGGCAGAACTCGTAAAATTGGCGAGGGAACAGGGAGTAGAAGAGCTATTGCCTTTCACATCTAAAGGTACCGAGCAGAGGCTACGGCACAGAGTCGAACACGGTCTCCGCGTTCGTGGAACGGGTGTTGGACAGTCTGTCAAGGGTCACTTACACGAGAGAATGTTGGCTGCAAAGTACGATATAGCTCCTATATTTCCCACGAGCACTCTACTCGCCGGGGGACCTCTTCTTCACAATTCAATACTAACATACGGGACAGGATGGAGAAGAGGAGAACGGCTATGTTGGGCATGCCAAAGCTCGTCAGACAATGGCGGAAGGTAAGTCGCATTATGTCGTCCATATTTCGCATTGCTAACAGAGACGATAGGTTGGAAAAGCCAGATGGTCAAAGTACCCACGATAAACGAATATATCATGATGTTAAGGCAGTATATAGCCAACGAAGCAAAATGCACAAAATTCATGTATCACTTTGTACGAAGCATCTGGGTCATGTCCCAAGAAATCAAGAAACAACTCTTACCACTACACCTAGATTTAGTCTTGTTTTGAAGCATCCCTAGGCATCTACTTCTAAAACCAACCCCCCACGAGGCATAATGAATCGATATTGGTAAGTAGGATATGCTTCAAGAGTATATTTGCATCAATTATCACCCCGGATACGAAATGTTCGAATCTCACGATTTGGAGAGAACTTCGCTCAATCAGCTCACGTGACCACGTGGCGCCGATTAACTTTTTCTCAAAACCGGTTTGCTAAGAAGCCTTCCTGACGTACTTACCATCACCTCCAATCCAGGTGCCAGCATAGGGAACTTCAATTTCGCAGACATTAATACTAATCCTAATTAGCGAATTTGTTGATTTTACCTAGCTACAACGGCGAGCGCACACCCATGAATTTCTCACCATGGCGCCCCCGATATCCAATACGTCAGCCGAGCCCACGCTCTACGACATCCTAGCCCTGACCCCCAAGCACCTAGAAGGCCAGGCCGGCGCGGTCCAGCAGCAGAAGATAGTGAAGCAAGCCTACCACCGGGCGCTTTTAAAACACCACCCAGATAAATCAGCCAGTGGCCCATCAACATCAACCTCACCACCATCCTCATCCACAACCTCCCCAAGTTCAAAACCAGCCCCCAAACCCCACGCAAAACAAGCCGGATCCCACACCCAGCCACGCATAACCTACACCGTAGACCAAATCCAGCACGCGCACACCATCCTCTCAGACGCCCAAAAGCGGCGCGAATACGACCGGGAGCTGCGCGCCTCGCCGTCCCAGCGGGCGACACAGTCTTTCCAGACAGGCGTCGAGACGGTGGATCTAGACGACGTGTCGTTCGACGAGCGGGGCGGGGTATACTACCGCTCATGCCGGTGCGGGAACGAGCGGGGGTACGCCTTCACGGAGGAGAACCTGGAGGAGTTTGAGGAGGACGGGGTTTTGATGGTCGAGTGTCTGGACTGCAGTCTCTGGATCCGGGTCCTGTTCGCTGCGGCTGAGGACGAGGAAGTTGTTGATGTAGCTGTTGTCGCTAATCCCGGTGGAAGCAGTAGGGGACCCAACGACGAAGCCGTAGCGGCGCGGGAAGGCGACGCGGTGATGGCGTCGGGAGAGCAGCGCGGGACAGGCACCGGCAGGGGGTTCACGTTTAACTGGAGTTTCAACTGGGGGATATCATTATCCGGGACCTCGGCATCGAGCTCCGCGACAATTGACACGGGTAGCGGTTCGCAGCGGTAGTCCTGCCGATCCCTATGTACGCCAGTCCAGCTACCTGAACGGAAGGAACATTTAGCAGTAATCATTCGGGGGTTAAACAAGCCTATTGAGAACCCTGTCATTGCCAAATTCCTGGGCTCACTCTCGCTTCCCGCTCCCCACAGGCGAGACATGTCACGTGGCTTAAATGACTTACAATTAAGTTGATAATTGATCCAGGGGAACGTATTACATAGATTCATGTTTCAATAATCACATGCTCAGGGCTATATTGGGGAGCAAGGGTCGAAATATCACTATTGGTATGGCATCTTTTCGCAAGGATACGTTATGGTATATATGTGTGTATGTATCGTTGCCGAAACGCGAAGAAATTACGATAATTTACGATCTAAGTACAATCAAAAGATCTCAACATCATTTCTGATGTAGAATTTTTATCTTCATATCGAGAACGAGGAAGATCCCCATTGAATGTATGACAAATAAACTTGACTGTTGTGTGCCGTGTTACATCGTAATATAGACCGGCAACCTCCATCTAAGCTACTCACTCCTGTCGCGATACTTTTATATGCTCCCCAGATCTTAATTTCACCATACGAAGAGAGAAAAAATAGAACCCTTCACTTTTTTGTTGTCCATATTCATAACATTAATACTTTTGCAGGTGCAGTAAAGTATGGGTTTATTGTCCAGACGAATTCGCATTAGAGACTAAAGGGCAAGCAGAGACCTACCAAAAGCTCCTTAGCCCTTTTTGCCTGTTGGGAAAAGAGAACCCTCCAAAGACTTCGGGCCGGTGCATTTGCCACATGAGGAAAAAAACAGAAAAATGCAGAATCTCAAGGAAGAGGGTTCTCAAGCAAACACTCCATAGACACCAGATTCCACCCTGCCCCGCAGTCGACCTCTTGATATCTAGAGACTATTAAGGGACGCGTGCTCTTTTTGCTTCTCTTACTCGGCGGCGGCGGCCTTGGGCTCCTCGGTGGGAGTATCAGTGGCCTTCTCGGCTTCCTGGGCGGGAGCCGCTGCTGACTCTGCGGGGGGCTCTGCCTCGGAGGAGGTCCAGAGGGTCTAATTACAAGTTAGATAAAATACTAGTTATGGCATGCTCGTAGATAGAATACATACCAAGTTGTCTCGGAGAAGTTGCATGATCAGAGTCGAGTCCTTGTAGCTCTCCTCGCTCAGGGTGTCGAGTTCTATAAAGCTCGACGTTAGCCGTATACCAATCAACCTTGAGTACATTCAAACTTACCAGCGATTGCGTCATCGAAAGCTTGCTTCGCGAGGTGGCATGCTTGGTCGGGTGCGTTCAGGATCTCGTAGTAGAACACGGAGAAGTTAAGAGCAAGGCCGAGACGAATGGGGTGCGTGGGAGGAAGCTCGGTCTGGGCAACCTCGGTGGCAGCCTTGTAAGCCTCAAGAGACTTGTCGGCGGACTCCTTTCGTCGGTCACCAACGGCGAACTCGGCGAGATAGCGGTGGTAGTCACCCTTCCTATTTTTATTATTAGCAGGCCATAAATAATTACCGCTCCATAATCCATTAGACTTACATCTTGTGGTAGAAGACCTTAGACTCGCCAGACTTGGCAGAGGGAATGAGGTGCTTGTCCAAGACATCGAGGATGTCGTCGCAGATCTTGGCCAGCTCGGTCTCAATCTTCTGTCGGTACTCCTTGATCAGACCGACCTGGGACGAGTTGCCCTTGGATTCCTCCTTCTGCTCGATGGAGGTAACGATTCGCCAAGAGGCACGTCGGGCACCGATGACGTTCTTGTAAGCGACGGACAGGAGATTGCGCTCCTCGACAGTAAGATCACGGTCCTCAGAGGCGACGATCTTCATGTTCTCGACCATCTCTGTTGACGGGCAAAGTTAGAAATGCAACCTTGCGGGGCATCGGGGATTAGGATGATATCACATACCTTCATAGCGCTCAGCCTGCTCGGCTAGCTTGGCGAGATACACAGCATCTTCGTGACCCATTTTGGCTAAGTGAACTCAGGTAAAACCCTGAACTGATATGAGGTATGAGGTTAGCTGTGGTTCAATTTGGGTAGTCTTTTGGTCAAATTAATATGGGTTGGTGGATGCGGTGTGGAAGAGAAATGAGGATTTTGGGAGAAAGGAAAATAAATTATATATGGTTGGCTATAAGAAAGGGAACGATTAGTAGCGGAGAGGTTTCGAAGATAATGCTATAGCCACGTGAGGTGTTTACGATCTGAGCCTGAGGAACGCGCTACCTTGTCTTGTCGTGAATACGGAAATACGGAAAGGGTTGAAAGAGTGTGACGGTGAAGCAGAAAGATGAATGCCCCCCCGCAGTCGGTGGGGTTTGCGCCAGTGGATGCGGCTGGAAAACGCGTATGGAAAAGGCAGATGGAAAATCGTGAATGTTGTCGCAATGATCAATTGGGATAGAGGACGAGTCGCATTAAACGGTTGATGGGTTTGTTGTCGTGTGTGTAAGGCGTCAAAGGAGGCGGTCGTGATGTGGGCGATGACGAAAGTGCAAGGCGGGACTTAGGGTAGCAGATAGCAGGCCAAGGAACATTTGATGACCGCAAAATGCAGAAACGGGAAGACGGGGGGAAATAAGGGAAATTCTTAAGGAGAATATCTTTATATCTTTATGCAGATGACGATATTTTTACGTACCTGTTGTTTACTTGGAAGTGTTGTCGTAAGGAATTCACTTGTGCGTGATGATGCACAAGAATGGTGGTATGAAGACAAAGAGAGAAGGGAATAAGTCGGTGGTGGTGGTGTTTTGGTAAGTTTTTGGTAAGTTCTGGGAAGCAAAACTTTTGGGAGAGTTTTTGTGATTTTGTTGTTAGGCGGTAGACTGTAGGCAGTAGGCAGTAGGCAGGTAGAGGGTAGAAGGCGGTAGGTGGTAGATGGTAAATGTGGTAAGGTTAGAGGGAGCCTGAGGTGAAGAAGAAAGAGAGCCCAGGAGGGTTGCAAGCCAGGGTGTAGAGCGGATGTGCCCCAGTAGCTCTCGTGGGAGGGGAGATTGTGGGCGGGCAGCAGCCAGTAACCACGGGGTACACCTTGTAATTCATGTAATTCGAAGACGGCTATGTACAGTACATTGACGTAAGTACCTTATTCTAAGTATCTTCTAGGAACCTAAGCTGCTTTCCCAGGTTACCAGTACCGGTTCCGTCTCGAGCCTAACTGAGCTTGAGCCAGTGAGATACCGGTCTATGAACTTGGCAGCGGGCGATGGATCATTTGACAATGCAACAAGGCTGGTTCATCCTCAAATCTAACCGTCTGGTACTTCCCTTTAATGACTGGTATCATGTTTCGATACATACTGAGGTACATTCTATTACAACCACAGGTACATACGTGTGTACATTTGAATCTACAGCACTGAGGTTTCAACATGAAGTCTGATAACATTGGTGAGGTAAAGCATTCTCGTCCCTTCCCCTTTGATTTTACTTTCCAATATTGAATATTTATATGTTTTCGTCTTTCGAAGTAGAAATGGTTCATATGATTATCGTGTCCATTGCATCTATCGTGTCTATCATGTCTGTTTATTTATTTATTTACATATATCTAGTAAGGTAAATGTTCAGAAGCATCTATGGATGATTTCTTTTTCTTGCTCCCTGCTTAATCCTCCTACGTCAGTCCTAATACTTCTCAGCTGTGCCGCCTTGCAAAGAGACTTGTACCCCACGCATTTCAAGATTCTAGTTTCATGCCAGGTTTGTATCGCCTGTTCAGAGAGGTAACATTCTCAGGCACCTGACAAAAATATGCCATACCTCAAAGAACAAGATGGTTTAACTATTTCAATGGTTATATCAAATTGGGTTAGCCTTCACCATCTCTTCACTTGTGACCTTCAACGATAATGATATTAGAAAGGGCATTCAAATTGAACCACCATTCAAATTATTCGATGTCAGGAGTCATCTAGAAATGGATTATAAGGCCAGTTATCCAATCATATTCGCGAGATGATAATTCAAGGCGACCCTAACCACGAGTTACCCATTCTTTGTCTCTCGTTCCTTAAGAATTTTCGTAGACGCCATCGAAGGGTTCCATCTGAGAATGCCACAATGCCACCGCCGCCATTACTGGGCGATAAGAGGAAAAGAATTTCAGCCTACGTCAACGTCTGCAGCCCAAATAGCTCATACATATGCACGGTGCTGCGCCAGGCTTTCTCATTCGGGGCCATGCCCATGCCGGCTACCGCAAGCCCTAAGCCCCTCATTCGTCCGGTTTATCTAGACTATCGTCAATGCAAACGACCTGAAAATCAAGTGTAGGAAGTAAAAAAAAGGCTTCCACCTATGCAAAACGTCACCGGTGTGATCTCTTCATCCCCTTTAGTAGGAAGAACTCCACGCATTGCCAAGCTTTGTTTCTGGATTGTTTTTGCCACTATTTTTCGTGGCCAGGAACTGTCTCCTCACATTAAAAATAAAAATAAAAATAAAAACCACATGCATGTTCCTCCCCAATGTATGTATAACCCCTCCCAGGAAACTTGCACCAACCAAATTGAAACCTCACGATACCTTATTCTTTTAGATTCTAGTGTCTACCATGTATGTACTCTGAAGCATACTATAACTAGGACCTAGGTAGCTGAGAACCTCGGAACAATCCAGCCCCAATCTTGGAAATCGTCTACTATTGGCATGAGAAACCGGCTACGCCGATTTATGCATCGGGTTTCATGCAAAAATCAGCCTCAACATCAATACATAGGGTAGTATTGTTATAATATTGCTGTCAATACGTATGCATGGCGGTCGAAGAACATTGTATACAGCGTAGTCGGTTTATAACGAGATTATAAAATGACTGGAATGGTATAATGATTAATCAATTCCCGGTTACTCAATATCCATCCAGCTAATATAAAATGAAGAAATGTGTTTCCATTGATTTGTTCGATGATATGCGGCAAAATCCCAATGACAAGAGCAATGGTAGGTGGTTATACGAGTCTTCTATATCAGATGACCACATAGGAATGGCGTGGTGATAGATGAAAAGAACGAGCCTTTTCAATTTTTGCGTGATCAGGATCATGGATCACGGATTACGGATGACTTATGATGTTGTGTGTGGTATGGCCTTATGTAGCACACACTTCGTATGGTTCGAGCGAGTCTGAGAAAGCTGGAAGGAACAAGGACCTCGAGCCTAGGCAATTCCAACCTCCAACCCACCACCCCACCAAACAGCTCAGGCGAGAGTGAGAAAAAAACGGCCTTAGGGCAGCTCCGTTCCGTTTGCGTCCGTGCGTTCCCCGTCTACTTCCGCCCGTCCTTAGCTCTTGCCATTGACTTCATAGAATGAGCTCCAAACCGAATTGAACCTTCGAAACTCTCCACCGAAAATTAGAAGTGCCTCAATTTGATTCCCCGATCATACCACGCACGCCAATTAAATATCACGAACAGGTACCTTTGATTTCCCCAGATCGTCAGTAACTATATACAGTTAAGACTAAAAAAACTGAAACTTCTTGATTTCCCATAGATCGATCGAATTCTCCCTTTCGAATAAAACCTCCATCGCCGCTACAATGTTCCGTCAAACCCTGACCAAAGTCCCGTCCCGTGGCCTCCGCCTCGCTCCCTCTTCCGTCCGGCCCTTCTCGACGACTCTCCGCGTTATGGCTGAGGGAGATACCGGTTCGCCGAGCAGGTTAGGTAGTCTAGGTGGTTCAGGGTACGTGATATGACTTCAATATAAGCCCCCGCAATCGTAATAGAAAGTTGCCGAGGTGGGAGCGGATATCCTGGAAATCTAGAGATCTGAAGCTCTTACTGCTTAGCAACAGCTCTATCGGACATAAGAGCAATGAACAAGAATTTATGAGGAAAAACCAAGAGAGCATGCGGATAAAAAGAAACATGAAGAAAACCAACTAACAAATAACCGCAAAACAGTGACGCTTTCCAAAAGCGCGAAAAGGCCAGCGAAGACTACGCCATCCGCCAGCGCGAGAAGCAAAAGCTACTCGAGCTGCGCCAGAAGCTCCGCGAGCAGCAGGAGCACCTCCAGAAGCTCTCCGACCACATGTAAGCCATCCCACGAAAATGCGATTCCTCCCTCCCCCGAGGGATCTTACGCCACCATGCACTACGCGAATGAGCACTAACAAATCTATTTCCCCTCAGTGACGAGTTGACCAAGGAGCAAGGCGGCGAACACAACTAAATATGTACCAGAAACTTGTAAGAGAAGGGTCCGAAACTCCGTGTTCATTAAGGTGCCCAGCATCGGCGCGCGAGTTTTTGCCCGGTCACTAAAAAAGCCAGATTCGTCCTTCGGCCATCGCATTTTTTTGCCATGCCTTAATGTACATAAATAAAGCCATTGCCATACGGGCGATGAGCTTTCGTTGCTATCTTGAGAATCAAGTCTCAACTTTCATAACAGCGCACATGTTGCTGTCTCCTTCATCCTGATGCGTGCAATGACCCGTGAACTCTTGGATTTATGTGCATGATGTCCTGATACTCCTAGACCAAACATCCCCCCCTGACAGAAATTACTCCCCCACTGCCTGGTGCCCGTATAAATCCGAATGCTTATCTACGTCCCATGTAGGAACGGTAGAAGCTGTCTACGTTGTCTTGCTCCGGACCGCCGTAATGGCTGCCGATCGTGCTGCGCTCTTTCTGGGCAGCCGCAACCTTAGCTTGGAGCGCGGCAGCATTTGTGTCGATCCACTGGAGCTGGGAAAGATGTCCGTTGAGAACACGGACGATTTGACTCAGCTAGAGATAAGATTAGCTAGCTGAACACTGTAGTAGGAAGATCCGTAGGAAAGAAAACTTACCGGGTCGTCTGGCTTGTTACCCTTGCTTAACGTGCCAGAGATGTCATTAATTTCCTTAATCATCTTCGTCAAATCTCGACCCATGTCGTCCAATCTCTCTGTGATCTTCTCAGCAAGCTTATAAGTTTTCTCGCGCTCCTGATCAGGACCTGCAAGCTGCTCGCCGTGTCCAATCTGCTTGGTAAACATGGCGTCCACCTCGCCCTCGTATCTATCCAACCATGATTCAAGTTCTTCTTGTTGACTCTCGATTCCAATGAGTTGTCGCTCAATCTCTCGGCTACCTTTCTCAGCTTCGAAAGTATCTAGATAAAGCTTCTGGATTCTCTCTCCATTCTCAACTAGGAGGCGATCCCACTGAGCGACTTGAGCAGCCTGATCCTTGAATTCCTTCTGGTATTTCGAGAGATCAGTAGCCCAGCGGGTGATAATCTCGTCCATCGTCTTGTTCTTCAGTCGCGCCATAGACGAAGTAGGACCGGCAGTCGAGGTACCCAAAGTATTACTGGCAGCTGCAGGGGGCTGCAATGTCGTACCAGCCGCTGGTTGGGTAGGTTTCGAGGCTCCACTAAAAAGGGAGTTCGCAGGAGCTCCAGTCGTAGAGCCCAGAGTAGGAGTGGTGGCAGAAGTTGCCGCACCGGCGCTTTGTGCGGAACTAGCAGCCGGTGTAGATCCTGCCGCCGAAGTAGCAGGAGCGCCGCCGAAGAGGCTGGGTGTAGGCTTGGCCGATTCGGTAGTTGCGGCATTAGCGGCAGGTTTACCTAGACCGGAGAACATAGAAGAGGCCTGCGGCTTAGCTGGATCAGACGGCGTAGCGGGGCCTGAAGGCTTATTAAGGCCCGCAAAGAGTGTGTTGGTTTGTGCTGTTGCCGGGGCAGCGGGAGTGGATGTGGCAGCTGGTGTAGACGAAGGCTTGTTAAGTCCTGAAAACAACGAGGATGCACCAGCTGGTGCCGTCGGTGTGGTACTTGCCGCTGCTCCTCCGAAAAGAGGGTTGCTAGGCTTGGCTGAGGATGCCTCAGCTGGCTTCGGTGCTTGCTGTGCAAAAAGTGAGGATGCTCCCGCAGGTGCAGCGCCGGTAGCCTGCGTAGGAGCTGCAGGCTTCGCTCCAAATAGGCTCGGAGTAGATGAGCTCTCAGCAGGCTTCGCGCCTCCGAATAAGTTCGAAGATTGGTTCGAGTTCTGACCGGCACCCGCGAAGAGCGAAGGAGCAGCTGAAGCAGACGGCGCTGGTTGGCTTGTCGCCGGTGCAGCCTGTGAAGTACCTGTAGCTCCGAACATGCTTCCAGGCTGGCTAGCCTTCTTCTCACCTTGTTGAGCACCTGCAAAGAGAGACGAGCTTTGTGTTCCAGTATTACCGAAGAGGTTACTAGCAGGCTTTGTCGGGGGGGCTCCCGCGGGAGTAGTAGAATTTAACGGAGGGAACATGCTCTTGGTAGGTGTCGACATGGCGGCAGGGTTAGAGGCGTTGGTTGAAGCCGCACCACCAAACAGATTACTGCCTCCGCCAAGATTACCAAACATACCGCCTGCTTGAGAAGTAGGGGCGCTGGTAGTTGGTGTTGAAGCCTTATTGTCCTTCGATCCAAACAATCCACCTGCTGGGAAAGCACCAGATACTGCTGAAGTCGGGGTTGTAGATTGAGCAGTCGATGCAGGTGCAGAAGAAGCGTTATTTCCGAAAAGGTTCGTAGATTGTGCAGGTTTCGCACCACCGAAGATAGCGGAAGTAGGAGCTGAGGAAACGCCGCCGAATAGTGGAGCGTTACTCCCACTCGACGCAGTGGCGTTTGGTGTACTGCTACCCGGTGCAGCTCCTCCGAATAGAGGTTTCTGTTCTGCTGGTTTTGATGCGGTATTTGCAAACGGGCTGGCTGAAGTCCCTGGTGAACTAGTTGTGTTGCTAGTATTTCCACCTAAATTTCCGAAAGAGAAGCTGGGTGCTCCAGTCGATGAAGAAAAGCTAGGTGTTCCAGTAGATGATGCACCAAAAAGATTGCTTGAGGTGCCTTGGGTCGTTGAACCAAACAAGCCACCTGTAGCAGGGGCACTTGACGTAGTGGCATTGTTCGATTGACCGCCCGAGCTCGCATTATTGCTGAAGAACGACATGGTGTCGGATTGTTTGCTAGGGTAGGGTAGGAATGTGATATGTCGGGTATGAAGACGATAAATGTGTGTTTGTTCGTTGGAATGTGATGGCTCGTTTAGTCGGCAGCTTTATGTACGATTATGTCGTCCAGAGACCTGCACTCATCCCTCAACCCACGAGGGTAGAAAAGGTTTGGGTGCCGGCGGTTGGCGTTTGGAAATTCACTAAAGAACTACGCAAACCCAATGCCGATGACAAAGTAAATCTATCGTGGTCGTTGTCTAATTATCTTAGACGATGATGAAAGAATTAGTATATCTAATTGTATGAAGGTTGGAAGGAAAATGCTTTAACATACCGTTCTGTCTTATTTTTTAAATGTACATTTGCGTCGCAGACCGACCACTTCAAATGTTTTTGCGCGACAAGCTTCAAAAGATGTCAAGTTCGACGCGACTGGGTACTTTCTATGCACAGACCATGTTCGGGTCGTACTTGCCCAGTGGTTTCTAGGTACTTCGGACAGGTACCTTCCACAGCTGTCATTGAAGGGAGAATTCTAGCCACACTGAGGCTTGTCATTGTAGGACTAAGAGGCCTTATCTAATCAGGCCATACTCCAAACACCCCAAACATCGGGGCCATGATCTGAGCACCCACCGCCTAGTCTAGAACATGGTGTCTCCGATCCTTGAACTAAACACTCGATCTCTACGCATGACCTCACCTTAAGGGGCAGGACCGCAGGACAGATAATTTATACCCTCGCACAATTTTAATAGATCCTACATCCATTTCCTAGATCACTACCTTATAAGCCGCTGTCTCTTCCTATCCCTAAATTTCCCCCATTTGTTTTTTAAAGATACCCCTCAACACAACCCTACGGCTGTCAATAAGGGAGATCGTAACTCCTAAATAATTATTATATTTCGAACCTATAAACCTACGATCCTCTTATTTGTGAACTCTTCGGGCCGACCAAAATCTACTTAATTTACTACTTCAAATATTTTCATCATGCCCAGAGGACGAAGGTCTGTTAGTTTGGAAGCCCCAGAAAGGAGGGGCACAGAGGACCCAGGTGCTCATGAGCTTGGTACGGTTTAGCGCTCATCGCTGGTCCCTTTTATGCTAACAATTACCCGCTCCAGCATCCTCCGATTCTGACGAGCATTTCTCCGATGCTCAGACCTCTCCTGGGAATAGTCCTGGATCTGCCTCTCCAGTACCGCGGACGCGAGTCGAGAAAGTAGACGATGAGCCATCTTACGGTGAAGTCCCTGGCACAGAAGCTTACAAGAAGCGCACAGAGGATGCCGAACCGGATGAGATTGCTATCCTCAATGAGACAAAGTCGCAGTCTGTCTCTCCGGATAGGCCCGTGACGCCTGGAGGTCATCCGATTCCGAAGACCGTAGTCGAGGAATCAGAAGACGCTCCTGGCTCAACGGCTCACCGCTACCACGAGACTCTTCACCAAGCGGACGCGGAACCCGACTTTATTCGCAAAGCCGACGGTACTGGCGAGGCAAATCCGATTCCCTCCTCGCTTGACACCAGCAAAGAAGCAACTGGTACGGCAGCCAAGTCCTCCTAAGCTACCCAGTACGATTGACCCTGCCCTCGTAGATGACGCGACTATGACTCCATCACTGAAGTCACCAATAAAACATCGACGGAGGAAATCATCCGCAGCAAAATCAACGGGGAGTTTTGGTGGCCAAGAAACCGTTGATAATGATGACGATGATGACTTTGGCGACGATTTTGACGATTTTGAAGAGGGTGATGAAGATGCTGATTTTGGCGACTTCGATGATGGCTTTCAAGCAGCCGAGGACGAAGTTGCGGCTAGTATGCCAGCTCTTCAGCCTCAGGTCTCAATACCCTCATTTGTATGTTTAGGTCCCTCTTTAGGTAGTCACATTTTTATGCTAACTTATGTTTTTCCCCGTCAGCCAATATTAGATCTAGACGGCCTTGATTCAGAGGATATCTTAACAGCGACAGAGCCGTATCTAGACGCCCTATTCTCTCCTGACATACAAGAAATCCCAGAACTACCGTCGCCCCCAAAAGACAACCCCATCTTCTTCAACCCTAGAAGCGCCTCGCTCTGGTCACAACTTGCGGCACCCCCACCTCTCCAACCTCCCGACTGGATCCGATCTCGGATAAGACGTCTATTTCTAGTATCACTTGGTGTACCGGTAGATTTAGATGAGATATTACCGGCGTCCAAGCAAAAGAAGCTTGTACTCCCATCCCTCCACCGTGTCACCTCAAACGGCTCCCTACGTACATCATCAGACTCTCGATCAGTCTCTAGACTAAGAAAACCAGACGGCGATAATAATTCTTCGGTGTCTGTAGACTCTCAAGGCAAGGAGAAGCCAAGATCGGCTTCGAAACGGCAGAGGGGCCCGCCCGAACCACCTGAGCTCGATCTTGTCTCCGCGAGGCAACTCTGCGCGACGACGGACGAGGCTTTAGGGGGGATGACGGACCAGGAAATCCAGCAGCATGTGAAGAAGCTGCAGGACATGGAGGTGTTAGCGAAGGAGGTGCTTGAGTATTGGAAGAAGCGCACGGACGAGAAGATCGGGGATAGGGAGGCGTTCGAGGGTGTCATAGAAAACCTGGTGAAGCATGCGCGCAAAACTAGGAAATGAGAAGCTAAATAATATAATAGTTATACTGGTTTCTCGATATTTAGGTGTTTGGATACCGTGATCTGTTATACCTAAGGTGCTGCAACTAATAAGGAAATTTCTGCTGGTGATCTACCACTAACTAGTTGGGCATTTCCTATGAGGATATAGGGTAGGCAAGTTTCAACCAAGCCCTCGTTCTTTGGGTAGGATATCTTTGATTTAGAATCCTCAAACCCTTACTTCTATACCAGTTTCTACAAAGCAAGCAAGGCGAGGTCAAGTTTTAACTTGAGGGATTACGTTGGTGTACGGGTTGTGCTTCTTTATCACCCAGTGAAGCTACACGCCGATAGGGTACCGTGGAATCATATAGACGAACCTGATCAGAACAACAACTTCGTTCTACTTGGGTTCAACGTTACAATTGAGTACTATGTACACCTAGAAGTAGGTACCGTCACATCACAACGTAGAAAAAGATCAATGGAGACTATTCCATTAACTAGACGAATTCTGCTAGAATCTCCGGCCCCCTCGAGAGAAGATGGAAAGCCGAGGTCTGCGAGAATAGCCGCTATTTTTCTTCCATTTTGTCTATTGCAAGTGTCCAGATACACCAACCTCCCCGGAGACCTCTTCTCCACTTCGGGTAGAGTTCTCTGTATCTCTGCTAAATACCTAAAGACCATGCTCCTGACGGTGTATCTCCGTACCCAGGGGACCCTATTTGTTTTATCTCGTGCTCCTAGCTACGGTGTCAAAATTGTAGCTGGCGAGGCACTGTTTACGGTGTGGCTTGTACGATGCTTGATCTTCACGATTCGGTGGGCTCCAAAGTGACACCGCTGCATGAATTTGTTAGCTAACTGAATGAAATCGTGTGAATGTTGTGAACTTACGCTGTGATCGTAGCCCATCCAATGAGACGCCAATGCTTCTCAATTCTTCGACTCAAGGCGATCTTCTCTCCTAAGTTCGTGCAGGCAGGACTGGTCAAGGACAGCTTAGCGGCGTCCTGCTTAATAGCAGCAACCTTAGCACCAGTTGAGGTGGAACCAATGTTAACCATCAGTACTTCGTTCTTAGCTAACTTGGCGACCTTAGCCTGTTTTCCGTCTGCTGTACGAACACCAAGAAGTCGCTTCAAGAGGTAGAAGTTGACTTCGATCTCGCTATAGATAGCTGGGAGACGACCCTTGAGACCGAGGACAAAACCGACCAGACGATCAGCTCTGCAGAGGGTAGGATCAATACGCGTGCCAACACCGATAAGACCACCGGGAACGGCATATTTCAAGTCGTTGAACTCAGAGTTTAGAGACACGATGCGACTACAGATAGGCTTGCATTGGAGGGCACCCTTGTCATCTCGGGTCACGATACCTGGTCGAATTTCGATCTCATCACCTAGCTTCAACACTCCATGGAGAATACTACCACCAGCGACACCACCCTTCAAGTCCTCGATCTCGGCACCGGGCTTGTTGACGTCGAAGGACCGAATAACCATCATGTGCGGTTCTTGGGTGAAATCCCTAATCGGCACAGGGATTGTGTTCACGATAGCCTCGTTGATAGCGTCGATGTTGAACTTCAGCTGCGCGGAGATGGGGATGATAGGTGACTTGGCGGCAGGCGTTCCACGGACGAACTTTAGGATGGACTGGTAATGTTGTTGGGCGGCCTCTTCTCGCATTAAGTCGACCTTGTTCTGGAGGATGATAATCTTGTCTAACTTCATAATCTCGATAGCCGCAAGATGTTCCGAAGTCTGAGGCTGAGGTACGGATTCGTTGCCAGCGATGAGTAGGAGAGCAGCATCCATAACTGCCGCTCCAGACAACATAGTACTCATGAGAATATCGTGGCCAGGGCAATCCACGAAACTGAAACATATCAGGATATATACGACTAAATCAATCAGGAGAAAATATTTAGACTTACGAGACGTGGCGCAATAATCTATATGTGCCACTACATCCATCACGCTCACAGGGAGGGTCTACTTCCTTCTCGCTCTTATAGCTGCGGTAACAACCAGGTCTGGGGCACTCGAGGTTGTCACATTTGTAAATCTTGGCGTTCGCATAACCCAACTTGATGGTAATATTTCGGATCAGTTCGTTCTTGAAACGAACCGTCTGCACACCAGAGATAGCCTTCACGACGGTGGATTTTCCGTGGGCGACGTGGCCGATAGTGCCAATGTTGATAGTTGCCTGTCGGGCGATGATCTCGGGTGTAAGCGGGGTCAAGGAAGGGAGATCGAGGTCTTTCGCATCGGTCTGAGGAGGAAGAGGAGGTCGCTGAACGGGAGGGAGAGCGGCCATGGGTGACTTCTTCATCGCGGACTTAAGAGGCTTCTGGTCTAGCTCCTCAACTCCATCATCAAGGCCTTCATTGACGGACTCATTGCCAGAATCCGACTCGGACTCGATGTCGTTGCCGAACTTGTCAGGCGCAGACATTTTGTTGGAATTCGAGATGAAAATAACTTCCTCTTGCTTTTCTGGGCCGTACGCGGTTCGTTAGTTCTGGCGTTAAAGTTGGGTAGATATTGAAGTAAACGTGAAAGATATGATAAAAATGACGTTTCAGTGCCGAGTTTGCGATTTTTTTGGCCTGAAGTTGTGTATGAGTCTTCCTGCTATGCTCCGATAAGATAACGAATGAGGGGCAAAGTTGTAGGGTCGCAGTTGCTAGTTTATTAAATACCTGCATATATCCTTTAATAAAGTTTTCTTAAATATATTATGAGAGTTATGAGTTTAAAGGATCATTCTGTACTCTATTTGAAGTTTACATATTCAATCTTATATTGATAAGAGAAACTTTTTTCATGTTTGCTATTGAACTAACAATAATCACTTTATTCTTCAGTCCCTTATTAACTTCAGACAAACTAGTAGATCTAATTAACATTTCTTCGTCAAAAGTTCCTGGACGAAACTCAGCAGTCTCAGCTATCTATGCTAAATCTCAATCCGGCATTATTAACAATAGCCGCTTATACTTAAGAGGGAACGAGAATCTAGTCACCATACAGAATACGGCTCAAAGAATGGTTATTTAAAGAACCCAATGATGCGATAGCGATGATGGACGATCTCAAAGATTGACGTAGTATCAAATTTACCATCAAGACAAATTATCCGATGTCTGTGAAGAGCCTCACCAACTGACGTAATTCTTCGATTGACACCGGGACAAGACTATTCTTGGATACTCACCTCAACGAGGCTGATATCTGTGCCCCCCGAAGACCGGTTTCATACGAGCTTACTGAAGACTATGATAATCGACACATGCCAACTCGGTGTCGATCTCGAGGTCATGACTGCTGTTGTCTGCACGAATATATTCTTATGCAGCCCTACATCGATCTTTTCCTCCGATATGGGTTACATAGCGTCTTGGGGTTCTATTATAATATTCGGAGCGGCATCGACAACATACTAGTGAAGTCGTTGCCATCTCAGCACATATGCCCGTATGACATCTAGAGCGTTCAAGAGCATTCAAGTGTGTGTTAACAGCGTTGATATATAGCAGAAGTGCTGCTTTTGACCTAGCCTATACGCTCTTCGATCACAGTCTCATTGGCCGCGAGCATAAGAGGCCTAAAAATAGGCCTCGAAAACCTTGGCAGCACATTGCAGCGTTGATTGTTAGGGGTTAAGTGACGCTACATTGAGTGCGGTAACACAAAATGGGACGCAAGTTCATCAGAAATTGGCCTCCCTTCCCGCGCGTCCGTGCCAACCGATCGTCATTTGGGAAGGGGTCCGGGGAGGGGGGAAAAGGCTTTCGTCTCTTGGGTTACATTTATCACGACAACCACCCACCCGATTATTTTCCTCAAATTGACCGACTCCGTAATGGAGTGATTTAATTTTCGAGTACTAAAAAAGGAACATTTAACCCTCAGCCTTATTATTGCCTTTGTTTCGTACCTAGACAAGCCTAAGTACTCTCGAAGTGCCTCTGTCAAGACATTCGAGTCTTCATCGTACCAGCGCACAGAGGAATATTAAAGTCAGGCCGAGCTCATATGTATTAGTCAGGGGTATGGATTTCAATATCTGCAAGAAATCCTGCTTGGACCCAGAAGGTCTCTTTCATACGGTCAAAAATGTGAGCGCGAAAAAGAGGACAGCAAATGGCTTTAAGATAGCCGGTACTCGAAGTCCCGGTTGTTCTGTTGAATATGGGGGGAATGTTGAAAGTTTACCGCCCAGGCACAACTGGATCCTGCATGGTGTCGTGCGGTATCACGTCTCTGTGGCTTTTGATTGGCCATATGTTCAACCTTGCATTTGGCACGGGTCTTACATGGGGGTAAGCTCTACCTATCAGATCGATAGATCGTCAACAGGGGTCGATGAAGTTGCTAGGAAGAATCGCGCCGGCTAGTCGCATGCGTCCAACCACATTTCTTTCTCCCCGTCTTTGCGCTCGACTGGGAAGGATCCCTGGTCATTGGCAGGTCTTGTCTTCAACCTCATTCGTAATTTTGGGATGTAGAATGCACCCAATTCCCGCCCAGCCCTGCACTCAAGAGGCGGGTTGGCGGATTTTCGATTTTCGAGCAAGTACCTCGACCCGTTACCAGCGATATGCCGGTGTACTTGCAACCTGATAGGCAAACGTTGCTTTTCTCTGCGAGTAACCCGTCTTACGATTATCAAGATTTCTGTATTCCTAGGTACAAGTAGTTTTTAGACATTGTCCTCCCAACAGAGAGGGAAAGTTGCGACCCTCTTTTCACATATACTGAGCCTTTTTCTCAGTATGTCTTCCTGTTAGCTTCATCTCTCTACCTATACAAGACTCTTCCCGCTCTGGCGTTTCTGTTTGCGCGGAAACCTAGTATCAGAAATCTGCGACTTGCTTCATTAAACTCTAGAATCAACGGTGACACGTTGATCTGGGAGTCTCGATACAACCGAGCAAGTATCCGGCGCCAGACTAGTTCCTCCGGGCGTCTATTTTTCATAAACGTACTACTTGGATATTGGGGTTTCCTTTAGCTGCCCTATCAGAGTCTCCCGTCTGGGGGATTTCCTACCCCCGGTCCACCGTGAGCGATCCCATTGCATCTTCTGTAGCCCCATTGACTAAACATCCCATGCAGAATACTCTCAGAAACAAGGACAAATGAGGTGGTAGCGTCTCGAGGCGGCGCCTACTCAAAACCTCCACCTCCCCCAGCTCTCCGACTTTGAGATACTTTTTCTCTCGATAGCTGGTCTCTCAAATTTCTTCTCGTATTGCTTCATTCCTATCTTTGGGCTATATACATACGGGCTCCATTCCCGAAGCTATCATACAAATCGTGCAGCAGTCTGTACGCATAGACAGAGTCTCGTTCCCTTCTTTCGCTTTTCTCTCTCCTTATACCACACAACGTCACAATGGCGCCGCAAGACGATAGAAGGCGGCCTGCCGCTCTCAACTTGGTCCCCTCGAGAAAATCCTCCACCAGCTCCTCATCCACATCATCGCTCAAGCCACCGAGGACACCGAGATTTGCAGAAGCCACTACAGTTCACTCGCCAGTAGATCAACGGAGTATGCCGTTTGGAAGAGATGGATCACAGGTAGCTCGTGCTCAACCGGCCGATGTTGGATTTGGATATATCAACGACGACGCGAACAAAGAGCCAGTAAACGTACCGATGACACCGAAGTCACCATTGAAGAGCGCAATGAGGGTTCCGGGTACGCCAGCGAGGAAAATTGAGAACCCTTTGAGCCCGACATTTAGGGAAGAGGATATCTTAGACAAGCGGGAGAAATCTACCGAGAAGGAGCAAGAACGGGATCTGGTAGGCAGTCTCGTGATCGAGTAGTTGTAACCTCATACTAACATGACATGCAGGGCATAAAATCAAAGGTGCGAATGGCTAAATTCGCACTACGAGGCGTCAGCTTCAGTTGCAGTACAATCATTCTCGCCATGCTCACCTCCTCACTCTCCATCTTCCACGCGACCAAGAGTCTACCAGCACAGAACGGCCTACCACCGTGGGCAACGGGTACGAGTACCTGGCCGCAAATCCTTGTGCTGTGTGTCTCTTGTGTCAATCTCCTCATCTGCATCCTCGTTTTCGTTGGCTACTGTCGAGGTGGTCACCACCGCGCCGAGAAAGTCGGTGTCTACTATACGTTATTCGCAGTCGGCTGGTTTATCGTATCCGTAATCCTATGGGCCGCAGCAGCCGGCGTCATCCAGTTCACGAGAAACAATAGCGGCAATCAGGATATGTGGGGATGGTCGTGTGTCAACAACCACCGTTCTGAACTCTTCTCGCAGAAGATTGACTACGAACTCGTATGCAGACTTCAAGTGAGTACCTACTTAACTACAAAAGCCTCCCCAATTTGACTATGAAACTAACATACCTTAGAACTGGGCTTTGATCTGTATTATCATCGAGATTGTGATTGATGTCATCACGATCACACTATATAGCGTCGTGTTTTACAGGTACTACACCAAGCGACGCCTAGCTAAGTCGATGGACCTACGAGATCGCGCCAGATCCGACCTGTACCTCGCCCAACTCCGATCGCAATCAGCACCTAACACGCCAGGCTTCGGCCCCAAATCGCCATCCTTCTCTCAGTACGCCATGTCGCCGCGCTTCCCGCCATCGGCCTACAAGTCACTCGGTGACATCGAGGAAGGACAAGCACCCACATTTACACCAGGAGCTCAGGTTGCCGAACCTGCATCTGCATTTGCGAGCCAGAATGCCAAGCCGGCCGATAAACCGTTCAAGCTGCAGGCTCCGCCAACTAAAGCGCCCTCCGCCACCCCCAAACTTGGACAGGGCGCATTCAGGACACCCACAACCCCCGACGCACCGGGTCCCAGCTTTAGCAACAACTTCAATGAGCATGGCCCCGTAGCCCCTGGCGAGGTTCAATACGACGCAGTGCCCATCCCAGGGGCGTACGCAGACGCGGTGATGAAGAGTCCGCCACCCAACCAAACGAATTTTGGACACGCGCGGTAGATTGGGGTGTAACTTTAACATTGGGAGGAAAGGGAAAGCTTTTGAATTTACACAACTGGATATAGCCTAATTTCTTTTGTTCAGCTGAGCTGGAAAACACAACATTTTTTTATTGGTCACGTCGAAGTTTGGACTACCCACGACCATCTACGATTGCAGGAATTTTTAAGGAGTCGACGAAACTTCCACAAACCGACCCACACCGGCTCACTCACCTACTACTACGCGGCGTTTCTCGAGGTTATATGATTGGGTGCGGATGTTGTATTTATTTGTCGGGACACTTTTTGGGGCGCGGAACTCAGGATATCATATACCTCGGGGACGGAACGAGCACGGTTTATATACCTTTTATCTACTATAATAACGATACCTATATCTATATCTACAACAATATCTACATCTGTCAGATCTGTATACCTACATAACACCCTTGTTCTTAGACAAATGGCATATCAGTTCGCCAATCTGTTGAAGCATCTGCTAGTGCTAAGGTTCTTACATGCTTGTCCGACCTGACGCCATCAATGTCCACGGGCCGGCCCGCCTAGACTCTAGACGAGTCCACTCATGTGGATATGCAGCATACCAAGGCAGCGGACTATGATCTAGGGAAGTAGATAGGTAAGTAAGGGAGTCCAAAGTTCTTAATCGTCTCCGTTGTCTTGTAATAGAGTGATCCTCCCTTGATAACAGGACCGCGCGGCTACGACTTCTTCCCCGGACATACAGCCTTCTCTGGCCAAGAAGATTTGTTTGCCTTTTAACGAGGATCGTATAAATTTGTTTGTCGGTCTAGAACGTTCTACTTGAAGTTCAGAGCCTCAGACAGGAATACGGAGGTGATCTATTCCGATGGCGCAGCCCGTTGAATAGGTATGGATCTATTTATGCCGGGATGATTGGTGATGTCACACGAACTGGGCGGTGTTCACTTTCTGTGAAACATCCACATGGATATGATACATACATGCTAGCTGTGTTGGTTAGTCTTAAATCATCAATAAATTCTTCAATATTGATTATGTATCAAATCCATATGGAGGTTAAGACCGTATTGTTAACCTGCATCAAATGATATGTCACCAAGTTTAATATGTATTTTCCTTATATCAGCTGGTAGCGGCTGGCGACCAACTGTAAATAATAATTCATATCGGCTGATGGTGGGTCGTTTCCAAAGCTCCTTCAAGCTCGCTATCATCAAGCTTTGCCCTGTCCACCTGAAAAAGTCACAAGTTAATTAATATTGCGGCGCATATTGAAGCCTCCATTGCAGCAGCAGTCACAATATTACCGAACCTTGGAAGTTTCAACAAAAGAGAGACAGCCCCCAATCCATCGGTAACCAATGTCTGGTGCTACGGTTCATACGCAGCGGCTGCTCATGCGGCCTATCTCGCCATTCCGGTTTCGAACCTCACATTCCTCTGCATCCTCGCTACGAGCCTACAGCGCACAACCTCCAAAGGGACCCAACAATGCTGTTAAGTTCTGGCCTTTCATAGCTATCATCGGTATAGGATTTGCGAGTTACGCCTACATGGCGAAGGCGAGAGCAGCGGCCAAGTGAGTATCCCGTGCTTGTATTTCATACTTGATGACCAACCCTTTTCTTCTACTTAAATATTACAACGTAAATATATACCGAAGTAAACATGGATGATTAACGAATGACTACAGGACCGCACCGATGAAAAAGTTATAATAACTTCTGCCGGCATGTTTCCAATGCTGTGTATTATATGACGATTATTCAGATCCATATGAACGAAGGAAGAATTCTTCACTGTATCACCAACTGGGTGTACTTACAACTTACCACCAACCCCCCTATTACCTGTACTATTAGTACATATTACATAGGTAGCTCACGAATAACGATTCTATGCAATCCATTAAGTATTTTTAAGTTATTGAGATATAAATGTGACAGGAAGGTGTACCGATGAATGATCATATTCTCCTAACAAGCAACATCTCTATAGCGAAGTTTGACTCAATCGAGGTTATAATCGATAGCGGGTAGCAATCTGGGAAGGAGGGGCTCGCATAAAGTCCAAACCTTGGAAGCTAGCAAAGTGCGGGACATAGCAGAAATTAAGCCGTAGTTACCTTCCACCAGGCCAAACTCAATCCTCGTCAGTAAACAAACCCCTAAAATCTCAATCCCTATCTTGAATCTGCTTGTCATAGACACTCACTTTCACCTTCTGCCCCGACTTCAACCGCTTACCTAGAAGTAGATATACCTACCCACCTATATACACCTCGAACGTCACCACCCCTCTCCAACAAAGCCCTATCCACCCCAAACCCAGCAGCAACAATGTCCACCATCGACAACCTCAAAGACCGCACCACCCCCGTCTTCTCCCAAGACGACGTAACCGTCATCTTCGTGCTCGGCGGCCCCGGCGCCGGCAAAGGCACGCAATGCGAGCGTCTCGTCTCCAAATACGGCTTCGCGCACCTCTCCGCCGGCGACCTTCTCCGCGCCGAGCAAAACCGTCCCAACAGCGAATTCGGCTCGCTAATCCGCGAGCACATCCGCAACGGCACGATCGTGCCCATGGAAGTAACCATCGCGCTCCTCGAGTCCTCCATGCGGACCATCCTCACCTCCTCCTCCCCCACCAACACCAAAGGCAAATTCCTCATCGACGGCTTCCCGCGGAAACTCGACCAGGCGCATAAATTCGAAGAAGCAGTGGTGCCTGCGAAATTCGTCCTGTTCTTCGATTGCCCGGAGGCGGAGATGGAGAGGCGGTTGATGGAGCGCGGGAAGACGAGTGGTCGTGAAGACGACAACGCTGAGAGCATCCGCAAGCGGTTCCGCACTTTTGTCGAGACGAGCATGCCTGTTGTCGAGTACTTCGAGGGCCAGGATCGGGTTGTTAAGGTCGATGCTAGGCCGGAGCCTGCGAGTGTTTTCGAGACTACGACGGTTGAGTTGGAGAAGAGGCTTGGGAAGGACTTTTAGGGGTTATGCATACGTGTTTAGATGATTCTGGGGGAGGGAGAAGGGGAGAAGGACTGGGCGTTGCGGATAGATTTAAATTCGCTTGCTGGGTAGATATATAAGAGCATTACCGGCTTAGTGTCTGCTTAGGTTAAACATAGAGAAGGAATATAACGAGGATGACGGTCGACGAGGAAGGCTACGAACCAACGATGGAAGTAATGGAATGATAAGTCAAGACAGACGATCAAGAGTGTCTAGTTTGGATAGACAGTCTACGATGGGCAGGTAGCGTTTCACATTTCCATACGAATAGATAGACAAGCAAGAAGAGTAATAATGTAAGTTTTTGCATTTACCATTCCGGGGAGAGTTGGGTGCCTTCCCTTGAGAGAACTTTTCTGTATCCTCTAAATACACAAGCTCTGAGCGGAGAACAAAGGAAAGTAGGCCGGAGAATGCATCATGCGCCTCAGCCCTTGGGCGACCTTGGATAATAAGGTCATCTGTTCCAGATAGGAACCCAGGAGCAGACCTCAGGGGCGTAACTCATCGCGCATTTCATATGCGCCATCCATCGTCACGCATCACAACATATAGCACCTTCTCCCGAGGTGCAAGCCGCCAACAGCGGCAGGCCGTGCGAATACCAAACACACTCATCTTCAAAGCCACCGCCTTTTATGCCTTGAGTACCCTTTTCGAAACCGATGTGTAATCTCGCCCGTGAAAGCCGTAGACGCCTAAGCCGTGCCGATGCAACCAACGTAAGCCGGAAACGTCAAGAAAGGGAACGCGCGATGATCTAGTCATCGTCATCCGTTCGCTCTCGACGAGGTGCGCGCTCACTGTGATCACCACGGCCACCACGGTCACCACGGTCGCCTCCTCGGCGTCCACCACCGCCTCGTTCACCTCCAGATGGACCACTGCCACCCATACCCGTGTTTGCCAGACGTCGCTCAATTTCCTCCGTCTCGCGTTTCTTGTGCGCCTCGGCGTTGCCCTGCTCCCTACGCAGGTTGGAAATCACGTTGCGGATGATGACCTTCCATCCTTCCACGCGGTCACCAACTTCACGCCACTGCTTCTCGCCGAAAACACGGTAGAATGTCTGGTGGACGAGGAACACTTTCTTAAGCTGAGAAAGCTTGCCCTCCACAAGCCCAGCACGAATTACGTCGATGGTCCACATCTCAACTTCTTCGGATGGGATCTGCAACGCCTTTTCGATATTCGCGTAGGGAATCTCGTGATTAGGGGTGCTAGCTGCAAGGCTAGCGAATGTGAGCAATCGAATCTTGCGGTGAAGCTTGTCGCCATCTAGTTGTTCTTTCTCGATGAAACCCTCATGCTCATCATTGAAGTCGTTGTAATCTTCCAAGTCCTTCTCAGCAAAGATTACAAGAAGCTCATGGTAAAGAGGATGTGACTCAGAGAGTGATTGGATAGCTGGTACGGCAAGGAGGTCTTGGAAATCGTTGTGTGTTGGTGATAAGAGCGCGGTCTTTAGAGCGCGCAGGGCTAGCTTCTGAGCCTCTTCCGACTTCGTCTCATCGTCGTCAAAGGTGCGCAAAGCGCTGAGGACATACTGATACGAGGTCCTGCGGTATTGTCTGATTAGCAATCGAGTTCGCCGTGAATATTTTGCAAGATTGATACTCACTCTTCGTCACCTGCTTCAAGAGCTACCTCGGCAACTTCGGTGTACAGCTTGCGCTGATCCTCCTCGTCAGACTCCCACTGCTGGAGCCAACCCTTAACATCGGGCAAGGACTTCTTAAGGGTCTCGTAGAAGCCATTGTGCTTGACGAATCGTAAGATTGCCATGAAGACATTGAAACGTAAATCGCTGTCTCGCTCGTTGTCGTGCTTGAGCAGATTGAAGATGGTAGTAAGAGCGTTAAGGGCTAGACCGGGACCATGAACAGGTGATGAAGTAATGGGCTTCGTAAGGTTATCGCATACGCGAGGAAGAAACATTCCGACGTTGTCAGATTGTAGGACTAGGTAGACAAGCAAGTTGTAGCTTGACTGGAACTCCTTCTCGGGTACTGCATTGAGAGCAGGAGATGCGAGCACAATCTTCTTAAGAACTTCATCTTTCTGATCCTTCTCCAATAGAGGCTTCACCTCTTCGCCGACGTGCAGGTAATCAGCCATCTCCTTGGCAAGCTCCGCAAATGAGCCATCCACGAAGACTCGCTGCTGCGACTGCTCCTCCTCTTGGGTAGCCATGGTGATGGTGGAGGAGGGTACTTGTCGAGCTGGAGCGTATTTCTCAAGATTCTTGTTAACTACTTTTGAGATGCTCTTAAGTTTCTCTAAGAGTTCAACGAAGGGTTGGAGTAATAGGTGATTGATCGGATCAAGATGAGGTGATGGCTGAGGCTGGTTTGAATCCGAATCGCGTTGACTGTCGGAATTGTCGTGCTCGTCGTGTTCGTCGTGTTCGTCGGAATCGCGTTCGTTAGAATCACCGTCGTTGTCGGAATTAGTCTCGTCGTCGTCTTGGGACGCTAACTGATTGCGACGAGCTAGTCGTTGACGATAGAATGCGCGTCTATCTGGCTTGCGCTTGCGTCCAGAGCGTATGCCAGAATATTGATCGGACTGATGGAGATCGTCGTCTTGTGGAAGGGAATGAAGAAAGTGTAAATTCGGAAGGTTTGTGGCGGGGTTGTGGGAATCCATAGTGGACAGGGATTGGGCGCCTTTGGCGCCCGAAGTTTACCCGAGAATTGAAAATTGAAAATTAAAATGGGTACGGGAAAATGATTAATCCGAAAGAGAGGCTAAAGAAGAAGGGAAGAAAATTAATCCGAAGCTTAAAAGAGTGGAGAAGAAGCGAAAGTGGTACCGAAGATTATCCGGAAGGGTAAGGAAAGGAAGGGTGGAAATGTGGAAGTGTGGCGGTGCGAGGTGAAAAGGTGGAGGAAGAAGTAGGAAATTGTGGCGGTGCTCAGCCTTTTTATAGAGTTTGGTAAAAATTCCAATCAGTGGTGTTAGTGGCGGTGCAGTGGCAGCACGCATACCGATAGGTATCCAGGTACCTGCCATGATTTTTCATCATCCAAATTTAGGAATCTCTTCACGTGATTGGCCCAAAAATCTATACTATGTACTTAAGTGACTTGTATTTTTATTTCTTTCCCGCGTGATTGGTTCACATAGTGATTTTCTTTCCTCAATTCTTTTTCATCAAAGGTACAGGTAGGTATGTATTTTCTAATCGTCGACAGATCAAATTGCTGATTTGATTTACAATAGAAGCTGCTCTAAATTCTGTAAGATGGTATCCTAGGACAGTGAGCCGGCAGCATAATGGGCCTAGGGCCTCAGAATCGACACCTGGGATTGTATTATCTCAAGTATCCATGGATTACATACAATGCTATTGGCCATATATCTACATCAAGCTCCTCACTAGGTACTAATATATTGGAAAATGCCATCTAATAAGGCTTCATTGAACTTGCCGTCCCATACTTGGTCCTCTTTCGTTCCATAATGATCAGTAGTAACACTAATGCTTCTGTAGCTATCTAATAGTAATGTCCTGATGATGGCTGAATTCAGTAACATCTACCTTGTGATATGCGTATTACGCTAAACATTGCTGATATCTGAGTAAGATGGTCGCAGGCAACTTGTCTGCTTGTATAGGGATTTCATGTAGATCATAGTGCTAGGATCGATGCTACCGGTTCGAACTTTGCTAAATAGACGTCTACATACATACTGAGGTATTAATTCTGATCTGTATGGAGCTCACAGACAGCCACTGTAGCACACTAGAAAGGTCAAGGCGTACGCCGTGGCCAAGCGGACCTGAAGGGAAGCATAATACAGATGCATCGTGACGTGCCGTTCATCTGCAGCAGTCGGGGAATACTTGCGATTCTATCCAATGTGATTTGATTGGCTGAGAGGAAAAGCACTCCACCAGCCCACTTTCCCAATTGGAACTGGTGATCGAATTGCTTTTCTTGTTCCTTTCCGCGAACCCCTGAATGCTAGGAAGTTCATGGTGAAACAGTCCCCACAACGTTTAGAGTCTCCAGGGCCATTTATTTCTTCGAGCTTAGCCCTTGAACTAAAGTTGCATGGAAGGCATGGAAGACTCATGTGACAGATTCAATGTTTTTTGTTGATTCCAAAAAGGAAATGTCACTGACGTTCGGAGGTAGGTCTACTAGGCCGTAGTCAGCTTCAAGTCTTACATGCAAGACATCGAGGTTGTATTTTTCAGCCGTGATAGGCCTGTGCCGTGTAGGTACTGACATTACCTATCTCTAGCGCTAGGTCCCGACTTGGTTTTGAGTGACGATCAGGAGCGGGATCTTTAAGACTGCCTATCTAGTTTCTACAAATATCTATATTAGGGTTGGAATATGCATACTACCTGGACCATTACTACATAATGGTATATAGATGAATTTGTACATAGTATGCAGTGGGAAAAAGCCGGAGAAGGATTATTATTATTATTATTCGGCTGACAGAAAGGTGGCTCTTCGATGTGATGACGAGATATAATATTAAAGGACCACGTATAATTACAATATCTGGGTGCCCTTTCAAGCGCCAACAAATGTACTATGCAATATTATATCAGGGACCTCGGCCCCTCTTCTCTATCAACAAACATGCCTTCAAATGATGTTAATATATAATTCGGATACGAATCTCCAACGCACGACATTGGGTTACCGATTTTCAGGAACCAGAATTTAGCGCGACGGCCGAGACGCGCATCTTTTGACCTTTACATGGCCACAGCCAGACGATAGGTAGAAAGAGACCCGTCATGCGACCGTTTGATCTTCGAGGGTCTTTCAACGAGTAATACATACAACATACGACAAACAATATCCGAGAACAATATATGGCGAACATAGAAGTTCGTAATATCGGATGAATTTCATGTGGAATTGCCCCCAAAGTCTAGCTGAACAATTGATAAATAAAGAGGCGTACTTTTCGACATCGCCTCTGCCAAGCAAATAAGAAGTACGAAGCAATTGGCGAACAGGAGGTCAGAACGTCACTGGAGGCCAAAAAATACTAGCGAGTACCATTACAAATTAACACATTAGAGGGGCAAAGAGAACTCTGCATAATCACTTGAAAGCAGCCTCGTCCAATTTATTCTCTCCAGGTGAAAATAAAACGGTTAGTTTTCTCCTCTACTTGTGACTGACCAGGTTTATATCCCGTTTCTGGAATCCCTTTCTCTAACCAGCCAAGGTCAACTAGTGCGAAGCATCTCACCCCGGTTGGCGATCTAACACACTTCGAGTGTCGCTAGTAGACAAGACAGTCGAAAGAGAGTATCAGCGCCCGAAAGAACCCCGCCGAAATCGCGTTACAAGATATATATACAGCCCACTATCAGGTCGCAATGTTCGATCGTCTTCGAAATGCCCCGAAAGATAGGGGTGCGCAACAGCTGAACAGGAAGAAACTTGAAGCCTGGCAAAACTCGCGTGAACAATCGTCATCGGCTGGCCGTGGTGTAAAAGGAGGAGATAGCCAATATCAATATTCTATCAGAGGAGGACCCGCGCCCCCGAGGCCATTAAGGGACCCCAACAATCCGCCCGAACGGTAAGCCACTTTTGTTACTTAAGTTTGGGGGAGATATTCGAGATTTAGGATGGTTCCAAGGTTGTATAACCCGCGATACCTGATTGAGCTACTGAGCTACGGAGAACAACGGCGACGTCAACAGCCTTCCGCAAATAGTAATCACATGCAGCTCTAGCCCCTTAGCGGGAGCGAATTGGAGGATCAACAGAGTAATTCTGGGGCGTTCAAGATAGCACAAAGTGCTCAAGAGGATCACCATCCCTCGCGCCACACCTGTCGCACTCTGTCGCACTCGTCGTAATTCGTCGCAATTCGTCGCAGCTGTCACAGTTTTGTTTTATTTTATTTCATACAAATCACACTCTGTTTGCCTGTTTGCCTACTTACAGTATGCTAACTCCACGATATTATAGTCACCCGAATCGTCAGAATTATCAACCTCCACCAGCCGTAAAACCCCCAAATCAACCTCGTCATTCCGGCTCCCTCCGTCCCGTGTCTTCCGTATACTCGCAGCCGTCCCCGGACGCCGCGAACTTTGCTACGCAGCAGTTGCGACTCGTAGTTCCGGATAACGATCCGATCGAGATTTCCCCGCCGAGTTCTCCTGACGTATTGTCGCCGAGGGACGGGTAAGTGCGATTGCTTTCTTTGTTTGCACTATATAAAGAGGTGGAAACAACTACTCATAATTATACAAATAAGAGGAAGTAACGAGGGAAGTGACTCAGATTTGAAATGCCAACTTTAAAGTGAATATGTTCGGTGTCGTCCATTTCGAGGTCGACTTAGACCCGTCACTCTATAAGTCCTTTTTGCCTTATAACCCGATCCCTTTTTTTGGAAGCTATTTTTTGTTTTTGGAAAGACGCCTTCAAGTGAGAAAGTGCCGATGAATCACAACACCCTTGAATACAACATGAGGAATCCCAAGATAAATAGTTTCATTGATCAAATCAGTTCAGCTATGAAACCAAAAGAACTAAAGTCAAGGCTAACATCCATCTGCTGTCTCAGGCCGAACCCAGGCGATGTTTCTCCCATTGAAGAACTACCAGACATGTCTCAACTCTCTGTAGATCCTAGGGGTATCCCCAGATCTGATGCTCGTACAAACATCCCTATGATGCGTCGCGAGCGCCGAAAAAACTCAGATGCAGCCATAAAAACCCTCCACGAATCCATGTCTCGCGAAAAGTTAAAGCAGCCGCGACCACACGGCCATGATGTGCGCTGGAACCCAGCTACCGGCGAACCCACAACGGATTCTAAGGGCAGACCATCGCAGGTCAATCCGCAGGAGTACGCTCAGGGGCTTCTAAACCAAGCGAGCTCGGTATCTCCGCCGCAGGTTAAGAAAGAGAAGCAAGGTCAGATTACTTTTGGCGAACGTTTACGCCGGGTACGACAACCTAGCGGACCTTCTCAAGCAGAACCAGCTCCACGACCCGAATGGCGAGGAGCTAGTGGGCGAACGACACTCGTTGCGCCTGTGAACGACAATAAAGATGTGGTTCCATTGAAAGTCCCCCCTAAAAGTAGCAAGCGTGGCGGGCATGAATCTGGTGCTCTATCCCCCGTTCAATCCGTCGACTCTGAACCTGCTTCGTCCCCTGTAGTCCGTGGTTTGGGCATATCCAATCAACCTACTCAGCCTCAATCGCCCGCGTCACCCAGCATAGCGGTCACGAATTCGAATGCCAACCCTCATACATATACTAGCCCATCCCTTTCTGACGACCCAACCGGCAATCCTCAACACCAGTCTCTACAAATACCTGCGAACGATAAGGCGATTCGTAGAAAACCAGCAGGAGCACCAGGCCACCAAGCTCAACCATCATGGTCTTCATCCATATATTCCGAAGATCCACGCGCATCTATCGCCAACCCGCCGCCACCTATTGATACATCCCTAGACGGCTGGACGCAGCCACCCTCCCGCTTTAGCGTGACCACATACGCGACATCGTCTCAGCAGTCAGCAACCCCTAGAGATAGCATCGACGTGGACGAGAGTGCGCCGCCGGTACCTACGCCGCCCCAACAATTCATGGCTCAACAGCAGCAGCCCTCAATTCTCGACCGCAAGCGACCCATTGTGGCAGGCTACGACAGCCCAGGTTCGCGCAAGAGCAGCAGCCCGCTCGAACCAGTCAAGATCAGCCTTGATTCATATTACATGACATCCGCCGTATCCCGACAACGCAAGACATCCCCCGACGCAGCGGTACCTAGAGGTAACGAATCGCAGCTTTCGCTTGCGTCGCTATCAGCTAAAGACAAGACGCTTCCGCTAGCGCCTCCTGAGACCCAGTCAGCGCAAACCCAGGACCGCGTGGCACAGCTCAACGCAAAATTACAAGCGCTGGGTAACCGCCGCATCAACATCAACACAGCGATCAAGCAGATGACCGAGTTGATGCCGACGGACCGTATCCTAGCTAGCGATGCCGTGATCCATAAACGCGAGGAGGAGAAAAGAAAGGTCGAGTCTCTGAAGCAGGAACTCGCTGAGGTGGAGAGGGAGTCGTATGAGCTGGGCCTCAAGCTACACCGTGCGTACAAGAGGCTGGACCGAGATGCTGAGTTCGAACCTACGACGCTGTGGGTTAGACGGGTTACGGGATCGTGAGATCTACTGCGTGGGGGACTGGGCTGGACTAGAGGGGATCGGATTGGGTGATGGTGATGATGGTGGCGGATTGGGGGGTGCTTCGATTGGCTAGGTATTGTCTAGCATGGGAATATTGGACGCCGTGTGGCGTTGAACCAGGTACCCCCCTCTACCCAAGGATGGGGGAGCGAAATCCGTCGGGTTTTTCAAATATTCATTCGTCTTTCTACATAGGGCGGTTTGCTACGACTTACCTACCTTATGTCACGTCACGTTAAGTTACGTTTTTTCCCGGGTTCGATTTTTCATTTAGCTTGCGGATGGGCATTCTGATCGAGAGAAGAGAAGAATTATCGAGATACCTACAAATGCATTTATGTATGTATGTCAGGCAGGCCAAGCATGGAGTTTTGCGAGATACCTATCCGATTCGTCTGTTTTTTTCTACTTCTACTTCTACTTCTACTTCTATTTCTACCGCTTTGAGATGGATGGGGGTTGGTGGGGGTGTAAATAGATAAATAAAGAAAATGAATGAATGAATGAGGGATGAAGATGTGGTTCTTGTGAGGGCGGATGTGACAACTATTAGAAGATACGGGTTTAGGGGATCCAGGGCAGAGACAGATCAAACGTACTACTCATGTATTCTCACTTTTGCATAGTACAGCGATAGAAACAATTAAACTTGTGCATTCTATTAGGTATCAACTAAACTTGCTTGCTACTCGCAGACCAGCACTGCTTTGATTTTTTTTTCTCTAAACTAGGTACCGTACCCATTAACACCACCATCCATCCCCCTTTACGAGTCCGCAGACCCAACTGACTCGTCGAATACGTCCCGTCCCCAAGAATTCGATAATACACGCGCGCGCGCGTCCAGAGACGCACTGGGCTCTAGACGTCCTTATTTGCCAACCCCCGTTCCCTTTTTTATACCGCCGTGCCTGGTAATCTTCGTGGATTAAATCTCGTCGGCTCGTTGAAAGAATATAATCTGTCCTGCGAAGAAAAAGAAGGGAAAAAATAGGGTGGGGTTTGAAAACTCCAAATGGTGAAGGTGGTAGTAATGTGATCCAATGCGGACTGTAGATGACCATGTTCATACATAGAATATATTTATAAAAAGACATATTTAGAAGGGTAAGTGACGCGCTAAGTGTAAGCGTCTAGATGCCTGCATCGCCGGCAGCTTTCACGTCGGTTGGGGGGTACTGCTGATACTAGCCTGCGAGCCCCTGAGCCGATGTACTAACTGGGCGGGCGGGCGGTACGCTCGCGGGGATATCCCCGTCGGATTCGGAGTCCGAAGAAGAGTCGTCGTCTTTCACGAGGATGGGTGCCGAGGCCGAGTTGCTTCGTTGAGTAGGCGTCGATTCCTCCATAGTAGTGTCTTCCGGAGAGGCCTGGTTTGGGTGTGGGATGTGGGACGAGACGCGATAACCTTTCTTTTGAAGAGACGAGAGGCTGTTTTGGGCGAGCTCTTGGACTTGTGAAAGTTGCGATGGCGGGGAGGCGGATGAACGTTTCGCTAATGTAGGGTCGGCTGTAGCCGCTGTTGCGCTGGATCCGCCTAAGCCCGCATTCATGTCCGGGGCGGGTAAATGTTTGCTTTTATGCTCTAGGTCACCGTTGGCGGGAGTATCAGCAACGTTAAAGGCATTGACGAGGGTGAGAATGGGGTCGTCGTTGGAAGTTTGTGCGCTAACATAGCCAGAACCATCGTCAGTTCGTCGACGTTTGGCGCTCGGCGTATCGTCTGGATTATTCATGGCGTTATACTTCCACCCCATTCGTTGTCGTTCATTATCAATCTCGGCTCTTGTGCGTCGGTTTCGGAGGCGGACTCCATACTTCTTTCGTATGATACTTTGCTTTGTACTGAAGCTATTCTGAAGGCCCTCGAGCTTGACCTGCCTTTGAGCAGGATCCTGGATTTGTTCCGCTTCTTTGAAGCGGGCAGTGTACGTAATTTCGGCTTGCCGGAGTTCGTCATTCAATCGCTCCAACGTACTAGGATGGAGGTGGGCGTAGGGGTCGTGGTCCTTAATTTGGGATCCTGGTGTTGAAGCTGCACTTCCCTTAGGCTGTATTGGCGTTGCGAGGGGCTGAGAGGGAAGGGGAGCCTCATGGAAGGTTCGAGGTGGAGGTAAGTTAGACGGGGGATGAATAGGGCTATTATTGCCTGACGAAAGCGTGATAGGTGATATAGTATTTGTGGGTGCTTTGGGGGTTGCTGGCATTGTACCATGCTCTCCACATACATGGTTGGCGATATGCTGTTGTTTATGTGAGCCTCTCCAACCATAAAAAGGCAGAAAAACACATCCACTTACATATTGCTGACCAACTTTGGTTAGAAAACCAGCGCCACAATGCTTGCACGCAAGTGGAAATCCTTCCTTGCTCTGTGGTTGCTTGGTACACACCTGTTTCTGGACGTGCTGTATCCGGTTCAGTAGTAGATCTGGATGAAAGACCAGGGGGACTCACATATTCATAAGGTTGAGTGTTTTCGAATTTGCGCCAACACAGAGGGCATTGCAAAATAGGAGCAAGGTTACGTCCTTGCTGCAGCGATGGAAGGCTTTGTCTATGTTGCGATCTCAAAGCTGGGTCGACTATTGAATCAGGGGACGGGTCGAAGTGTGCTGGTGTCGGGTTGAAGTTAGATCCGTCTTCCTTATGATCCTCAATGACGTCACTGTTCTCATAGCCAAGACGCTCAGCTCTAGCAAGGGCGTTGATGAGAGAGCGGGCATCGATTGTTTTTAGTCGTCTCTCTAACGCACAGTCAAGAAAGTAGTCACTAGCTTTTTGTAATATCTCATCGGCTAATTCGTCTAAATCAGGTGTCATGAAATGTGAAATAATCTCATGTTTCGACTCGGTCACCATCTTGGCACCAAAATCCTTAATAGACCTTCGGATGATAACCCCGTTTGAATGATGAATAACAGCATTCAACTAATTATTGCGTTAGCAAATGAAGAATTATGATATTAGGTATCGCAAAGATGAAGGTAAAATGAAATGGCATCGAAGCCTGTGTTTTGTAAATATTCTCGAGCGAAATGAGGGACATAAGACAGACTGGTCTATCCTCATACGAAAGAAAGAGGACGGATTCGATCAAATTTCCATAAGCGCTTTGATTATCTAGTGATCATGGAGATTTTCAAGAGATGCCTAAATTGAAAAAAGAATGTGTTCCGTGCTTTAGGTGAAATAGAAGGTAACCCGAATAATCTCAACTATGAGTGGTGAGAGCGAAGTGCTGACTAATGAATTGCACCAAGGGGATAGAGAGAGATATTCACATAGGATAGGATGAGATGAAAAGGGGTCCATAATAAGAATCCGCCTTAGCTATCTTCGGTAGGTATAGGTAGAAATGACTTACAAGAAATGCATGATGAAATTCCGAGCCTAGTAAGCACTTCTGCCAATTATCACGGACGGCTCTCCTAACAGCTGAAGATACAGATTGCTGCATAGCATGCGTAAGTCGTGATTGATCCTCAACGAACTTGGGGTTCTCTAGGTGATGTTCCCTCTTGGGGGAAGGAAAGCCTTGTGAGGTAGGGTGCGATTGGGTGCTGCTTTTCCGTGAATATGTTCCGGGCGGATCCACGATGGAGACCTTGTGAGATGAATTCCCTGAGGCCTTGAAGCGCGCAGGACTCCGTTGATGGGGCGGTGTTTGAGCTAAAGGCGGCCCAGGCAAAGGGATATTTGGTAGCTTTGATGGTGCTGCTGCTATCGGCGGAAGCGTAGATGCTGGCGAGGGTGTGGGTATCGACGCGGTAGTTCCTGTTGTCTGAGACGGTGCAGATGGCTGGGCGGATGTAGTTACACTTGGTGATCCTATCGCCGGTGATTGTGGCCTTGATCCGTTGACCCCATTACCGTTGAGGCCATTGATACTCCTAGGAAGGCCATTTGCATAATGGGTCATTAGATCCACCGGGGGTTGAACCGGCGATGGAAGCCGTGCAGAAGTTGGACTAGGACCGGATCTCGGCTCAGGTCCGGATTCATTCGGGGCTGGCGCTGATTGTGTTTGAGTTTCCATGACGATGTAGCTCGAATACTAGCATTGGGGTTTGTTGGATTGCAATAGGTTCCTCAGATTCCTCAAAGTCTCACGCGTTCTAAGATTGTCGTAAAATCGCTAAATAACGTACTATAGATGCAGTATAACAGGTACGTTTTAGGGGATTTTGTTGTGGAGACGCGCGTTTTATGGCGTTCCTAAATATTCAATATCCAGGCGTTTGACTGTTTGCACTTTGCGCTTTGCGCCTGCTTGTCACCCACCTGCCAGGTGCGCAGTTGACCTAAAATAAAAATAATATCCCTCCCAAGTTTGGCAAGTACTCCCGTATTTTTTCAGGGCTGTTTGACGCTGTTGGAGTCTAGTGAAATCAATTAGCATATATGATGCCTGCACGTTGGATGTGACAGTTATGAACCAACGACTTTTAAGCTTATTATGAACTTCACTTACTGGCTATGATATTACCACTGTGAGAGCTCTTTTCTATAGCTATAGAGTCATAGCTATAACGTCCAATGCACCAAAAAACCAAGTTAGATTTGAATTTAATAATGAGCAAACGGCAAACAGCAAATGCGCAAAATGAAATGGACGTTCCGGATTATTATGTCTTTTTTTTTTCTAATGGGGTGGAGCCTAATAATTTATTAGTAGCTGATTTTACCTCCGATTAGCGTCGATTAAATACATAAAGTACACTTAATATTCGGGCAACTTATAAGTGATCCACACTTTTATAAGTAAGGCGACGAATGATTGGCTCATTTTCCATTCTGCTACGCGAAAGGTGTGACATTGGTTTTTTTAACATGGAAGGTAAAATGTCTTGATCCGGATGAATTATTAAGTTGCCAATAATATCCGTGCTTTCAGTACTATTTCGAGTAAGGTCCAAGGGTTAAGTATCTTTAGTATCTTTTTTTCCCTCCATCCTTACATTACATATTCCTCCTATTCCTATTGATTACATTTCTTTTCCCCGCCAACCTGGAAACTTGACACATTACTTTCCTTTATTAATATATCTTCATTACGTGACCTCAGCTCTCTTAATTTACTCATGCGCATTCGCGTTCGATTTATAATGTCTCACTACCTGTCATCTCCTAACCTTGATGACTACTAGATGAGTTGCGAACGTTGCAAATGATGCAAATGATATCTCAATCGATCTCGGGAAGTTGTGTAAGACAACAGATCCATTGAACAGCCTATCCCATCCAAGATCTCCCTCTGAAGAAATTAGAAAGTCGCACAAGTCTTCGGCTGGTTTATCTTGCTTTACGGCCGGCTGAAGAGGAATACATATAAGGTGTCCACGTATCAACTACGTACATACATCAGCTACTTTACAGCTACTGTACAGCTACTGTATTTAGCCTATTTATCAAAGCCGTTTGATAAATGAGCAATCATCTGCCTAACGGCATGATATTATTGAGAGCTTGCATGCTTCCCCGGATCCTTTTCCACGGTTCCTACCGGTACGTACCCGGCAATCATTTTTACCGTGCGACCCTCCTCTGAATATTCTCTGATTAATACCTATTCAAACCCCACGGACTTTAAACTCGTACTGTTCTCCGCGGTCAAGATAAACCACCCGCTCACTCCAACCATTCTCGTCGACCTCCTTTTTGAAGTCCGACAGGGATGACAAGAAAACGTCGTAGTCGTCGTAATGGATTGGAATAGTCAAGTCCGGATTAATAAGCTGCATTAGCTGTATGCCCTGTTTGGCATCCATTGTAACCATGACTAAAGGCATCGATGGTCCAGGAATCGTCGTGCCTCCCAAGTGTACTAACATGAGATCAATTTTCTGATTGCGAAGCCGCTTCGGGATCTCTTTGAGTTCGTCCACGAATAGCGTGTCGCCGGAGATGTATATGCAGTATCCTGTATCGATGCAGTCCGGATCGCCGCCGGTTGGAGCCTTGAAGCTGGAGCCAAACTCGAGGAGCCACCCATTCGTTGGCGGCACGGCTTTGAGTAAGTCGTTGGCCTTAGCGAGTGGTCCCGGGGGGACATGCTTTCCCGGCATCCCGGTCACTTTGATGACGGGTACTTTGCCATATCCACCGGCGTGCGATGGTTCTTTACGGTCAATGTGGAGCATGATGCTCTCGAAGAAACCGAGACCATGAACGGATTGAAATGGGTCATCCCTGGATCCACCCGTGAGGCATTCCTTGGCATGCGGAGTGGTGATAATGTCGAACGCCCTATTCAACGATTTCTCGACCAGCCGGTCAAAATGATCTTCGTGGTAGTGAGATAACAGAATACAGTCAAGTGCTGGCAGCTCGTGTAAGTCCACAGCTGGATTTGTCTTTCTCTGCGCAGTCACTCCTGGTCCTAGATGGACATGATCTCCGGTGTGTAAGAAGTTCGGATCGGTAAGTATCCGAATTCCTTGCCACTCAATTATCGTCGTCGCTGTGCCGATGAAGTAAACACTCGCATCTTCATTGAGTTTTGATCCTCGAGGATCCGTAAACACTCTATTCACCGGCAATGTTGCATTGTCCTCGTTAGGTGTTGCCTCATCTCTAAGTAAGGGCCGCCTCTTTGACGCGTTAAGATGAATGTGGCGCATTGAAGTCATTCTTAACCCTAATGCCCTTCTAATATATCAATTTAGGAGGATATTGAATTTTTCGTCATTTTTAAACTATTCGTAGATAGGCGCTGTACGAGTGTCATGACGTGGACGTCCATGATGGATGATGTAATATACTTATATCGACTGCAATAGACTCTCCATGTGATTCACTCTCTCTTTCGAAGCTTTAGAATGAACCTTCTGGATTGACAAGAGCGGTTTAAAGTCTATGGATAATCATGTGGTCGTACTTGGTTTAGTGAAGGGCTGTTATGAACCTTGGTTATTAGAATGTGGCACAGTGAAGCTTATTGCTGTTGAAGTTAGGTAGGTACCTCGGTGTCCAGGTGGGTAATTGCTTCTAACCCAAATTCAACTTCGTTGCCCAGGAATTTAGGATAAGTACCTAACTATAAATCATTTAACTACCGTAGGTAAATACCAGGATCTGAAATAAACCTAGGAGCAATACCTAGGGTATAGCATAGGGCATATGAGAAACCAAGGGAGATGAAACTAATTTATAATATTTTGTGTTTTATATCTAGGTATCTTCTAGTATCTCATAATTCATATGAATATATGCATAGCTTCCGTGCCGGTACCCACTGGCAGGTATTATTCAATCTGCTATATTTTTATTATATAGGTAGTTACCACTATATTCATGGCCCACTTCTTATTTACGCCCTCCTGCTGGGCCTGCTTCTATCACACGCCCGGCGTCCAATCTTATGAAGTAGTCGGCATCTTTCACTGCCTCTAATCGATGAGCGATCGTGATCACTGTGCTACCCCTTAGTTCTGCTAAGAGGACGTCTTGGATTGCTAGGGCGGTCTTCTTATCAATCGAGGCAGTTGCCTCGTCTAAGATAATAATAGGGCTCTTCCTAAGAATGGCCCGGCCGATACCAATTAATTGACGCTGGCCCTGGCTGAGGTTTTTGCCCCCAACGTCAACGATAGAGCTGAGAGACCACTTGGGTCCTAGTACTCTAAACAAGGCCTCTTGGCATTCCTCGTCCGAGTGTTGCTCCATCGGGTCTAGGTTCTCTCGAATTGTGCCTGGGAATAGCACCGGGTCCTGGGCCACAAAGCTGATCCGCTGGCGCCAGGTATGTACATCAATCTTGGATATATCATGGTTTCCAACACGGATCCGCCCCTCTGTTGGATGCATTGTTGCGAGAAGGGCGAGCGCGAGCGTAGACTTGCCGGACCCTGTTCGTCCCAGCACCGCGCAGGTTGCCCCACTAGGAATTGTGAAGGAGACATTCGTTAAAGAAGGTTCGAGGTGCGGTGCATATTTGATCGTTACTGAATCGAATGTGATGCTGTCTTGGTATGAAGGCCAATGAGGAGGTGGTTTGACGTCTCCATTTGGCTCTTCTTCTAGATCTAAGAGTTCAACCACCCTCTCCACAGACACGAAGTCCATTTGAAGTTGGCCGTATGTCTTACATAGGACATGAGTAGCTTCGACGAACTGCGTAGCACTTGTGAGCACGAAAGCGATTAAACCAGATGAAAGTCCTTGGTATAAGCCCAGAAGCGTTAGGACGAATATTGAAACTGCGGATAATATATCATATCGATATTGGAGCCATGACTGTAAGCTCCAGTAGAAGTGGTCCATTTTCTGGAAGGTATCGGTGGCGGAAATGTTGCGATTCTGGAAGACTGCTTGCGCTTTGAATGCTCGGATAGTAGCCAGACCGTCGGCGAGAATGCCGAAATTCGACATCAATGGACTGAGAGTGACCATTTCCAATCTGCGGAGATTTTGTGAGGTTGGCAAGAACCACCTAAAGATAACAATGAACCAGATGGTCATTGCGATGGCGAAGATGAAGAATATGGGAGTTGTGAAGGCGATGACAGTCATGGAAGCTAGCCATGTCAGAGACCAAAAAGCTGAATTTTGGAGTGGTTGTATGACACCACCATCCAGCATTCCAATGTCGGAAGTCAATCGATTCATCAAGCGCCCTACCGGGGTAACATCGTAAAAGCGGAACGTCGCACTGCTGACTTGATTAATAGCCCTGGTGAACAAGTTCTTGGCCGCTCTATATAGGATGAGTGTAAGGCCGCACTGGGTAAGGAAGTAGAAAAATGTTAAAACAATCCCGATAATTGTATACCATACTAGCCATGGCTTAACGTCGTCTTCCGGACTAGGTAGCCCGTCGAAGATGCCGTCCGCAATGTCAGATGGACTCGATAGTTGGGCCTCGATGCTTCCATATGCTTCACCCCATGCCTTTAGGAACCAGTAGTTGAATATACGAGCGAAGCGGAAAAGCGCAAATATTCCGATGACAGCAAACCAGTATGTCAGCCTGCCTGCCTTAATATATGTCCAGTAAACCCTAGCCAGAACGCCACCTGATGCTCGATTTTCCTCCGATACGAATTTGTCTGGGATGGCGGCGTTCGCTAATTCTTCTGTGATTACCTCGGCTTGATCATCGAAAACAACATTTTTCTTTTGTGTGAGTGCGTCAAATTCTCCGGGGTATTCGTCCGAGGAGAAAACACGAGCTTTGCCATTAGTAATCTCAACAACTTGATCCGCCAGCGCCAAACACAGGTCAACCCGATGTGTTACTAAGATGACGGTGCGGCCCTTCAAAAGAGATCCATGAAAGAGTTTGCTGACAATAGATTGTGCTGTCGAATGATCGAGAGCCGCAAGCGGGTCATCAAGCAGTAGAAAACGGGACTGGCAGTATACAGCTCTTGCTAATGCGACTCGTGCTTTCTGGCCGCCAGAAAGACCAATGCCATTCTCTCCAATATTCGATTTATCCCCATGGGGAAAGTTGGCCAAATCGGGCAGTAATTCACAGGCATCGAGGACCTCGTTGTATCTACTTTTGTCCAAAGGGAAGTTGAAGAGAATGTTGTCTCGGATGTTCATGTTTTGAAGCCATGGAGACTGGGCACAATAGCCCACCATTTCGTTTGGTAGAGTGCATTCTCCCTTCACTTGGTCGAGCTCGCCTAAAATAGCCTCCAATAACGCTGTCTTTCCCGAACCGACCTTACCATGAATTAGAGTAAGGCCAGGGGGGAATTGCAAAGTCAAATCTTCCAACACAAGTTTTCCATTGGTCGGCCACACAAATGATGCACCTTGAAACTCGATCTCGGAGGGTATATCGTTATAACCGCGCTCTTCCTTGTCCGGTTCGCGCATGAAGCTCTCGAGACGCTCTATCGCTAGAGAGGCGTTAATAAGCACCGTTATCAAGCCAGGTAATTCTTTTAAACTCGATTCAAGCAGTCCGAAGAGAGATAGAGCGGGGAATGCCACGTGAACCGGTAACGGGCGCCCTGCAATATATGTTACTGCAAAGAAAGTGAATACGGGGAAGAGAGCACCAGCAGCGAGATTGGAGGTATTAACTCCGATGCTCCACAAGCTGGTAACAACTCTCAGATGCAACTCTTTCGCTCGTGCTTCCATGATGTTGCCCAGCCACTTAGACTGCCAATCATACCAGCGAAGAGGTCTGATAGCCTCAACGAATTGCGTAGTCGCCTGAAGCCTAACGTCCGTCGCAGCTCTTCGACGCCTTTCAACTTTTACTTGTGAACGAATGAACCACCCGTTCAACAGTTGGAGAACGAGCGCCCAAGCCACACCAAAAAGACATGGCCAACCTAGCAACTGCCAGATAAGGACAAGGGAGAATACTAGCTGCAATGGTTTTGTAAGTAGAGATGGAAACTCCCAAAATCGCTGGGCCACCTCATAAGCGTCATTTCTCATCAAGTTAAGAATTTTGCCCATTGTTGCTGGCTGATCTGCGTTAGATCCGATTTCATTTTGGTCCTTAGACTTTCGAAGCCTCAAGAATTCAAGAAGGCGACCAAAGCGGGATTTCTCGGGCTCTTGGATCTCTCCAAGTAGTGGCGTTTCTTCGTCGGGCTCGATGCCATTTTCTTGGGGAGGTTCTCCCAAATCCGTGCGGAGTCCGAACGATTTTCGTGATAACGTTTTGGCGTAGACTGCAGTAAGTAACTCGCCACGCGACCTCTCGTATGCGCGACGACTATACCATGTCTGGAAGACGCTCGATTGCGCAGCGACAATGCGTACGAACAAAATGGCGAAGGCGTAGAAAACGGCATCCTTAGTATCGACAGGACCTCCCTCGATAGACTCGAGTAAGCGCTGCAGAAGAGCAGGGTTCGCGAGATTCGCTGTGGTCTCTATAATTCCAAGAAAGGTAATGATAAACAAATCCAAGCCATTCGCCAAAAGCAATCGTTTTATAATCGAACCCGTAAGATCTCGGAATAACATGTGCAACCTCTCATGCTGGAAATCATATGGCAGTACCCAAACATCCTCATCATTAAACGTATCCTTAAATCCTTTAGTAATTAGTGGAGATAGCCAAGAAACAGTCATAAATTGCCACAAGCTCAAATTGTCCTCAGGGCTGCGAAGTTGAGAAGTTGGAGGGAAGGTAGAATTTGCAATTCCGGTCGGATCAAGGCTCGGATCTCGCAAGGGCATCGAGAGGATGAGGAATATGGTGGCTAACGCCACTCCGACGCTAGCGACGTGGATTATATTCACACGTTCCGTCTCATTGTACCATGCCACCAACGAGATCAACCCGCAGACGGTAATTGTAATGGATATTATTAGTAACGTCTTTGGCGTCTTGCTCGGGCGGCCCACGATCGTAATGAACAGAGCCACAACCCACGGCGCGATCTCCAAGATTCTGACGGTGTTAAAAGGCGGTGATACAGCGACCAGGATCGCTAGGACGAGTCCGATCGTAGACAGGGCCGCAAGACAAAAACTCCAAAAACTCCAACGCCTCGTACGAATTCCAGACAATAGTGCCACCTCTTCTTTAGCAAAAGGGCGAATCCATTGTGGTGCTCGAGGGAAGAGACCGCGGGTGATGTACAGGAATAAACACGTGCCCGCAATTGCAGCTTGCGCGATTGAGGCTCGAGAGATGACGTCCATAGAGGCTAGGGTATGGCGGGAGACCGATTGGTCTTGGGAAGAAAAGAACGAAGGCTTTTGTCTTGGAAAAGATTTAAGAAATTCGAGAAAGTCATATTGATCGATATATCTATTATTCATTGCGTGTGATGAAAAAGATGTTCTTTAAACCGTACCCATAATCTTGTATATAAACAACGACGAGCACCCAACGACCTTTGCAGACAAGCCTCGGAACCTTAAAAACGGGTGATCGTCAATTAGTTAAGAGGCGGAGATTGGATGTAGGTACGTAAGCCGGCAACGAAGTTTGAACTCTTTGTAGAAAAGTATGGCGAGCTGCGCCTGCCCAACTCCCCAATTATCCCGTTGAGTCCTTGCTGCCCTTAAGGAAACCAACTCACTTAGTTTCTGATTAGTTATAGTGATTGTAACACAAAACTCAGTTGCGGCAAAAGTCTATAGGATATATGCAGAAGAAGAGAATACGCGCGGTGATACTACAATTGGAACTAAGAAAGTTTAAAGCTGTGTATTGTCGCTCAAAGTTCCGTGGGGGAATAAGCTTCAATATGTAAGGCGCCACAACCGGTAAGGCGTCCTTGGCCCACATGTTAGTTTCCAACCTCCTGGCACCTGGAAGCAGCTGCGAAGCGCCTAAATCGCTCGATTATACCATGTTTCTTATCGCAAACACCTTTGCCGATTGGCGTATGCACGCGGATTGGGCAGACAATTCCGATTGCACCATTCTAAAGGGGTATTGTGTATTTGAACAGCCATTACATACACCACACTATATTAATGGTGAAGCCACTGGCGGTTAAGATCGAGATTCGGAAGAATAGGCGAATTAAACAACTTAAAACACGGTTCCCTTCTCAGTGGCTACATACACCTTCATGCGAATACTTATTAATGTGCGTAGTACCTCTCAAGTAATTTAGGGATATCATAGAAGCACCAATCTACCTATCTATCTTCTGCATTGGTATCGCAAGCATTACCAGAGGGTATCCAGGAGACAGACGGTTCCAAAGGAGTTACGCTAAAGCATGTCTAGGTAAACAACCTTCCTGACATGGTTTAAACCGGTTCTCCGATACAGGCAAGCATAAGCCTCTCGTAATCACCGCTCGTCTCGCCTTTGATGCGGCTGGCAAGACTTCGTCGGTAGCGCTGTTGGAATGCCCCGTTGACATTCGCCATCTGCTGCCTATCCCAATGATATCTCACCACCCTCGAAACGAGTAGATGGTCCTTCGTCCCTAGACCTGCCATTGCGTCTTCGAGTAGCGCAGCCGCGTGCATGTACTTGTCAACAGCATTGCGCAGTTGATATAACAGGGCCTCTTCCATGTGACCACTAAATTCCTATTAAAAAAGTTAGCACCAGTCAACATTAACCGCGACCTGTGGAATTCAACTTACCTTCCTGATGACGTCTTCCAACCGTCGTCTGAATTTTTGCTCGTAAGCGTGATTGATAGCCCGAATTTGATTATCATTTCGTGTGGATAGAATCGAGCACACCATCATTTCATCCGTACCCACTTTGCCCTCCGTAGCACGGTATAACTCCATCACGTCCTGGTCAATAGCCTGGGGGATAACCGGGGCGCTGTCCTCGGCCCTGTTCGCTCCCAGCACGATTAAGAAATGCCTTTCCGTCTTCATGCTGAGGTCCCCTTTCACATCGTTCTCGAGCGACCGGTGGAACGTATGTCGGTACATACCCTTGATCGCATTCATATCCGCATTGCTGCGACTCAGCAACACGTCGTTGAGAACCTTCTCCTTCGTCCCAGGGCCGTCCATCGCGGAATTCAGCAGATGTACATCGTGGAGTAGCGGGCCCCTGACGAGCGCGACGAGTCCCGTCTCGAACCATCCCCTCGTCTCCGACACAATGTCCTTCTCCAACGTGCGGCTGAAGCTGCGGAAGTAGGCGGACTTGATCGCTTCGATCTGCAAGGGGTCTTTGGTGGCTAGGCTGCGGATTAATGCCTTCTCGTCCGTGCCGAAACCCTTCATGGCGCCCCGAAGCGCTCTTGCGTCGGCAGTCGCATCCCAGTTAATTATCTGGGGAGGGCCGTAGCCCACACTAGGTGCGGTGGGGGGGCCTACGGCAACAGGTGGCGGATACGATTGATATGCTTGCTGAGGCGGCGGTTGTGGTGGTGGCGCGCCGTATTGGCCCGGGGGCGGTCCATAACCTTGCTGGGGCGGCGGCGGCGGCGCTCCGTAACCCTGGTTCGGGGGATAACCACCGGCATGTCCTGGGTAGCCGCCTCCTTGGCCGGGGTACGGGTTTTGTTGCGGTGGTGGGGGAGGATATTGACCTCCTGGAGGGTAAGGGCTGCCTTGACCAGGATAACCCTGAGGTGGGGGATATTGACCCGGAGGAGGGTACTGCTGTGGAGGTGGTGGTTGGCCGTAGCCGGGATATCCACCCGACTGGCCGCCGTAATAAGGGTATGACATAGGCTTAAAGTTATATATCAGTAAATCTTATATCTGACAGGTCTTTTCTCAGTTGAAATTGATTTTAACGGCAGCTTCCCGTCTTCCGAAGCTTTAGAAAGACTCTACGTAAGCAATGCGGGGTTCGAATAAAAATGTGAGACCGGTAGATGAAGGGAGTACTAGGTTGCGATGGACGGCGTAGTACCAAGGTACGGAAATAAGAGAAACTAGGGGTAGAAGGGAGAAAAGCAAGACGATACAAATAGAAGATAGTTGATGATAATATATATCAAGTTTCAATTGAGGCTGTGAGTTCAATTTGCCAACAAAGAACTTTCCACTGATTACGATTATCGCTAATGACGTCTAGGCAGGCACGATTTACTCGATTAGTTTGCGTAGTGGAGGGCGCAGTTTACCGCCGACACTGAGACAGGGTTGATTTGTTTGTGGCTGAGCAACCTATTAGGTCAGGCGCCTACCCACTAAGCGGCCTCTAACAGATCACTAATAGCCCTAAAGGCACCGCCAAGCCTGGGGACGCGAAGCTCGCCGCCACAGGGAACAGGCAGCTACAAAACAGCCCTAGAGCCATGAAAAGCCAAGACAAGCCATCCAAACGGAGGTCCGAATACTATTACTATTTCATATTCACGAATACACATTTCATATGGGACGATTTACTTCGCAGATAGTTGCAAAACATGATTTCTATAAATGTCGAGGGTGCGAATTGAACGGCAATATACAGAACCTGAGCGTCTCCAAGCATGCCTCTATTGCACCAAGATCTTTCTCTAACCTCCCGCTTCTATGTACCACCTTTTGAGCGTCGCATCCAACTCCACCTCCAAACCACTACTCTTTCCTCAGAATGAGACAGTCTATTTGCCGTCAGTGCAGACAATGCTGCCAACCACGACCGTGTTGGTAGAGAGACGCGCCGGAGAATGGGCGGTCACGGGAGTGCTGTGCGAGCCAGTTCTGTGTCTTGTTAATAACTGATCCATCTCTTAGTAGCTATACCATCTGTAGCACTTACCCGTCGGTGCTCTTGTAGCCATAGCAGACAATCATCTCGATTTGAGCACCCTTGGTGGTACCGACGAGATAGATGGAAGAGACCTCGTTCAGGACGGGGTTTCCAGAGTAGACACCACCAATTCCGACCTCGATAGTCGCGTTCCTGAGGCCTGAGCCAGCGCCGCCGTGAGAAGACTCGATGTTGAGGATGGCAGAGGGTAGGCCATCATCGGCGAAAGCGCAGCCAACGAGGGCGAGGGTAGAGGCGATAAGAGTAGTGAACTGCATTTTGAATGTTGGGGTTTTGGTTGAGGTAGGTGTAGATTAAAGATTAAGTTGGTAAGGATTCTTGGTGAGTAGTAGATCGTTTGTATTGATGCTTGGATGAGGTTGAGGAGATTATTCCAAAACATAGGTCCTAATCATCATCTTTATAGAAAATCTTGAAGTCTTCTTCGAACCTTCTTCGGACTTCAGCCCCTTCAGCTTCATACGAAGCCGCTTTTCGCTTAACGTTCTTACGTGGTACCAACGACGTCGATCTTGACCATCAATGCCGGAGGCTGATGTCGACTATACGGCACACGAACGGCACAGCGCGGTAAGGATTTAGGGCGCTGACGGATCTTACATGAACCGCGATACAAGAGTTCGCATTCGGCGGGGAATACAGCAAGGTCGAGTGATTGCCTTTCAGCTGGAAACTCTATTGGATCCGGACGTCAAATTTTACGATCGTGAGAAGCCCCAATAATCCATCGGCGGTGAATACGACAATTTGGCTATGTTCACAAAACGATCAATCCGTCTGTGGCGCACATACCCAATCATGCGGGTTGTCCTATTAATGGTATCAACATTTTGATCGGCTTCTGCCTACAGTGCTTCCGGATGGTCTTTTTCGATACAAATGATCCGGGCAGCCACGTTGTTCCCCGAGTCGAACACGACCAAGCTCCAAGGGTTATCCTCGCATGACAACCCGAATTATGACCTGTAGGGGTAATTTTCTTCAATTTCCACGTATTGGTGAATCTCAATCAGAGTGTGAGATCGTTGATGACCTAGCATCAGTGATACTATTCGTCAATATGCGTCTTACAGCTAAGACAGTGGCCATGCTACAATCGGGCATATCTTCCATCCCTTACTTCGATCAGTAATATTGTTTAGACTACCATATTCTAGCTATTGTCAATATGGGGTTCTACTCAACAATGCATCACAATTTAGTTTGTTGGTTCTATTCCCCCTGCTTCATAAATCATGTCTTCTAATTAGCATTAGGCAGCCATATAACCAAACAATCGAGAAAACTATCCTAGATCATTCACCCAGGCCTGTCTGCAACGTCGAAACAAAGCCAAACCAACATCTGAAAATCAGTGCCTCTTCTTGTCAATTTGATTCCGAAGAGCTTTGTTTATTTGCATGGTATGGCATGACTTGTCGTGGAAACGTGGCACGGAAGTCGTACGGGCTATGTAAACTCGGGATTTGCGGCAACGGGGCCACAGCACAGGTTCTTTCGAATCGACTCCTACCCAATAATTCGACTCGTTTTCATTAAGCTTCGATAGGAACAGTACATGTCGAGGTAGATCACCTTGATGGTTGTCCGCGGGGACGGGGTAAGTTGAGTGGCAAGTGGACAGACCAGCACTAGGATCAAAAGAATGAAAAGAGGGTAATGAGGGGACCAAAAGGACATGACAGTACCTATGGTAAGTCAATTAGTTCCAATCTTTCCATGACACGAGAACCTGAGAAGCACATATCCAGTTAACCATTGTATCTTTTTCTATTGTCATTGGCGTATTACTTCTACAGTACATAGATGTATTGACCCAGCAAATGAGAAACTATAGTACCTATCCTGCTCCTCATCTACTTGAGTTGTACATTACTATCCCAGGCCCCTTATGACTTTATGACTTACGTCAACAACTCCTCTCACCATAGAGATAACTCATACAAGTACAGGTCTACGTCGGTATTTTTTATATGACATGGATACATACTAGGTGCTCGTTGCTACCGAAGCCTAAGGGGCAACATGAAGGAATAGAGAACCTTTAACCCTTGACTGTAGCGGTGAAAGGTAGGAGAAAAGGAGTTCGTCATGTGATTACTAATACTTCGAAGCTACCTACCTATTGACGCCTGACACTTATTCATCCCCAAGGTAGGTAAGTATCTGTCCGTGTTTACAAATCAAAGTCTGCAAGGTCGATCATTGCTAAAACCCAGCTACATCCAAGTAAAGTTTTAAAGGGGAGAATCCTTCCAAGGGGGCACATATCTATCACATTTAGGCAATAGAGGTAACAAATAGGTACGAAACGATAGTATTGAAGTGATATATCATACATCATACACAGCCCCGACAATTATATTTACGTTATTATTATCCAATTATGGTATTAATATGTTACACATGTACAGCAGCATACGGCCAGTATGTATTGTACCTCCATACATCCGGGCTCAGGAGAACCTAACCTGGGTAGATATGTAGGTCGATCTACTGCGCCGCAGCATACAGGGCACCGAGCGCAAGCGCGCCGTAGAAGCCGACCGGGCTGCCGGAGATGGCGTTGGCGGCGTTGGTGACGACGACTAATCCGGACGACTGTGAGATTATATTGATTAGTGAACGGGTTTTCTCGCTTTGCTTTCCTAAAAGGGGGAGTGTGGATGGAGAGAGTGAGAAGGAGGGGGATGGGGAGGCGGGTGACTAACCGTAGTCGCGGTTCCGTTACCGCTCAAGCTGCCAGTGCCGCTGGGGATGTGCGACGTGACGGCGGCGCTCGAGGCGGCCGTCGTCGACGCTTTCCCCGTGGCAGAAGCGGTAGCGTAACCGGTGCTGGACTCGGTTGCACCCTGCGCTGAGGTTGCGCCTGTGGTGGCGCTGGGGGAAGTCGCACTGGCTGTGGTGGCACTGGCACTTACTTCTGATGCCGCCGAGCTGGTGGCAGTCGGAGTTCCAGCCACAGTTGAGGAAGCTGCGGTGGTGGCCTCGCTGGCCGATGATGCGGCTGACGAAGCTGAAGAAGCGGATGAGGCGGAGGAAACTACTGAGGTGCTTGATGTCACGCTGCTACCGGCGGGAACCGCGGCTCCGACGTCTGGCTGCTTTCCGGACAGGGGAGTCGTGGATAGACCGCACGGGCTTGCACGGCTACTGAGTGTAGTTCCGTAGTATTGCCACTATAATAGCGCTAGGTGTTAGTAATATTCTCTGGGGAATTTGAAGAATAGTCTGAGTCCGAACTCATGTTTTTGGACTTGGAAACTCCCGCTAACAAAAGAGAGAAATCTTTCTTTAGATATCACTAAAGGGATATCAATGGCTTCTGTTACGTACGATGTTCTGGTTATCCGGGCCGGAACACTGGAGGCAGGCCTTGTAATCGGTCAGGAAGATCTGGTCGTTGCACACATCGGCACTGTTTCGTCCCTGGATGATGGCTTGGCCTAGATGTAAGAGGAAATGTTAGTATCACGATACTCTTTTACCGGGTATCACTAAGGTATTACGAACCGCAGTTGTCGTGGCAGTTGTAGGCGGGAGTGCCGGGCTCCTGGCGCTTGAGCAGACGGGTGATGAACTGCAGCTCGTCTGTAGAGGCAGAGACTGCGGAGGCAGCAAGGACTGCGGTTAGAGCCCAACGAGTAGCGACCATTTTGACGGTTATAAGTTGAAAAGCGAACGTGCGAGTAAACGAAAACGAGTGTCTGTTTGGTTGTGTATGGTGAGTTCGAAGCGTCGGTGAGCGAAGAGAAACCAAGGTAAAAACAGCAGTCGAGGCTACCGGTGTCTTATAACTATGTAATCGGAGTCCAAGGAATCCTTAAATCATGTGTTAAATCATGCACCTCGGATATGGATAATTCCTGCAAACATTCAGCTAAGGCAAGGGGTTCACGCAGCGGCGACTAGGATTCATTGGCGAGACGATGTGAGGCTGTCCGAGCTCGGAGATTAGGCTATAAGCCATATAAGTGCGATCGAGTCGCTAGTTTTGGTAGTTCGGTCTGTAGTACTTAAGACTTCATCCGTAAAGGAATCCATTCTCCGGTTACAGCCTTGGCATCGACTACTACGCTGGCGTTTCCGAGATACGATCACAGTAGCCCGTTAAGAGGGGCAGGGGCGATTTGGTGATCCATCCGGATGGTACTCAACATCCTTGACTCGGATCTTTTGGTTGAGTCAAGACTTATAAACAAGGCAGCGTGAGATAATTGATCCATTTGCCATCATCTGCTTGCATCCTGTCGCTTGACATCACCAGGGAATCATCCTATTTTCCTCGATAGGCTCTAGCTTCCTAGGCGCTTAGGGTACGAGCTTCCTTTTTGTCTCCCCCCTTCCCCTCTTCCCCGGCCCATCCCCCGACCTCCTAGAAAACTGTTACGAGAATATTCAAGTTCTAGAGCAGTATTGGCTATTGGATCTGATTAGATTGATAAGATTAGATGGGGTGCCACACCCATGTGAGCTCTCCGCTTTGGAGATGGACCCACAACGGCCTAAAGAGGGGCGTGAAAAGAGACTAACGATAAATTGGAAAAGATTTTCAGTTTAGCGCCATCAGATAAACTAATGTGGATCGTCCGGAAGAAACGGTGAACCACGAGTCTTCGATTGACATTCTACATCCTACATTCTACATTGTACATCTATTCTTTCGCTACTTCATATTAGCCGGCAGTTGCATAATGTGGGATGATGAGGTGGGATATCTATAAGTACCACAAAATTTATGTTCAATCGTTTCCTTCCAAGGTTCGTTTGGATTGAATTCCAACTCCCTACTTCCACATGTGCTAGAGTCTCTTAAGCTGTTGTGCTACCTGGTAAGCTGACTTGGAAGCTTGGACTTTCTGTGACGCCAGTGGCGTTAAAAGGCTCGGCAGCAGGGGAGAGAGGAGCTCACGATCTTGAGGTTCGATGAAAAATCATGCCACCCCCATCCAGTGAGTCCAGCCTAGCCTTCGAATCCACCCGTCAAAGTTTTAGCAATTCGATTCGCCTATTTCTCGCCTAACTTCATGCCGCCATATACAGTCTAACTATATCAATCCACATAGACCCACTCCTATACGGGATGGACACATGACAAAGGTGACGGATTTGGTTACTACGTTACTAGTTGCAAAATATCTCTCGCCCGTTACCCACTAGTCTCCCCTACTAGCACCTAGGTCACACATCGTCCCGTCCTGGCGCTCTAGAATGTCTTTTGTGACTATAATTCCTGAGATGATATCCTATCTGTATGTCATCGTCCCGATTCACTAATGTATGTCCTTAGTTGTGACTTAAGGTTCCGGTGCAGAGTAGGATTGGGTCTCCGGAGTTTAGGTATGTTCCATTATCCTATTACGTGCAGGAAAGCAAGGGCTTTGAGGGGGGCATCTTAGGTAATAGCTCTCTTGGCAACTCGGGAAAGAATCCGAGGTCATGGATGAGTCTTGTTCCTGTATTGGCATGGTGCTAGGTATAGAATGACATGGAAATATCCAAGATTTTATCTGTTCTTGTAAACCATAGATGAGTTCTTTTGTGAGACCTTCCTAACCTAGATGATAGAATCCGTGCCACCAACGAGACAGCCCAGCCTGCCCCCATCGGATGGGTCAGCCATCTTATATATCGCTGTGACATGCACATAGCTCTTCGGTAACCCAATGCGGTTGTTGCTCGGCCAATTAGGTCAGGACATCGGCTTACTTAGGTTATTGAAGGCGATATGGCCATCATTAGGGCCAAGGCTCAACGTTGGTCGAACCTAGGATATTGGTGTATAGCAAGGCTTATTGTGTCATCTAGAAATTACATTTTGATGTTTTGTGTTAACAGATTTGCAGTTATTATGGGATGACTACCTACATTTTCACATAGATGTAGAATAAACGAGTAAATTGAAGGTTCTCAGGATTCATCTAAGAAGTGATATCTGCCCAGTCAATAGCGTTGCCGACTGGAAGTCAGATGCAAAATCATTAATAGTGCCTTGGGTCGGCTTATCTCGGACGAATGACTGAGCACACCAGTTAGCACCTATACGACCGGATTTATAGCTTGGCAAGAAATGATTGGCTTGTGACGAGGGGCCGGTTATTGTACTTAGATGAATTTCCCATGGAATACATTAAACTGCAACTGTTGCATAACTAATACATATAGGATCGACTTCCACTGTGCCTGTATTCGCTCTTGAAAAGGATTCCTCCAGCCACAAGCATTTCCCCCTTAGGCGTGCAGACAACTCCGCCCTGTGTCACTGCGATCCTTTCAATAACTGTTAGCTCACATCAAATCATTTTCTCAACATGAGATTCAGTCAGTTATCTTACGCCGCCGCTCTCGCCGGCAGCCAGCTCGTCGCTGCCGCTGATGAGGTTCACGGTCAGGGCCTTGAAGGCACCGTCATGGGCCCCGTCGCTTTCCTATGGCCTGCCGACAGACCTTGGAGCGCTTCGGCCGATAACTCGGGGCCTTGTGGAAGCGCCAGCGGCGTGACCAACCGAACCATCTTCCCACTCTGTAAGTACACGAACCTAAGATAGAGTCTTTAGAGAAGTCAGATCACTAACCTTGTCTTCATTTAGCCCAGGGAACTGTTTCTCTGTCGATTGCAGATGAAGCTTGGAATGTCAACTTCTCTATGGCATACGACAACAGTGAGTCATATCTTCATGCACCGTTATTTATAATACTAACGAGTCCCTAGCACCGACCATCCAGAGCCAGTTCAGCCAACAGGTTGTTAGTGAGGTCACAGAGATTGAGCCTGGCCACCAATGCTACAAGGTTGCCAACATCCCCAGCAGCGTGACTGCGGGAAGCAACGCTACCATCCAGCTCGCATATTGGTCCAACGTCGACAACGAGCTCGGTGGTGCCAACCAAACCTTCTATGCCTGTGCCGATATTGTAAGATACCACGAACGTTTATATCCCTGTTGATAACCTTTATTAACATTCCTGCCTTTACTAGACTTTCGTCGAGACAAAGGACTTCAATATCGCAGCCCCTTGTTTCAACGTTACGGCGTCGGACTTCAACTCCGGCTCCTCGTCCTCAACTTCCAGCCCGGTACCGAATGCCACGGGTGCCTCTGAGACTACTAGCAACCAGAGCTCATCGAGCGATGGCCTATCCACCGGAGCAAAGGCCGGTGTTGCTGTCGGTGTCATTGTAGCTTCTCTTGGTATTGTTGGCGCCATCGCCTTCATCTTGCTCAGGAAGCGCAGGTCTGCCCCCCACGACAGTGAAGCCTCGGTCCCCGCCAAGAACCAGCCCGAGGTTGCCTCTGTCAACAGCCACCGAAACTAAGTTACTAAATTGTTGTAATTTCAATGAGGTAGTCAAGGTCTCGGTAGTCTAGAAGGTGGTGGGATTGTTGTGTGTGGGACTCTGAGGAGGACGATGATTAAGGATAAATGTGAACACGCCCTATGTACTCCCTGAATTAGCTAATATACCCTACTGCATACACCTCTTAATCCTATCGTGACTATTGAATGTGGCTCGAGGTGCTTCGTAAGAGAACGTACGATAAAAGGTGTCCATATCCTACCCAGTAGGGGTCTCCTTCCATCCCTTTAGGGTAGGACGTTTCGTATAGGTAGGTGTCTGTGTACCTGGGGCGCAATGGTCTCTGAAATGTAAGGGCTCTCTCCTTGATGTAAGACTAGAAGTTGTTGTAGAAATTTTGCATTGCGTCAATACTAAATGATTTTTTTTCGTATAGGTGTATTATGGTAGGAGAAAACAAAGGGGAAATAAGAAAATACCTACCTACTACTTGGAAAAATTAAAAAAGTATTGAGAACTTTAAGAGGCCCAGCCTAGGATCTGTTGATCGGCTCCTAGCTACTGCGCCCCCGCTATTGGGTATTTATTTGCCTCTCTTTTTCAAGAACCCAAGATTGCAATTGCATTTTATGGGAATCGAACCCTAGACCAACACCATTTCAGGAGGGTCATTAGAGCGGGAACAACGAGGTTTCTGTGACATGACCACTCAACCACGGATGAGGAGGATAAGGTTGTTGGTTTGGTGTCGCCGATGGAAAACTATGACTCTATTATGTTATTTAACCTTCAATTCGGACAGTGGACTTCTGCCTAGACAGGCACATCGCACTGGCAAGAGATGCATTGACCACAAAGGGGCGACGGCGACAGACAATATTCTGCGACCGAATCACCTGAGTCACTCTGGTAGAACGCTATTTCAGCTCTCCTCCCTTACAATATCTCCTACCTTAGTACCTACCTAGTACCCAGCCAATGTTAATAAGGAGCATCTGACAATAACGGTGCCAAGCGACTTATTGATAACATGGAAGTTCATCATTATAAATACCTCGGCAACGTTAGTAAGTAAAGATAATAATTAATCTCATCCCTTTTTATGAGCTGAAAAAGGGGGGTCAAAAGGGGCTCGGCTTACTCGACTAGTGAGTACCAAATAAGAAATCCGAAGATAAATTTCTAATCTTCTTTCTTTTTCTTTTGATAAGGGACCCGATTTCAAAACGAGGAATAAAGGTTGAAAGTTTTTGATCATTTGATGATTTTGAAATCAGATATAAGGAATAGTTGGCGACGCCGTCCTCCATTTTTTCCAAGGTTCGTATGGGAGATTCGTGACCCCCGAACAATTCTCTTCACGTAAACTTCAAATACAGACCATGTTGCACTAGCAACAGGAGTGATATCCTGTAACAGTGAAGTTGAATTTGTCTCATACTAAGATTCTAATTTTAGGAGTCAGTCAACAGATGCTGAGGGGATTCCAAGATGATAGGAGCATGTTTGAAGTAACTAACGCTGCCTGAATAGAATCATAGGATATCAGTTTCGAGGGGTTGTTATTCCCTATATGCAGGTATGTTTCCTCATATTAACATCAACATCAGTAGAGCTTAGAAGGGGGGTTTCCAGGAGATGATCGACATATGAACCCAAGATCCAAGATAAAGAAGTCAGCAGTGATATAGATAACTCAGTATCGGGAGACTAGTTGGCTCAACATACACATACTATCATATCTTCATAGATATACTATCGCCAAGAATGCTACAGTGACATTAGTAACGCCATAAGACAGGTTATTCCTCAGCCAAGCCGACACTAGAAAACGAGGCGAGTTCCGACGAGTAGAACAGCGTCTTTGCTGAGGAGTAATTCGCCAATAGCACTAGAGGTATTAGACACGCCAGAACCCCGAGATCTGGAACCCGACCAATTGCCTGGCATCTCGAGTCCCCGCATTCTCACGATCGCGCACCCTCCGCCAACCTTATCGGCACGTTCTGTTGTTTTATCCACGACCTTCCCCTTCGAGTCGCTATTTATCTGAATGCCCGTCCGCCAAGGACTTCGGTGCATGTCCCAGAAGAAGAAACTCCCGTTCCATTCGAGCGCAGCTCTGCGTAAGCTATGGTGATGGGAGAACGCTGCTCGGTGCTTCGTTGCCATGGGAGGAAGGAGGATCGTCAGGTACGCTGCGCCGGGGGCGGGTCGATGGGTTGTGAATAGGGATATAAATATGGTCGCCTTTTACGCTCGATCTCGTAGTAAGTCTGCCACATTTAGTTCGAACATAGCCCTTCGACAAAGTCTGTCATTCAAAACTATGTATTTCGTTAATAGCCTCCTGCCCTTTGTGGCCTTCATCGCATCTGTAGCAGCTGCCCCAATTGTCGAAGAGCGCGATTCTCTCGCTGCCACGACATGCGGTTCGACATACTATACCGCCACTCAAGTGAACCAGGCTGCACAGAAGGCGTGTAGCTACTACACCTCCGGCTCTGCTCCCGGCGGCTACCCGCACACTTACAATAACTATGAGGGGTTCTCGTTCGCGGTATCTGGACCTTATCTCGAATTCCCGATGTTAACGAGCGGCGTGTACACTGGTGGTATGTTCTAAGTCTCCTGTTCTGGTATGAGTCGTAAACTAACGGGCACTAAGGATCCCCCGGCGCGGACCGAGTTATCATCAACACCTCCTGCAAGCTCGCGGGTGAAATTACCCACACCGGGGCTAGCGGTAACAACTTTGTCGGCTGCTCGGGGACGTCTTAGCCAGATGGCTAGTGGAATAATGTTATATAGGGATTAATGGCTTGTTAAAGGGTTGAAAAGCCTGTAAATAAGTCGCATTTCCCATATAATACAATATACGAAGTCTAAAAATGTTCAGTTGCGTTCAATGTCCTTAGAGAATCATGCATTGATTTCCCTAAAATAAATATGTTCAAATGGCGGCTAACTACTTGGAATTGAAAGATATTTTCTTTGCGGTTTGTACACTCTCCCACCCATTTTCAGCTATGTATATCCGGCAGGCCTCCTCGGGTAATGGACTAGGTTAGAGGACTTATCTGTCTCACTTTCCAATTCCGCCTCCTAGCGGAGTCCCGAATCTCAAATGTGTGATTCGCCAGGTCCAGTGACCTTGGGCATATCTTCCAGGTCTCGCTTCGTGGCGAGGTCCGGGATGCTATGGACGGAGAAGAACCCTTCGCCTCCACCTATTAAAACCATTAGCTCAATCTGCATATGCTAAGAAGAATTGTAGCCCATACACTTATCCTCTGGGTACCCTGAGCAGGGGCTGTTGCAGGACGAGTCCGGAACGGCATTTCCCTGAGGGGGCGTCGTGGCGCCACACAAACAGTCCGTGCCGTTTGTAACGCCAATTATGGGCATGCCCGCCTCGCCACACTTCTGCTGGCAGCTCCCAATAGACTGAAACACGGATCGACTGTTGAAGCTGAGGTTCGTCGACGAAGAGAAACAGCCCACGTACGTGAGAGAGTGTGCTGCCGAGGCGAATAGCGCCAGGACGACGAAGTTTGAAGTGGGCTGGAACATCATGTTGGCGGTTTTGTGTTGTAGAGAAGGCTGTGAAGATGAGAATGTAGATACACAAGAACAGATGGCTTGAGGTGAGACATTGCAATTATATACCTAGCATCTACCCGTGTTGTAGCTGCCTGGAGATGCATGAATGGCTTGGTAGAGGATGATAGGATCTCGTATGTATGACCAATAAGTGGGAATTGTAAATTTGTAATGAAGGCTCAGCACATGAGATCAACGACATTTTACTTATTGCGTCCTTTGTGGCTGTCTGGACTTCAATGCGAACGTCGGAAATTATCTCCACGTTACCGCGCAAAGCAGTTGCAGATCTTGATCTGACATACATAAAAAGCGAAAGGTTCCCCCAATGCTTCTTAAGAAGGTGTTTCTGTTATGCTTCGTATCCGCCCATACTAAGTAAAAATCGACGACGAAGGCTGCGAAGGATCTTTAATACGAGAGAATATACGATCGCACCAATGGACTTTTCTGTCACGTGAGTGGCATCCACGGATGCCCTCGCAATCCAATGAGAGACCCTCGTACGATACCTTCCGATATATACCTGGAATATTCACTCCTATTGTCGAAATAGTTGCAAGCGGTAAAGAATGGCATTGACCCCAGACCCACATCGAGATTGGAATCACCACCTAATCGGGATGTTCCTGACTCGACCGACCAATTAACGTTGAGGTAAAACCAATCATCCACATCAAGGTTCCAGCTCATTTCCTAAAACGGGCTAGGATGACGTAGAGACTGGTGTAGGGCAGGTTCGAAGGTCTGGACTTTGACCTTAGCTTCCTTTGTATCGAATGATACGACCCGTAACCTTAAATAGACTCTTTCTCCCCTCTTTCGAAAGCTCCTCTTCTCCTCCTAGACGAACGAAGACATCTATTCGAGCAACGAGACGCATCAAACGATTCGAGAAAGATATCGAAAATCCATCGAAAACCGCAGCTATGGCGTCCGCAGAAGTATGTCCCGTAGTAGGAACTACAAACCACACTCTCCCGCCCGCACACCCGAAGATCGACCTCTCGCAGCCGGGTCAGACCTGTCCCGTCGTCGGAGCCAAATCCGAGCACCACACGAAGCTCCACCAGCACCCCTCGCTCCCCAGCGACGAAGTGTCTTCCGCAACGACCAGATCCGTCGGTTCGGCCGACGCCCAGGCCTGTCCCGCGCTGAGAGGCGTCGTTAACGAGCCTAAGAGCAAGGAGATGGGTATGTACACACATGCCAGGTATCTACGGAATAGTAACTGACCTAGGATATACAGACGACCGCGTGTGTCCCGTCGTCGGTCCCGTCACGACAGTTCTACCGCCCCATCACCCTAGTACAGCCAACAAGGACGACAGCGAGATCTGCCCTGTGACGAAGGCGAAGGTAGGGCATCACAAGGACAAAGTTATTGTTCATCCAGAGGTCGAGGGGTCTTCTGGCGTATGCCCGGTGACTGGAGCGAAGCAAGAATGAAGGATCTGAGAGGTGGTTCATCTACGTTATTTGGAGGCTTCACTTCGCATGTAATCGTTATGCATGGCTAATTGTATAATACGACACTCGTACATTCACCGGTAGGCAAGCTACTTGGTCACGCTAACCTGGGATCTATAACAAGTGCATAAACAAGCAGATAGAGAATGGAATGCAAATTCGAACCTTAATACGAAATAATTATACCCTATTGAGTAATATTCAATGCACTGGATTTATTTGGGGGATTTCGAATGTTCATTGATCAGTCGACGAAAAAAAAACAGAAATACATGAGTGCCATCTCGGCCAGAAGAGCAACAGGAATTGGACCGAACCAGTTCGGTAATCCTGAAGGAAATTGTGTGATGAGAAATGGGAGAAACTGGCAATTGAACTCTAATACCAGATTACGAGCCCAGAATGCAAAACCCTCCCCTCCCACTCGATACCCTGAAGGTAATCCTGCCATGGACCTGCCAATGGAATATTCAGAGTGCTTATGCAACTAGTCCGCCAACTTCATCAATGCCAAGGTTCGTTTCCTAATCAACCTCGCCTCTTAACCTAGTCCAACCCATAATCGACTCGACTTTTACGTCAGCATCACCCCTCCTTGGCCTCCTTAGGCTGCGGTGCAGCAAGCTTGAACATCTCGCGTTTGTAACCGTAAGTCCTGCGCATTCGTCGGCCGTAATGCTTCATGACCAGGTAGTTGATCTCGCCACCGTTCTGTGGTTCCTCGAAATAGATGGGGTGGGCAAAGCCCATAGTGCCCATGTCAGGCGAAAAGATCCAACCAGAGCCGAACAACTTCTCCGCCCTGAAGCCTATCGACATCAGCGCGTAAACGAAGTCGTTCCATTGGATTCCTTTCGTCAATTCATAGCTGCCGAGCCCGTCAAACAAGATGGCTCTGAATACCTTCAAAGCGCGTTTGCTGACTTCGATTGTCTCAACCTCCTCCTCTTGGGATGATTCGTCGACAGTCTCCTCTTCTTTCTGTCCCAGCTTCTTGTTCTGGGCAATAGCTTCATCAAGAATCTGGTCATCTCGATCGACCGGGATCTTTTCACTTTTCTTCTTCTCTTCCTTAGCCGCTTTGACAGGCTCCACGTAAGGCGCCGTTCTTTTCAGCTTGTCGCGATCCATGAGAGCATCAAGATGTACCGATACCGCACCTACGGCTCTCAGACCACGGAGGAGAGCTGTCCAGAATCTGTCATGGTGTGCCTCCACGACTTGACGTTCGATAATATCCCCCTTCGATAGGATGGGAGAATCTTGGGCTATTAATACGTACTCTCCCTTTGAGTTGATCTTAGGTAACCTGGCCATTCTCTCCCACAAGTCCTGCTTCACATTGGCCAGGTTGGCATGGTGCGTATGTTCAATCAACCAATTTTTTTGAAGCCTATCGGCGTTTTTGAGAAAGAAGGTTCGGTAACCTCCGATCCATGGCTGGAAGAACTGATACTGGTAAAGGCACTCACAGGAGATGCCTAAGGTTGACACCAGGCCAGCCACAAAAGGAGTTATAAGAGCTCTGGCCTTGGGCTCTTGTCGGACGTACAAGTCCAACTCGGCAACTAGACCTCTGACACCCAAATCAAATCGATTGTGTTCGGTTGACAAGTTGTTGAAGATCCACATTAGACGATCGCGAACACAATCGAGGATGATAGTTGTTCTGGGCCGGATGAGCGGATGTCCTAGAGCTGATTCCTTCTGCTCGCGATAGAATGAATCTCGGAAAAGTGGTGAGCTAGAAGCGCTCGATTCGAGATCCGAAGTAACAAGAAGCTCCCACGAGGAAGCGACCAGACAATGGAAAGCCTCGAATACTGCTTCATTCATTTCATCAGATAATTTCTTGTCAAGGGGCAGCTTCCCTTCCTCGGAATTGACAGCAACTAGGCAATTAACACGGCATATCTTCTCAAAGAGAACATTAAAGATATTCACGTTCGCGATAGCTTCTGTGATGAGTTGTTGAAAAACTCGTGCCCACAGTTTGTTCCGGCCTAGGCCCGGTGGAGGGCCGGGGTTACCATCTTCATCAGGCACCATCTCTGTCATGTGCTCCATTCGATCTCTTGCGGCGTTTATGAAGTAGTTAGGATCCTCTCTTAAAGCCCATAGGTGATCCTCTACATGCGCTAGCTTGGCCCCAATGAGTCTGATCGTTCGGCCGAAGTTGGGTGCTCTTGGCGCTTTATACTGATCCTCAAATGCCTCAATAGCGAGAATCTTGACGCCTTCGATGTTGGTTCTGGATAAGTGATACGGAAAATCCTGTGATAAAAGATGGCTACCCTGTGCCGGGTAGATCTCCTCCTTCGACATGTCATGAAGAATCAGCTGACAGATACGGTTCAGAAACCAGAAGAGATGGGCTTGCACCAGAACTGCCCAATAGCTATCGCTTGGGGTGAACCAGCCTCGGGTTGGCTCTGACATGACACCATCGATGTCATCACTCCATGCATAGAGTTTTCCGTAAGTCTCTGGAGAGTTGCGATCTCTTAGTATGGCGAAGTAACCCGGGAGTTCGATTTGTCCGATGAGACCGGTTCTCGTTCCGAAGTTCAATAAGCCAATATCGTGGACAGAAAATTCATGCGGTGGATATCTTGCACGTTGATGGAGCATCAACAGCAAGGTTTCCTTGTTGCTCAAGTCTTCGACATTGAGGCTCGGCCACATCAAGGCCAGCGTGTCCTTATCTTCGAGGGGATGGCCATTGTGTAGGCTCTGCCACGTCTCGATGTCGGGTCGATGGGTTGGCGGCATGTCGGGCCATGCCTTCGATAGTAAGGCCTTGCGCTTTGCCTTGGACTTGCTAAGCCAGCGCTTCGTGATTGTCTCTTCGTGATGGCAAGCGATAATATGCAGATTCCCCTAGCCTCTGAATACTTTCACCGCCATCTCGAGAATAACTTGTCGAACTTCCTCTACTGTAGGTTTTTTTGGAGTTGTCGCGTTGCTGTCATCTTCATGTTCAGAGGAATCCTTACAGCCCAAAGCTTGATCGGAAATTCGGACCTTCTTCGGGTCGACTGGTCTGAGAGTGTCGTCCATGTTGGGCAAGCACCAACACCTTAAGCTTATTGTTTATCAATGAAGATTAACGTGTTGGATGATGGATGATGGATTATGGATGATGATGAAGAATGATATATGAGATTGATAGATTGCTGGTGAATGGGATTGATGAAGTGTTGATGTATTGTGAGGATGTATTGGAAGGATGTTATTGTGGGGGATGTGAGGATACGTAAAGAAGGAAATTTGAAGGAAGAGGAAGAAAAGAAAATAAGAAGGACTAGAAAATTATTTTTACTTTTGTTAGCTAGGTCTTATCTTTTAGAAGTTTTCGGCTTGTGGGCTTACAGGTTATCAATACCCGGGTCCCAGGTACTTTCTAGAGCTCGAGGTCGATTATGAGTGACGGGCTCCTTCCAGGTCCGGTTGAGTTCGTTATGTCGTTAAGGCGCTGAGTTGGCTATGTCGTTCTTTGAGTCGTTAAGAATACGTTTAGGATATCACAAGAATGTTACTTCGTCTGTATTTCATAAACGGGAATCCGTCCATTATTCACTCTGTTCTTGAATTGGTCAAGTTTTCTCCTAGTGGTAAGTAACATGCTTGATCGACTATTGAGGTTACATGAATAACGTGAATATTTTCGAGTTCTCTATCTCTTGCGAAGTTGCTCCTTTGTGCTTCATTTAGACGAGGCGAATTGTATAACTTGAAATTATTTCATATTGATAGATGAAGTTGTGGAATAAGAAGGGTTGAAATGGTCCCTTTCAGCGACTTGTATGAAACTAAGTACCCAGTCAACTAATTTATCTCTTTGCAACTACTTAGTTCTCTATCTGTCTTCTTTATAGGGCAATTTACAATTTGCACTTATGTTATTCCATTCGCATTATTTGCAAATACCTAGCTTTATATTTCTCCATATCCCATAATTACTCTATATTTGATAGACAAATAAGTGTGTAAAGAAGCTAGGGTCTTGAAGAAAAATGATTAAGACTTGGTGGAAATTTCCCGATAGTGGATGGGTCTTATGCAGGTACGGCTAGCGTGTGTGGCGCTACTTCCAAAAGGGGAATATTGCATGTGGCTGGGAAAGAAGCCAGCCAATAATATCCTGGCGCTAGTTTCCATACCCCTGTAAGTTACCCCCACTTCCAGCCACCTGGATAGATCCTCGTCAACCCCGGATTGATTGCGAAGTCGTTTGTCTCTTGCTTGACTTGATTCCCAACCATCTAATTATTGTCAATTGCGTGGGACGCCACCTATAATAAAAAGGTAATGCGTGCGTCATGGCATTTTTACATTTTCTTCGTCCTGTAGATCCTTCCCCTCCTTCAAGCAAACTGTAAGGTGCAAAATCTCTCGCAGCCCTCAGCCGTCTCAAGCAAGTTTCTTGAGGTGTTGACCAAAATGCATCCGAACGTGTTGATCTCCTTCCTTTTCTTTATTTCCTCTTCTGCGTTGCCGTTCATTGCACAGAAGAGAGAGCCGACCAGTCATTTAGAGGCTCGCGCTACCTATTCAGTCGTTCCTATCGATGGAAGCGGTTCGGATTCTACAGAGACAATTACTGTAACCCCGACTGCAACTACGAAGACAGTTGTCGAGACTTCCCCACCGGTCACCGACACGGTAACAATCACTGCTGATCAGCCTACACACACCGTCTCTACCACAGTCTCTGTTGTTGACATACAACCAACAACCGATGTCGTTACGACTACTATCTCAAATAATACGCCGACATCAATTCCAGCTTACCCCAGCACAGAGCTCAGCACAACATCCAAATCGCCTATTTCGACTACACTCATTTCAACTTCATCCCCCACACAGTCTAGTGTGGCTGTCACCTCAGCCCCACCACCGACGGAGACTTTACCGCAACCTACAACCGCCACTATCTCCCCCTCCACAACTTTTGGGGCAACGTCCGTTCCAGTGACAAGCTGGAGCTGGAGCTCAACCACATCATATGACAATGGCTCTTGGCATACCTCTTATCCCTGGAACGGCACCGTGGCTTATCGGTTTGCTCGCCGACATTAAAATGACATAACGAGCATTTTATTCCTTGTATTACTTCAGCTTTCTCTAACCGGGAATGCGCTATATGGATAATAAATTATGTATGGAATATGGAATATCATGTGTACAGGATATTATGGGAAGGCGAAATATGAGGACTAATGTAATATCATGTTTGGGGACTGGGTATTAAACCTGGTCATGGAACGGAATAATGGACCTCACGCAACCCAAGCGCTGGAACGCGTCGACTCGTATTTAATAGCCGAGATGCTAGATACGAAAATAAATACTGTTAAATAATGTGGTTTTGAGATTGCGACTTGTGGTAGAAGGCGAACATCAACATATTCGAGAGTACGGATTGATGCCTTCGTCTTCATCGCGTATAGATGAAAGGCTATAGGTTGTATATCAACAGTATATTTTCTATTTGTTTCTACCTATTCTCAAAATGTTAATGAAGACGAAACTCCCGGTTCCATTCCCGCTACGCGATTGTGAACCATTTCCTAAACAGGCAACAAAACTTAAATATGGCCAATCACGCTTCAAGAGTCTCGGCATCAGCAAGGGGTACGATCTACGAGATTACCGAGATAAGAAATCCTCAGGGCATCTACATAGCTAAATCTTCTTACACATACTTACCTTGGACTAGTCAGAGTAAGTTGGTGGTTGTGGAAAGGGGATGAGATCCAAGTATCCATCATATATCAACGACGATAGCAAATAAAATAAAATGAGCGAAGTTGGTAGTAGGACCTAGGTCAAGATGAGATTTTTAAGAATATTGTGGTTGTGTACATATGATTACCAACAATATATACTATCTACCTACCTAATATTTCGTTTCCTCAAATCTTCCCTCCATTCAGCTTGAAAACTGCGCTGCCATTCATCGGCCGACTAACAACAATAGCCCCCTCTAAATCCGTCTCGCTCAACTGCCTCTTGGAGTAATATTTCTCAAGCAACGCCTTGCGGATATCTTCAACTTTGTCAGCAGGTACGAGATGAACGCTGCAACCACCCCAACCGGCGCCAGTCAGCCGACTGCCGTAGCTCCCAGCTTCGCGCGCAATCTTGCACAACTCGTCAATTTCGGGACAACTGCATTCGTATAATTCTCGGCATGAGTCTTGGGTTTCGTTCAGCAACTTTCCAAGCCGGCCGTTATATTCGACCGTGTGTCCGGAATCCGGTGCCTGTGCCGGGTCCTCGAGGAGTTCAAGGAACTGGAGCACACGTAGAGCTTCGGTGAATACGTGTAGTGCTCGCTGGCGGAGCTTGAAATATTCACCCCGGACCGGGAAGCTGGACATGAATCGGGCTTTCACGTCTTCAACTGATATACCGACGCCTGCGGCAATTTCCTCGACTGTGTAACCCTGTTCTTGAGTGAGAGTGGATTTAGTTAACTCGATCAATTCATTGAGCTGCTCGGTCTGCGACTTCTGGGTATCTTTGAAGTAATTAGTGTGGAATCCGTGTATCGATACGCCTAATGGACCTGCGTCCTTAGGGAGTTCGGTTCCCTTGGGACATAGCTTGGCATTCAGATATGCTGCTGCCATGCTGCATTCGACAACTCGGAGATTGTAGTGGATCGGGCCAGTCTCCTGCTTATTCGATGTCACGAATGATTGCGCGACCATGAAGCAAAGCTCGGGGTTCGTTTTTGGGAAGAATACTGGTCGTGCTGAGAGGGATGGGGTGAAATTGACTAGAAGAGCTGACCCTTGTTTGGAGAATACTGAAGCAGATTGGTCCATTCTACAAATTGTCAGCTATGCCAGTACAATTAAAAGAAGTTTACTCACCCTCCAGAATTAACGCCAACTGCTCGTTCACTCACGATGGCGACCTCTGTTAGAGCCTTCTTGTCGACGTCGCGCTCGCCGTTGGCAATCATCACAGCCAATGCGCTAGAACTCACAAAAGCAGCACTGGAACTGAGGCCACCACCAGCGGGCACTGTTCCATCCATCAGAACCTCCATACTCTTGGGCTTAAAATCATCTCCGTATTTCTTCCTGAGTAATTGCAGCGCTCCCCTCAACCCAGATTTGAAGTAATTGGTCCATTCGTGCAAGGTTGCGTCAATCTCGACTTCGGAGTACGATACATCGAATTCGCGGGTCGGGAATCGTTCATTATCGACATTTGCTATTTTGATCTTATAAGTGCCATCTTGAGAAGGTTCCAGATCGGTAGATACGGCGATGATGACATCGTGGGTCATTCCCATAGGTAATACGGAGTAAAGGGAATAATCGATATGTTCGCCAATGATGTTCACGCGACCTGGCGATCGAGACACAAACTGCGCGGGGCTTCCATAGAGGGCCTGGAATTTGTCGAGCAGCTTATTCCACCGCACAGTCTGGTCAGCCAAGGACTGCTGAGTGTAAATGTCCTGCAGGGCAGTGACAGTAGGTACAGGACCCGACATGATGTTCTGATCTAATCAAGATCAAGTTCCAAATAATTTGGAGAATTGGAAAGGAAAGATTGGACAGCTTCGTGGAAATATACCCCGAACTGCCCCGCTTTGATGTCAATTGACTTTCTTAGTTGCTCTTTTGACTTTTGGATTGAGACTTTGGCTTTTTAGGCTAAACGACTAAAGAATATAACGATTTAGAAGAGATATAGGTATCAGAGATTCTGTAAGGAGACCGTTAAACGAAGATATAAGCTACTTGTACAACAGTTTAGAAAAGTCGCAAGTCACAAGATCGTAAAAGTTGGCAAACACTCTCATTTTTCCTACGATCGTCATGAGGTACCTGCCCACCTTAGCTAAGATCTAGTACCCCGCGACCAGCCGCTCCGAGGAATGGACCGGGGTGTCGTAGAACTCTGTACATGGTACCTGGGCCGCTGGGAAAGAGTTACCCCCGCCCCCTATTAAACACTCTTCAGAGAACCCCACCAATCAATGATTGATCTTTTACTTCTACCAAATCCAGACGAGCAGTAATAAGCTCATCTACAATCAATCAATTCCGAATTGATTCTGGTTTGGATGGACAAAGAAGAAACCCAGCGTATTCCTATCGGTATTACAATTTACACTCCTCGCATGTAATGTGATTGGATCACACCACTGTCTGGTGGGACTAATTAGGAGCACCTATCGAATTGCTCATATCGTCCATGGAAAATGCAGCCGCACAGTGCCATTGGGACCCAGGCAGCCAGGATCCTGGGTAGGTACCTAGGTAGACTAGGCCAATAACCCACGATCAAAAGAGAAAGCTAAAGAGAGCTCCTATTTGAGGATATGGTCGGCTCTATTTCACCGATATATGCGGTACAAAATGAAGTTAGAGATGGCCATAAAAAGTTGTGATGTTTAAACGATCATGGATCTCTTCACAACTACTGCGTACAGCAATGAGCCAATTTCCTATCATCCGGGGCTCCGGTGCCAGATCGACCCAGTGGGCGCTATATTCAACATAGCAGCGCAGGGAGTGATTGGCCGAAGCAAGAGTCCCACGCTACTAGAGAGCCATTTAGGTTCAGGTAGCCAAGCCAAGCAGGTGGCCTATCCCATAAAAATGAACTCCGAAGCGAGGTGCAGGTCTTTATAATGAATCGACAAATCATTATAACACTTCACAGGCGAAACAAAAGCAAAAGAGTATAGTGGCGGTCTGCGCTGAGACAAGTACTAGATGACGTTTATGGGCTTGATTATCAGTAACCTTCTCGCAGTGGGCGGTGCTATCGATGAGCTCCGAGTGTACAACCAGTTTACAGATACTGGTTTCTCATTTGTCTTGGTAAGTTAACACTTCTCACCTTGATATTTATAACCCATTTTGAAATTTCCGTTATAACTAAGCATGATCAATTGCATGGCGTATACACTCACAAGAAAATCCCGTTTATAATTATATTTGTCATGTAACATTTCTAGAGCGCACCTACGAAACCTATATATTCATAACTCTACCTACAGCTGATTTATCACATTCAGAATGCATGAAATCCTAGTACAAACGCACTTCACACATTACCACGTTCACGATTTATTGGCCCATCATCTAAAATAACTACTGACTTGCAGATTCAAACACAGGTAGTTTGCTTTGAATAATTTTACTTAAGTATGATACCTCATAATGGACACTCTACCAGTGTCTTCGTCAAAAATGGGAAGGAAAAAAGTTACTTGTCGGCGGTCGCTATCCCGTATACTGGATCAACCCCTTTGCCCACCTAGAATTCTATCAGGAATAAGGAAACCACTGAAATGAATATCGATATAGAATTAGCGGCTGGCATAGCTCCAGGAAATAATTTGGGCAGCGACGACATTCCATCATCACCCTGCAGCGACTCTGTCGACATCGAAGAACTTGGAAAATGCAGACCTGATATTTTTGCGAACGGCTGGGTAGAGATAGGGTTCTGTATCTCTGTCCTTGGCTCGGTAATGGTGGCAGAATTCCTTGTGAGCGGGTTTAGTGTCCTACTTCCAGTACTCATAGAGGATATTGGCATCGATCCAAACCAGAGGACCTGGCCCGTTACTGTCTTCTCCCTTGTCACCGGCTCGTTGCTGCTGCCTTTCGGTCGGCTCACCGACATGTTTGGCGGCTTCCCAGTTTACCTTGGCGGGCTCGTATGGTTAATGTTATGGACAATAGTGGGTGGTTTTAATCGCAACCTACCGATGGTACTGGTGACTAGGGCTCTTCAGGGAATAGGAGCCGCGGCCTTTTTACCTGCCGGCACTACTCTACTCGGAACCACTTACCGTCCTGGCCCACGAAAGAATACCGTATTCAGTCTGTACGGGGGTTGTGCGCCGCTCGGATTCTTCTCCGGCATTATCGTTGCCGGTCTTACTGGAGAATTCGTTTACTGGGGCTGGTTCTTCTGGATCGCATCTATGCTACTGGCTGTTTTATGCACGCTTACATTCTTCTGCGTCCCTCGCGAGCGGAAGCGAGGTGACTGGTCTTCGATGGACTGGTGGGGTTGCTTGACTAGCACTTGTAGCTTCAGTTTGCTCATATATGCCATTACCGACGCTTCTCATGTCGCTGGCAATTGGGCATCGCCTAGAATATTCATTACCTATATACTAGGTCTCATCGCTCTCGCGGCTTTCGCTTACGTTGAAGGATGGGTTGCCACATCCCCCTTACTACCTTTCGGTTTATTCACCATTAAAAACATCGGCCCACTCTTCCTCGCCCTCTTCTTCGTGTGCGGCTCTTTCAGCATATATCTATTCTATACGAGCTTCTAGTAAGTTATAAATCTAAAAAAAGGTTCGAAATAATCTGATATTTGGTGAATTAACTATCATTAGCATCCAAACCGTCCTCGAGGTACAACCATTGCTCGCTGCAGTCTGGTTTGCTCCTATGGCTGCCGGCGGGATCATCATCGCCCTTGTTGGTGGTATTACGCTCCATCGTCTACCTGGCACTATGCTACTTGTCTTATCCGGGACCGGTCTTGTCTTATGTTCCTTTCTCTTCGCCCTCATACCAGAGAATCCAAACTACTGGGCGTGGGTGTTTCCGGCAATGGTATGCAGCACCATAGGAATCGACATTGGCTTCAACGTCAGCAGCATCTTCATCACTACGAACGTCCCCAAGAATCAACAAGGTTTAGCGGGGGCATGTATCAATGGGTTAAGCTATCTAGGCATCAGCTTATTCCTCGGCTGGGCCGACTTTGCTGTCGCCAGCGAATCTAATAATGGACTGGGCGAGAGTTATAAGGTCGCGTTTTGGCTCGCTGCTGGGTGCGGGGCCGTTGTTATCCTGCTCGTCCTAGGGTTTATTAGGATCGGTAGAGCAAGGAGCGACTTCACTGTAGAAGAGAAAGCTCAACAACAAGCGCCTGATCCAGAAACCGAAGAATTAATGTCGGATACGACGACGGATACGAGCGAATAACGCCTTGCTTGTCTAATCTTAGACAAACACTTACCTGGTAAGCAGGTACGTAACTTATATTTTGCTAGGCTGCCTAACTTCTAACTTTTGAGAATGCTATCAAAGTAACGCAAATTACCATACTACGTACCTAAGCACCACGAATAGAACAGTATACCCAATAAATCTATCCACAAACATACTTCAGGCCGTCCTTCACAGAAGAAGCGTATTGAATAGTACCATCGTTTATAATGACCTCGTTAGCGTGTACTCTATATGTCTAGGACATGGTAACCTAACTCTGAGTAGTAGCCTCATTCTTCCGTTCTTTAGCTGCCTGACGATCCCGTTTCTCTTTTCTCCATTGGATGCCATAATTCATAACCAGGAATATCATGGGCGAAAAAGCAATGTATATGAAGCCAAGAATCGTAAACGCCCACCCGATGCCAACCCCGTTTATCATGGGACCAATCACCGCGGTCGCCGCGGCACCAACCAGGCATCTAGTTAAGTTATTACTTGCAGTAGCCGCGCCTGCTTTTCCCGGGTTCACGTCAACCAACAGCACGTTTATCGCATTGCTAAACCCAACCACGGCCCACCCGGCGATAAATAGCAGAACACATGGCACAGCAATGTGGGCGCGGTATTGGAATGCCCAGCCCCAGCCAAAGGTAACCAGAACAGTAATAATCAGCATCGGAACAGCAATCTCCAGCCTCGCGCGCTCGATCGGAAAATCATCTAAATCTTGCTGCTTGCTGCGCTCGAACGGAACGCCCCTGAGCTTGCAATGGCGGCGGTAATTCCAATTCATCAACTTCCCGTTCACAAAAGCGGCGCCCATACTCCCGCCTACCATGGGGAGGTACATAAGCCCGATCTGGATCTCATCGAAACCGTAGTTCTCCCCTAGCTGTGTGGGCATCACGGTCGCGATGCAGTAGAACCCCGTGAATATGATGCTGCCGTACGAGAGCAGCACGAACATCTCCTTCTCCGCTAGGATGATCACCGATTGCCATATATTAAACTTCCCAACCCGGAAACTGCGTCGCGTCGACGTCCGCGACGCTGTATGTGTCAACGAACCACCCCCTCCGTTATCCTTATTCTTACGCCTCTCGCGCCGCCGTCTCAACGCGTCTTTGCACAGCTGCCACCCCGTGCGGTACACCGGGTGCGGGCGCACCGACCCATCGCCCACGATCTCGCGACACGTCTCCGGCAGGAAAAACGCATGCAGGACCAACACAAACCCAGCCAGAATAGCCAGGAGCCAGAATATCCACCGCCACCCCACGAACTGCGCTAATATCCCCCCGATGATCGGCCCCACGGCCGGCGCCAGCAGGATCGGTAAGGACGTGTATCCGACGTAATGCCCGCGTTCCGCGGACGTGATTATGTCCGCGACGACGGCCTGGCACAGAGCTACGGTCGTGCTGGACCCCGCTGATTGCAGCATGCGCAGGACTAGCAGGGCTGGGTAGCTGGGCGCGAGGGCACATCCGATGTTCGCGCAGATGTAGATGATGAAGCAGATGAAGTACGCGGGACGCCGGCCCGCGGTGTCGGCTAGGGACCCGACGAACATCGGTGTTAGGCCTTGGAATATCTGGTTGCGGATGTTAGCGATCTCGGCCCGGGGTCCGGCGAATCGTGTGCTGGGTGGGTTGGTTTGTTTATAAGGACCGGTATTTGGGATGGGGAGGGGAGGGGATAGGTACCATGTACGTCGTCACCGTGAGGTTTATCTGGCTGACCGTGACGTCGAAGTCGGCCGCCAAGACGTTGAGGGCCGGTAGGTAGATCTGCGCCGTCAGCGGCGAGAAGAAGGCCCCGATGGCGGCGCCGACTACGATCCCCCTTTTCTCCCACTCGGTGAAGACGGTGTAGTTGGGGCGCTGGTCGAGCTCGGGTTGCTCGCTTGGTGGTTCTGCGTCTGCGTTGGCATTTCTGGGGTGAGTTAATGGCCCGCCCGCCTCCTTATCTTCTGGCGACTTCGTAATGTCGGTGTCGAAGCCATCTTCGAAAGCTTTTTCCGCCGTAGATGATTCGATGTCGTGCCCTCTGTCGCTAGTGCGTGATGAGATCTCTGACATGGCTTAGCTGACTAAAGATTGAGTCGATTTCTGAAGTTGTCTGAATGGCAGATCGGGTCTAGTCCACAATTGGATCCCCTCTGCTTAAATACAATCTCGAGAAGTCGAGATAGCAGTGTCATGACTTTTCATACGACGTCCTTAAGCCGGTTTCGCTTAACGGGATTTCCTGTTTGGGTAAAAGAGGCGGCTTTGGGCGGTTGCCGTGTGGTACCCGGAGCCGAGAGCGGCTTTGTGGTCCATTTTTCAGCTATGTAGATAGCTCCTCGGCACCGGCTCGGGTTTATTAACTCAACAACCAGACTTGAAATATTGCGATGCAAAACATTTCTATCAATTTCTGGCATTTTATGACTCACTTAATCGAAATTATGAACCGTGTAAGACGTCTTCCTGCGTCATGCGTCATCGTGAACAATTGATAGGTCGTTCATCGTCGACAGTAATCGAGATTTGAAGTCTGGGGTTGGACACGGGAATAAGGGGTAATTTCCGCGGTAGGCGAATAGCAGTATCCCGGAGCGGCATGTATAAAGTCATAGGGATATGGGGAATTGAGGCCAAAAAAGCCACTGATACACGAGATAATTATTAAAATCCATTATCCCATATTGGCGAACTATAGGTTTTATTTTGGATTACTAATGAATTTATCGTAATTAGTAATTGGCATTCATGGTCTGCGGGATAAGGTCGCCGGGTTAGCCTGTAATGCGAGGTATGGAAAGGTCCGGGATCCTCGATCGTTTACCAGTTATATGGAAATTTTATAAAAAGTGAAGCACATAGGAGCATTGGGATCATGAACAGTCCACACGGAAAAAAATGGCAAGTGTCAAAACTAGAAAGAAGTTCTGGGAAAGAAAAATGCTACGATGTGGACTCGAACGTGATGCATTTGCATGCTTGGATAGACTGTAAAATAGCAAAAAAGTATCAACTTTTGAAGACACTTCAAGGCCCAGCCTCTGATCTATAGCGTCAGAGCTACTGCGCCCCCTATCTGCGCCTCGTAACAACTAGAGGGAAAACACGTCTCTAGAGGCTGCGAGCGTATGGCAGAATCTCAGGGTATTTAATTTGCGGTTCCTTTCCAGGATTCGAACCCAAGACCTTGAGAGTTTTGAAATTCGTACCGTGTCTGAGGCGATTACCAACTACGCCAAGCTGTTGCGAGGCTCGTTTCGCCGCTGTTAGAAATCCGTTTGTTGTTTATACTTATCTGCCTATCTCAGTTGGACAATGCACCAATCGACGGCGAGATTGGTGGACGACAAAACTTAATTTCCATCTGGCACAGTACTCTTTGACCACCTGTCCTCAGTGGACCCGTGACTCATTCAACAGTTTAAGTAGGCACCTCCTAAGAATATCAATACTCGCACAGTCTCCTTTTTCGATGATATCTCTCTTGTATTCAGCTGTCTACCTAATATTCTAATTCTAGTCTATATTATCATATATCCCCCCATTACCAATAAAATGTTTTTACGTAAAGAAAAAATATTTCTATAAAAATACCTGGGTATTGAGTGGAGGCAATGCCATTCTCTCGCAGGACTACTTCAGGGGGCGTCTATGATTTCCAAGGTATGTTATATTCGCGGCATGAGGCATTTACTAGCTGACTACTATCAAATTCGGCAATTCCTACGACAATCTAGTAATGATTCCCGTGAAGAATGAAGAATGTTATTATTCAACGGCTCGCGACACAGCGACTGCCTCATGATTAGATAAGCACAACATAGGGGTAGTTATGGAGGGTATCACGTGATATTAATATGAAGAGAGAACATAGGAGGAAAATAGCTATAGAATAGCTGCATATGTCGTGACAAAAGCGTAGTCGATGGCCGGGGTACGTAGTCATTAGCACTATTAATTTGAAACTGATTGGATCGCGGAAATTGGTAGTAATCATGGTCAAGTGTGACTCTCGAAAACTTCGAGATCGGATTCATTAAATCAAAATACATATACACAGTGACGATCAACATGTACCGATAGCAACGCCGACTAATTCGCCATGTTTCCCCAATGTGCTCGTTTGATGCGAGGTCGAAATGCACTTTTCGATTCCTTTTCCTCACCAGATGCAGCCTTTTTATAATGGCCCCCTTATTTCTTTCTTTCTCAAGTCTCTCCCCGATGGTATTCTCACATGAAAACATCCCGCCAACTGCCGATGCAATAAAAAAAGACGAAGACACATTTAGCTATGTAAACCGCAAGTTCTGGTGTGCATGAGCTCTCTCCGCTTCTTATCCTTTTCTGTTTTATAAGTTAGCTGACTAATCATGTTAGAAAGGGGGTAACAATAGGCTTACCTCCGTCCCATACAAGGAACTCATGTAGACCTGACCCTGCAGGCACCATAGGTAAGACAGGCACCTTCTTGTCCGTCATTACTTCCAAGAGAGCGGGGCCTTCGCTGTTGATAAGCCATTCTAAGCTTTCTACGGTTTCCTCGGGCTTGATGAGTCTTCGGTGTTGGATACCCATGGCATCGGATAGTTTCATGAAGTCGGGGTTCTTCTGGTGCGTGTGCGCGTATCTGTCTTCGTAGAAGAGATTTTGCCATTGTGTAACCATTCCCTGCTCTTCGTTGTTCAAAACGATAACCTTGACGCCGATATTGAACTGCGCAGCGGTAGACAGCTCTGTAAGGGTCATGTTAAACGAAGCATCGCCGTCGATATCAATCACAAGAGCGTCTGGCCGAGCGACTTTGGCGCCGATGGCGGCGGGAAGTCCGAATCCCATGGTGCCAAGACCTCCAGATGAAACCATGGATCGGGGCTGTCGCCATCTAAAATGTTGTGCAGTCCACATTTGATGTTGGCCAACACCTGTCGCGATGATCGTGTCCTTGCTTTGGTTAGCTGCTAGCTTGCTGAGCTCCTCGATGAGAATCTGAGGCTTGATCATCCCTGGTCGCTCGGTACGCTCAAATGCGTGCATGGGCCATTTCTCCTTCCATGAGTTAATCTTGTCAAACCACTCTTTACGGTCTTGCATTCGTTTTATGTTGATATTAGGAAGAAGCTGTCGTAGGTTCTCGGCGACGTCGCCTTCAATAGCTTCGGTTGCTTGTACAACCTTGTTAATGTTCTTTGGCATGACCTCAAAATGGACGATACCACCTCGGCCTTCTGCTGCAGCAGCCTTAGCAGCGGGTGCAAATTTGGCAGTGTTGCCAGTGACACGATCATCAAAACGGGCACCAAGAGCGATGATCAGATCGGCTTCTTGAATTGCCATGTTTGCGAATGCGGAGCCGTGCATGCCAAGCATGTAGAGCGACTTTTCGTCTAACTCATCGAAAGCTCCGAGGCCAAGAAGGGTGGTGGTAACCGGAATCGAAGCCTTGTCGGCGAGTTCCTTGAGAACCTCCGGTCCGCCAATTGACGAAACAACACCCTGTCCGGCATAAATTACAGGTTTCTTAGCCACATTCACTAGATCAGCCACTCGTCGAAGGGATGCTTGGAGCTGTTTTTGGGTAGCCTCCATGGCGGCGCGTGACGCGGCGCTCGGTAAGCCCGGGAGAGCTGATTCGGTGGGAATAGCTCTCCTCAAAACGCCAGCAGTGACATCCTTGGGAAGATCGACGAGTACGGGGCCTGGGCGTCCACTAGTCGCAATGTCGAAAGCTTCGTTGATTCTTCGTGGTAATTCGGCAATATTCTTCACCATAACATTCCACTTCGTGCAGGCCCTCGATATTCCAATGACATCTGCTTCTTGGAATGCATCGCTGCCAATAGCAGTGGTAGGAACCTGACCACAGAAAACAACCATGGGTGTTCCGTCAGATAAGGCATCCTGGATCGGAGTTATTACGTTGGTGGCGCCTGGACCTGACGTTACTAGAACCACACCAGGCTTTCCCGAGGCTCGCGCATAGCCCTCAGCCATATGCCCCGCACCTTGTTCATGCTTTGGTAGAATGAAATCAAAATGTTTCGAGTTATAGATGGCGTCGAACACCGGTAGGATAGCTCCACCAGGGTATCCAACTAAGGTGCACATTAGATGCAGTCCCGAATTTTTCGGACTTGATGTGAAACATACATATGTGCTTAACGCCTCTTCGAAGCATCATCTCGTGGAAAATCTCTCCTCCAGTCTTTCCAACGAAACTAGAATTTCTTGGTCAACTTTCTACACTCTAATGGAGTAGAAAAGGGATAGTGCATACGATTCGTCCATCTCAGAATTTCGAGGATTGACCAAGGGTTGAACATGGCTTTGGTCTTTTGCGCTGGTAGTATTAAATGCCGGGGAAGGTGCCTCTCTAGCTGGGCTATAGTTTGTCACGTTAGCATTGATGACAACGTCGGCGAGAAGACAGAAATATCCTATATCACATACGCAGTTGATTGGGCCGAAGTAGCCTGATTCCTAATGGCACTCGGCGCAGTTTTCTTGACCTGGATAGCTGAGACAGTTGGCGAGGTAGTAAAAGAGCAACGTTGCCGTCGCGAGGTTTGAGCCAAAGCCCTGACGGCTCGGCTGGCTTGTCGGGTACGAAGCATGGTGGTAAGGGTGAAAAAGGTGTAAAAGAGGGGAGATTGGGAAAAAGGGAAGTGAAGAAAAAGAAAGATCGAAGAGGGGAGGAGGATACTATCGACTGCTTTGGGGTATTAATCAACCAAAACCAGTCAATCGCAAAATATACTCCAGACTCTACTCTCCAGTACCGTCAATGAGGTCAGGTAATTAATCAATGGCAAGAAAATGCGATGAAGGTTTTGATCGAAGAGTCACCGAACGATTTTGATTGACCCGACTGCGGAACACAAAAAAATAGACACAAAGATTGTGGGGTTATTGCAAGGGTTGCCCATGTAAGTGGTCCGTGTCCTGCATTGCTACCGCATCTGCACAACCCTCGTTGTAGCCGCCACTGTAACAGTGTAGCATTATGCCAATAACGGTGCACTTTCCAGTCGTTCGGTGGCAATTGGCGATATCGGCATAATCCCGAAAATTTATTTATCTGGTGATTGGCCCCCACAAGCCGACACAGAACTTCCTTTCTAGCGGTCTGGAACATCTGGTTACACACATAAATCTAACCTTAGCAGATATTTATCCCAAGCTGTTCGACCAGTAACATCTGACTTTTTTTCGATGTCAGATCCAACCTCGCCCCTCAAACTAACTTAGAAGTATCTTGAAAACGTCATCTTGAATTACTACGCTGTATCTACGAACTTCGTGAATTGTCTACATACATGGATAAGCACATAGCAATTCGACTCGATACATGTCTTCGAAGTTTGTGTAACGATAAGACGGGGTTAAATGGATTCGCATGTGAGTCTCACGACTTGCTAGGTACCTAAGTAACTATCTACCACCTGCCACCAGGTATTAAATGCATACAGACTAAATATTTAATTAAGGAGAATTATGTTTCCGACTACTAAACTCGAGAATATTACCTAATGCTGTTCATATATATAATCAACTATTAAAATATGTAAATTGTTAATTGCAACAATAAACTACCTAGATAATTGTAAAAGTTCAACGTTGTAATAATAAATTTATTCAACATGAAGCTATAGAATACCTGCTGGTTATCTACATGTAAAATTGGTGCGACGTCAGGGCGTCCAATCAATTTCAATCAAAGCTTCCCCTCCAGCCAATCAGATTTACCTTAAACAAACCCATTAGAACTCTTTCGGTACCCTTTCCCCACTAGAATTTCATCTACAAACGGACGCTGTCATCGCGATTTCACATCAACGCTTGATAAGATTTCGATCAGGAATCTACCCAAATATTATACCTATTCGGATAGACGTATTATGAGTGCGTCAATCCACACAGAATCTACTGTGGATGTCGCCGAGGATATCCTTTTTACGCAGTTCATCTGAGGTGATACACTCACGATTTAATCATTCAAATCCCAAACAATGCGTCTCCGAAAATCGAATCAAAGGAAACGTTTCAACACCAGTACTGTTCTAGATCTTTCTGATGGCGAACAATCAACCACAGTAAACCAAAGCCGCCAGTCGTCTGATGAAGAATTCGTAGTGGACACACGGCGTCAGCAGCCACTAGATGAAGATGAGCATGGTGCTGACCCCCAAGACTCATCTGATTTCGAAGTAAACAATGGCAAGAAATCCGAATCGAGACGGAGGAAGAACCGGCGCTCATGGGCCGTTTCAAATGCAACTAAATCGTTCAGCAAAGTTGAGCCCTATCCAACAGATCCATCTCAGAAATGGACGAGGACGTATGTTGGCCCAGTAAAGAGGTGGACACGATTACTCCATCTCGTAGATTACTGGTTCGGCGAGATGGATAATCGTAGGGAAATATTTAACGGGTTCATGAACCTCTGGTTCAATTTTCAACTCGTTCCCCCTAAACTTACATTGGGGTCTGAACAGTTGGAGATGGCAAGAAATGGCTGGATGCCTGACAATTTCGCCCAGGATATGGAAGACAAATTTCGCAGTTGGTATTTAAGATATCTATCTATGGCAAATACGCCACAGACATCGACATTAATCGACGAGACTAAGGCGCTTCGATGGTTTCTTCCACAGGCCAAGAGCGACATGGGTGTTTTGCTTGGTCATGTGTCGGACCAGAAGGAATACCGCATCAAACAAGGCGAATCTATACCATTTTCTGATTATGGAATACCGATCGAAGTCGAAGGTGATGATGAAGTACGGAGCGGAGGTTGGCTACTTGATGTGGGAGGCATCGTCCTCTCTATGGGATGGGCTCCCATCAAAGGAGAAGTCGATCAATTTCTAGCTATGGCAACTATACCATATTCAGACCAGGCTTATTATAAAAACCTTGATGATATGCCAAAGGGGTCGGATATGAAGGAAGGAACTATTCAAATTTGGAGATTCAAAGCGGAAAAGGACAATAAAGGGGTTCTCCGACCGGCGCGCTCATCTCCAAAATTAGCCCAAGCGCTATGTTTTCATTGGGGAAGGGCGCTGCGAATGCAGTGGTGCCCCGTCCCTCTTTCAATAGAGGACAACATAGCTCTGGTGGCTGCGCTATGTGGTGATGGGACGTTAAGGGTTATCAAGGTCAATCTTGGCGCAGGGAAAGATAGTGAGGGAACATTTGGTAAGTGTCCATGATACTATTCGCAAAAAAGAGTTGCTGACACCATCACAGAGGAATTGCAAGACCCAATGGTTACTATCAGGCCCCCTAAAGAGCACACCGTGGAAATCAATTGTTTCACCTGGTGCAATATGAATCGGATTGCTGTGGCTCTTTCGGATGGATCGGTAGTATTATGGTCGCTTTCGCCCTGCTTACCTCTGATGCGTCACCCTGTCCACGGGAGCCCTATAATGGACATTGTATCCGGTTACCCTTCTAACTCATTTATAGTCGCAACGATGCCGATGGGTGGAATGTTCACCTTAACTGATCTAAATCGACCGACCGCCGAGAAGACGTATCACGGTAATCCTGTAGTTTCTCTTCAGCCGAATACCCTTGTGTGGAATGATCATCTAAGAGGGTTCGCATCTATATGGCCCACATCTTTTCCAGGAACTTCGACTATTTCATTCGTACACTCTCGGGTGTTCCCTCTATCTCGTCATATATGCACCGTTGAGGGGCAGACGATGTGCCTTGCATTCGGAAAGTGTCATCCATACCTCCTTGCTGGAAGCTCAGATGGCTCTGTTTGGGCTCTCAACGTCTTGCGCAAAATGTCATCACATAGGGACAAGACGCACAAACTAAAAATCTTCCAGCACGAGTATTGTGCACCTCGGCCATCAGGTGCAGCAACTGACAACCACGAGCAAAGTTCGCAGCGTGGAACCTGCCGCATCATCCACGGCTTCCTTCCGCAGGTAAATATACATCCTCTTGGCGTGAGGGTTGCGAAGGAAAGTAGAGTCAAACGAGCCAAAAAAGCAAAGGGTAAAGAAAAGGCCAATGAAGCAGATGACGGCCCTGCATCTGACGATACGGAGCGAGAGGACGACGAAAATTTCACCATGGTCCCGGGACCCATTACTATTCACGAACCCCTAACTCGGGTTACGGCTTTATCTTGGAATCCAAATGCGGAATTCGGCTGGTGGGCTGCAGCGGCAATGGGTTCCGGATTGGTAAGAATCATGGATCTCGGCATTGAAGATGATGAAGAAAAATCGCATGAGCAACGAGGACAGCCAGGATCCTTTGGTCCGGAAGATGGAACTGCTGGTGATCCTGATGGTCTTAATGATGAAGATGAGATGGAAGAAGATTCTGATGCAGATATAAACATGACGCTGGATGATTAAGTTAAGGCCCAGATAGGCAGTCCAGACGCGAGTAATTTCGATCGCATAGATGATACCCGATGCCCTAAGGGCGTCTTTAGCAAAAATTGAGCTTCCTTTCCGATGTTCTCACTTTGCTATTAATTTCGGTATATCGTTTTATGACCTAGTATGCCTATTCATCGCCTTTAGCAGCATTCGAGGTCCATTAGTTGCAATGTTCCGCACTAACATATCTATATCTGTGATTGGAGCTTAAGAACGCATGATTAGTACGCTGTGAATAACGCCTCCTACGTAGGTGGATTGATATAATCTCACATGTCTCAGAAGCCCCCAAGGAGCTAGTTCCCTAGGTAGGTAGTTACCGATGTATTGTCTTCAATCTCTCCGAAATCGGGGTTTCTCTAGCACTGTCCAGCCATAATGCTATGATGGTAGTCAAAAGCCTTGATCATGCCAGTCAGATGAGATGCTGCGGCGAATAAGATCAGGATATGGAACAACTGGTGAGAGCTGCCCCAAATATCAAATGTTCGTGGGAAGCTTCGTTCAGGCCATCGAACCAATAAGGGTATTAGTATCTCGTCGTATATGAATAAGATCCCTTCAACTTACTGCATACTAACGCACCTTTAGTTAGTAAATATGAAAACATCGAGATTGGGAAAGGTGAAAACGGATATTAGAATATAGGTACTCACAAGAAACGCCCCAAAGATGTACAAGAACCCTTGGAACAAAACCCAATTAAGTCCCATACGCTCATCAAGCGATTGATAACCATAAACAGATAGGCTGTGGTAGATAGGAACGACTCCAGATACTCCCAGGCCAACGAACATAGCCGCTCGATAGGGTCTCCAGCGTGGTGTCCGAAACCGTTCAATCCAGGATACCAAGCCGCAGCCAAAACCTAAAGTGAAAATCTGTTGAGGAATATATCGATTAGCGCCAGATTTTCTTGTAGCCCGGCGTAGAGAATAGGGTCACCTACACCGTACAAATAAACCGTCATCAGATTCGGCAGGCAAAACAGTGCGTAGTAAAGCGCCGGGACATAGCTCCCGACGATGAGAAATATGATACCGGAGTAATCCAGCTTATTCCCCCACTTCGCGACCTCCTCGGAGTGGTTTGAGATAGCATCTACGTAGTACGAGTTAGGCTCTCACAGATCCACAACATCTCACTTCCACGACATGCAGAAACGAGACTAATAAGACGCCGGTTACTCACTGCTCGCAAATTAGCACCTGAACTCACGAAGCGCGGGGGTAAGGGTGGAAATGATAGATCAATTCAAACTCACCGATACGTGGCGCTCATACCAAGACACATGACGGCGCCGGCGAAGAAGCAGCCAAAGACGAGGACGTCAGAGGCGTTGGCAGAGGCATAGCGCGGCGCGATGACATGGTACAGCCAGGCGGCGGCGGCGGGGACGAACAGGGCGCCGAGGAGGTGTGTCCAGATGTTCACGGACTCGTTGTGCACGTAGAAGAGCGAGGTGAAGGAACGCCAGTAGCTGTTGCTGTCGCGCCGGTACCCCGTCTCGATGAAGTGGTTGTCGCGCCGCCAGGACGGCAGGTCGTCCCATAGGATGAGGAGCGCTGAGGCGAGCTTGTGCTCTACGTCTGCGGCGGCGTGTGCGAGCTTTGAGGCCGAGGAGGAGGATCGCCGTTTTCGGAGCCCGGAGGCCGTGTGTGAGGTTGTCTCGGTCATGATGCGTGTGGTCCCTGACTAGCTGTGTAGGTGCGCTTTTCACTTTCCACTTTCGGGTTGTGGGTTAGTCTCAATTAGTGGATTCCTGGGTTCTTGTATCTCGTCGATGCATAAGTTAAAAATCTAGTGCTGTCAATTCATATCTAAACGAATGGATGTGTTTTATTTTAACTGAAATCCAAAGTTGTTGGGCTGTGAAGGTGAAGGAAGTTTTGTTGAGAGGCCAATTGTGGCTCTCTGCCATCTGGTGGTTTAAGGTACCTCGGATAGTCGGGCTGACAGCTGATTTCACTTGGTGGGTAGGTTAGTAGGTATGGATACAGGTACAGATCCTCTTTAGTGCCATTGGAAAAGACATAGAAGATCCAACCACGGGCTAAACATGTGAATTTTTGTTAGAGAAAGTCTCAATGGCATATCAGAAGAAATGACGTGTGTATGGATTGGTGTATTGAGCGTCATAGCGTAAAATATTCCCTGAAACCCCATGAAACCCGGCAGCAATATGAAAAGTAATGTCTATCCTTGAAGCGCCTACGCTGTATGCAACCATATTCTCAGCATCATGGCTTCGTTGCTTCCGTGAACCGTAGAGTAGGTATGTGGAGTATCGGATCTTTCTTATTTCTTGCCGCTCTTCTTGATGCCCTGGTTGCCGCTGTTCAACGGTCCCTTGCCACCAGCCTTCTTGGCCATCTCTGCGCGTGCCTTCTCGTCTGATTGTTCAGGTTAGCGATTGGTGATTAGCGATATGTTAATAGTTACGAGAAGGACATACCAGCGCGCTTCTTCTCGAGGAAAGCCTTATCATCTTCATCGAGATCCTTCGCCTGCTTCTTAGGAGCCTTCAGAGGCTTGATCTTGCCGCCTAGCAAAAATATCGGTGTCAGCAAAAAGCCTTCGATAATCACGGGTAGATCCTGGAAGAATGCACAGCGTACCTTCTCTGTTCTGGCCACCCATCTTGAAATGAGATATTTGCGCACGGGTGTCTTAATTGATTGTAGGTTCGTACGAGATGCCAGACAGGATTTATCCGCAAGAAAATACGGAAGGAAAAGCAGTCGCGAAAGAAAAACAAGTCAGAGTCCAGTCTAGAACAATCAGCCAAACCTTTGCAGATGTGACCGCGGGGCAGCCGAACAATTGGAAGGGTCTAACGCTTGGACCACGCTAAAATCACGCTAAAACAACTTAATGCCGTTGAAACTAGATCCACTCTGCTGAAAGATCCACCTTGGCAGTCACGCTACCGGGATTCGGCGGCACATAAATCCTTTCTGTTGGAAGGCGTCGAGCAGTGCACAGGCAGCGCCCACGTCAATAGCGCCTGCTATCTTGAATGTTTCTAACGTGAGTTGTTTTATCAAGTCGTCATCATTTCAATTCAACACTTAAACCGATTCATGATTTTCGGATCAAGCAACATCCATATACCCCCCACAGGACGTCGCGACGTCTAATTCGTGATCATTTCTCCCGTTATCCAGTTCTTCAGACGGCATATACGTAACCCGTACACTGCCACCACCATTACCTTCAACACTTCGACGATTTAATTCATGATGCGACGGAATTGACAAGACGCTTGACGGTTCGACTCAATTCTGCACCTCCAATATTTGACGATTTTTGTGGCTGACACACATTCCCCTACTCCAAAGGTCCAGAAGTATTCGTCTAGGTACTTCCTAGATACCTACATCCATTAATATAGTGAGCAACAAATGGCAACTCCCGCTGCCAGTTCTGACGAGGGGGAAATTGTGGAGAACGGTGTTGGAGACTTGAAGGCAACTTCACTGGCTCAGTTTGAAGGAACCGATGTTGACCGTGCCGACAGAACTCGAGCTAGATATTCAAGATCGAGATCACCCGAGTATTCAAACGGCTCGAGATATCCTCCTAGCATATCCCGACGAAGTCGCTCTCCTCGCGGGCACAAGCGCCCCCGCGATGATCATGATCGCGATCGCGACTCGCATCGTGGCGGCCGCGTAGATGCGGATCCGAGACGATTTCGCGTCCATTACGAAGACGCTGCCGACAATCACCGCCGCTCGCGCTTCTACGAAGACGAAGACCGCCCCCCTTCGCGTTCATCAACTTCCGGCCTCCATTACGACGATAGGGATAGAGATTATGTATCTCGTAGTAAGGGAAGAGATCGAAGCCGAGAGTATGACCGACACACCAAGAAGCGTCCTAAAAACCGTTCTCGTTCGCCATTCCGGCCATTACGAGGCGATAGGAATCGGGGTGGCCAATTTCGTCGTGATGATAGCAAATATCAGCGCGCTTCTGATAGGGATGGCGTAGAAAGCGTTAAGTCGAGCAGGCAAGGCACTCCTCGGTATTCTCAAGACAATGCAAAGTATTCGGAGCGACAAGCTCCTGCATTTACTACAGGTACTGGCAAAGACAAGACTAAACGTGCACCAGGTAGTTCAGAAGAAACTACTCCTACTAATCCACCGACTCGATCTCATGAGCCCGAGAAGGACTATGAAGAGGAGAAACCCGTTGACATAGATGCGGAATTAGAACGCAGACGACGTCGTCGCGAAGAACTTCTTGCTAAATCGTCGCGTGGTGCCACGCCAATGTTAGTACAGGCTCTCCAAGCTTCGGAGAAGACGAATGGTTCATCAACAGGGGGTAGCCAAACACGAGCAAGCACTCCTATGGCTGTCGATGGAAATACTCCTGGATCCAGTAAGCAACTCTCACTTTTCAATCAGATCAATCCAATTTTAACGTTATCTACAGTTGTTTCGTCGCCAAACTCTCCAGCCCGTGGTCTTCAAGAAGGGATGTCACCTGCTGCAATCGAAATATCCAGCGACCAGGAACTTATCAACACACATGGCGAATTTAAAGGTACTGATGAAGATGGACCTTCTGCGGCGGACTACGATCCTACGGTAGATATGAGAGAGGATGAGTTACGAGACGAGCTCCGCCATACCCATATTGGCCCTCACGGAGAGACGCTTCCTTCTGACCAGAAAGCTGAGGTAGCCCTGGTAGATGAGCCGCAAAGACCGGAGAAGCCAAAAACAGACGAGGATGACGATTTCGACATGTTTGCTGAAGAGTTTGATGAAGAGAAATTTGCTGCGCCGAGACCTACTCACTTAGATCCCGCTGTAGACAATGGCGACGTTCCTGTTGCCATTGTTCAGGCTAATGCTGGTGGTATTCTCGAAGGTGACGACAAGGAAGGATATTATAAAATTCGAATCGGCGAGATCATGGACGGTCGATACCAGGTTCAAGCAACCCTAGGTAAAGGCATGTTTTCAGGTGTTGCCCGGGCTGTAGACATCACAACCAAGAAATTGGTTGCCATCAAGATGATGCGAAACAACGACGCTCTCAGGAAGGGAGGCTTTACCGAGATCGCGATTTTGCAGAAGTTAAACGAGGCCGACCCTGAGAATCGTAAGCACATTGTGAAATTTGAGCGTTACTTTGAACACAAGGGCCACCTTTGCCTAGCATTCGAGAATCTCAGCTTGAACCTGAGAGAGGTTTTGAGGAAGTTTGGCAACAATATCGGTATCAATCTCAGTGCAACGCGCGCATATGCACATCAGATATTCGTGTCTTTGGCTCATCTTCGGAAGTGCAGTATCATTCATGCTGACTTGAAGCCGGACAACATCTTGGTAAGTCAGCCCAGAGTGCAACTTATGGCCAGGCCGTTACTAATTATTTGCAGGTTAATGAAAATCGCAACATCCTTAAGATTTGTGATTTGGGTACGGCTATTGATAGATCTGATGCTGCAACTGCGAATAACGAGATCACACCGTACCTGATTAGTCGATTTTACCGAGCGCCAGAGATTATCCTCGGGATGCCTTACGATTACGCCGTCGATATGTGGTCCATAGGCTGCACGTTGTATGAGCTTTACACCGGCAAGATTCTATTTACGGGTGACAGCAACAACCAAATGCTCAAAGCAATTATGGAGATCCGTGGCAAGTTTAGCACTAAGCTGTACAAACGCGGCGAATTATCTCACATGCACTTTGATGAGGTTGGTAATTTTATCAGCCATGAAAGGGACAAAGCGCTTGGAAAGGTACGTTATCATTCCCTTATTCGCAAATAATTTCCTTTACATCCCAATGGAGAAATCTGGTTGAGCCTTTATGTTACTATTTATATACGGCGTTTAGTAAACGCTTTCGGGAACATAACCGGCTATAGATGTCAGGGCACGGCTGCAAGCTGCAGGCAAGTTACATCAAAACAAATGCATTCGGGGTATTCAGGATGACAGCCACACGGCGACCCTCATCTACGTTTATCACCACCTTACTACATTTAGGAATTTATCGGCGAGTCCAAGTGGAATCCTACGATCACATTCAGCTATAGCTTGTCTCAGGTTGGAGTGCATGCCATGCGCTTACAACATAAGTGCTACCCCGGATCTGACGGCGTCGAGCTGACGCTCTCAACCAACCTCTATCCATTAGCTTGATCCTAATTCCGATCAAACCCCGCGTCCTGTTTTCCTTCCCGTCTCGTTTATCATATCTAAAGTTATAGAAGTTTGCATGGGGCATGGAAACTAACGGTTATGCAGACAACGGTACGAACGCTGGCTGTTGTCAAGCCAACTCGCGATCTGCGCACTCGCCTCCTGGCCGCCTCCGGAGGCATGAACGATGTGGAGTCTAGGGATCTGAACCACTTCGTAGACCTATTAGAGAGATGTCTGACGCTTAACCCAGACAAGAGGATTACTCCAGCTGAGGCTCTGAAGCACCCTTTTTTCACAACAAAGCTTGCCGGACCCTCAAGATAGCGTCATGTGGGTCTACCGCGAACGGTTATTCAGAATGGTGCGCATTAATATCCTAGATACACGGATCATCTCACCAGCTATCTCATGTGCAATGGCAAAACTTCCCTGCAGATCCCACTGGAACTCTTGGAATAATACCGAGATGGTTTTGAGCTTTCGTGGCAGCATTCAATTTGAATGCGTGGTCCGCGTTAAGGTGCTTCGATAACAACATAGAAGAGTGGCGCCTTTTCAACACCTCTATAAATAGTGTTGTATCCACGGGGCTTGGGGTCATTAGGGGCACTGCGTTAATTTTACATGGTCCGAATGAGGCCGCTCTATTCAAGTGGAAGGGGGTAATAGATACCGAACCGCCTTGATTTAGAATAGAGGACAATACAATAACCGGTTAATTCTGAGCCGCCTATTTCTATAATCAGTGCTCATCAATATGTCGCGATGCTACTTGGACGGCGCTTCTACATAATTAGTAGTAAAGGTAATGCCGCAACTCCGTCCAACGGTATGTAAACCATGTTCAAGCCCACCTAGTTATTATTTTTCAACATTTTTTAACACTAAAGACTCCTATTGGCCTCGATAGGGGCCTCTGCATGAATGCTTCCATATAGGATCGAGACCACGCTTTCCTAATGGTTTGACGACTGCCAAGGCCCGCGCGTAGGATCTAGTGCTAGACGTTGGGACCTGCTAGGGCCGATCCTTCCGTCCGCCTGCGCTGCGGGTCTGGGAATTGGTGGTAGATGAGTAGATGGGTAGGTAGGTTATGTTGGAGATGACGTGATCGAGATGACGCCGTTGTATATCTGGCACGCGGCTCGATTCCGGCCGGGTTCATGGGATCGTTTGGTGTGTTTCGTGGAATATGTGGAATGTGTGAAGAGATGCTATTACGAGCTGGCGAGTGGTAGGAGGCCTGCAATCTAGGCTGTGTAGAAACGAAGTCGTGTTTAGACAGCGAAGAAGTTGGCTTGGTGTGAGATGTTACTATGCTGTTGAACGTTATGTTGCCCCTTTTGAAGATTCGCCTGGTACGTGATGATCATGGGGGAGTGTCGAGTCACATATTGGATGTTGTTCTTTGCCTGTGGTTGAGTGACGATACTAGGTATGTTCTGTTCCTTTATTCTTAGACGAAGGAAGAACTCTGTGCTTTCTGTGATACTCGGGGTAACTAAAGACTTGGTATGCTGGACGAATATTCAGGACTACTGCAATTGCTTCGCTGTCAAGTGTCGATATCATCCTAACGTCGCTTCTCTGTATATCGCCACTTGATAATGCTCGCGTAATGGCCATCCATCAATGTAAGTCATATTGTAACAAGCCGTAGTCAGAATGGTAGCATCCTACACTCTGTCTTCTCCTACTCCTACTCCCATACTCGCTAATATTCATTTCGATCCCCACTCTGCTTGAGCTGACAGGATCACTAAGCTTCGGGAGCGCCAGCTTCAATGGCCCCGGTTGGGGGTAGGAGTGCAGGTTTCCATGACAGAAGGACTCTTAGATTATAGTCCAGTGTTGATGCATGAACAAGGCACAACATGGTGCCAGGAATTCATTGCAGTATGGAACAGACCCAACCGCCCGTTCCTTTCAGTTCGATGACTTGCGTCGTTTGTGGGACTAAGCCAAGCAACTCGGGAAGGAATCTTATGAGCGGCTACGACGTATGCGAGGGGCGTGATCCATATTGAGCACTATATCAACTGATTCGCGAAGTGTTGAGGATTTGAGGGAACCCAACCCCCCTACTAACTGCCGTATTGTCGCTGTTATTGGACGCCCTGGTGCGGGAATTGTCCCTGTTACTGAGCCCCCTGAAATGAAGACCTTGAATAGTATCTTCAGATTCGAATTTGACCACATCATGCAATTTGCCCGTTCGCCACCATATCCCTTCTGACCATCAAAGTGAATGAAAATATTGAAAAAATATGTTTTGACACAGCGTCAGGGAAGAGGAATGGGGGCGATCCTGCAGTCAAGTGACAGGTGATCGGCCGTCCCTGTAACCCGGTCTCCTACACGCAGACGAAAGTCGTCACTGGACCTGGCTATAATTAGCCGTGTCTATCATGATGGCCTGATATTCGCGCCCCTCGGCGCCCCCCATACGCTTCGTTATTCGCGACCTGCGAAGTACGATGTGTGTGCGAAATAAGACTGCGGTGACACGTTCCCGAAAACGAAAGTGCCGCATCTGATTGGTAAACTCGTGCAGGTTATACTACAGCCCGTGACACCCACGCTCCCGAGGCTGAAGACAGAGGCTCGGGAGATGACTAATTGGTGAGATCTTAGTAACTTGGGTAACTCCCTGAATCACCTACCTCTCTGGCTGGGTACCTACCTACTGCTATGTTGGGTAGGCGTCACAAGCACAAGCCTCCTTCGGCAGCCCGCGCAACCACATAGGCTACTACCTGGACACCGGTATCTTTCTACGCAGCATTTGAGTGGTCTGGACTTTGAGACGGGCAGGGACATAGGCATGTATGAGTAGTAAATATGCTATGTATGGGGGATCCCAGACTAGATGAGAAGATGCAATGCGAGTATCCGTCCAAGTTCGTTCGGTTCGCTGCCGTGGTCCGGGGCGGGTTGAGAGACAGGACGAAAGTTAGTGCCACCGGAGTGTGTTAGGAGGCTGTGCTCATCGCCACACCGTCGTTACGCGCGTCGCTGGGTAGAACACATATAGCGGCTCGACATTGCCCTTCTACATACTCGCATGTGCTACACGATGGCATCGTAGGATGAACCACAGACGTAGGTGTTGGTATCAGATCTCACCAAACCGATGCGATCTCGGGGAGTTGCGGCAATGTATTCCACTCCGGATCTTCAACATCCTATCGATACATACCTATGTAAAAGCAAATGGACATCTTAAGGTTCTAAATATATCCCCCAGATTCATGCACGCAGTGACTACCTACCTTGTACGGGCCACGTAAAGCGGCCGCCGCCCACCAAGCCCAGGCCGAGGTATGGCCTACGCCTTTAGCGCCCCGACCCTATGTACGAACGGCCTATTAACTTACCAACTAAAACGTGGCGGGAAGGTTTGAGACCTCTGGACGGGCTACTATACGTGAGTAAACTTGGTCTTAGATCGCAAACGAAAACCGAGCCGCAGATTTCACGACATGCGCATATCATATGTGGACGGGACCAACAGATTGCCTTGATATCGTTGCCGCCCCAGTGGCTGTGCCACGTTCCCTCGCAGGGCGCACGGGAGAAACGCATGTATGCGGCTTTGTCTCAAGCCGGCGGCAAGTTTCGTTCGTTCGTTTCGTGGGATGGATTCACGGACGGCAAAGTGATGATGTTTTTTTTTTTCAAACAAGTTTTTCCTTTTCTTTTCTTATGGCGGAGCTTTCTCGCTTTGGTCTAATGTACGAAATATGCGCTCAGTGGAAAGCCACTTTGATAGGTATGTAGGTCGTTTGTTGGAGAGTTAGACAAAAGATGCTTTGTCTAACTGAGGTTACATCCATGAGGTTGGATCTGTTGTCGCTGTTGTTGCTCTTGCTGGGCTTACTGTACTGTACTGTGTTAGTGACACCACCAGCCGTTCGGGATAATCACCGGCGGCTACCCGAAACCCGCACCAAACCCTCCCCCATGGTAGTAGACCCGATGGGTTCTCCATGCCGGTGCCCGGCCGCAAGCGACATGTCAGATCTAGCGGCCGGCGGGTCGAAGATGGTACGGCCACCACTGTGTTCCGGGATCCAACCGGCTCGTAGCTCACGGAGGGGGTGAGTAAGGGGGTCCGTAGACGGTGGCACAGGAGAGACAACCATTCTCCACTCCTTATGCTATGTCGCCTAAGTGTGCATATGCCGTGCGTACGTGTAAGTCATAACGACGCAGGAGAGTCAAGCTCCGCCAGCCCCAGATCCATGACGAGAGAGGTGATGTAAAAGGCTGGGGTCAGATACAGAGTAGAGGATATGATATGCCAGTATGCTAAGCAAGGGACGTTTGAGACAGAAAGAGGCTGAGATTGAAATCACATCGAACAAGGACGACACATCTGAAGAACACCAATGAAAATGCTCGTCGTTATTATTACACGCACTTGGAAACCGGACCGCGAGCCTTGCCGATCGGCATCCACTTACGCAACCGGGCACGGCCTGAGAAGGTAAATCTCAAGTCGCTCATGACGGCAACGACGTCGGCGGAGTGCCGTATTCGATCGATTATCGAATCCTCCCCGCCTCCTAATATAACGCCCAATTCTTGGTGTTCCTGACCTGCAGCTTCGGTCGGGAATCTTTGAAGCCTCAACGATACTTGCTACCTAGAAACTACTATGATAGGAAATCTCACCCCTTAACCCCTCTCCTTACATTTTCGCGATTATTGATTTTCATCACAAAAGGCTACACAGCAAATATATTAAAGTTGGCGATCCTGACGTATCGTGATGCCGTTGTTTGTTTCGTGTGCTTCGTCTCGGCTGTAACAGGTGCTTGGGGCCTTGCATGACGTCGGTGAGGAAAAAGACCAACCATGCCCTTGCAGAATGTGTTTAAATAGATAGGTGTGGCTACTCTTGGGATTGTTTATTGGCCATGGCACACGATTTCGATGCTAATTTCATATGTTTGGTCTCACCTTACACCTGCAATATTATATTATACTACGATTGTGATGATGTTGCTTTTGTCACCTGTGATTTGCTGAGCTAACAAAGTCCTTTAGGGCTACAAACCTGACATCATACACAACGAAATATACGACCGGCGTAAATGAGGCGCAGCGCACTTCGTACCTTGGGGGGGCAACGGTCTACCCGGCGAAAGCGATTAGGACCATCTTGTGATTCTCACTTTCGGGTAGTAATATCGCTGCACCCTCATTCGCGACATTGGTGATTACGACACTAGCAGTCACATTATTTACTCCCGTCCATTCAGAGATCGCTGAGATCGTTGGATTGATGGGCATGATGGAAGCGGTGATCCAGCTTGATCCCCTTGATCTAGAGTAGTCGGTGCTAAGCCGAAGATGGAAGTTAGCAGGTTAGCAGGCTTGGAAAGGCGTAGAACAATTCGACGATCAACACAGAAAAGTACCAAGTATAGTAAGGAATTGCAGAGAATAGAAGAAATAGACTGAATAACTTCGGCGGAACTCTTCCGGGAACGGGAGGGGCAGAACACTGCGGGCGACGATCCCAACGTCAAGAGGACGGGGTCCGCGACGGCCAGGGCAGTTCCCATTGGGGACCCCACGATCCAATGACCGAGCCCAGACGCATCCTCCCTCATTGTAGCATATCTCGGGATACATCACCGCCTATCAAGAGCAATCGACAGCAGACGCTAACGGTGCGACATGGGCACAAGAAGCGCGGTGGCCTCTGCTCCCTCGCTAGGCACATGAAGGGGATAGCGCCGGTAACGTAATAACAGAGTGGAGGAGAGAAGAAAAAAAATATTAATCAAGATTCAAATCTGCTCAGGGCGGGAGCGTCGCACTACCCGGTGTCCACTTGATTGAGATCTTCCACGGTGACGATCTTTCAGGAGGAAGGGCTTGCCGAATCACCAGATACACGGCAAGGGCCGATCGTTCAAGGCCTGGTCAGTGGTCACCACCATCACCATCACCTACGCTGCTACATAGTACGGTTTGTGTACTTATTAATTCCATTCCATTATTCTAATTCCAATCCCCAACGTCATGCGTAGTCCTAACTACTGTTTCGTCATACGCGGGAAAAATATCCTAATCTGTGTACCAACACTTAGACGAAACTCCGAGTCACGGTTCATCTTCCTGAAAGAGGGCTGACATCGAGTCCTGAAGATTGATTATCGTGTTGCATACAAGTAAATATGGTACGAAGTACGACCGAGTATTACTGTAGGGCGTTCGGTTCCCTGTAAGAATACCAGCTAGCGGCTCCATCGCCAAATGACCATCACAGGCATCTTGTTTGAGGCCAAGGGGGGTCCTGTAAGCTTTGCAGGCTTGCAGGCTTGGTGGTGTATGGTTTGTTAGTGTTAGGCTGAGACTCCAGGGACCAGGAAGTACGTGGTCTAAGCGGGTGTGATGGTTGTACGGAAGCTGGGAAAGGTCTTTCATCAGATCTGGAGGGGAAGGGGGATTACATAACCAACAAAAATGACTGGTGATGTCTATCATTCCAGTTCCATGTCTCGGGATCGCACTAAAGGCCAGTTGCCCGCAGACCGTGCTGCCGTGGAGGCTCGTGGAAAACAGGGTTTGAAACATTATTCGAATATTAGGGCGGTATTCTGGAAACCATGTACCATGCCACCTCGTGAAAACCGAATGTAAGGGTGTCGACTCATACTAGAGTAGTGTTTGCCGTCAACTACGGGATTGGTACGCTCGTATCTGATTCGCTGCGGCGCAAGAAAGAGGCATTATCAACTCGACCGGTTCTAGGCAAGCCATGCTCACCAAGTTCATGCAAAGCTGTGGTGACGTTTGTTGCGGTGAGAATAGGCTAAATTGGGAAAGTGGCATAACATCGCCTAGATTGGCTGTTGTTGAATGGGATCAGCCATATGATCGAGACTGTGGCTCATGGCGGTGAGTTTCAACGCGTAGACAAGTAGACGAGATAATCTCTTTTCTTTCCTTTCCTTCCTACATACCTACCACACAGCTACAGTACCTTCTCATCCCGGGTTCTTACCACACCTTTATCGGACCTGTCCTTTTGTCGTTGGTGTTTTGAGGATGGTCTCATCATGAGTGTCTTTACGAGGAAGCAAAATGAGATCACGCGGTTGTTATCAAGAGGCTGGACGCGTGTAAATAAGGCTATACATGTCAAGGTGATAACCGATGTCTTGAGAGTTACAGGTTTGTAAGATGAATTCGTATCCGTTCGCTATTGTTGTCTCATGAGTATCCGATGACTTCTTTTTTCATCGTGAGAAACAATTTGGTTCAAACATCGAAGGACCCACCTAAACCAAGATCCAGTCTATGTGATGCGATACGGTTTAAGAATAATCCGATGATCCGATAATCCGATAATCCGATCTGATTTTATTATGCTTTCTGTCTAACCTATTAGGTAGGTATCTCAAGTAATTAATCTCATTCCTTAAACCTTCTATTATGAGTGTAGTAAGTTCCAAAGTTTCTTTCTATTTTTAACTATTTTTTGCATTTTCATCTAATGATTCTTCACTTTTACATGTTTTTTATCTTATTGTGTCTCCGTCACAAGCATGCTTATTGATTACATCCCATACATCAACATCCCGTTTCTTGCAGGACTGCAATGTCAAAATGCTCATTTTAGATTCGAACATAGGCAGTATCTGATCCATGGTTGGCCCTAATGCCCTGGACCGACAGCCTCATTCTCGGCAAGACATGAGAAGGCGCCGGCCAATCTCATCGAATGAATCCTTCATCCCTTTGCCGTATTACGAGGCTACTGCATGCGGACAGGACGACCGCACCAAAGAAATTATTTAATACCACCCACACTGATTCGGAGATAATCCCTCACTTCAAAGTCTACAGCCTCGAAAAGCTGGGGCTCCATTAGATTCATTACCGTCCACACCCTCCAACATTTGCTAGCCAATCAAGCCAATCAAGCCTGGAAGAGCCTAGGGTGTATCTTCTGTAGAGTGTCGGGATGCTACAAGGAAGCTCTTGCGCCATTGGGCAGTTTCGTGCATTTGCTGCAATGCGACCAGTGCCCAGATGCCCTTCTACGAATCCGGTAGCATTACCGCCACTAGTTAGTTTTCTGCAGAAAACTGCAGCTCTGATAATCAGTCGGTCAGTCAGTCGTCAAATTAATGAAACTGACGGGGAGGGAATGGCGAGTGCCCGTCTTCCTTCGTTGACAGTCGCTACCCAGGCACTGCATCACAACGGCCGAAATTTTTTTCTCTTCTCTTTTTTTAAAATTAAAGAAAAAAAAGTATTCTCAGCGTCGCGCAAGATTGACCGCGCGGGTACAAGCGGCCCCAAACCAAATCCTTAAACAAGATATTCTTTGCCGCTCAAACTAAAGAAGATGGCTTAGACGTTAGACGTCATCTCGTTTCTAGCAAACGACTCATCTTTGGCGGCAAATTCATATGAAGAGACAAAGCAAACCACCAACATACTCGCTCAACTGATTTAGCGATCTCCGGGTATGTATGTGTGCAGGTTAGGCGGCAGCATAAACCGGCTATTCCAAAATAGTGATACTCTGCCTCTCTGCTCAGCATAGCATACCAGACTACTGAACTGCAAGAGCATGAGAATGCTCCGCAATTGGTTCAAAATATGCTTAGACAAATTACAAACAAATAGTGCTATATGTAATGTAGGTGCAAAAGCCACGCCAGTTTGTTTACGTACCTGTCTGCCTGTATGTAGGCATTTTGCGGGCTCAATCTGCGAGAAACAGAAGGAGAGGGGAAAGAAACATCAGCCTACGAGGCGGAGAATCAGTTGAATCAGTGCATACATACGAGACACCTACACCATACACACATAGCAAAGTGCTAGAAGCCTGTGTCAGTCGATATGGGCAGATTCTCAGCTTGTTTCTCTCACGGACCTAGCATAGTAGAAGAGTGCGACAAAACAGAGACACCGATCTTGCAACACGGCAAGCATTGGCCAATGCAGCATTGATCTAATGGAGCACGAGGCATCTCTTGCAACAGAAAGCTTACTGGGCGAATTCCTATTCAGAATTACCAGTCTCGGAGACTTTGCCTTACCGCTGAATGATTATGCATTCCCTTTGCGAAAATCTTCGGGGCAACGAGCGGACTGCTTGAGTGAGCGAGTAGGGCATACTGGGCATAGTGGATGGGTAGATGGAGCACGGATCGCCCGTTACCTATCCTCAGAATGTTTCCAAGAGTCACAATGCTGGCCTTGGCCTGAAGAAGAAAGCTACCCACAAACTGCAGTACTGTACAATACGCAGTGCGTACGAGAAAAGTTTGCCGCAAGCGCATCCCGTTTCGCCTCTTCTCTTTTTTTTCTTATTGATTTCTTCACGAGCAATGATTCATCTACTATTAGTGGATAAAGATGAAGTAGTCATAATCTAAAAAAAGGATACAACTTGGATCGGGATCTATCTAGGACCCTAGGTGCTATCATAGAAAACAATTTTCTTCAAAGTTTGATCAGAAGGGAACTGTTTCTTGTTGGCCAAATCAAGGATCTTGCCAACCGCCCGGCGTTCCAATGGCAAAGAGAGCAAAGAGAAAAGTCATGCGAGTCACGGGTCGACGATTTATGACGATTCGCCCAACCAGTAAGAGAAAGGGAGGGCATACTAAGGAGATGAAAAGAGGTGGACCGTCAGCAGCCTGAACCAGTTCTTTCAACTCTCTATGGATTGAGATCACACGCACGCCCCCCTTCTCTTCGGTTCGGTCTCTGACTAGCTTGACTAGGATTCTAGGCGTGGTATTAAATATTGGACATGGCTCTTGTTAGGGTGACAGTGGCCCACCCTCGACCGTTGAGTGGACCATTTATTTTCGTGTGTCAGACAATCCTTGTCCTCGTATATTACGACGAGCCACGAAGATCTTGGGTCCTTGTCCAGCCTGGGTTATCCATCCCTCCAGTGGAGCGCCCTAGAAGGTACTGGTTCCATTCCTTGACACCTCCCCTTGCTCCCTTCTCCTTGTACCGCTCCACTCTCGCCAGGCCGCCTTCACAGCTACGCTAGCGCGCCGAATTTCAAGAATAGCGCATGTGTGGGAAGAAGTGTGGAAGTGGCACCAGTAGGTCAGACATGGGATATGAGCTGGCTATTGATCATATTGTGGACTGTGGACTGTGGACTGTGGACTGTGGACTGTGTGTGTACAATGTACATACAATACAGAATACACAGAGGATACCAGATACCAAAATACCTAGCAGAAGTAGAAGAGTCAAGCCTAGGGTGGTCGGGGCTTTCTTCTTGAGCCACTCCAAACACGCAACAAATTCAAGCCCTTGGCGAACGGGTTGTTATCTCCAATATCTACATCAACCTCCCAGCTTGCACCTTGCTTGAACCTCACATCATTCATTACCTCCATTCATTACAGAAACTCACCCGCCATTCCACCATATCACTAGCTCTTTCGAACCTCGACATCGTCGCCATTGCCGTCGCCGTCAAACACTCCCTCAAACTAACACGACTTTGGCCATTGACACCTGGCTCATCACACGGCGATTACTATCCCAATTCCATGGCCCGTTGACTCGACGCCATAGCTTAGACGACCCAGGAAGATAATATATTGCGTACAGCCCCAGGACTTACCGTGGATTTTTCACCCAGGACTTTGCAATTTGGTTCAAGGACGCTGTCCCCCGTAGAGAAGGCCGTTTTTCTCATTCCTTTCCTTATCTGTCACTCTTAGAATCCAGTTTCCCGGCATTTTCTTACCAGGAGAGGACCTCGTAATCTGTCGCATACGATGCATCATGTGGCAGCGTACGGATATCCCACGCCTCCGGCATCGCCGTCCTACGACAACAACAAGTGCACCTTTCAACAGTCACCTCTCCCAATCCCGCCAGTTTGCCAACCTCGATACACCCCAGTTGCCCCAGAGGCAAGACTAGGAAAGTTCCTTGGAGATAGCCTGCAATTAATAGGAATAATTGGAACCGGTGCCTATGGCGTGGTATACCTCGCGGTCGACGTCAAGACAGGAATTCGGTATGCGGTAAAGACGCTCAGCAAGTTTAACGCAGACGGCTCTCCTCTGGATCAACGACAAATCTCATTCCAACACCGAGAATTACGTTTACATTATCTAGCTTCGGCACACCCCAACGTTGTTTCCATGCACAAGATTGTTGACGACCCGGATTGCATATATGTTGTCCTGGAGTACTGCCCGGAAGGTGACCTTTTCCTCAATATCACGGAAAGAGGACAATATGTTGGTAAGGATGAATTAGCCAAGAGCGTGTTCCTTCAAATCCTGGACGCTGTTGAGCATTGCCATAAGCTGGGCATCTACCACCGCGACCTCAAGCCGGAGAACATTTTAGTTTCGAACCGGGGAGACACGGTGAAGCTGGCGGACTTCGGCTTAGCTACCTCATCTGATCGGTCCGAAGACTACGGTTGCGGATCGACCTTTTACATGTCACCAGGTAGGACTCCGTTAGGATTCTTAAAGAAAAAACTCTGGGAGGGTATACTAACTTTAGTCTCTTCACTTTTACAGAATGCCTGGACCCGTCATCCCGAAGGCCATTTTATTACTGCGCCCCAAATGATGTATGGAGCCTTGGTGTTATCCTGGTGAACTTGACCTGTGGCCGTAACCCATGGAAACAGGCCTCTTTTGAAGATTCCACATACCGTGCCTTCACCAGGAGTCAGGATTTCTTAAGGACCATCTTACCATTGTCGGATGAACTCAACAATATCTTAGGACGGATCTTTACCCGCAACCCTGATCACAGAATTACGTTACCAGAACTTAGGAACAGCATCCTCGCTTGTTCCAAATTTACGATATCTCCTACGGCAGCTCCTCAGCAGGTCTTGCCGACCCCGCCCACCTCACCTGGGCCTATCGAATACGTTGATTGCGAAGACGCGATTATTGAGGACTTGGCATATGACGCACCACAATCACCCGCCTCTTCCACCACCACCGACTCCGATATGGAGTCTACATGTTCATCCGACGATGGATCCCTGACTTCGAGTGTTTCGACCATCGACGACCTTGACGAGGACGACTTCGTCATCGCAGACGACGAGATCCCCCCCGCTCAGGAGCCAGTTATGTATGATCCAGAGGAACCCAAAGTTATGTTTCCACAGGAATTTGTGCCACAGTACTCCGGACCTACTGTTGAGCCTTGTCAGCCTTGCCAACCCTGCGCAGTCCAAGTTCCTGTGCAGGCCAGTTGCGCACCAACCAAATTCGTCTTTCCGTATTTTTGGGAAGTAGTGAATAGGTACACCCAACCCGCTCCCATACACCATTCTATTCCTTTCCACCCACAGGTTCCTCTTTTCTCCAACTTCTAGGGCTGCTATTAGCTACACTGGGATCATGCGTAACTGTACTCCCTATCCTGGGGGGCGCCTTTACCCAAGGTCGCGTTGCTTCTATTGCCATGTTTCTGGGATAAATTAAAGGTCACGAGTATTATGCCACGGACAACCCGGCCACGGGTCAGGACAGGACCCTCCAAAAACACACTTAAGGATTTACTTCGACAAAAATATTTCAACTTGATATTACGTTATAATGCACAAAAATTCCATTGGATCTTTTACAGGAATATAACCGGAAATCTATACCCGAAAATGGAGCCTAAAAAGGTCGCGCGCGCGTATGCGGCACAAAAACTTGGAGCCAGATTCCCTTCAGACCTGTACTTACTTCGACATCATGTCTTTTCTTTGTTTTTTTATTTTTATTAATCAGCGTGGAGTTGGTGGGATGATTTGTGTGAGATGAGGACCAAACCCCCTAAAGACCACGGACCTAAGGAGCCATATCTTGTTACAATCCGGGACTGAATAGGAAAGCATTGTTAAACGGCGCAGGGACATACAACTGGAAGATGTTCAACGCAGGGAGGCTATATTTGCAACACATTTGTTACTTTTCTAATCTGTCATTTTGCACGGGATGCATTTTACAAGGAAAGGGGATGGGATGTCTGATACTTTCGCTTGGATGATACCAACGTTTTTTCTTGGATACACGGGATATTCGGGTCTCGAAATCGGAGAGCCACTGGGAAAAAGTTCATCGAGACCGGTTTTACGGTTGGGAGATGGGATTTGAATAGACCAGAGAAAAAGGGCCAATAACCCTGCCGCGCTTCAACGACATCCGTTGGCGCAACATTATACGTTATACCTATGGACACCGATACCAAGCTACGGTGATCCTCATGGGAGCTATCAGGAAGACGAACAACGTCGATAGGCTCACCAAAACCCAATACAATGTTTTTGCGGACAGTCGCAATAACCACACAAAATAAAAACTAGTTCAACTCTACTACAGCGCCCAAGATTAGTGCCTCGTGATCGATACTCGAAGCATTGTGAGAAGTCTCATCATCAACACTTACCCAATAACTCTCAGTAGTTGTCTATTCATCTCACCGCTACGACGAACCCTTCACGTCCAGGTCATCCCACTAACATCTAATGCCCTCTTTCCAGCCTTTCGGAATCTATCAAAGCCATCCTACGATGTTGACGATCATTCAACATACCAACCTCCGCGTCAAGGCTGACGGTTCCAACAAGACTTCCCCTGATTGGACCAAATCGGGCGACGCCACTCGCCTTACTTTACCAGGGCAGGGCTTGCAAGTGTGCATCGACTTGCATATTGCTCTGTTCTCATAATCACATTTCTGCCGTCGATGCAACGCAAGCCTGCATTAGCTTCTACGGCCGTCCCAAGGCCGAGCCAAGAAATGGTCTCCAGACTAGGTACGTATCTTATTTAGTCCCCCCCTTTTTTTTCTCCTTCTAACTAATATTCTATTCCCTAACCTTTTTCTGCATCTTTCGCTTCGGCATCTTCCTCTAGCCGGAACGCTCGCTCTGAATACATATGCGCTTGCGAAATTGCAATTTGGGCGCGGAAAAAAAGATACATTAAAAAATAAGAAAATAAAATACTCAGACTAGACTTACTACGGTACTAATGGAGAACGAGGCGTTAGGTCTTGGCGAACCGATGGGCTGCCTAAAGCCGCGCTCGAGGGTTGATTGGATAGGTACCTTTTCCCCATCCATCGCTGCTACTACGTAGAATGGTATGGTACGGTACTGTCTGAGATGGAGGTCTGGGTTCGGACTCGTGGACGATGGGACGGTTCCCCGTTTGGGCGCAAAGAAGGGAACGAGCCAGGCGCAGATCCTTGGTACCTAGGAAATTATCACGATATGGATATGGGTAGGTGCTAGGTAAGTATGGGGGCATCAGTAAGTCGAGCGAGCAGTCATATTGATCACGCTACATATGTACGCTGTAGGTATGTATTCACAGGTCCCATCTAACGATTTTTAATCTTTAATGTACATATCTGGTAAATGAAAGATAAAATAAAGTAAAAGAGCAACCCAGCCTTGCTGGATCGCATGTTTTAATGCGCGCGTAATGTCAGGACTTGCAGTAGCTCGAGGCTTTCTCCTTTCGAACTATATAGCAGAATTACGTCGAAATCCTTCCCGTCGTAGCACTGAAGGCAGCTTACAGAGTAGAAGGGTCGTACATAAGAAATCATTATTTCCTTTATGTCGCATCGACTCGACCTAGTGCGCTCCCGGCGCGTTGGTGTGGGTGGAAAGGGAGGGTAGGCTATACTGCACAGAGCTGCATAGCGGGATTCTATGGTTCTGTATATTTTATTATTCCTTTTTTATTTATTTTTCCCTGATTTTATTTTATTCTTCTTTTCTTTCCCACACCTCCCTTTTCTACTCCCCCCCTATCGGGCGAATCAGCTTCGACGCGGCGCGTGCCCCCTAGCCCGAGCTGCACATGCAGGCAGATGGTTTAGGTATGGCAAATGGATCCTTCCACCCCTTGCGTTCCGCGTGCTGATTGGAGCGAGGGACCACAGGTTCACTAGCACATGGCGGTGAAAGACCCTTCTATGCGACTGACTGCTCTGCTTCTTCACGATTCCCTACGGGCTCCTGGGCTAGAACTTCGATCACTCGAGATTTCCTAAGGCATTATATCGTGACGACCCACTCCTCCGTGGCTGCGTCGTTCGTTCGTCCGACGATATTAGGAAAAGGAAGGAGAGAAGAAAAAAAAAAGTATTTTTTTCTTAATGAGACATGAACGGAGATTGGATCAGATGGCTTGAAGGAGGCTGCTTACGATCACCGTTACAATGCCGCTTGCTTCCGAGTGGAGAGGCATATTCATTTCTTACAGCGTACAGAGAATGCTACTGAAGAGTCGATATTATGGAGTTACATGCGCGTAGATTTCTTTCGGTTCGCATAGCGCAGGCACCAGAGGGCTGGCTTGCTCTGCATCGTAGCTGTCATCTTGTCATCTTGTCATTCCCTTATTGCCAGGGGCCACAACCGCCATTCGTCGACTCGGCCGTCACAGATCCATATCAGACCTTGGTTCGATCGCTACGTGTGAGTCGAGCTCCGTAACATAGTATCTGTGCCTGACTAGTCCGCTATTTCAAGGACAATGGAGCAGAGACGAGGAAAGGGATCCGAAAATACGTGACAGGCAAATCGGAGCGATACGCCAGCTTAATCTCTACCCAGGTCGCCAGACCCGCGGTTCGATGAGGGCATCGTCAACCCAAAAAGGTGGCTCGCAGCCTCCACAGAGCCCACGACGCTGCCACTCTGTATCGTACAGTAGGTAGGCAGATAGGTTAGCTATGATATTAGTACAACGGTAGATTCCTAGCTACCCTAGTAGTTCGATAGAAGCTTGGGTACATACATATACACATACAGGTCGCAGGTTTTTTTATTGTTCTTTTAGTGGGATATTAGGCCAGGCAGCAACGCTAGCTCTTTAGGGACTTAAGTACCTTCTCATATAAATTTATATATAAAAGTATAAACGTTAAAATCTTTTTATATTTATTTAATTAATTTATTATTTACTTTTTTTTCGAATTATTTTTTTTTATTATTATAATAATAATAATAATAATAAAATAACGATTTAAAAAAAATTAAATTAAATAATATAATAACGTTTAATTATTATTAATAAAAATATCGTTAATATTAATAAAATAATTAATTATTAATTTTATTTTTTTATTTTTTTTAATTATTTAAAAGATTTAGTTTTAAAAAAATTATTTTTAAAAAAATTATCGCTTTTTTAAATTAACGTTTATTATTTTTATCGTTCGAAATATTATAATTTTATTAAAAATTAAAAATTTATAATACGTTATAAATATATATTATTTTCGAATTTTACGTAAAATTAAATAACCGTTAACGAAAAAATTTTAAAATAATAAATTTAATATACGTTATTAAATTTTTTAATTTTCGTAAAACGAAAAAAATATAATTTATTACGTTATTTTTAATTTAATAAAATTTAAACGATATATAATTTTTTTAATACGTTTCGTATAAATTAATATATTTTTTAAAATAATTATTATTACGTTATTTTCGAATTAATTTCGTATAAATTAAAATTTATTAAACGCGTAATAAAAAAATTAAACTTTAAAAAAATAAAACGCGGTAAAATAAAATTATTACTTAATAAAATTAATATAATTTATTATATAAAATTTTACGTTAAATAATTAAAAATTTATTTAATTTTTAAAAATTAATTTTTACGTAAATTAATATTTAATAATAAAATTAAAATTAATTTTTAATTTTATTTTATAAAATATATTATATTATATAATATTAAAATTTATTATAAATTAAATTTAAATAAAAATTAATTAAAAATAAATTAAATATTTTAAAATTATTTTTAAAATAATATAAAAAATTTATATTATATATAAAAAAAAAAAAAAAAATAAAATTAATTTTAAAAAATATTATAATATAATTTTATTTTTTATTAAAACGTTTATAAATAATTTATTTATTATAATAATATTTTAATAAAATAACGTTTTATTTTATATTATTAAATTAATAATAAAATATTTAAATAAATTAAATATTTATTTAATAAAATAATTATTTAATTTTTTAAATTTAAACTTTATTAAAAACGTTTAAATTTAAATAAAAAATTAATTAAATATTTATTATAATTTAAAATTATTAAATAATAAAAATTTAAAAATAATAATTATAATAATTTAAAAAATAATTTTTAAAAATTTTCTAAAATCGTTATTATTTTTAATATATAATAAAATAAAAAAATATCGTAATAATAATAATAAACAATTACTAAATTAAAATTTATATATTTTTATATAATAATTTATATAAAAAAGTACTTAGTGTCCCAAGAGGGCTAATTCGATGCCTGGCGTTGTTGCCTGGCTCAGTGTCCCACTAAAAGAACAATAAAAAGGCCTGCAACCTGTACATACCTACATACCTACATACCTACATAGGAGCTAGGATAGCTAGAAGCGAAAAGGTCCTGCGCCCACATGTGTGGGGGAAAGAGGGCGTGCGTAAGTACGAAGTTGACGTGGTCCCGTTCGACAAAGGGGGAATATCCTTCTTCTTCCTACCCTTCCCAGACCCGAAATAATAAGATTGGGGCGGTGCAAATCGCTTTCGATCTATGATCATCTCGCCGCGCTACTCATTGGTTCGTGCCCATCCCCCACAATTCCCGTCCCAGTCCATAGCTTCCCATAGTTTTACCACCGTCTACGTAGTCGAGTCGTGGCACCTGATCCTCCTCAACTGCGTGTCATCTCGATTACTTTCCACGCTGGGAAAGCCAGGCACGGCAGCCCACGCTAAAAGGGGACTTGTACATGGAGATGGCCGCGGCTTGCTATCCGTTTCTGGGGCGATATCTTCTAAAGAGCGAATCCCTTCGGGTCACGAATTATCTCTTGGCATCCCAATGGAGCCGTCTTCGAACATCCATCCATCAAACCCTCGTCAGGTCAGGTGCCTGACGGAAGCCTTCTGATGATTTCTTAGAATCGTTCGCTTAGGAAAGAATAAGGCTCCTGAAAGACCCCCACCGACCGTCTTGTTCGGATCGTATAGGCAGAGGCAGGCAAGACGACGTCCCTAACTGACTGAGCAAGGAAGCGACCCAGCATGGCATATGGACCCTAATAATATTGATTGCGTGTCTACCTACATACGGTGTCTATCACCACCATGGGCACCTCTACAGAAATCCAATCCTGCCTATGCCGTGCACGTATAGAAACCTACCTAGGCAAAATCATTAAAAAAAAAAGAGAGTCAGTTCTCTCCGGTTTCATTGGATTTCCAATAGTCCTAGGCAGTAGATAGATCTGCGGGATAGTAAGCAAGCCCATCAGGAACGTTCCACAGCGTCAACCTACATAGAAAGCACCCAGGCACCTTACCGTCGTAATATTGTCTTAGCACATTCATGCGGTCAAACCTGCGGCAAATAGAAACCGACGAACGACAGGCGGGCGGGACAAGTACCGCAACCCTCCTCTCCCCATCTTTTTTCCCTGTTAACAACGCAGCGGACAATTAAGTCGCGTGTGTTTCCGCTCCCTTGCCGATGCGGAGGCGGTGGAAGGGGGGGGAAGGGGGGGCTGGGCGGAGCCGAGGACACGGACAGGATCATCGTGTCTCGATATTATTAGCGACGAGAGGTATAGTGCTAAGTATTATAACCATGCCGGATCGTCGACAACGCTAATAGTAGGGTCTGTTATTGAGAACACGAGGGTATTTGCGGCTCCGTGTGGACTGTTTTGTTTCGGCATATTTTAACCAGTCCCGTGGCGAGCATTACGAGCTGATGCTGGTCCTGGTCCTGAACCAGCTGCTGTTTCGTGTCAGGCAACGTTCGACAGTCTATGCTTTGCTACAGGTCATTGCTAATCTAGGGCTGCTTTGGTCATGCGCCGAAGAATGGAAGGGAAGGGAAGGGATGTGGTGTTTTTGTTTTTGTTTTTGTTGTTGTCGTCGTAGTGAGTAATACCGAGGGCTGGCTGCGACTGTACGCCCGTCTGAGCTTCTAGCAATTCACCAACCATCTGAATTATCTGAACCCCAATCGACACTTTGTAGGTGAGACAGTTTACATTTTTGATATCACCATCATCTCAGCCTACTGGTTACGCGTATCAGGCTTCCCGAAACTTACCATGGTGTGTGGTATGCGCTGAGGCTGAGTGTCTTACAGTAGATAAATCAGAATGGACTATCGGGTAAGCTTCGTGTGGTGGCAGCCAGCAGGGAACGATATCCTGCCTCAAATTGGGTTGGTCCCAGTAATCAATCGCCCGAGGCTGTTGTCGAGCCACGTAGGTAATATCGAAGTCCCTTAAGGGTCAGCAGTTTGCCAATTCGCAGCATCCGTCCCTATCACCGTGTCGTCCGGCATATACCCTGCCTCTTCCCTTCGTCGTCTACGGCTTCTTTCACGTCTATCTCCATAATGTGAGACCAATATGTCTGTGATGACGAGAGATGGGCGCCATGGCAGCGAGGACAACGTGATATTCGGGTTCTCTATTGCTTTTTCCACCTTCCGACTAAAAGAAATCGCGCTCAAACGTGGCCCCCTCAGGGTTCATCCCACGCCCTGGCACCGGAAAAGATAGTGACGCCCGAGTACCACATCGTCAGAGTCAGGTAAGGCTAAATATTGGTTTTCGTCTGGTGTCTCCGAGTCTGAGCTAGGCAGACACAGAAGAAAACCTGCGTACCACGTGCAAGACATGTCGAAAAGGTCAGCGTGGGTGTCTTACCATGCCGAATATGCCGACCAACCTACGCCACCAATACTAGGCTGGCGATCGACGATGTCGTGTTTCTCCAAGCGATAGAAATCACAGACTATTCTTCTCTTTTTCGCGTGCGCGGCTTCTCAGGGGACGAGGCTGGACTAACCATTCTCTAGCGCTCTAAGACCGCCGGTATAGCCGCAGACCTATTGAATAACAACTCATCAGATTGCGCGGAGATCGACAACCGGCACTTGTTATTGGGCGTTAAGATCGCATCTAGATTCGTCCCTGAGATCGGTCCTGTAAGCCTCCAGTGGGGTCCTCGGTGATCATTTTTGTCCCGTTCACCTCCACCAGGCGAGCTATTATTGAAGTATTGCGACTCCCCAACGACGCCATCCGGAGATTTCATTTCTAGCTCATTCCCGAGGTCTCATCTCCTGTGTCCACTTACTATACTAGCATCGCAGACCTCTCCACCGAGCTATCACGTATATACGATATGTTCGGTCATCGATATATGGAGATAACGATACCATCACATAATGAGAATGGCTGTTAGAGTTGGTAGGTGGAGGCTAAAGGTTATACCCGAGGGTTAGGTCCGAATTTGATTCGGTATTGTGGTGATATGAGCGACAAGCTACGTGATCAAGACGATTCTTAGTATGTTCCTAGAGACATCAAGCCTCAGGATAAGAAGATAGTTCCTCAGCTAAATTCACCGTAGCTATTACGTTATCATAGCCTATAGTCAGTAGAGTCAGTCTAATGGCCCCCTTTAGTACGATGCTAGAGTTACTAGTAGGTACATAGCTAGAGGGTTTAGCGTGAGTCCCTTCGAGCAGATATATGTTTAGTAACTACCTTGATGCCCTTACTCTAGTTCATATTCTTATGATCTAGTCATATCAATAATCGCCGATATACTCAAATTGAGTTTAGGGCTGAGCTTCTAGAAAATTTCTAGTCTCAACTATCGTTCTTTTACCTAAGCTATACGCCGCTGCATACCTAGGTAGGTAACCGGCAACTGACTCGCGCCATCGTGGAGACAACGAGAAGACTCGCCGAACTTTTACCCGTTAATAGTTCGTGCGCGTATTTCACCGCCGTTATATCCGATAAAGCATCCATAGCTGCCTAATCGCGACTTATTGCGTCGTCGTGTGGCTAGCTGAAGCCGGAAGTAGCTGGAGAAGTCGTGTTCGACCCATCTCGGACAGAGTCAGCTGGTGAAAGACTCGAGCTTCGAATCATGCATACGAATCTCCTGACAGCCCTATAGTATGATCGTATAGGATTACGATTCGTGAGCTAGAGTCAGGGGGCAGTGCTTAGGTGGGTTGAGATCAGCAGTCATCTATCACTAAAGCTTAACACATCTAAGCTGAATATAGCTTCACGAGCTACCTACCTAATTACCTAGTAGGCACTAGGTACTAGGGGCATGGGAAGGTGATGTTGAAACGAAAATAGATCCATAGTAATAATAAAGATAACTAGTAATAACAACAACAAACTACTGCAACGATCTAAGCAGATCTGAGAGCGACCGAAGGCACAATTGAGAAACCCGGATATCACCAGCGCCCCTCTCGCTCCTATTTTTTCTCGACGTCTTTCGTACAAGGAAATCCCTTCTTGCCACCTGCACATCCAATATCCAGCTCTGTAAGGAATCCCACTAGTCGCCCCCTATCCCAAAGTTTCCGGCAAGTGCCGCAAACTTAATCGCTGACCTCGATGGGACCGCCCGGAACCACGGGGTCGGGGCTCATGGAGCCTCCGGGGAAGCCCGGGGCCGGGAAGAAGGGGCCGTCGGGGAGGCCCTCGTCGATGGGCAGGTCGCGCTTGCCGGGGACGAAGGTAGTCGTGGTGCCGTCGGGAGACTGGACGATTGTGATGCCGTACTTGGTGAGGAGCTCGTCCTTGATGGCGGCGATGCGGTTGGCTACGGACTTAGGCGGGTGCGGGCCGAACGCGTGGAGCAGCGTTTCGTACTGCAGCTCCAGGGCGATGATGTGCGCCTTCACCGGGTCTGTTGTCCCGTCGCCGATGCCGATTGTGTCCTGACGCTTCTTCTTGTCTGATGGGTCCATGCTGCCGGTGATGGGTGGGAGAATCACCGTGTCTTGACGCTTCTTGTCGGATGGTTCGAGACCGCCGGTGATGGGGGGGAAGATCACGAAGTCCTGGCGCTTCTTGGTCGAGGGCTCGAGACCTCCGGTGATGGGCGGTAGGAGGGTGAAGGTCGGTGGTGGCGGTTGGGTACCTGGTCCGGGGAACCAGGTGCCCGGGTTGGTCCACTCAAATTGCCGTCTCTCCACCGTCTTCGTCGGTTCGGAGATGGGGGCTGCGGAGGCCAGAGCCGCGAGGGCTAGGGCGGTAAGGCCAGCTCGGTGCATGGCAGATAAACTTGACTTAGCAAGGATTTAATTCAAGATTGAATCCCAGTTTCTTGGGTTATAATACGAATTCGTGATGATTAAGAATGTTGGTAAGCTTGTCGTCGGTCTGCTCTCGATATAGGCCTTGATCGTCGCCCAGCGTCACCCACATTTATATAAACACTCTTCAGCCATTCCGTCACCACGAACTCCCCTCCGTGAGAGATAAGAAGAGTCTAGCAGTGCTTCAGAAATCTGGTCGAATTCATTTATCGTTAATATCGGTATATTGTCCCTACGACGCGGCTGGGCCTTAGATAACACAATATACCCGGGGGTAAGGGGCTTTTAACCGGGTCGAGTCCTTCCCACGCAACGGACCACCTGCGAACCACGCGTGGCAAGACATTTGGCAGGTTTTTCTTCTTTTTCTTTCTATCTGCCTTTGCCGGTCATCCGCTTATCTAATTAAAATCAGCAATTTGTGAAAACTACCTAGTAAGAGAGAAATGAGATGATATCTTTTTTTTCGGCTTGTGTGTAGATTACCGCCATTGTGAAGATCGTAGTGTAGATTGTAGGATGTAATCGGTCGCTCGACCATGCCCCGCGAACTCTAGGAGAGAAACAGTCCCAAATAATGATGGCGATCACCGACGAGTGTCACCGACGGCTCGAGATTCTCTATTTTTGGAACCCGAAACTTCTAGAACGCATCTTAGTCCAGAATTTGGTCCGTTTCGCTTATTCGGAGCCGAACATCAGGTAATATAGTCTCGACCCAAACCATCGTGCTCTGCAGTAGCATATTAGGTGGGTTTCGAGATAATCATCGTTTTGTGATGAGGCATCGCCAAAATGTCATCACACATCCAGCTTCATGCAGGGGCCCGACATAATGGACATGGTTGGGAATCTGGACAGGTCTAAGACCCGGCGATTAAAGGTCAACCAAACCCGGTGTCCAGAAAGAGGTCGGGAGACCAGTTGTTCGAGACTGACCTGATAGAGAAGGTTATAGGGGAAGCTGTGACATACAGCTAAGATCACGCCATAAACCCGATTACTGGAATCAAAAGCTCTTCGCCGTATCTAGCGTTCATAGTTAGTAGCTCAATTCGAATGTTCTGCACCGGTAAAATGCAGTACGCTGGAAATAGACATAGCGTGACATCGTCAGTTTTCGGGGACCAAACTTTTTTGAAAGATAAAAGCCCAACCTTCTGAGGGCCTTAACCACAAAGAAAGAAAGACGGTGGACCTATCCAAGTGACGCAACTCGTACCTAGGTAGGTATGATGTTGATAACATGCGGGGAGCCGCACCCGACGACCGTTGGATGAATGTGATGTGGTGGGATTAGATCCTTCATTCATTGCCCAAAGGCACGGAGGCCGCCATTGAAGAGCTAGGCGGACATCTATCGAATGACATCTACCAAGTCTAGAGCGTTGCTATCATAATGTTACCAAGTGATTCTCGTGGCGTTCCTGAGCCCAGATTGAAACTCGTCATAAACTTAACATTGGGCGTGACGATACAAACATGTGTACATATCTCCCGACGACGTGTATCATGTGCCATCCGGCTAGGGAACGGAGCTTGGCTGGATTAAGATACCCCATTTCGGGGACCTCTCAGGAAATTATTAGACGGTGGGTGGTAGCTTTCCGGGGATAGTTCCTCAAGTTTCCGGAGAGAAAGGCCGATTTATGGCCTAGCAAGGAGAATCAGACGCCGCGATAGGTTGCTTACATGGCCATGTACAGGATCCTTTACACATTTCGAGGCATCCTAGAATTGATGGGAGGTATTGGACCCTTGATGCAGGGAATGTAGATATCCATCCGTCCTGACGTCCTGTTTGCTTCGATATCCGTATTATCCCATTGGCTTACATGCTACCTACCTAGGTATGTCTAATTATCCTAGATTTGGTATCCTGCAATTGACCAACAACGAACAACTGCTATGATCTTGTTCAATCTTAGAATCGTATTTTGGTGCTGAGTAATAACCGCCAAAGTCTTGCCTCCAACGCAGAGATACGAACTGTGAGAAAAAGCGTCTATCAGGAAGTAGATTTCGAGAGAGGGAAGCTATACCAATCATCCCACCAGTCGCTACCTTCCCATCGCTCCGGCCAGATCCGCCTAAAGATCGATTCCACCTCGGATGGATCGGCCACAATCTCTGGAAAAAGCTGATCGACTTCATTGTGTTGCCTCTCCTCCAACTCCCTATTCTTTTGCTTAAGTCTCTTGGTGATTAATACTTGGCGTGAATCGTCTCGCGGGTTACGATCGACTTGCCATGTACCATAGAGCGGGACACCATATTTTCTTAAAATTTGGAACTTGTTGCTAAAGATACTAAGACATCTGTTGCCCCCAGCGTCTATCTTTAGTCTTTCTAGCCGGCCGAGATTATAGCGTCCCTTTACTCCAGAAATGGTTTCAAAAATAGCTCGGACAAGAGTTCCATCCACGGCATTGTTGATGAAAACATCTCGAACGTGGCCTTTCAAAAAATTGAACCCGGTAAGGAGTTCTCGGTCGAAGTCATCAAAATAAGGCTTAGGTCGCGGCACTTCTTCGCCAGAACGACAAGACCGAAATGGCACATACAGATCCAAAGCAAGATCCTCTAGTTTGGGTAAAGTACCGAGTGCTTCATACAGAGCCACTTCGTTTGCGTCGCCCTTGGTACGGAGGAGAGGTATATCGAGATTTTCGATCATGGGGCATCGTGCTCGAATGTTGGTGATATCCCGCCATGTAAGGTATTGATCATAGCAGGGCCGCAATCTAAGACTTCGCAGCTTGGGGCTCAATTTTGTGCTTATGGCGATCTTTTTACACCATCCTATAATTTCAAGAGTATGTAGTCCCTGTAAATCGCAGACTAACATCTCTGTTAACGAAGACACGCGAGCCACAGGCGCGAGCTCTCCAGTATGGCGTAAGGTGAGGACTAATGTTTCAAGAGATCGAAAGTTATGAGAACCATTTACTAAGTTGTTGAGAACATCTTCGCCGATTACACTATTTATTCTGAGGACTCGCAGTACGGTAAAGTCAGTATGCATGCTCCAGTCTGTTATGACTCGGTCTGTGATTGAAGACCCCTCGTCGTCAGGTCCCCATAGCTGCAAGCATGACAGCGATCCCAATACTCCAGGACATGCTTTGGATATAGGTAGGTTTCCCCAAGGCGGGAAGAAAGAGGAGTGTTCCTGATCCGCATTCCATTTCCATTTCTTATTGCGGAACAGGTGCACCTCCTTTAAGTTAGGAGCTAACCCCGAAACTAGACGAAATACTGCCCCAACATGATGCGATGGCGCGCTCTTGTCATCATGATGTGCCGCTATGCTGATGCTGTAAAGGCACGGCGAGGTGGCAATCATAAATTCATAAGGGTCCGCGATAGGTGGGTTGGCGACAAGGCTGCGTAGATAGAAGTTGTCGATATGAAGCCTACATTTAGGGAGATGCTCATGTAAAGCCTGCAGTAGACAAGGTGGGAATTGGCCAGGACATTGATATATAAGATCCGCTAATGAAGGTAATTGTCGAATTAGGTCGACTAATGGCAGCCATCTGTTATCAAACTCGTGTACCTTTTCCACCGGCGATTCGTCAAATAGATAGAAACTTAACCGAGGGTTGTCGAAACGACCTTCTAGATCAGCCACAGCCATAGGCGCCGAGGAATCCGGGGGCGTATCACGATTCGGGCAGTCTACGCCTGGGCCGTATATTACCAAGCGACGGACACACCCGAGAGCGCCGAGGCGGTGTAACCTTTCGAGATGCTCTTGGACAACTGTGATCAGGTCTTCTGGCTCGGCTGCGAAGATCCAGATGGTGCGGGAGAAGAAAGCGGAGGCGATGGTATAACAAGCCTTATTAGACCTTGCAAAGTTGAGCAAGCTCGATGGATGGGTGTGATAAAGGATATCGCAGATTTGTGATATGAGCTCTGTGGGAAGGGCGAATAAGGTAGACGGATCCATGTTTCTTACTCGTCTTCTCCTTTTGCTTCTCGGGGATCTGTTCCTGTCTGGGTATCCTACTAGGTACCTAATGTTTGGAAGACTGTCTACCCCAACGAGTGTGACTAATACTATACTGAGGTTAATATTGATGTAAAATAGGTAAAGATGAGTAGGTACTATGTAAGAAACAAGTCGAGGGCTTCGAAAAACAGTTAAATGGCCAAATTTTCAACCATGCAACAATTCGTCACAACTTAGCTAGGTGTTTCTTAAGATGTTATCTGCATCATAAGATGCGGGTATGTGCCAGCACAGTACCTGACTATTGTAATAAATAGGCATCACCTTTGAGGACGAATGGTTCGAAGCTGTCCACGGGGTTTAAGCGGAGTTTAAACAATAATCCTAAAAAGTTCTGCTCGAAAACTCTTTTGACGAGGAAATATACACCTTTTTAAGATTGTGATTTAGATATAATAGTCTTGGTTAGCGAACATATCATCAAATCTCCTCTTTTCGACAGTATCTTCTTGAAATAGTATGTTATGGGTGTAAAGGTTCAAAGTTAAGAGTGATCAGCTTACAAACGGCGGACATGGTCCGTGCATGGCACCCCTGACATTTCTCCACAATTCGGAATACCCCAAATTGAACCCGAAAGGCAATTCCTACCTTGTACCTAAGTACCTCACCATCTAATGCCGATGGCGATGACGTCGCTAAGACGTGAGCTATCACGAAAGACATCCCACTTCCAACAGAGTCATGTAAGGTCAACTAGCTCGTCAATGCCCTCGAAATGGCGGCCAAATCAAGCTCGATCCTCCGCCGGGCTCTTCTCTACGGCAAGTAACCCTAACCCAACCCCCCTCCACCCAAACCCTCTAACCGCACCTCAGTCCCGGCATCCTCCCCCCGCATGCTCACCAAGTCCCTCGGCCTAACCAGCGACAACATAACCTACGACCTCGAAGACTCCGTAACCCCAACCGCCAAACCTTCCGCCCGCGCCGCCCTACGCGCACACCTCCTCGCACACCCCACGCGCCCCCCCACCGTCTCCGAGCTCGCCGTGCGCGTCAACCCCGTCTCATCGCCGTACCTCGAAGCAGACCTCGCCTCAGTATCCGTGCTGCCTAACGTCGACGCCATAGTCGTGCCAAAAGTAAATAGCGCCTCCGAGCTGCGGCACGTATCGCAAGTGCTAACGCACCACGTCCCGTCCTCACGCCTGCCCAAAATAATCGCATTAATCGAGTCCGCGCGCGCCGTCATGGATTTACGGGAGATATGCGCCGAGGCTCCGGGGCTGCTCGACGGGTTGATATTCGCGGCGGAGGACTTCGCGCTGGATTTATCGATCACGCGGACGCCGGACTTGAAGGAATTTCTGTACGCGCGGTCCGCGATTGTGACGGCGGCGCGGGCGGCGGGGTTGTCGGGTGTGATTGATCTGGTTTGCACGTCGTATAAAGGGGAGGAAGGGCTTGCGCGGCTGGAGGAGGAGTGTCGTGGAGGGAAGGCGATGGGGTTTAATGGCAAGCAGTGCATTCACCCGTCGCAGGTCGAGACGGTGCAGCGCCTGTTCGCGCCGTCGGAGAAGGAGGTGGAGTGGGCTGTTAGGATCACCATTGCGGATGAGAAAGCCGCCGCTGCGGGGAAAGGGGCATGGACCTTGGACGGGGCTATGATTGACGCCCCTGTTGCTGGAAAGGCGAAGGCGATAGTCGACAAAGCGCAGCGATGTGATATAGATGTGAAGAGCTTACAAGAAAAATGGAAGGACCAGGAGCCCGAATGAATTAAGCATCGACACAATTCACTTCAAAATGTACGTGTAGCTTATAACTCTGCTGTATATTCTAACGTGATACTCCTATTTCGGCATATACTACCTAATGTATCTCAGAACCGGGAGAATTGATTTGGGCGCCAAAAGTTTGACATCTCAAAAGGTTCCTCTTCAAAGTCTCCTAAGGGTTGTACAACGTCAGGAAAGGACCTGTGAATACCAATATCGCATTGAGGATTTTGTGCCTCGATATGATACTCTCCTCCGCCCTGATGATATATCTTCGAACTTTCTAGATCGGTGTATAAGAGGTGCGGATTATGGTTTAGATGAGTGTACATATTTTGTCTTTCGCCGTAGGCTTGACTGACTAAAGGTCGCTGATGAGAGAATTCTCTATTGGAAACAGGAGGACCTTGCGCTGCTTTCTCTAGAGCGAATTCCGAACCCATGGTGTCATCATCGTACAAAGGGGAGTGCTGTTGCGACTCGTTCTCTATCCTAGCAATAAATTCAGCCATGCTCTCGGGCTCCTGAGATTTGGTTAGATTCTTTTGATAGGAGTTTCTACTCAAGGCCCTTTCGTATTGGTCTACATAAAATGGCGATTTCATGCTTGTTCTAGAAATAATGCTTCGCGTTTCTGCTATTCGAGCTGACGGCGTTCTCTGGGGTATCCAGGAAGCTGTGTCGAATGATGATAGTATGCGTTCATTATTTACTGTCGACTCTGACGATAAAGTAGTCTGGTTACAGCTTACGGGTAGCCCCTGGATAGTTTGGCCAACGTCACTGCAACTCCCTATGTGATGAGCGTGTAGGCTTTCGGGTTCTGTAATATTGAGGGGTGATGTCTGTCTAGGACTAGGAGGGTCGACCTCCCTTTTGTTAGCATGTGACGATACGATTGAATTATTTCGTTCATGTGGGATTGGGGGTGGTGGCATCACATCTCGAGAGGTTCCTGACACCGGATCGCTCATTTCTTGTGTCCGTCTTCCTACACTTTGATTCACATTTGTTCCTGCTAAATCTGGGGTTTGGTGAATAGGAATCGCTTTAACGGCTGATAAATTTGGAGTTCGAACGCTTGATCTTGAGCTATCCTTTTCGGGGGAGGTGAGACGTGTATCTCTGACAATTTTCTGGCGATCAACCTCTGGAGTAACTTGAGACACTTGTGGGTGTGACTCCTCCTGAGATTTAGATACCCGGCACTCTCCCAATTTTTGGATTTCGAGCGGTGGTCCTGAGCGTTTTATGGAATTTTCGGTCATTATAGCTCGATCTCGATACTTAACCTTCTGAGACTCATTGAACTCATGACGGGGACTTCTTGTATTATCTTCTGGCTCTATACGTTGAACGTCGGACATCCCAGCGTCTGTTTCCCTTCTTTCGACATTCTGTTCAGCGAGACGGTCGTCGTATAGAGGGATCCCGGTATCACGATATATGCCAGTTGCTATTAGATCCTTTCTAACTGGTTCGGGCGTTGTCGTCCACACCGAGCCTGACACGTCTGGACTCGAACTGTTCGCTCGTCCATTAACCCGTGGTGAATGATGACTGGTAGACCAGGTGAAATATTCTGTACTTTTCCCTGAGTCTTTTCCATCCTCGATATATCTATAGGGGTTTAAACTGAGCGTCTCAGCGGTCTCATCATGAGGCTGAGATATGTGGATAGTATTTGGATATTGACGATGATCCGAAGGCGAGGGCTTGGATAGTTCTTGAAAATGAATGGATGGGAGTCGCCCAGCCTGATGTTCTATACTCTGGTGGCCATTATCCGAACTTGGATCATGACCTCTTGGCGCCCGAGTATTCCTATCAGTTCCGTGTGGTAAGAAAAACGAAGATACCTCCTCTATTTCTCTGCCTTCGCGTCGTTTCTCCCTTAAGCGAGATTTGGATAGTGGCTTTGGCTGAGGATTTCGCTTCTGATGCTTCATAAACTGCATTTGGGAGAAGGCTAGGTCCGAAACTATTCACTCTTAGCCTTTGATGCCTAGAATGGCTTCTTGGCAATATACTTACTGGGCTGTTTCTTGGATGTTCGTCTATTCTCGAATAAACCAGGCTTAAGCTGCGGTTGTACCTATATTTAGGTCAGATCAACATTGGTTGTACTTAAGAGAGTTCTTACAGTAATACGGCTGTTCAACACAGCGTCAGAGGTGAAATTATTCACAATGTTCTTACTGGATATAATGGATTTCCTCTTTTCGGCTTTCTTCCGCTTCTTTCTTCGATGTTCTTCATAGCCTCCGCTACTCCCCTTCTCATGATCTCGCTTCGTTTTCTTCGTTTCATATTTGTCTTCCCTAGTTTTATGTCTTGGTCTTCTCTCGAAGTTCATCTGTTCATCCACATGAGACGATATCGATGAAGCGTCTGGATGCGCTAGACCTGCTTCTCTCGGAGATCTAGTGGGTGGGATATTTTTACGGACATGTGGAATGGGCCCAGGCCCATGATCAGGAGGTCTGGTAGAATTTCTAAAACCGCTGATGAACGAACTATCGCTGGGAGTGATCCGTCTTCGCCTAGACTTCCTTGGATCTCTCATACCCAGGTCCTGAAAGGGGGAAGCCGATTGGGGTAGGCTATAGGAGGGAAAGCCGTGACGAGGACTCCATTTTGGATCTACATGTCTAGGGTGCTTATTGTATGGAGCTATCGAATCAAGCGGTCTAGATGGATGGTGACTGTGCGTGTCTTCTCTCCGATGCCCTTGTGATGTCCTGGGGCAGGAGTGGGGGCTCTGTCTCGCCGTCTGCGCTAGCCAATTCTCGACAATGTCAAAGCGGAAGTGCGGTTGCGAGGATCTATTTGAATTTCCTATAGCCAAGTCGCTCTGATGTTGTTTGTGCGAATGTTTCAGACATGATCTATCATTGGACACTTGGTAGGATTTATTGCCATCGCGCGGCTGGTGATGGCGACGGCGATGATGCGTAGAATGACGTGGAGGAGATTGAGAGGCCTCCCTAAAGGTCATCTCGAGATGGAATTGAAACAGCAAATAGCTCCTGAGACAAAGCAAAGGTATGACGTCGAAAGGAAAGGTCTACATATTACAACGTTGGAAAGTTAAGATGTATGCAGCGTTGTAAATCTTGACCCAAGCAGAAGGGGAGAGCAAGTCTAAACGAGACGAGATGGAACGTGGGACCCTACAGGGTTAATTATCGGCACACGGTTAGAATATCCCGGCAAGGACCGCGGTAAGGCTTAGTTTAGATCTACGCAGTACTAGGTGCTTAGTATTAGCAAGAGCGACGCTGAGTATTTGTATTACTAATAAGCTGGGTGGTGGGAGGGTGGGTTACACAGAACGCAATGTGGGATAGACTGAAGTTAAGAAACACCGATGTGGCTTCTTGTCGGGACCAGCTTCCAAGTTGTTACCGATCTTGAATATTTGCCCGGTGTTTAGGTACCTATAAACACTAGAATGTACTTGTACATAATCATGTATCTCCATATGCTAGTATTGTACCTACCTAGGTAGGTACCTATTTATGACGTTCTTGGAGATCTATAATTAGAGCTTTTGCCGCAAATGTTTTCATTGCCAATATGTCAGAAGCCACTAATCTGCCTGGATCTCATCATCTTAGATGCCGAAAATAAACAATACTCGCAAATGGGTTGGTTGGTTGTAAGAGCCGCACGCGCTTTAATGTAGCGGCGTGTATTCCAATACAAACCAAGCTTCAATCCCAAGACGTCTGAGAAACCACGCCAAGAAGACCCCTGATGCTCCTGTATGGGAAAGTTGGAAGCTGCCCCGAACTCTGGAACTGGAACTTTGGAAAGACCTAATTGGTCCGTGCGATCTTGCTCCGTTAAGGCAGGGCAGGGCCTATCCATGCAACGGACCAGAGATTTCTTGGAGACAATCTTCCGAATGTGTCTGCCTATTCTGCATGTCAACCTTCCACAACATCTTTTACATCTCCGTGAATATCCATTATTCATTGCAGAACCACATATTGAGTCCACTGCTGGCTATTAATCCCTCAACCTCTTTCCAACTTGGATTCAAGACGTTTCACCCTTTTCTTACCTGTTTAGGCAAGTGTCTATCCAGTTCGAGTTAAGCAAGCCGTCTACTTGGGAGTTCTAGAACCGAGGTGTAAGAGGTATGAGGGCATTCGGCGCGTGAGCCGGTCTCTCAATGGGTCGCATTCGATTCTTATAGCCTTACCCATTCTCTAGTTACGTACAATGATTTCCGCAAGAGGTTACTTGGTATATGGTTCAATTACTCAATGATCGACTGCGACCTCAATGGCTGCATATGACGTCGCATCGAATGCGAATAAGCCTTTGGGTCCACGGAACGCATCCTGTATCGAATCTCAGCCGAACTACACTATCGGGTTTTGACCCGCTCTAGTCCTCACCTACCACTCGGCATGCCTTGTGCTTACCTAGGTAGGTACCAGGTAGGTAGATATTTGAGTTTACTATATCACATCTTGCCGCGGCATCTTTGTTGAAAGGTTTCGGCTTGCTCTTTTATAGCCAACCAGGCCAGGGAAGAGCATTAACTATAACTATACACAGCAATATAATCACATGACAGCTTCAGAATGCGGCATTGTGGGGTCGAATTGGAATTCACTTACTAAGAACTCGATAGAGTCTTGAGGATTTCAGTATTGAAATAGCATCATTCAAAAATTCACCTAGACTAGGTAAGTGTTACAATGTGTATCAACTGCTAAAATTTCTATCTAGATAAATCGAGCGAAGTGGTGATGGAGAACCTGTATCTCATAACCAATACATCCCAGGATAGTGTATTTCGACGTTTCACTTTCATCCACAACTAGATGCAGCACGTTAGCATCCTTGTCTGTCTCGCATCGTACCAGGATTCTTAACGTCGCTAGACTGTTAGGAGTTCTACCACATCAAAAGACCTTGTGGTACTTCAGTGGATGCGGCTGGCACACCTCTATAACCCACCGAGCTACCTACTTGGGTAGAGTCGTGACCGCTCTCCCACCTTAGTAGTATACCTAGCATTTTCAGCACCGGCGATAATACAGGGTCTGGCATTGTGGGTAAGCCCGTGGGGAGCATGGAGGGGTAGCGTGCCTCACTCGCATTGCCTAGCCAAGCAAATCAGCCTTCCCGTTTTGAGTTGACGTCCTGCAAGCGATTGGTAGATCCTATATGCCGAAGGTCCTAAACGAGTTACTCTTGCGTGAACTAGACCTTGCGCTTTTCCTCATATTTTCTGAGTTTGTTACAGCTATTTAAGGCTGGTAGGTCTTAACGACATATTGTGTAGGGCTCGAGGACAACTAAAAAACCAGGCTGAGGAGGGTGGATGGCGAACAGACTATATCGTCCTTTTTTTAGCTTGCGGCAGGGATCACGAAACCCGAATATTCAACACTCACTACTTCTCGTACCGAACGTGAGACCTTGACAACTACGATCGGCCGCACCTAGCAAGAAAAGGAGGATATAGTGTATGATTTAGTCAGAATAGCTTATTCGCAGATCGTCCTGGAAATCACTTCGAGCACAGCTCGGGCCAAGAATCGAGCTTGCCGCCAATCACTAACACTCCATTTTGGGATGGAGCCGACTTAGCTATTCTTCTGGCACAGGTAGTTTGTACCGCGTGGAGTCTCATGCTATCTCCCTAGGAGCAGTTCGAGGTCACTTGCACCTCCTCTGTTTGATGCTTGTTTTGAGCCAACCCTGCTGGCGCCCCTCTTCGTCTATCGCCTATACGATGGAGGTGGATATTCAGCTACTGGAACCCGCGGACAAGATATTTCTATCTCTCGAGGAAGGGCTTGTAGAAGAGGTTATATAAAATCAGACGGGATCGAATGCATGGATCTCCCTTCATTCCTCACTCTAGCCAGCAAACAGTGATCTATTCGCCACGGGAGCGCCTTCAGGATACTTGTTAACCAATATAAGCTTGTCTCATTGGCTACTTGGATATCATACAACAACCCCGCCGTCCTAGATCCAACCGTTTTCAATTTATATACCCTTGTGCCGGCTATAGACATATGTCGGCTGTGTGCTAGCATCTACGAACTATCCTATCGAGAGGTCCTACGGCATTACCAAGGGAGCCACTACCCGTCAGGCCCAATCATCAAACGACCAAACGAATAGCCCAATATCTTGCACCACTGCAGCCTAGCCTTACGAAAAAAAAAAGAATTGTTCGTGCGTCCCTTTCATATTTACACGGCACCGAGGGGACTTGTTTACTAGGACCCTATTATACGTCAGACAGTCCTAGCCATTCCCTCCTCTCCCCATACCATCCATCATAACTATACCCTACCATTTATTTAGACACTAGTTACCCTCGCTTCAGAACCCTTTCCATTATAGGCCAAATACTAAGTCCCACTATTACAGATTCTCCCCATTATCACCCAATACCTAAGCAACAATGTCTAAACTATTCATCGGGTAAGATACATCGATGCCGGTCAACCTATAAATTTATCGTCTAATCTAAACGTCTTATCTCGTCCAGAGGCCTTGCATGGCACACGGAAGATGTCACCCTCAGACAGAAATTTGAAGAATTCGGCCCTGTAGAGGAAGCGGTATGTGGTTCTACCAACAATTGTCTACATTGTCTATACCCCTAGATGGGAGATTTTAGATTATAGTTCTCAATAATTAAGAGCTTGGTCTATAACTAACCGAGTGCGGTTTAGGTCGTCGTCAAGGACCGTGATACCGGTCGTAGCAGAGGTTTCGGATTTGTCCGATACGTGAACGATGCGGATGCCCAGAAAGCGATTGCCGGCATGAACAACGTCGAGTAGGGCCATATTCCTAGGCTATTCAAGATTGTTGCTAATCAGGAGGGGTAGGTTTGACGGACGAGCTATTCGCGTCGACAGAGCTTCTGACACTGGCCCTCGCGGCGGTGGTGGTGGACGAGGCGGCTCGTATGCACCAAGGGGTGGATATGGACAACAGCCCCAGATGCCATACGCTGCAGGTCAACCAGTTGCATACGGAATGCCTGGTCAGATGATGTATCCGCCTGCCTACGGACGCGGAGGTTATCCACCACAGCAGGCCTACGGAACTCCTCCGCCACAAGGTAAAAAGAAACCGCACAATGCTAATTCAGAGATTTCCCCAGGGGTACTTTAGGTATGAAATTAACGAGCATGTGCTAACACGAGGCCTTACATCTAGGTTATGCACCATACGGCTATCCAGACCAACAGCAAGGCCAACAAGGCCAACACCAGCACCAACAACAACCACCTCAGGGGCAACCTCCATACGGACAGTAAGAGCCCGGCAGACAAGACATCAGTCAACGAGAGCTCTACGGTGAAATTTGATCTTCTTCTAACAGAGCAGTAGCTTGAACAGCACCCTCTTAACGAATACAATCGATATTTGGAAGTCTAGCTTCCCCACAACACATCAACATTCATTACTTTTAACGTCATAAAATCGATTATTCATTTTTCCATCGTACCTGAATCATCCTATCTTATATCACCGAGAAACCGACCTTCGAGATTCTAAACCGAAGCGAGGGAATTTTGTATATACATTCGTTTTGCGTATCTTCTTCTATCCAACGCCGTGTATGGCTTTTTATGGGCGACATGAATATCAGCACTATCATTTACGACTTTACGAAGGGGAAAAGGGAGATCAGGGCTACTTGGGAGATCTAGGGTCTGTTCTTAGATACCCAGGAGAGCAAATCATGAGGGTTGATGTAGGAGGGAGGGAGAAACGAAAAAGAAAAATACTGGCTGAGGAAACAAGATAAGGGGTAGGGAGCGGAGGACATAGCAGTAGCACACTCGTGAATCGACATGACGTTTCATATGTACTGCATGCGGCTTGAATTTCTTAGCTAAATAAGCAAGCAATTACTCAATAGCCACAGCGTCCTCTCGCTTAGCAGGTTATTTACGCCTTCTCCGTCTCCTCCTGCTCGTCTACACTGCTCACCTTCTTGAACTCGTGGGAGACAGGATGTTCAAACCCTTCAACTTGCAACTCGCCCGCGCGACGTTTGCGCTCAATCTCACGCACGCGGTCAGACAAGTCCGTCACATGGGCATCTCCACTCTCGGGACTCAGCTCATCAAGCGCCTTCTCCAGGCTCAGCAGGTAGTCTCGGTTCAGACCGCTCGGACCCTCGCTGACGTAAATGTGCTCTGCAAGGGCTTGGGGTTCCTGGGGACCGGTGAACTGGTCGTTGTCAGGTGTGCCGATATATACTAGCGTGCGGATCGGGGCCGACCCGTCCGCCGGGTGGAAGGGGGTGTAGTGGATCGTGTATCCATTGATCTCTCGGATGTCGAGGTACTCCTTTACTTCGGCCACTTTATCAGCTTTGATTCGGTATGCAGTGCCCCAGACTTTTTCTGGTGCCGAGTCATGTGCATCGACTAGAGAGGCCCAGAATGATCGCTCGATTAGGGTTACGACACGGCCCGGTTCTTCGGGTGTGCCGCGATGATCTTGACTACATGCCGGGTTACCCCTATTCCTTTTTTCTGTGAACAGGTGCGAGAGTTAATGGGAGTTACCTTGCCTAGAGAAGCATGAGTTATCTATTCCATCCAAGGTAAAAATATAGAAATGAATCATACCTGCCAAAATCTCCGGACATAACCCGTAACCCAACCCGGCACCCTACTGTCTACCAAGAACTCTTCGTAAGCTTCAGCTTGTACATAGGTGCGCACAAGCGCCGGTATGGGAGCTCACCATAATGTGGAGGAGGTTTCCATATTAAACTCCTACGCCTCTATGAGTAAGGCTAAACTAAAGTTTTAAGGCGAGCCTTGTGAATATGACGCACCCGTAACCGAATATCCAAAACTCGCCCGTCTCGGGCGTCCCGTTGGTTGTCATGGTCGACGATCGGGTCAAACCACCTTATTTCCCTTCCGTGCTTTCAAAAGTTAAATAGGTGCTTGGAATTTGTAAGGTTGCATTTATCTGCTTGAGATAGATACCTAGATAGGTAATCGACAGTGATAGGAATACCTATACCTTTATTTGCAACTTCAAAAAGACGTTCCAAAATGCTATGAGTAATACCTTATTTTCGAACGGGAATCGGGATTGTATCATAAATGCCAAGCTTTCCACCTTAGATGGCTATCTTAAGGGGACCGGACTACCGTTCTCGTGGGTTGCGGCTCCGGCCAACGGACCTATGGGTTGCACATTACTAATTATCCCGCTTCCAGGTTACAGGCAGCTGCAGTGCCGCTGGGATTTTCTTAGGGCTGCTTCCGAACCCTATTACAGGCAGGTTTGGATTTCGTCATTTGGTAAAGACTGCAAGAACCATGGGACTTGAAAATTTATTGTCTTATGTCATGAAGTAATTGCGATGGACACCGATAGGCAATTAGAATTAACCAACGAACGATGCCAATTCAATTCTTCAAACCTTCCATCTTCAACATTTCTCGCATTTCTCGCATACAGCGCATTGAAGAACAGGTACTTCGTATGCACCCCGCAATAAGTCGAAAGGCACGAGTCTGCGCCTCATTCAACATTACAGGCTGCAGTAATTTCAATGTTGGGGATTCCATCCTATTATAGGTGCTCCGCCGTACTCGTTATCTACGCAGCACATGCTACGTACGTAATGGGTCATGCGCCGAGAGCTCAGTGAATCACAGTGATACCGGATCAAGACTTTCGTTGCGAAAAGGAGACAAAGAGATGTTGGGATTCCGGGGTAAAGCTTACCCTTATTTCGTAGATCTATGAGATGACGGTGTGAGACCTGATGATGACGGCACGGAACCGGGGAAGAAGCTGCCTTGTCATCCAGTGGACATCAATGATCCAGAGCCTCACAGGTGCAGCTGAACTTAGCTGCTTAGTTCGCGAGTCAACCTGGGGTTTCCTATTTCTTTCACCTATGATTCAGCCTTCTGGAAAGACCCGAGAATGTAGCTCTGCCACGTTCGGTCGAGGTTAGTGAGCAAGAAAAGCTTGATCCGAGTAGCCGTCGGATACTGAATACAGGGTCCTGGGAGCGTTTGATGCGCAAACGATACAACACACAGCCCCCACCTACTCGAACGCCGGTGAATGATTTTGATCGCCCACCTTGGTGTACTGCGGATCTGTCAGTTATCTATACCGTATATGGTCTTGATTGGTGCCGCACTTCCACACGACAATCATTACTCTCGAGATCAAAGAGAACAGATGTCACACAGTTAACTATAATTCTAGGCACCTATGAAATTTTCTCGGATTTCGAGACATTAAGCAAACATTAAAAATTCTTTTACTTTTTTCTTCTTTCTTTTATTGTCTTCGGGCTAGTTACTGGTTGAGGGCTGCATTTATCTAGCCTAGTCGTCGACAAAGGGTAGTCCACTCAATCATCGACCACTCAACCACCAACCAAATTCTTCGCAAACTTACCTAGTACCTAGCATTAACACCCGGGAACTTCTTGCTGCAAATCTCCTCTCTTTTGCAGTGACCCCGAACTCCTATCTTACCTATTATTGATAACAATCTTTGCGGCTGAATCGAATTTCTTTGTTCGTTCCGTTCCGGTTACACTACGGTTCGGTTGTGCCCTGCCGCTTATCCATCCACTTTCTATTGCTCCATTCCCAAGCACAGTTCGAGCACGCTGCACGCTGCACCGAACCAGCTAAGAACTAATTTTGCCCAATTTAACTGCCTGTCTGTACCTAAGCTACCCATCCATCAGCTTACAAAAACAAATAAACCTGCGCTCCCAACTGCGCGTCCTCTCCTTGTTTCATAATAAACAAGAGTCGCTGTCTCTATTTCTGCCGTCTTTACCGGCCTTCACTCTTTTACTACCCATACTCATCGGATCTAAAACAATCGTCAAGATTCGGCATAATGGCGTACAACAGACCCTATAACCCTGACGAACTGCCAAGGTGAGTTCCCGCTCAATGTCACTGTACCCCGCCATCGTCATCGTGCTCTATACGAGACCCGTGATGATTGAGGTGAAGGGGCAAGTTGTTCGTACGAGAACACCGCCGACTTCTGCACGATCGACAAGGAGTCGATTCATTCTCATCATGCATTAGAGCGAGAGCTAACAAATATTTGAAACCACAGATTCGCAGAACCTGAGCAGGTACGCGCACGCACCTCCGCGAATTTCTCGTATCTGCCCTACATTAACCCCTGCGCAAACCCCCTCTTCCATCCCACACCCATATTCAATCCGATACTAACTAGTATTTCCATCATAGAAGGGCGGTGCACCTAGCCAGTCTGCTCGATACGAGAGCAAACCACAACCGCCTGTCCCTGGTGCTGGTCCTCGACACGATAGTATCCCACCTCGTCGCACTGAACCAGGACGTTTAACTCCTACAGGATACGCCCCAAGTAGCTCGCCGCACCCAGGCAGCTACGGTAGCAACGGCGGCGGTCACCACAGCGGTAGCTACGACAGTTATAACTACAAACCAAATTCGTACTCAACTATGTCGCCGCCCCCTTCCGCATCAGGTCCGCGACCTGTAACGCAAAATCGTCCACCCGCGGCGAGTCGACCACCACCTTCGCCTGGCCCATCAGAAGGCGGCGCTGCTGACCCGAAGCTGTGGCCACTATTCAGAGCTGTTGATAAAGATGGTAAGCTTTTCGCTTGTCTCATTTTATTTTTAAGGATGTAATGGGACTAGAAGCTGTTCATTCAGTCTGCTACAGGCAATGCTAGTAAGATGCTTACTAGATGAGGATGACTAAAGGACCAGAAAGATGTCAAAGAATAGCATAAAGTGAAGCTAACAATAGTCGAAATAGGCACGGGCCAACTTTCCGAAAAGGAACTCTCAGCTGCTCTTGTAAACGGCGACTGGACATCTTTTGACTCGCAGACGGTGCGCATGATGATTCGCATGTTCGACAGCGACCGCTCCGGCACCATCGGGTTCGAAGAGTTTTGTGGGCTTTGGTCATTCCTGGCGTCCTGGCGCGCGCTCTTCGACCGTTTCGATGCCGACCGCAGCGGCAACATCTCCCCCGACGAGTTCAGCAACGCCCTTATCGCCTTCCGATACCGCCTCTCCCCCGGGTTCGTAGACTTGCTGTTCCGAACTTACGATAAGCGTAACGAGGGCGTTATGAGCTTTGACTTGTTCGTCCAAGCTTGCATTAGCTTGAAGCGCATGACGGACGTCTTCAAGAAGTACGATGAGGACCGTGATGGATACATTACCTTGAGCTTTGAGGACTTCTTAGTGGAGATCTTGAAGCAACTTAAGTAATAAGTACAGTATGTGGGCGAGGAAGCTGTCCGAGGTTGGGGTTGGGTTCACGGGAAAGGGAATATACTCAACGTTAGGCCGGGGCGGAAGGTGCTGGTATGTATAGACGGACTCATCTACGGAGTCACCCTCCATCACCATGGAGGTATATAGGCAGACATGGGGTAGGCCTTAGTTTCCTCAGTTCAAGGACAAGGCGTGCTTTTAAGCATTTAGTCACGAGCAAGCTCGTACCTAACCACGGGGTTTTAGCTAAATGGAAGCATTCATATCTGGAATGGAACGGGATGGCAGTGAGCATGCAAGGCGACACGGGTGAGGCAGGCCCAAGGATCTTTTTTTCTCTCTCTTGTGTTTGCGGTAGATACCAAAGTCATACGGGAAGGGAGAATGAATGAATTTGCCTAGCTAAGTGGTAGCGAACAGAAGGCAATCAATCAATCACAGATTCCATCCATATCCACGATGCGGTAGTCTCGTATACCACGGGGATAGCCTTACAGCTTTTCTTCTTTGCCCGTTTCCCAAACCCAGAACCTAAAGTCCGTAGAATCCCTAACCCCCAAATACCGACGCCTTTGTCCCGAATCGAACATCCATTTCCGACCGATATAACCCCAATTTCCGTATCCAATAATGCAAAGGTCTAAATGAGAGTTAGACCGTCAAACCCACCATCATAAACCAACCCGCGTAATAAATATAAACAGGTAAAATAAATCGAATCCCGCCCATCCGTCCCTGGTATCTTTTCGATTTTATATTTCTCTCGCCCGCGCTAAAACGTACCTAGGTACGTAGCCAAAGGTCCTAATCTCATCGTGGAATAAAAGCGAGCTCTTCCCGGTAAACCGCATTAAAAATGTTATCATAAAAAACGAAGGCGTCATAATCTCAAAAATTTTCGGTCCCAAACTTTAAAAGTATCAAGCCGTCGCAAAAGCCGTCGTAGATCTAAACCTCATCGAAAGCCCACCCCTAAACGACCTCCTCGACTTCAAGCCAGAAGCCTTTTCGTTATTCGGGTCCAGCGGCGTCAGTTTGCCGAACTCCTGGGCCTTCATGGTAGCGTATGGTTTCGCGTTATCGAGGGCCCATTGGTCTTTTAGACTCTCGGAAGACCACAACATACCGCTTCCGGAGACGACGACCTCGTCGCCGCTGCCGAGACGCATGATCTCCGTGCTCACGCCGCCGATGCTACCGTTACTTCCTTTTCTCGCGTGTTTCGGTTTCTCGCCGGTCTTCTTTTCGGGGTGAGGGCCGAGGGCGGTTTCGACTTCGTCGCGGTTCCATCGTCGTGTTTTGAGCATCCCCGTGGCTAAGCCCCGGACGTCCTTTTCGCCGTCGTGTGCGCTGATCCATACCCTCGCGCCTAGTCTCGTTGCTATCTCGGCGCCGGTTGGTACTCCCGCGCATATGTTGCCGCCGAGCCACCATGGGTTTGATACACTATCCATGCAATGTAAGAGTGCCGTCAATGGGAGCGCTGCCTCGGCTACTAGGTGTGAGGTGGCATAAGGTTCTAGGTGAGCGTATGAGATCCCGTGTGGTGAGAATAGGACGGAGATAGGACGGGTATGTCCGTTCGAAGTGGCCGGCCGTATGAGATTATAAGATGTGGAACGCGGGAACTGGACACTTGGTGTTGGGCGTGCCGGGGAAGGAATCAAGGTCGAGGCAGACTGGACAGAGCGTAGGGAGTGAGGCGATACCGGTGGTGTAGGCGGTGAGAGAAGCGTATCAGGTATGGATAGAGTGTTCGTGGACGTTGCAATAGAAACCTGGGTGGTAGGCGTATTGGGAGTGGCAGGCGGCGTGGGTGACTTCGATATGGTAGGAAGATAATACCTCAGGTTATGTGTTGGCGGAGGTCGGTACGTAATACCGATTGCTGCATGTAGGCCTGCTAAGTCACGTTTCTGTGGTATGAAGGCGACGGTCACCTCGCCTCCTTGGCCGCCGGGCGTTGTAGGCGGGACAGGAACTCGTATGACCGACTGTTTGCCCGTCAACCTCGGATCTTCCCACCGCTCTATCGTCCGGACCTTCTTCTCGTCGAAATACTTCCAACTCTTGATTAGCCGTGCTGCTTGTGGCTCAGCAAGTATCAGAGTATTTGTTCCCTTGGCCGGTAACTGCCGCAAAGTAGCTTCATTGCAATGATCACTCTTATGCTGACTGATGATGACGAGATCCGGCGGAGCCGGCAGTTCTGACAGCGAGGATATGCATGCTGGATGTATGTGAGTCGAAATCGAGATTTTAGAATGAAAGATCTTAGAGGGTCCTGTTATCCAAGGGTCAAGAAGAACTGTGAATGGTTTAATTGTACCCTGAGCGAATTCGGGTATGATGGGCTCAAAGGATAAGAGGAATGAGGCGTCGGAGTTAAGGTGCTTCACGGTCAATGCCATTATGATCGTTGAGGAGCTAGAAAGGGTGGTCTTTTCGACTCCCTCTTGGGATGGGGGAAACTTGCAATCATCTGTAGTCCGGAGAGTTCGAGAGCAAGTCAATGGAGCATTAGGTAGCTGAATGATAGGGGCAAGCTGAACTCTAGACGGGCTAGAAAAGCAATGGGGAAAAGGATCAATAGCGACGAAGCAAAGACGAAGACACTTAAGGGAGATCAATCATGGCTTGATCCTAGCTCCAATAGAAATAGAAAAATGTCTTGCCAACACGCGAATGGCTGATGAAGCGAGGAATGTCCAGGTGGGCGTACGAAGGATCGCGTGGAAAGAGGGATATTCTGTCAGGAGATGACAGATAGGACAGAGAGAGGACAGAGATGACAACGATGACGGTTGGTTGAGTTATAGAATTAGGAAACGATCGAAGGTGTTGTCAAACATTGAAAATATTGGATCAACTGGTTCAATATCCAATAGCCAATATCTTTCATAGATCTCCGCCAACTTTCCCCCCTTGTGATATTGAACGTCTGATCATTGATCATTGATAAAATAAAATAAAAAATTTGAGAGATACAATACCTTGGTCCTTGGTGACCTTGGCGGCCATATCACGCAACAAACCCTGACAACCCGACAACCCTTACAAACCCTTGGGGTGGACGAGGATTTGTTTTAGACAATATACGGTAAGCCATGTTTCACATGGTAAGCCGGGGGAAGTGGATGCGAAGTTCGTCGAACTGGGTTGACCCGGACTGGTCCTAGACAGATGGGGAGATGGGAAGATCTACAAGATGGGATTGACCATGGAGACAGAAATGTTTCGGCGTTTTGCTGCCAAGTTGCGTACGACGCCGGTTAGTCTTAATGCCGGCTAACCCGTGCTCGGTACCTATGGTACTTGCCCCAAATCGGAGAAAGAGGCGTCCTGGGACTTCCATCATTGGTCCGTTCCTATCCTTAGCGCGAGCTTGGCTCGCTTAGAGGTGCTTCCGTAAAGTTAAAATAATAGCTGTACCTAAGTAGATATTCGTTGCATTGAATCCTTCTCATATTCTTCTCCTTCTTCTCCAAAGAGTCTCATCAATTTCAAAGGTGTTGGTAATCATCTATCTTATAACATTTGGTATGACAAGTGGACATGTGGAAGTCATAATTCATGTCAGCAAGTCTCGGGAAATGAGATATCACCCTGTCCTACTTGAATGACGAGTCTTCATTCTCTCTGCGCGTCCTCAAACACCATCGGACGATATCGTCCCATACGTCATTCTTAACGTCTGAAGGATTAAGCGGCAGTTGGGAATTCTGGGGCATTCCTGGTCTTCCTCTTTTGATAATCTAATTTCCACTACAGATACTTCATTATACTCGTGTCGGCCACAACAGTCATTGATTTGTCGGACAATTAAGCTCCTGCATAGATCTATAGCACGAGACAAATATAGTCTCATAATGTAGTCTCTATCTCCTCTCACATTACATCTCATTATATCATATTTATCTAATTTCGTTCATGCTAGTGTCGATATGTTTTATGTTACAGAATTAGTTGCTCTATATACCACAAAATTTCTACTTCTAATGAATCATTTTATCGGGAGAGAGGCAATTATACAACACATTCCAGACTAATTCGTTCAAATGACGCACAGAAAATTGAGACACTCGTGCGGAAAGATATAATGAACAAACAGAAACGGCATGTCTGACACAGCTGGGCGATTGTTAGAGAAATCTGATATTGAAAATCGTACGTAACCTCCCTTGCTTCCATACCTTCAACAATCTCATGCAAGTCTCAGGAGACTTACACCTGATACATAAAACACAAGGATTGTGTAGCCTATCGAAGATTTCAGAAGTCATAGTTTAGTATAGGTGACTTAAACAGCGGTTCTGTATAGATAGTGATATGGGTTCTACATCAGGTCGCCTTTCACCAAACACGCTTACACATAAACGTCTTTAGTCCTCGGGAAATTTCATGGTTTGAAGTGGTATGCTGTGATATTTTAGCTGGACACCTTACGGCCGGTTATTTAAGAATACCTACCTAGATACCGACTTTGTGATCTTTACATAGGTAGGTAAGATCGTAAGATCATCGCTGTCATCATCGACCATCCGTCTAGCATGCGTACGATATCATTGCTATGTTCCGTAACGCGCAATATCATTTTTGTCTCTCAACCCTAAGGCCATGCCTCCAAGCCCCTAAATGTTTACGTTTTCCAACAATACGTTGACCCTAGGCAATGACGTGGACTAGTGAAGCCAAGAGCCCGGGCTGTCCGGCGTACCCCGTCCTGTCAAAACATATTCCATAATTAGCTTTGAAGTTGGTTGGCGATTAGAAAAGATTCACCATTGCCTTTGATACTCTTACGGTTCGAGTGCCATCTCTATGGCTCTCCGCATCGCGTAACGTAACGTCCTCGACAGGCCGATGTCAAACCGATGCCTATAAGTAGATGCCTATCTCGTAAATTTCGGAGTCTAGTATGGCTAGATAGTTTCTTCAAACCTTGGTACAGAAACAAGAGGAGTGTCGCGTGCCTCGAGATTCTCTCCCCTCACTACCAGATCGTGTGGGAAGAGATATTCGTTTATAATAGGTAAGTGTAAGCTCATTCGTCCGTTGCTACCAAGTTACTAAGCAGTTGTCACCCAGATTACTACACAATGTCGTCCTCACCTTACTAACCTATAATTTCACCCAGTCAAACAATCACGTTCTCCGTAAAGTTACCAGGTCTAAAACTAAAAGGTAGAGGAAAGTGAACGGAAGAAGCGTTTTCGTGGCACCACTGACATCCGGTGACATGTCGTGCGGGGAGAAAGCACGAATTCCAGGATAATAACTGTGACGAATAGTGGCTAAATTGCCTACAGGCCTTTTAATCGTCAGACATGAGTTGTCCGCGCGTATAAAAGTAACGGGAGTGCCTTATTCTTGGCGCTGATGGGCTAGATATCGGAATGAATCTTCATTTCGGACCAGCTCACATTTGAGCCAACGCCAGCGATGGGTCAAGAAGCTTCAAAACCGCAGCCCGGAACCAAGCTGCGGGTTATTGGAGCAGGCCTTCCCCGAACCGGCACCACATCGTTCAGCAAAGCGCTTGAAATCCTCCTGCAAGGCCCCGTGTATCACGGAGGGACGCAGAATTGTAAGGGATCGAGCTCTAACTTGAGGAGTTGGATATCTGTATTGGAACGCACGCCAATACGCTCCCTTAAAGATGAAGAATTTATTCTCAACCGCATTTCCACGCTCACGGATGGATTCGTGGCCATAACAAGTGCTCCGGGACACTGCTTCGTGCCCGAGCTCATGCGACTGTACCCGGAAGCAAAGGTTATCTGCACCATCCGAGACCCGGAGGCATGGGATAAGTCGATCGACGCGATTGCCACGGCTAGCTTGCAGTGGTATCTGCGAATCCTCCTGTTTCCCTTATTGCCTATGGGGTACTTCCCTCGTTACCTGGATACTCTTGCTGCTGGGAGATGGGCGGAGATATATCATACATCCGGTAAACCGACGATGCATGTCGGTAGACAGGTCTGGGAGCGACATATCCAACACCTAAAAGAAGTCGTACCGTCCGACAAGCTTGTGTTCTTTAACGTCAAAGATGGGTGGGAACCTCTGTGCAAGGCGCTAGATCTCGATGTTCCCAAGGGTATCGAGTTTCCTCGGGTTAATGAAAGAGCCGCGATTGAAGCTTTCGCCAAAGAACAAGTAGTGAAAGGACTGATCAGATGGTTTATGATCCTAGTGGCGATCGTTGGAGTTTGGCAGTTCTGGCTCAGGTTGTAAGTTATCCCGTGGGTCCGTAATGTCGGAGGTAAGGTCAAGAGCTTGTAATCAGGAAACCAAGGAAAGCTAGGGTATCGTCTTGAAACGAATAATTGGCAAATGGAATATAGCTTGGACAGCGAGGTATAATGAAAGCATGGCGCAGTTGGAGAAATCTCGGATACGGAGTTATTTGGCAATGAATATAGACCTCGTCCTTGGTACTATACGGATCAGCCCGAAGGTGTCCAAGCATAATCTTGGATCTATTTTAAAGCAATACGCATTGATCTTTTCGTAGTTAACTGGAAATAATTATGTATCGAACTTGTTAACTTACATACCTCGTCCTAATAGGCTAAGTGGCTGTTACGTGAGGGAATATAATTGACGAAACCTTGACATACTGAGATAGTATTGGGTATAGTTGAAGTCAATGGTGAGTACGTCTAGTTCCTTTCACCCATTGAACATGAGCTCTTAAGAAATACTAAATTCGGCATGGTCTGTCTTCAGGGTACAGCTTCGAATTGTATCTTGTAACTTTTTGGTTGGTGGAAAAGAGACGAGATAAAGCTATGAAATGTAACCTTATCATAGAACGGCAAAAGATCATGTGATGCTAAATATCAAATATCGATAAGAGAGCTACATAGCTGTATGCCGTCGTCATTCTTTCTAGCTTGAGAAGTTTGGTGAGGGGCAGAGGTCTGTACCGAAAATTGAAGTGGAAAGGGATTCGTCAATTCCCTGGTCCTAAGGCGGGAAGCTTTAGCAACACGTCAGATCAGCGGTCGCACAACTAGGATAGGTAGCTACAATGAACTCCTACAGCTTCCTCACAAAGGTAACCACTGCGATAGGAAGCTAGGAAAGCACTTTCTTATTTAGCTCTTTAAAAATATGAGAGGTACCTACCTAGTAGAAAGATTTTTTTCTTTCTCTTAAAAGCTTGCAGTAGCGTCCTCTCCACATCATGCTTAAGTTGAGTAATGGAAAGTACATTACATACATGGATACCTCTTAAGGTTTGCCTTGTTTGGCAGTGCCGCACCAGCACAGTGGAACGGCTTCTAGAAAGTTGTTCTTTAATTAAAATCTCTGAATTGTATCCGTTTGTGCGGGCTGGCGGGTTGACTAGCCAGCATTACCTATTACCAATGCAGAGGGAAAAAAAGAAAAGAAAAAGAAATTGATTATATTTTCATGAATGATTTAATTTTCAATAGGGAAATAAAAAAAGAAGAAAAAAGCTCGTCCATACGGATCGGTTGGCTTCGTCGGGTCAGCCATCCGAGTGGGAGAGCCTTGGTGATGGGAGCGCATACAGACAATCCGGTCGACTATGCGGATGACTAGGATGGGAGCTTTTACTTGCCAGTCGCATTGACAAAGCAGAGATTGGGTCCCATGTCGTACCTAGGCGTGTAAAAAAGGTACATCTATGGCACCTCCATACGGACGGATCGTACCCAACCAGGATAGGACAAGCAGGGGGATTCCGGCTCTGTCTGGAATGAAATGTGTCAAAAACACACCCGGAACCAGACAAACCAGACAAATAATGGCACATAAGGCCACTTAGGCTACGCAGGCTACGGTGGGAGCTGATATCTTACCAGCTCGCTCGTCATGTCTGATGTCTGATGTCATCACGCTGATGGGCTTGACCAACGGCAACGGATCCCTCTTCGCCCTTGCGCCGACAGGTACCCTTATTCTTAAGTGGCCAGCTGGCGAAGGGTGCTGTGTGGAACATACAGCATGCATGTGAAGAGAGAGGGAGCTTTGATAATGAAACCAAGCACCAAGCCCCAAGCCGCTGTCTTACCCGACAAAGTCTTTCATGCCCCGCCATTTCTCAAGCCTCCGCTCAAACTTCGGCCTATCGTATCGTCTCCGCAAGCTCTGGTCGGTCAAAGGAGCCAATGCGAGAGCTTTCAACTGCTGCTTGACAAGCTTGGAAGTGAGAGGGAGTGGATTCAAGTCAGTGCTTCACTGTACATCCACCTTACCCACCTGCAGAACCCCTCGCCCCCTCAAGCTTCCCTGCTGCTTGTTGCTTGCTGCTACTGCAAGCTCGGCCTAGCACCTATGGACCTATCCATACTAAACCATACAATTATGTCTCGTGGGAAGGCAACTGGTTTAGTGTTTTGCTGCTTGTTCTACGCTATGAGGTGCGAGGGTTACATTAAACCCATCTTTTAGCACTGAGTGCTAGGATCGAGTGCCTACTACTACTGCCGCAAATATTGTGTGCTTTATGTAGAGGTGCGAACGATGAAGAATCCTCGTCCTCACGCGAGCTTGGCTTTTATCGAAGCTAGGAAGCTTGCATCGTCAGATTTTGAGCACAGCCAGATCTGGGAGCTCTGACGACGCTCATAACTTAAAAGGGAACAACCCTTTATAGTCATTCATTACTACCGGAGCCGCTCGTGTCGTCGGCTCTTCTCATTTTATTATTTCAGTTATTGTTTTTCCCTTTATGCCCTTTATGCCCGTCCATCACAGAGGTCACCCCACTCTCAATTTTTCAAATAACCAGCCCGTCCCAGCCGATCCTTGGTGATTTGGTCGAGTCAGAAAGGAAGCTGGTCCGTCGTTAAATCGAGAGGTACTATGTAAGAGAAGTGTGGACGGGACCGAACCAATGAGATGGGTCCCTTTCCCTTTGTCTCCCTCGACTCGACTTTTCGCACAAACTTGTAATTGTTTAAAGGTGTTAAAGGTATTAAAGGTATGGGGGGGATAGCCCGTCACCTGTCTTTCACCAAGTCTGGTTGGATGTATCTATCTTTGGATGACAAGCTTTAATTTACCCTGTCCGGGGGGGACTTTGCTTGATCTTTGTTCTTTCTTTAGGAGCTCAAGGTACTTAACATTGCCGCAATTATTGCACTGGTACTAGCCTATCACTCAACTCTGCCACTGTAAAATAACAAATAACACTGCCTACCTACCACCTACATACCCACCACATACCTTGCTACCTTGCTCCCTCCCATACCACTTGTATCTATATACGTACATAGCCAGCTTTGGTGTGGAGTACGGCACCCTGACTTGTGGCCACCCTACCCTACCTTACATAGGTAGTAGGTACAATCACCTCGCCTGCTTTTGCCTACCGAACCTATCTAAGCTTGGAAATTCCAGTTCCAGTTCAAGTTCCAGTTCCAATTCTAATTAGTACTGCTCTGCTTTCAGCTACCCTTCCCCCCCTCCCCTCCCCAATAAGGTCACCCTCCAAAGTCCAAGTCCCAGGTCCCAATCCTTCCTCTTCCTCCACCAACAACTACGAGAGTTCTTCGAAACACCTCATGTAACACCTAGATAGGAGCTCAGAGCTACCTCGGAAGAGCTACCAGGAATTTAATACCGAACTCGATCGTCGAATGCCCAAGCTTCACATACCCAAACCATCATCAATTGATAGCTATCAGCAAAACTTCTTATCGCCAGCACCGTATCGATTCTCGCGAACCCCCCCGCCTTCGATTCCCGACCAGTAAATGGCGGGGTTGATTAGGTCAAGATGCCGCCTCGATCTTCCTTAACGTCTTCGTTCTCCATTACCGACTCTAATAATGAAGTCGTCTGTCCTCTGCGAAACCAGGATGGGTCCAGCTGTCGCAAGCGCTGCATTGGCGTAAGTTACGTCTTTGTCTATTCATTTATTGACTTACCTCGGAATGATTGCGAAAATGACGAAGCTCTTGTCGGGTCTCATGATTCGAAAATGATTCCAGAGCTATGTCTATACCCACACCTAACTCGTGCCTACACCTATACTTATTGTCCATGTCTATGTCTTGTATAACTTGGAAATATATAATCTAATTCTCGTATCCGGATGAATAGGAAAAAAGATATCGCTCGATGCAAGAGCATATTCGGCGAGCGCATCCCGAACATTATATATCGAAGCTCCCTGCGACCGAGGAGAGCTTCTTGCTTATGATTAATACTCCCCCCTCCGATCGATCCCAGACTCAAAATTCTGCCGGTCCACCCCAATCAAATATTGACCCGGCGCTCAAAGGTTATCCGCATGAGCGTCATGCATATCCTCGAGATGGGTCGAGTGCTCCCGCTACTCCAAGACATAATGATGATTATTCTGGCGGCTCATTGTTACCAGCAGCAAGCGCTGCGGCCGCCCTAGCCCAGTTAGGCGGCCAACACAAGTTCGAAACAGATTGGGATACCGAAGCAGTAAGGATTCGCTTAATGCAATCGTATACATCGACGACGATAAAAATACTAACTCTGACTCAATAGGGTTGGCAGTCTGATACTGACGGCCGGAGGATACCTAGGAGTACAATTGAATTACCTCCAATACATGTTGGGAACGAACCAACCAGTGAACCATTTCCTTCTTTAAATTCTGCACCGCGTAGAGACTTACTTCCTTCAATCCTCTCAAATTCTCCTCCGGGTCGTTCCTCAACTCTACCTCCTCTTCATCGGTCATTTGGTCCCAGTCGACCTAGAAAGCAATCTATTACCAAGCGCGGCCATAAGAAACAGAAATCTAAGGGTTCTGCGACAGACTGGCTTCGAAGAATTCAAAATGATGACCGCCTTAAGCCGGGTGGAATTGATCGCAAGGCTCATTCTGTCGAGCCTTCGGCTGATTATGGTAAAAGGTGGGAAGACCTCATCGATGCCGCAGCCTCGGCCACAGAAGATATTGATGAGGATAGGACTCCTGTAAGTCGTGTCCGGCACACTTATTTTCCTTCTCTAACTTCCCAGGTCCCCCAATCCCCTATATCAATTCACCGAGCTTCCCTACCCCCATTTCCCCATCAACATTTCCAAGGCTATCAAGCTTCCCCCTTACAACAAGCTCTTACTCCACCATCTTTTGCCCAAGAGATTCCAGAACCTTTCCCGTCCGTCGAAAGTGGCGAGAGCGGAGAAAATTTCCATATAGGAGCCTCTGGACTTTCAGATTCTTCGCCAGGTTATTCGTCGCAAGAGGTGCACATCTATTGTGCCGCATGCCAAAGGACGTCAAAATTACGAGAATCATACGCATGCACCGAGTGCATTTGCGGCCTATGTCGTGATTGCGTCAACATCTTAATGGAGGAGCAAGGAGCTCGCCGAAAATGTCCGCGCTGTGCCACTATTGGTGGCAGATTCAAACCTTTCCAGTTGGATATCCGATGAGGCTCAACATTATTACGCTCAGTGCCGTGGATCTAGCCCAAAGATGAATTTATTCATCATCATCCAGGACCCCCGTGCGGTCGGCTACATATGGCTATTGCCCATGCCAACCGATATATCAGTGGCATGTCGCAGAGCCTTCCGAGTCATACGACTACGGTAAAATTCATTTAATGCCCAGCCACAACCATGACAAAGGGGCTAGATCACTAGTTGGATAATCCAAGGCACGCATTTTTGGCTAAAGACCAAACTTATGTTATATACGGGTTTACACCAAACCCGGGCACACCCTACTTCAGGAATGTAGGGAAATCGCGCTCTTAAACCATCACGAATATTCTCGTACGATATATAGGACAGGCGTTATTTAAGGATGGCATAGAGAGCGTTTGTATTTAGCACCGATCATTTTACGAACAAACTCATTCACTTCTATACTTTCCCTGAGGGGGCAATCCCATGCCGCTGGCCGCTTTTTAAAACCTATATACCGGACTTTCTCTATGACCATACTGGGAGGCAAAGCTTGATTCCAACGGCGTTCCCATATCGAGGATTGGGGGGTTATGAACGTTTATAATCGTTTTTCCGAATCTCTTTTCGCCGAAGAAAAGGATTCAACCACATGATACGTTTTTTTGTCATTTTTTCGGGCCGGAGATACTCGTTTGCTCGGTTTTCCCTTGGGGACACTTTTTACAGCTGCAAGACTCGCGCAGAAAACGCAAGCTGGTCGGCACCCGCAATGTTGTTGTTTTTTGTTTTAGGGGGAAGAATCGTCACGCGTACTTACTACGACTTTTAAGGGGGAGTTGAGTTGATATAGGGGTCTCATGGGGCGTTCTCGGTTCCAGATGGACCTTTATATATAGGGTAGCAATGTGATCACGAACACTACGTTATTGTTACATGTCTGCTCAAAACGCTGGTTGTATATGAACTTGAAGATACTGGTTAAGGAATCTAGGAAGCTATGTACGTTTTGGAATTAGGTTTTTCGTGTCCTACATATGCCGGATAGTGATGCTGCTTATGAATTGATTAGTCAAGTCTTGCTAGACCTGTAGGATACTGATACTAGCTGATACTAGCCAAGCTCTTACAGCTTGTGCGACGAGGTCACCGTAGAAGGATCGAGTATTGGGTATTTGTATTTCGAGAGCTGTCTCAGTTATAGAAACACGGACGCGTGGCATTCTGAATATCCCAAGAAAGCGGGTTGCGTAATCTGCGTCGATTTGAAACCTGGGGAGACAGAGCGTCGATGTCGATCTTGAGGAGGTTGGCAGGTAGGTAACCTGGTTACCTATACATACCAAGATCTTGGCCCGCCCAAACTGATTATTCGTAAAATCACAATGCTGAGAGCTGATCTCCTAGGAGGCGTATCGATTTCAGACTTCGTTGAACAGGTAAGTACCTACTTATATAGTAAGAAACATGTCTACCTAGGCAGAGAAGATAGGTAAACTCAATGTGCATATGCCGTAACCTGATGTCCCAGATACTAGATAGCAGGACTCCATATCTTGGGAAACAAATCACAGAGATGAATGTCATACTCCGACTTCACAATACATCCGAGTAAAAAGCGTAAAAATAAACCGATAGGGCTGTATTTATGCCCCTTAGAACCTATGAGCGACGGAGGCAATGTCGTATATACACCTACGTATACGTATTCAACGTCCACCTCCCTATTCAACAACAACACCACCACCACAACTCCCCAGGTCATTCATAACAGACATGGATCCATATGTATTACTCGCCTCACCCATCTCCCCCTACCCTACCCTACCCACCCTACCCATCTCTTCCCATCCCTTCCCAACCCAACGCTCACCTCCCCGGCCTCTTCGCCTCCTTCGCCTTCTCAAGCAACAAATTCCGCATAGCAGCGCGAACATTGCGACTCCCCCCAAGCTTCGGTCCCTTCAGCACATCCTCGTCCTTCTGGCCCTTCCCTCCACCCGCTCCAGCCGCACCGCCGCCAGGAGGCGCATTAGCCGGCTTCTTGCGCTTCTGCTGGCGCTCGGCCTGCGCGTCCATGAACTCGCGGCGGAACTCCTCCGCAATCCGGTCGTCTGCCGCTTCGGCGCCCTCGGCACCGGGGGTCGCGGTCGCGGGGGGTGTGGGGGTTTCGTAGACGTCTACTTTGGGGGTGTTAGTGTTTCTGTACTATACCATCCATACCATACACACCATCCATACCACCCAACATAGGAAAGAAAAAGGGGATGGGAAGAGGGGCACTCACATCGATTCTCCCTCAAAATCTCCTCGACCAACTGGTCCCTGCGCACATCATCGCTCGTCCTGCGATTCCTCGGTCGCCAGGGTTTGCCATCGCGGCCTAACCGCACCTTCCGCGGGCGTCCGCCAGCACCACTACTCGCGTCGCCGTCTTCGTCGTCGGCAGCGGCTGTTTCGCCGTGGAGGAAGCGGCGCGTGGCGCGCTCGGTTAGCGCCTCGTTGCGGCTGCGCGCTTCATCGCCGAGGTCGATTTCCATGAGCTGGCCTTGCAGCGCGCGGTGCGGGTGTTCGGGTCTGGGTGTTGTTGTTGTTGTTGTTGTTGTTGATGTTGTGGTGTTATCGTTTGTCTCTTTGACTTGTTGGCTAGACGCAGACGGTGCGGTTAAGGTTGATCCTCGTAGGGTAGGGACGCTGGAAGACGAGGAAGCGACTGCGTGGTGTCGCCTGGCCAATTCGGATTCTATGTATTCCTCCCTTGCTCCATCAGCAGCTGCGCAGGCAATGATACGATAATCGGAGTTGAATTTGGCAGTGCCATTGACATGGCAGAAAGAGCGTGAATAGGAACATAAACAGAAAGAAGGGGAAAGAGGCGACACTCACATGTGCTTATTGACAATCTCGGCAGACAGTCCCGTCTGCGGCGCGAACCGCTTCTGCACGCCGGCCGCGACGTCCATCGCCTTGCCCTCCTCCTCGCGGATCATCAGGCTCAGGTCGTCGAGCATATCGTCAGCACCACCACCACTTGTCGCGCGCGCATCGGGATGGCCGCCGAACTTGACGCCGCCTAGCCGTGCCTTTCGCGCATTGCGGAGGCGCAGGACCTCGCTTACTAGTAGCCCATTTTCCCCCTCTTCTTCTGTCGCGGTGGTGGTTTCGGCTTGTTTTTCTGATGCGGTCGCTGATCGCGGCGTTTCTGCGGGATTCGTTGCGTCTTCGTTGATGTTGTTGATGGTGGTTGCATCGCTAATCGGTTCGGGTCGTTGCCTGTACGTCTTTCTCTTCTTTCCTCGGAAGACTACCTGTGGCACGATCTGAGGTTCCGGCGTCGCTTCTGAAGTCGCGCTATCCATGATGAAAGCTAGCTGTCGCTTTTAGGAGATTAATTCATGGATGGTCGGATTGATTCGAGTGTTGAAGAAATCAATGCGATTGATGTACTAGGTACGAAGTACGTACAACATTGAAATGATTGAAAGTCCAAGTGCTGTGTAACATTGAGTCTAGACTGCGGTCTTCGGAAGTATTTAGTTTACCCGGTGATATGCCGCTTATCGATTCTAGACCGATCCCCCCGTAGATAAGTCCGTCATTGTATGTCCGAAGCCATACATGAACCATGCATACTATACGTATTCCTAGATGTAATCTGCTACAACCATAATTAAACCCTCAATATGTCACAAAGAGTATGTGGGATTCTGCTTCAGATAAGTTTAATGTTATGATTACGGACTAAACGGATCCAGGTTTACTTCTTGGCTCATGGCCGAGTCCAAGGTATGAACAACCTCAACTCCACATTGATGGCTAGCGGAGTATGTAGATAGAGACTACAAGACTGACGTCACAATACGATAGGCGTAAGCTACCGATATTTCGCCCATAAGAAGGCAGCAGAGCACAGCATCACCGGGTGGTGCCGAAATACCGAGAATGGCAAAGTAAGGCAATCTCGTTGTAATGTGTATTAGATGCACTCACACAATCTAGGTCGAAGGCGAGGCCCAAGGAGAAGAAGACTCCATCAAGTCGTTTCTGAAGGAACTCGACAGAGGCCCGACTCATGCTCATGTTGTACGACTCGACAAAGAATCCCGTGATGTGCAAGAAGGGGAGTCCCGCTTCGAGGTCCGGAGATAAGGGATGAGACCAAACATAGAGTATCCTACATATAACCTCGACGAAGCCGCAACGTGAAGGGGTATAAGCTGTATTCGTATAAGCCGTAACATAACCCCAGTTTCATATCATTGTAAAGATATGGTTTCTACCTGTATTCAAAATGTCTTAAATTGTTAGAATCCCCTTCCTTTCCTCTTAGCCACGGGCTTCTTCACCGCGCCGGAAGTGATAATCTTCTTAGTCCCATTCTTTACCGCGGGTTTCTTCGCCGCCCGTTCTTCCTCTTGCTGCTTCTGCTCTTCATATTTCTTCTTATCTTCTGCCATCTTGGCCTCGATCTCCATCTTGCGATTAAACTCTGTCTCGGTAATGCGCTTCTCCCGAGCCGAATATCCCTTCTCCTTTACGGAATAAAACACGCCGCCCAGCTCGGCGAGCCAATGAGGATCAACGGATGTCACTGTAGACATGTACTCTTTCGAGGTAAGGATAAGCTCGTGGTAAATAACGTAGTCCGGCAAGAAGCCAAGACCATAGAGCGCACTTGTAGGATGGAGTTGCACAGTAACCGATGTGCGCAAGTTGATATACTCCCCGATACCCTTGACTTTAGCTGCCTGATGATAGTAGCCCGAACAGATGCACTTGCGAATGACGTCCCAATCCGTGCCGCAACTGATCATCTGCATTTTTTGCATCTTCATGATGTCTAGAAGCTGATCTCTAATTTCCTTTGCCCTGCGTAAGGACTTTGGGTGTAGAAAATGACGGGTACACCATCCGTCGGAATGGCCGTTTGTTTTCCACTGAGAATATACGTGAAGGTAAGTAAGATGATCAGACTCGGGTACGAAGAACTTTTCGCGTGCCGCATCTGACTCTTCTTGCCGTTCCTTCGGACGGTAAAAGACGTTAGGGACGGACAACATAGAGACAATAGTCACCATCTCCTCACTACAGCCGTACTCCTCGGACATGATAAGAAGTTTCGCCAAAGATGGGTCCATGGGGAAAGCATTCATCTTAGACCCTAGATCCGTCAGTTCCCCGAGGTTGTCCAACGCGCCTAGAGCCCAAAGGTCGAAAAGAGAAGTGGTAATGGTATCTTGCGGAGGCGGATCCATAAAATCGAAATCGAGTAAGTCGCGAACACCTAAAGATTTGAGCAATAGCACTGTATTGCTGAGATTCGTCCTTTGAATTTCGGGAATCGTCTGGATATAAAGTTCATCCTTGTAAGCTTTTTCGGTGTATAAACGGAATGCTTTGCCCGGACCAGTTCGACCTGCACGACCTGCTCGTTGGCCGCCGTTCGCTTGCGATATTGGAGTAATCTGCAACGTATCCATACCCATTCGAGGGTTGTATACCTTCAATTTGGAATATCCTGCGTCTACCACATACATGATACCGTCGACTGTCAAACTAGTTTCTGCGATATTCGTAGCCACAATACATTTCCGAACTCCGGGTGGCGCCCTATCGAAGATCTTGGCTTGGAGATCTGCGGGCATTTGACTGTAGATGGGAAGGATGCTGAGCTTGGGCGGATCTTTCAGAGCATCGAGACGCTCTCGCACCAATTCACAGGTGCACTCAATATCTTCTTGACCTGTCATGAACACCAAAATATCGCCAGGGTCCTGTGATATATGGATTGAAAGCACCGACTGAACGGCTTGGTCAACGTAGTCTTCAACTGGCGACCTGTGGAACATGATATTGACAGGGAAAGTTCGACCAGGAATGGTGAATTCGGGTGCTCCACCAAAGAAATCCGAGAATCGCTTCGAGTTCATGGTAGCTGATGTGACTATTAGCTTGAGGTCTCTTCGGCGCTGTAGTATCTTATTGAAAAGACCCATTAGCACGTCCGTATTCAGGGCTCGCTCGTGAGCTTCGTCCATAATCACGCATGAGTAGCGATCCAAATCTCGTTCGTTCAGGGATTCTCGAAGTAGAACACCATCTGTCATATATTTGATGACAGTATCTTTACTAGTGCAGTCTTCGAATCGGATAGCATAACCAACCGTACTGCCTAGCTTGACCTCCATCTCTTCAGCCACTCGTTTCGCCACGCTCATGGCTGCGACTCGTCGGGGTTGTGTACAACCTATGAGACCACGTTCTCCATATCCTTCTTCGTATAAGAACTGCGTCAGTTGCGTCGTCTTTCCCGAACCAGTCTCACCAACCACGATAACGACTTGGTTATCCCTAATGACTCTTAGAAGATCCTCTCGCACCGCGAATGCGGGCAGGAATTCTCTCTGCTCACGTAATGTCTTGCTCTGACTGAATTCGCTCGCGCCGTCATTCTTTTTCATGTGCTCACTGAATTTGTTGGCTCCAGATTTCGTGGCGTCGTCTTCGGTGGCTATTGGTAGAGCACTGTCGCCTTCGTCTTCCTTTACACCCATAAGATTTCCAAGCGCAGTACCCGCCATATTAGTAGCCTCTTGGGCTTGTCGTTGCCGTTCCCGTTGCTGTCTCCTTTCCTTCACCACGCGACTACCTTTACGACTGAATATGGCCATATCACTCTGGTAATCCTTCACGGCAGGGACGGGTTCCAACTGCTTGGTAAATACGGTACGTCCATCTAGAAAAGGGGGTTTAAGATCGTGGACAAGTAAATGAGTGCGGATTCCCTCATTATCATCGTCAAAGTCATCGCCTAAGCCTCGTCGTTGGGCGACACCAGACGTAAGCATGCGATTAGTTTCCCAAGCATCGTTATCTTTCTGCCTTTGCAGTTGACGCGCATTCATATGCTTTCCGGACTTTTTCTCGATCAGTTCGGCCTCTCGCTGTTGCTGTTCGACCCACGAGGTATCGTACGATCCGAATGGATTATGGGAATCATCGCCAAAGGTATGACCAGTCTCGTCACCAGCGTACCAATCTCGGTCGAGGGCATTTTGTTCTTCTAAGCTCACTTGCGGTTCCGGACCATCGAATTCTTGTTGTTTTGGAGTTGACGCATAATGAGATTGGCCGCGAGGAGTGGAAGCGCGTGAGTTGGAGCTATGTTGGAAGCGATTTTGCGGTCGAGAAGGATGACTTCGGCTTGGAAGAGAAGAGTAGCGGTCGTCGGAACGAAGGGGATTGAACTCTAGCTTCCGTCTCTTGGAGCTGCTTCTATCTTCCCTATCCATTCTTGGAAAGATTTTTCGTTGAATAGACCACCTAGGGAGTCTTGATTGTCACCGGCGGGTTAAGGTGCTGAATAGTTTATTTAGGCGATGGAAAGAAAACAAAAAGTGAAGGTGAGCCCATCACCCAGTAATAGGTACCTACGTACCTTGTCATTTTAGCGCTGATCTTAGATCGATTTTCTTATCTGTACTTATCGATAGGAGCAGCCCCGCTAAAATTTACAGTCGAATTTTTGTGAATTCAAAAGTTCGCGGGGCTTAAGATCTTGATTTTTTTGCGCCCAGGACAACGATCTGGTTAATATAATTCAGATTGTTAATTGCCAGCCATGTCTACTATGATCACCACATCGACGTGGGTGCCGCGAGGCTTTGCGGCGCCCTTCCCTGCCAAATACGATTTTGACGAGGACGAGTTTGAGAGGATAGCCAGTCTAGCCAAGCTGCAGCTAGACGATGCGAATGAGGATTTACAAGATGCGCAAGATGGAGACGAAGAGGAAGAGACAAATGAGAAGAACGGCGAGAAGGACACAGTCGATTCAAAAAACAAGCCCTCGTCAGAGAATGGCGACGTTGAAGAGTAAGTTAACACTCGTTCTCGTTATTATACTCGACTAGCTACTAATTTTCTAAAAGCATTGACGTTGATGACGATGACCTCAAGAAGTACGATTTAGAACATTACGATGACGACGACGAAGATGGCGAGGGCCAAAGCATGGATATGTTTGGAAACATAAAATCTCTTGCATACTACGAATCCAACAAAGACGACCCATATATTACTATACCCGAGGGAGATGTCGACGAGGATGACGATAGGGAAGAACTACAAATCTTAGCAACAGACAACCTCCTACTAGCCGCCAAAGTCGAAGACGAGCTTGCGCATCTCGAAGTCTACGTATACGAAGACGAAGCAGACAATCTTTACGTACACCACGACATCATGCTCCCCGCGATACCCCTCTGTGTCGAGTGGCTCGACATCCCCGTATCGAAATCCAACGTCGACAAAGACTCGACAGCGAACTTCGTCGCGATAGGTACAATGGACCCCGATATCGAAGTCTGGGACTTGGACACCATAGATTGCATGTATCCCAATGCGATCCTAGGCCAAGGCGCAAACCCACAAGAGGCAGAAAAGAAGAAAAAGAAAAAGAAGAAGTCGAAGAAGGCCAATGACGAGTACCACGTCGACGCGGTCCTATCCCTAGCCGCCAACCGGAAACACCGAAACCTACTAGCCTCCGCGTCGGCAGATAAGACAGTGAAGCTGTGGGACTTGCACACGGCGAAGTGCGCCAAGTCCTACTCGTACCACACAGACAAAGTGTGCTCGCTAGCATGGCACGCGGTCGAGTCTACAGTGCTTCTGAGCGGGAGCTACGACCGCACGATCGTCGCATCCGACATGCGAGCGCCCGAAGCCAAGGCGCCGCGATGGGGAGTGGAAAGCGACGTCGAGAACGTGCGGTGGGACCCGCACGACCCCAATTTCTTCTACGTGTCGACGGAGAACGGGATCATACATTACCACGACATCCGCAACGCGCCGCCGAACCCGTCCGCGAGCAAGCCCGTGTGGACGCTGCAGGCCCACGACGAGTCCCTCTCCTCCTTCGACATCAACGCCCACATCCCGGGCTTCATGGCCACCGGGTCCACCGACAAGACCGTCAAGCTCTGGAACATCCAGCCCACGGGCCCCGCCATGGTCGTCTCGCGTAATCTGGACGTCGGTAAGGTGTTCGCGGCGCACTTCGCGCCGGACGCCGAGGTCGCGTTCCGGCTCGCCGTCGCCGGAAGCAAGGGCACCATGCACGTCTGGGACACCAGCACCAACTTCTCCGTGCGCCAGGCTTTCGCGCACAAGATATCCGACAAGGACAGGGCCACCAGCGACATCAAGGAGAGATTAATCGGCGTCGAGGAGTACGAGAGTTCCTCCGACGACGGCGATGAGGGCGGCGAGGATGAGAACGGCGACCCGGAATCTATGGATGAGGATTAAAGTCAAGACTGGGGCTGTGGGCCATGGATGTCTCGCGGCTAGATCAGATGTCGCGGCTAGACGCATTTCTGGTTCGACAGTCTGGTGCTCACCTAAGGTAAGGTTAGAGTTACACGGACCAGAAAACATGTTTCTGGTTTCAAACCAACCTACCTAGTCTTCGGATGAACCAGTTCGAGGCCGGGTTTATTTATAAACATGTCAATGTGTCAAAGGCGAGCAAAAGTTGGGAAACGGGGTACGTGGGTGAAACTAGAAGGGATGTGTAACACATCATCGTTGCTCCTTTTTTTCGAGAGCTCGCCTAATAATTACAGTACAGATGAATGCTACCATCTCATTACCTTAATCGAGATATCGGGTCGTATGTCTTGCCAGATCGCGAGATCGTAGGATCTGCCGAGCCTCTGAATTGCATCGCAGTGGGATGTTAGTTACACGAGCATAGGAATAGCTGAATTATTAGATGATGATTGATTTTATCGCTTTATTGTTTCGTGGCTTGGCTGATTATTTCTCTCAATTGGAGCCAACAGCCAATGAGTTCGCCGAAGTTACCTACCTGAATATTCAATTGCGTTACCAGTTTTGAAAATTACGAAAGATTCTAGAAATCTTAATTTCAATGGATATTGAGGCCAACAAGTAAACGCCGAACTGGCGAAGGCGAAGGCTGAGTTATGTGGCACATACAACTCCCCCTTACCAATTAACCTCTTGAAAGGGAGAGACATGGACAACCATGCGAAACAATATGTAAGCCAGCGTGCGTGGTTAGAGTACGTACATCTAGTACATGCAAATGTACATGTCATCTAGGTAGGTTAGAAACATCGTCAGAAACATCGAAGAGAGGGGCAGAAAAGTATTTGGTTCCCTCAATTGTGACCAAGCTGTGACCAAGTAGGGAGAAGAATGCCCGCACTGGATACGAGATAAGATGCTATCGTGACGACGACCACTGCAGGTTTGGGCGGTCCGATGCAGAGCACGTCCAGTTTGTGCGCACTTACTGACATAGGATAGGACAATCATAGCCGATAGGACCGGCACCTTGATTACGACGCCGCCTCGTGGGGCCGCTTTCTCTCGGCGACAAAACCAGCAAGAGATCAGAGGTTGGTCTGGAGACTGGAAGAGAGCGCCTGAAGGTGAAACACCCGAGAAGCCACAGCCAATGATGGCTGAGAACAAGTAGCCAATGAGGATTTCTCCGCAATTAACGCCTTGCGTGCCCTTTAGCATGGCTTCGTCGGTTTCAACTGCGGGAACCCTAGTCAGTTTGTTTCCTCTTTTCTTTCTTCTCTTTCTCTCTGCTTCTTCCCGAAACGGGAAAGTCTTGTCGAAAACCGAGCAATCAACTTGATATGTTAGAGGGCAAGGGGGGATCCCCGGTTCCTGCGAAAGCGTTCAGGAGATTCGCCCACTCACAGGCCACCGTTCCCACGATCAGCACGATTCTGTCAGTGGGCTTGCAGGCTTTATCAGATCCATGTCGACGGTGGAGGCTTGGGACCTGGCGCGGTAAATTGCAAGGTCAGACCTTTATTCAAGCGCATTGAAAACTGATCAAGACTAAACCAGTCTTTGTCTTGTGGGATTAAATGCACGATTCAGGTTCTCTATTTCGAGAAGAAAGTGGCCAGACCTGCTAAATCAACTTGTGACCAAGTCCAACCAAAGCAACTAAAAGCTCTTTGAGGTGGTAGAATGTGATCCGAGTACATGGACGTCGTCAGAATGATGGCCACGTAACGGTGCAATCTTATGTTGCATTAATCGGGATGACTTGATGAGTTGTGCAATCAATAGAAAAAAGTATGTCATATCTGTATGTTAGCGATGGAGGGTGAGTTGGGCGAGGAGAGGTGAAAGATTCTTGAGTTCTTTGATGTTTGCTTCGATACAATTGGGTAGAACTGCGTTGGTACCTGCATATTGTGTGCTGCTCAACGTGGCGTGGAGGGTCGGTGGACGGCGCCCACGGTGGTAAGTCGGGAGACTCGCCGGAAAGCCTAGGTAGCTAATAAAAATCAAGAACAAAGGCTCCCTCTTAGAGGCTAGACACCTGATTCGGCAGCCCATAACCTGCCCAGCATTTAGGGTCCAGGGGTAAAAGGCACTCGTCGGCCAATCCGCGGTCCCTGTTTATTAGATTCGCCTGGGTTCCCGTCCCGCACTTTTCTCCAAGTAGGAAGCGCCTAAAAAAATCATTAGGGAACTCCACAGGGATCTTTAGGTCGTCGTAGTGCCACTGTAGTGGAAGTCGTTGTCTCTCTTTAGTCCTCAGGTACCACCGTCGATCGATCAGATTGTCTTTTCTTTCCTAAGCCCTAGCTGAAGATTTATACTAGGTTGACTAAGATATTGAGGGATGATATATAATAATGTGATGAAAGTGGCCAAGATAATCAAAGAAAGGGAATATGCGTCTTAGATGGATGTTTGTTAGATTGAGATTGTGAGATTGTGACTGTGACTTGTCTGTCTGTAGGTGAAAGAACAAAGAATCTGGACGGGTCAGTGCAGTTGGCTGCGAGTAAGTTGTTAGTAAAGTCCACCTCCATTAAATCCACTAATCATGAGTGGATACTTCAAACCCCGGTAGGGAGGACATGCGCAGATGTACTTTGACAAAGTGTTTGGGTCACCTATACACCGTGAAAGCCATAGATTTGCCTACATGTGACACACAAATTTACGGGATTGATTAGTACCTGTAACTTAGCAGATACTTTCCGCCCTAAGCTCGCACCCATTTCCCTGTAAGTGACCAGGTCCCCTAGGGCTTCAATGTTCTTTCCCATGTCGTCCCCTTGTATGCGCTTTATTATCGTTTCTCGTCGCCATCCTTTTCATCTCTAAAGTGCCTGCACTCTCCTTTTACCTTGTCTTTTACCTCTTATCCCACTCATTCTATCCACTTTCCCATCCCACTGGGACTATTCTTCCTATTCATCATTCATTCACTATTGTTCTTCTTGATTCTCACCCAAACTTGTCGCCGGCCACGAATTAACAAGTCGATTTGAGATCAGAATTCAATCCTTACTTTCACTAACAACACATACGACGACGACGTTTCTCGCCAATATCGATCCTTGGTCAAATCAGGAACCTGGTTGTTTCACTGTTTCGTTCTAGTACATTCAATATCCCATTTTTAGCATCAAAACTCCAAACAACGTGGAGATCACTTACACTTAAGAACTACTATCTCTCTTTTCGAACAATCAACCGACAAAATTTCATTATTGACGGTAGATTTGTGTGGATATACGCGGAAAGTAAAAAAGAAAGAAAAGGAAAAGACAAGCTCCACAGGCCATCACTTTAAGGAATACTGTGAGAGTTTGATATCATACATCATACTTCGACAAACCTTCGAAAGGGTCGAAAAGGGTCGACTGCACTTGTCATACAATCAATCGACACACGCATTTCACTTCGTTGCGGCGACTCCACCTCATTTTAGGTCACCTTATTATTCACCTTGACTCTATCAGGAACTCCGGAAAATCAACCGTCAACCTGTTGCTGCTTCAGCAAGTGACAAGTAACGGCAACCTTACGTTTTCGCAGCTGGACTAGACTTGCCCATCACTAGGCGCTTCTGCTTGGTCATTCAAGGTAACGATACACCTGATTTTAGAGGGGAGACCGAGACCCCGCGATCTCACAGGATCACATCAGGTTGTTTCGGTAGAACCAACCACACTGTCCACCTGCCTAATCAGGGTAACATCGTTCCCTGCACAAGCTTCTGTTGAGCGCGCGTCCAAAAGCGGCATCTAGCACATTAACAAGACAAGTCTTAGTGTGCTATTATCACTCCGGCTTTTCGCTCAACTTAGGGTTGTCACATTACCCGACTTTGTCAACCGTCAGTCAATTCTAGCCACGAGCTTTAGGTTTCTAACCTGCTCCCCTCGCACATCCTTTGTGAAGAGGGTTTGGCATTCGAAAGCGGATTCGCGGCTTCGCGCAGCTCGGAGAAAGTTGTAGGAGCGCGATTTCTGACTGATCCAATTATCAGCTTATATTGGAGATCTGCGCTGTCGGATACCCGCTCCCAAGTGACACAACATAAATCCGAGCACGCCGGGACTAGGCGCCTTTAAGTGTGTTGCTTCATATTCTGGAAGTTATCCAGGATAGAGACACGTTTTCTTCCGATATTGTATATCATCAAGAGGTTCAAAAACCCACCGTCAAGATGTCTCTTGCGCGCGCATTCACAACGAGGCGAAAGCAGTCGCAAGACTTCAGCATACTGCCGCAGCGGAGCAACACTACTGCCAGGAACAATTCCATCTCCCTCCGCAGTAAGATCTCTGGCCCTATGGAGCTCACACACACAACCAACATGCTCGCATACAATGCGCCAGATCTATACCCTCAATCAGAGGCTTCCCCGACCGAATCTAGCAAATCTGATGATTCCTCTATTGATACTCCCCGTACCAGCGCATCGTCGCCGCCGACGAGTCCCGATCTACCGTCTGTAGACCGATCTGGTTTGCCGGAGCCTAACCACCTTTCATGCTACTTTGTCGCCCCGGGTAACAAGCAGGCTCCAGTTCCGACCGAGGCTCCAGTGATCCCTAAGCGCTCGCCATCGCACACTAAGAAGGCATCTATGGATAACTTGGCTAACAAGTTCTCGCGCTTTTCCAACCAATCCGGCAAATCTGTCTCCACCAAGGCGAGCTTTTCTCTTTCTCGTTCGTCATCGACCTCAACGACAGCCACAACCCTTTCGTCGGGTTCATTTTCACGAAAGGGTTCGATTTCTTCGCCTATTGTACCCGCAGTGCCTCCCATGGTCGTATCGCCACCCCCAGCTCGTCCCAGTCTCCGCCGTGACTATCCCGACTCGCAGCATCCTTTCGGTCAAGAGTTGGCTCAAGTGTCAGAGCTTGCGGAGGAATTGGGCGTGAAAGAGAAGATGGATGTGATCGACGAAGAAGAGCAGGACCTCATCGCTAAGGGCCTCTGCCGATTCCGACCCGAGGATTACCTGGCCGAAGTTCAAGGACTCTTCTCCACATTCTTTAAGCATGAGCCAACCGCGTTGGCTCAAGTGTGGATTTAAACGGCAATCAGATCGCTTTCATTCCATATCTCGCCGCTGAGGATATGGGATCGCACCATCCGCGGCATTTCGATGTACATATTGGACAGTTTACATACAAGTCTACGCACAAAACCTACCGAATAAGAACGGGCCTGGTACAGGAGACTTGGTGATCAGATTTACGGATTCAGAGGAGTTAGGGTTGATATTGCATTCGAGGCTAGGTCGAAAAGAGGGACCCAGGGCGTTTGAGGGCAGATTTGCGATTTGTGGATTAATACCCCGAGACACTTGACACTCGACCTCTGGCGGTCATTTTCTTCTGTTATTTGGCGAGTTTTAGGCGGATTTCTGTAGGACACACAATCTGTGGTCTACGAGGCAACTCTTGAACCTTCGGGCCAAGAGTGCAGCACTCATTAGTTCATATGGATAACGTCCTTTCTCTTTATGAATCAGGATTAGGTAGTTTTAAACGACGAACCGAATATCAAGATGCGCGCAGAGACATGATTATTGACGAGTTTTACACTATTATTTTACATGATGATACTTGCATGAATAACTCATTCGCCATGAGTTTACTTGTGATACTGAGCATGTGTAGATGGATATTTTGAACATGCAAATAAATTCCTCTCAATTGATTCTATGGGTAGTAAAGTGTGCTCTGGTGCATTCTACTAACGATCGGCCTAATCTTCATCTACCGGACGTCGTACGTGTACTCAACGCACATCGAGCACGGAGCGAATAGCGTCATTCTTGACTAACGATCACAGTCATGTCACTATTTCTGCAAGGCATGTTACATAAAGATACATGTAATGCGGTGCATCACACTCCCCACACTCGAATCGATTGACTTGCTATAGATAGCAAGCGACCCCTCCTTGTGGTGGTTTGGGTAGGTCCTCAGTGCGGAGGGGAGGGGGGTCTGATGATAAGAGCCTCCTCCTTATTCTGGATTAGCACCGGTGGGATGTGTCAGGCTTTACTGGAGAGGGCAGTTCTTGGGTCAGCACCACTTAAAGGATCCTTATATATACCTAGTGTCTTCCTAACATACATACCTCGGTCTGGAACTGAAACTGATCTTCTACTTGGAACTGGAGGGAAATTCATACATATGCAGAGCTTCTCTAGATCCTGTGGCTTGGAGCGGACTTGAAAACGGGTCACTCGGCCTACGATCTGGGCTGAAATTGTGCCTTGTGTGTGCGTGCTAAGTGGCAGAATCCGGGACTACCGAGCATCCGAAAGCGAAGGAGTGCAAACTTGCTTGAATTATTCCCCCTACTAACCTTAATACCGAGCTTACCACGGGGATTGCGAATATAACGTAAGAGGCTTCAATAGATAGCTTGCTACTTATTTATCTAAGGACATAAGTATTTGCGCGCAACTAGGTAGTAGCGGGCATCAGAACTTTATCTCATACAGATCGAATGCCGGAGGTAAGTAAGCTGGGAGGACGAGATCCACTATGGCTGTCCGGATAGGCAGTTTCGATAGTAAGCTGGTGATCCTTGGTCCCATATATTTCAGACGGAGGAGTATGCAGATATACGCCTTCTGCGTCATGAAGCTCGGCGGCCGATCCGAGAAGGCTCTGTATCATCGGATCGTGGCCAGTTCGGTGCGGCTCGTAGTTGGATGTGTAGGTATGTTGCAGGTAGAACTAGTATTTACCTAGTAGGTATGTGTGTGCTGACATGAGGTCACGCGAAAATATGAAACTGTGTGTAAGCAATATACTTACAATATACTGGACGATATATTGTATCTTAGTGAGGATTACACAGCTCAGCTTTCGAACTTCCAATGGCAATAGGTAAGCAATAAAGGTGACGTGCGGCACGGCGATTCGGCGAGAACCGGTCAGCAGCCAACCTCCATCCTTTCTTCAGGTGAGCTGTTTCATATTTGTAGATATGTATTATGTGTGCAGGCTAAGTCCGCTGCCACAAACCGTGGTCCTGGACATGCTGCCGGTGAGCATCGTCACGGGTAAAGTAAGACATGCATAACCAATGTTGGACAATCGGTCTTAGCAGTCTTAGCTGCTAAGTAGGTACGTAATGGTGATCTTGCCACATCGCATCTGGCAACTTGTCGAAGGCGATGGAGACACGGAGGAGGTCTGTAGGATCTAAACGAGTTCTGATCCTCGATCCTAATGAATCCTTTGGACTATATATTCAGCTCGAGCCAACCGAGCTCAACTAGCTTTTAGCTTAATTCGGAAGAGCGCGGTCTAGGCGTAGGCTTGCAATAGCATATAAGTCATGCCCAGGCCCCTAGTTATTTCCAACTAGGTAGACCTGTCTCCTGATATGCTGTATCAAGAACCATCCCCAGATTCCCCGGGAAATGTTCTGTGTAGCCAGCGGCTATTGTCATACTTAGCATCCCACTTATGGCTAAGTGCGAGATGCTAGCTATGACAACTGTCGATCTAGCTTGCTAAAGATAAAAGAAGAGTACTAGGTCATCAAGGTAAACTTGGTATCAAATATCCAGGTAGGCATGAATGAACGATGTTTCTACAAAGGGGTGAAGTGGAAATCATGTGATGAAAATTAAAGGGATAACTAAAGGGATGGCGACGCTGCGACGATGCTCTATTAAAAGAATACAGTCCACTAAAGCCCACTAAAGTCCGCTAAAAAGATTGGATCGACTGGGAAGTTTCGATCAATTAAAGCCGGCAACCAACGTACCCCCTGAAAACCCCCTAAAGTTACTTGGGTACTTGACGATTGACGTATTTTCCATCTGCATTCCAACTTTTTTTTCTTGGCTCTTTTTCTTCGTCCAACTTCAATGAAATATCCATCCCGACAAGAAACGAACAAATAAACAGGTGAACAGATGAACAACGATACACGAGCCAGTCGTACAATAACGAACGACAGCACAGAGCGTATGTGCCGATCCTACCAACCCTCCATATCGGAACCGCCTCCGTAAAAGTTACCCTAGGTCTGTCTAAAGGTCTTAGGTAATATTTACGGCAGACAGATGAAACGAGTCCCAGAACGAATGTTGCCATCTTGAACCCGAAAGCAAATGCCGCGCTTTCCCGCGCTCTTCCGCCTTCCCTCCAAGCTCCGGCGGCGGGCCCGACGTCGGAGGATGACCACCCTGCTCTTCCTCATCCTCATCCTAACCCTCCTCCTCGTGCCCTTCTACATCGTCTACAAGCCGCCGCGGTCGCTGATCCGGTACTTCGCGCACCGGTGGCCGGACGTGTTATGGGAGGTGCAGACGGACAAGAAGATAGTGGCGCTGACGATCGACGACGCGCCCTCGGAGCACACGCAGGAGATCCTAGCGGTGTTGAACGGGCACGAGGCGACGGCCACCTTCTTCGTCATCGGCGGCCAGGTGCCCGGCAGGGAGGAGACGCTGGCGGATATCGTGCGCAGCGGCAGCGAGCTGGGCAACCACGCGATGCACGACGAGCCCTCGCGCGCCCTCTCCGACGACGACCTCACCCTGCAGATCGAGACCGTGCGCGACCGCATCCGCGATGCCTACTCCACCGCCAACATGGACCCGAACCCGCAGATGCCGCCGCAGTACTTCCGTCCCGGCTCCGGCTTCTTCAGCGATCGCATGCGCGCTCTCGTTGATAAGCTCGGGTACAGGCTCGTGCTGGGGAGCGTCTACCCGCACGACCCGCAGATCAACTGGGCCTGGCTCAACGCGAGACATGTCCTGAGCATGGTGCGGCCCGGCGCGATTATTATATGTCACGATCGGAGAGGCTGGACAGCGCCGATGCTAAGAAAGGTGTTGAAACAACTTACAAAGGACGGATACCGTGTGGTGAGCTTGACGGAGATGTTGGAAGAAACACGGCAACGCTAAGTGTCGTGCCGCGGTGGATTAGGAAACGTGGTTACGATCCTACAGCAATACTATTTTCTAATAAGAGGCGGGTTATGGTAGGGCACCAGACCGTCTGCCATGCATTTAAGGGTATAGGAGCACTAGACGGCGTAATAGGGGTGTTTGTACCTAAGACCTGGGTATGTCATGGGTATTGGAAGGCTAATAGTACCCCCCATGTGTGGCATTGTATATAGAGATTTTTAATTCAATGATGAATGAGATATAGAAGGTATGGCACCGCTTAGATTGGGTGTGTTGGCTTAAGGGCTATGGGGAGAATGGTAGATCTCTTAGGAGATAGACTATGAATCTACCAAAATTCAATATATACTTAATTATCATCTAGTCTTCTATTATGATATGTCTCACAATGTGGCTCATGTTCTGATATCAATTTGTGTACGTTAAGTAGGATATTAAACTGTCGACTATCTATCTTCTCTCCAGTTGAAGAAGGAAGCCGGACAACTCGAGGTGTAAATACATCTGTGATTCGGAGACTCGAAGAATCTTCTAAGCAATCTAATTCAAGCCAAAACGACGTTCTATCGTCTAATTAGGCTGTTTATATGCCCAGTCCCTAGCTTCATATTCACATAAACACCATGAATCTTCGCCTCGCTCTACCTCAACCTCGTTTCCCTCATCCACCTATCCATCATATCCCACCAACTACATTCGCACCTCCAGTCCCTCTACTCTTCTTCTCCTTCCTCAACGCCTCAAACCCCTTCACCAAATCATCCCTCAAGTCCTCAAACCCCTCCAACCCAATACTAAAACGAAGCAATCTCTTATCAACCGTCGCATCCGTCATAGCCCTCCACTCGACCAAGCTCTCCACACCACCCAAACTCGTCGCATGATGGAACAGCTCCAACTTACTCGGGAACCTGCGCGCGTCCTCCTGATCCCTCATATACACCGCAAACACCGGGCCGAACCCATTCGGCATCTGCTTCCTCAACCACCCGCTCTCCAAATCCGCCTTCTGCAAACTCGCATGCTTAACCTCCAGCACCAAATCATCCACCTCACCCCCCTGCCTCGCCTGCCCGGCCAACCACGTAACCAGCTCCTCCGCATCCCGACTCTGCTTCCTCACGCGAATCTCCAACGTCCGCAAACTCCTCACACCCAACCACCCCTCAAAACTGCCCATCACAGACCCCAAAACCAACCTCTCGGCCCGCAGCTTCTCGATCCAATCCGCGTGTTTGGGGTTCACGGCCAAAACACCGGAAAGCATATCGCTGTGCCCGCCGAAATACTTCGTCCCGCTATGCATCACGACATCCGCGCCCAACACAAACGGGTCCATGAGCGGGGGCGGCGCAAACGTCGCATCAACACACAACCAACAGCCCGCCTTCCTCGCCCTCTCCGCAAAGCTGGCCAAATCCCTCGCTTCGCCCGTCGGGTTTAACGGTGTTTCGACATGCACGACATCACCCGGCCGCAACTCCGTTTCGAAGTCCGCGGAAAGCGGAACGGTAGTAAGACCAGTGAGTTTGGATAGGAGCGCAATGACGCCGTGGCAGCCGTGGTAGCCGTCGCCGATGGCGATGCGTTTGGGGTTGAGGAAGACGAGGAGCGCGTGGAAGGCGGAGAGCCCGGAGCTGTAGGAGAGCGCGGGCCCGTTGAGGATCGAGGTTAGGACTGTTTCGAAGCGCAGGGAGTTCGGCGCGGTGTCGCGCGAGTACATGTGTGAGTCGTGGGGGTTGGCGGGCTGGGAGTGGGGTTAGTTGGGAGGTGGCGAAAAGGGCAGGTAGTAGATGAAGGACTTCAGGATGGTGATTTCGATAGAAGGACAGGCAAAACTTACGTTGACGTTAACCCATAGCTTGAGCTCGTCCGGGTTATTGCTATATCTGAACGTTGTCGAGACGTGCATGGGCGGAGCAACGGCCTGGTGGGAGTTGAGGAAGTCGTCGGCGTGAATGCTCTGCGCCGATAACGAGAGGTGATGCAGCCTGGACGCCAACTCCCTTGTTGTCGTCGGTTTGCCATCGTCGGTATATACGACGGGAACTGCGATAGATGCCTCGTGAACCACGTCGTCGACGAGTTCCTGCTTAGTAGAATCTGGTACGGGTACCCCGTTACTTTGCCCGTCCGCCATGATCCGTGTTCTTCCGGTTTCCTGGCCGGTTATCCGTTCGTCTATTATATTCCAACAAAGAAATCTAGACTGTCCTCTATAAACAGACAGTCTAATCTATGTTCTAAGCAGATGTAATATTGGTAGTTAGACAGATGCGAGAAGTTAAAAGATAGTATATGAAGGTATATGATAGAGATAGTTAGGATAAAGTAGATGATGACTCGACAGGGAAAGTCGAGATATAGATCTCCACTAATACTACCTAACAATGTATGCGCCTACAACGGCGGCGGGGTAAAGTAACTTCTTAATAGGTCGGCGATCTGTTAGTAGCTCTGAACCGGAACCTAGTAGCTCGATGATCCTTAGATGCTTTGGTGAAAGCCGAATCTACCCCGTTGAGATACGCAATTGTTACGCCATCAATAGGCGGATAGGGGCATACTTCGTTAGAGCATCTGGATAACGAGGGATAAATATGGAGTCCGGAAGGCAATTCCCACTCCGTTATCGGGACTCCGTTCCGTTTATAATCTCGGCAGTGCGGACCTCGGAGTGGGATGATCGAATAAGAGGCTCGCTATATCACTAGTATAGGTAAGCAATGCGTGAGTTGTAGGTATTATTATAAGTCTTCCATTCTCTACAAATCCCCTCCTCTTCCCCCCACCTACCCACACACATGCCATTATATGCGTACGCCCTTCCGACGACATGTACCATGATTTCAACCATATTCTGTACCTCACTACGCTTTTTTGTACGCCATCGCTCAACACAAAGTTCGTCGTAGATAACGAGTTATAAACAAGGACCGGGTTAAAGATATCGAAACATCATTTGCCGTGAAATGTGAGTGATCAGATCCTTAAGCGCCTTGCTAGTCCCATCCGCAAAATGTCAAAACCGCCTCGCTTGTTATTCCCAATTATAGTCCAGGTCGAACAAAAGGAGCTCGACTCTTTCTATACATCAAATCCTATACAGCAACTCAAGAAAATTCGTTAAACGTGATTATATATGATTGGTAGAACTAGGCATGCTTCAGGATCAAGCTAGAATCAGGTTCGCCTAGATGTTGACGAGCCGGGGCTTGGTTTCCTCGAGCCGCCTACTACCTCTGCAGTGCTTCCGAGAAGATCCATCCTTTGATCGGGGTCGACTCTGCTAATATTATGATGATGGACGTGGCCGTAGCTCGTAGGTCTATCTTCAGTACTGGTAGACGGGGGATTTGGGTTAGAATCCTCCGTCTCCGCTGTCGACGATACCGAAAGGCGGTTCTGTGAATTACTTCGGTCAAAAGGCAATCTCGCCGACGTACCACCAGGGCGCATTGTAGATTCGGATTGCGTCTGTGACGGCGGGAGCTCTATAGATGGCACGGGTTGAAGTCGTCTACCAGCTAATGGATCCACGCTTGAATTCCGTTTTGAGCTCTTTCTCGGTACCTCGGGTATATCGCCGGCTTCTGTCGGTGGGTTTACAGTCCTCTGTGATGCCTGTCTGCTTGCTTTGGAGGGAAGCCTGCTAGGTACCCTAAAGCTCGAGCCGGCATCCAGGTCGGGTAGAAGCGGAGGATCTTTAGATACTCTTCTGAACTCGGCTAGGTCCATGGAATCTTCCGATCGAGCTGCTTCGCCGTCATCATCTAGCAACTCACCCCCAGCGCTGTCTTCCACGGTGCGCTTGCTCTTCCTCGACCTTGGCGTATCATCCTCGTCGTCGCTTTCTATAGGCCCATTGCGTACTACGCCCATAGCTACAGGAATACCTTCTGGTGGGTCATCGCTAAATTCTCCGCCTCTTGCCTTCATCGCAGGCGGCATTCTAGCACTCCTAACTACCTCGAAGCCCTTGCCCTTCTCCTTAGTTTTCCCACCAAAGAGGCGCTTAAGCCATCCTGTAGCGTTTGCCACTGGACTGGTAGGATCTGCAGGTCCCGTACCTAGTCTGCGACCTGCTCCCTCGGAGTTCAATGCTGGACCGCGTACCCCGTAGTAGAAATCAACCTCGCGAGTCGAGTAATCTGTTCTTGGAGCGAAGACTGGTATATATGGTGCAGGTGCCGGGGGCGGATTTATTCTCCCCGGAGAAGGTGCACTGTTATCCACATCCGTAAGCTGCTGCTCGGGCTGGCTTAACCGATGGTTCGATAAGTCGACGCTGCCTAAGGAACCACGGGTTCGATTCGGCGACGACGAACCATCGTCAATGGTTGCTCGGCGAGCACGTGGGGGGCGATAATAGGGATCTGCAGTAGGTTGAGGGCGAGTGGCTTGTCCTGGGGACGGCAGGAAGGAGAAGGTACTGGTATCTCCAGGGGTTGTTGTCGTCGGGGTAAATGCGCCACCACTACCTAGCGGGATCGAATATGCGTCTACACTCCGGGCGTCCAGAGCGCTAGAACTCCTCTGGTTTGGTCCAATTATGATACCCATACTACCAGCTGATTCACTTCTCACGCGACCATAACCTCTCTTAGTCGCGACTTCAGAGCTTAACATAGCAGTGCTACTAAGCTGGCTTTGTCGGGATGGGCCACCACGTCGGTCCACACGTCTGGAAAGTTGACGAGCGCCGAAGATCTTGGATAATCCACCCCTCGTCTGACCATCGATGTCGTCTCCCCCAGCACCCAATAAACGCGCAATTACCTCGATGATCGTCTGTAACGCGTTAAGAAAGAAACCAAAAACAAGAACACAGGCGTGTATCAATAAAATTGCATAACCGATCCATCCCTTCTGACCTTCCGAGATTCCCAAACTTGGCGTGAATGCAACCATTAGTATGACAGACACGAAACGGACTATTGAGAACCCCGTATGATAAGCATTCATCGAGGTAGGCGAATGGAAAGGCCGGAACGCGTGAAGTGTAAGTATTTGGATCACCTCGCAAACGGCCAATATTACTATTTGGGCGGTACCGGACGGCTGCACGGCGCCAATCGCAATGCCTCGCATAATTGTTAATATGATCGGAATCAGCGCAAAAGCAGCGGCTTCGTCGGAATACGTATTGTAAAGAGGTCCGTAAAGAAGGACTGTCGATAAATCATCGAATAGATGAGACCTGGGTTTGGTATTTGCGATGAGATGCATGAGCCATATCGCAAACCCAATGATCACAACCAGAGTGAGGACAGCCAACGCTATTAGGTAACCCGCAGATCGTGTAGAGACCACCAGCTGAAAGGTGGAAAGCGCAACTATAGGTAGTAGGAAATAGCTGAAGACGAGACGAATGACATTGCCGGCCGAAAAGGGCATGTTCTTGGCTCGAAGGTCTTCCTCGGGAACACGACTAATATACCGCAGAAGCCATCGAAAAAAGAAGCCGACCTGTATCAAGAGAAGCGTAGCGCCGATAATAACAAGCAGCCATACCATCATCCCAGCCCAGATATCTTGAACCTCGCTCATGCCATCTAACTGTGCAATATTTTCGAGGCCGTATGTACCATTTGTATAATAGATACCGTCGACTATGTTTTGCCACGGAGTCGCATTAGTCACAAAACTCTCATTAAACATCAACGAGGACCACGAGACTTGGCTGGCGACAGGCTGATAGAACCCGGGGTATTCCAGGGTGAGACTCCCAGTCAAAACAATAAACTGGATGTACTGGAGACAATCTCCAAATCCTGGGGTAACTAGACGTAAAAGGTCCGGATCTCTTCCATAATTGGAGGTCCAATGGAAGACGTCGCTAGTGCCCCATGGACTGGAAATTGCTGCAAAAGCTGTTGCGAATCCCACCAAAATCAGAACAAATAGGGGGGTGAATTTGAGAGGCCATGCGATTCCCCCAAGGTCTGGCGTGACGATTGCAGATACACATCCGATCGTGGTTTTCGCTGTATCGCCGTACCAAATAATGAAGGTTGGAGAGAACGAAGTGAATGCGTATGTCGAAGAAAAGTCATTTGAAATATTAAACGAAGGAAGCCCATCGGTAGTGGAAGTGTTCCTACGCAGATTATATATTAGTATTGATATTATAGAAAGTAAATAGCGATATCTCATTTTATTGACAATATCTTCTAGGGGTAGGAAACCTACGAGGATATGTCACCAAATACGGGGCCAAGCGGACAAGTCCCATTAATGAGGTTATCGCAGAAATTCACATTGTTGACGTAGGGCTCGTAGGTTAGGACATCGACTTTTTTGTGTAAAGTAGTCACTTTGCGCTGGCTGACCGGTACACTCAGATCGGGCTCATTTTGTATTTTCCCATTAAGTACCTTGGTTGGGTCGTTCCAATCCGTGGAATCCCATGCTGGCAGTGCACTGCTACCAGCGCGGCCCGTCACATTTCCCCAAACCGTGACCATTAAATTATGGGAAGGGTCCACGGTATCGAACACGGCATCGACATGCAAGGGGATCCATTGAAGTTGGGCTTCTCCCTGCGGTTGATTAGTGTAGATGTAGTTGCTGTCTAGGCAGTTGTCGAACGGCACCATTACGGCCGAAGCGGTACGAATCCAGCTACATGCTACCAAAGAACGCAGTATAATACTAGCAGAAGACGAAGAGTTTACACGTCGTTTAGCTGGGATGATGGCAGAGGAAGACGGCCAATGCCTTTCTTGCTTGGATCCACAAGCGCCTGTCATCTTGTCGGGCGAAACACGGTCTGTCGTATACGCATCTTGAGTCTCGTCGGGATCGACGTCGGTGTAGCTCGAATAAGGCGTAGGAGTACTGGGGACTCTCGAGGTATGACTTCGCATCGTTTGTTATCGGCGAGTATTTACCAAGAGCGTTTCGTCCAGGGCTTAATGCGGGAGGATCTAATACCACTAGGGCCGCATTATGCTAGAACGAAGAGCAGTCTCGTCAGGCCCAGTCGACTGACTTCTACAGCTCAGTAATTGAACGGGCGCGCGAGGGATGGAGGACGCTGATAGATATAATCGGGATGGCTGGATATGCTTCCTAGAAAGTGGGATTGTATCGATCTGCGGGCGAGTAGGAGGTGAAGATTGGATAAGAATTATAGATACGAGTGGGAAATAATAAGATGATGCGAGAAGATTTGGGAAAGGAGCTGTAGATCGGATATCGGGCACCTGGGGCGTTGATTGTGGCAGTGCGTCGTTCGGTTTGTGGTGATTATGATGTTACCAAATCTAGCGTATGAAATACATCCCAAGATGTATCGTTCGTCTAACAATCAACTGGAAGGATCCCTGCTTGGCGGATTGTTGGCTTGCTTACTGCTCGATCCGGGGCTTTTGATTTGAGGCTTTGCTGGTTACTAGGTACGGGAATGTTCATTAATAGAAATGCCAAATAAATGCGAAGACACCAACAGCGAGAGTGATAAGAAGAAGAGAAACAGCGACAGTAACAGTGACAATGAAAAGAGCTGTGTTATCAACAACAGGTTTTATTATTACTTGTAGGTATGTACTTAATAATATGAAATTGGGATGAAAATCAGAACAAAGAGAAAAAAAAAAGTTCGTTAAGAGCGGAGAGAAAAGTCCAGGGACCCTAGAAGCCGTCTTAAACGCCAACGCATCTTGCTACATTAGCGCCTAATTAAAACTGAGATACGTACCTCGTACCTCGTAAGGAAATTTCAATATGCTGTAATGGAAATGGTAAAAGCTGACGGATCCCATATTATTTTCTAGGCTCCAGCAATCCTAACAATTACATAAATCGATACAATATGAAGGGGACCGCCGACAATATATTAACGGTGATTTAGAGCTATTATATTCAACGATTTGTGTACGCGATACTTCGTGATCTTGATATTACTAACCAATCACAAGCGATGACGATACCGATGAAGTCATGACAGTTCAAACGCTACCACCTACTAGGCTATTAGAACAAGAGGAGACGGGAGGCAGGTACAATTGACGATAGAGTCCCCTGAAATTCCCAAAAGTATGGGCAAGCACTCTTCTAGGCAAACCTTCTTTTCCTTCTCGTCCCTTCTTAGACTCAAGTGCTTCTAAAATTCTCTTTAAACTTCTCTAGCCAGGGCGGTAGCTAGGGGGTACCTACTTCCTGCTATGTAAGGAACATGAGGAGCTATCCCGTGCATCATGTGAGAAACCAAGCCGTCACACAGATGCGGAGACTACGGTACTTATTAGCTTGTAGCACAGCACCGAAGCTTCTCTTCATTCAATCTTCTCAAGCCAAAAATTATTAAGTCTTGTCCAACTCGGCATCTCTTTTGCATAGTACACTATTGAATCGGGTGTTACGCGACAGCATCAATTGGGTAACGAGCTCTTCCAATGATAAGATGATTGTATCACGACTGCACGACCTCTCGAACAACTTTCCCGGCTCTAATCACTGTAATCAGTCTGTTGAATATACTCGTCCTACCTCATTGCCTGACTACGCATGTAGGTTACGGAGATCACGAAATCCAATCTCCCATAACACGGAGAGTCGATCTTGTTCCTTTCATTAGTTCGCGAGAGGGATAGTCCTATTTGTATACTAATTCTAGTATCGTGTCCGTATAGTGCTGGGTCCAGGAATGCCGGTCTGCCCAGCTACGGCAGAATGGGTTAAGAAGGAGACCGAGAGGCTGTACCAATGGCTAGTTAGGTGTGGCGCGCTCGTGTCAACTACCTCCGTCGCAACGTCGTGAGCAAGGAATCTAGTTCGGACGCCCTGCCATCAGCCGTTGAAGGGAATGTTCCGAGCGAAGCACGGTAGAGCTTCTCGTTGGACCAAATCCAATACGGGTCTTACGGGGTCTGACTGGGGGGCCACGCAGCTTCACGAGCCAGTAGATGAGCTGCGCATCCCACTGACAACTAGTCCGCGGTCCATCTCGGCCTTGGCTTTTATGCTGTATGATGAGATACGACCAGATGGGAACAGAACGCGCGAAAATTAGCATCGCTTTTAGCATCTGGGGATTTCGCGCGCGCCCAAAACACGTCAAGAAAGATTTTGTTTATTCTTCGTCCGTTCTTCTTCGCACGAATGGCACACCATCCCCCCCCCCTTATTTTCTTCGTCCCGGCTGTTTTAACCATATCCCGCAACAGCGGAGCCGCCGATCTTAAGTACCGTCCGCAGCCCATATAATCCGAAACGCGTCATTGCATGCAATTCTTCATGCGATACGAGGCCCTGGAGCCGGAAGCCTGCCTGAGGCTTGAGCAAATCGAGATCGACGCCTGGGGTCTAGACGTGGCACAGCATTAGCGCCACCGAGGAAAAGCAAGTTCTCTTCACTGTATTGCCGACTTCACCTCGCCATGACTGGGTGAGTTTGTCCGTCAGTAGTGCCGCAAAACACCACCTGCTGGGTATATGTATCATAGGGCTGTCTCGTAGATGGTGATCGAAGGTCTCAGGTCAGTTCACCGCTTAGCCCAGATTCGGGCTCTAGGTTTCGTTTCTAGCGCATCCCTTCCGAGAAGAGTCTCACAAGCCTGGCATTTTGCGTTATAGCCACGCGTTTCGACGTTGGCGTACCAATTATTATCGGTCTAACACTAGGAGTTCACTGGCATACCACGTGGCAGCAATCTTGGGGCATCATTTCTCGAGTTACTTTTATTCCATCCCGCCGGGCTCACGGTCCTCGCTTGTCCGGTCAGCTTTTGACAGCCAAATTTAGAGTTTGCGTCATTGTGGCTTCACAAGACAAGCTGAGCGAACATGTCGACTCGACTGTGTTTTGCCTCTCGGTAAGTACGCTAGAGACAATCAATAGATTTCGGATAGGCGGGTATAAGAAATGAAGATGATGTCTCATCAAAGGAACGGTTTTCAATATCTCAACGACATCAGATATCCGAGCTCAATCACATGCCAAAGGCATCATCAGTGTCGGTTACTTCAAATTGTACGACTAGTCGCCCTGAACTTACTAATCTACTAGGTAGGTAAGTAATTCGAGGTTAGAAGGTTATCGCCTAAAAGATAATACACGCGAATATCAGCCACCCCGAAGTCTAGTATCTACTAAGTCGGCTTACGCATCCATAAGTTATTATCATATGGCCTTTAGGTTTATCACCAAAGAGAATAATCTTAAGCCTCACTGGCGCTTCGTGAGGTTAACGTGAAGCGCCACAACGTAAAATATAGACCAAACTAAGATACAGAAGCTATTATCTACGTAGATTACCTATATATAACAAACAATATTCTCTTTCATTTATCTGTAGTCCCACCCCAGATTAGGAATCATCTCTACTCAATAGAGAGCATCTAAGCAGTTGACAGACCATCAACAAACACCATGTCTGACTCCAGCCGTCCGCAAAGTCCTATAGACGACCCTCCCGACTTTGGGTACTGGTATTCCACGGGAGACATTATTACCGCCGTCCTCCTCTTCGCCTTCAGCCCCTTCCTCTTCATCCTCTCCTTCGCATTCATCCCTTCTTTCTTCTGCCCTCCTGGCAATGGCGACGGTCCGGCAGATGGAGTGCGCGGCGAGGTTACGGGATCGCAAGTGAGGGCTACAACGCCAACCACTCCGAAATTTCGGTCGCGGATACCTATGACGCCGAAATATTATGCTCAGCAGAAGGCCCGTGAAGATTCTCCTTTTGAAGATTATGACTTAATACAAGACGCCCCACTCTACGAAGATTTTTGATTCTCGTTGAGACGCCGCGGTGGCAGCGGAGGCCAACCCAAGCTTGATATATTTACTTGATGCTCTTCGTCACAGGAGCAGGTTATCGGGATCAAGATTTCCATGGGACTTTCTAGATGCTCTAAGATTTCTAGGAGTTTAGGGCTATTACATTAAGGGGTTATGTTCGTCATATATGCATATTGTTTTTAGGTCGTTATCATTTACACAATAGCCCGAGAGCTATACGGCGACACGAAGATAAATCCACAGTCTTTCCCCGTCTATATAGCAGCTATGGAAGCACCCTGTGCTGTAACTCATCAAATAGCTAAAGCTGGTGGTAGCTCGATTCTTCCAAATTCTCTTCCTTCAGCAAGAAGTGATTAACAGATTACAATGACATTTGCATAACACAGCAGACACTAAAGTCAGGTTGCCTCATGCGACTATGGTGCCTTTGCCTTTTAGTAAAGAACAGAGGCCAAACTCAAGCTCGGCGTTCTTGCTATCAGGCATACCGCATTGCTCCTGAAGTAGCGATTTCAAGCGTTTTTCAACCTTGCGGCCCGTGTCAAGATCCATCTCAAGGCCATTCTTAATAGCCCCCCTTTCCACGTAGTTATCATAAGCCGCGCACCCCTTCATAGCTGTGCGCAAAGTTGTGACATTCGACACCTCAACCAAAACAGTAAAGTGCATCTGGTCATCTGGCGGAACATTCTCTAGAGGCAAGAGTGAGCTTTTGATCCGCATGTGTTTCTTCGGAATTGCGCTTTTTTCTTGCGTAGCCATTGACTTCTGCCGGCGCAATAAATACGCTCTGGGATCATCATTAGATAGTGTCGTTTTGGTAGGTTCCTTTATTTTCGAACTGCTTCCTTGTTCTTGATCGATACTTATCTGGGTGATTGGTTGACGTTGTACGCCAACTTTTGGGCGTACGGAAGTCTTGTGTGACTTCTGGTCGGATTTGTAATTACCATTTTCCTGGGAAAGTTGATGATTGAGACTTCGTTTTGCTGCTTCTAACATCTCTTGAAGGCCATTTTCACCATCATTTTCACCATCTTGAATGTTTTGATGATCCAACTCACCACTATCCTTCCTGAGTCGTCGATTCTGAGATTTCCCTCCGGCACTTCTGAAGGATATTTCAGTTTGTTTCATGCCATCTAAGACTCGCCCTTGTTCATTTCCAATTAAGAGATCACTTTTAGATACTATTCTCTCCGCGGATGAAGGTGGTGACCATGGTGTATAAGCATGATGACGCCGGCTTATAAGAGAAGCGGGTATCTTGGCGCTCTTCATTGCTTTTTGTGAAGTTATCTCAGGTGGACTTGACATTGGGCTGCGATACGGACCACCTGGTACCCTAGGGCGTAATTGACGAGGGGTTTCTTGTGAATTCAAGTATTGCTGGCTTGGTGGGACATCAAGATCCCGAGGTGCTGCTCCTGCGTGGCGAAGGATAGGGGGGTCGGGAGTCATTGATAATCCGAATACTGGTAGCAATGAGCTATTCTCATGCACCGAATCCCCAACAGCTCGTTCCTTACTCCTAGTAGGTGTGTTCATCTTAGCAATAACCCATGGATTCACATCTTGCGGGATCGAGTATTCGACAGTACTAGCTTCGTCTTCGTGTGGTTGGGAAGGTCGTGGTCGTTTCTTACGAGAACATTTATGGCTATATTCATTGAAATCTGTGGACATGTCAGCTCTACATTGAGTATATCCGGCATTTGGCGATATATCCTTGAAGCTTGGTGCTCCCGTAGATATGGGGCCGTTCTGAGTGGTCAATATTGGTGCGTTGATGGGTGTGAAGCCGGTATTCGTAGGACCTGATACTTGCAGAATTTCTTTCAAGTGGGTATGTGGAGGATGATGAGCTATGATTGATTCGTCTTGTTGAGATTGCGGTGTAGATTTCGGTTGTGATATGATGTGGCCTCTCGTCTTCCATTGAGAATTTCCTATACTAATTCCTCGAGAATCGGACTGTGCTTGTGGCTCGATTAATGATGATTCCTGGGTTCCTGGAGCGTGTATGATGTCTGATGAAGAGCTATTTTCAACCGAATTGCTGATCGTAGATATCTCATATACTTCCTTGCATAAGTCCTTGAACCCGTCAAGCACTATATTTTCGTCTGAGAACAAAACATCGTCTTTAGATGGCTCAATATTTGCATCATAGCTTCCTAGAGGACATCTGATGTTCAGGCTAATAAAGCAGTCCTTGAGAATAGTAGCCGACGAACTGTGTCGAAAAGCAGTATTTATCTGCTCAATGTAGATGCTTAACAACTTCTTCATGGTTCCTCTCTTACCTGTGATAGGCCGACCGTCAACAGAGAAATACCGAAGCTTTGGCGCTTTTGAAGGGTCACAATTCGGCTTTAAAATGAATGCTTCGTACATATACTTCCCTTTCGACATAGGATTATGATCGTTCGAACCGCTGCTCTCATACGGAAGTTCGTTTATCTCAAACGTCTTCTTAAAACAATTGGTCGTAATATCTGCCCCGAATAGTTGTATCGCTGCTTCCTTCACACATGCGTCTGATTTCGGGGAGTAAGACCAATTTTGCTTTGGTGACTGCAAGACTTTTAATGAGAGCCGAAGTTGAGGTCTTGCCATAGCATAAGAGCGAAGAACTTCGCGAATCTTGTCGATTGTTTTCGAGGACTCCTTAATAGCCACTTGTTCACGAACCGGTAGTTTGCCGAACAAATTTGTGATACTTACTGTTGTTCCAATTGGCGCGGACGTGGGTTGCTGCTTAGATACACCTCCCTTGTTTGGTATGATATGAAGAATAGCTGCAATAGGCTCTGAGGCAATCTTGGTGGTAACTGTGACTTGAGCCAATGAATTTGCGCTTGCCAATGCTTCCCCACGAAACCCAAGTGTCTTGACAGATTGAGTCTTCAATTCTTCGAAGCTTCTGAGTTTGCTTGTGTGACCACGTCTGCCTAAAGCGTCATAATCATCCGGATGAATACCATTACCATTGTCTCGAACCTCGATCTTTTTGACTGTATCTGTAGATACTATGACTTCAATCGAGGATGCTTTTGCGTCTATTGAGTTATCAATGAGTTCTTTGACTAGAGTAGTTGGCGTCGTGATGACTAAAGACGAGCCTAAGAGCCGGGTTGTGGACTCTGGCAAACGAGAAATGAAAGACATGGCGACGATCGAAGTAAGCTGAAAGCATCACTGACTGAAATGAAATTTGACGTCAATAGACATAACTTATTGAGATATAAGGGCACTTTGTGAAGTTGGTATAAATATCTTCCAACGACTCGAGTAACAGAAGTGAGGAGAATTCCAGGTGAAATGAGAGTTTAGAAGACTCAATGGTAAGTAATAAAGCTAGGTGGGCGACGAAGGTTTTTATCTTTAGGGCTCCCATCACGCCTTCCGTTCATGGCGAATTACCTTCGGCAACCTCAGGGGTAATGCCATATCTCATTTTTCATTTCACTCACCTCTTCCTTCCCTGTTTCCTTTGAGAATTCAAATTATGTACACATCTACCTCATACCACTCTAATAATAAAGTTGAACACAAAGTCAATCCAACTCCAGGTACATCAGGTGACGGAACAACCCCCCTTTGGCGCCGTAACAGGAACTAAGACAGGTAAGGCTATCCCTGTCCGGACTTGCGTCATGCCCCTCACCAGTGCTGCGTTCGCTCGCTCAGCCCACCTCTCAAGCATGCCGGAGTACGGCCTAGGAATCCGTCCATACATTCATATATACATCCATACCTCCCACAAGCAAGCCTCCGTCTTACCCATTTCGAAAGCGGCCTACTCCTCTCTTCTAACTTTACCAACTAGGTACCTAACCAAGCATTCCTAACCAACTCAATTGCCCTTCAACTGGTGCAGCCGCCCATCCTCCCGACAATCCGCTCGCTACCTACCCCGACATCACCTACTAGTAGCCAACCAGACCGCTCTGGCGCGAATTAACGGCAGCCCTACCAACCTAAGCACCTAGAGCTCTTCAAAAACAAACAACTTGAAAAAGCATTAAAATGGCACACTCACTCAAGGGACCAACGCCACAAGAGCACGACGGTAGCGGCCTACGCATCGGCATCGTGCACGCGCGCTGGAACACCACCATCATCGAGCCTCTAGTCAAGGGCACCAAAGACAAGCTGCTCGGCCTCGGCGTCAAGGAGTCCAACATCGTCGTACAATCCGTCCCCGGCTCATGGGAGCTTCCCATCGCCGTCCAGCGGTATTAACTCCCATCCCTCTTCGTTCCCCCTCCCCTCCATACCTAGTACTCAAGCAGCATATTAACGCAACCCTCTCTCATAGCATGTACGCCGCCTCGCAGATCCAACAATCCAGCAGCGGCAGCTCCTCAGCGGGCGACCTGCTCGGCGGGTCAACAACCGACCTAACCTCACTCCCGAACCCATCGTCAACGCAGCCCTTCGACGCCATCATCGCCATCGGCGTGCTGATCAAAGGCGAGACCATGCACTTCGAGTACATCGCAGATGCCGTATCGCAGGGTCTAATGCGCGTCGGTCTGGACCTCGGGATCCCGGTTATTTTCGGCGTGCTGACCGTCCTCGACGAGACGCAGGCGAAGGCCCGCGCGGGCCTCACCCCGGACGGCCACAACCACGGCGAGGACTGGGGTTCCGCTGCCGTCGAGCTGGGTGTCAAGCGCGGCGCCTGGGCTCGGGGAAAGATCGAGTAAGGCTGTTGATGTGTCTAGGAGGTAGTTAGGGAATGCTTGAATGCCAACGGTAAAATAAAACAAAATAAATAAAAGGAATGAAAATAGCTGGAGGTAAATACGAAAGGCAGTAAAAAGAAGAAAAGATGCAAAAAATCAGGCAGGGTACGGGTTGCTTGGCTAGGTAGTCGGATGGTCTGTGTAAAGCTGGGACAACGCCGCGAAGATGCATGACAGGTCCGTAGGGAGGGTGGGTGAAGGGTAGCTAAACTCGTAGGCTGCCCGAATAACATGAACGAAAGCTATTGCGTTGAATCTATAGCAAATATAAGAAAACAATTGTGCTCTTACCTTCGCTTGTGATTCGGCATATCAAGTACATCACATCGTCTCAGAAGCAAGATATTTTTAATAGCAACTAGATGGGTGGATAAAGTATTAGATTACTGGTATATAGGCTGGTCTATCATGAGTCGTCCCGCCACGAATTGCAGACGCGCCCCCCCAAATCCACCCCAGCAGTTCTCTTTCTCTAAGTGGCAGGTCTTTCTCTTATTCAAAAGCTGAGTCTTATCTTTCTTGCGAATCCAGATACGCCCCTTTCCTATCACATATACGAAACTGTGATTTTGAAAATATACAATTCGAACCATCTCCTACTTTAAGGAACCTCCCAATATTAGGCGGAAAAAGTATCAGGGAAAAGGAATAAACGTTTCCTGGGATCGAGAATGACGGGGAGTAATTTTTACCGATATTCCTCGCACATGCTCCATTTTATGTAGCCGAATATAATGCTAGATATAGCCTCGTAAAATGCACATGCGCCCTTTAGTGGATAAGTGCTCCAATATCATCCCCAAATGTCTTCTTGGTCCGCCACATACTCTTCTTCTTCTCCCTCTTCGCCTTCATCGCTTCCCATCCTTGTTCATCATCGTCATCGTCCTCCTTATTGTTCATCGGCGACACCTTCACTTCAGCTTGGAGTTTCGAGTGTAGAGTCGGTAAAGCGCCGGACATGCTGGTCGTTCTTCCGTGATCGAGCATAGTGACGCTAGAGACTGGTCGGTAACGTCCAGGCAAACCGATGTTGCTACGCTCTGAGGGTGCAATGGACGGCGCATAACCTTGACCTTGAGCGCGGATTGATGGGGCATAGCCGTTCTGCGGAGGTTGGAGCCACGACGCTGAACTTGGCTGGACCATGCTCATCGTCCGCATTTGACTATCACCTCTTGGCAAATCCAGACTCATCCCATTACCCATATTATTTCCCATCATATTATTGCCCATCATGTTACTTCCCATCATATCGCCCATAAACGAATTCCGTGGTATGTCTCCCAGCGAGCCCATTGAATGCGTTGGCATATGTCCTTGAGGCCGGAGAGATCCCTGCATCTGATCTTGTCCTTGTCCTCGATCGGACATCATTTGCATGAATTGCATCTGCATCTGCATAAACTGCTGCATTTGTTGCGACATTTGCATTTGCATTTGATCGCCTGGAGTCATCATTTGGTTCGGCATTTGGGGCATACCCATTGGGTACATCATCTGGGGAGGAATGCCATTTATAGGATCAAAGCCTCCATTCATCCGCATCCCGTTCGCTTGAATGCTCCTCGAGTTATCAATAGCTGGACTGCCACGCCGCATGGCCCTCGAACGTTCCTCGTTGGCAATTACACCCACTAGGCCTCCAGTAGGTACTGGCGGGTTAGAGGGACCAATACCGCCTCCGAGAGCGAATGACTCTCTCGGGGGCTGGTTGATCAAACCTGCACCAAGGTATGGGTCCTGCGGCAACTTTCGAGCAAACGGAGGAAGATGACCCCCATTAGCCCCAGTACTTTCGCCCACGACAGATCCTGGCCCACCGACGTACGAAGGCTGCTGGACAGAAGCTCGCAGATTAGGATTAGACGACATATTAGTAAGCCGTGTCGGCGGCCGATTCTTGTTGGGAAACCCGTGAGCGGCGAGAATTGCTAGAGGCACCTCTTCGTCCGATTCGGAGCCATCATCAGGAGGAGATGGGGATACACCTTTGGTAGGCCCGTCGTTGAGTACCAAGTTTGGTGTGCTCATTGACAATGAAATGCTAGGGTGAGAAGCATGGCTACTTGTGTTCGCGTTCGCGTTGGAGTTCGCATTCGCATTCCCAGACTCGCCAGTCACCTTCATCATTTGTTGTCTGTACACCGTCATATGAGCCTCTTGCTTCTTTCTTTGCTTGGCAAGCTGTCTTGTTTTCTCCCGCTCGTCCTCATCATCGTCGTAATTATCCTCCTCCTCTTTGCCTGATTCCGGATCATCGTTTAATCCCATTATTTCCTCTCGTGCTTTATCTTGGCGATATTTCTCGAACTCTGCAGGAGTCATGACTTTGTTTTGCGACGGACCATTCGTGCGACCATTTTGTCTTGCAACGAACCTAGGACGGCTGAGGGGTCTGTCGAACATATTGTCATCGTCAGCCTTGGCACCGAATCGAGACGATTTGGAGTACGTGTCCGCATGGTTGGATCTCAATTCTGAAATATCGTCTTCGTCCCTCCTGTATCTGGCAGAACCACCGCTGGGACCCGATGCCTCGTTAGAAAGGAATTGAGTGGCTGCAATTGAATCTCTGAGTAAAACCGTATCTTCGTCATCTTCGTCCGAACGTCGCCGCTCGAGGGGTGTGGTGTGATGTCTCGGAACGGGAGGGGGCCGTGGTTCACTGGTAACGGGAGGGGATGTCAAGGTTCGGCCAGGACCCAAAAGCCCATCGTTCGAATGCTGACTGTTCCATGAGTGCTGCGGGGGTTCGATGGGCGCGGTGTGGTCGATATTAAGTGGAGCAGGCTGGCTGACTCGGTTCGACATTAATCCCTTGAGCGTAGCAACGCTCGCACGTTTATCAAATTTAAGCATGCTGCTTAAATCACCTCCTAGATCCAACATGAAATCCCTATCTTCAACCTTCGGAGGCGTTGCGGTGCTAGTGGTGGAGGCAGTCTCGGCTCGAGAGCGACCACGTGGTGTACCGGGGCTGTACTCGTCAGGCATCGAGGGTACGGCGGGGACGGATTCCTCGGCTGGTATCGTCGGTAAGGATGCCTTTTTGTTGCCAAAGGAGAAAGTCCTTCCTGCCTGCTTTAAAAAACCGCCACCGTTCTTATGTGGCGGTGGTGCAGGACCGTCGGACATCGACGAATGTTTTCTTCCAGCGCTGTTACGCCAGTCTTCCTGTTGCGGGAAGTCGGTTGAGGAGGGGGCTGTTGAGGCGTTGCTGTGACGGGAAGAGTTATCGGACGCCGTCTTTGTAGTGTTGGAACTTCCACTGCCACTAGGGAGGATCAGTAAAATTGCACAACGCTAGGGACTAGCCTAATATATATGCTTGCGGGTGTCTGAGACAAATGCTGTGCTAAAATCTGAGTAACCGGGGGCATAAAATTGACCCCTAGGTCCAGGTCCGGGCGCCAACTTGGCGAACATATGAAGTAGCCGGCCGGTTACTAGGTACTTCAATATAAAAATAGAAAAAAGGAAAAGGCATAAAATATTACCTAATTCGCACGTACCGATTATTCTTTAAGCCCGCAAAAAGATTATCCTCAGCTGCAAGATCGGAATGAATGTTGGGCTTAGGCGCCGCCGCCGTCATCCTAGCCAACCTGGCGCCGCCATCAAATGATTTCCCATTGCTCACTTCCGATCTCTCGAGGACCCGAAACGAATGCTCTGCTATCGGTCCATTTGGATCTTCTGCTGCGGTCGATTTCCGCCGGAAGGTGACTGGAAACCTAGGCATATAGATTGACTTGGCTCAAGTTCTTTGGGGTTAATACAAACCCATAAAACGAGCTAGGAGCCAAAGGTTGTTGGTATCGGCTCGCTCGTGTAAGATCTCTGGTGGTATGTAAGACAACGAAGGAATTACAATGCTAGATCGAATTGCCCGTCTCGAGGACTGCGTCGGAGCTTAAATTCTTTTAAGTATCTGAATATGACGCGAACAGGCGGGATACTGCATGATGAGGAGAAATACAAGTCAGCCGTGTTTTGTGGAAATGTAACCGACCATGCTACTGGGTCCTGTTGTGATGGGATAGTTGAGAAACACTTGTCCCTGAATCCCGAACGCGTAGGCAATACTGCCTTGACTTTTTGCTGTTTCTTTTTTCCTCCTCTTGGTCGGGTAGGATAATGAAATGATGAGTAGAGGTTTATTAGAAAAGTTCAAGGTTTATTGCTTCGACCAATCCCAATATGTAGACAATATTCTCGTGGTAAGATTGAAATGTCGAACCACTTGTAGAAATTCCTCCACTTTTGGAGAAACCTTTGTGATCCCCCCTTCTCGGTCTACTGAATTAAGTAAATAGGTAGTTGTCATCACTTACACAAATAGGATAATTAAAGCTTGGTGGACGAGTGCGGCTCGCTAGCAAAACGACGATCGCTTGCCGAGGTCGAAAGGACAGAGATGAACCTTATTTATTAATATAGTACGTAAAGCTGCAGGATAACAATGTATGCGATGCGATGGAGAAATGCGAATCGAGGAATTGCCCAAACTAATAGGAAGAGAATCGGACTGAGCGACGGTACGGACAAGCAGGGTAGAAAAAGCACGTTGTTGATCACGGTCAAAACGTGGTTAGTCTTCCGAAACACGACTTGGTACTGACGTGAAGCGGCCGAGCAAAAGGAAACGATCGAGGGGACTCCGCGTTATCAAGAATCAACGAGAGAATCCAGCGGTCAAGCAATATTATGGCCCTAATCCGCAGCCTAGACGGCAGTACAATTTAGGAAAAGTTTAAGGATGCTTGAGGGTGGCTGGGGGAACAAGCAAACGAATGATGAATGAAAGAATGGATAACGGTGTTGAGGGAGGGAGTAGAAGGAAAAAAAATTAAAAGTTAGGTGTGTGAGTGTTCAATGACGAGTGACGAGGAGGTATGGTGTATGGTATGGTGTCAGTCAGGCGAAGCAGAGCAAAGAGGCAAGAACGATACGTTATTTTCCTACGTTCTCGCCAATGCTCTGGGCAGGTACTTGATTCTTTCCAATCACGGGCAAAAAAAACCTGGGACCTGGAAGGCTCTTGGCTTCTACCTACCTGCATGCGTACATAGCACTGTAGATACATACATACATACATACCTGCGTACCTCAGGTATTGAATGGATTCCGTGGCATGGAATTGTGTAATCAATCATGCCCATCCATACTAGACTCTATTTTTATGAGAGAGTTCCAGTTCTATTGTGACCTAAATCTACTACATAGCACTAGGTAGCTTTCCACATACCATAGGTACATCCAGCTGCTCAATGGTACATCAGATACAAAGGGTGCTACCTCTTTTGGATAAAATTGGGCGGTGGGTGGATTACGAGTGGAGCTACAAAAACACGCTAGCCTCATTTGATCATGCATTGCACGATCAAGTGTCCAGGGTACTTAAGGTACAGAGCCAGTACAGAGCCACGGGGCCTGCAGTTTCTCGCAATTGGCCGACGTTCTGGGATCGCGGCAATAGACGACCAGCTTGGAAGGAGCGCGCTGGAAGCGTAAAGGGGTTTGACAATTCTATTTTAGCAAAAAGGCGAAAAGAATTGACCGCTCATCAACTTCCTTCAAGTGTTTGTCTAGTCGAGTCTAGATTTCAGGAATATCAGTTGTGTAATAACGGCTTCTAACCCGGGGAAACGGTTACATCTTAAGTGCTTCACCTTGATGAATCGGACCAAGTCGAGCAAGCAGCACATCCTCCCTTCGCTGCCTTTGGTACCACACATCTGCCCCATGGGTATATGTACTGTACGTATTGTACAAATCATGGACCAGCTGCATATCAGTGGGCACTGGGCTGATGAACCCAGTAAACCCAGTAAACCCAGGAAGAAAGGCGCTAGAATCGGCGAGGTACCTACTGCTAGGGTAGAGAAGCTAACTGGGGAACCAAAGGACCCTAACGGAGAACGATTTATCTTGGCGGCTGCTTTGGCTATCTCTGAGATGGCATGTAATGTGTTCAATGTGTTGTGCGGGACAGCCTACATTTGTAGCAGTTCACCCGCCAACCTCCAACCTCCTTTAGAACTCTCTGAACTTGCCAGTGTACCGGTAGGTATGCACATGCTGACGCCACAAGGAATGCATGTGTCATACGCGCACTTAGTATAATTGTACCCGATCACTATTTTCCGGTACTTGTGACTTGAGTACCAAGTGTATTTACTTAGGCAGGTCTTTATATTCTTCCACATTTACTTGTAAATCGTGGCGGATAAGCTATAGTCGGCAATGGCGGCGTATACCAAAAAAAAATTATTGAGATATTTTTTTTTTCGAAAATAAAGAGAAAAAAGTTGGCGAAAAGCGCAAAAACAGATATCGTATTCCAACTTCAAACTTGTTTAGTTCGTTTATGTGACGATTTATGTAGAAGGAGCTGTCAAATTTTGTACCAATCAGAAACCAGCTCCACAAACACGAGGGTTAGCATAATGGAAATGATTAACGTAGGCCCATAGAACAAACAAGTCCAACCCGAGCTGAAATCGAACAGAGCCTCTAACGATTAAGTAGTATGAAATCGATTACCCACAACACCGACTCGAGGCTTTTTTATATGAACGCTATGCTGTCAATTGTCTTTACGTCGCTGCGTCGATCGAACAAAAGACCCATAGACCCATGCGGGGGATCTGGAGCGGTTTATAGTAAATTGTAAAGTTTAAAGAAATGAGTTCAAGTCAATCAGTCGCGGCGGACGAAGTTAGATTTAAGTGCGCGTGAGTGCTGTCTGTCATAATTAACCTTAACTTTAGCGAAGTGAAGTTGGTAATAGACTTCAGGGCTATTTTGCGATGTACCTACCTAATCCATATTGTACTACTTTTCGGTTGCCGTTATACCGCTCTACTAGTTGCAGGTCTTCCAGGATCACCCATCCAGCATTTGGCGCCGGCCAAGGTACGAACCGTTCGTTTGGAAGGAAGTATCTACATAATGTGAGTAACTTCGGACGGTCCTATCGTTCAGAGTCCGAGCTGCCGAGTTAGCTTTTCAATGATACTGCAATCCGCTATGCCCGCTCAACGCAGCAGGCACTATTGAGGTATTAGTGTAAGCATGCATGTGTTATAGCGTGTTCAGGTGGTGACGATTACGTATATGCTGTAAAAGTATATGTGTACTAGGTAGGAATGCATGCAGGTATAGAAGTTTCGCAAGATTTGTCTCGGTTCATCATCAATCCTAATGTATGCCACAGTTTTTTTTTTTGCTCTCAGTCTTTTCAACTTCACCTCTTATTAAGGCAGCACCCCGCAGCCACAAAGATGCCATATTATACCTATTATGGTAAAATAAGCATCAGATCAATCCTCAACTCACTTCCACTTCTCGATTTAGTGCGAACTTGTGGTAAATATTGAGCTTGGCTTAAGCCCGCTATCTTTGTCTCGGATCAAAAACTTTTTGCATCTCGTCCGGCGCATTACTTAAGCTGACCAAGCGCTCAATCGATACGGCGGTTACGTACCAGCTAAAACCCCACGTGTTAGGACCGCATTCGAACAGTACTTGGAGGTACATTTTCTACAATTTGATGTACATCTCTGATCTTTAGTGGTTTAGTGGAGCGGACCCTGCGCGAGAGAGCAAGGACCACGGTGATTTAGACCCGAAGGCTGGGGGGAGCCATGTTCACAAGTACTATGTATAAATAATCCCCTTCAAAGGCCCCGATCTTCTTCTCGTATTCGTCCATCCAAAACCTGAAAGCCGCTTTTTTGCCCCGGACCGCATTGTCGAGTCTCCCGTCTCCGACTCGGATAAATATAAATATGAGGCATTGCACAGGCTGAGCGGAAATACTCCATATAAACAGACTCCACGACATGCATCGTCGATCTTCGATTCATAACAAGGGGACTTTTCCTTGGAAATCCAGTCGCTCTGAGGCTTCTAGACGTTTTACATACACAGATACGTAGCCAGGTACTCCATTATGATCGCTCAGGGGTTCACTTGGTGCTTGGCTAGCCTGCACTTTCGCCCCATATCCTATCCAATAATTCTTAGCGTCGGTGGACCACCCATCCAGGGGTTCCAAGAGCTCAGGTTCACAGACTCAAAAGCTCGAAAAGACCGGCAGCCCGGAGATCACTGATCAGATCTGACGTGGGAATCCGGATGCTACCATCCCCTTATATTATACATTTACACGAAGACACAAATTGTTTACATACATACCTATTACCTACCTACCCATCCTATGATATCAACTTGATCCTTAATGCTAATGTTGACCTAAGCGGAGCATTTTCCTGCTTAATCCTAAAGGGATAAAATGCCAGGTTCAAGACCAAGGCAATGATTAGTGTCTAGTCTTCTTCAGTGGTAGAGGAGACGGGTATAGTCGACCAGATTGGACATAAGCAGCGCGCCCGACAATGGGCTTTGAAAAAATAAGTAAACAAGCCTGCTCAGGTAGGTACTCAGAGACGCGCGCGAGTACCAGAGGATCGATCAATCAGACCAGCCCTGGGTATCTTTTAACTGTCCACCCCCCGCCGCCAACGCAGCCACGTAGTCGTCATCAAGCCTTTTCGATCCTTCTTCGCCTATGGGAATTGATCTTCGGGTAGATCTTCGCCAAGCGAAATCATCTCTAATTTTCTAAGGGCGTGCTGCTTCGGCTAGCAACAAATCCTTAAAAACTCATCTGCATACCAATGACATCAACCACGTTATCAGGAATGTGGATGTCTGCGCTTGTTGACGAGAGAAAAGACGGTGGCTTACGTAACGAGATCTGTTGAGGTCTACGGTCTAGATTTACAGAAAGGCTATGTATTTGAATAGGCAATTAACATCATATCGATCTAGTAAAGAGACCCAATCTTTGTTGATCCATAGGCACGAACGAGCCTGTTAATTGGATCCACGAGGTCCGAATAAAATGACGTCCAATACACATACCACTATTTCAGCCCTAAATCGCCTGACTACATCCTCGACGGCTGGATAGCTTCATGCTAATACCATATAGAGCTAGGGTCAACCAAAACTTAAATTGGTTATGATATTTTGACTCCAGCCGGCGGCTCTCCTTGTTCGGTATGTTTCACTCCCTGTCAGAAGCTATCTGGGCAACGCCCAAGGAAACGCAGCATCCAAGCAAAGAGAACCATCGGACTATCGGATGCAACTATATTCAACTCTCGCCTCCTGATACAGCATTCAGTCATCCATGTTTACTCCATTGTCCCACACATGTTTTAGAGGTCTCGCCAGGGCGAAACGCCACCGAAAAATGTCACCTCTTATCCTGAAACTAGTACAGCTTCTTCCCAAGTCGACAATAGGCTTGTCTAAAGCCATCTAATCGATCTTTCTCGTACCTAGCCAGCGCTAGGCCCGATCTCTCAATTAATATCCCTATAGTGGATGAGTGGATGATAAAATTCTTCGCTAGCCACACTCTTATTCTCATTTCCAGGATGAGGAAGCCGACTAGGGTTATCTCTCATATTTACCTTATTTGGCCATTCATCGCGACCCCTTTTACGTGAAGCATATTAGGCTCTTGCCTCACCTCCAAGTCATAGAATGGTATTTGCGGTATTCCATACATTCACAGATTTGATTATTTTAAAATGGTATAGCTAATAAGATACCTAGACAGCAAACCGATGAAATATTTCTTTAGATTTTTAGATACGCTTAAGGCAATGATACCGATTTAGAAGAATGTCACCTTGCTTTCTACAAGCTAACAACATGTTGCGCCGTCATAAACCATCGCCTCAATATAAGCCCCAATCGCCATTGTTCTTGAGCAGTTCCTCCGTGTTGATACCGGCCTTGTGCTTGGCGAGTTCATCCTCCATAGTCCAGTCACTCCACTTGTGCCCGAGAGGCAGGTTGGTGTTCTCGAAAGGGCTTCCATTTTCAAGATGGCTTCTCGCCTTAGCAAAGTTCTCAGTCGCGTACTTCTCCGGATTGTGCCCCCAAAGCCACTTCCCTTGTAGCATCGGCGGGTTTCCCTTTGGGTTCATTTTGCTAACGTCACGATGGACATACTGCATGTTGACAAAGCCCGTATGCTGAATGAGCGACACGCGCTGATACCTATGGGTTCAAGGCAATTAGCTAGGTACCTATGTATTAAGAGGGCAAGTATGACATGATAAATCTGGACAAGGGTAGAAGCTTACCGCAGTAGTTCGTGAACTTTAGTTGCGACTCCCTCATTTCCTTTGCCTCCTAGGCGGAGACATTCTGGGAGAGAAGCAGCATCTTCGAGGGCCTGAACAGCACCATTGCCCGAACTCGGCAAGAAGCTATGAGCACTGTCACCAACCTGAACGATGCGCCCGCCTGATGAAGTCCACTGGGGTTGGGGGTCTCTGAAGCGCAATGACCATCGTACGATGCTATTTTCCGGGGAGTGGAGGATGATTTCCCTTATAAAAGGACTCCATTTCTCCGGTTCTGTAAGTTTTGATAAGGCAGTCTCGTTTGATACGGTAGATGACCAGGATTCTGTTGCATCCGGGTCATCGTCCTGTAACGTTTGTTAGTGACAATACGGCAGAGTTGTGCTATAATTGATTGCTACTGGGGAGGTAGGTAGGTAGTCAACTTACCTTGGTGGTTATACCAAACATGATATAATCCTTACTAATAGCCGAGATGACATGCTAACCCCAGAGGTTAGTAATAGCTTCAAAGGCTACAGGTAAGTTTTTAAGGTAACAAATTATCGGCCGGCTCATTGAATGGAGGAAGAGAGAAACGCAGATAACGTACGAGATCGTCAGCTTGCAGAAGCATAATGATAGGCCTTTCCAGATTTCGCACCATCTCTTCTGCGACGGGTGCATCTTTCAGCTGTTCTGTTGGGTACATTACACGATAGACATCAAATCCTGTCTTGATCGCTCTCACCGGCCGTCCCAATGTGACTCCACTGTGGTAACTGAAGTTAGAATTCGAATTCACAAGACTAATAGATCGATATTTGGAGGGGGTAGAAACGAGCTTGCGAGTCCCACGACAAGCCGAACTTACTGAGACTTAGTACCGATACCATCCGCAGCTATAACGACATCGGCTGTGAACCGACGGCCATCTTGTGCTACTGCAGTAGCATTTCCCTTGGTTATATCCTCTTCATACTTCTCAATAGCAACATTGAAGGTAAGAGGAATACCAAGTCTCTTGCATTGGCTGTGAAGCATCTGGGCACAATGGTAACGACTCATAAGTGTTTTGATTCGAAGTGGATAGGCGCTATTTGTTTCGACTCCCTCCCGGTTGTACTCGAACTCTTCCTGCGATACTTCCGTGCCATCTCTAGCCTGGAAGGACATGCGACTATCCCAGGAAATTTCATCATACTCTTTCAGCATGCTGGGATAGTGATGAAGGGTAGTCCAGCCCGAAGGTCCAATGCCAAACATATCGCCTATTTTTATCGAATTAGTTGGCATACGAGCATGAATACCTTGTTCATAATACATACCATGGCCTGAAACCACGTCTGTTTTTTCGACAATCTCAACTTCGATGCCTTTTCTCCAGCATTCTAGAGCAGTCATCAAACCACCTACACCAGCTCCAATAATGAGCACTTTGGTACCAGTTGGTGGATAGCGAAGTACTCCATCGACAATGACGTTTTTGGTTGGTACTATCAGTTGGGGGTTTGAGGTTGATGCGATTTTAGAAGGCATTTTGTCGGTAGTGAAAGCACTCTTTAACGATATCAAGTGAATTTGAATTGGGTATGATTATGAAGCAAAGACAAGCTGTCCATATCGGGCGAATGAGTTGGTCTTTATATTCCAAGGTTACCGGCGTTAACTACCTACCTAGTATCTACTAAGTGTCTATTACTAGGTAGATATCCGAAGCCACGAAGGCATCGTCAGATTACGGGAAGTAGTCACACCGTCTCTAATCAGGACAAGCATCACAATTGGTTAGAGCGGCGTACGTAAACAACTACTTAGCTAATTATGGAATTAGGCATGCTGAAAACTAGAAGCTAGATGTGGTATTCGCGTTCTTGTCGGTCTCCGACCCTAACGTTGCAGATCCCACTTATCTAGGAACTCGGACGACTATAAGATGCCATTGCCGGTTTATAAGTGGAGCTTAGGCTATAAGGGTTGTAATAGGGCTGATCCCTCCGTTCACCGATGAATATGAAGGGTATAATGAGATTGAAGAAGTCTTAGCTTTCGAGATTGTTCATACCAAGCTTATGGAGTCTGGGAACTTGTAAAGCCCGTGGGGAACTTGAAGAGCCCGGTGGCCGCGGAAAGCATGCCACGTACCTAGTACCATAAATAATTGGGTTCAATGGCTAATCAAAGGTGCCTTGCAGGTATATATACACTACGACATGTAATGGATTTGGGCATCAAGAGGTTTGTACCGCTATCTCTCGTGTGCTTTGAAAGTTTTATTGGAAACCTGGGATGGTTATTATCTCCTTGCTATCTGCGTAGCTGAGCCGGCTTCTTATAAGTGTTGTAATGCGGATCCGCAACCCATTGCGTCAATATAAGGTCAATGAGTAGGAAGAAAAGCGCGGTCGACACCAGTTTTAACAATGAGTCTAAACTACCAGCAGGCATGGAGGTAGCTATTCAACACTACAATGATCGAAGATAATGTATCATTTTAACTTTCAAATGGCATCATAATGGACAAGACCTCGGATATGAATGGGCCAAAGGAACTGACAGATGGCTTCTTGATCCTAGGTAGATACTTGCTTAGGCATACCTAGGCGTATCATCCAAACTACCTGTCATCTTCATTCTTCCTGCAACTACTAGATATGTTAATCACTGGTTAGGTACGACACGTTTACGATATTCACTCAGTTACATCGTTTGAAGAAGAGGAGTATCCGATATCCAACCTCTGATAAAGCGATTTTGCGTAGCGTCACTCGCGTACTAGTAGGTACCTAATACACAGGCAGTGTTAGGCGCGGGTAGAATACTACTATTGATAGAGCATATGGTCTGTAGAATTGTTAGAGCGATCGCAGATCTTCTAGATGGCGCGTGACATATTTATACCTTGGCCAATGTTCTCGATGTTTTGGAGAGAGCCGGAGAACGTCACGGGATTCCGCGGGATTCGAAACATTGAATCACGGGTAGTTCCGCTCCGTCCGTACCGGGATACGGGATCATGGTGCGGAACCCCGCTATAAACCTTGATAGAGGTATATTTTCGTTACATAATTGGGGCGTCAATTGAACGAAATATTTCTTTATTGAATTAGTACCCCGCGATGCAATCTTTTTTTTCCCACTCAGATCATTGAAGCTTGACTTGAGATTATACAACTAATTCGTCTCCCGTTGGATCTCCCGTTGGTGCATTACGCTAAGCACGATAACTTGCATGATCATGGCTGAAGCACGGATCTCAGTACTTTGCAGTGGGAATGGATCGAATCTCCAGGCACTTATCGACTCGAGCACCTCTAACGCACCTGACAGCATACGGGGCAAGATTATTAAGGTGACGGTGAATAGGAAAGGGGCATATGCTACTACGAGGGCAGAGAAAGCTGGCATTCCTACAGATTACTTCAACTTGGTCAAAGATGGTTACCAAAAACTTGGGGAGAAGGACCCGGCAGTGTTGAAAGAGGCACGCCTGAAGTATGATGCTGATCTGGCTGAGAGGATATTGCGTGATAAACCAGACCTTGTCGTCTTGGCAGGTTGGATGCATGTCCTGTCGACGAACTTCCTGCGGCCGTTCAGCGATGCCGGGGTGCCGATCATAAATCTTCACCCCGCTTTACCAGGTGCATTTAAATCTCTCTGCATAGCCTCCTCATTTTGATTCTGACGATAACGATCATAGGTGCTTATGACGGTGCTGGTGCGATTGAAAGAGCCTATGAGGATTTCAAAGCCGGAAAACTCGAGGATAACACAACTGGAATCATGATCCACTATGTCATTGCTGAAGTTGACCGTGGCGAACCCATTCTAGTTCAGAAAATTCAAATCCAGGAGGGAGAAAGTCTGGAAGATCTAGAGCAGAAGATACATGGGTGCGAGCACGGTCTAATCGTCAAAGCGACTGCGTTACTAGCAGAGAAGATATCGGCGGCAAAAGCAGCAAATACATGAATTAAAAGGCGGGGTGGCGATGGCATCGGAGACCAAAATCGAGCAATTGCATGATCACGAACATTCCGTGAACATGGGGTAAGAGGTTAAGGTTGCTCAAGGTTGCTCATGAAATGGAATCGTCTTATCTATCGTAGGTGATGTATCATCCGAAAGCTACGAAGCGTGCAAAATGATTGGTAGTTATATAAGACATACGGGTCGCGATAGGCGTCGTACTTAAAGCACAAGCAAGCACAAACGGATTATGCACATAGTAATATGCATGTTGAAATCCATCAATGAAACGCTGAAGATGTGGGAAACGTAAACAAAATAGAGTTGAACTGCATACGGTATACATGTATATTATAAGGGCTAAGTGAGGGGATTGGGGAGGCAGGTCGTGTGCGGATGCGGATACCCTCGGAGATAAATGGCGAAAGAAAAAAAAGGAGACCGATGATCAAATACGGTTCAGATCATAACTGCGACGGTAAGTCATTTCAGAGCTGCAGCACTTGCAGCGCTGAAGCTGAGTGATGCAAAGTCAAGACGCCGCGGCTTGGCAAGCTATACCTATTGGGGTATGATTGGCTTGGAACCCTCCAAAGATCCACCGAAAAGCTCTGGAGATAGTCTGCCGACCCACTGGAGCCGGCGATGCTGTGCACAGTGAAGGCGACAGTACGTAAAGTTTAGCCTCAAAGTAACCACGCTCCGCGCCTGCAGGGTCCACTCAATGTTACCTTAGGAACTCGGCGTGCAGGTTTAAAACATGCCCTAGAAAGAGCAGTGGATGGATAGAATAAAACAATCATAGGAAACGACCACTGTGTAAGCGCCTTTTTATATGTCCTTTTTTAATAACTCGCCAAGTGTCTAAGGATTGTTCTAAATATTAGCTATTAGGTACTTTCTTTGTTCTTATTTACTTATTGTCATCTGAGTTATTTTTCTGTTTCTTCTTCTTTTTTTCTCCCTCTTCGCTAGACGAAACAGGAAAAGAAATAAACATATATTTCCAATTATAGCTAACCAGGTAGTTTTTAGCTAAGCCTGCGTCCGCCGCGCGCCGTCGCATTACTTTTTTCCAGCATCCCACTATCACCTTTACTTCCGTTCCCATAAGCATACCTCTCTGCCAATTGCTATCCTCTCTTGCTTATCATCTCTTCTTTTCTATTCAATCAGTATTACCCTCACCTGCATCTTCCATCACCGCCAGAATGTCCGGGGATAACTCCGCCTCCCGCTTATCTACCTCCGACCCGCGCCGAGAAGGATTCACTTCCTTCATGAAGAGTTCTTTCTTACTCTCACAGGAGGAGAATACCGCTCCTATATCAGCTCGTGGCCATGGCGCCCTCACCCACCTTATTAGAAACCGTTCCTATGGCTCCTTACACAACTACGGAAGCACGTGGCGCGGCGCAATGCCCGCCGGTCTAGATGACGAAGAATCCGCGCTGTTGTCTCATCCGTACTCGCGGTCCGAGTCCGACGATGGGGAGCATCGCCGGTCTTCAACCGACGAGCGTCGGCTCAGTCAATTGCTCAACAGCACGCCTATGCGTTCTATGCGACTGATCGGCAACGCGAACCCGAGGTACAAGTGGGGGCGTTATTGGAAGACGGAAGAGGAGTTAAATGCTATGAGGAAGCCGTTGCGCGAATACTACGAGCGTGTCAACTATCTGGTACAGCAATATATCTACATTGACCGCTTGCTCGACAGCAGTCTACCCCATGATCTCGTCAACGAGTACAACACGTTACACCATAGCTCGTTCAAGGAGCTCGACATTCCGACTACCATTTCCGAAGAGCATTCAAGTCTCGTCAGCATCAACAAGCTCAACCAAGAAAGTGCACACGGATCCGATGAATCAGGTGGTCCAATCACGCCCATGACAAACTTTTCAAGCCCTCAAAAATCGGGGTTTGTTGACAGCGAAGACTCTGACGCCAATAAAGATATCGAGACAACTATTCCTGTGACTAAGGTGAAGCGTACACCTAAAAATATCTATCGTGCCACCGAGACCACGCCTTTGTTCTTCAACAATGACGACGATGACGATCAATGGGATGGCCCGAAACCCGAGATCCCGTGGCTAGAGGAAGACGAAGAATTAGACAGTGGCGACCAGATCGTTACGACGGCCATCTACGTCAATTTCACGGCAAACGTGATCTTGCTAGCAGGCAAGATCGCTGTTGTTATTTCCGTGTCATCTATGTCAGTATTGGCTAGTTTGGTCGACGCCGTACTCGACTTTCTGTCGACGGTCATCGTATGGACGACGACATGGTTGATTTCCAGGCAGGACCAGTACAAGTACCCGGTTGGAAGGCGCAGGCTAGAGCCTCTGGGTGTTCTTGTTTTCTCGGTTATCATGATAACCTCGTTTGTCCAAGTCGCGCTGCAATCACTCCAACGATTGGCCTCGCCCGATCACGAGTTGATTGAGGTGTAAGTAATTGTTAATAATTTTTTAAGGTTGATTATGCTAACCCGCCCTTAGTGGAGTACCGGCTCTCAGTATCATGTTCGGGACGGTACTAATCAAAGGACTGTGCTGGCTATGGTGTCGCATGGTAAAGAACTCGAGCGTCCAGGCCTTAGCCGAGGATGCGATGACCGACGTAATCTTCAACATGGGATCGATACTCTTCCCCATCGTCGGCTTTTATGCTAAGATCTGGTGGTTGGATGCTCTAGGTGGTCTCGTCCTTTCACTCGTTGTCATCTTCAATTGGTCTCGAACCTCGGCGCAGCATATCAAGAACCTCTCTGGATGCTCTGCCACTGCTGATCAGCGAAACATTTGTGAGTCTTGAAACGCGTTTATTTCCTCTAATATGTCATCGTTCTAATTTAAAATGCATAGTGCTCTACCTTGCAATGCGTTTTGCTGGTACGATAAAGCAAATTCAGGGTCTACAAGCTTACCACGCCGGAGATAAGTTAAACGTTGAAGTTGATATCATCCTAGACGCGTCTACGACGTTGAGAGATTCGCACGATCTGTGCGAGAGTCTGGGTTATGTGTTGGAGTCGGTCCCGATAGTTGACAGGGCCTTTGTCCACGCTGATTACGCCAGTTACAATCTGCCTACCCATATGGAACAACAAAGCGGTTAGGGACTTGAGGAAATTGCATGCTTGGAAAGAGGAGCCTATCTGGGTAAGGGAAATCGTTGCATATTTCGGTGCGTGTCATATTCATTTCATGGCGGGCTTGGTTGGGAAAAAACAGATCCTGGTGATTTTTTAAGTGCGATACCATATAACATCAAATTGCTTTCATATAGCAGATTTGATGATGCTTCACTGCGATCAAAATACATGCGATCACGATTCTGAATTGATATTCAGTTTCCGCAATTAATGGATAAGCCTTCAAATGGAAAAAGCGAACTTTTGAACCGGCAATGAGACGGGTATATTATCATGCATATGTGAGACCGGGAAACAAGAACCATGCATGTGGAAGTGAGGTCTTCGCAAAGGCAGGCTGCCTCCGCGAGTCGCTTAAGCCTGGCTCGTAAGAAGCGCTCGGTCCTTTTTGCTTTTCTAGGCGGCATGCTCTTGAGGGCATTTTTTTATCCTGGCAACCTGGTAGCTGCTTGGGAGATCTTATTAGGGGCTTGTCATTGCGTTCTCCACTGATAGGCTTCTGTTAGGACCGGGGTTACTAGACCCCGGGCAGTCCGGACGGTACCTTGCTCCTAGCTGTCGATAATTCGCATTAGTGCAAGATTAGCCGAGACCGAACTATTGTGTTGAAGTTTATTCTAACAATTGCAGGTTACATAATTGAAGATACTTCAGCGTCGATGGTTGAATACCGCTCTTTTATCTCGAGTGGCGAGAAATCTTGTCGTCGCGGCTATCCCGCATTGATTTCTCGCTAGAACCAAATGCCGGGCGTGGCTGGGAAATATGACGTCACGGAATTCCCTTGGTTTTTCTTATGTATGCATGCTAATGTGGATGAAGTTTCATGGTTGGTTTACTCGTATATTGTGTCAATACGCCATCTCTAGGTTGAACTAAAAGAATGTCTTCGGGAAGAAACGGAGAGGTGTCTAGGCATAGGCAATTACTTTGCACCCAACACTGTCTAGATGATCTAGCACACCTAAACTAGAAGAAATTCGCCTTCGATAACAACGTTGCATACCCAGGTAGGTAGCATGGGGCCAAGGGACTTGGCCGACAACTTGCTCCAACATGGTGTACACCAACAGCTCCGTGCCGGGTCGGATATACTCGGTGTAAGAGCATCGGAGTAAACCATACTCATTTTCGAAAGTCAAGATACAATTCTACAGAGAACGTTTGTAGTTACTATCAAGAGTTAAATCACGCGAAATTGTGTTTCCGAGTCCCTTGTTCTAGTCAGGTAAATCCTTGCCTTGAGTCTTGAGAATGAGTAAAAACAAAACACGGTAAACGCGACGAGACAACTCACGACGCCCTACCCCTATCTTAGTAACGCGCTGATTATATTTGCTCGATGGAAAGGTGGCTGCTGGTCGCAACCGCACCCAGTTGGCATACTATTTGCCATACAACGGAGTATCAGGTACAGTCGCGGGAGAAGCCCATAGTTGGGAACTCTGTCACAAAGTGAGAGATAGGAGCAGTTATAGGTTCGTGGAATAACAGTAGTTAGATTCGGACAATAGCTAACACAAGCCCTTCTCCTTTATGTCTGTAGGGAGCTAAAGGCACTTTTTATATTCGTGCGCACATATGTTACCTAGGGACATAATACCTCTAAGTCTCTGTCCTCTCAGCCTTTGAAAAGCACCTAGTAGTCAAGGCTAGAAAGCGAGTGGTTCCAGACTGTCGAGTATCTTCCCTATATTCCTAGCGACAAGTTCGAAAGAATACCTTGGCGTGTTATAAATTTACATGCTCATGTTTCCCCTGAGCCCCCTCGAGCCGTCGACGACAGATACACTTCGAGATTGATGTGAATTATCTCAGGGACTTGGAAGGGACTGCGGCGTGTCCATGTGAAATTCTTGAACTGAAAAGAAAAGAATCTTGAAAAATATCCATTGTCTGTGGGTGGCCTCTGTGTTTAGGTACCTACTACCTAGGTAGGTAGATGACACTATGTTGAATTGGGCGGACGGTAAGTATCATATCCGGGTAAGTAAGTCATTGCGATGGAGGGGTTCTAGGAGTTCTTGGAAATAAAATAAAAGAGAAGGCCAGTATGCTGAGGGAGAAAGTGGAAAAGACCGATGAAAAAAGAATAAAAGAAAAAGAGTGGTGTTAGGTGGAATCGAACCCTAAAGGGGGAAAACAGAATACACACCAAAAAAGAGACAGCAGGAGGGGATACCTCCTCAAGGCCCAGCCTCACTACTATATTTTGGGCAAACCGGTAGTGAGCTACTGCGCCCTCCCTCGTACTTTCGATGATGGGAGTATTTCTTTGCGGTAATGTCAACCATGGCTAGGGTGGTAGGTTTCCATTTTCGCTGTAGGTTGTACCGTGTCTGTGGTTGGTGGAATTAGAATGGCGTGTTCAAGATTATTCAGTCCTCTACCAGACGGACGACTTGCCCATTCTACCACCAGTACCATCGGTTAAAAGTTTAGATCTTTTTTTAGATATATAAGGCTTCTAATGAGGCCGGTGACGAGGTAAGTGCCGGCGAAGTTTTGCCGTGGTTGCCTAGGGACCGTGACGCGCTCGCATGATCGAGAGACGCGTCATGATTCCCGTAGAGGTCTCTGGACGCGTCTGCATCACGGGGACACTTTCAACGCGCTTTGGACACTTTATTTCAACTACATATACTGTGCCCCTGATAGACTGTATCTGAACCCCTTTACTATGGCTAGTACTACCACAACATATCACATTGGATTCCGTTCGAAGAAGATATGTTTGACTTCTTATTGTGAAATACACCGCTCTACAAAAGTCTCCTGAAATGATTTGACATTATGAATCACAATACGGCCTTGACTCCTGAGCTGGCGGTTATCCACCGCCGTGACATAGTTGTAGAACAGACCCCTTTTTGGAACCCCTTTTTATGCCACACCTTGAAGTCTTAGTCATATACGACTCATAACTATACCTAAAATTGATATGTGGAATAGAGTAAAGGTGTTAAGGTAGATATGTATGTGTTGTGTAGGTAGGTATATAAGATATTCCTTAGTGGCCTTGGAGCGATGCCCCTGAGAATTATTTTCAATGCCATCTTGTTTCCTGTACATCCACATTACTCAGTAATACACCACAGTACTAGCTTGAAATAGTCTGCAAAAACTGTCATACTTACAAATACATATTTCAATATAATTAGATCAACGTATTGAAGTAAATCTAAAGTAGTTGTAACAGCATTTGAAAAGGGGTATCTGACATCCCTGCATACTTACTCCTATTGGCTGATAACCCTGGTAAGTGGTCGCATTTGGAAAGTCAACTCTGACTACATATATCACGTGTAAATCGCAATAGTTGATTTATGAGGATATTATTCTACTAAGTCGAAGTATTGATAATAGGGAAAGTGGATATACACTCCAGGGCTTCTAGAGGATATCGTGGCTAGATACAACTTGACCTATGGCAACTGATTCGGTTGTAAAACCTCGCCTAGTCACGACCCAGGACGACACTATTTGAAATAAAATCATATAAATTAGGTATGTATTAAATAAACCAGTGAAAGAAAACAATACCGAAATGAAGACAAATCAACCTACCTCAGTACCTACCTACCTCAACACCAACCCCCCCAACTTCCTCACCTCGAGGACCCAGCCCCCAACTGCCGTCTCCAAACCCACGCCGCCTCAGGAAACAGTCCCAAATCCTCCAACAAACAACAAACATCATATCCCTCCTCCTCCCCAGCCCCTTTCCCATCAGGGCCCCCACCCATCTCCTTCTCCACCGCCACTGTCTTCAACTCGCGCCTATCCTGCGCCAAAACCTCGTCTAAAACTCCCATATACTCATCCGCGCTCACGCAGCTCGCCCAGCGCACGATCCCCGTGCAGATGCGCGCCCATGTGGTGATCCACCCCGCGTCAAGCGACCCGCCTACCTCGCGGAAGTCGATCATTCGCTGTATAGGGTCGGGCGGGGTCTTGAGCGAGCTCACTGAGCACGGCGTGAAGTCGTAGTTCAGCTGCAGACTCTCGCGACACAGGGGCTCGGCGGCGGTGGTGGCTGTGTCGCATGCGGTGATCTTGGTGACCCCTTGTTCGGCGGTGACGGTTGGACCGGAATCCAGGTCACTGTTGTTGTCGGCGATGCGGGACTGGAACATGTCTTCGAGTTGGGAGTCGGGGGTTTCGAGGTTTTGGATGTAGTCCCATACATCCTCCATCTTTTGGTCGTAGGATGCTTCCAGGTCTTCGACCGGGGGGTCGGAGGGGGGATTGGACGGGACGCGGACGGAATACACAGATGAGGACGATGGGAAGGAGAAGGTGGAATCGGAATCGTGCGCGCTGCGCGTCCCGGCGATTCTGCCGAATTTCCGGATGTCTTTCATTAATGCCTTCCATCCCTCGCCGTAGAATCCTTCGGGGGGAAATTGGTCGTTGGGGTTATTAGAGGGGGTATTCGTTGAATAAACAGAAGAGCTTGAATTCACTCTCAGGCCGTCGAACCATTCTATCCCCCTCGGATCCGCTAGGTAATCCATGAAGTTAGGGTCAATGGGATCGGCGTAATCTTTCAGATCGTCAAGCAGTTCCTCAATACCCTTATTCGTTGATATTGCCTCAATGTGGTCTTGCGGGTTAAGATACTGGATGCCTAGCTCGTTATCCTCGCTGTGTAAATCGGTTAACTTGACTAGGTTCTCGAACTTTTCGATGACTTGTGGCGCGTCAATCTTGATCTCCCGATGGGCAGCCGGGTGTTGGATGATGTTGCCCACGCGTCGCCATGCGAGCTCCCACTCTTCGGTGTCAACATCCCATTCCCACGAGCTGCGCGAAGCCGATATATATTGAGAAGCAGCGACTAGGACGTCATATTCTTGGTCCCCGTTTAGCTCACGTAGGTCTGTATGGTTATAAAGGACGGCGCATTGGGTTCGAAGAACGAGAGTGATCTGTTCTTGGGCAGGAAGCTTATAGAGTTTCGTGTGTCCATAATTTTCCTGGCAATATTCGTAAAGCCAATTGACCATTCTTGGGTCTTGAGATTTGTCCCAAAATGCCCATCCTACATTACGATATAGCGTATTGAGATCGGGTGGGGCGTGGATTTGTCGGTCCTCTTTAAGTGCTCTGTGTCCTTCAGCTAACACATCATCGAGTAATGGTAACCGGATTTCTGACTCCTCACTTCTGGCTAAGGATTTATCCCACCATTCATCGTCGTCACTACTGCTCTCATCGCTGCTACTGCTATTATTATCCTTGTTGCTTTTATCGTTCTTATTACTGCCGTCATTGCCATTTCTGTTAATATCATCAATATCTTTGCCTAGTGCCATGAACGGGCCTACCTCGTTACGCCACTTTGCAAATTCTGCCCCCTTTTCCTTACTACCACGTTCCCTTTCTTCTCGGGGTACCTTATTAGAAATCTCGGTAAGTGTAATTGGGTCATATTCCCTAAGCCACCCACCCTCCCATTTCCCAGAAACCTGTTCAGCTGTAGTATCGCGAGCGAGATTGCTTTCGAGACGGATGCTTTGACTTTTGTCATTGACTCTTCGCCACGGTGCGTGGAGGCGCGAAAACATCGGGTCTGCAGCCCAGAGGAAGGCCCCTATTCTCTTAATAGTTGCTTCTGTGAACAGACTCGTACCGTTCCCGACACGAACGCTGAAATTGCAGGTCGGGTTAACGCGGAGGCGGTAATTGGATGTTAGGAGGTTAACTATGAATTGGATCTGTGTAAATGATTCCTCTTGTGACCACATTACCGGGCTACGAATCCTAAGGGTCTGCCAAAAGTAACCGGCTAAGAAATACTCATTCGCACTAGATGTGGCGCTAATTGCCCACACTGAAGGGTCGATATCTTGAGAGGGTGATGGTAGGTCAGTAGTCTTAGATGACTGGATTGGATCGCTCGATTGGCTGACGGCAGGAACACTGTAGCTGTCTAAAGTATCGAGTATATGGCTTAGTATCTCTGTTACTTCATCTCCATCGAAATTGACTCGTAGTAAAGGGGGTAGTCCTTCAATTGTGAACTCATCTGGATCTTTACCCTCCATTGGAATATAAGCAATAAGACATTCTAGCTCGATGCTAAACGACTGATGCGTACCTGCCGGCACCGCTAATTGGGTTGGATCGGTCATGATGAAATAAGGAGATCCAAATAAAATACGAATCGAGACGGTTCGTCCTACCGAGTGAGGAATTCCTGCTTCCTCTTTTCGTCAAAATTCAGGATCGTCTCGTTAATTATCACCTGTGTATAGATTGACTGTGTCAGCTCAATAAACTTGATCGTGGGACAGTTTCTATAAAATTGAACATATTACCTATGCGTGAAAGAGAAACCCTAGAACAATGCCTTTATCCATTCCCTAGGCTCTCCAGGACAAACAGTGGAACCTGGCCACATATAAATGATATGCAACTCAAAGCCATCGCACTCGTAGGGCTTTATAAATCGATGTCAGCCAAAGAAGAATCCGGCCTTGTTTGATCAATTGTATTGTTCTATGCCTGCTTTGTGGTGTGCTATTGTAACTAGCTTGCGGGTTTTGTTAGTCTCCTACTAACCACAACCGCCATGCGACTCTGATCTCAGCACCATGCTCTTATCACTTAAACATTAAAATCTCCACCGACATATATTAAATCATTAATACTCGATTCGTCTCCTCGTGATTTGGGTTTGTCACGTGCAACGTGACATGTCCAGTCCGGTGGATCAGTTTGAGTGCTGCGGATGTCGAAATGTACAAGAAAGGAACGGCAGCGCCATTATAGCAATTCCATCAGCAACCATGATTTTCTTTAATAAACTCCTTATGCAATTACTCAACCTACGCTCATACTACTCCTAGAGCATATAAGCGAACAGGCCGACAGCAACAGCTGCAGCACCGTTTCCGAGATACTGAATGTTCGTAGGGACGGCTGCGGCATGAGATGTTGAGCTCGCTGCGGCGGAGCTGGAAGCAGCAGTAGCACTTCTGCTCGGTGCCGCAGAACTGCTACTGCTAGTTGTCGCTCCCTCGCCAGCGTGAGCCGACACACTTTCCGTACCACACTTATCGCCAAACGTTGTAGTGCAGTTCTTCTGACCGGCAGCGTTGTTCTCCTCCTGCGTGATACAGTTGCTTTGAAGTCTCTCGCAAACGAACTGTCCAAGGTAAGATATTGTTAGTTTGGTCCTCTTAATAGTAGTCGATAGATCGAGAGAATAAAAAGGAAATGAAAAAAAAAAAACTTACCCAGGGCATCGCATTCTCGAATTTGTTCATATCGGGGTAATTGCCACCCTGGCACTGACATGTAAAATCTAACGTATCCTATACCTCAGTTAGCCATGCGCTTGACTCGAACATAAAAGTACTAGGTAGTTATTAAAAACTTACGGTTGAGCAGGCATTGTTGATCGCGGTACCGCAAATCGTGCCACAGCTATCTGTCTGTCCTTGGCACCAAGCAACTTCGGCGAATAGTCAGTATTCAGATCAATGTTATTTATTTGTTTCGGAAACTAGCAAATAGCTTACCCCGATCAGAGATATCGACTGTGGTTGGGTTAATAGTAAAAGTCGAGTTAGAGTTCGCTTGAGCGGAGACGAGACTAAGTGCGGAGAGCGCGGCGACGGCGACGCTGGTGGTGAACATGTTTGCGATTGAGCTACCTAAGTAGGAAGTCGATCGGCGTATGTGATGGATGGATGGGGTTAAACGACAAATTGGTTGGGCGAACCAAAATGTGTAAATGTAGATGTAGATAAGATGTCTTTGGGAAAGAGATGATGATCCGGACTATGGACGGAAAGATGAGATCGAAGAGAAGATTTGTGAGCTTTCGGATGAAGTGCGAAGAAGAAAACGGAGATGGGGGTACGTAATATTATCAGAAGGGCAGGCCGGCAGAAAGTGTGTGGGTTGTACCTGACTTAATTATTAACCTACATGTAGGTAGCTACGGATGACAGGGGTTCGCAGGAGTTGACGTCCGCAGAGTCTGTTTAGTGTTGTTTGATGAAGGTGCCCATTGGGGATCCAGCTGGGAAAATTTGAGAAGGCGCGGGATAAATATGAGAACAGGCGAGTTCCAAAAAGAGCCAAAGAGCATTCTGACGACGAAGCTCACGATAACGGACCCGATTTTCTCCAATCATATTCCATATTTCTCCAATTCTGACAAGGATCTCAAAGGTGTCTTTCTTTTGGAACTCACTGGCGTTGCTGCAGTTGCCGCTTGCCGACCGTTGCCACTAGTAACTCTAGTACCACCATCAGGCCAGAAATTTGGAAACGCCAAGGATCGAGTTTGCGGTCCATTCTTACCCCAGACAGGAAAAGTCAAAAAGGACTTCACCAATCAGCAGATCGGCAGGCCTCCTACTCTTTCCTTATTAGGCTAGAACGGAATAAAGTATTCCAGCATCTAAGCATCCCTGTTTCGGCAAAACTCGTCACGACTGTTACGTATGTAGGTACCTTGTCACTTGTCAAGGTTCTTCATTTTCCTCTTTGTTTTGTAGGATTTGTAAAGACTCAATGCGTGTCCAGCTGGACTTCGTTTAGAATTACACGTAAGATATGATCCGTATCACTCGGTACTCTCGTAAATATTTCTTCATAACCGAATCACATTGCTGAGTCAGTCTTGTTCATTACGAGAATGGCAACTGTCCACGACAGCAACGCAGGTCGCTCTTCGTATTGCTGAACAGTTGGAGGTACCGCATGCGGGGTTTATGCACATACGGTATGGTTGCATGTATGAATGGATGGGCTGGATCTTCACCTGCTTTCGACGGTGCTTGATGAAATGGACTTAGCCCGAAGCTATCTGGTTTTGTACCTACATGTAGGTAAGTACATCTGGTACCCAAAGTGCTTACACCATGAAAATAATTGGAAGGTAAATTACATATAATAACTTTAATTCTTTCACCATTTTTTTTCTCTTCTAGAGCTTGTGAGCCCAACCCGTTGACAAAGAATGCATGGTACGATATTCATTTTATTAGGGTCAATGGGCATCAAATCTTGAGGACCTGGATTATATTATCTGCTAGGGTATGGAAATTTGATTTCTGTGATGGTATCGTTGACCCTCCCTGGTCATCCGCTCTGTCCGCTCACCGGTAATCGGCACTCGGGGTTTAATTCCCTCTCATTGGTTTGTTGTTAGGTCAATTTGGTTTGAGAGGCTCCCTTACAGATTTTATATTCTTAACCTTATTTCCCATCGCTAATATAATATACCTATTGAATTGGTCCTGATGGCGCTTGAAAATAACTACCAGGCACCTAGGTAATACTTTGTACTTTTATGTTTTGGACGAAAAAGGATGTCCGAGGCCATTCAGAACAATGCGTGCGCCAATAGCTTGTCTCTTAATGCTACCACTTGGAACACACATGAAACATCCCGGTCTCCTCATTGTTCTAGACTGCGTATACTTGGCGGCAATTTGAATATTATTCTCCTTATTGATGGGACTCTTGGGATTCTTGGGATTGGGTGTCTTCGGACTTGAATAATCTCATTGTTGTCTGGTTGACCAGTTGAATTATTGAACCTGTACCGGGTAGGAATGTTTGTAGGTACCGTAGTGTAGGTACTGGAGCTTATCGGCGTACTATTAAATATAGTTTAGCGCCTTAGCTTGATGTCGATACGCGAGCAACTGGAGAACCTAGCGCCAATCACTGTTGATCAACTGATAGCGCAGATAAAACCCTTCCAGGGCTTTCTTCAGAAGCTCAAAAACTCCACGTGGGGCTTATAAGCGGATAGACCCGCTAACCTTCTAAAATAACTGGAAATACCGAAATAACGGCAGGGTAATCGTCATCGACTCCCGAGTCATCGTTGATTTTCCTCTATCGATAATAGGAGGTTGGGAGCTTATTCGTACGTTTGCATCACGCTGACTTTAACCATAGGTACCTACTAGGTACCTCCAATACCAACCTCCTCATTTCGGATCGATATTCTCTACTAACCCTGCAACCTTGACCGCTATCTTCCGATCGTTCTCGTTCTCATTTTCGATTTCAGGGACCATATAATGGAAGTCGCCCTGATTTCGTAGCAAGAGAGGTGAACAATTCGGAACTTTTTAAGTTCTGGCCCCCATTTTCACGTGCGTCCTCCCCTATGACTTCCATTTGCTGAGACCATACTAATTAAGTCGTCTCCTACTGTAGCAAAACCTGCAGAATCTCTTGGCATGATGCTCATCCTGGTCAGATCATGTCTTGGCAAGAATTATTCTGGAACTCTTCCCCAGATTTTAATCTACATCTCTAAATAATCGAATTCTGTTGGTCAATGGACCGAGTTGATCTTTGACGAGGGGTTGAACTCGATCAGCCTGCATACACAACTTACCTCCGTACTTATTATAAGCTAGCTTCATACTAAGACGGATAATTACCTACCTAAATACTTAAATAGGTAGGTAAATGGCCACTCGCGCGAAGACGGAAGTTTCCAATTGAGATAGCTTCAACGAGCTATAACCCCGCCGGATACTACCATGATATAGTGTCTTGACAACCCGGCTATTTCAAGCTGATTGGCTGTGGTACACACATATATAGAACACCTTCCCGTCTAGAGTAACAGCTCTATACTCTAAGATCCCACCGGATGCAGCGTCTTCGTAGACTTCTATGCTAGGCTCTTCGTATTGTCGCCGTCGAGGGAGGTCAAATCTAATTGGTGGAAATTGTGTTGAATAAAGCCGTCTAGTAACGAACACCGAGCAGATAAATACGCTATGGGAGCTGCCTAGATTCTGGCGTAAGTTTTGTGGCAATTGTGTTCAAGACGATTCCCTTCGATTTTAGAGCAAGATGCTTGCTTCTCTCTTTCTAGCTCTCTCGTCACTCACAGCGGTGCAGGCTGCGCTCAAGTATAAAGGGGTGGATTGGTCATCTGTAATAGTCGAGGAAAAGGCCGGAATTTCCTACACTACTACGAGCGGAACCGCCCAATCTCTCGAAAAGATACTTGCAGACAGTGGTGTCAATACTGTCAGACAAAGAGTCTGGGTCAATCCTTCAGATGGCAATTACAACTTAGACTACAATTTGAAGTTAGCTCAACGAGCAAAGGCGGCCGGATTGGGTGTCTACATAGACTTCCATTACAGCGATACGTGAGTAGCTTTAATGTGGATTCGTCTCTATCTATATCAACTTGACTTGCTACCGAAATCTATAATCGCTGACCAAATGCCCTTTTAGTTGGGCGGACCCAGCGCATCAAGTAATTCCTTCTGGTTGGCCGACGGGTATTGACGACCTCGCCTGGAAACTGTACAACTACACCTTAGACGCATCAAACAAGTTCGCTCAAGCAGGTATCGCACCTACGATTATCTCAATTGGGAATGAGATCAGGCCGGGTCTCCTGCTCCCAACAGGCTCGACTAGTAACTTTAACAATGTCGCGAGGCTTTTGCATTCGGCCTCGGCTGGCATCAAGGACAGTAGTCTGTCTCCCAAACCCAAGATAATGATCCACTTAGATAATGGATGGGATTGGGGCACCCAGAACAATTGGTATACCTCAGTTTTGAAGGCGGGAACCCTGACCTCATCGGACTTCGATATGATGGGTGTCTCCTATTATCCATTTTAGTAGGTACTCCGATATAATTACCACACGGCTCGACAGTTCGTAACTAACTGGCTAATAGTAACTCGGGAGCGACACTCGCAAACCTCAAGACGAGTCTCACCAACATGGCGAACACTTGGGGCAAGGAGATTGTTGTGGCGGAGATCAACTGGCCCACTTCATGCTCTCATCCGGCCTACTCATTTCCAAGTGACGTGAAGAGTATCCCATTTTCGGCAGAAGGTCAAACCACCTTTATGCAGAAGACAGCAGAGGTGTTGGCTAGTGTCAAGAATGGGAATGGTTTATTCTATTGGGAGCCTGCCTGGATGAACAACCAAGGGCTCGGTTCGTCGTGCGAGTCGAACACAATGTTCTCCGTAAGTGATATCTAACTCGAGGACCGAGATACTCGGTAGTTTCAATTGCTTTTGTCGCCTCCCTTCAAAAGTGCTCATTCTAACGTCAAATTTCTAGTGGCCCGGAAAAGCGTTATCTAGCTTGGCGGTCTTCAAGACAATCTAGAAAACATGGTGTATCATGTTAGAAAGACTGTAGATAGGAGAGTAGATCAATTCCAAATCTAAAATACTTTCTTTCTTACCTGCCAAAGAACGGAAACAGTCGATGTTCTCACCAGACCGCCACGATTATTGTTCTCAATCTACCACGCGCTTTATCCTATTTTTAGTCCTTTGGGAGATATCCAGGGGCTTTCTCGTGACGCACAAAGAGGACAAGTTCCCATTACACAACATTTAGGGGTCCTAAATGGCATAATTCGCCGCTATAATCGAAGACAATGAGTGTCATCAAAAGAAACTCGTCGCGCCTTGATGCCTTACCATAGACCGCCATTTTCTGAGTCCTCTTGTCTTCGACTTCTTGATTATTCTCTCCTAGACATGTATGATGTGACTAATAATGATCATAACCAACCCCGGCAAGTTGAAATGCCACTTATCAGCATCCCAACTGAGACGGTTCGCACCAATGTGGTCCGTCCCGACGAAGGGCCGCCATCTACCACGGAAGCATCCCAGTACGGCACCAGTGGTTTCGATGTAGGGATAGACACTTGTGGGTTCACTATAGAGAGCACAGGTGAGTTACCTCGCTCAAATTCAAAGCAATATGATACAATAGCTAACAAAATCTGTCTGAAGTGACTTGCGATTTTGGGTACGATTGTACGAATGTAGGAGGCCATCGCGGCTGTTGTGTTGCTGGGGCCGCAGACTGCGTCGCTACGATCTACACTGAGTGTATCAACCATGACAAAACCCCGACTTCAGATGGATGTGGACAGCACACATTATGCTGGTTAGTAAAATGCGAAAAATAATTCATATATGTCATCCAAAATGGGCCAGGACGAGATAATACTAACAATTCGTTTCTAACATAGTCCGGGTTCAAAACCGTACTGTTTCGTCTATGCGTACCTTTCGACTTCCAGTACCACCGAAGCCACCCTTACCTATTTCGAATGTAACGAATCCCAGGGGTTTGGGGAGATGTATCCCTTTCCGCCAGAACTGATGACAGAAACGGCAAATTCATCAACCACAGAAACCGGTTCTGGATCCGACTCGCCGAGCCTCGACTCACCCGCCAACTCACCCGAGCACTCGTCTTCGCGCTCCTCCAGAAACGCAGGCGCAATAATCGGTGGCGTAGTAGGTGGCGTCGTCTTCATCATCCTGATCATCCTCTCAGCCTTTCTCCTCCTACGCTACCGCCGCCGCCGCCACCAAGCCAAACTCCGCGCCTCCATCATCCCCCTCGGTCCCGCAAAGACGCCACACAGCTCGACAGACACTCCCCCCGAAGCCGAGAAAGACCAGGACCAGGATCAGGTCCCAGCAGAAACAATTACCGCCACCCAGCCCAAATCCAAACCAGTACCTATACTCACACCCACACCCCCCAAAACAGCCCGCCAGAAACTCTTCCGTCCCCTCTCCTCCATCCACGAACACCCAACCCCCACCCCCTCATCCACCCTCAGCCGAAACAAATCAACCTCCTCAGCCATGCCGTCTTCCGCGTCGCGGGGCAGCTTCGGTCCAAACTGGCCCCTCGGCCCCGGTCCCAACAGTAACCCGCTATCCTCCCACCCCGTCGATGCGAATCTCAAGAAACGGCTTAGCGATAGCCGGCTTGGGACTTTGAGTTTGGCTCAGGCGTTGGCTGTGGGTCCAGATATGGGGGCGGGGATAGGGATGGGGATGGGGGTAGGGAGAGAGATGGGGGTAGGAAATGGGCGCGTGCGGCCCCTGAATCTATCGCGCACACCGCCGCCGGGGAGTAGACCTGCGCCGCCGAAGTCGCCGCGGGGCGCGGGGCTCGCGGTGCAGAGTCCGCGGCTGGAGTTTGTGCCTGTGTCGCCGATCGTGGGGCGTATCACGGATAGCGGGGTAGGGGATAGGGATGAGGAGGTGGATCCGGTGTCGCCGATTGAGAGCGATGACGAGGGCGGAGGGGAGGACACGCAGAGGCTTAGTTATGTGTCTGCGCCCAGCGCGCATTTCGAGGGGGATGATTTCGTTTCGCCGGTTAGTCCGCGGGTCGTGTGGGATGGGGATGGGGATGTGAGTCCTCGGACGGTTAGTCCGCTTGGGAGTCAGCGGGGGAGTGTGGCGTCGTAGATAGGTTGGTGGGATGGTTCATTTGACGATGTTTCATGACGTGGGGGGAAAAGTTCTTAGATGATCTGTTTATATATACCAGGGACATTTGGCTGTTAGGGGTGCCTGTGGGAATACCCGGTAGCCTCTGTCACACGATTTCTATAGACCCATCTTGACGTTTGACTGAGATTTGTACTGCCGTGCTCCTGTCGTGAACCGAGGTTTGGGGGATGTTGTTGTTACTGAAAACGTGGGTTTAGACATCGTGGAACGTTGTGTCATCACGTAGGTATAGTAGTACATTTGGAGTCAAGGTGATACTGTTACTGTAGGAGGTCACAATAATGATGTAGAAGTCATCGTGTTCAACTTGTTCGTAAATGGGAGTATTGACCCTTCCGCTGTCATTGTTGATGTGGTCCAGAAGTTACTGGGCATGAAAAAGATTGAATGGACCTTATGTGTAGGTAGGTATGGGAGGCATTCGTATTACCCCTATTCGAATATGAACGTTAGCTCTTTTATTTTACCTCTTTAGTTAGCTATTTCCTTCTGTCTCCTTTCTAAACTTTGCGAATTCAAGTATTTGAACTAGATCATATTGTATTTATTTAAACACATAAAACATGCAACTCCGACGAGAACTCGTCTCCACATTCGGCTTTGTTGCCGTTGCCGCGGCCCAAGTCTATCAGGGCTTCAACTACGACGCAGTCAACAACGATGGATCATGTAGAGGCTATCCTGATTTCTATGGCTTTTTTGAGCGCGCAAAGAACTTGGCCGGCACGGAGGGCCATTTCGCAGCCGCTCGTTTGTATACGTCGATTGAATGTGGCACGACAGCCGACCCGATCTCAGCATTCCAAGCCGCGATCGACACCAACACCGACATTCTCGTCGGATTATGGGCAAGTGCTGGCCGGGATGTCTTTGGGAAAGAATTAACCGCGCTCCTTGCCGCAACTAAACAGTTGGGTGCTGCTTTCACTGATCATGTCATTGGTATTAGTGTTGGATCTGAAGACCTCTTTCGAAGTAGCGTTCAAGGTCAAGTGAATGACGCGGGAGCTGGTGCTACGAGCGCAGAAATCGAAGGCTATATTGGTTGGGCGAGAGACTGGATTCGTGGTACAGCCTTGGACGGCAAGCCGATCGGGCATGTTGATACATGGTTAGTTTCCCCCTTTACTTATCGGGTACCCTAAACCCCTATTCACGAATCGAGCTCCGGTTGAACTCATTATTATAGGACCTCCTGGATTGCGCCTGAGAATGCTGGTGTTGTCTCCTCCGTCGACTTCTTGGGCCACAATGCATTCCCATACTTCGAGACAACTAGAATCAACGCCATCGACCAGGCCACCGACAACTTCTGGTCCGGCCTTAAGCAGACCGAGAGCGTTGCGGGCGGAAAGCCCGTCTTCATTACCGAAACCGGCTGGCCAAGCAGTGAGTTCCTCCAACGGTCTCATCTCTCCCTCTTTCTATGTTTTCGGGATACACCTTTACTGACTTGTTCATAATGTAGTGGGCCCTCAGCAACGGGATGCTGTCGCTTCTCTTGACAATGCGAAAGGCTACTACTCGCAGATTGGTTGCGCGCTCTTCGGCCAGCGCACCACTTTCTGGTACACTTTGGTGGATTCCAATATGACGCAGGCGGATATATCTTTTGCCCTCACCCCTATTGACAGCGCTACGCCTAGATTTGACCTGACTTGCTAAATGCGAAATGGATGGTATCTGAGGTTAGTACCGCCAGCGGGCAGGTTTCACTAATATCAGAGGCTACCTCGATTTCGGTAAAGTTCGATAGAGAGGTAGATGGGATTTCCAGAAACTCATACCGAGCTGTGCCATATCAATAGGAAGGAAATTAAGGAGGGGGCTCGCAACAACTGACCGTGGCTCTTGAAATTCTACCTACATCCGAGGAACCGTATTAAACTGTCCATGCGAACTCCGTTCATAGGTACCGTACCGGGACCTGCCAACACCTAACAATGATTATTTTCGAAAACAATAATGGCCCATTATAATAATCAAGATTTCCCAGCACAGCTATTGTATAAAATATAATCATTAAAAGGGCTAGAAAATCATTGGAAAGGTTAAACAATCATTAAAAAGTCAAACAATCATTAGAAAGGTTCAATATTTATTGAAAACTTTAAATATTTATTGGAAGCCTTAAATACCTAAATATTTATAGCCTCAAATAAGGAGGTAAGTAACGAGGTGGGTAACGAGGTAAGTAACGAGAGGGCTTTTTACCACCCACCTTCTTGCCTACCAAGCTGTATATAGGTCTATCTTTCTGACCTTTCTGATCCTTCTAGTCCTTCTAGTCCTTCTAGTCCTTCTAATCCTTCTAATCCTTCTGATCTATCTGATCTATCTGATCTATCTGATCTATCTAACGACCTATTTATTAATCGAAATATTGTTCTATCTAGAGGTTTATCTGATCTATCTAATGACCTGTTTATTGATCGGAAGTTTGATCTATCTAAAGCTAATGTACATTAAAATACTAATATCTAGTAGCGTTGTACGAGTGATTGTTGTTGTAATGTGGTATGTTTTTATAAGAAAAGATGTAAAGGAAAAGAAACAAAAATAAAAACATGTATGTAGAAGATGTAGGATAAGGACAAAATTTGAAAAAAAAAAAATCTTAAGTTTTTTTATGGGTAAAAAGGTATCGCCAACCTTATTGCCGCCTGGGTTCTAAGGTTACTTAAGCACCTAATCTAAATCTAAGGTTTTCTAATGATTATTAAATCTTTCCAATAATTGTTAAACCCCTCCAATGATTTCAACCTATTTACAATGATTATTTTTACTTTTACAATGATTATTTTCAGGTTCCCAATCATTATTTTCGACTTTCTAATCATTATTAGCTCCTAATATTTGCCGCTATGGTACCTAATGTTAATGATAAATCAGATACCTGCATGGGAATCTGGATCTTAGCAAGGATTGTACATTCAGCTAATATAAAAAGAAAAGAAAAACCCTCCATCATGATCATGGCTGCATGGTTAGAAAAATGAGATCCCTAGCAAGCCACAAATTCAGCGCCTAGGTTGCCGTTTTCAGTCAACAACTCGCTATGATGCTCGACTTTGAGGCGCCCACCAGCCATGTACTAAATGACATTGACCTTCTTACTTAGATGAATTAGATAGGCCGCCCTTTCTTTCCGTAGTCGATCATAGATCACGAGGCTGCGGCTTGCCTAGTAAGTGCGCAAGTCCTGAGACAGGCCGAAGCCCCAAAGCTGCGCTAAGTAGTACTAGGTAATATTTCAAACAACCTAATATGGTGACAAGACGATGAGTTAATAGGTACCTAGCTGGGCAGTAAGAAAAGGGGCAGATCCTGATGTGCCGCATCGCCGACCATCACCACCAATCCACTGTACATTCCTGCATCACCGGATCCCGGTCCTTGAACTATGCTTTGAATTTGTCGGGGCCGGCCTGTGAACCAATGAAACTGCTTTTAGGATCGCACAATCACGGCCACGTACATATGTAATAGCAATATTCTGCAAGCCACCAAGCCCATAAGAGATACCGCTGCATTCGGGGCCGAGCCGGAAAACTAAGTACCTAGTATGTTATAGCGCCACGGGCGTGCCCGCTAGCCAAAACCCCGATTGTGAGACACTACACCGACTGACCTTCGCCTACGATGAAGGGCAATTAGGACATCCTTTTTCGCTACGTGCCGTACCTGCTAGGTACCCAAATTTACCTACTTAGGCTCCGGTTGAAACCCGGACCCCCCGACACATGAGAGGTTTTTTCGCCCAGAGGACATAGATCTTCTGGTCGAACCAGTCCTCTGACTTATCGCATAGTTCAAGATCGAAATTGAATATGACCTTCGATAGAAGAAGACGCATCTCATGCCATGCCAGACTAAGTAGTAATTGTAGAAGGTTAGCGTCTCCTCAATCATGTGGTGATGTTGAGGATCGTAGTGAAAAGGGGAGTAGGAGTAGACGATAACTTACCCCATTCCCAAGCAATTTCGCGGACCAAACGAGAAAGGCTGTCTTGCATCGCGCTTATCGTTTTCATACTTGGGATCCCCCATCCATCTCTCCGGGACAAATTCGTTTGGATCTTTAAAGTAGTTTGGGTCTCGATAAGCTGCTGTCGTGGAGACAGAAACTGAAGTCTGCGATATCATCATTAGGAATGGTACATGACTTGGGGCGCAACAAGTACGGATATCTTAAGATCGACTTACGCCTTCAGGAAGCCATTCTCCTAGCACTACATTTCCACCCTTTGCGATAGTTCGCGGGAAGCCTTGGGGTACGGGAGGATACATACGGAGACCCTCTTCAATGCAAGCATTCAGGTAAGGCAATCGAGCTAAAGCCTCGATGCTCATTTGCTCATTCGAATTGAATGCCCCGCGAATCTCTTTAGTAAGGAGATCCATGCTGCGGGGGTTTCTTAAGAGGAGATAAGTAAGCCCCGAAAGTAAAGTGGCGCTGGTTTCAGTACCAGCCGTCATAAACACCTCGGAGTTAGTACGTAATTCCTGCAGTGACAGAAGATGATTCCCATCTCCAGATAGAACTCCGCTCCACACGTCGGCACGATCAGCTCCTCTAGCGAGTCTCCTGTCTAGACGATCCGCGCTGTATTGATGGTGTGCGATGCGTGTCTTTTTTACTGACTCTGGCTCTAGCATCTTGAATAGGGCCCCCAGAATCGGATATGATTGCAGGAACTGAATGAGCGGAATGAAAGAAATGGACGTAAAGACAAGCTCGATCCAGGTTGTGTACTCGGAAGTCTTCAGGCAACCCAGAGACTCACCGTACGTCAGATCAGCCATGATGTCGAAGGTCGCCAGATTGTAGATCTTAGCTATGTCTGCGCCGGCACCACCTTTTTCTTGTAGAGCATTCTGAAGTACGGTAACCATAAGGTTGGCATAATTTTGGAGTAATCCCTCTTGCCCCTTAATTGCCCTATCCGAAAAAGCGGGAGCGAAAGCCCGTCGAACGATACCATGCTTCTCAGTATCAGATATATCGGGTAGTGAAGGAGACCCATTCTCTGGTTCTGGGTAGAATTTCCTGTCCCTAGAATTCTCTTTCCTTCCCTTCTGGTAGCCATATATGTCTTTCCACGCTCGCGCATCAGTATAACTTATGTCATTCGGTGCAAATCTGACGACCGGACCATACCGAGCATGAAGTCTCTGTAACCATTGTACCTGGGTTCCGTTATAAGCGGCAATCCAATACGGAAGTTTAGTGATCGCGCTTATTCGGGGACCCGGAAAGCGACCGAGGGGGTGGAGAACCGTCGATGATAGATACACCCAGGCCAAGTATGTAAATATCTGCGCCACATCAGATCATCAGCACCTTATACTAACTGTATAGGTAGGTTCGTGTGTCCATTAGCTTACCAGAGAAGACAATATCACAGAGATATTAGAGCCTAATTTGGGTGTCAGCCAGGCCAGTGCTTTTATCGTCGTCGCTTCCGACATGGTTGACGCTTCGCAAGTGTCTAAGTACTGAGTAACGAGACCTTCGAATCCATACAAGAAAAAGACAGCAACCTACCAAATATAAGGTATTGGCCATCTGGTTCACCCCCGGAAGAGTCAGCAAATTGCGGGGCATGAGTGTAAATAGCGATTGTTGATTAGTAAAACACTCCGCCCTCCCCTTGTATCCGATGATCTATGCCACTTGGGCATTGTTTGGATGTACACCGCTGGCTTCATCCTAGAACGCATCTTTTAGAAGAGTTTCAACATCGATCGATACCTATGATGGGCCACTAGTGGTCGTAGAGACCCCTCCTAAGTATTGTCCTTTAACACCGTTCTCTTAACACCGGAGCGACACAGGAGAATAGCTCGAGCAAGCCCCAATAGAGAAAATGTGGGATTCAGAGTAGAAATTAAGATTCATAAGATTTGTTGTCAAGTCTGAACGGATCTATGCGATCCCCATGATACGCACGAATTCCTGGCCTATCACCACCCCTTCACATGAAAGATGTCTCAGTCCGAAATTCCCTATTCACCATAATCTTTCCTTTCGGTATCGACTCCAGTGCATAGTTTTCGAGGATCTCGTGCTCGAAATTGACGGATGAGGCACCACCAGCTGCTGGACGAAGTGAAATTTCATCATATTCAAGGCGCTGGCGATGCAAGGGACTTTTGTTATACCCCACAGAGATCCTGAAATTTGAGTGTGTCGAATAAAAGGACTCGTCGTTTGTCTTTCTTCTTCCTAGGCGACTCCGAAAAAGGGGCGCGTATGTTGGCAAACAGCAACCCAATAGGCCCACGACGTTCTCAGCCAATTGCCAGAACAATGTTCCTGCCGCGTACCACGTTATATCGGAGAAGTACGTTGACGGCTCAGACGCCGAGAAACTCGTAATCCATTGGAAGATGACGATCCGAGTGATGCCAATCGCAATGACACTATCCTCGGGGTTGTCTACGGAGTTAGAATTGTTTTATGCATCGGGGTTAAGACGGTGTTAGGGAGATAAACTCACATAGATCCCAGGAGAAAAATACCGCCCGCAGCAAGCTTTTGCCGTAGAGGAAGCTGTAATCTGTACAAATGGGGAATCGGCACAAGGAAGATGACGCAATCGAGAACTAAATCGGAGACAGCCATGGATAGGTAGAATGGCTGAGCTTTAATGCAGAAACCACTGTATTCGGTTTCGATATTGGTCCAGAGTGTTGCCACAGGCGTGCATTGGAAAGCACAGACCATTGTGAAAGCTGTGCCCCAAAGCACGGTTATCCCAATGAGGGTATCACTGACGAGACGAGAGGAACGACACGAAAAGAACCGGCGATAGAAGAATAACACCGAGAGCTTGATAACCCATAGCCCAGTAACCCCAAGCAATTGGTACGCGTATCTGGTTTTCTCGAAAATGATAAGTTGGTCTGTATGTGCGACGTGCCCGCCGATCAGCTGTTGGCGAGTGCTTAGCCCTCCCTTTACGGTCGCTACAAAATATATTTCAATTAGCTCCCAATTTGAGACTCAATTCCCGACTACTAACATACCGATGATTTGGATTATCGAGAGCCCAATACAGATTATCCTATTTGGTCTAGGTTAGCACGACCGGCCCGTAAAGGGGGGAGTGGCATGACGTACTGGACCAATGTCAGTCGATACGGCCTTTCGGGGTGTATTATAAGGGCCTACGTACCATCGATAGAAATGCGATCCAGTCGTCGACACCTAGCCTCGCTGGGGTTGCTAGACGTGAGTAAAACCTAAGGCTTATAGCAGCAATGACTATTATCATAAATAGCACGGCCGTCCCTATCAACGAATGCTGCGGGTATGGGTTATAGTTTGGATCATGGTAAGGGCTTAGCATTTTCATAACCTAAGTGATGAAGGCACTTGGTCATAGAGGATATCAAACTATGAAAAAGAAATGCAAATAGGCTACTTTCCATTGATGAATCGGGTAGAAAGACTGAGGACCGCCGGTTCCTCGTGAATACTTACATACTTTACCTAAATATATAATACCGGATAGTCAAAAATGTTCATATAGAGGAGGTTTGAGACATCCACGTGGGCGAAGGAAACCACGCCGTATTCCATCAACGAGTGGGTGAGATTTAGTCAACGACTTCTTCGTTGGCTAATACATACCAAGAGGTAAGAAAATATAGTATATTTGGTGAAACGCGAGGGAACAACAAAACGCTCACCGGCTCAACCCGACCTAAATGTGAAAACAATCGCCTCTTGGAGATATATTTAGGAACCAGATCGGCGAACTGCTCCATTTGCCCATTAAACCATATCGGACTTTAGTATTTCGCGCAACACGGATAAGTCTCAGCATGATTCAGTGGCTGGCTTAATAAGCAGTAGTTGCTGGGAAACAGGGATATGGCTGCCGGCGACTCCAGACTCTAGTAAGATCTGGTGAATATATCCTACTTAAGGATAGGTAAGCACGAGAAAGAGATATGGGATTCAACTTTGAACTATACCGAAAACTTCAAGTGGCTTGTAGAGTTAGATACCGAGTCGGCACCCGGCTACCTTGATGTCACACATATGTGATACACTCTGGAGTGGCATACACCGTGTAACGTAAAGAGGCAACTCAAGATGTCGTTCGGACACCAGAGTGACAGCGAGTCTTTCCTGATTTCCTTATCCCAATACGATATCGACGCCAAAGTAGAGTGGTTATTCTAGCTCGCCATGTGGCTTCTTAGAAATGTGTTGAGTTGGCTGGCTGGTACCAACGCTGCCAACGATGAATTAGAAGGCACAGACCATGATGCGCACCGCCACTCAGCTGGATGATTTTATTTCCTCCACGCTAGAGAATCCGTTAGAGTATGGCTACAAGGATGTTTCAACTGGTGTTGAAATATGTTCTAATAGAAGTGCAGGAATACACGCAATTCCGAACTTTTAGCCGGGCAGCGGTTATGGGCTTGTTTGGCACGAAGAGAGGGCGTAGAGAACTTGTATGTCGTAATGCTGTGTAGGTAAAAGTCGCCAACATCCTCATAGGAGAGCTCAAGTGTTCGATGCGATAGGTTGTCATGTTAAAGGATCCAGAGAAGAAGCTCTGTGGTTGTCGCGCCAGAGCCCTTGGAGTTGCTCATGTTCTAGGACGTAGGGGGTATATTGGAGCATGCATGCTCTTGCGTCAGCCTCATGTATACTGTACGTAAGCTTTACTTTTTGCCATTTCAACAATCGAAGTCTTCACGGAAGAATGATGAAGGAGGATATGAACTAAGAAGTGACATAGGTGGAGATTTAATTCACATAAAACTGCATAACTATATGAATATCATGTGATTTGTGTAACCTGCAGAACTAATGTCGCCCCCTTGTCGGCCCCTATCCGATATTATCTCCTCATTTAATATCCCCTTTCCTTTTTGTTTGAACAATTTCGAATTTCAGCTAGTTTCATGTTCTAGTTTTGAAAATGGCAGAGGTCATAAGGCGACACAAAAATTGCCTACGGTCTCACACTCTAGGTGACTAAATCATGGCCCGTCTTATTAAACAAACGGCCCCGACCCGGCCCCCTCATACCCTTACACCGGGACGGAAGCGGCATGCGAACCTCCGATATGTCTACACTCTCACTGCCTTCGTGTCCGTCGGGGCTTTCCTCTTTGGCTGGGACTAGGGAGTCATGGCCATGATTATCGCAGACGAACGATGGCTGAAGCTGATACAACCCTCCAATGACTGGAGCGTCGGCTTTATTATAAGTATCTACAATATCGGCTGTATGGTTGGTGCTATGACAACCGGGGTTTTCGCAGATGCGTGTGGCTGCAAGAGGACAATATCTCTAGCAAGTTTGGCATTCATTATCGGCCCATTGATCCAAGCCGGATTTTACACTATCGCGCAGATCGTAAGCTTTAAACCCGCCCTCGTCACTAAAGAAATGCAATTGCGAAAGCGAGGCTGATTTTAGTCGCACTAGGGCGTCGGTCGCTGGATTCTCGGACTTGGTGTCGGCGCGTATTCTGCCGGTGTCTCTCCGGCTGAACTCCGTGGTAGGATTGTAGGAATCGAGATAATGATCCCCCGTTTTGATGAGATGGTCGTGTTCAGGCTCGTGGACCTATGCTGCCGCGATCTTCCCAATTTCCCTACGAGTGAGTTATCATGTCGATTAACTAGGTATTGAATGATGCATTGCTGATTTTCCGCCATAGGCAAAAGGCAACGCCTTGTGTACTGCTTCTCCCTGGATGTCGAACTTTGTAGTAGCTCAAGTGTCTCCCACTGGAAGTGCCACAGGTTATGGCATTTACGTGCTATTTGCAATCATCTGCATCATAGCGTTCTTATTCGTGCGTTATGCCCTTGGTAAGTTGTCCTAGTAATACGTATGTCTTACACGCATCCTAACCAGCTATAGTTGAAACGAAGGGCCGCTCGCTCGAAGAGAGGGCAGAACTTTTCGGTGTTGACGGAAATGAGAAGGGTCAGGTTGCGAGATTCAGCAAGAGAAGGTAAGCACATAATGAGACTTTTAAGCCAATAGATGGTCACTAGTGTTCTCATCTTAAGATTCCTTATCGTAATACCTAGAGTGCTAATGGAAGTTTCGCCATTGCAGAACTACTCTAATATAATTCAAGAGATGGAGATGCCACCTTGGCCGACGATAACTCGGTGAGCATAGAATAGTGATTGATAATCCACAATAATCTATATTTGAGCTGCGTCATAAATGATTCATATCCCTGATGGCATGCTTGGCCACACCCGCGCGTCCAGAACCCTTTACTACACATGGCCGACCGCAATTGGAGGGCATTGCGACTTAGGAATATCTTCACCGATTTAGTATTTCCAGACACTGTTTTGATTCGTGGCAATTAGCCAACGGCAGTAACTCATTACAGTGCGTACAGCAATTATGGACGTTGATGAGCGAAATTCGCTCGAGATTCTCATCCAAAGGACACCCTAAAGAAGACCATACCTACCTACTTGCATAACTAATCTCAGAAGTAGGTAGATGTTCATCTCATCAATAGGTAGGTACCTACCTAGATATCTCGAACAATCAAATGATGTCGGACTCCGCTGTAGTCGCGAGCAACATTCTGGCCTCAAGACTTAAAGGTCGCGTGGTGACACCAGACGATAATCTATATCAATCCGAGAAGAATTTCCCCTGGTTAGTTCATCTTGAAAACTAGAGGAAACGACTGTCCATGATGTTTGAAGTAACTAGTGAATTGCTAACAGGTTTCTTGCAGGTCTCAAACATGTTGGCTCCCTGCCGCCTGTTATGTGCAACCTCACACCTCTGATGAAGTTGCTATTGCGCTAAAATGCATTAAGGAGGCCGAATCTCAATTCGCTATTCGATGTGGTGGGCATAACTGCAACGTCAATGTTAGCAGTGTGGACAGCTCCGGAGTTGTGATCGATCTTCGCAACCTTAATTCCCTCTCACTAGACAGGACGAGCGGTATTGCCCGCGTTGGTGCAGGGTGCAAGTGGGAGCAGGTATACGCGTTTCTTGAGGAGCATGGTCTCACTGCTATAGGGGGTCGGCAGAAGGATGTTGGAGTAGGAGGTTTTTTTCTTGGAGGGGGCATGTCTGCATTTTCCAATCTCCATGGATTAGGGGCAGACAACATCGTGAATTTTGAGGTGAGTTGATCAACTACCTAGGTATCTATGACAGCCTCGATTATTTGTTGATGTTTTCCGGCTTAAGGTAGTTCTTGCGAGTTCGATAATAGTAAACGCAAACAAGGATGAGAACTCAGACCTGTGTCATGCTCTCAAAGGAGGTGGTTCTAACTTCGGTATGCTCCTATCAGGCCACGGTAGGGGCTACCTAACTTGAGGTGACTAACGAGATCGTACAATTAGGCGTTGTGACTCGATTCGATATTCAGACTTGCGAGATCAAAGCTCAATACACTTTAAACATGTATGATCTGGCAGACTACTCAAACATCCTACGCGCCACTATCGAAGTACAAGAAGCCATGGAGACAGATCCGAAATACGGCATGTTCGTCACGTTCTACCCTACCATGTGTTTCGTAGGTCTTTTCTACGCCGATTGGGCTGAGGAGACCCCAAAGGCCTTCAAGTCGTTCTTAAACCTCAAAAAAAAGCCTAGTAAACACGATGGTACCAACCACAAATGGTAGCATGAAGTCACTCGTGGATTCTTTAAGGCCTGCGACGCATCTCAGGTGAGGCCTTGATGCGACCTATTTATGCTTGGTCTAATAGGCTTCTGACCAAAGAGACAGACGCCAGGTTTACACAGCGAGCACCAAACTCTCATATGACATGTACCTCAACATACATAAACATTGGCTGGGGATGTTAGAAAAGAACCCAGGTGCTGGCAACATGTTCTACGCTATACCGCCCGTATCAACAAATGTGTCGCAGCTCGCAGAGGCCCGCGGCGGGAACCCGATGGGGATAGAGCGTGTACCACAGACTTGTAAGCCTTTACCTTCAGATCAAATCTCATAAGAACTCCCATTGATCATCTAGCAGGGTGGGCTTTCGCCTCCGAGTGGGAAGATGAGGTGAATGATGCGGCTGGTTACCAAGGAGTAAGCGAACTCTGCTCGGGCGCGCAAAAGATTGCGCAGGAAAAGGGGCAGCTGCTCAACTTGATATTCATGAACGACGCCTCGACTTCTCAAAATGTGCTTGCAAGTTACGGCGCAGATAACGCTAGAATGTTGCAGGAGACGGCAGCTAAGTATGATCCCCAGGGGGTCTTTCAAAAGCTACAGTATGACGGGTTCCTTATACGAAAGATGTAGTTGTGACCCATGGGTGGAAACCGTGTGACCCAACATATTTTCGTACTGTATAAGGGTCTCTATTTAGTGGCTTAGCTCCCTAAATCAGCACAGAAACCCACTAAAACCTAGCAGCTGGATTAATACCATACCGGCAATATGTGGTTTCAAATAACGGTTTTTTACCGCGAAAATACCGTTGTTGAAAGAAGAAAACGATTGTTAACCTTAGATAATCGTTTTCAACGCCTAATAATCGTTTTCTACACTCGAACTGAAAACGATAAATAGAAATAAGTATTAATCATTACTATAATAGGAAATATTGCCAAGGTTTTGCAATCTGGCAGCTGTAATCTGGCTGGCAGCTGCAATCATGAAATAAAAGACTTAGAAGTTTTTTTTCTCCAAGTCAACAAACAAACACACACACACATACACCTTTCCTTTCTCTCTTTGCAATACAGTCAAGTCAAGTCAGTTGCATAATATCTTCAATATATCCAGTCTATTCAGTCTATTCAGTCTATTCAATCTAATCGCGTCAAGTAGGTATCTCAATTCAACGTATTGAAGTCAGTCTAATCTAGTCGCGTCAGATCAACAGGATACTGTCAGTTTCTGTTCTAGTAATAGTAAGTCAAATCCAGTCTGATCGAAACGAAGCAAGCTAATAGATCTAGATCCAGTTTCTATACGAAGGAAAGAAGTAAGTAAAAAAGTAAGTAAGTTGGTATCTAGGTCAGTATCTAGGGAAGTTGGCAAACAAGTCGCGTCAGGTCAGTATTTACTAGTATTTACATAGCAACCAATTCAAAGTATCCACTTTACATAAAATAATTGTGCAATCCCTAAAATAGCTTCTTTGCAAATTATCGTTATTTTGTAAATAATCGTTTTTAAATCAAATACCATTTGCTGTACAACAATGATCTAGTTTCCACTGAATCATTGTTAATGGGCAGACGCGTTGCGTGTCCAAATACCGTATTTGAAAACCCCTCTTTGCCACTACGGTAGGTACACCCCAGGTCCACAGCATAGCCTAGACCTAATACAGTATTCCCACACTGGGTAAGGAACGTGGTTGATGTGCGAAACTTTTCATCTACCAGGTAGGTAGTCTTGCTTTCGCGTATACATCCGACCAAGCAAGATGCAACTCCAATAGCTTTCATCACTTCCCCTCAGCAGCAGCACTCTCCGCCTTGATCTTAGCCTCATACTCCTGGAAATTCTTCGTCCCCTTCGGCATCCCATTCCACTGGAGACCCTGCTCATCCATCAGCACGGCCCTCGTCTCCATGATCTTCTTCCACGACGGCAGCGACGTCATGCGCTCGTGCCACGCTTTCACATTGGGGAAGCCGTCGAACTTGTTCGGCTCCGGCACGCCGAGCGAGGTGTCGACGCGGTCGTTCCAGGGAACCCACGCCATGTCCGCGTACGTCATCTTGTCGCCTACGAGCCACGTCTTGCCCTCGAGGTAGCCCTCTAGCACGCCGAGGACGCGGAGAACTTGCTTCGTGTACCGGTCGATGGCTGTGGGAAGCTTTTCAGGGTGTAGGTGGATGAACCTGCGTTTTGAAATGTCAGTATACCGAGTTAGTGGGATGCTGGCAGATGCGTCGCTTACCAGCCCGCTGTACCATAGTAGGGACCCTGCCCACTCATTTGGAAGTGCAGCCATTGGTTCAAAAGATGCTCCTCCGGGAAGGTGGTGTAGTTCAGGGCGTTCTTAGTGTCGTATGTTTTGATGATGTAAGTGATGATAGCCCCCGACTCCCATAATGTCAGGCCAGTATTCGGGTCCTCTATAACCGGAACGCGGCCATTAGGGTTGACGTCAATCAGAGGTTTCTTCTTGACATCGTCGAATCTAATAGACTTGATCTCATACGGAACTTGGAGCTGTTCGAGAACAAAGACTACCTAGAGCGGGGTTGGCTTGGGGCTTATGGGCTTCGGTGGACCAGGGTTCAGCTTACCTTCCAGGGGTTAGGTCCCGGAGCTACGAATTAGGTGCTTAGCAGAAGCCATAGATAGTGGACGCGGAGCTGAATTTCAATTGCAGACTTACGAGTTACCCATACGCGAATAGGCTTCGTCATATTGATGCAGGTACCTAGTAGTTTAGAGAAATGGTAATGTATAAACCAGTCGATTGAAGAGTTGAGGAATATCTGTTTAGACAAGAAAGAATTGTGAATGCGGGCTTTGGGCACTTTTTTTACTATCAGATGGTGTTTTTAATAAGGCTTCAGGGGAGTAAGGGATGGTGGTACAATTAATGAAAGGGTCCCAAGGGCTATCTTGTTGCGTAACTGCGATCGGGCTTCACATCAGTCATAGGACATAAAGAGGGCAAAATGACATAGCATGCAACTTATGTGACACAACGTAGGTGGCTTATAGCCTTACGCCCTATTATCATATACGATATCAATTAGTACCTAGGTAGAGGACCCCCTCAATATATTGCGTACCCTAGTAGGCGCCCCAAGTGACAAAGGATTCACTACAGGCCAATAAAGATACCTAAGACTTTTCCGCCGCGCATAGATCTTCCAATGTAACGGGCTTGATTACGAGTAAGGAGAAAAACAAGGAACTTTGGAGGTATTGGTCGTTCCCGTCCTGCCCGTTCTGCCCGTCGTACCCGGGCAGATGGGGGCGGGAAATGTTGCCCATGTGCTAACCCGTAATTCTACTGTATTGCACTGTGGCCGGAACTATCCCCTAGGTTACACAACTGGCATCCATTGCTTCCGAATTATTATAGCACACCTAGGTCCTAAGTTACTTTTTCTTAATATCATTTTGGTCGTAGTAAGTAGCCAAGAAAAGCAATGCATTAGTTACGAGTCTAGGTAAATGTGCCTTATGTGATCCATCCTTAATACCTAGGTACATGATGGAAAATGTCTAATATCCCCAAATATGCTCTCAAAGTCATTTGTTCATTTCTTTGTAGTTGTCCATCTACAGCAAGCAACCAAAATGAACGAAATAACAGGCGCGGCAGCGGGAACATACTAGTTAGTTCGGGATGATTAGCTTGGAGTCTTTCTATCCGAATATATCATCAAACTTACGAATACCTGCGTTACTGCCTTGCCATATGCTTTGATGACAGAAGGGAGGTCTTGGGCGTCCACGACGGACCCAACATTGGTTGCACCAGCTGATATAATGGCGTCGATAGTATTGGACGATACAATGGGAGCAAGGTTTATCCTCAGCGCTGATTGGAAAACGGTTTGTCCCACGGCGAGGAAGACGGAGCAGCTAGTTGATATAATCGTTAACAGGGTCGTGGCTCCGATAGGAACAAGTTCTTTCGGTAGCGATGCCTGCATTCCGAGATGTGCCTGATTCGTAGAAGCACGTTAAAATCAGCAAACTTGATAGATTCAACCTGTCTCCGAGATGGCTTACCAAGTTGCTAGCCAGAGAGTACCCAATTCCACCAAAGATCTGATAACCTATCCAATGTCCACTAGATATGCCCGGGTATATTGTGCTGAGAAGCCCCCCTGCAAGACATACAAAGGCCTCCGCTAGCAAGAGAAAGGGATTCCAGTACCCCAACTTCATGACTATGGCGGATCCTATGAAAGAGGCGAGTACATCAGATATCACCGTAGGGAGGTAATTGATGCCACTCTGCGTTGGGGTGGATCCCAACACGGCTTGAAACCAGATGGGCAGCCAGTAGATGATGATCTGGAATGGCCCGTTCACAAAAAAGGAACTAATGCACAGAAGCCATATATTCCGATTGCCCGCCCCCTTGAATAGCTGAGGTGGAATGAGAGCATTATCTTGCCAGTACAGCTGCCACGAGATGAAGAGGGTCATTGTGACAGCGAACCCAACGAAGAGGCCGATAATGATAGAGGAGTTCCAGGCGTAATCAACCCCTCCGCCCCATTGAAGTGCGAGGAGTAACATAGTGATAGATCCTGCAAATAAAAGAAAGCCCAAAGAGTCCAGGGCTTTTATTTTATCTGATAATGGGACTTGCTCCGACTTGGCTGGCTTGAAGTGTGCTAGTAGTATGAAGAGCGCCGCAGAGAATCCGCCTATTGGCAGATTGATGTAAAAGCACCATCGCCAGGTGACGTGCTGTGTGAGGGCACCACCTATGACTGGTCCAACAATACTCGCGATGGCGAACATGGAGCTCCAGGTTCCGGTATATATAGCACGGCGATGTAGTGGGATCATTGTCGTCAAAACTGTGAAGCCGCCGGCGAAGGTGCCCGATGCACCTAGGCCAGCTATTGCCCGTCCGACGATCAGTACATTGGATGATGGCGACAGTGCACATAGAAGACTGCCAATCTCGAAAACGCCCAGATAGACCAAGTACATCAACTTCTTCGGGAAGAGAACGAAGGTTTTTCCTGCTAGGGGCTGGCTAGAGCAACTGCAGTAGTAGCATATATCAGTAGGTCGCTTCAGGGGTAGTGCAAGCGTAGAGAGAGACCCATGGAGAACTTACAGAGCAACCTGAAATGCAGCACCATACCAACCGACATCTTTGACCGAATTGAAGTCGGTCGTTATGACAGGCACGGCGGTCGCGATTAAGTTAAAGTCCTATAGAGAGATGATCGTTCATATGATGTTGAGGCAGCCATGTACCTGAGAATACCATAGGAAACTAGAAAAAAACGTACCAGTCCGACCAGGAAGTTGCAGAGACAAACGGCAATGTGGAGGAGGATGAGCTTAGTACCTTTGACCTCATTTTCGGGGTCGATGGTTTGCTCCTTTGATGCCTCGGGGTCTTTAGAACTTCCTCCCGCCTCTTCAACCTTCACATCATCTTCTATCGGCCGCTTTGAATCAGAACTTTCCCCCATATTGGCGACATGGAAGAGCCTCTAGTGACTGGATGGATCGATAGCCTCTGGAATAACTTAGCGTGAAAGTTGAGGAATAAGGTACCTAACAGAGATAATAGCCAAGCCGGGGTTCGGGTACCTCATGTTGGGGGAAGTGACTAAAAAGTCAGGAGGCTGATTTGATAAATGAAAGAATGTACCTTCTAGTACTGGGTACTTGGGCGTGTTCTTCAGGTGATCTTTGAAATAGGGGTAAATGCTTATATGCATAAATGAATAACTGTCTAAATACATATGCTTATGGAGGACTACGACTACATCTTGGTGACGTAGATGTGCATTTGGACATTGGATACTTCTTTTTTAATTACAAATGTATATCATGGCTAAGTAATCTATCGAATAGCCCCCAAAGTTACCCATGTGGACATTCATGATATCACTTATGAGCAGCTTCACCAAGCATAAATTTCTTCTTCAACATGACAGAGCCTACCTTCTTTCCTCAAGAACTGTATTGGTTCTTGATACTCATTGCTTTATCCATCTATGTATCGGAACTACTATCTAGTTGGAAAAGTACTGGAAAGTATAAGCAGCATCCTTTCGTCCAGAGCCCAAAGGCTCTAACACCCCTATTCATAACAAATGCCCTCTACGCTAGAAATGCGGCAGACTTAATACTCCGGGGATACCAAAAGGTGACTCTTCTATCTATATCTACTCATATTTTTGATGTTGACCTTTTGATTGTACAGTTCAAATCTCATTCATTCCAGCTTCTTCGGAGTAACGGCAATATTGTGATTTTACCCTTGTCTGTACTTGATGAATTGTCAACCCTGTCCACAGCTATTGCGACTCCGCACGGAGCTCTCGAGCATGATCTACTAGGCAGATACACTGGTCTAGATGTCATCCTCGAGAATAGGCTACATCACACCATTGTTCAACGAAAACTTACTCCCCAGCTCCGTGTTTTAACTCCTGTCTTACACAGAAAACTAGCAGCTTCCTTTGAGGAAACTTTCCCCAATACTGACGAATGGGCCGAATTTCAACCGTACCAAGCATTTTGCAGAGTGGCTGCAAGACTCTCAGCAGAGGCGATTGTCGGGCCTTCCTTCAGCAACAACGAAACCTGGCTAAATCTCTCAGTGGATTACACAGAATCGTGTAGGTTCTATCAGTTTCCATATATGATCATTTGAGCCTAGGTAGTCACTGATACAATGACAATGAATTAGTATTTAGGACCATTGTGATCTTACGTTTATTCCCAGGGTGGACCCATTCACTCATATCCAAGTTCATCCCTGCCTACTGGAGATGCCAAGGCTATATCAAAACAGCAAAGAGCCTCCTAGGTCCCAAGATCCAAGAACTGATCAACAAAAACGACGAGGGATCCTGGACACCATCCTATGAAGATGAGGACTTGAACGTACTCACCTGGTTAAGCGTGTTAGCAAAGGGGAAGGATCGCAACCCAGGTAGTATCGCTCATGTCCAAGTGCTTCTCGGACTCGCTGCTGTCCACACTACGGTGTTAAGGATGGTGAACGTGCTATACGATATTACTGCAGCAGGTCCAACTCTACTAAAAGAGCTACGAGATGAAATCAACGCCGTAGCTGGTGAAAACGGCTGGGAGGATATCCCGTACGACCAATTACACAAGTTAGACAGCGTCCTTCGCGAGTCTCAGCGCATGTCCCCGCCTACAGTATTAGGGATGAAGCGGATATTCAAGCAGTCTCATACGTTTCAAAACGGTTTACATATCTCTGAAGGCACATATGTATGCATGCCAACATATGCGATTGAAAACGACCCAGAACATACCCCCAACCCGGAAGTGTTTGACGGGCTACGAAGCTACCGTCAGTTCATGGCACAGGATACGCAAGACCAAAAGTCTGCTGAGAAATTTGGGTTCTCAGACACAGCACCGACGGTTCTCAATTTCGGGTACGGGAAGACGGCTTGCCCCGGGAGGTTCTTCGCTAGTCTGACGATCAAGATGCTTTTCGTGAAACTTCTTACGCAGTATGACTTCAAATTCCTCCCCGGTGCCGAGAGACCGCAGAACTTGATGGCACATGAGTTTCTCTTCACATGGCCGTGGACGCGGATGCTTATCAAGCGAAACCACGAAGGTCGCTATCCATCAGAGGTATGAAGGTATATGGGTTGATTTGTGGGAGTTGGTGTAGGCTTCATTATGGAATAAGGGGTAAAGATAGGGGCGAAACACCCAACTCAGTATAAGCTTAATGAGTTTGATAAATTCATTAACACGAATAAACGAATATTACCATGCTTGCCGTTAAGTGCATACATACCCATGTAATTTAGACTTGTGTAACCCCGGTACTTGGGGAGCTAAGCTGCCAAGATAAATATCTCTTGGCAAATCTCGATTTTGGACATGTACCAACATGCACAAACCCGTCGTCGATCCGTTGGAAGTTGGAAATTGGAAATAAAAAGCAGCCTAAAACTAAACGCCATGTGGCACGCCTACGCGTTTTCCCGAAAGTTCTATTAGCGCACGATATATGCCTCACGACGCTGTTAGGGCAGTTGTACTTGTTAATAGAGACTTGTACAGTAGGATTTCTTATTATACCCGATGCTTAATACAAGATAAGGCAGGCTGCGATGGCTGCTCCATTTATGTTGTCTTACCTTGGTGCAGTCATATCACATTTCACATATCACACCGGATAGCTACAGGTAATGCTGCGGCCCAGCCATGTTTTACCGGTCTATTCGTGTGATGGGTGCATGTCCACGGTATGGAAGCGGGCGACGGATTTCTTACATCCTTTGCTGACGACGTAAATACTAGTAGGGCTGTCGATGTCTTCTATTTGTTCCACTTTTTCTCTTTCGGTGCAACACGCAAACGTTAGTATAACGTCGGCGGCTATGTCTGTGGCCGCCGATCCAGCCCTGTACCGTCTATCATCGCTGTCATTATCTCGGATTGGTTGTTGGTAATATCGACGTACCGTAACACCATTTCCACATATTAGTTTGTGACACCACACGTATTTACAAATCCATCCTTAAGACTTCTAGACTCGAGTGATTCCACCCATCGATCCTACATGGCAATCATAGAGGCGACGTTGAGTAACTTTGGGCATCGCGGTATGACAAACCTTTACTCTACAACTGCAATTTATTCGCCAAACTCCTCGATCTTTGACGCGCAGAGGTCCTGCTGATCCGGAATATGGCATCCCACCATCACTGAAACCCGAGGTACCGATCGCGAAATGTTTCTAAGACGGGTCCCACCAACGCCGATTGTCTGTGTCACAATATATCCGGCACTTTCTTCTATGGTGCCGAGTCGCGCTTCTGACGTGTTAGCATATTGGGTAATGGAATTAGGAAGCTGCATAACAGAGGCGTTGACATCTTTCACTTCTTGGCAGTTATGCCACAGGTAGGTACCTAGGTTCGTCGGTACTGTGTCACAGAATAACAGGAACTCCTGTAGAAACTAATTTTCAATGATGTAGGTAGGTAATGATATCACTGTCGGTCGCGAGATATACAATAACATCAAAGAGTAGGTAGGTGGTATTTTATCATGCATAGCGCCTCTAAAGGAATGTCTAAGTAACTAACTACTAGGCATATAGGCAGTGTAGAACGAGCGTCAGTCCCCTTGACCTAATACTTGATACCAAGAGTTTTCTCCCTGCGCCGGATCATCAACTGGCTCTTCGGATGAACGAAAGTGAAGTCGTGCATGATTCCATTGCCGGGCCGTTTTCCATCGACCAACTTGAAGTCGTACTCGTCAAGGATCTTCACAAGAGCAATCTTGGCAGACAGGTTAGCGATGAACCGGCCCGGGCATGAGTGGCGCCCTGAGCCCCAGGTCAAGATCTCCCCATCGATGCTTCTGAAAGGCCGAGCGCGAAGGTCCTCGAGACCGCTATCATAGAATCGCATACCCTTATAATCCTCATAATCATCAAACACCCGCGGATCCATAGACTTCGCAAGATAAGATACGCCAAGAGCTTGACCCTTCTTTAGAGAGAGGCCGTTAGACAACGTGTAATCTTGCTCTACATTGCGGCCATAGACGATGAACGATCCTGGAGCCAGCCTGCTTGTTTCCTTCATGGCGGATTCTAGCCTGTCCAGGCTGTTGAATGCTGCTTGATCCCAGTGTCCGTTACATTTCTCATGTTGTTCCGCAATCTCCTGTCTGACCTGCTCCAGTATCTCGGGGTGCTCTGTCAAGTCGAGTATCATACCAGTGACAAAATTGGCCGTACTGTAAGTACCACCCACGCCTACTGCTCCTACTAGCCTAGTCAGCATACGAGGATCCTTGTCAATGGCGGTTCTGCCATCTTCGATCATCCACGATACTAGGTCTGGATATGTATCCGCACTTCTTTCCTGCTGTCGACGTCTGATCTCAGGTATCACATAATCATCTAGGGATTTCCAGGTCCTGCGTAACTGCCATCTATAGGGTAAGAGCCACACAAGGATGGGTTGCAACACCTTTGGAACGCAGCGCATTATAAATGCAATTGTGAAAGCTGGTATCGATTAGCTCCGGCAACTATCATATAAAGTACAGACACTAGGTAGGGGCTTACTAAGTTTGGTATGCAGGCACAATGTATGGACAAAGTCTGGGCTCTTCCAAACTGCCGGACCAACTAAAGCAAGGGCTATACCTTCGGTAACACACTCGACCACGATATCGAGAGGCTCAATTAACGTCCATTCATCGGTTTTCTGTGGGAATAATCTTTCTATCGCCGCTGCGGTACGTTGGGCTGTGGGTTGGAGTAGCTGAGGTATAGCTGGGCTAATTCGGCCCAAGAGAACTTTGACGTGGTGATTTGTTAACCTAATAACATCCATACCAACCAATCCAGATATCACATTATCTGAATGATATCTTCGTGAGTTTAACACGGATGACGGTAGCTTATTCAATTCGGGGATGAAGCTGGTGGGAAAGATGATCACATCCTTATCCCCACGAGCAAGTCGCCATGGTTGCCCCTCAAACTTGTTTTGTTAGAGACGGCTGTAAATCAGACATGGTAAACATCAGCTCACCTTCTTAGTACTATGGCTAATGATTTTCTCCGACTGGAAGGCCCATCGTAATCGGCTAAATAATGTAGGTTCTAAATTAAAAAGCCGGTTAACGGTAGGTATATCACTTGAGTTGTGATTGTTTTGGACATGGTAAAGAAAATACGAAATCGAAATAACGCAGACAGCAAGTATCGGTAATACATGACTGTCATATGTGTGTTCCCCAAACTTGGAGGAGAGAGCAAGGAGTAAGTCAAGGTACTCTTGAGTAACAGTCATCTTTTCATGCAGACCACGATCATACCTACCCAGAAAAACCCCCAAGACTTCCTTGGGGGATATCTATTCTTTTACGTAGTTTTTCTCTTCCTTCCTGAGTGACATGTTGGTCACCATGTAGGTCTATCTACCGTAGGTATCAAGCTTACTCAGTATCTACCAGGCGACTCCGAGGTCTTCTCCGATTTCAAATTGCGTCGAGATACTTTGGAGAAATACATAATAGGACCCCATTAGGCCTAAGCGCCTCCTTTAGCCCCGTCGTACAGCAGCAGCCACCACATAGCTCCGTGCCTCCTACTCGCCCGCCCTTGTTGCTAAGGCTGCACTGCTATTTTAATCAGCACAGAGGTGATAAGATCGCCATTCATCCCTTTCCATTCTATTGGGTCAAAGTCTGCTCAATTCGGCCAGGGATACATAACCTTGGCCTCGTCGCGTGTTCCTGTGGATCCCCGCTCCATTTCCTAACCTTTCGATGTTACTGACTGTTTCTCTCACAAATCATTCCTTACCCGATTAACATCTTACCCACGCCACATAGTCAAGATATGTCCTCCGCCAGCGCCGAGAAGGAGCCGTCTTTGATCACAACAGGGCTTATAGTCGTCTCTGTTATATTTCCAATCTTGTCGTTGATAGCAACATGCCTCCGTTATAAAGTCCGGCGTCGCCCGGGGCAGGGTCTCGGCGCTGACGACTGGTGGCTAGCAGTCTCATGGGTCAGTCAGCACCGTTAAAAAACCCTCATCACGGCGGTAAAACTATCCCGTTATTGAACTAACATTAGATAGATATTCTCGTTCGCCATAAGTATTACTATATGGACGTTTGCAGGAATTTCTGGCGTCAACTTCTACACTGTTGATCCATATACCGCCTCCATTGACGCGAATTTGGTATGTAAAACTCCCTCAAGCGTATTTCGGGCCTTCGGAAATATTGGCTAACAGACTGTATCGGTAGTGCCTTTGGATCGCTAGCTGGTTCAATCAGGTCAGCCTAACGACGGTCAAAATCGCGATCCTGATCTTTTACAAACGCATTTTCCCCGTAAAAAGTTTTCACGTCGTGACATGGATAGTGATTGCTGCCGTCTCGTGTTGGGGCATAATATTCTTTTTCGTAAGTAGCCTAGTCTCGGTATCGCGTTTATTGGTAGACCTCGATTAACAACCTGAAGCTCACGATCTGTTGGGGCGACCCAATCTCCAAAGCGTGGACGGGGGTAGGCGTATGGCGATACGATGTCACCGCGACCGGCCTAGCGAATGTTGGATGCAGTATCTGTCTTGACGTTCTTGTACTATCCTTGCCTCTTCCCGTCATATCTAGACTGCATCTACCTCTAAGGAAGAAGTTTGCTATTAGCTTGATTTTCTGGCTCGGGATCTTGTAAGTGCTATTCCACCCGCATGACTGGGCTTTACTAAACATAGTCTCACCTTCACAGCTGCTGCATCTGCTCCATTGTTAGGCTAGTCCTTTTACACGAGGTCCTCTATCAGGTAGTTGCTTCGGCTGACAGTATTGGTATGCTTCTCCAAGACTCCTCATAGATAACAAAGGAGGTTCTAACTGTTATAGGTGTCCAATCTACACAATTCTGCTTCTTGGTGATTGAGCCCCATTGCTCTATCATTGCGGCATCCCTGCCTTGCTACGGTCCTCTACTGGCAGGTGTAAGGGGTCCGGAGTCAATGCTACGCAGCATTCGCTCCGTCTTCTCGCTCGCAAGCAGAGACACGGCAAACTCGGATAACGGAACGCACAAGCGAAAGACCAGCTCAACCAACCCGCAGACATATGACGAGTCTCCAGCCGAACTACAAAAACGTAATGAAAGTTGGCTTCCTCATCAGCATGATTACAATGCTGTTATTAGTAGCAAAGACGGCCATTCATCTCAAAGTGACGGCGATATTCACAACGAAAGTCAAGGTGCGATCACGGTGACAAGGGGGTTGGATGTTGTCACAGACACTACTAAGATTGTCTAAGCTACCTGAGCTATACAAGCATCTAGACACTCCAGATCCTGTAAGAGAAGCAAGTGCGGTATACTTGGTCAGAAACATAATAGGCTCTTTGTTCGCGTTATTTAATTCGGTTGCCGTTCTTGATTGTACCACCATCAGGTTATCATTAGCACTCTTCTAATAATATCATTCTACATTCATCCACAAAATGCTTGATACGTATCTCTGCATCGCTTAAGCCATTATTGTTGTTCTGAATATAGATCGACTGCATGCGCGTGCGTGTGTAAATGTCGTGCTATTGCATGATAGATGTCTACTACCTACTAGGTACCTAGGACCCTAATAGGGGTATCTTCTCCGCATACGCCCGATGGAAACCGACCGGAATTTTACTGTCTTGCAGGATCAAATCCTTCTTCGGGAAATTCCGTCATAATGCCAGTCATCTTAACAGTGTAACCCCGGATAGAATGCTTAGAGGATCCATAGTAACGATGAGGCTCTGTGCCGTAGATGCTGGAGCCGACAGGATCGAATATTGTCCAACCTTCCAACGTAGATAACGAATCTATGCAGGAAAATGTCTCGGGAATTGAATCGTAGGAGCCATCCCATTTTCCAGTATCCACTAGAGCATTAGAGTTGACCGATAGTTGCATGTTGCTTTTTAAAATTTGCTTTTGTTGGAGTAAGGCTTGGAAGATGGTGTGTGGGATGATCCTCATGGTGGGTATATGTACGCCCAAGTGTCCTGTCTCATCTTGCCACATCTTATCATTCATTAATTACACTGGCTGGCTGAGTACATCATAAGAGATGGCGGTAGACCTAACAATTTCAATGCTCCCCAAAAGATAGCCTATGAATGTACCTACTAGGTAGTTATAGAGCGGCGGCTGCAGACAACTGCCATACTATGGTACTGCATCTATAGGTACCTAGCAATCGGCTCAATATTAAGAAAAACAACTTCAATTGCCTACCTACCTAGGTATCTAGGTAGGTAGGTAATTAGGTACAATACCTCAAGTACGTACTATTCCTTGTACGGACTCTCTAATTTATTACAAGCTTCAAAATGTAACATCAATAAGGGGCTTATCCTCGAACTCATTTCTGTTGTATTCATATCAGAGGATCAACGCATACTTACTACCAGTTAGTACCTAAGCTGCTAGGTATGCAAATGGCTTCTAATTCGACTTTGCAAGAACCTAGTGCAGCATCCGACTGAAAGACGAAAGTCCTGGCGATCCGTCATTTCAAAGGATTGTGATTTAATGACAAGAATACACGTCATATCCTGACAGCGTTTTTTGGTATGGTTGGTTACCTAGGCACGGATAACGTGGAACACCTGCTAAACATCTTCTACCGTTAGGTTAAATCATGAAACCCCCTTAAGATATATTATATGTCCGAAGGTGATAGATAATTCTTCTAACCGTGTATCGTCACTGTCTATTATTTATATATTAAGTATTTCTAGATGTCCTGGTACATGTATGGGAGAAGTGACCAGGCAAGCCGATGGGTGTGCAGTAAATGATGCTACACAGCTTTTCATCTGGAACGTGATGAGCATCAACGGAATACCGATGGATCTGTGATATGTCTCTGACGTCGGTAGCAGTAGCTCATCACCGTCGTGATATAACCTGACGCTTGATAAGTTTTTAGAGTAGGTACAGACTCGTAATTCATTCCATCTACGCTTCTCCTATTCACATTGCTTCGCCGTAATGAATCATTAATCATGGATCCTTCACTATATAGCCAATGTCAATCACTTCTTGCGAGTATAAACACACAATGCACAACAGGTCAAGCACATGGCTTCATGTCATCGTCAATCTACGACACTGCCTGGCTGTCTATGCTACGCAAACCTGGGTGTAAAACTAACTGGTTGTTTCCCGAATGTTTCGACTTCATACTTCGAAGTCAGACTCCAGATGGCGCCTGGGAGTCATACAGATCAGACACTGATGGCATTTTGAATACTGTCGCTGCGCTTTTGTCGTTGAGAAAACATCTAAGAGAAGTTCCAGATAACCAGGACTGGATGTTCAGAAGCCGACAAGCTGAATCAGCACTCAAGAAGCTACTCAACGACTGGGATATTACATCCACTGATCAAGTCGGGTTTGAAGTTCTCATAATCAAGCATCTCATTTTGCTTGAGGATGAAGGGCTCGTTTTCCAGTTTCCGGGGTTGAATGCCCTGAGAGCTTTACGGGATTCAAAGCTTGAAAGACTCCCAATATCTAGCGGTACGTGTACCTATAGTTGTCTAATTCTCTAAGAGACACTGTTCTCCAATACCCTGGAACCCTTCACCAAAAGCTACAGTCAATAACTGACACTTGGCTAGTACGTTCTAAAAGCCTTAAAACATGTTTTGGTTCTAAACACATCCATTCATGATTCCAAGAAATTCGCGCTGATTCAGTACAGGTATATAAAGGATCATCAACACTTCATCATTCACTTGAGGCATTCATAGGTGTTATTGAATTTGACAAACTCGGGCGCTGGCGTGGTAACGATGGCTCTATGTGTGGCTCCATAGCATCAACTGTGGCATATCTAATGCATTCGTCAACTTGGGATGAAGAGGCCGAATCTTACCTGAGAAATGCCCTAAAGTATGGAACAGGGGAAAAGGATGGAGGTGTACCTAGTGCCTGGCCAGCGACGATCTTTGAAGCCTCCTGGGTATGTTCACAATTCTCCGTCCTTTTAAGTTTTTGGAACTAAAGAATGTGAACTAGGTCGTCGCAACGTTAGCAGAAGTTGGAGCGCCTATTAACGAGATGTTTCCATCTAGCATTGGCGATTACCTAGAAAAAACGTTGACTTCAAACAACGGTACCATTGGGTTCTGTAAGATGTTCCTGGAAGAATATCGTAATTAGAATCATCTAATAATCGTTCAACAGCTCCTTCAGCTGTCCCTGACGCAGATGATACAGCTAAAACAATAATTGCCCTGCATCACCTGGGCAAAGCTATCAACGTTGAGCCCCTATTACAGGCATTCGATTCAGCTGACCATTTCAAGACCTACAAAGGGGAACGCAATCCAAGCTTTAGTGCGAATTGCAATATCCTTGCCTGTTTGATGATAGTCGAAGATCCGACGCCATACGGAGCCCAGATAGCAAAAGCCGCTAGTTTTCTTTGCACTCAAGTATTCAGTGGAAACGTCAAGGAGAAGTGGGTAAGTCAATCATCAGAGATAAAAGGGGTGACCTGTTATGAGAGAGAATTAAGCTAAGAATAACCATATAGCATTCGGAGGAGCTGTATTGGATGATGCTCCTATCTCAGGTTTTCGTAAGACTGGAACAACGCACACGAGATGAAGGTGAAGGTCTTCGTGATGAAATATTCACAAGAGCACCCCACCTCAAACAACACATCCCCATGATCTCGTTACAAATCTTGATCAAAACACTTAGTTCTCAGGAATTGAACGGCTCATGGGGAAATATATGCGAAGTCACTGCATATGCAATCCTGACACTCTCGTCGATAGCACAGCTTCCATGGATCCAACAGCTACAAGATTACGAGATCATGGCGAGTATCAACCGAGGAAAGTCATTCCTTGAGCTTCATCGAGATCAATGGAGCAAAGGGCACTATCTATGGATTGAAAAAGTCACATTTGCGTCAAACGTACTCTCCGAGACTTATTGTCTTGCCGCTGCTATCACCCCTGTCATGTCCTCATTCCAGCCTCCGCTGTCGCATGCGTTTCTATTGCCGACTAGCATAATAAGTGGTATTCGGGGCGCAATGCGCCTCATAAGTCAGATGCCATTGATTTCCGGAACGAAACCCGGCGCTCTAAAGGCAGCAGAACTATTAGCTGCCTACACATTCTGGTCGTTACAAGACCAGCGGCTGGATATATTCCCTCGATCAGGAGACGAGAAAGCAGATCACAAGTATAAAATCTTTACACCAGCATTGTGGGCAGCTTGTACTACACTACACGGTAACGCCATCACCCTTTCAGCTCTGTGCGAGATGGTTACATTCTCTGGAAGTATTTACCTGATCGACGAATATATGGAAGGTGTCATAGAAAGGGATTTTGCGAACCATCTCCCAGAAATCGGCACGCTAATCAAGCGGTTATGTAGTAACCTTCGTGCTCCTGGTTCCAGTCAACTCAATGGGTATGAATTAGAAAAGTTTCTTCATAATGGGCTGGAATCTGGAGACTCTTCTGCATTCCAGGACGTAAAAACCGCCCTAACTCGTTACATCAAGTATTTCCTACACAACCAGGCCGTCCTCAAAAGCTCCGAGAGGTTGCAGCAGATACTCGCCTATGAACTTGAGGTATTCCTTCAGGCTCACGTTGATCAAGCCGTGGATAACCAGCGTTTCGCACTACAGCACGGCTACCGTGCCTCGATAGATTCAATTGCTACTCTTTCTTCTTCAATGCCGCTGGAGTATGCCAACCCCGGGCGAACCTTCTACAGCTGGATTCGAAACACATCTTCGAATCATAGCTCGTGCCCGTTTTCCTTCATCTTCTTCAATTGTCTAATATCAAAGCCCGGGGGGGATGTTCTCGAGACGGCAAGGCCCGCTTACCTTGCTGAAGACCTCTGCCATCGTCTTGCTAATCTTTGCCGGATGTACAATGACTACGGGTCAACTGCAAGAGATCAAGACGAAGGCAACCTAAACTCGGTGAACTTTCCGGAGTTTCACAACAGTATAAGAGATGGGCGAGGCGACGGGCAAGATATCAAGGACCAGCTCATGTGGATTGCTGAATATGAAAGGGAGGGGCTTCGAAATGCGACCGTAAAGCTGGAAGCTGAGCTGCATGATAAGGGGTTGATGGATGCCCTCAAGGTATTCATCGATGTCACGGATCTTTACGGGCAGATATATGTTCAGAGAGACCTCACCTCTCGAATCAAACAGCCCACTGTGTAGCTAATATCAGGGATGATACGATCGTTCTAGGGATAGGGCTTTCAGCCAGATAACTACTTGAATATCCCTTAAATATAGGGGTTAAACTTCCAATCAACACCAATCATCCATATACCATCAAGTCACAAGTCACTCAAGTCTCCAATATGTTTTAACTTATTGTATTAAGAAGCAATGGATTGAACTATAGCACTACCAGCGACTTCCTCCTCCACAAACAATCTGAACCCATTACCATTCGAATCAGAAAAAGCCAGACCGTAGAAATCAGAAAACCCTCCATGAACCTTTTTTTCTCTTTCCACCAAGTAAAGATCGTCAGACGCCCCAGCGATGCAAAGAGAGAAGTGCCATTCCACCCATAAACTCCGTGCTAGGAAGCGACTCGATGTCGTGAAGTCGTATCATCCCAAATCAGAGAAAGGAGCGCGTAGTTCTCAACCCGATATTAAAAGGAGCGGAAAATCGACAGTCGTAATAGAAAAGCGTGTCTAAGGACTAGGTATATACCCAGACCCTCTCATCAGCCTCCCTAGTTGATCAGAATGCGACGTCCCTCATGCTTCTTCGCCTTCGGCACAACAACAGTCAAGATACCATTATCCAGCGAAGCGGCAACGCCATCGGTATCAACGCGGCCGGGGAACTGGAACGTGCGGGAGAACTCGCCGACGCTGCGCTCGGAGACCCAGAACTTGTGGCCGGGTTGCTTGGGCTGCTGCTGCTGCTCCACCTTCTCCGTCTCAGCCACGCTGACGGTGGTAGTAGCCGGGGTCGGCTCGCCCTCGGTAGTGTCGTCCTCGACGGTAGGCTGGTGCGCCTTGTCATGGTGGTCGGGCTCGCCCTCCTTCGGGGCCTCAGCGATAGCGGCGGGGGTCTCGGGCGCTTTTTCAAGGAGCCCGGCGGGCGGGGTGCCTGCTTCGTAAGAGCGTTCGACGCGGCCGCGGACGACGATGGTCTGCGCGTCTGTGAACTCCACGTGCACGTTCTCCTTCTCGATGCCGGGGAGTTCGCCGTGGAGCTCGTAGTTGTGCTCGGTCTCCCTCATGTCGAATTTGGGGGTGAAGGTCGGGAGGTGGTGGCGCGCGTGACGAGGGCCCTGGCCGCTGCCGGTGGTGTTGTTCTGCAGGGCGTACTTGTCGAAGTCGTCGATGAGGCGGAAGAGACCCGTGAAGTTGGGCTCCGCGGTGTAGAATCGAGGTCCGAACATGGCCATTTTGGATGTAGTGTGGATGTTGTTGTGTGGTGATAAAGTGGTGGTTGTAGTGGTTATTGGTTTGAAGTGCTTGGTAGCGTTGATGATGCGATGCGGTTTTACTTTAGAAGTAATGGCGCGAGTAGATTGCATAAAATGCTTTGATTGTTGTGAGTGTGTTTGATGTTTTGTTTTTTGTCTGATCTGAGGAAAGAAGGAAAGAAGTCTCACGATGTCTGAAGCTGCCTTAAATAATTGCGAGGCAGTACTGGACGCACTTTCTACGATGTTCAGGAAATAACTATGGAGTGGGTGATTGAATAATCATTGGAATAATCTAAATTCATCTAGAATGAGATGGACTATTCGATTGGTGGGGGGGTACATATTACGAGGTTCAGTAACGTTCTTTCTCGTTGTCGCAGCGACAAGTCGACTCACGATAGTACGTGAAGTTGCGAGAATTGACCAGAACATTCTACACAACGTCCCACAACATCCAGAACATTGACGCCAACACAACTTCTGTCATACGATTTTTTTTTTGTAAAACTTCAATTCTTGATGATATTAGAAATAACATCAATGATTCATCATAAAAAATTTCTTAAAGATGCGATGCATCATCTTAGATGACTGGTTGAATTGAATCGCAGGTGTTGATGACAAGTACTCTGTATTTTCGATGCATGAATGAAAGATAGGGGGTAGGTGGGGGGTGTATCGAAGAATTTGGATTATTAAGCCAGCAAGATACATGTATCTAAGTACCTTTGAAAATCGCCACAATTCATTACGTACGCAGTTGGACCTTCTGAAACTGTGGCTTCTGTGGCTAAGAGCTTAGTCCTGTCGATCGCGGAATTTCTTCGGTTGATCATCCCATCATCGTGGGGCTGTGGTGGCGGTGCGAAACTTGGAAGTTGAGGCTTTCAAGGTTAAGGATTCTTCGGATTATTCAGCCCTAGGTAGCTCTCTGCTCGCAAGGTGGTCCTTGCTTTCACTGATCATCTCGAGCGCTAGGGGTCTTGGCAGGGGACCCATCTTGGCCCGCCGTGACGTCATTCTGTATATCGAATCAATAGCGGGTGCTTTCTAATTACCATCTGTTTTGTTTTCTCCATCTCGGTCGCTCAAATTTACCCATCTCCCACTAGCAGCTTACGTAGGGGTCCTGGAGCTTGTACATCGATGTAGATCGCGGTTCTAATCATCCCTGCTGCCCCCGCATGCATGACAGAAAATGGCAATTACTCGAGTGAGCACGTGAATATGGGGGGCGCTTAGCAGGGAATGGGCATGTATCTTGATGCATGTATAGAATGCTTGTTTACTTGCGATGACGTTGGTCTGCAGTTCCGTTCTCTTGCCATACCACGGTTCCCCTACTCCGGAAATGACGCCGGTGGCTTCTCATTCGGACGCTGGTAGATTATTCTGGCAAGTCTAGCAGACATATGTCATCCATGGATCTAATGTACCGAACAAGGGGTCGCCAAGGGGTGGGTGTTGTCTCGGGCCATCCGAAAGACCCTGGAGGTTGTCTAAGTTGTCTTTCGGGGTAATGATATTCGTGATAGTTCATACCATGCATAGTTCATACTTCGGGGAAGAGATCACTAGGTACCAAGATGCAGCAATAACACACCGACACATACATCGGAACTGCACAAGCTGCACAATCTGTACCATCTGTACCATCTGTACCTACACACAGCATTGAACAGCTGTATGCACATCTCCAATATCCATCTGTACCAGGTATACAGAATATCAAAGTACCATCACCACCACGGGTAGCATGAGCAGCATGAGCTATAATTCAACCCATCTTGGCATTCTTTCCAAACACGTATGCATCGTTCGATAATGACGATAATTATGCAAATGGCGTTTCCGTCGTGTTTCTTCTTCATTATATCGCTACTATAGACCAACTGCAACCATGGCTTCCCTGTGGGGCGCTATCTATAGTACAATATCATGAAGGCGCCAAGCGCCACTTTTTTCCCTCTTCACCCTCGAAAGCGTGTATATACAACGACAAGCTGTACCTTCGGCCCAGCATTCTTTTTTGGCTTGCTTGCTTGCTTATGCCTGCTACGCTCAGCATAGCCAGCCCAGGCTAGCTCGACATTTTTTTTTTGCCACCTCCCTGGCTTTCGGCGGCTTTGCGCCCACTATACGGGGTCACGCCCCTCGTCATCGGTACGGAGGAGGCATAGTCGGTGGTGGATATCCTGCAACGATGGGCATTCCGGGCCTTGCTCCCATGATTGGACCGGGACTCTGAATGCGGTTGAATAGCCCGATTAGTCTCCTACCAACCGACGGCTCCAGTTCGGTCCCATCTCTTGCTATCTTAACCTCCCTGTTCGAATTCCAGGGGTTCCGCAGTCCGCGTGTTCGGTAGAATGGAAGCTTCGTAGTCGAAAGCCACTCGAGCTTGAATGGTTTGCCCCATGCTCTGTTAGGCCCTCCCTCGCCTTCCTGCGTGCTTCTAGCGCTCGCGGTGTCGTCGGAATCCTCCGTGTCCGCGGTCGAATCGGCGTCGTCCCTTTCCACTTCCCAGAATATAGTTCCCCGAGCCGAGTCGTCGATTATTCGTCCTCGAGGGCAAGTATCCGTAGCTTCAGTTGGAATAGCTTTAGGTAGGTCCAAGTCACTTGTAGTTTGCGCCTTGGGCGCAAATTCAATAGCGGCCGCCGGATCGTCGTTTATAGGCGAGGTCATTCTGGCATAGCCAAAGTATTCTCCCGATTTGTTCGCGGAAAATACCAAATAAACATTATCAACCACCTTTTTTGTATGTCATATTAGATAAATATTGTAGGATAGAAAATTTAGTGAAAAATAATGAAGCAAAAACACTTACGTTAAACGCATTATTCAATACTTCTTCATTATGTGCCTGAGTTGCCCACACGCCGGTTCGAACGCTCAGCTCCAAATCTTCCACCGTAAGACTTTTTAATATAAAGAATTTGTCCTTTTGTGGACTGGCATCACCGCTTGCCACGTTTCGGGACTCGTTTTGTGTCTCGGATACCGGTGTCGCTGATTCCGAGTGCTTTCTTCGAGGGCTTTTCATAGATTCGGCTGAAGAATTTGGTCCATCAGGTGAAGTTGCTGCTGGCCCTGTCGGCGCCGTTTGTCCACCTACCCCCTCAACCGTACTCTTTCGTAGCCTACTGACTAATCGTACCGATTGAAATTTTGAGTCGTGAAGTTTATGTTGGGCCTCGACGCAGCTTTGTTCGTCTTTGAAATTCGCAAAAGCGCAGTTACTCTTAGATATGAGGAAAAGCGATTCCAGTCCCGGCGCCTCTTTGCATACATGGCGGACTAGGCTCATCAAGTCGGTTTGCGGAGGTAGATTCCCTATCCAGATCGCATGGCCTAGCAAATCTTAGTGTTCCTAGAGTCCTAAGTAATGGAAGCCAGAGAAGCTCACCGCTTTGTCGGGGTTTCCGGGGAGGGCCTCGGACAATGTTAGATCGTGAGTCCGTAGTAGCTAAGACATATGATTAGCGATTCTAACGCGTTTTTTTTTAAGACTGGATAGCCGTACTATCACCCCGAACGAAATTCGTGACCAAATTCGTTTGATCGTTGACATGTGGCGGTGAGACATCCCTTAGGTTGTTCGATGAGCCATCCGCTAAGACATACTGTCCTGGGTTCATCTGGTTTTGGATAGCCGAATGCGAAGGTTGATATTGGTTCGATGGAGGATAATAGTAGGCGCCGGCGGAAAGGGGATGCTGGGACGGGTTCATCATGACTTGGTTCGAGTAGTAGTTTAAGTTATGCCGCGGAGACATGTTCGGCTGCTGTGGCGCCTGGTGTTGTTGTTGTTGCGGCGACGAAAATTGGGCATTATAGTAGGACGACATCTGCGGGTGTTGAGTTACATAGTAGGGTTGACCTCCAAGTTGGGGCATATTCGGCGGTCCTGCGAACTGAGTGATTTGTGGCATAGGTTGAATCATGTTAGACGAAGGAGCGGCGTTGTATCGTTGCTGTGGCTGTCCTTGGTTATAGTTAGGTCGATATCCGGATGGTGGAAGCGCGGCAGCCATCGCGGTCATATTGTAAGGGCCCTGACGAGTCGGTCCTTGGGCGTGAGACATCTCGAGTTGACCGGAGAACGCGTTGGGCGATGGATCGTAGATTTGCTGGTACTGACCTTGAAAGGCGGGATTGCTCGCGGGATTAGCACCCTGCGGCAGTGGCGGCTGCCCTTCATTCTGTACGCGTCCTTGATAAATATTTCCGACAACGTCTCCAGTCGCAAACTCGCTGTTTGCCGCCGAAGGCGGTGGGACATCTTCCATTGGATCTCACCAGATGTATTTTTGATGACTGGAGAGGAAGAGCTCGGATGCCAAGTCTTCGCAAGCGTTGCTTCAACCTGTAAACAACCTGAGCAAGCCTATTCCTCTAATACTTCTTTGATAAACTAGGTGTGGCCAGGCGTCTGATAAACCCTAAATTGGGAGAACCCCCGTAATCTTGATGAGGCTAAGAAAGGAAGAGTGGTAGTCTTGCGTGGTGTGACGCAAATCAACGAAGACTGAGCTGCTGTCGACCAGGGCTTGATCAAGATCCAGACAGGCCTTGACGATGTATCAGATCGGTAAAGAACAGAGCTCTCGCGTACCTTCTAGTGGCACCACAACTCAGCGAATAAGTGATTATACTTGTGGGATTATGGATGGATCTACCGCCCGAATCGTCCAATCCGAGAATGAAAACAGATCCGACGCAGGGATGGCATCAACAATCATAGGTCGATGAGCTGGGTAACTATGGGGTACTGGGGAGGATAGGGAATTGGGCTCCCAGGGTGGAAAAAATTCGATTACGGGTGTTTGGTTTCTGGTAACTGTCTAAGGACTAGGACGAAGACTCAAAATAGCTTCGACGGGATGGGATTATGGGATTGCCGAGAAGGACTCGATGATCTGTGTTACAAAGAGGGACCCGGAAAGTTATCCTTCTCTCTTCTCAGCCCCAGTGGAGGAAGTTAGGGTATGTCACGTAGGTAGGTTAATGCGAGTATCGACAAAAATTATTAGACGATGTGGCTAATTAGGAAGCCCATGTGGCCCGACGTGACCTTTGATAATCCCGGTCATTAGGGCATCAAGCAGAAGCAGTCATTATGTAACGACAATCTTTCCCCTTTCCTTCGGTATGTATGCAGTATGGTATGAGGGAAAACATCATGAGACAACGTCAAGAAACATTACAAGGAAGTTGACGACTCGCGGCAATGCGGGTGGCTAAAAAGCTAGTCTTGTCAAGCTCGCCTTAGACACGACCGCGAAGTCTAGTACACTAAGTAGGTACGATGGTACAGGAGTACCTTGGGTAGGGTCTTCGCCAGGGCAGATCAGACGGCGAACCAGAGGATAGAGGTGATGCAGGACTATCCCGGCTTCAGGGCCCCCGGAGTGGATGGGTTCACAGCGGGTGACCCAGATAAACGACGGGAGCCGAAGTATGGGAAGTAGAAGGGGAGTGGGAAAGGCTAAGCCAATGGGCTAACACGAGTATCAATAGCAAGAGACGAAAATTGGGGACTAGATGAGATGGGAATTTGCAGAAGACTGATGGTGTGTGTTTCGTTGGCGCCGTTTTTTTCGCCACCAGACCCTTGGGTCTTCGTTTTTGGGGGTCCATGGGGTCCCATGAGTCTCGAAGCCAGTTATTACTGACACCCTTTGACAGGACATGTCCCAAATCCCGATTCCCTACCTCTTAAGTACTAGGTACTCAGCCACAAAAGTTCTAGCCGGGTCTCCAGCAAAGAGATATTTCCTGGGGGTTCTTAACAGTCCTGGCAGTCTAAGGTGAGAGCCTCCACGGGACTGTCAGATTCGTGATGCCGATCTCGTCACAAAATCTTTCGGTACCGGTTACGATCAGGGTCTAAACGCTGTAGATGCTGATATGGCCCGTCTAAATTGGTGCGGCTGTCGTTAGGACCGAACCAATCCTGCGCAGAACCGAAGACATCCTAGGAACCTTGAAGAACCTAAGCTGTTAGGGAAGATAATTGACCATGGCTACCATGACCAACTGATGACCTGAAGCGGAAGCGGAAGCGGAACGGTACACTAAGAATCTCGGACGCTACTCGAGATGACTAAATCTACCTTGTCTGCTTGTATACGGTATACTTTGGTCCCTTCTAGAATTGGCGCCGGTTTTTTTTGATCGCCAATGTAGATTGTCCATCTGGCTTGTAAGATCCGGGATGGTTTCCTCTTGCGCGTCCAAGCACCATATGCACAATACCCCACGAAGGAGGTACCTAAACTACTTGGAGGGGTTCCTCGTAAGCAGCCAAGCCAAACAAAGCAAAGTGAATCCCGCTGCACTTACAGCGAAGCATTTCTTTTAATTAAGTGAATGATACGCTGAGCAAGCCCCCGGAGGTATAATAAGAATTAGAGAAAGTAAGAAATATGACGTGTTCAGCATGGATTTCCCGGAAAGAAATTGGCAAATTAGCCCCGTCCTTGGGATGATAAATGGTAATAGAAGAGACAACATATTAATTACGACGATTTTAGGGTATGTTGTCGGTTGGTTTGTCGTCGTAATGTCGTCGGTGGCCCATTTGCCCATGGATGGTAGGTACCAGGTATGCAGATTGCAGATGCATGGTGTGTAGAGGTGTGTGTAGGTATGTACATGTATTTAGCCCTTGCTGGCTGGCTGGGTTTTTTTCAAGGCGATATTTGGTGGATGATGAAGATCTGTGAATCTTGATCGGCAAGCCTGGTTGCTTGGAATGATGAAATGCGATACCAGGGCTCGGCCTGAGCCGCAATCGACTTTTTGTCGGATTGTCGCAAATGGGATCGGGGAATTGTAGATTGGTGTTTTCCCATCCGTTCCCCCCCATCTCCCCCCATTACTCCCTTGTCGATGTGGAGATTGTTGATCCCTTGAACCCTGAGATTTTCTGGGATTTTCTAGGATTTCCTGGGAATTTTAGAGGAGCGATGATGTCGATGATGAAATGTCTCCAGCTTGGCCCTGATGAATTCTGCATCTCTGCAACTCTGGCGTCGCATTAGACAAGCGATGCTGGCAATGAGGTCAGCGATCTTTTAAAAAAGAGCTTCCATTGGTGTCCACAGGTCGACGTTTACTGCTTATCCATTTCCATGATCGGTGTTTTGCACATGCAGTAGCTAAAGTACCCTAAGTACGTACACCTCCTGTAGTGTAAGGGATGTGCGATGGATGTATAGATGTACAATACAGATGTACGGAAGGTGCAAGTATCTTCAAAAGGGTACAACCTAGAATTGTACACATCGGTCAGTCGGTCTAGGCCAAAGTTGCATTAGAGTGCTTTAATGCGGAGAAGGCGTCAGGCCACAAAGCCGAACGATGATCAGCGCCCTTTCTGTTCAACTAGAATAATAAGTTGTACAATGTTGAAGGCAGGTACTGTATCGTACTTGATTTTTAATTTATAGTTTCTGTGTAACGTGATGTACCAGATATGAGGATATAGTACTCTCAACTTTTGTCTTACGAATCTTAATATACCTGAATATCATTTCATCTTTTCCTGCTATTACGAATCTGCTAATGCTCATATTTCTCACCACCTATTTCGTAGTAATTATCTAATCGCTCGGGAGATTATGTGTTTCCCGCCTACAACAGTACCTAGTATGTACAATTCGGCTTTCGGTTCGACAATTCCATAAGTCCTTCAGGTAAACTCCGACCGCTTGTTCGCCACTTTTTCCTTTGGGTATTTCGGTCCGCTAATCTGACCATTCCGTCAGTTTGATATGTCCCCTCGCTTGGTAAAAAAAAAGTTTCATCTCTTTACTTAGAACTTACCTGGTATAGATCTACATGATCAAGTATCGTATATCTTTAGTAACGAACATGTAAATCCCTTATGCATCATGCAGCATGCGCATTACAAGCATTAGCTGGTACCCAGTTAGGAATATGTCGAGGCACCTGCCACGTAAAAAACTGGATTGGGTTGGGTGTGTTAGTTGAATATCACCTAGCAGCTTTAGAGGCGCCACAGCCGTCTGGCTCTGCTCATCCTACCATCGCGGTTGTCGATGTCGCTCTTGTTTAGTTTCATTTAGATATTCATTTATCGACGTTCCCTTTTACCGTTCTTGGGTTACAGGCTGTGACGAGTCAGCTGGACACTATCTACTTAATCAAGTATACATCAATTCCGAAGGATAACTTCTAAGGTAATTAAAAGGTTACATGTACTTAGAGAGTAGTTCCCTGGGCTGCTAGGTCCTAAGTTTAGGTATGTGCTAGGTATGTTAATGTGGCTTTAGCGGAGGCTTTATAGCGGAGTATTTGCTCCGGGATAGGAACCCGAGTGAAGTACCATAACCCATATTCTGTATTGCAATCTTAGTTCCAGGATGATATTAACATAGGAAATCAAAGTCCGGAATGTGCTAACAATACCATGCCAAATCGCTCTGTACCTAGGAATATGGAGGTAGAAAAGAGCCATACAAATTGGGAGATTGGTATCAGATCAATAGGTGAGATATCACCTAGTACATGCTACCTAAATGGGTACATGGTATGTAAGTCAAGGTTTCAGGGTTGTTACCCTGTTACACACCTGAGATAGGTACCTACAGAGCTAATATCTGTAGTTCCTGCCACTAAGCTTGCCGGAGCAAGCTTGCATGTGATCCGTCCCGTGCAGCCCGGGATCTGCGGTAGCGGTTTCCAGAAATAATATGCCGATAATTCCCTGCCCAACATTGGAGTTACACAACTCAGCCTCACTTTTCCGATTGCGTATATCTGCCCTCTAATCCCTCCCCGTTCATGGTTATTATGGACAACTCTGGACCTTTCTTAAATGATCGGCCTCGCCACCACGTTATGCAGTCTAGACTCTACCGACACCGACAATTCTCTAACGAGCAACCGACTTTTTAGTCTGACAATCCGCCTACTTCGTCCTTCCCGATTACTTGATATTGCAGCAAATACGAGTTTTGATAACACTTCATTAGGAAATGATCGACAACACATAGTCTTCTGATCCTCAGGTACCTACTTTAGGACTTGAAGAGCTTCAATAATTTTCAACCCTTCAACCTAAACCTAGCTATATGCGTCAAGGTCGCCCGGAGGCCTCATACTTTCTATCCTTCTCTGCATAGTACCATGCGTGGTTATCTAGACAAAGTAGCTCATATTAGCGCTCCGATATCGACCATGGTCACTCTCCACTGCTTCGTGGGACTGTGGCAGTGGTTACCACAACCACTATCCCTTGCTTTCAGGGCTTATTGTGCTCCTGTGGCAATCTGGAACGCACATTAGGACCTAACGGCCGGTGCGCCCTCTCGCCTCTCTGCACCCTACCTATCTTTCATATGGCCGCATGGTAGGTACAGTTTAATAGCGTGAAGAGCGCTTATTTCCCCAACACAATTCTCCAACAGTCAGGTACCAGACAAGTACCAATGACTGGAGGAAAACTTCGACTCCTTTTGCTGCTTCGCCGTTTCTGCCCAAATCGCCACAAACTATGGTTTCGTGTAAGTTCTACCAGGGGCCGCTTGGAATTACGAGTCAGAGTCCTATTTCCAATTTCCCGAAGCTGTCTCTCTCCGCCTCCTAGAACCCTGCCACAGCTTTCGATATTTTCTTCTCTTTGCTAGCTAGCTTCTCCACATTCCTAGCTCGACCTCGAAGAGCTGCCCTGAGCTGTCTGAGTTAACAGGACGGTTCTAACTTACTCTGGAAGGCAACTCAAGCCGCAGATGTTAAACAAAAAACCACGTGGGAGAACCAATCGTGATTGGTATGTAAGTCGTGGGGGAGGCTCAACCGCATCACACTTGTGATGCGCACTAGGCAAGCGCCTCAATTATGAACCGACGCATATCTAACATTTCTTGAGGTTGCGTTGTCTGAGACACAGCTACCCGCCAGCATACCCCTCTCCGACGCTTCTTATTCACTGAAGCCTGTGGCTTAGTAGGACCAGACTGCATGATCGGCCGCATCAACATCTCCATCTCGGTGGCAACCCAATAGTCGGCTAGCTCGACAGCTCTCCATAGCTCGAGAGCAAGCTACCATCGAGATGCCAATAATACTAATAAGAATCTAACCTAAGCTCACTGTAAGCGGTACCCACACAGATGCTAGAACGATCATTAGCGACATATATACTCCGTTAAGGCTGGCCAATGATTTCACGTATATGGGCTGTTTGCTATAGCTCTACTAGGGTTTTATTACAGCCATCCAATCATGCCCATTAATTCGGTCTCGGGCCTCGCCCCAAAAAGGCCCTGAGTATGGTATGATTAGATATTCCAGGTAGGTAGGGCCGAAAGGGAAACTTCGTACGTTCATACTAGACATGAATAGGGGCATTGGTCCGTGGGAAATCGAAGGGTTTGCGCGTCTCAAGCAACCGGCATTTTCTGAATCCTTATTTGCCACCTTGACCTATCGGTACCGTTATGCCGGGTCAAATATGCCCCCTTGCACGAACACGCGAGGCACCCCTGAGTTTGGAGTAATTTGGAGTTATGTTTCCGCCCCCAACCCGGTTACGTGCGTCGAACCGGAGCGGTCCGTAGCGACACAAAGCAGAACGGTAGATACTGGCAAGTTTTAGGAATATCATACGGAAGGCCTTCGGAGCCGGCAGGACCACAAGTGTAGTCGCATGTTCTAGTTTTCACACGGATAGTGGCATGATTATCCGGGATTTCGGGGGTGGTCGGGTCAGCTGACGCAAGGCGGGACTCCCGTCCTCCAATCACTTTCTGCGGGAGTCGCCGGCTACCTATCCTACCTATCATATAACAAGGCTGCAAAGTAGCAAAAATACGACTAAACCCGCGACGATGGTTCTAGCCCTTAGAGATCATGCGGCGGACGATTTAGAAGTCAGTTCATGGCCTGTTCAATATTATGCAAAATCGGAGTTGTAGTACGAGGGATCCTTCGTGTATGTTGACCGCAGTTTCTTCCGCCGGCTTCGCTGTCTTCGCCGCGGGGCACCCTGGACCAATTTGGTTGTTGGGGAAGGAGTTATGAATTGTTGAGAACAATTCGACTTTCTTAACGCCCAACTTATTATATCTACTATCATATCATATTACGGATTTACGTAATTCCAGGTGACCGATTTACGATAGGTAAAAATTCGAATTGGCGGAGTGGCTTACAGGGTTCGTAAATAAGAGACTGCCGGGCAGAACGGCGTGCGCAACAAAGTCCGGAATGCAGATCTCGGAATATTGGCATGAAGTGGGCAGGCAGCGGCCCCTGCGCCGGAGCAACAGACGTCTGCCGATTCAACAGCGGCGAAACGGGCTACCGAGTTAGATAGACGAAAGCACGGGACTTGAACAAGCGAGAAATCAAGAAATAGTAGGCGAAGAATCCGGGGATTCGCTTGTGTCGCTCGCTTATGTTCCAATAATCTTGGAAACATTACGTTAGGGGACCCAATAGGCTGGAAAGTACGTGGCATACGACTGAAAAACAAGTTTAGTCCCCTGTCTTTAAACGAATACGGGGGTTCGTGCTTAAAACCCGAGCCTCGTGCTAGAGGTGAATGATCATGAGCATCTCAGACACGAGGAATCCATGATCACGAAATGTAGCTGTGAGAGGGGTAAATCTCTTTATTAAATCGTGAGCGATAAACTTGGGATAAGAATTCGGGGTCAACGATACCGAAAATAGATTCGATGGCTTGCTACCCCTAACCTTGGAGGATACCATTGCAGTCGCATGCAACTATCACTCCAGCTGCAGCAACTGAGAGAGTACTCGGTTGCACAGGTACGCATGAGTGAATGATGCACTAGATAGTCGAATGGCTTTCCGCCTTAATGGAAATTCGCCACTCACCAACCAAAGCAAGCATAGCCTTAGGCATCAACGATCAATCATGATTTATTTAGACCCCAGGAACTCCGTTGCCTATGCTATGATACACAGCCGCTTGAACCGGAGCACCGGAAAGCCCTTAGTCCTTCTTCAACGGGAGAATCTTCTCCTCGATGCCGTCCTTAGTGATGATCATCATCTGCAGTGCGTCACCGACCTCGATATGTCGCTCGACGGCGGAGTCGAACGCATCCTTGACCAGGATCTCCACCTCGTTCCTCGGCAGCGGCACGCGCTCCCGCTCCTGCAGCTCGTGGCCGACGCCGCTGCCGGGGACGTACTGGTTCTTGAAGTTGACCTGGTTGTCGAGGAAAGGCATGATCAAACTGCCTGCAGCGCCGCCCGCGCGGCACTGCTCGCGCTCGTAGCTGCCCACGGGGTCGTAGCTGTACACAGCACCCTTACCCTCCTCGTCCAGCCCTCCTAGGATGGCGTAGACGTAGTACGGGAAAAACCGCTTTTGGTACAGGATCGTCGATAGCCGTTTCGCGCACGCGTTCACGGACATCGGCTTGCCGTGGCGGTAGCGGTACATTTTGCAAATAGCGTCGAGACGCTCCTTCAGGGCCTCGCCGTCCGCTGCGAACCCGACTACTGAGAGCAGGATGTTGGCGTCGTCCTGCGACGAGTTCGACCCGCCGATCTTGAATAACTTGGGCGCGAATCGTGTGTTGATGCTGTATCCCGATGTAAGACGGGTGTCGCCGGCCATGATGGCGAACTCGGCGCCGGCGATGGCGAGGGTGGAGCCGCCGTTGTCGGTGTATCTGCGGGCGTTGGAAGGTTAGATAAGCTTAATGTCCGCAGGCGAGGGGATTGGGTTTGTGATATTTCTGGGCTGATTTCGGCTTACGGGTTGAAATGGTGTTGTCGGAAGCCATCTAGGGCAGCTTTAGGAACATCGGCGAAGGAGTAGTTGGGTCCGTTAAGGACGGGGTTTTGGCTGAACATGGCCATCTTGTTCGGATTTTAGCCGTATTATTCGGGTGTTGTTTGTATATGTATCGACCGTTATATTTGTCGGGATTGTTAGAGGTAGAGGTAGTCGATAGGATGGATTGGGTTGATGAAAGGTGGGAAGCTTTGATGATGATGAGGTTTCCCAAGGTTCCAATCCACGCGCGTCGAGCTTGCAGCCTTGTTGGCTCTTGCACCGCACCTGCCACCTGCGCTTGACAGGGGTAGCTTCTGATGACTAAGGAAAAGCGCTACCTGGTGCTCCACTTTATTTTGTATGGGAATCCACCATCCGCATCATCACCAATTTAATTCCATCCATGGATCTCGCTCTTTGCGACAACAACAACACCCCTTTTTAAGTAGGCGTTCTTGTTATCATATCAATTCGTCTGTTTAAAAGTGTTTTCTGCTAAGGTTGGAATGATTGGTGCTATTAATCTTTGAGATAAACAACCTGCCTGAAAATGGCACGCAACGTCCGCCAACAGGCGCTGCAAAAGATCGCCATACTCTCGGCCACCAGTTCAACGACAACCTTTGATAGATCTGACCTCGATCGACTTTGTAAAGCTACGAATATTCGCGGGAAGGGAAAGGAAGCCACAAATGGCTCGGCCAATGGATATACGTCGTCTTTGGCTCGTGTTCCGATGGTAAAGTCATAACTTGAGAATACGAATAGAGTGACGGGTTAAAATAGCTAACTAGAGTCCAAGACCATACGTGAATTTGAAGTTCTCATCTCTCTCTGTAAAGCTGCACCGATGGTCCAGAGCAGTTCTAGTGCCCAGAAGCTCGTCAACCAATTGATACCTTACGTCCTCGAAGCGCATGCCCAGACCTTCCTCCCTTCGCCTGCCTTCAATAAGATCGAACCTTCACCTGTCGAGGCATTGACGTCTAATGTCACCGGTGCCTTGCTCTCGCTGGGAAATAAATATGATGATTTACACGAGACGGTGTCTGACAATATCTGGGCTCTTCTGGCTTCTATGCGTGTAGCTATACAAGCCATAGTCCCTCCCAAGTTTGACGACTCTGCCCAACCAAATCTCGAGGATGCCATCCGCGTTGCAACCATAGCCATCTCTCTCTTAGGGTTCTTAGATGCCGCTTCTGCCCAGACCAATTTTTGGAGGACCGGCGGAAGACTTGCTCTCATTCAGAGGGTTAACAACATGCTCTCCGCATCCTTCTTAACCGCCGTGGACGGTGCATTTTCTACGATTCGAAATGCCCATGCGTCGGATCGTAATGCTAAGGACTGGAAAAGATGCCTTCGACATTATTCTCATCAGGGACGACCTTTAGGGCCCATGCTTTTACAGAGAAGCTTCATGTGGCTCCTGGTTTCTGCAACGTCTCTCCTAATCGCGGATGTCAAAACTCTCAGGTCTTCTCACGTCCTTGATTTGCTAATGTCCAAGAGTAGCTTGCTGAAGTTGAGCTCAAGTATTCCTGACGCCGACTTTCAGTCAATTGAGCTGTACAGCAGTATTACTCAGGATGTGATGGAACGCCTCGATGCTAGTGCCGACTTCATTGAGCTCGGCTCGTCTTCTCAGCAGAGACTAGCCTATGCCGTCAAGGCCGCTACAATCATTGGCTACCTCAATTGTATCGTGCTGAACGAAGATGCCGCTGACCCCGAGTTCCTCATGACTTGGCTTCAGGAATGTTTGGATAATTCCATTCAAATGGCGGACGAGACCTTGGCATCGGCTGTCCTTCGTTCAATGGCCATCCTTTCTAAAATCTCGCCAAGCTTTGCTCCAACTGTAATTCGACTTCTTCCCCGATTCCTTGTACAGACCTCGCTATCTAGCAATATTGTCGCTACTGCATCGCGATGCCTGGCATTTGCTTTACACTTGCTTTCTCAGGATGCCGTCATTACTACGTTATATGCACTTGGAAATGTGCTTAGTCCGGATGGCGATCCGAATGTCCAAAATGGATCGGCTGATTTGGGTCCCGGGGCTGCTGGGTTATCAAATGTTTACCAAGGAGGTCATTCTACAGGTAGTGACCTCTCGCTTCAAATCCGAGGAGAAGAAGATACCTCAGTAGTATATGGAAATATTGTGCAAGCGGTATGCAGCATTGCAGATTTGTGCAATGATGAGAAGATCACGGCACTCGCGCAGGCGATGTTGCTACAAAAATTGACGAAGGTCAATTTGCAAGTCGACAGTCATATCATTACCGGTGCTAGCGTCCTCTCCCTAAATGGAGGGCAATTGGAATTTAGGTCACTTCTTCGATTATATTCGAGACTCTGTCATAATGCAACTGCCGACGACAATGCATTAATTCTTGATGCTGTAAGGCTCACCTTTAAATTTATTTTCCATCAATATTTCTAACATCTACTTAGGTCAGGAAAGCCCGAAATCACATATCAGCAAATGTGAAGCGCGAGTCTCCGCTTTTTGAAATTTACTGGGATCACATATTGGAAGAGTTGATCTCGAAAGGAGATGTACATCAGTCTCAACACATGAAAGAGTCCGACGTCGAGTTTGCCGCACGCGAAATTGCCGAACTTCTTCAACCTGTAGCAATCTTAATGTCAACACATGATTTCGTTACGGATCTACCTGGCCAGGATGATGATAAACACACTCTAATCAGGGACGCTTGGTTCAATATTGCTGTTCATGGCTTCACTCCTCTGACCGAAAGAGGCCAGAAGTACATCAATGAATTACGGATCATGGCTATCCACTCCCCACCTCTAGTAGCCGAACAGCGAGGTGAGCAGGTTGAAAGTGATATCGAGCTAAATACTGTTCTTCGCCGAGCCAATACCTCCGAACGGGAATCAAGACAGAAGAAACTGCTTACAGAGCTTGTCCCGTCAAAAGCATCTGACATTAGGAGTCTGAGCTACAGGAAAGTCATGTTTCTGCATGCTGCGTATTTAGTTGAAAGTCTCCGTGCCGACTCCGGCGACTGTACCAAGACTCTGTCATACTATCTAGAACCCAGCATGCGTAAGGAAGACGTACGGGGTGTTATGGAAGGTATAACAACTGTTGTGATGGATAAGTACTTGTCGAAGACCTTAGAAGCAAAGCTTCCGACTTTCTCTGCTCACTATGCAGCCTCACAGCTTGCAACGATTTTCTGCGGGTGTTGTCATCGTATTCAACGCGTTCAGCAAGCTGCATTTTACTGCGCAGACAAATTTGTTCGAGAGACTCCATCCTCTCTTTGCCAGAAGTCATCACTATTTGCACTTCTTGAGCTATTGTCTCTTATGTGGACAAGTTGTCTAGAAGGCGAAACCGAAATGTATGATCCAAGATCGGTCTTCACTTCTCGCCTAGGAAACGTTACGGTTGAACTTTCAGATGACTATTCGTTCAGAAAGACTACGCTTAACAACTTGTATACAAGAGTTCGATCGTGGGTCTCGTTGGCTATCAACCTAGCGCCTTCTGATGTCAAAGGTTTGCTCCAGACGTATCTGTCTGAATTTGAAGATGAAGGGGTGTATGGGCACATGTCACTTGGTCGATCATTCGCTGTAGAGATGGGGTCGTCGATACCTGCTACAGACCAGAGATTGACCTCTCTAGATCCGATGGGTCAAACTGCTATCAACACTGCATCTCATTTTATTGCCCAATACACAACGCGCCAAGAATATCGGTATGGTGAGACATTACCTAGTCATGGTAAGGATCTCATAAATGTTATGCCAATGATGCGGCGAGACTCGTTCATCAAAGCTGCGCCGTCCGACCGCGCCGACGCTGTTACGGCATTAGCTCATGTAGAATCTCGGGTTACCGGCAAGAAGACAACTCCTCTCCACGATGTGAGAGACATTCTTCGACGGGCCGCAGCTCTTCTGTGCCGCAGCGGGAGAGACGAGAGTTCTATCACTCACTATCTTGTCAGCATTCCTTTCAAGATATTTACCAAAGAATCAATCAACTTTGGAGTGTCTCTATGGTTGGGTGTTATGAACGAGAACCCTAGGATGGAGTCTCGAATACTTGCTGAAATCGCTCAACAATGGGAGATCGTTATCCATAAGAAACTTGGATTATTCAACCCTACCTTGATGTAAGATGGACCCCCCAAATTTTTATTTCAATGCTAATAGTACTAGGCACCCGGATCCCTTCTTCCTCAAAGAAGAATTCGCTCCTAGTGATAACGAGGGGCTTACGAGGCGTCGACAACAGGTACATAACTTGTTGGCTCCGCACACTCGTCTCATCCAATTTTTCAGCAGCCACTTCAACGCCACGCGACTAGGTAGCCCGGATACGCATAGAATATTCCTCCGTATGCTCGACGTGACGCTTGATGCCTTGAAAAGTTCGATTTCGCATCCCATGGCTAGGGAGCTCCGTCTGAGAATTATTCTCTTCAGTCTCAGGGTATTGAAGATGAATACTACAGTCCGTCTGGCGACTCAATGGCGTCTCAAAGACAAGATTTTATCTGCAGGATTAAGTTGGTTTAAATATTCGCCAAAGTGGTCTTTTGGGAGCAATATTCTCCAATTGAAGACTGAAGTCCGGCTTATTACTGATGTTATGAATGCCCTCAAGACTGTCTCTTTTATTGCATCACAGACTGCTGGTAACTTCAAGGCGTTGGCTCAAAAAGAGATACTGCTTCAAACTTTGCTTGAGAGTGAACAGATTAGGCTGAACGTTTGGGTACACCCAATCAATGATGGACATAGACAGCATACGATGGCCCATAACAAGACAGCACTCGAAGTGAGTTTACTTACCCCTACTTTGGTGTATCATGCGCTAATTTGAAGACTACTCTGAAACCACTGGTTCGGGTGGCTTGGGCTGAAGACCCTTCTCTAGCAATAGAGCTGGTCAACAGATTCTCTATACCAGCTGTACATAACGAGGTTCGTTGGCTGCTGTTGAACTTCCCGGCTAGGGCTATTTCCGAGCCTGAGGCTCTCCCGATATTATTAGGGGGTGAACTGCCACCTGATGTTCGGTTCCAGCTTAAGGTACCGCACTCTCCCCTTCTATCCAGCATAATACTAATAATTGCAGTACTTACTCTTCTGGGCTCCGGTTAACCCTGTGACTGCTGTCACATATTTCTTGCCGGCCTATCGAAACCATCCGTTCCTTATCCAATATGCTATGAGAGCACTGGAGTCTCATTCAGTTGATGTGACCTTCTTTTATGTGCCACAGATTGTGCAAGGTCTTCGATTTGATGCTCTCGGGTATGTGGAGCGTTACATCAACGAGACTGCACAGTTTTCCCAATTATTCGCCCATCAAATCATCTGGAATATGAAAGCAAACTCTTACAAAGATGACGATGCAACAATTGTAAGATTTCTCATTCCTAAAATCTTTCAGCCCCTTTACTGACCCCTTCTTAGCCTGATGCTATCAAGCCTGCTCTCGACAAGGTGATGGAGAAGATGGTCGGCAGCTTTTCCGACGAAGACAGAAATTTCTATGAAAGAGAGTTCGCATTCTTCGATGAGGTCACTAGTATATCTGGCAAACTTAAGCCGCTAATTAAGCGTGACAAACCTGAAAAGAAGCAAAAGATCGAAGAAGAACTCAGGAAGATCAAAGTCGACGTTGGTGTCTACCTACCTAGCAACCCCGATGGTGTTGTTATCGGCATTGATCGTAAATCCGGCAAGCCTCTCCAGTCTCACGCGAAGGCACCTTACATGGCTACATTCCGTATCAAGAAGTCGAAGGGTGGCGTAGAAGAAACAGAAGAAGTTTCGCAGGAAGTAAGCAACGGCGAGACGCCGGAGGAAAATACAATTGAGGTTTGGCAAAGCGCTATCTTTAAGGTTGGTGATGATTGTCGACAAGATGTGTTAGCCTTACAGATGATTGCCGCGTTCCGTGGTATCTTCCACAGTGTCGGGCTCGACGTCTACGTGTTCCCATACCGCGTTACCGCGACCGCTCCTGGTTGCGGTGTCATCGACGTGTTGCCTAACTCGATCTCCCGAGACATGCTCGGTCGTGAGGCGGTAAACGGATTATATGACTACTTCATCAGCAAGTATGGTAACGAGGACTCTCTCCGGTTCCAGCACGCACGCAACAACTTCGTGAAGAGTATGGCGGCGTACAGCATTATCTCGTTCCTGCTACAGTTCAAGGACCGACATAACGGTAACATCATGATTGACGACGCGGGTCACATCCTCCACATCGATTTCGGTTTCTGCTTCGACATCGCACCCGGAGGTGTTCGCTTTGAACGCGCTCCATTCAAGCTCACGGGCGAAATGTTGGCTGTCATGGGCGGAAGCACGGACCACCAAGCTTTCAAATGGTTTGAGGAGCTGTGCGTCAAATCATTCCTAGCGTGCCGCCCCCACGCGGAGAAGCTAAGCCAGATCGTGCTTCTGATGATGGAGAGCGGGCTGCCGTGCTTTAAGCCCGAAAGTGTCAAATTCTTCAAGGAGAGGTTCGTACTCGAACGAACTGAACGCGAAGCTGCTGACTTCGTTAGAGATCTCGTCAGGAAGAGCGCGGGAAGTTACAGCACCATGGTGTACGACCAGTTCCAGCTTATGACCAACGGCATTCCCTACTAAGTTGCTGTTGCTGAGAAGGAAAGGGCGTACGTTGAAGAGATGTTGGGGATTTGTGGTGGCGATGAGCTCGTTTGTCTGGTTCGGTTCACTTCAATTCGACTTATATGCGTTTTGGAATTAGTTGTGATGTTATTGTTGTTAGCTAGTAATAATACCAGAGCGAGCCCGAATCCTGTGTTTTTTGGTGTTTTAAGATGCGTGCTACGGATTACTGTGGCTCAATTCTTTACCTTAATAATAGTAGGTACTTCCATCGCTGGGGGAATTTGTAACTACAAGGTGGTCATCAATTACCGTGAGAGGTCCTAAACTTATGGAATGTTTGCTAGAGATAGGCTTGTCTAGATTGCTTAACTAAAGGCAACCGATGAAGTAAATCTGCTTATAAAGAAGCCTGGAACTCCAGGCATCGAGAATCTTATAATTCTCTCAAAACACGGTGCAACTGTAGCACAATGAGACTTGCATGTTGCTACTACCTCATGTACTCTTAATAAGTCATTTGAATAGCCTTATCTATTACATGGGACTAGATGCATCGAGAAGTGCAGCACGGTAGCACACGGAGGATTATGGTGTTTAAGAGAGCTACGGCTAAGCTTCTCTTAGGTTACATGCGTTTGAACCGATGCCTGAACGGTTCAATTCAATTCATTGATAGGTAGGTACCTACTCGATGCTATTCACCGCATTTGCAAACATCGATCTTCGCTTGGATTGGAAGCTCGTAGTATGGAGTGCAGTTGTAGTTTCGATAGCCTTTTTCATAGCCTTATCTCTGCTAGATCACTTAGCAGGGGTTGGTAGGGTCCATTGATCGACTAAAAAGATCATATGAACGTCGCAGCAAAGCGAATCAGCCGCGATGCATGGCAGTTGTGCCTGTCAATAGGATATCTGAGACGGAAAAGACGGAGGGCGATGATGTCGATGATTGCCCGGATACGCGTGACAGCGGCATTAAAGGCAGGTATCTAGAAGATCATTACCGCGACTAGCAAGAGCCGATCCGGAACTCGGTCAGTTTCGCTAGAAACGTCAGGAACGACGAATGAAGAGGTGGGATGAGATGATATGACATTGACATATGATGTCAAGTGACGAGTCGCTACATATGTACGTAAAGTTGAATGTTGTTCTGTCCTTTCAGTTTCAAACCTCCCTCGATCCCCGGATATATTATGGAATTGATTCCCTCGTTTTTGAAGAGCAAGGACGGATAGCAAGGACATTTGGTAACATGGTATCTGCATGGGGTGGGAAAACCACGTGTGATTGGCTGGTGATTTCGATGCATTAAACAAAGATTACGTAGGACGGGTCGCCCCCCTTTTTCACTTTCATGAGCCTAGCATTGGTTATGTACTCGATATGTACCAAATGAGTATCTCGAGCATTTCGCGAATTTGTACATATGGTCCCCACTATTCGGACCGGTTCTTGGCTGCGAACATCTTTTAGCATCGGAATTCCACATGTTTCGAGAACTCGCCCGCTTCGTATTTGAGTGGGTGTTTACATGGTTTATGACATGATTGATCGGTTTCTGTTGTTTACACGAGCATGACGACATATTGTTGTATCATGAGATTCAAAAGCGGTTATACGATGTTATTAAAGTCTCGATTGAAATTCAATCAATTAGCGTTGTCATGCCAATGTATTATGTATGTATGTGTATGCGTATGTGAGCTTAATCCAGCAGATGCATGTATTGCGTTACCGTTGAAACGATAAGGTTGAGAACAGCTCCTCTTCATTTCCTTTAGCACGCGTTGGAATTTTGGTTAGATCAGATTGGACGCTGGTTAAGTCCGTATCTATCCATGGTTGAGAGTAAGGGATACTTAAAAATACTTTTAAGTTACGCTATGTCCCGGTAGCGTTGATTACGAACAATAACTGGAGAATTCTATTGGTTGTTGATGCTTGCTGCCCCACCTCATCCCATACCAAAAAAAGAAATCATACCAGGATTCAGCTTCAACCCATGTCCTGGCCTCCGTTTCTAGTTTTCTAGGCTCCTTGGCCTCTATTAAGTCTAGAGACACTTGCACAATCTGTCTTGAGTAGATCTCCCGTCATCCTAATAACCCACCATCTTACCAACGGTGCCTCTCGTTCTAAACAACAGACGACAACAGATACAGATATCGAAATCCTATCTTCCTATCTGAACAATCTGCCTGTCAACCTTGTCTACTAATCTGACATAACCTTCGCTCGTTATCCGAAACTGTTTCTTATTATTCTCTTCCTTCGCTCTTCACTTTTCACCTAGTAGCCTAATCCTATTTTTACCTACAAATACTTTTCTTATCAATCCATTCAGAACGCGTAATCGAAACAAAGCTTGAAACCATCCCGTCATCACACCTCACACCCTCACACCATTTTCACATTCTTGCTTTAACCTTCTTTCGTCACTGTCGTCACATTCGTCACTTATACACTAAGGCATATCGAAGTCATGCTGCGATATTAACGATCAACAATTTGCAATTAGCATAACATCGCATCAATTGCGCCTTGCCCCTTAGTTTCGTTTAGACCTGGCCTTGCAACTTACCGAACCTCTATCGCCATGGGGAAGAAATGTAAGAATATTACCAGCAATCATCGAAAATCCAATTACCAGCCTTTTTAACTAATGTCGCTACGAATTAGGGCGATGGGGTGTCATTCTAGATGCCGGTTCCTCAGGGACGCGTCTACATATTTACCGATGGCTAGATTCCGCGAAAGCCGTTAAAGACGCAACGTATGCGGAACTACATAGCTTACCCAATATCATTACCAAGGAGAAATGGACAAAAAAGATACGACCGGGCATTTCAACCTTCGGCGAACATCCGGAAGACGTCGGACCCGATCATCTGCAGCAATTAGTAGAACGAGCTCTTGATGTCATACCTAGCGACAAACACGCGGATACTCCGGTATTTCTTATGGCCACGGCCGGCATGCGATTATTGCCTCCTACTCAGCAACGTGCTGTCATAACAGAGACATGTTCATACTTTCGCGCGAATACGAAATTCTCCCTTCCCGATTGCGATACGCATATTCAGGTCATTCCGGGCGAGACGGAAGGTTTGTACGGATGGATAGCAGCCAATTATCTCCTAGGAGGCTTCGATGACCCAGAAGGACATGCTCATGGTAAGAATCACCATACGTATGGATTTTTAGATATGGGCGGTGCTTCGGCACAGATCGCTTTCGCGCCGAATGCTACAGTAGCCGAAGAACACGGCAACGATCTCAAATTGCTACGAATGCGAAGTTTGAACGGTGCACCAAAGGAATACAAGGTCTTTACTTCGACATGGCTCGGATTCGGTGTCAACCAAGCTCGGCAACGTTATGTCAAGACCCTAGTCGATGAGTTCTTGATCAATGGTGAGCACGAGGTACCCGATCCTTGCCTACCGAGGGGATTGCGAACAAACGAGAAGGGCGAGACCATCAAGGGAATTTCGACCGAACTCGAGCTAGTTGGCACAGGCGAATTTGACGAGTGCTTGAGACGAACAAGACCTTTACTAGGAAAAGATGTGGCATGCGAGGATAAGCCCTGTTTATTCAATGGCCAGCATGTTCCTCCGATCGATTTCGACATAAACCACTTCGTAGGAGTCTCTGAATACTGGCACACAACTCATGGTGTGTTTGCGAATAAGAACGACGACACTGCGTACGACTTTAACACGTACCAAAAGAAGGTCGTAGAATTTTGCAGCCAACACTGGGGGGAGATTGAGTCAAATATTGAGGCGCGGAAGAAAGATCATGGGAAGGAAGCTCAGGAGGCCTGCTTTAAGGCATCCTGGCTAATCAGTGTGCTACATGAAGGCATTGGCATACCGAGATACGGCATAGAACATACGCCAACCCCAGGATTCAACGTCACGAAGGGTATCGGAGAGGCTGCTAAGGAAAAGGGGTTTCTAAACCCGTTCCAAGCTGCTGACGAGGTGAACAATATCGAGATTAGCTGGACACTTGGAAAGATGGTACTCTACGCAGCCGGTCAAATCCCCCCCAAAGACAACTACCTTCTTCCCGTCGGATTTGGTAGCAACGTGAAGGGCATTCCTTCAGACTTCCAATACGCTGGATCCAGTTACAATACGACATCAGCAATCGAAGACGACGATAACTGGAGTGATACAGCCGAGGATCTTATAGATCATGCGAAATCAAAGTCGACATCCGGATTCTTTTTCTTCGTACTAGTTTTCTTATTCCTTGCTTTCCTACTGCGGAAGAGAGATAGACGAATGCGACTATACGGTAAAGTCAACAAGGTACTACGCCGACGACGACGCCCGAGCAGCCCACGGAAGGCCGGTTTCGGGTTCACGGCTATTACACATAAACTGTTCGGCCGCGGACCATACAACTACGAAAGGGTATTAGAGGAAGGCGATCTCGACCAATTTGAATTAGGCGATGCTTCGTCAGATGAGGGTGAGCATTCTGATAGTAGTGGAGGAGCATCAAGAGTCGGTCGATCGTCCGGTCTAGCTACACCGAAGCTAAATATGGGCTCTTTCGATGATCTCAAGAAACATGCTCAACCAGGAAACGCCCTTGATCGAAGCGGATTGGTGGTCCGAACGGAAAGTCGCGAGAGGCTTTTCCCACAAATGCTCAACGCCGGTCGGAGGAGTCGAGCGGCTAGTCCTACGAGACTAAAGAGCCCATTAATGAGCCCCCTAACGGAGGACTAATAACCATTGTATTCTATTCTTATACCAAATGAGCAACGGCTCATTGCTCAGGCGGCACACTACTTTGTAGGGCTACAGGTTCGGAGTTACCAGGATTAGGGGCATACGGGGCAATGGAGTTCAAGGCGGCATAGGATTGCGGCTACTTGTTATTCACGGGACGAACGTTCACGAAGTCAGCTTGGAGCAAAAGCATGTTGAATTTATTGACGGGACACGTTGTCTCCGTAAGGAGTTAGCTACTTAGCTATTCGATCACATCACTTTGGCCAGACATGGCCTGAATATATGAAATCACTTCAACTCAATTGGCCGGCGCGCTGCTATGTATGTCTCAACTGTCATCATGTGTGAAGAATTATCATATGTATTTAGGTAGATTACATATTCTAGATGAGACAATCATCAGCTGAACATAGCTATTATATGATCGTCCTTCGTCTCTGAAGTGTGTCCTTTCATTTCCAACGTGTTAGTGAGTTTCTCGCTCCGGAGCGGTAGGGTCGCGGCTTACCAATAGTATTAAGATCCAATTCTCCTGATCGTAGACATCAATCACCCTTTAGTCTAACAATTTCTAGTGTACTTCTCTCGTTCAATACGGTCTACCCAACACCAAAATCCCACCCCAATCAATCCTGCTCCCTCTCCAGAAACGTCGGGTCATTCCGGACTTTATTCTCGAACTTCCGCCACCACTCCTGAAACGCCTTCAACGGCACAACCTCGACTCCCCCCTCCCCAACCGTCCCGCTGAACCCAGAGAGGAAATTAAACGCGTTCTGTATTATCCGCTGCGCCAACACCTGTGTCGACGGCGCCCCTCCCCCATTCCCTCCTCCTCCTCCGGCGCGCACAACAGCAGTACTAGACGATTCGGAAGGATGTAACATCCGTATCTTCTCTGCGACACCCGCCGCGTCTTCGACGCTTATCCCGATGACCACGCCTTCCGCACTACTCGGCGACAGCTTGAACACGGCGCTTTCCTTCCCCGGGCCGACGCCGCCGAGGAATTGGAAGTTGGGGTCGGAGCCCGAGGATGTGGTTAGTGCGGACGGGTTTAAGGCGATGTAGATGCTGGCGGCGGTGCCGGGGGGCAGTTCGATTCCAGGGAGCAGGAAGACGGCGAGGTGGGAGAAGGGTTTGGGGGTGGGGTTGGAAGGGGAGGGCGGCGTGTGGGGGATTACGTAGAGGAAGTTGGAGGGGAGAGGTTGCGAGGTGGGCGTTGTTATTAGGGGTTGGCCGGCGGGAAGAAGGCCGAAGAGGGGTTGGGGGGTGCTCATTGTTGTGGTCGGTTTGCTTTTCGTTTCGATTGCTGTTTTTTTTTGGCCCCGGGGTTCGTGGTGCGGATTGGAGAGGTACGATAGGTAGGTAGGTAGGTTTAATTGGCGGACTTTCTCCAAGACCCGGAGAGGGGTCGAGGCGGATCGAAGGAGCTCCTAGATGGTGGAATGGGTGGGATTGACTGCTGGAATGATGGGTTTTAGGTCGGTACGGAAGAAGAAAACGGAATGTTGAAGCTTTACGAAGATGGAATTCGACGTCATCTTATGGAGGGGCAGAAAATGCGCCGGGAAGGTACAGCTGGGTTTCCGTGTTACCTGCGTGGGTAGGTGCGTTACCGGTTTAGTAACAGTGTAACCCCAGCACGCTAATACGTGTAACGTTAACGCTACATCTGTTAACTTTTGATATGTGAATGGGGTTTACAACTAACACAGACAATCTGTATTTGTGAATAGTCCTTTGAAGTTGGTTGTTTTGATTTCTGTTTACTATCTTAGTCCTATAATAAAGGGATTTTAGGTCTGATTCATATATGTCGTTTTGAAAGCTATGTCAAGTGAGGCAGCAAGAGAAACTATTGGAAAGAAATTTGGACGTCAATCACGGCTTGAACTTCTTGTAAGAAGACAAATAAGTCGACATTCCTCTGAACAGAACGGGACAAGACACTCGTCTCTTCAATCCCAAGCTTGCAACAAGCCTACAAATCTCAGATATCGTGTGCCCTTTACAACTTCACATTTCCTATCTACAAGCCACCCGAGCTCTCCTTATAGAGCCTATAGCTCCGCCGCATCCATATCAAGTATCCACAAAATTCTCAGAAGGCTCCGGGAGTCCAAAATGTCGGGACTCATGAGCAATCTTGACATCATGAAGGAGGCAGATGCGTAAGTCTTGTTCATCCTGTTTGATATAGAAAATGATATATATGTCAGAGCTAAAGTGTCTTTGAGCATATAGCTTTCCTTACGAAGACAAGGAACCAGAAGCATTCAAAGCTCTCAACGAGACTTTGTACACGTTAGTATGGCAGGACGGTCAACCGCTAGGTTACATGCTCGAGTCTGTGCTCAAGCAGCTCCTGGACACGCCCGAGGAGGTCCGGGGTCCTGTCATCGTAGACGAGGCTAAGCGGACGGTACGTGCGTTCGAACTGCCTACCAACGAGGAAAGATCGGCACGTGTGGCAGGCTTGATGAAGTACTGGCGGGAGAACGAGACATTCGACATATTACGCGGCTGGCGGGACGAGCCGTGGCCTGTCTACGGAAGTGACAACAAGCAGGTTTTATACAGCGTTGAACGTAGTGGCACGGGATTACTCGGGATCATGCGTTACGGAGTACACATGACGGGCTACGTCAAAGATGAGACGGCGAGCCACGGGATGAAGATTTTGGTAGCCCAAAGAGCCGCAACAAAGTCTACGTACCCCAACATGTTGGATAATTCGGTAGCAGGTGGTCTCATGACAGACGAGAATCCCTTCGAATGCATAATTCGTGAGGCAGATGAGGAGGCAGACATCCCCGAGGAGCTCATGCGAGAGCGAGCCAAGTTCACAGGAATGGACACGTATATCTATATCACAGATGAGCGGGCAGGCGGCGAGGCCGGTCAGATATACCCCGAGACACAATGGGTGTACGACATCGAGCTTCCGGCAAATTTTATTCCTTCACCCAAGGATGGCGAGGTCGCGGGCTTCTGGCTATGGACTGTGGACGAAGTGCGAGAGAAGCTCGCCCAAGGTCAGTTCAAACCTAACTGCGCCCTAATACTGGTCGATTTCTTCATCCGCCATAACATCATAACGCGGGAGAACGAGCCCGACTATGACGAGATCATCCGACGGCTGCATCGAAAACTGCCTTTCCCAGGTCCCCACCAAGACGGCCAGCCAACAACAATATTATAAATCCCTTAGGATGAATCCTGTTTCGTCTTGACAAAATTGCCGTGGCTAGCGATTGCTCGAATGTACAATAGCTCTACCCAGCTCATGAATACGGCGAATTAGCGAATTAGCATTCATTGCTACCTATGTGAAGCCGTAACCGTAACATGCAATGATGGACCCCTTTTACGCCTGCGCCTTCCGAAATCGAATTCCCACCAACTCGTAATCTGCCGTGAAGTCGTTGGTGAGAGGTGAGTTACGTGTAGTTGATGGATCATTTCTTGATCAGGAGGTAGGCGTTCTCGACGCGCAACGGAGTTAACTTCTTGTATGGACCCTCGATCTGCATCAGCAGTCCGCCGAATGATATGTACGCGCGACTGCAAACCAGCATATTAGCATCAACCAATAGGGACCAAGATGAAAAATGAAATAAAATAAAATAACGGAAGGCAATTCCAGGCTGCATACATAGTCTGTCCATCAACCCCGTCCTCGAACTTGTAGATCTTGCCATAGCACACGTAATCGTACATATCCGCAAGCGTATTCTCGCCACGCACATGTCTCCATCCTTTCTCCTCTTCCTCATCCTTGATCCCGTCGAGGCTGAGGCTAGTAGCGAGAAGCACCTCGATGTTAACCCCGGCGCGGATGTGCAACAGCTCACTGTTGATGTCGAGAGACATCGTCGTCTGGTTGTCCGTCGAGGTGGCGGTGATACGCGCTACGCGATCGTACTTCGCGCTGTCGTGCTCCGTCACTGTGAACGTGTCCTCGAAAAGCTGGGCGTCGCCCGCGGCTAGGTTAGACATATTGTGTGATTTGCGACTTCCTGATTACTTGAGCTAAAGGCGTTGTTGTAGATTGTGCGTTTAGATGTGAATTTAAGTTTCGACTTGGGTGGTTATGGCTTCACTTAATTTTTTTTTTGTTTGCCGGCTAGGAAGGTTCAATGCTACTGCTGCTAAGAATTCTGCAGTTATTGCGGGGTGTGCTGAAAGCGGTGAAGCCTTGTATTTACGGGGCTAGTCGAAGGTAAAATGCCAGAGAGTTTTGTGTTACCGGAGTGTAGCCAGGACACACAGGTAACAGTCTAGACTGGATTGGGTACTAGCTTCGATTTATTTCTCCAAGATTAAGATCTCTATCTCAGTGAGAAAATGCCCAATTAGAGTTGCAGGCGCCGATTCTTCTATAAATGAGGCCTGAACAACCGGTTACATCATTCATCAACCTTACCTCAATCCATGAATCATTTTTTTCATGATTAGAGTGGTTTTGGAAATCTGAAGTTAGGGCCATGTCTTTCAGAAAAAGAAATGCCGTGATTAGCAGTGCAAACTCATCTCAGTCTGCATCACCGAAAACGGAAAATGTGCCCATTCCCGGCGTGAGACCGTCTCCCCTCGACGGTCGGCCAACTACCTCTACTGGAACCGCATCTTTAGACAGTCTACTTGCTGGCCATGCCGGCCTGCCGCTAGGAACTTCGCTCCTCATCGGAGAACATGGCACCACCGATTTTGCCGGGGTACTTCTTCGTTATTATGCCGCCGAGGGGATGGTCCAGGGGCACCAAATTCACGTTCTTGGTATGCATGACAGCTGGCGCCACGAGCTCCCCGGTCTTTCTACCGACGATAAAAAGTCATCTAGCAGGTCAGAATCTCCATCTGACGATAAGATGAAGATCGCCTGGAGATATGAGAGTTTAGCCTCTGGCGGAGCTCCAAGAGATAGAAATGCAGTTCAACGACAAAGTAGTTCTGGAACTGGGACAAATTCTATCTTTTACCATTCCTTCGACCTTACCAAAAAACTTGGTCCTACGGATGCCAAAGGCCAGATTGGCTTTCACCCCTCCATGACCGCCCCCGGACTATCTCGCCCAAAAGACGCATTATCACCTTTTAAGCAGTTTATTAAGGATATCGCTTACAAGTTGGCAAACTCGCCGCCGTCGTGGATTCATCGGATCATAGTACCTAGTCTCCTATATCCCACAAGCTATTCTAGCTCCTCTATTCGACCCGAAGAAGTTTTGCAATTTCTACACGCGCTAAGAGGATTATTGAGGCAGTACTCGACGAAACTTACGGCTATCATAAGTTTGCCTCTTTCGCTGTACCCCCGAACTACGGGACTTGAACGTTGGATGGAGTTACTAAGCGACGGCGTTTTGGAGTTAATCCCACTTCAAAATACCGCTGTTCATGTTCCTCCCCCAACTTCGAAGTCGGATTCTAAATCCGATGAGCAAACACAAGGTCTTGTAAAAGTTCATAGTTTGCCAATCTTCCACGAGAGAGGTGGCGGCTCCTCAGACGCTGCTCACGGGGATCTATCATTTAGCCTAAGCCGATCAAAGGGCTTGGTGATCAAACCATTCTACCTACCTCCTGTTGGCGAAGATGAACAAGAGCAGAAAAAATCAGAATCTAATAAAAGCATGGAATTTTGAGGATTTATATTGCCTACCTAGTTGCCCAAATACCTACTATTTAGAGTACGGTGCGAACAACTAGCACATCACGGGATATTAACACTGTATAATTGACCCCACATCAATCCCCAAAACTTTTTCTTTAATTTCTTAGAGCTTGAGAAATTTGAACCTTCTTCCAACCTCGAGCAAAAGTAGCAGGTAAGTCAACATTCGTATTTTCTCTTGCAACGCCCCGTTGAAATGATTAAAGAAATCAATAATCTGTCAATCCACTGAAACAATCATGTTGATAAACTCCTATCTGGAAAATATGATCACCCAATCCTTTCCCACCTCGTGAATCGCAAGCTTGACCAAACACCAAAACTGACTCACAAAAAGACAGGTACTGCAATTCTGTCGTAGAGATGGCCTCCTCCGCGGGCGATCGCCCTCCCGTGCGCATATCTAAGGTCGCGGGGAGGTATCTGCTCTTCGATATAGATGATATCATGCACCTGCGGCGTAGCCACAACATCTGCTCCGTGTTCGTCGGCACGATCCCGCAGAACCCGCAACAGAACATATTCATGGGTCTACCTGTCGAACTTATGCCCGAGGAGGCCCAGGTGCTCGTCGATAAGAAGGTGGGATACGTCGTAGACGACGCCGCCTTCCACCCGGCCCGCCTCTCCACCCTCGACGACGACGCGCGGAAGCGCTACCTCCAATCCGTCAAGGCCGAGGGCAGGAAAGCGCAGCTGGCGGCTGCGGAGCTGAAGGAGAGCTCCAGGCCAAAAATCATTAACAAGAAAAAAGGCAAATCCAAGACCCCAGAAGCCGAAGTATCGAGTGAAGAAAGTGCTTTAGAAAGAAGCCGTGAAGTAGAAGACCAATCTGAAACCACACTCTTCGCCCTACCATCCCCCATCTCACTTACATCCACACCCGCACCCCCCAAAGCAGTAGAAGGAACATCAGAATACTCCATAACACCCACAACCAGCACCCTCCTCTCCTCCCTCACCTCCCCCCCATCCCCTCCCCCCTCAATCTCCGTCCCTTCCTCATACCCACTCTACGCACACCTACAAGACCGGGGGTACTTCATGATGCCCGGCCTACGCTTCGGGTGCGACTACAACGTGTACCCAGGCGACCCGTTGCGTTTCCACAGCCACTTCCAAGCGACTTCCCACAACTGGGACGACGAGATCGCCGTTCTGGATATCGTGGCTGGTGGACGGCTGGGCACGAATGTGAAGAAGGGGTATCTTATCGGGGGGTCTGTAGGGGGTAGCGATGAGGATGGAGATAAGGGGTTGAGTGGAGTAGGGGAAGATGGGGAAGGGAAGGTTGGTGTGAAGAGTGTAGATGGGAGTTGGAATGCAAATCCGAATCCCAATGCGCCTGAAGTACGGGCTTTTACTATAGAGTGGGCTGCTATGTAGATGGGGATGAATACATGCAAAGTTTTCGTGCTTATGAAGCTATTCACTATTGCAACTATTGCTGTGATTATAGTTTAGACGTCAATCACACATAAGACATCTTAACCGGAAATTTAAGTGCATTCAACCCCTTTCGAACAGGAGACCCGAGTAAGTGCCTACGTAAAGTGCATAGAAGTCGTTTAATTCCGTGCTAGCAGTACATGCTGTATCCCCGATCCAGCCACGCCAGAAAAAAGGATGGAATAAACCCCCCGCCTCACCTCAGTACCTTCCTGCACCACACCACCCGCCTTCACCACAGCAGTACCCGCGTTTTCTCATGTAATTGATCCATGTTTCGTATTCCTAATCTTACATCTCATATTCGATCTTCGACCGAAGAAAAAAAGAGAAAAACCATGGAATGAGAGAAGAAGTGTGTATCGAAGCGGTTGGCCTGATAATGCAAATATAAAGCAAAAAACATAATACTCCCCAGCGCCGGCTCCATGAATCGAGTTCGTCCATCATGTGTACGTAACCTCGAAGAAGAAAAGGAGATGCTGTTCAATGCCGATAGACGATAGATGTAAAAGGAAGGGAGAAAAAAAAAGGGTACCTCGACCCAAGTAACAAAGCTGAACCGGGGTAAAATGTGTACAAAGAAAGAAGGATGTGATTCGATTCGACTAATCCTCATCGCACCTACGTCCACCAAACCATCAAGGCACGTAGATCCGGCTGAAACTCACAACCTCCCGTCTACAACATACACACTTGTCGAAATTGTTCATGGCTAGAGTGACGCGGCACTCGTCGCACAAGCTGAGACAGCGGCACGGCCAGACGATGACCTTGCGAGGCGCAGAATGACACACCACGCACTGAGGACCGCCCCTACCATCGTCCTCGTCATTGGCTTTGGTGGTATTCTGATTGCGTCGATCGCGTCGTTCCCGGGCGGCTTCGGTACGTCGTGTTATGATGAGGTCCTCTAAAAGCTCGGCCTCCTCTTCATCCGACAGCTTGTTTCTAGTATTTGAGCCGTGAGGGTCGAGGAGTAGGCGTCCGCGCTGATTCTGCTGCATGCGTGCATATTGAGAACGCGTTACTATACGGTCAGACATCAAATGTGCGGCAAGTGCATGCGCTTCGCGGCGCTCCTCCGGACTTGTAGGACGTAGGAGTCTAGCGAGATCATCCATGGCAAAGGGTTGGTCGAAGGGGGTTGACTCCCGCGAGATCGAAAGCTGCCGAGACGCTTGGGTAGGCGTCCTCTGGCCATCGCCGTCTTCGTATTCGCTTTCGTCCACCCACTGATCCTGCTCGTCACTGTCTCCAATGACACTGTGGATCATACTTGTCGTATCCCATTTATCGTCACCTTCATCCGGCTCCCAGTCGCCGCTCGTATCAACAGAACCCCACAGATCTCCAAATTTCCAAGACGAGTACAGCCTCGAATCTATCTCTGAGTCTGGCAAGTTGGCTGTCTCGGGGTGTCTTCTAAGACGCCTCCGTACCTCAGCTTCCACGTCAGCAGTCTCATCATTATAGAATCTGCCACTCCTCCCATTTCTACCGAGAAGTGAGGGTCGCCGATCGCCAGCAGGTTGCGCTTCGTCTCTCTTGTCTTTCTTCTGCGCACCAGACAGCCAGAGCAGGAGTTGTGGTTGGATTCTTACTCCGATACGTGACAATGCCTTCAGGAAAAGAAGCGCAGCCCATCGCAGCAGAAGCTTGTTGATTTTCAACATGAATTCCAAGGCTAGAAGCCAACGCGAACTACGTTCCGAGGCACCGACACCGTCTCTTGCTCGCTTCTCCCCCATGCGCGTCTTGGGTATTTTCTGCGCTGCTCGCTCTCGCGCGTATCCGCTTGAGGCCCCAAGCTGCCCGTCCTTGATTGGGATCATCCCTATAGTCCCAACAGAATCATACCGCGTGGCACCTAGTCCCGAGCCAGCCCATTGCATACGTAACGATTCGAGTTCCTTAAGTCTTTCATCTTCAAGCCACGTACGATTCTTTAAGTTAATATCATGATCCTCATTCAAATAGACGGCTTCGCTTGCCATCGTTATGACACCGAAGCCCGTCCTGAGCAACGCCGTATAGAAGTCCATTTCCCGAGAGATACGAATGTCAGAGAGCGAGATGTTAGCTTGCATATTTTCATGTGCAAGTGCCAGCCTTTCCCGGAACGTCAATTGTCGCCCTGCAGCACCTAACCGATCCGGAGGCTGCAGGGCCGAAAGGAATAGAGCGACAGCATAGATGCTGAAGCAAATGAGTGTACCACAGAAGACCATGACATGAGGTATGAAACCTATAATACAGACTGTAGGAAATTTAAAGAGGCCCATGTTGGATGGGCTGTCGAGTGAAAAGTCCAGTGCTTCTATGACGATGCTTCCCATGAAACACATCGCCCAGAAGCCTGTACTGACAAGTCGAAACTTACTCTGAAGATTGAAGACGCCCAAGACATGGCTGGTGATATGGCTCATAGCGGAGAGGAAAGCTACCAACAGTACTTCAGGGGGGGTGTTGACCCGTCTCATAATCATAGATCTAGAAATAGCAATGCTGGCCCCCGAGGCGTGCTGGTACGTCACATTGGAAGGACCACCACTCGAAAACAAACCCCAGCCAAGTTGGTTACTAATAGCAGCGTCTGCTTCGGCGAATGCTAACGAGTGTTCAAAAAGTGTCATTCCAGTTTCGACAGCGACCTGGCGGCCTTGTACTGCACAAGAAACGGTCTCCAAGAAATGACTTGCACATAATGTCCCAAAAAGCGGCCATAGTAGAGACAAGGAGCCCCGCAGCTCGTCTGAATAGTCGAGAGTGCTTGGGGGTACCATTTGAACAGCACGGCAGCTGTCATAGTCGGTGGCACCTAAGAGCAAAACCGTGCTGAGTCCATGTAGATATGTTGAAGGTTGGGCGAACATGAGATCGGATGTCTTGCTCGAATTACCCCAGCGCAACTCGGCGAAATCGGGCGACGTCTGGCATTTTATGGATTGTAGAAGTAGTCGAGCTTGGTATGAGAAGAAAATAATAGGTAAGATTCGGAGGAAGAGTCGTATAGGCCATGTCAGAAATAGTCTTCTTCGTGAGGCTGCGAAGATGTGTGTGCGGTTAAGGATGATGGCCTAGGGTAATATTGGGCGTCAGCACAGCTTCTATATTTCCGATACCTACTAGGTACCTAGGTAGGTATGTTGAAAGACGCGGCAATGAAAAGCAAACTGACCATAGCAACGCAACACAGTGCCCATTTACTAGTGGCATAGCTGAAAACGCTCCCCAGACCTTTAGTACCATCGCTCGAGAATTTGGAGACCAAGACGGCGGGGTCCTGATCTTCATTCTCCAACACATCCACTACATTTGCGGCGGCTTCGGATACTTGGGTCAGCATTTCGGTCGCGGTTGTGGTGGCAGCTATGAAGTATTCGGATGAAGTTGGGTCGGCTATGACTCGTTGCCCGAAGCCATCAACAGCATCTGGGAGGGATAAGATGCCAAGCTTGGTAAGCATCCTAGGTCCGGCCAGAATAAGGTCCTCGATCGAAGGAGCGAATCTGGTGACGTTATTAACAGAATCCTTAAGGTGTTGTACCGTCCAAGAAGTGAATGGCCACACGCTCGAATTATCGAAGACCGTAGGTGAAGGTGCGGCCGTTGCGCCTGGCGATGCCATTCCTTGGAGAATGGAAACTGGAGACTGAGGACTGGACAGACTGGAGACCTGGGGAATGAGGTCGACCAATGGCTCCGAGCCGGCCGGAGTGGGATCTGAGTAGCTTCCAATCAGAAACTACAGCAATTAGATCATTCAGAAACCCCGAAACATTGGGATTAACCAATACATATTCATGAAGAACGTTTAAAGATTTCCCGTCACGAGAGTTGTTGAGATTTGGTTGTATGCGAAAAGAATCGGATTATCTAAGAAATGATGTACAGTACATTAATTAGGTTGCTATCCAAGGACCAAGGGTTTCGGAAGTTTCGATAAGGTTCAAGGTTCGCGATCATCGCCCAAAGCACTTGCCAAGCCGAGCCCGTCATTGTAGGTATCCACTTTAACCCACCCTACCAATTCCTCTAGGCACCTGGGCAACTGTTAGGTTACCTGACAGTTGGACGCATATCATAAGGGAAGATGATCCCACGTTAGCGTGATGGTATCATATTCTAGAATCGAGTTCCAAGATTCCTATCGATTTAGTGTCCATGTGGGAAATATTCTACCAAATTCAATTCGTTCATGGTGTTTTCTCGGGTATGTTTATTATTATCTATCACATCTAATGGTCAAGTTCGCGAAAAGAACGCGCTAAGTTAGAGGTTTAGTCTTAGAGCAGAATGTTCACAAGACGTGTCGGAACGCAAGCGCATTGGCTACTGCTCACGACAATGACCATGATCGATCTTGCGATTCCACCAACCAATACTACATGCAATTACATGCAGATGCATCATGACCATACCCAGTGGGTTATGCCTGCTAGCTTCTTCCTGTGTTGCTGTATGTCACGACTTTGAGTCCTTTTCATATATCCATCCAACATTATTGGTCTGTTACACCCTAGGCATTAAACCTAGCATTGCCTCGTCATGTATACGAATATCGTGAGAATCGAGGCCTCAACGTAAATGACTCACATTTTCAGGAAGCCATCATCCGAGTTCAATATCGTCCCCACCCAGTTAAGCTATTGTATGAGAATTCCTCCTGGTATTCTCAAAATTGGTGAAATGGAACCATGCCCCTTGTTTAAGTAGAGATCCGTGGATGGCTTGTTAAGTTCAAGATGGATTTTGCGAATTTTGTCCTTGAACGGTTTCGTTAAGAGCCTGGACGAGAACGCGATTTGCGCTTCGACATGCCACGAGACTCCGCTCAACCATTTTCTGATAGACCATAGCGTCTGGGGATGGCAACTGACCCTTGAACCAAATATTGGTTACTTCGTCCCTCGTAGGTAGATATGCAACACAGCACGCCGCGAAAACCTTATGATATGCAGCAACATCTGGATCGAGGACGATGCTGGGTTCGCTTTTCGAGTCCTTAGCTACTATTGCCGCAACGCCTCCCGCTACAGTATCTACGCAGTCGATACCGGCATCCGCGATAGCTGCTGAAGCAACGGTTATACAACCGCTTAGAACATTCATCATATCCCAGCCTTCGTCTCTATCGTATTCGAGGGAGTCGCGGTTCTGATCGCCCTCAATTATAGTTACGACAATATCAACACCACTCTTGGGCCAACGATCTGCGATGATTGCGCCTCGTAATGCTGTCTCCAAATGTACTCCAAGATCTCTTTCGCTCGAATCGCGTAGATAGCCTCGTCTTTGCCTCGTTGCGAACGGCGCATACTTGACATGGGTAGAGAGGATGATATGAGGAGAGAAAGGCGCTGATCGCGGAAGGGCTCGTGGACCATGGATAGTGCAGGTGAGCTTTAAGCTCGTACCTGATGGGCGGTTCGCAGCTGGATCTTCGACTTCGAGATACGCCGACCCGGAAGCTGAGGGAGTAACACCAGTCTTTAAAACTGTATGCGATTTGAATCAGTTAATGAAAACGAAAGACGTAGTTAAAAAGGAAAGATACTTACAGATCTTTCGGACGGCATTGTCGCCTGAACGTGCCACAACTCTCTTTCCTTGAGGAGTATCGTATACAGGAGGGGAGGTTGTGCCAACCGGGCCATTGATTCGCCTCCGATCAGACATGGTGGTTGAGTCCTAAAACGATTGATTGCTTAGAAGCTTGATATGTTGCACTTGCACTTGCTTGTAGAAGCTCACCTGGGCAATTATTCTGAAAATTCCAAGCAATGGAAAAGTTGCCCCACTATCATATCCACTAGCCCCGCTAATCCAAACACCCTAGCACGCTGTTAGGTAGCTCAAGCACAGACCATGCCGGTTGCAAATTTGCCGTCCTCCGAAGATTTTCTCTACATCTCGTCAATTTTAGAAAACAAAAATTCTTTCCTCCCTCAATTCTGTACATGGTTCCCTATTACGTCGAAAGTCGTAAATGGCAGCCAGGGAAATATGTACTGGCTTCCTTGACATAGAACATTCTTATTCCTTTTAGGAATAATAGAATTTCTTGACGCTACTCAGGTAGGCTAGAGTACGAGTCTGATTATGTTGAAATTTGAACGCCGAATTTACTCGGGTTGGCTTTGGGCAAATATTTTGGTGAGTTACCCTCTTCAATCCTTCCATATCCTCAGCACGCCTCGTCCCCTCGTAGGTTTCCTTGCTACTGATGATCTCATAACCACTGTTCCTCGCGATCACCTGAGCGGAATGAACAACATGCACTACCATCTGAAGCATGAACCGTCTATTGATATTGCCATTATCATTCGTGGTTCTCTGGCTAATACTCTTACTAGGAATATATTCACAAACGTTTTCCATGCTTAACAACGATCGCAACCAGGAGTTCCTAGATAATGTGAGTAGGCTCCCATTCTCCTTCTCAATCTCGTTACTGTCCATGATGAAACATTTTTATCAGTTCTGCTTCTGAAGCACTGTGAAGATACCCATATACCAAAAAACATATTCTGATCGTACATGTTACCTATACTCTCGTCTCACGAATATCTGGCACGAGTTTACAAAGCTAACAGACAAAAAGTACAGTGATCAATGCATCCCATCTCCTAGATGAAGGCCCACGACTGAAATACGTGAAGTGTAAGTTGATACACTTCCTTTGCCCACCTAGTACCTCCTTACACATTATCATGATGAAAACTGTTTATCCATTCAACTATCTCACAGCGGGTCGAGCCACCCTCCCACACTGTAGCTTCTCTTTGAGTATGTGATGATCAGTTGTGGAGTTGTTTCCGATAGCCCTAGTTTTTACTGGGCTTGTCAGAGTTGTTATGATGGCTTCCGTTGTTTTTTATCTTCATTTCTCGTCTTGAGGGGTGAAGGTAGAAGGCCGACTTGCGTGAATGAGTAAACTGGTTTAGCTGATGTTTTTTACACCTATTCAATCTATGCTTAAGGTCTATTTCCGATCTTTGCTAACCGATTACAACAATAGGACTTTAAACAATAACGTAAAAATTTTGTAGTCTTCCATTAGGAGACGGTAAGGAGTCTATTGTAAATTGTGGCGTGAGATGCTTCGTTTGCCAAGCCTACCTAGATAAAATACAGTGTTTTCATATAGAGTCCTATGTTTTCTTGTGCATAATACCAGCACCTGCTTGGTGGTTGGGGAAAACGAGGGTATCAGCTACCACCACGTTTTCCCGTCGTCCAGCAACAAATACAACCACTTCAGCAATGTCATCAGGCGTCAAAGGGTCATAACCACTAAAGCCAATTAGCAAGTTTTAAGCATCTAAGCAAACCGGGCCACTTACGCATAGACAGCATCAGCTTTGGACTTATCACCGTAGAATCGGACAACGGAGAACTCCTAATAGACCGCATTAGCTCCAGAGATCCTACAAACACCATCATCGGTAGAAAGATGGGATCAACGTACTGTCTCAACCTGACCGGGGTCGATCTCAAGGACGCGAACCCGCGAGGAGATGAGCTCTTTGCGCAGGGACTCGGAGAAGCTACGGACAGCCGCCTTGGTGGCACAGTAGATACCACCGCCTGGGTACGGCTCGCGGCCGGCGATACTGCCAATGTTGATAATGTCGCCGCGACCACCATCAGGGCGCGCAAGGTAGGTGGGTAGAACGGCCTGGGTCATGTTGATCAGACCGGTCACATTGGTCGCAAACATAACGTTGATGTCGGCCTCGGCGATCTCTGGGGCGCGAGCTACGCCTTTGACGAGACCACTTTTGGGGTTCGTTAGTTAGGATCTTATCTACACTTCTCTGCAAGGCGATTCTGAAAACCAGATAAGAACTTACGCATTATTCACCAACACATCGATATCGCGGAACTCCACCGGCAACCCCGCCACGAAGCCACGGACTTCCTCGGGAACGCTCACGTCGAGCTTCACAGGCAAGACCTTTACGCCGTCGCCGACCTCCTTTACGATGTCTTCCGCGACCTGCCGCAAAGTGTCCACACGCCGCGCTGTGAGCACCAGCTTCAGGTTCTTGGGCGCAGTCCGCGCGAACTCGAATGCGACGCTACGACCAATTCCCGACGAAGCTCCTGTGATCACGATGGTCTTGCCCTCGAGGCGCTTCGCTACGGCCGACGACATGGCTCTTCTCCTTATAGTATCGAAGCCGTTATTAATATTAAGTCGTCTAAGTGATTGTGTAAGAGTAGTCCTGGGATACGCTGATGAGAGGACGAAGTGCCGGACTGTGGAGAGACCGGTGCGCAAGATGGGCATAAGGTGATCTTGAGATATTTACTCCGATAAAAATTGAGTATTAGACAAGGCAGGGTTTTATGAGATTCTTTGAGTTGAGTCACTTTAGTAATAGGGATACTACATGTGCCTAGTCTAGGCACTTGATGTCCTATAATATCCAATGCCGAATCAGTGCGATGATGTGCTCGACCCCGCCGTAGCTATCACAAAGATGCCCCGCCGCCAACTTCCGTATCGGAACTGTTCGGTTCAGCGCTCGCCGGCTAGTTCTACGCTGAAAGGAGTCGGATTGATAAGGTTGGGGGGTTGACAATGCGATATTACGCTTCGGTGTTATTGTCAGTTCTATATGTACTAAAGGGAAGTGCAGTTTTTATAACAAGTTGCTAAACTTTAAAGTTTCCTACAGTTTGCATTCTATAGGCTTTGAGGAAAACATTCAAATGCGACGAATAAATGGTTATTTCGGTTTTCTACTCGGTTCTCAATATGCAAATACGGAATGGTGACGTAACACATACGAAAGTGCAATTATTAAAAAGATAATGCAATTGTTCACATTCCAACATTGAAGGAAAGTATCAGCAAATGCAAAAAGTGAAGATTTGATTGAGGAAGGCCCCGCCGAGGATTGAACTCAGGTCTCAGGAAATTTTGGCACGTCAAAATCCTGCGTGCTAACCACTACACTACGCGGCCTGTGACGATTCGCTTTTTATGCAAGCTTATAACTAGAGGTTATGCAGGGCATTACCTAACGGAAGTCCCCACCGGCCCCACTAGATCTGTTCTGCCAGTCTGGGAAGTCAAATTTACTTCACAATCTCGAACATCACATTGATTTTTCTAATTGTTCTTGAAATTGGGCATTGAAAGAATGATGGAAATTCGATAATGTCGAGAGATTCATGCACGCAATATTACTATAAGTAAAATGGTATACATCATATTGTCTAGGTATGTATTCTGCCTATCTGCTACATTTTGTTTTCGTTTTCATACGTCTTCATACGACGTCCTGATCATGTAACCGACCTTTCAAATTATTACAACCCCAGTGCCTTTTTTCTCAATTCTTACCTTCGAGAAACATCACCACATTCGACGGAACTACCTACTTAGTACTGAGTATGTATCAATGTGATAAAATATCAGTTAGGTACTCGCAGATATTGTATGGAGCTAATGTAAATCAACGATGCGCCATTACTGACATTGACAACCATTATCTACATGGATATAGCAGTCTATGACGAATTATAATAGGATCAATTAAGTTGACTATTGGGCATAAGATGGCGGGGCAACTGAGAGACTTCCTAAGAAGGTAATGATGAAAGAACTGATATCTAGATCGATCTGCAGATGTAACCATCTACTCGGGAAGAATCAAGTTGGAGAACGACAAAGCACCTAGGAATAACGTGAGAATGACGCATAACTGCGAATTCTATCTATTAGATGTACCAGATATGTTTAGGTTCAGGGACAAGCAGCAAACATAACGTACCTTCCTTCCCACAGGGTCGAATTTAAGTTGATGCTGTCATTGGATACATGCATTCTCTTACGGATCACCTTAAAAACACACGTCCCTAAGTATAGTATACTCTTAAAACGTTAATACAGAATAACTAAGTTCATCTTCCTAAATAATATATGCTATTCAATCATCAACCATGTCGGGTCCACTAGGAGATCTTGCTCGCTCTATAGCCTCACCTTTCCGATCGGGAAAGCATGAAACGGAATCTAGCACACCGGAAAAGGGAAAGTCAGCACAACGTACAGAAGCCAGACAGCAGGAGAAGCTTGAGAAATCCGAGCGTCGACAGCAAGAACAAGAAGAAATAGAGCAGCGTCGGCAACAAGAAGATGAGATAGCAGAGCAGGAAGAAGACGGAGAAACAAAGGCTCGTTACGGTGAAAATGTTCATCCCCACGAGCTGTGTTCTCTCGAACAGATCATCAACCTACCAGTAGGATCTGAGGTCAACTTCCGCACGAGAATACACACTCAGAGGCGATTATCACAAGCTCTGACTTTCTTATTATTCCGAAACCAGACGGACTCCGTCCAAGGTGTTCTCTCACATGCTTCGCCGCATATGATTCGATGGGTACAGCGGCTCAATCCCGAGTCACTCGTTCACGTCGTCGGCACCTTACAGAAACCGAAGGATCCCGTCACCTCTGCTACATTTTCAAATATAGAGGTCCTTGTTTATTCTATACATCTCGTCAACCCGGTCAATGATCTACCTTTCAACAACTATGAGCCGCCCGATGCACTCCGTCATCGTCTGTCTGGACGTATTGTAGATCTCCGTCACCCAAGTAACCAGGCTATTTTCCGAATTCGTTCTATGATCGTTCGAAAGTTTAGGGAGTCCTTAGAGGATCAGGGCTTCTTAGAGATCCAGACACCCAAGCTGCAACCTGCAGCGACCGAAAGTGGCTCTGAGGTCTTTAAAGTGCAATATTTCGGGAGGACAGCATTCCTCGCGCAAAGTCCCCAACTACCGAAACAGATGGTCATATCAGCCGATTTCAAAAAGGTCTATGAAGTGAGCATTTTCGCCTATTTTATCCCCTCGTGTAGATTGAATGTTAACGCTCGCTTAAAAGATTGGTCCTGTATTCCGCGCAGAGAATTCCAATACACATCGGCACTTGACTGAATACACCGGATTAGACATCGAGATGTCTCTGAAGGAATCATATAGGGAGCTCATTGAGACAATAGACAAATTCCTCAAAGTAATTTTCACCGCAGTGCAATCTATGCCTGAACTCAAAAGTGTCCGAGAGCGATGGCCCAGTAAGGATCTTGTCTGGTTGGATGAAACTCCAATCATCCCCTTCACCGAAGGAATCCAAATGCTTAGGGATGATGGTAGAGAGGTTGAGGAAGAAGACTTATCTACACGAGATGAGATGCGTCTCGGTGAACTCGTCAAGGAGAAGTACCAAACCGACTACTACATCTTGGATAAATTCCCAGCAAACGCCAGGCCATTTTATACACATAAAGCCGAAGACCGGAAGTGGACCAACTCATTCGATATCTTTTTGCGTGGCCAGGAGATCTGTACCGGTGGGCAGCGTATACACAACGCCAAAGAGCTCCGCGTGAGTATGGCAGAATCAAAGATTAGCGAACAGGGTATGGAAGAGTATTTGAGCGCCTTCGACCTTGGGGCACCACCTCACGGCGGAGCTGGTTTGGGTCTGGAACGGATCGTAATGCTTCTCCTCGAGTTAGACGACGTGAGAAATGCTTCACTATTTCCCCGTGATCCCAAATCGCTACCGGCTCGTCCACCAAGCATTCCCCATCCAGACGCAGACACCTTAATACCACGGAAGCCGCAAGATGAACCACCCCCTATTGAAAAACTTATCGCCAATTATGGCGACGCTACCAATACATCCTGGCTCGACGACCGATTCGAAATCTGGCGCCACCCAACAGGGGCAGCCGTAGGTTTCGCCAGACAAGCCGGCAAATTCGCCATGATAGCCGGAGACCCTCTCTGCGACACGAGGCAATACCACGACGTGATCCTCGCCTTCGTTAACTTCGTACGCAAAGACCTGCGCCTCACCCCCGTCTGGATGCTCGTCTCGGAAGAAGTCCAACACATACTCGACACCAAACTAGGCTGGCGAACACTCAGCTGCGCCGAAGAACAGCGCGTCGACGCAGACCAGCACACCAACCCATCCCAAGGCCGCGAAGCCCGTCGCGTGCAGCGCGAAGGCATCACAATCAGCGAAATCGCCGACCTCGACGAAAGTTTCACGCACCGCGCCGACGCCGCCATCCGCGAATGGCAAGCCAGCCGCACGAGCAAGAGCAAACAAGTGCACCTCACCGAAATCCGGCCGTGGATCGACCGCGCCCACCGGCGCTACTTCGCGGCCTCAAAGAACGGCGCCATCCTCGCCCTCGTCGTCCTCGCCCAGCTCGCGCCCCGCCACGGCTGGCAGGTCAAATGGGCCTTCGACTTCCCCGCCGCCCCCAACGGCACCATCGAAGCGCTCGTCGAAACCGCGCTCTCCGCGCTCTCCGGCCCCGTTACCTTCGGCGCGGGGGTTTCGGACCGGCTTACGCCTCGCGCGAGACTCGGGGAGGTTAGAGCGAGGTTCTTGGCTGGGGTTTATGATGTCGTGGTGAGGAATTTGAGATTGCGGGGGAAGGCGAGGTTTAGGGAGAAGTTTGGCGTTTTGGGGGAGCAGGTGTTTATTTGTTATCCGAGGAGGGGGGTTAGGGTGGGGGATTTGTGGCTGATTGTTGGGTTTTTTGAGGGGTGAGGTGGTGGTTTGGGGAGGAGAGAGGGTATGATGGATTGGCTGTGATGGATTGGATGGCCTTTCCTTTTCTGGTCTTGAGGCTCTTAGGTCACTGTATAATTGACTGGCTTTTCAAAGCCATGTGGTTCTCTTCGAAATGGTTTAGCAGTATATACTAATACTATTTCCCGATGTATGTCGTTTATGTCCGATGTGAAGTAGAAGTCCGATACACGTTTTCGGTGTAGGTTTGCGAGAATATGAACTCATGACCGCGATAACAGAGCTAAGGATGTATGAGGTTCTAATAAGCATTTTGGTCCCGGTTTTTATTCATAGATCACAAGGTTGTTACAAGGCGGACTCGCATCCGCTCCGAGCTATACCTGATTTCGTTACGCGATCGACGAACACGTATGATGTCAATGTAATAAAAGCTTTCTCATACGCCCATCGAGCTGGCTGAATAGGTAGGGCTTCTAAGACACTTACAAATCAGGTTGCACCGACGAACCCCGAGATTCCGAACTGCTGCGTGCGAAATGCAGCAATTTACGGAATCGCGAAGGGATGTCAGCATGGTTCGGATATGATATCTGAGAGGTCGGTTTCGTGCCGTATTTCCGGGACACGCGGTTTATATGCACCATATACGGAGATCAGGGATGAGTCAGCGACTAGTTCGATCTGGAAGCCCTACACGGACCTCGCTCGGTGTCGCAGGTATGGTTTATAGGCTGGGTCATGACGTCGTGGAAAAAGACTCGTCTTTCCACGGAATAGGTTCGGAGTCTTTTACCGCGATAGCATGGTATAGGCCTCGCCGGTCGACTGGTTGTATTTCTCACCGCTGGACTTTCTGGGTAGAAGGACCGAGATACGTCGTGCCCGTCGACGGGTCTTGCTCATGTCACGATTGTGATGGCTATGTTCTGGGGTAACACACTGGGAGATGCGCTTTGATTATTGGGTGATGGACTTGGAGAGACAATCTTGTCACACCGAAAACTTCGGTGTTACTTACTGAGTATGTGGTAGGGGTTCAGTATAGTATCCACGATGATGAGGGGATTAATCATGGAAGAGGGTAGAGGAGAAAAGAGAATACTTCGAATAATGAGTTGAGGGCTTAGATATAAAGGGTATGAAAGATCTCCTTCTCTCGAATAACTTGTTCACCATATTTGAAGGGCAACAAGGACTTCCAAGTGCGCTTAAAACTGAAAATTTTCTCATTTCGTATACTTATATCAGTTTTTCTCAAAACTTTATCACCCAAGATGAAATACTTACGAAGTCTCACGGCTGCTGGGTTGCTCCATCTAGCAGTCGGCCTCCCTAGACCACAGTAAGTTACTCTGCATACTACATACGAATGTAGGCAGGTTCATAGAGAACATAATACTAAAGCATACGACAGGATGGTATACGAAGGCAACCAGGGAAACGTCGGCGGCGTTGACCCGCCAATTCCCACCTACACCGGCGCCCCCGTAGGTGACCTACGCGGGTCAACGAATTTGCAAGGCGGCATCGCATCGCGTCCGCCAGTTGACGGAGGTGATTCGGCCGTTGTACAGGATCCGGAACTAGTTGGCGGCCAAGAAGCCGACGCCGGCCTTGGCCTGTACTTAGATTTCAACAGTGCTACTTACCCCAACGGCCCTCAACCCATCCGCGGTGGTAAGGGAGGGACCGATCCGGGTCCGCGAACGTACGAGTACGAGAAGCTGAACCCGGACACATACGCTCCGCCCTCGACGGACTTGGGAACTGTGCCCCAGGCCATGTGGCCTCTAGGTTTGAGCCACAACCTATTCGGTTCAGGCGAGGAATCTGGCTGGGCTCGGCAGCAGAACCAGGATGTCCTTCCTGTCGCTAGTGCGATGGCGGGTGTCGACATGCGTCTTGCGCCGAATGCATACCGTGAGCTGCATTGGCATACTTCTGGTGAATGGTAAGAACTTGCTCAATGTTTTAAGCGGATATACGCTGGGGTAATTATTCCAGAAAAGCTAACAGATGGACCCGTGAACAGGGCTTTGGTATTAAAGGGTTCAGTCCGCGTCGCGGCTATCGACACAGACGGAGCGTCTTTCGTCGACGATGTCACGGCAGGAGACGTATGGTTCTTCCCGCAGGGCGTCCCTCACAGTCTGCAAGCCTTACACGAAGGTGCTGAGTTCCTGTTGATATTCGACAGCGGTACTTTCTCCGAGACCGACACGTTCCTCGCTACCGAGATGCTTATGCGCACTCCCATCTCCGTCTGGGCCAAGGATCTGCAGACTGACGTTAGCTCGTTCGATGACATCCCCGATGCGGAAAAATATGTTAGTAGTCTTCTTTTTCGGTGGATGTATTACGTATGGTTGCTAAAAAGGACCCTAGATTTTCAATGGCACTCCCGCCCCGGCCAATATCACGGAGCAGAACATCACGTCTTCGGCCGGCGCCTTGTGGGGACCCACGGGATACACGTATCACTGGTCGCAACAACAACCCCACAATACGACCGGCGGATCCGTCAAAATCCTCGACCCGCTCACCTTCCCGGTAGCGGATATGTTCTCCGCAGCTCTCGTTGTCCTGGAACCTGGTGCACTGCGGGAAGTGCACTGGCACACAGAGAGCGACGAGTGGTCGTACTTCCTGCAGGGGTCGGCGCGCATCACGGTATACGCTGCGCCCGCCTCATCACAGACCTTCGACTTTACCGCCGGCGACGTCGGGTACATCCAAAAGTCGAACGGGCACTACATCGAGAACACGGGGACCGAGGACGTCATCTTTCTCGAAGTTTTGCAGGCCAAGAAATTTTCTGATATCAGCGCCGCCCAGTGGCTCGCTTTGACACCTAGACAGGTTGTCAAAGACACCTTGAATCTGTCGGATGAGGTGCTCGATGCTATACCCAAGGAGAAGACGCTGCTCAAGCCGGGTAACCCGAATATGACTGCTATCGCTGGTGGCGGCCAGAATTTTTAGATGGGCGGATTGATCGAGCCGTGCGATGAGAAATGAACTTCTAGGGAGAGTTGGCAAGGTTTAATGAATAGTTAGGTAACAATTAGACGTTGGAAAGGGTGAGGATTATTGTCATATAGAGCTTGGGATTTTTATGATGTCTTGTTAGCGTTGTCCGCCTCTTTAATTCGTAAACTATTTACTTCGACAATTCCTTGGGATGAGTGAGATAATGGAAATTGGGTTAGGTGACTTCCAAGTCGTATTCCGCCTATCCACTGCCGCCTATCGCTTCTCGCTACAATGAGATCGCATATGTAGGTACCTAACCACGCTAATAACCCGCCACCTTGAGAACATCCAGCGCTTGATTTAAACGCTAGCCCTGAATCTTGCCGAATAATCCAGCCAAAGTCGCGAACTTTATAGCGAGCGTTTGGATAGGATACGTGGCCAAATTCCATGTTTCCGGACTCCAGGTAGTGGTGTCAAATACGGCATCCCATCCGCGAGGGTCGCTTTCTGCGATGGTCGCGAAGAGGCCGGCCCAGTGGGTGAAGTCGGCTACTATCAAGATACCAATGTGTAGTTGTACGAGACGCTTGTTGGGCGGTGATGCTAGTAAAATGATAAGACCATATAACATCATGTTAAATAAGTAACCATCAGCCATCAACGGCATAAATAAGGTTGGGATAGGTAGGCCCTTTGCAGTATTAGAGGCAAGCTCGAGCATCGGGATCCGTGAGGCGTAATTTAAAACCATCCCGTAGGTTCTGTATGAGTTAGTTGGTTAGTTAGCCGTAAACACCACGTAGACGTGAACAAGTAGAAACATACATTGCCACCGGTTCTAAATACAAGAAGAAGATGCGAGGTATAATTGGCAATAGAGACGCATTAGTTGCCATTTTGTCTGGTCTTCCGATTTATCTTTCTTTCGAGTAATAGTCAACGGTGATATTCCTTTAGCTTAGAATATTAATGCGCAGTTGATTCGGTAAATATGGCTGGCGCTTAATAAGCGAGCTTCTCTAGCAAAGGTATCTTGTTGGAGATATGGGATTGAAAGAGAGTTGGAGGACACGACTGAAGTTTTTATACGCTCGAGTGGCCGTGACAGTTACTAATCGAATCCGAGAAAGTACCAACAACCGTCATCACATAGCCCCATGGGATCGTAAAGATTCATTAGCATCGCGGTTGTAGATCGTGTCCGAGCCCCGCATTCACGATCCAGTCGCGCACTCAGGTGACTGTAACTCATTGGTCGCTATCAAGGACTTCGGTGATCATAGCTGTCCGAGGTGATTAGTTCTCATGCATCGTCTGCGGCACAGCGTACCGAGGTTTCGACTCCAGATGCTATTGAGAATGAAAAAAATACAATCTGAGGCCTATGAAGACCCTGCCAATGCGAAGGCTTCTTTTTTTTCTCGAATTCTTTTCCCCGTGAATTACTCCATGTATATCTTTTGGAAGCTAGGATGATTGTCTATGCTAGCCAATATTCTCCTGGTCAAGAATGGAGTATGGATTGGTAGAAACCGGCTTCTTAACTTTGATAATCTTCTTTTTCTTTTCTCGCTCCTTCTTTTCCGTCATCTTTTTCCTGATGCATCTTAATGCATCTAATTTACCCTTAGGGACTCCAGCAATATCTGCGGTTATTGCGAGCCCTCCTATCTGATCAAATTCTATTAATGTATCAGACATATTCTCAATCGTAGGCCACTCTGTGATGAGAGGAAGCGATGCGAGACAATTGTGTAATTGTTGTACCGGTGCTGGAAGATCTTGATCCATGGCGAAAACGACATCTAAGATTTGCTTCATTATCCTTAGCGAGTATAAGTGGCCGTGGACTTGGGCGGTAAAATGTATTAGATCCCATGAATATGTGTTGGGTTGACTGGTGGCCGATCTAACGAGAGTGGCGGAGGTAATTTTGCTCTTTTCTGATGTAGAGAGCCGGATATCCCAATACACTGCAAATGCTAACCACTGCATATGTGAAGTGGATGAGAAACTCTCGTTTAGCTTTTCCAAAAGTGCTACTAGTTGAACACAGTCGGCAACTATCTCTTCTTGGTCGGGAATACGGATTCGTCGTCCTGTTTGTGATACTAATGAGTCTAGCGTACGGTATTCGATGATCCACTCGGCCCTTCGACGAGCAAAAGTCTGGAGAAAGCTGTACGCAAGTTGGCGGACATCCGTGCTCTGGGTCCATGCACTCAAGCTGTTGCGATTTTCAATGAGGACGGGTAGAAACATAGAGAGCGTTTCTGGCCCTCGCAATGCCTTCTTTTCTGACGTCGTAGACTTTGACTCCCCTAAAAGCAAAGTCTGAATAACCACCTCCGATATTCTGGGGTCTAGATTAGAGAGTGGACTGAGTACTGGGTGGTGACTTGGGACGTAATGCTTCATCTCCAGTTCTTCCATGAAGCTTCTATATGCTGGGGAGTTCAGGGTATCTTCGCGATCCTGTTTAGCATTCTGTACAGCTATGTCGAAATCTATGTCTCCCCATGGTCTATCTGACCTCTGCATTTCAAAGGCGACGCGGGGGAGACCGCCTAAATTTTCTATACCCAATTGGCGATTGATATGGTGAAGTGACATTTTCTGTGCTTTTACAACGGTCTTGGCGCCTTCTACAATAGTCCAAAAGAACACCACGTTCCCCTCAAGCCCAAGATCTTGTACGAGCAAGTCAGAATCAGATGTTATTAGAGTGCCACCATTCTCGCGAACATCTTGAGCACAGAACATATCGGCTTCGCCGGGGACGACTTTGACTAGGGGACCCCAATCTTGGTCGTGCCTCAAAGCCTCCAGGACTGCTGGAATTAGGAAAGGGGGTTTACGCGTAGTATTTTTAAAAGTGACGTCGCTTGTCAAGTGTAAACCGCCTTGCACGTGCCAATGCGGATTTCCTGGGGGTTTAGCCGATCCTGTTGGATAAGAAGATATCATAGCCCTCATAGCTCGGGATTGCCGTAGAAGTCTGGTTTTCCTCACCTCCCATTTGCTTGGAGGCAAGTACCCGTCAAAATAGATTCTTCTACTATTGACAAAGAATTAGTCACTGGATTGAATGAGCAATTAAGCGTAGAAACTGCTTACACGTTAACATTGTGAGATTTAAGCTCATTGAGCCAACATATGACCATACGATTGAGGGTGGCGTATGGAGGAAGAGCTGCAAATCCACTTGAGGGTGGTCGATACCGCATACAATATTCGGAGATCCGATGGACAAGAGCGGGTCCGTCAATGACGATGTCGCTGTTTAATGGCAAGAGAATTCCATATCGTGATACTGCAGCACTGAAGCCACGAATTCCCATCGCGATGTAACTCAGCCAATTTACGATATTTCAAAGTACGTGAGGTATGTTCAATGTGAGACTGTGCGTGCCTTTTCGTTTTTTGTTTGTATATCACGATATTATCGATTACGCTCCATCGTGTGTGTGCGGAATAAAATAATACACATGCAGACATGTAACGTGAGGCTGCAGAGATAGAAATATTTAATGTTAAGTACATGTACATACTCAACCCCGTATGTGGAGGTAAATTTCCACACAGAAAATCTTTTATCCAATTAGAAAGAGGGAATTGTATCCGCTTCTTTACAAAATTTAGCCTAGTGCCTAAACCCATGCGGCGCCTCCCGAGAGAAGAGCGAATCACTGAAGAATATGAAAGCCATAAACGCATAGGAAAGCACGGGTGACCACGGCCACCAAAGCCGTATGATGTAAATTTATAGTTTGTAAATATACTTGCTCGCCGGAACAATTGGTATCCCATGCCTTAGACGCTCCGATCAATTGGTCCATGCTCTTTTCTTATCGGTCCTTGCCTATGCCCCACATAAAATCATCATCCTTCACTCTTCCACCAAATCTTTTCTTCTTTTTTCATCAATCACAGGATGCGAGGAACGTTGGTATTCTCGGGCTCGTCATGCCCAGCTCTCACCGGCAAAATATGTGAGAACCTGGGCATGGCTCCGGCTGAGGCTGACCTATCTCAGTTTTCAAATGTGTGTTATCCTTCCCCAATGCTTCGCCTCTCAATGGGTAGAGAAAAGCAGACTTAGGCTTGGGTAAAGTCGTGATCGCAAGCCGCCCACTGACTTCTTTTATTTACAATTTGCAGGGCGAAACAAGCGTCCGAATTCTGACCAGTGTTCGAGACAAGGATGTCTTCGTTGTGCAATCCGGAAGCCCTACCATCAATGATACTATCATGGAATTGCTCATCATGATCTCCGCTTGCAAAGGTGGTTCTGCGAATAAGATTACCGGTGAGTTTTTGAAAGCTACAGAGAAAAAATTTTCAACCTTGAACCATAGCTAGACTTGGTCGAGGAGTTCCTACGTGCTAACTATACAATCCTTTGCCCAGCCGTTCTTCCATATTTCCCATACAGTCGGCAATCTAAAAAGAAGTCTCATCGGGGCGCCATTACCGCTCGAATGCTAGCGAATTTGCTTAACGTGGCTGGCGTTAAGCATGTCATCACTGTCGATCTACATGCTTCTCAGATGCAGGGATTCTTCAAGTGTCCCGTCGACAACCTTCACGCCGAGCCCCTCATAGCACGTTGGATTCGATTGAACATCCCCAATTGGAAGGAAGCTGTTGTTGTATCCAAGAATGCCGGCGGTACCAAGAGAGTAACATCGTTGGCCGATGCATTGAAACTCAACTTTGGCTTGGTTACTACAGATCGCAAGCGCGCTCCTAATATGTCTGCGAGTATGATCATGAACCAGCTTGACGGGTGGGATAATCCTCCTGGTTATGTTAATGGCGTCCAGCGTTCAAGAGCTATCTCAGAAGACAGAGACTCGGATTGGAACGGTTCGACTAGGTCATCACGGGTTGTGGGCGACTCTCAAGGGTCTCCTAAGCGTGCTAATGCGCCGCCGCTACGGACTAACAGTCTTACGCGATCACCGTATACGCGCGCTTATACACCTTCTCAGACGTCTCCCATCGAGGAGTTAAAAGACGAGGAAGAAAACGTTGATGAGGCGCTGGTTTATAATGACGCACGCGCCCAAGAGGTGACACAAGGAAGACTTGTTCAAGGCCATGTTGTTGCAGACGATTTCCAATCGCCATCCCAGTCAGATGGCGGCGGGAGTCAATCCTACCAAGGCGGTGATGACGACCCCATGGCCATGTCCCACGCCTCTTCTTTCTTCGCTCCCGAACCACATGCTCTTGGCGGCTCCGGTGACGCTGAAGGGTCGTCAGACGAAGAGGAAGAAAAACTTCGAGATCCCAAAGTCGAGCACATGATCACGCTAGTTGGCAATGTTAAGGACCGCCCGGTCTTAATCGTGGACGACATGATTGATAAGGCTGGTTCGTGGATTGCCGCAGCTGAGACTGTCGTTAAGCGAGGCAAAGCGAAGAAGGTGTATTGTATGGCCACACATGGAGTGTTCGGAGCAGACTGCCTCGAGCAAATGCAAGCTTGCGACTGCATCGACCAGATCATTGTGACCAACAGCTTCCCAATTCCCGATAGGAGAGCGAAGAACGCGAGTAAGTTGGTCATCTTAGACCTTTCCTATCTACTCTCCGAGGCGATCCGAAGAAACCATTATGGCGAATCCATCTCGCCCCTATTCCAACATATTGCGGATTAGACAGTCCTGGAATGTTATGATTATTACGATTAGACTGCCATTACTCGCAGTAGTGTACGATTCATGAAAACGAGAGGTGAGGCTGCGGGTATTTGGTACGGCGTATAGGAGGAGGCGGAATAAGGCTTTATTATGGCTTTTTGGAATCACGGCTAGCGTTACGGGACTAAATCAGATACCACGTTAAGATTGTCGCAACAGGTATGTTTTTTGAACTGGAGTTTCGCGTGATTTATGCCCGTATCATGAATCCATTCCCCTACACATACATACACACACACTTCCCCAACGGTGCTATCTTCGGATGGCCTGGGCTTATATGTCCCTCTAGGACAAGTCCTGAACGGAACGTTGGCAGATCAAACCATCCCTTAGGGGTACTTCGATGCTAGAAGGCCAGTCATTCAGATTATTACTATCACGTCCTTCATGGATGATGAATGTCAGGCAAGAGAAAACTTCGTACAGTCCATAATGTCAATTAAACTACAATTTAATTCCATCCCGGTTGCAATTGCAGCTGCATCTATGTTCGTGACCCTTTATCCTATGTGGCCCTTCCTTCTAAACCTATTGTCCTAGCAAGTCGGTTGTAGCATACTAGTTGAAGTAGTGATTCGTAAGGCTAGAAGGAGACTTCAGCATCAGGTTGATTATGGGCACTCTTGTTATTGTATAGAATGCGATCGCCGAGGGTTTCCACACCACGTTCCAGGAATCTCAAGTATATACGTTCCCTGCCCTAGTTCTTACTTGCCGGACTGTCAACGGGGCTGACTCCTGGAGTCTGGGTGACGGGGTAGTACTTGACAGGCCGCCAATTGTCCGTGTGCTGCATCTCTACCTTGGCCACAGAAGTAGCTGGTCCCGCCGCGTTCTTAATAGGAGGGTTAACTCCGCCCACCTCGCGAGCCGGCTCCTTGCTCTTGGCTGTGGCCAGGTCCTTCTCTGCTTGCAGAATACGGTCGCCTAGGGCTTGGCCCACCTCTTTGAATAGGTAGTCCGTTGTTTCCTGGTCCATGATGTTGTTCGGCGATTGCTCCTTGATGTGCATGATGATGATCTTGAGGAGCTCTCGGGTTCCGGCGAGGGTCGTCTTGTAGCTGACCTCCTCGGGGTCCTCGACTTCGGGACGTTTGGGGACTGTGAGGACGGCGGCTGGGGTCGGCAATCTGCGGATGCTTGGTCCGTAGCGTACGTTGTTCGGAAACATGGCTGCTGTGAATGAGAATGGTATCGAGAGGGTTGCTGGTTTGATGGGAGGTCGTTGTGATGAGGAGTAACCGATTGTGGGTTGGATAGAGCAGGTTGAGTTTTCTAAGAGAGACAGCACGGTGACTAGATGATTTAATGGATATGTTAGTATAAACCAGACGATTAAATAGCGAGAGACGGAAAAGAGAAGAGTGCAAACCGACCTTTGCTAATGGTTCTAGCTCACGAATATCCAGACGATTGGCTCAAAATTGAGATGTAGAGTAAAGGAGCGGGAGTACGTGTGCGAAAGTTGGACGCGAAATGTGATGGTAAATAACTGTGTACTTTTTAAAGAAAAGAGAAAGAAAAAAGATATAATACAGAAATTCAGTTGTTAAGTAGGTATATATAGCAGGGCCAGAACCGAGCAGAGAACGGGGCTATCGTCAACTACAAGGTACCTACGTACAAGTCCCTAGGCTGCCAGCAAGTTTTCGAGAATACTGGTACACTTGCAGGTGCGCATGGGGCAGACAGGGGTACTTATCGTCATCGCCATTGACGTTCATGATAGTAGATTTGGAGTAGCTAATCGGTAGTGCACACAATGGAAGACCCTCAACACGTAACATTTATATTAACTTAGGGGAAACAACGCATTGGAATACTACATCTGCTGGGCTTATGTTCTTCATACTGCGCGCTTACTATAATATTAACAAGAAACCTTGGTGCCATACCCTACTTTGGTGATTTTCTACAAAATGTACTCACCGTTACTGGCTATCCCCTACATAAGTGCATCTCCGAAATATATGACTCCCTCTAGAATTTTTCCCCTTATATTCCGGCACTCTATATACCCACATTTGGTATCTATCTCCTTTAATGAATGAAACATAAAACATCCATATCTAAGCCTATCTAGCCATTAATCTATAATCAATCTATTTCTACACGTTATAAGGTCACGCCAAACTTCTATTTATGTTCTTTTTGTGCTCCGTATCTAGTATTTATCACAATGAAACGATGGAGAGCAAAACATGTCAAATACCTGTGCATATCATGTCAACTGAGAAACTTTAGGTCAGAACACCCTGATATTAGGTGATCCGCGATACAGCAAAGCTATCAAGTCAGCAATTTTGGCTGAACGACAAGCAGTAGACGAGATCCGCCGTACCGCCTCCCGACATATACTCCTTACACGTCATGAATCGTACAATATCTAACCCCAAGATGAAAAGAGTAACAGGCTCGAGTGCGTAGGTAGGTAATCCCCTAATCCATTGCCGGATCGTGGAAAATACGCGGGCCATGTATCTCCTTGAGGAGTTCCGTGAACTGCTGCTTCTCCGTCTTCTCGTTTTCTACTTTGACATCATCAAGTAGACTCTCCGTAGGCTGACCAGCTTTGCCAGCATTTCTGATAATCCTCCAAGCTCGCCGGAATTCATCTCGGATTGACACGATACCGTTATGCGTAACGGTTCGAGCGACGTTGTGCTCAAGCTCGAACGGGTCCTCTATTGCGAAGAGGTAACGGTGGCGCACTTCCTTGAATTCTTTAGGTTTCGTCATTTGACCTTGAGGCGCGGACGCGGCGTTATCCGGCGATGTGTGGCGTTCAGATCGTGCTTGAACTGCGGGTTGTCCGGTAACACCATCCAAGGATGGCTTTAGATCGACATCGACCTCTGCTTTAACTGCTAGTGGGTTGGGAGGGGCACCCATTTCCAATTGCATCACTGTCTTCGCTCCTATCCAACCTTTCTCTTGCTTCGAGAGCAATCCTCCGTGCGTTCGTAAGCTTAAGACGTCACGACCCCAATCAAATCCGCGCTTGTTAATGGTACTCATCGTGTAGTTTTGCGCGTAATATTCAAAGAACCCTCTTAATAAATATCCAAGAGACTCTCGGTTCTGGTTGAGGTGCCCTTCACGGGCCAGTCTCTGGATTTCCTGCTCATCTCTCCAGAAGCGAACGTCACGGCCTTTACAGGTAGTGATACCCTCCAGAGCTTCTGCCGGGAGATTTGGATCTGGAGGAGCGAGCTGCTGAAGATTGGGACATACGAAAGGCTCCGCAATGTTGACAAGGTAATGTAATACCATAAGAACGTAGCCATAACTGCTAAGGGTTCCTCGATACGGAGTGTTGATTCCCCGAGCTTTAGCCCAATGTTTCACAAAGAGGACCATAGGTCTAACACGAGGATCGGTGTAGGCGTAGCATCGTAAGAGCAGGGTATTCTGAAGGGCCAAGTGCGCAGAGAAGTTGATATCACACTGGACGCCGATTCCATTCTTAGGGAACTCTAGACTGTCGTGATATCTGTCTCTAGGCTGATTCGGGCCGAGCTTGGATGGATCGGAGAGCTGCTTGAGTTTCTTTACAATTGCAATTGTATCCTTGGTGGCTGGGACTATGAAGTCAAATGCATCGGCAATGCGCTTGTCAGCCTGTGGTGCTCGCTGCACAAAGTCTCCTTGGAGGATCCCAATATACTCTCGAATGATCGGAATATCTTCTTCATGATACAGACCCCTCTCGATCGCCCTTTCATAGTCAACAGCAAGGCTGATAGCCTTATGTTTTCTGGCGATTGTTCTTAATGTTTGCACTCCAGTGGATGTAGCAAAATTCTGGACCTCATCTCTTACTTGCTTATCGCGAATACCTGAGATATAATGCTGGATGATCTGGGAAAGTAGAGTCGCATTCGAGGATGATTGAGTGTAACCAAGATTCGCCGCAATCTTGTCGACCCTCGAGTGATACTGTGCGGGTGATTCGTATTGATCCTGCTTAAGTTGGATAAGTTGAACAAATGGGATCTGGCGAAGGTGTTCGAGGGCAGTGTGAAGTTCTCGATTGAACAGGAGAGGATCTGTACCAAATGATCTCTTGTTTTGAAGATTCTTCCAGGCCTGGACAGTGTTTTCGGAACTATTCTTCAACTTCAGATTGGCTCCAACGATGGTCTGTGCTTCCCAGATGGCCACGATCTTCTCGCCTTCGACCATAGTCAGGACGCCGAGAAGCGAGCGGGGATTGGATGGAATTGACTTGAAAGTGTTCTTAAAGGACGGATATGATTGTACTCGGCCCTTTAATCCCTTGTCATAGAGACCGTTGACAAATGCACCAGAAATGTCATCCATGAGCTTGAAATCTGCGGCTTTGAAGTCTATGATATTCGAAATAGTAATGTCACGGCCACTTAATCTACGTAAAAGTCGTTTGGCGTTGCCATAATAGGCCATCAAAGACTGAGTTTCTGATTGTCTTAACGAGGCAAGTTGTTCCTCGTATGTTTTCTCTACCGGATCATTCGGTTGAAAAGAATCGTCGCGCTGGTTTCTCAATGACAAGTGCTCGGCCTCAGTAGTAGCAATAGCTGCAGAATTCTCCGGTGGATCATGGTCGTCTATAGCATCATCTACTGCCTCATGGTTGTCTTCTGTCAATCCTTTCTCCCACTTGACTCGGGCCTCTAGCAAGTCTTGGTGAAGTTTTTCACTGGGCTTTTCACATAGCTTAATGATTGGGACGCGTGTACGTGTGAGAAGGCGTGCGCCGAATCCATGTTCAAGCAATGCTTTCTCAACTAAGCGTGGGATAGGAGAATCAGCTGAATCCGGGGACAAGCGCGACATAGGAGAAAGTAGGCCCAGGTCCATATCTGCTGCTTTTGTCGCAAATCCAGATGAAAGGCTCCCAAAACATTTCAGTTCAACTGTATAAGGTAGAAATACCGGGATTCCATTGACTGCAACCTCATAGGAACTGATCACATCGCGACAGATTGCTTCCACTTGAGCACGGAAATCTTCTTTCTTGACAATTTCACTAGGTTCAATCTCAGCGCCTGCAATCACTAAATGACACAGCTCGTCAAGTAGAGCAGTTTGGCTGGCGACCTGCTCTTGACTGAAAACAAATTGGCGTTGCCCGCCAGGGTTATAAAGAGCAGGCTGGGAAGGCCGACGACCACGAGATGGGAATGCATCTGGTGAGATAACGTTGGCACCTTTTGAAAAGGCGTCAGGGGGGTTTGTTTGTTGATGTCTCCAGGACGAGAGATGCTTTGGTGGAGATACTGGCGGTGCTTGACCGAACCCCCCTTGATGGCGCCGTTGTTGCGATGAGGGCGGGTTATGCGCCGATTCTTGAAACCCACCATGATATGTACTAGAATTGGGGGGAATCACGGGTTGCTCAGTATTATGCCACGTAGAGCGTTGACCCTCCTGCTGGTGATGAGATCTTCCATCGTGGGAAACAGGTGCTCTTGTATCGATGGGTATAGATAGTTGAGCTCGCATCTGACGACGTTGAGCTTGGTTAGGTCGTTTCTTACCCGCCTTGGGAGGAGCTTGCGTTGAGATAGAGGGCTCAGATGACTGCTTAGGTTTCTGCGATTCATCCTTAGAATCCTTAGGTGCACGCGTATTAGGGGAACGGCCATTGCCAAGCGGTACCGTAGGCGTAGGCGTTGGCGCATATAGTGGTTGTGGTTGTGGAGTAGTTTGATCATTATTGTTAAGAATGAGGTTGCGTAGGCGGTCCTCTAGCGGGCCGCTGCTAACTTGAGACGTCTTCATAATGTCGTATATGGAGACGGAACCTAAGGCTGATGGTAAGATTTATAGACGAGGTCGTATAAATTGGATTTAGAAATAAATCCGGAGGTTTCTCTGTATTAAACACGAAATAATCAGAGTAGAGTCTATACGGCGCGGTTGATGCACCAAACAATGCTCGTGATTATGTGAAAATATAATCTATACTCATAACGATAGATTAGTGTCGATGTTATTTAAAGAGAGTGAGGTTCCATGGTCCAAGGTGGAGAGCTGAAACCCGCGTAGAGAGAATGAGGCTAGGATGAATTTGTCTGTGATTCGTGATTATACAATAAAAGAGAGCTTTGACTGTCGAGGCCGTCCTTGATTCAGCTTGGAAGAATGATATCGTAGCTCTGTCGAAGCTTCTTCCAATGAGAATTGTGGATGATAGCGAACCCCGGAGCTGGTAATGTACATATGTAGAACCTAATGCACTAGAAACCAATTGATCGTCAATCGTATGATCTTAAAAAGACGGGATTAGATGCGATGCGATACGATGCGATACAATCGGTTATGGTAACGACGAAAGAGGCGATATTTCGTAGTAATAGTAGTGATTTAGTTTGACAAAAAGGAAGATAGAATAAACGTCAAGAAGTGATAAGGTAAAAACGAAAAGCCTTACATTCTTAAACGTCGAGAGGAATAAATGTAAATGGCAAATGGAGTGCACTTGATAACATTTCCGGGAAGATAAATTCCAAGGTTGATTGGCTGCACCGGAGAGGAATTAGAAGCATTGGATCTCTCTAAAGTTATTTATGCCAGTAAGATTCAGGACTTAGATCGGAGAATATCTACTTCTATTGGCCTGTGCGCGGTGTACAACCTCTTTTTTTATAGTACGCGTCTCAGTATATTTCCCCACCAAAGCTACCTACAGCTGCGATTACTTAAGTCTCTCTGTGACGTTATGAGTATCTAGAGCCGCCCCCCACAAGTTCCACTCTAACCCTTCCTTGGCAAAGTACGCTGAGAGCCGCTTGCTAAAGTTTCCTTCAACTTTTAAAATTGCCCATCATCAGCAATTGAAAAGCAAAAAAGTACCTAAGTACCGGATACATTTCGGTACGTACCGCTCAAAACGTGCACCTGGAATCCCGGATCGTCTGCAAAAGAAGTACTTTGTACATACCTACCTTCCCGACCCTGCACCCTGCCAGGTGCTAGGCTAACATTTGGAAAGTACCACTGGACAGTCAGCTAAATGACCTAGCAGAAAACCAACAAGGCACGCATTTGACCCACGGCTGATTCTTACTTGACTGCACGTCTTCAACTTCCATCATTTACAACTCCGTCTTTTCATTCATCCACCTTACATGTCTTTGTACTCTCTTTCTTTTATCATCCATCAGATTATACTTTCCGAAATTCACTCCAGCTTGCAATTCCTCCTCTAGGATTGCGCATATCAACAAAATAATTATTTTATTGAGCTTGGGGTTCTGAATAACCCACCCATCTGCCCGGGCGCAAGATTACCTCTCAATAAATATTCCGACATCAACTTCGCGTCACGTCTTGACCTACCATCTCCCCATCTCTCCATACATCGCATTACCCGATCTACCGATGGTCATCCTAGTCATATAACACCGTAGGCTGGTCAGCTTGGATATCTGTTGATATCTTGCGCGCCTCAGGGTCCGTAGGTGACAGATAGCCAACATTTACGTTGCCACCATGAGCGCAACACCATCCCCTGCTGGCGGCCCTAACGGCCAAAAGCCAACACCTCCTTCGGGTGCGCCGCCTCTGCGACGACCCCGTCGACCTGCCAATCCTCTTCGCCCTTTTAAGCGACCTCAGAATAAAGCACCACCTTCGAAAGTCGGTAATGGACATGCACCTAGCAGTAACACTGCACCTCGACCTGGCGGTCGGCCACAACAGAATTCAACGCAAAGTAACCAAGATCCCCAGAATTTCGAAGCTCTCCGCGCGCAGAATGGAGGATGGTCGGATCCTCCGCCACCCGGCTGCCAGGAGTATCCTCTGTTTCTTACTAAGAAGTCTTTCAAAGAAGGCATACGTTTTCATGTCATGCGGTTCGCCCCACATGGTGGCAAACTCGCACAGCCTGGTGGTCCTGGCGTTGACCCTACGAATATGGAAGAATTCACTCGACCTGTGACTTTGCATCGACGCGACCCCAGACAACCGCCTCCAGGCCGCGAGGTCAAAGAGGATACTCCTATGGAGGAGGAGAAACCCGAAGACATCGCCGAGGCCGAGAGAATTGCACAGGTAAAGGCACAGAGAGAAGCCCAGCGTGCGGCCGAGAACGCCCAGAAGGCCCCCGTCACCAAGGACCTAAATCCCAAGAAGCAGCAACAACAACAGGAGAAGACGAAGAAACAGGCTGTACAGATCCACCACGCACCACGCTCTGAGGATCAGAAGAAGCAACAGGAGATTCGTTATGAAGAGGCCCTCCCATGGCACTTGGAGGATGCTGACGGGAAGAATGTTTGGGTTGGGCAGTACGAAGGTCCCTTGTCTGATTGCAAGGTGGCATTGTTGATCCACAATAAAGGATTCCGCATGATGCCTCTGGAGAAATGGTACAAATTTGCATCGAAGCGTGGATCGTTCAAGATTATGTCTATTGAGGAAGCTGAGAAAGCTATGAACAAGAAGGTTGCTCTGGGTCGTTGGGCGGTAAGAGATAATCAGCGCCAAGAAGCTGAAAAAGCTATGGCAGAATCTCGAGCTATCGTGAACGGTCGCCCAGCGGTCAAGCTAGAGAGCGGTACATTCAGACAGGCATCGCGTCATGAGAAGATCGACCATGACGACATTGACATGTCGGGAGATGAATTCCAGGACGATGATGAAACCGCAGGATACGAGCCCGATCGTGATGAGGATACAAAAACGGCCAAGAACCGAATCCGCCGAGACCAACTTGCGGCCAACCTCTTTGGCGAGGGCGATGAGATCAAGGTTGAAAAGGAAGAAGAAGATGAGAAGAAGGAGGAGTATCAGCTGAAGCTGTTTGGCAAGTCCCTTAAGAAGGCACTGAAGCGACGTGATAAACAGTTCCAGTACGATGACAGCGATTCTGACAGGGAAAGAAATCCCTTCGCTTCCTCAGAAGTAAGGGTTCTTCGTGCTTACTAAGTTGACTAGAGCTGACAAAAAATATAGGACGAGTCTGACTCCGATGACGACAACGAGAAAGACGATGAGGATAAGAAAGCGGATAAGGATAAGGATGGAGGAAGCACATCCAAGGGAGCAAGTACCCCTCAAGGAAAGAAGGCAGCAGCTGAAGCGGCGAAGAAGGGCAAGTCTCTGAAACGACCCGGGTCTCCGATAGTTTCAGACTCCAGTGGTACCGAATCTACCCGAAAGAAGAAGAAGACTACGCATGGTAGCCGTGACGCTACTCCCCTAACGGACCGCCGCTTGAAGCCCGGCGCCGGATCTACTAGCGACGGCGAAGCTACTGCTGGTGAAATGTCAGACGGCGCTGGAGGCAAGAAGAAGCGACTCGCTCCGCCGGCTGCAGGTGGAATAGCTAGTTCTCGAGGTACCCCTGCAGGATCGCGTGCTGGTAGCCCCGTTCCGCCTCAGGGTGCTGCCGGGAAGGGCCGATCCAACTCCCCTGCCGCCCACAGTCCGTCTCAGGAGTACACCGACGTTATCACATCCCAGGAGATCATCGACGCTCTGCCTCCTCTTCCTCAAGGCGTCACTATTGGTGTGTTCATCAAGAGGTTTCAGAACCGTATTGATCGACCTGGTTGTATGCCCAAGAGAGATTGGATTCGCTTGGTTAGAACTCACACTGATTACGGCACTGACAAGCTCCTGCGCCGGAAGACCTAGTGGAGGAAATCCTCGTGAAGGGTCGCAATTACACCCTTGTGTTCGCCCACACAAGGCTTCCGTTTTCCGCACAAATGTTTGTTTTCTTATAACCAATTTCGATTTTTTCATCCATTGCCCTCCCTCCGGGTTATCCTTTCGTGGCGTCAGGCTTACCCAGGGATGTACGGGCTTGGAATCATGCGTCACATTAGACCTAGCGAGTTGCGGAAAGTGATGGAGATGCCCGCGATAATGGCGTCTACGGATAGGCACATATTCCAGAGAAACCGAGTAAAAACCAAGACGTTCTATTAGATTTTTCACGAACTGGGGCGGGTTTGCGCGTTATTACCGCTGTTTTCTGAACGAGGGTTGCCATCGGACAAAAAATGGATCATAGCCTGACTCGCAGATGACATACAATTTGCTTTACAACTGAATCTGAAAGCCTTAATTACAATGCTGGTATCTTATTATCTTTGTGATCGTGATATGCTATCTTGCGTGTAATCGTAGTCTTGTTTTCCATTAGACAACCTAATTCTTACTCGTCCATCTGCCACGAGTACTCCAACCCCTTATTCCTCTCACGCCTATTAATCGCCTTGAACCTCTCCCCCTCAAACCCATTCCCCCTATCAACCCCATCCCACCGATACCCCGGCTTAATCCCATACCGATTCGGCGTCCACGCCCCTTTATACACCGGTTTCCCCTTCATCCTCTTCTCCCCCTTCCCACTCCCCCCCCCTCCTCCACCACCTCCCCCACCGCTCCGCGGCTCTATAAACTGCGCCATGGTATCCCCCCACCGCACCGCATCCTTCATCTCCCGGTTCAAATCCAAATCATCCGCATGTCGCGCCACCGCCATCACCTTCGCATCTTCCAGCTCCTCCCTCCTCCGCCGGCTCGCCTCGATCTGCACATCCCCCCTCATCGCCTCCTTCTTCGCTTCCTCCGCCCTCGCCGCCTCCTGCGCTGCCTTGCGCAGCTCCGCCCGCTTCATCGACACGTCTACCCGCCGCCCCGTCGCGTCCCGGTAGACTGTCTCCGCTTCTTTGTGAGAGGAGGGGAAGGTGCTCCGTTCGGCTTGGCGGCGAAGGGATAGTTGCGTGGCTACTGCCGACGCGGTTTGCAGGCCTGCGTGTGTGCCGTCGGACATGAGGACTGTGGGGGCGTCGGAGGCGGAGGCGGAGGCTTGCGCGGTGCTTGCTTCGAGGGCCGCGGAGGCGAGGATTGCGTCGGCGCGTTGGGCGGAGTCTGCGTCTTCGGCTGTTGTGCTGGGTTGTTGGTTAGGGGCGGAGCCGCCGACGACTTTCCACGCGGACTTTTTGGATTTGCGGAAGTCGGTGCTGGTTCCTGCTACGACGGCGGCGTCGTCGTCGTTTTGGGCCTGTGAGGCCCGCGCCCAGTTCGATTCTTCGGACTCGTCGGCTATGACGAGACCGGATGTCGCGTCTTGTTTGCGCTTGCGCTTTTTGCTGGGTTTGGGGTCTGCGACGAGGTAGTGCGTTGCGAGGTAGTTGGATAGGTCTGATGGCATTTTGGCGGTGGATTGAAGATTCGGGGGTTTGTAGGTTGGGATGGTGTGGTTTTTTGGGTGGTGCGGGTTGGCTAGAGTATAATTGGTGTATGGCCACGCATTTATCGGAGGCTATTGATATGTGAGTTTAGGATGGAGTATTGCGATCGTCTTGTACTTTGTAAAACTTAATGGGTTGAGATGTTGAAGAAAGGCAGTTGCAGCTGTTGGAGCTTGGAACCTGGAACTTGGTAACTTTTTGGAGTTGCGATAAGAGATAACAGATATTGCAGTTAGAAAATAAACTTGATAACGGCATTTATAGCCCGCTTGCTGCATAATCTTACACTCACTTTCTTCATAATATCCAAAATTGCTTCATAACGTTTCTGCCATTTACTTCTTCTTCATTCATTCTAATTAGATATGAGGCCCATCAATGTAATTATCTTATTCAATCAATATTTACCTAGGTACCTATGATTTTACTTTTACAATACATACTTTCACCGAACATCCACACAGGTTAAACTAATACTCCCTTACACTACCAAGAGGTTCGATCCTCGCGGCGTCAATCACTTCATCATCTAAACCCGTCCTCGGGTTCTGAGCCTCATGCGAATCACTTTCTAGAGGCGGGATCTTGACTTTGCCGATATCCTCGGCCGTGCCGACTACTCCATGGCTGTCAGCATGCGGTGCCGTGTGTTGGTGTTGACCTAATACAAGACGACATGGTTAGCCAGTGGGGCCTGTGGTTACCAACTTTGGAATGACTTGATTCACCCTTTCCTCCGAGAGGCTCAATCCGTGTCTGATCTATAGTGTGACTCGAACCAACTGAACCGCGATCCGAGCCGTCATAGGGCCTGTTATGTTTGATCTCAGACTCGAGCGGCTCGATCTTGGTTTTTGAGATTTGCGCAGTACTACCAGTGCTATGAGGCGTTAGTTAAGATCTTCTTTACCTAAATATAATCACACTGATTTATGAATATTGATTATAAGTATTAAATGATATAGTAAGTATGTAGGTAGCATGGGAGCGCCTACGAAGGCATTTCGATAGTTGGCTCTTGTGACTCAATGATATAGCTGTACCCCTTAACTCGATTTTACGACTTGAATTGAGAAAGAACTCAAGAGCCTTAAATTTTCGAATTATATCGATATATTTCGATACGTATCTAGCCGTCGCCGGTCACTACGAACAGTAAAGTGTATTCTTGTGTCATGAATAGAAGCGGATGACGGAATCCTGACAACCATCAACAACACCCAGGCGATCACAACATCTCTCCAATATCCCCATTCAAGTTAGGCCTAGACAATTATAAGTGGAAACCCAGTTGATTTACCTACATATGTCCTTACAAGACGTAACTATCATATCATTTGGCACAGGCCTCTTGGACGTATTCATCTTAGAATTCCGTATGACTGAGTCAGCTAGGTAAACAAGATCGAGCTGAGCTTTATTCACTATAGTTACATACATACATACTAGTAGGCGCCTACTTAGGTAGGTTCTTCGATTACCTTTCATGGTCCTATTATTAGTTCTTGACTTGGTGGAAATTTTGACACTGGCCATTTTTCATAAAACTCAGTTGATACAGAGTCGCCCTTTTCTGATGATATGTATCGTTTCCAAACCTCTTGGCGATCGCTGAATAATTGTCTAGCTATAGACTCCGTGCAGAGGTGTACGACTTCAACCTTAGGTATCGGCCAGGGGTCAACGTCTGGCTCCTCTTTAAGGACCGCATCTCTTTTAGCTTCAAGCCATTGTGCCGACCTATCGACAAGCGATTGGAAGTGTTCGGCGGTAGGTCTACTGTCAATTTCAGACAACCTGTTCTGCCACCATCTGTTAAATCGACCGTTAGAGATGTAGGGATATCCACCATATGCTTCGAACAAGACGTCCATTCCCTCGACAGGGGTGTATTTCCACAGCTCTCGATTGTAGGTATCGATGGAGCCTTGTTCTTGATCGTTGGTATCGACGGGGTCTGGATCTGGTAACGTCGGTAATCGTTCAGAGAAGAGATCAGCGTCCCATTCGACAAGATACAGCCTATCAAGCTTGGGCAATAACCGAACCAGGCAAGCAACCCAAATAGTTGGAGCGCAGTATTGGGATAGGAGAGAAGTTGAACTAATGAGTACCCTTCGGACTTTCCGGAGACTATCTTCGTCGATTCTTGAGCCAATTGAATCGCAGTACTCGGCCAGAGCTGACGGGTATGGTTCTACCTTCAAAAAGGCTGTATAGTCGGGACATAAGACGTCGTTTTCAAAATTAAACCACGTCATTGGCTCATGATCACGAGTCCCAAACGCAAGTTGATAGCCAGCATTGATCAGCACATCGCGCGACTCTACGCATGTATGGAGTAGCGTAGGGATAGGCGCTTTGCTGTAGAGACGACACTTCCGGAGGAATCGCTCTAGGATGTGGGCGTAGGAAAGTAGCCAGGAGGGAAAAATATCCCTTATTTCTTCATCCATCCCTATTCCGTACCATGCATTTTCCATCTCCCCCCGCATTATCGGTTTGGCGTAGAGTGACACCATGAAGCGAAATTCCTCTTCATAGGCAGAGAAAGACGAATGGAATTTAAACTGGGTACTTTCGATGTCATTGATCCGAGACTCAAAGAGGTCCCCTCGTTCCGATTCTTCTAGCAAATGGACGATGCGAGGTGGTGTGGCTAGGAGGTATATTGCCCGACGGAGCTCCGGTGGGAGCAATGGAAATAAGTGGAAGGTGTCAAGACTCATGGCGTCCTAGAAAATACAGTATAGTATGTTGTTGCCTATATTTACTAGTATCGTGGTCTAAGCCAACTTCGCCGTCGGATGGATTTAGAGTCGAGATTTTAAATAAGATAGATTCATCTTTGATCGTTTACCATACAGAGCCTCGAGCTGGTAGATTAATTGTGTTTTGTATTGCGTCTGAGACTTGTGAGGTCGCCGGGGTTATATTGTGGCGGCAGCCCATTCGTCATGATCAGCGCTATTTCTACCAATTATCCACTGAAGCAAATGGAGTTCCGGGTGACTCATTCGCAATATTCCTACCTACCTAGGCTACTAGGTAGGCACATCGGGAGCGCGGCACTCTTTCTATAGCATATGAATTTCAGCTCTTAACTAAAACGATGCGGATCTGTCGGTCATCTGTCGTTACTGGCTTGCCAAGTTTTCGAATGCTATAATGCAACCCTAGGGAAGCTTAAGCTCAATACAGAGAATATGGCTATCATTTTCCAGTCTATACCGTTAATCCCCGAATCCCAATTTCAGCTGAATCGCCCGAAAGGTAACATAACATGCGTGTGGTCATAATTGCGGTGCAATGGATCACGAGGGTGCATTGGGCATTGCGATATATTTAGTATTACAACATATTAGGCATCCTGGCATATCAATCGGTCAGTATTGTTGGATACCTCGACTCATAAGACCTTGTTCCTTATCAAGAATAGCGATGTTCTAGATGGTTGGTTATGGTTATCGCGATGATAGAGGCTCAAGTCGATGATCGGTACGATGGACGATACGCATACACCTAGGTCCTAGGATGGCTGTTTTATAGCCGAAGCCTTCACCATTCTCCATTCCCATGTTTCCTACTCTGAAATTGTTAATTATTAAAGGCAAATCCTCTAGCTATTTTGAATCGCTTCATTATATCCTATAAGTAAGTGTGTCATGGAATGGCTCCTATGGGTCTCGATTATTCGAGCTAATGCAGCTAATGGTTTTTAGCTTGGAGGTTCTCAGTGGAAGCACCACTATCTTGACGAGATGGCGGCCCAAGTCTCGACGATATCCCGATTAACATCTACAGAGCTCGAATCTGTATTAGCGGCCGCGGACGACCGAGCTGAATCTACCAATCAGGAAGATGTGGATGGTGCAATATCCCAGACCAGTCGCCAGGAAGACATCGGTCTTTCCCGGCTCGTAGTCAACATTCTCGCTAGCGGTGGCACGGCAAATGGCAACGTCGGCGGAGACAGCGATCCATTTACTCTCATTAGGGGTCTTGCATACGAGGTTGCTATTTTATCGAAGAAGGTCGAATACCTCTCTTCGCCGGCGTCTAGGAGCGGGCCTATAATCGAAAGTGGGACGTGGAACACGACGGAGGTCCGGCCGGGAAACAAACCACATCACTCGACGGAGGCGCGCATCAATTTTTCGAAGGAATTCAAATTGACCCCGATGGTGATGGTGAGTGTGAGCTCGGTCGACTTCAGCAACTTCAAAAATTATAGGGTTAAGGTCTATGCGACGGAGGTTAACCCGAGGGGTTTCATTGTCCACGCCGATACCTGGGGGAGCACGCTTTTATACTCCTGTGGAGTATCGTGGATGGCTGTAGGAGAATAATTGGTGTATATGGGCGCCTGAGGTGAACATGACTTAGGATTCTTACCAACATGTAAAGGTATATTAATTCAATTTGCTCCCACTAAGGTCTATTGGAAGACCTTAGATTCGAGTTGCGACATGCTTGGGATTACGGTGGGAACGAGAGGCACACTAATAATGATCAGCGGAGTATGAATTTGTGAGAAAACGTTCATTGGATACCAATAGCCATGTGTTTTTACCGTGGAAGCGCGCATGTGTAGGCGCCAAACCACTATTTACCCCGATGAGCAAGCAACCCTCTCCTTACCAAGCTACAAAGGGCTTGATAGGTATATAACTTCCCCACGGCTCGAAGTCACTACCTAGTGACTTTTATACCAGCCCGGCCTTGTCTTTAGCAAGGAATCTCTACCATCATACGGCATGTCGATAAAGCGTTTTTTCCAGTCTGGCCCAAAACGCACCGTATAGATGGTATCGATCTCCTTCACTACCTCCTGGCTCACGTCGGCCCATTCCTCTGCCTTCGTAGTCTCTTCGTGTTTTGCCAAGGTGGTTATGTCGAAGCAGTGGCCAGCCCAAACTCCACGAGCAATATCCACAGCATGGTTGGTTTTGAGCATATAAGCTAGATTGCTCGTCAGATAGCTCGACCAGCCGGTGCGTGCTAAGACGACGTGACCGAAGCCCAGACCCTCGATTCGAGGACCATGGACATACTCAGGTCTTAACGCGATCGCCTCCGCGCGGACGAACTGCTTGGTTGTGAGGTTTCGCAGGATCCACGGCTGGTCCATGGGATAGAACTCCTCTTCATCGAATTGCTCCTCAAACTCTTCCAAATCTTTTACTCTCGTGAGCACCCCGGCATTCTTGGAGTTACGGAGATAACGTTTGAAACTCTTCAATGGCTTGCACTCGTAGAGGGGGAAGTCTTTGGCATATTTCCCGCTAGCCAACTCGTAAAGACTCAACGGTTGCCGACCTGTCGGGGCCACCAAGTCGTTGCGGTCCTGCACGACGTGTCGGTAATCTCTCACGACAAGTGCAGCCTGTTCTTTTTCCGAGAACAATCCAGGGGGGTAGTCACCGAGTTTGGTGCAACTTCCGACGAAGACGATGTTCTTCCCTGCCCAGAGGCCCACTGTTCAGGGGTAAGTAAGCGTGTTTTTCTAATATGAATTTTTGTTACTTACTGTTTGAAGCCCACTTGTCGTGTATGCACGGGAGTGCGAGAGACCAGAAGTAGGTGTTAGTCAGACCGAACCTCATCTTATCTTTGGGATCATCGAGAAACTCAAAGATCATCAGGTGAATCTCGACAGGCAGACTTGAGATTGGTGTTGCTACTAGTTTAGAATTACCCGTCTCGGCGGATTGGTTGATATGAGCTGGGATGGCCTTGGGGACGAAGGAGAATTGACTTCGGCGTTTATGTGACTTGAATGGTACAGTAAGAAGGCGAACAAGTTCCTGTGGGAGGTCAAGTCCGGTTGCGTGTTCAAGAATAATGGCCTTGGGAAGGCATGTTCCTTCCTTGGGAGCGAGAAGCTTGAACGGCTCCGCAGATCTAGGATAGACACCGTTGATTTTTGGGAATAAAAACATCGTGAATAAAGATGAGGGTTATGGTATGTATGTAAGTTGGAAGATAATAAAAGAAACGGACGAACAAGTCTGGGATGTATCTTGCGCGATACGTGCTATTTATAAATTAACATGACGAGTGATGGAAACGACTTTGTTGAGAAATGGATAGTACGAAGAAATATCTTTACAACTGTGATTACAGTGCTGGGCTATTTCTATATACTACCTAGTACTAGGTAGGTATCTAGTACAGTGGTCGTGATACTATCTTGAGTAGACTCGACGAGGAAAGGGGTACCGATACTGTGTATTGTAGGGTGTACACTGTTAAATATACACTGTAAATAAATATCTTGATTGTACCGAGATACCTGGTACATACCTAAGTACGTACTGAATTTCTGACATAATATGTGCACAGACCACAAAAGAAAACACACAATTGAAAAATTCAGTGGGCAATTGCCTAAAATATTCTCACAATATTACCACCATCTTTCTCCCTTTACTCTTCTCAGAATGCACACCTCAAAGAACGAACGATATTGTCAAACCTCGGCTTGAAGGATGTAATTAACATATACTAGGGTTGAATGATATTCTAATCGATGCATCGTGCTTGCTATACGCACTGAAAGAAAGAATCCAACGCGCCCTGATAAAAGTCAATACTCCTCGAACGTCTCTATGCTCGATAATACATGTGCCCGTCCATCATTCATCCAATCTATAAGACAAGAAATGAGCCGAGCCATCCTCCTCCGAATCATCCCGTCTCGATGATCGAAGTTAAGCTCAACACCGCCCACCCATGTTCCAGGTAGGATATGCATGGTGCAACAAGTGTTGCCATCTGAAATGCGCATGCTTGAACAGAAACGATATGATGTATAATGTTATAAGTCTAATGTCACAGCCTCTCCGAAATGCTGAACCGCAGCAGCCCTCCAGGAAAGAGAAAGAAGAAAAATCATCGCAGTCGTCTCAGGTATTAATAAAGTATCCCTATATGGGACAGAGGTGCTACCTTGCTTCTGTTGCACCGTCTGTCCCAACGAACCCACAGGAGTGGGAGAAATTGAAGAGACCTGACAGGCTACACATAGCAAAGTAATGGTTGTATGTTGATCGCAGCGAAGCCGGATATGCGATACCCGAAGGAGTCGATATAATCATTAAACGAGTTCGAAGCCTTCATCCTCGACGATGTCAACGTCCTCCGCTGAAGCCGCACGATTCTTGCGACGGAGATTCTGCCGAGCCTTTCGACCCTTCAGAGCGTCGCCGTTGTTGTCTAAGATCTCGTATTCCTTCTCTACGAACTTCTCCGTCTCCTTCGGATTGGCCTTCACGAATACGTCTAAAGTCAAGGGTTTATAGGGGCTCTCGCTTCTATCAAAGCTGTATAGGATGTTATCGGATATGCTAAGATTCCGCCGCGGGGATGGTCCAAGGAGGTCTTGAAGGGATCGTGAGATGTTATTTGGATCATTGAGCTCTGCTCGCGCATCTATCTTGGCACACCAAGCGCTCGTTCGAGACTCGAATCGACTTTCTCTTGGCTTCACGACATTCTGCTCATGCCAACGGCGCGTATGACTGATTTGTCAACAATTAGCATCTACGGACAAATATATTGGCACACGGCTGTTAGGCACAACTTACCTTGTTGGCATAGTAGGCCGAATCTTCCCGCCACTACCTTCATATCCTACATAATGAAATTGCCCTGTAACGGGGTTGTCTACGACGATGTCGCTGTCAATCCAGGGTCCTATCCGCCACTTTGAAACGTGGTCCTTGAACCGCTTCGAGTCCTGGGCAGATCCTCGGAGGTCTCGGGTTCGCTCAAACGCCATGATAGAGGATAGTATGCTCGTGGACGGGAAAGTTCAAAGTGCTAATGGAAATTACTGGACCGATTTCGACAGACCGTACACTGTCCGTTTAGGTGGCCTTGTACCGTGAAGAAGCTTATTGATGGATGGACGGGCTCGATGATGATGATTATCCAAGTGAATGGATAACGTATTAAAAAAACAATATTGGCGATGCAAAGACGCAAAGACGAGTTCTATTTGGAGAATTGATGAAGTTTTAAGAATGGAAGATGGAATGAAGGGTGATTCTAGGAGATGGGAGACAAAAGTATGTCAAGGAGGTCAATGGTATTGGTGCTTTCTAGAAAGCAAGCGATTCGGGAGATCCAATGGTCGAGTCACACGGTGACAGGGTGGGTATGGATAGATGACGATTAGGTAAGATAATGGTAGGTCTTGTGTTATTTTGTATCTTCCTTCTTGGCTTTGCTGTTTGCGAGATGGGAAATTGCTTTGTTTCTGTTCGATCTGTTTTGATGGTACTGCGATGAAAGGAGTAATGGGATTGAAGGTAAGCAGAGTGGGTGGCCGTCAAGTGATAGGAAAGCGTGGCTTTGTTCGTTTCCCGGTTGTGTCAGAGGCGGAAAGGCGTGAGCAAGAACAAAGAACCCTGTGACTCAAATTCGATGAAGATTAGGGGCGAGGGGGGCACGTCTAATGAGTACACGGTACACGGAGAGCCCTGAACTGCGCCTAAATGATGCGATGGGACTTCGGGAAGTTGCGATTGCGGGTTGGCCGTTATCGATAAATACAGCGGGTTCCAACTTCCAATGCCTCAACTTGTGCCTCAACCTGATGGAGATGATGACGCACCGGCGTGCCTTTTTCAATTACGAGGTACCTAAGTACCTACGTATGCCGAACGGAGATAAGGTGGGTAATTATAGTATTAGTGAAGATAACCTTGAATACAACGAGAATAATTCACACAAAAATACACAAAAATGCGATTTATCTTTATAGTTAATGAAGTTGTTGAGATGTTTGATTGCTTGTTTGTTGAGAGCAAATAGAGGAAAGCGATTTGGATCCATGGCACAGTAAGGAAACTTGTGTGGGTTAATAAGGAGACTCCCATCTCTCATTTCGTACAGTATCAGAGGTATCAGAGTATATCCCTATCGCGTTCCCGAGGTCTTGTTAGACTAGCGCGTAGTGCGCAATTACACTTTAAGTTACTACATACTACCCGGTTATCTGTTCTATTACCACATGAACCATTCCCGAGGTCCCGTTCGTCTGTTAGACATCCCAAGATAAAGCTGAGTGTTTAATCATTGCCTACCTACTGTACATACCTAGCCCTTCCAGGATGTTAGATGGTGCGTGTGACGATGACAGGCATGGTCGGCCTAGGCTGGACAACCACGATTCTTTTTCGTCCTATTACGTATCAGCAGTTTATTATTAGGGGAGACCTCCAGAGCTGCTGACCTCTCGGCGTTTCCTAGCACGGCTCTCATTGATGAAAGCCATTCATCATCCCCTTCGATAGATGACGAAACTAGGCGGCTATTCTACATAATTACCTACATAATAAGTCGACATCGTTCCAGGGGTTTCTTTCAATCACCAACTCTTTGCTAGGCTGTACCTATGCATTTGTAGCTGTTGGAAGCTCGGCCTTGCTTCGCCTTCAGCTCGTGCTACCGGATCAACGATGTCATTTGCTACCAGCTAGCTGGCCTGCCTTTCGTGCGACTATGCTTGATCTAGATATCTCTCCAGTCAACGAACTCGAGAGATATCACGTTTCTAGTTACATACGTCTCCCTAGCTTTCTATTACTAATGAAACGAATAGTCCCCGAGGATACATACAGCAATGTTCCTATGCTATGCAGTAAGCTGTTATTGGCATCCCGCCCTCCGGTCTCAAAGGTTGCTACCTATCATGCAGAATGCAGGATGTCTCACCTACCTTGTACCTTAGTAGATCGGCAAATCGAGGCGCGCTACCCTTGGTCCTACATAGTGCGTCCGAACTAGCTGGCCCCTCCTCCACACGACCGAACCTGCATGGAATTCGCGATAAGGAATCCATGGACAAATCAGAATGCCCATGTGCCTGTATGTCGTGGATGATAGGGGGAGCGTAGAGATACGGGAAGTTTCTTAACTTTCCGCTGTGCTGTTATGCTGTTGTATTGTACGTACATATGTCATGGGTAGATTGGTATGTAGGTATTTAGCTCGGTATGTCCGTTTTAGGACGATACGATACTGCAGTTTGTTTCGGTTGTAAATCACTATCACAGAATCTCTATGGCGTTAAACGAAGCAATGAAGCAAGTTTAGGCAGCTTGCATAGGTGGTTTGTTAGCCAAATACCTAACAGATATTTACGTGTCTGAGTCTCTTAACAATCTAGGGGGTTACCCCGCTTGCCAAACGCGCCGGTCTGATCCATCAACGGTCGTAATTTCGACAGAAAATTGACGAATATGAAAATGGAAGATTAGAACCAAACCGAAGACGCGAAAGCCTTCCGGGGAAACGGTAACCTTGGGAAAGTGTGGGATCTTGTTGGGGGACCGCTGCTTCCCGGAAAGCTGCGCGAACGGACAGGGCATACAGGGTGTGGGGGGAGGGCGGGGCAGTGCTACGACGTATTGATAGCGCTTAGCGATAAGCCTTAAATAGAGCGTAGGTACTTCATAATAAGGGAGGAATGAACTGGGAAGGAGGTTTCTCATTAGCACCCACGTGAAAAGCTAATGCCTTCGAGGTGATTCGTTGAATTAGATGATGACACAATCGTAACTGCCTACATATGTACTCGGTATCTTGTGAACGAGTATATCGACTACATCATCTGACTTACTATTTAATAGGCTGAAGCTGACGCTATAGATCTCTGGTGACATCAACGGCTTAGGCAGGCTATTGTGAAGCTGAAGAGCGTGTTCCAAGGTTGAGATAGTGAAGTCGAGTGGCTAAGGAAATACCCCCACCAAAGGGGGATCGCCCATTACTACATGAATTCAGGGCCCTGCCTGTACCTTCCAGTAGGCTCTAACTAGCCTAATATCTACCTAGATTAGGGGCACATTGAAAGGTATCCCAAATCCGTCATAATCACCTCTAACTTCATTTTATTTGGTAATACATGTGTACTTACATTGTTGAGCGTATATCATATTTAAATATCGTATGGGTGCTTACCTTCTTTAACTACTTTCAACTACACTATTAGGTATCTGGGAATTGTTCTTTTCATTGTGGCGTCCAAAGTTCGTTCAACGACCTTCATGTCGCATTTAGAAGAGCTAGCATTCGGAAGCCGAACATATATATCTTAGTCGACCTGAGATACATGGGTGTTATATACGATGTAGCTAAGGTAGATATACTTTCTGTTTGTAGCAATTTAATGTTACTTCAAAGACAAGCTTGACTTTCGTCAATGTCACCAGTAATTTTGATAGATCCATAAACACATTTCCCCCTTCTTAGACCCGACAATCCAGACAAAGTGCTTTTCAGCACAAACCATGAAGATAAACTTCTAGAAGAGTGGGGGCGGATATCTGAGAAATTCGCGTAGCCGAAACATGTGGCTGCTAGGCTCGGTGGGACACAGGATGTCTCGGTGTAGTGTGACTAGGACTCCCTTATAAGAGGAGCTGATGTTAGAGTCTCAGAAGCTGAAAATTTGGTGTTCAGCTTCAAATGCATAATTGAGGAGAATATGGGTATATTTCTGAAGATTTTTGGGGGGTAAGAGGTTGCTCCTCATAGAGTTGTGTCGTTGTGTTAGGCGGTTGATTTTGTGTTACTGCGTGTAGTGTGTCTAGAAGAATATCACGGCGAACAATCACACTCCATTATCGCTGTGGCTGGAATGGCGCACTTGTCCTTTCCCATGTCTCGTTGCAAACTCGTCGCATAAGCCTTCTGGGTGCTTGACGACCGGTCATCAGCTCAAAGGCTTCCATGGCCATTTCGCCGACGACCTCTAAGCCATCGACAATAACCCATGACGTGTTACCATCTTCGCGAATTTTACGCATTTGGACGATAAGAGGCGTGATTAAGGGCTCATATGCCAACTATAAGAGACATGCCAGTTAGAAGATGAAAAGGAAGTAATGCATGGTTTCAATGTCTCCTTACCTCAATCACAACGCCACCAGTAGGGCTTTTCAGCCAGTGCGGCGGCATTCTAAAGTCCACGGGTGGACTGTCATCTATTCCAGATGCAGGAATACACGATAGGACAATCGTTGGTTGTTGATAGCTCTCTGGCCATGGGTCATTAGGCGAGTTAATGACATGGCAAATTAGCTCTCCCGCATTTTGGCGGATAAGCTTCTGCTCTATGGCATACTCGTTGAAATGCCTAGCTACTTCTTCTGCTGTCGATTTCGTCCTGTTATGAATGAAGATCATCCGACATCCCAACTTGATCAAAGCATAGATAGCCGCCCGACCCATTCCTCCGGCACCAATCACGAGAGCTGTCGTCCTAGAAGGTTGCACGGAATTCCTAGGGCTGATGGCTCGACGTAAGCAAGTGATGATGGAAGTCCAATCTGTATTGTCTCCATAAAATTTATTGGTAACGCCAGATCTGTTTCGAGCATTGGCATGGTCCAAAATCGAATCCGTTTGTCCACGAAGTGGTAGGACTGTATTTACCGCGCCAATTGCAATAGCGTGGGTGCTAAGATGATCTAGGTGCGGCATGATGATTATTTTGAGAGGTGGTGTTAACGAAGCCCCCCCAAAACCAGGCTCGCGTTGAAGTCGGTTGAGCTCTTCAAGCGTCGTGCAGCGCCTGGCATCGAATGTGTGTGCCATCATGTGGTGTTCGTAGGCCGCTCGGTGCATGGATGGTGAAGCCGAAAAATAGACGTTTGATCCTGTCACGTAAAAGTTTAGCGGCTGCAGCCATTTTCCTTTCCGAAAGATAGCGCGTAGTGTGCCTCGTGTTGTGCTTACGCCGACCATCTGTTCTCGAGAGGACTTCTCAATAGAATCATGCCCAACTGGGTTCATGATCTTATCTTGAAAGGGTGTCACCACGCCGAAAACCGAGAAATCGTAAGCGATGATGCAAGGCTTTGGTTCGGGTAATGCGTGGATCGTATCTAAGAACGCTCTCCGTGGATCATCATCTCTCTTCGAGGTGAATCGGGCAATGCGGACAATATGACACCCGAGTGATTTCGCAAATAAGAACCGTTCGAGATAGAAATTGTCGGTCCATTTTGGTGTTTTCATTCCCTTAACGACGAAATTTGCAATGATCTTTGTCCTGCCTCTCATGGAAAGAATATTGGATACGAGATCTAGATGTCTTTCGAGATCGAGAGTCAGATATTCGACTCCAAGTCGAAGACCGTGGAGCATTAATTCAAGGTCCATGACGTTTCGTTCTTCCATGGACCTCTTGCGTTCCTCCCGTGGATTTTCTTCTACATTATATATGATCGGGATGTCTAACTTTCGACGGATCAAGGCTACCTGGGTCGCAATAATATCGAGCACGTTGTTGGGCCAAGTATCAATTATCAACTCCAACACATCACCGGGGGCTTCTATCGTAGCTAGATCAATATCTAGATTTATCAGAGTTGAAAGTCGTATGTTGAAGACGAAGGAGAGGCTTCGGTACTCCGGCGGAATCGCCTTCCTCGAAAAGGGGTTTGCAACCCAAGATCGCGTCAAGCCATGACCCAAGATGTGATCAAGAAAGTCCTTGAAATCATGTTTAGCTTCCACGAGCTTGGCGGTACTTGTAGTTGCAGAACGGAGCAGACTATTCTCTGTGATCTGACCTTCACCACTGGAGTCATAGAGGTTGAAGTACTCAAAGTTAGAGAAGTCACGATGGCTCTGATCTGTGAGGAGCAGACGCTCGGCATCTGCTACTGGAAGCTTTAACAACTTGTAAAGATCCTCCTTGTCACGATGAATGTAAATAATAGGATTCGTCTCGACATAGCTTTTGAGTATTTCCCCGATATCCGGCGACAACGTGCCTGTTCCGCACTCTATGACACAGTTGGTTTGATTTAGTCTGAGCACCCGAGCGATTACAACTGCCATTTGCTGGTTGAAGGTTTCTCGTCCATATTTTTGCAAGAACGTCGCTCTCGTACATCCGGTTGACTGTTCAAACGAGTGGTCCTCTGTGACAAGTCGACGGCCGAGATACTTGGCAGCGATAAAGCCCAACGTTCGTTTTCCGGCACCACGACATCCGACAAGGATGATTGATGAATCTGTAGGAAATATCCTACGCTTGGCTTTATATTCAGGTACGACCAAGTCATCTGGAGGAGAGCTGAATTCTATTCCTTCCATCCTAAAGTTGGTTCCGAGGCGTATTGTAGTGATCGGATTTAGGTGATCCTCAGCCGGAGAGTCGAATCTCAAATAAGACAGTTTTCCTGGTCAGACATTTATATTTACACTCTGCTTGGTGACTAAAGTTAGCACCGTGATGTGATGGCGAATTCTCAGTGAAGAGGTGACGATGAATTGTCGAAGGAGAGTGATCTCAGCTCCGGTTGTTGAAAACAGATGGATGTGACGAGGTCGTCTAGGGACATCTGTACTGAAATACCCAGGGACTCAGTAAGATCACTAAGCATACACTAGCATGATCTTATTTGCCATCGATAGAGTAAATCATACGAGGGTTCTCTCATTACTCAACAACGAATGAGGTTGAGCCGATGAGGTGGTTCAGCTCAGTCTTGATTCATAATGGTGTTAAATTGCTGGCCTATGGACTTGCGACGACACGGCAAGAGGATCGGCAGTAGGTTAAACAAAGTTAGTCCTGGCACACGCAAGCCACGAATCCCCTACAGATTTTTACTTAAAGCCACAGTCTACTACCAAGGTAGGGTTCCGCAATGTATAATACAACTATACATTATGCGCATAATGTATTATACTTATACCGTATAATAGATTCATTATACGTATAACGGAACGGAAAAACCCTCCGGTCCCACATATCCCCACATACAGGGGTTATTCATATAACACATACAATTTTATCTCAAAATAGCTTCAAATATTTCAATCAATCAAACTACCTAATTCTTCGAAAAATTACCCAACTTCGAAGAAATTAGATACAAATCTAAAACAACCCTATTCAATTCTTAAGTGATCTAGCAACTGTCCATAGCTTTCTTATTCCATGCGATCGATCTATTTGTCGGTAAAATTCAAGAGATTCAGAAGGCGCGTTTGTACGTACCTATTCTACGAGAATCGACGTCGATAAACGCCAGCTTGTTAGTTTGATCTAATCTAATCGATTCCTTATCTAGATAGAGTCCTGTATATACCTAATTCTACGCCCATGAAGCGCGTTCAGAAGGAATCGACTTAAAGATCGTACTTATAGATATCCTTTGATCAATTGAGGCATCGTATGTATTAGAAAAGGGAGAAAATCGTCGATAAGTGGAAGTTTTTGGCCTCTATACAACATTATACCGTCTATTATACAATTTTGTATGGGTATAATGGTATAATGGGGTATGTATAATGTAATACCGTATAGTGCCTCCATTATACGTATAATGCAGATCCCTATACCAAGGTACCCACATATACCCGAATATGTACTAGGTACTTCGCACTATGTAGGTATCGAGTTATGCACGACCGGCTTTAACCCCGCGTCGACAGGGGAGTGATTGGCTTTCGTATTTCCAACGTCCTAAAACGCCAATTCAATGTCCATTTCACAATTATCCCCAATTGTGACACAGCTACGCAAAGCTTTCGTTATCTCTAACTCTCCGACATTGCAACTACAATAAAACCCTCGATGCACTCTCACTTCTTAACTTAATCTCAATTAAGGCCCTCATGACGTAACCTTAAACGGGATCGGGGAAAAAGGAGTTGGGAATTCTCCTCATACCTTTTTTCCTTTTTTGAAAAGGAGACGCGTACGGTACGTCTTACTCTATAGAGACATGTGTGTTTTAACTGGAGGCTGGCGTGCAACTAACCATCTCTATTGTGAAGATTATTGTGGAGGCGATGAGTGATGCTGAGAGTGATGACGCTAAGCGAGCGTTGAAGAAACGCAAGGCTAGTCGTGCTTGCGACCGCTGCAACTCGCAACACCAGCCTTGCGATAATGCCACCCCTAAGTGCAGTGTTTGCGTACGCGCAGGCACAGAATGTACCTACAACAGACCGGTACGCAAAAGGGGTCCCCGTAGTGGGTATACCGGTCAGAATGGGGAACGTCTTTGGGCCATAATCCTACAAGCTCGGCCCGAGCTCGAGGACATAGTCTTGCAAGTCCTACGCGGCGGTACGTACGGCAATACCGGCGTTCCTAATCTCGACTATTTCAGGAATAACGACAACCAGGCCGAGCTTGTCAACTGTTTCAACGAGAGTCGACTTGGCAGATTTCTACAGAATGGAGAATCTCCCGATCTACTCCTACCCCCTATTAATCAGCAAGTTTCGCCAATGATTGCTCAAGTACGCAGTGACATGGGCTTCGGCCAATCTGCGAACGCCCACCGCCAACAAGATGTGACTAAGAGTATGTCCGGTCAATCGAACCGCTCGGCGTCGATCTCACAGTCTTGTCCGGTGAATCCACACGGCGCACCCCAAGATCCCGGTGACATATACATCCAAAGCGAGGATATTCGAAGGCGTGTGTTTCATAACCAAACTCAGATGAACAACTACTTCTTAGGCCTACCTGAAGATTTAGTCCCTGATATTAGCGCGAATCACACGCCATCGAACCTAACCGCTGCTCAGGGTACTACACCCTTTTCTAATAACTCGATTGACGGATACGGCGCCAGTACACAGACGAATGATCGTTCAGTATTAGACAGGAGAATGAGTGTGGATCCATCAGTAAACATATCTGAACCCTCACGGCCTTCTGAATCGAATAATCCATCCAATACGTCCTTCGAAAACCCCGAATATCACCTAGATGAAACTTCTCGATGGTGAGTATCCCCAACTCTTATACGTCTCACATGTATCTAATTCAACATAGGCTTGACTCAACTCCTTTCGACACCTTGCGAAATCTCGGCTTTGCTCCGGGTGAGCGGATGGCAGAGGACTTCCTTGAGTTGTGCGAGAACCCGGATCCCATTGACCATACCCCAGCCACCTCAGCCGACCAAGATGAGGACGAAGAGGCTGTCTGGCGCCGATTAGTCATGCGAGGAAGGTTTATATGACAGTGGCCTTAGCTAAGCCGTTTACAAGAAGTCTGAAAGGCTTTATTTAGACTTCTTCGGCGTCGATAAATTACCGGCCAAAATCTGGACGCATCATACGTCCCACCTCACCCTCAAGTCCAATACGACATGTAATGACTGTAATGTCTCACCTTATGGTGGTGTTATTAGCCTACTTACTAATACGTATATAGGTCTCTAGTCGTCCTCCTCTTCCTCGAAAAGAGTCCGTGAGGGGTTACGTGTAGAATAAACTTGGACTATTCTCCCACGAGGGATCGCCCTTTCGGGCAGGCTATGCTGATTGACTTCCATAACCTGAGAGACTCCGTCTATATGCTACAGGGTCAGCAAGGCGGTTGAATCTTGTTGACTAGCTAGGTATGGGCGCAATGGAAGTGGCAATTTGAATAAAAGAACAATCCGCATCTTTGACTTTTTAATTACCTACCTACCTGGAAGATATCTCTTACTGTGTAGACATATTTGTCCATAGTAAGACACGATTGATGGCCTCATGGTACTGAAGCAAAGAATTGGCATACTCTTCAGTTTTACAAGTATGATTAAAGAAGGATGTCCCTTCCTAAACTTAGTGGTAAATGTACCTAATCAAATTTAATTATTTCATCCTTAAAATTTACCCTCATGAACTCGTTCCAAAGTTAAATATGATCAGCTGTTGTGGTATCAGGTTGCTATCTGCTTCAAAATCACATTGTTTTCTGCATCATAATATGCCCCTATTGATACCCACTTAAGGTTTAATGAAAAAGTTTCTTTAGTTTCTTCCAAGCAAGGCTGTCAACGCTCTGTATGGGATACTCTAGGCCTACCAGCCTTTGCTCCTGTCTATTGTTAGTGGCACAATCACGCAAAGCTCCCTGGACGTAATTATGAACTTACGTCCGTAAGACGCCAATGATGATGGTCCTTCACAGAACTCGTTCATGCGGCCAGGCTTTTGATTCCAGTGAGATATTCCAAAGTTTCCCCTCCATATACTGGAACTATCTCATAAAGGAAAAACGTGCGTATCTACCTACTTAAAAAACAATAATGTATCGCCTCCGTGTACGTCCCAAGTAAGAGACGTATCTCGAAGTGATGAGGTGCTGAGATTCCCTTTGATCTCTGAGTCGGTCTTCGTGTCATTGGCACTTCCGCTCATGGCGGCCTGTATACTTCTTCTGGCTTCAATGAGCATTCCTTCTTTTTCTTAGTTAATATTGACAATATCGGCCTTAGCGATATCACGTTTGCTACATAAATAACCACCAAGGGTGATGACTTAGCCCAGTACTTTAATCAGAAACTTCGGTGTCTTCTATAGGACTTACATGCTACATTTGTTTCGTATTATACCTAACGTAATCTTGATAATATCTCTACTTTCCAGCTAGTTCAGAGCTAGGGAATGACAGGAATGTCGTTCTAGGAGACCCATCAATAGCGATGTGAAATCCCAGGACCACCCTCTTCATAGGTACAAGTAAAGTCATGTTGAAAAATATATCCATGTAAACGCTTTTATGTAAACATGTTGAGGGCTTTAAGTAGTAGCTAAAAGTAAGCAGACAGCAAGCTGTATAAATCACATAGTCAATAGAATGCTGTTGGTATATATTAAATATTACCTAGGTACACAACTCAGAGTCACCCAATAGTCGAACCATGTTATCACGTACATGGATATAAAACATAGGTAGTCTTCGTTTTCGGTTTCGTGGTTGTATGCGAGAACGTTTAATTGGCTACGATTCTATTAAAATGTAACAGTCTATTGGATTCGAATGAAGGGTTATACTGCGGACAATTACTGAACTCGCTCGTCTAACTCCTCGCGATAATAGGGCCTTGAAGTAGTCTTGAGGTGAGTGGATATGGAATGACACACAAATAGGTGGATTATAAGGTGTCGACAATGCAACACGAGGTTCTGATAAATGGGATGTATCATTAATTTTCATTAGACGCTCACCAATTATACCTGAATACAAATACACTGAACTCGAGAGACCACACAATCTGGAGCTACCCAGGAGCAAATACCTTCCTGTTTCATCGAGATCGAAATCAATCCTTTGGTAAGAACTCTCCAGGAACAGCGGGACCTAACGCGCATCTGATTAGTAGTGTTTCTTTACAAATATACCTAGGGAAAGGCAAGGTACTCACCCCACACGTGCAGACTACCCGGCCCAGCCTGCGAGATATGCGTCGGCTCAGAGGCATCGACCAGGTCGCCGTCGACGTAGTGCTCCATGATGAATCCGAACGGGTCATACCTGAAACACGGTCAGTTCAAATAGCGCCATCAAGGGGAAGGAAGCGGAGATGCGTACCAGTAGTCGAAGATCTGGCTACCAAGGACGTGTCGCCCAACGCCCCAGCAGTTCTTATAGCCCTTCTCCCTCAGCCAGTCGTGGCCGAGGACTTGGGTGTCGAAGTCGTGCGTCTCGAACGAGGAGTGGTGGACTCTGTAGGTGGCTCCCTCGGCGAAGAAGAAGACGTGGTGGTCTACTTCCTCGTCGCCCCTGTTCAGCCGGTAGAACACCGTTCGGTCGATTTTCTTGTCATCGTGGATGAGCTGTTATGGTGTAAGTAAGTGACTGCGGTATATATGGATGTGGGATTTTGTTCGTACATCGCTAGCCAAGAAGTTAAAGTACTTGGAGTAGAATTCGTAGGCCTTGGCGAAATTCGTCGTCCTCACGCCGAAATGGCCTAACTTGTGTACGGGAGCAGGCCGCTTCTGAAATCGCTGGAACTTGTTCACAGGTCTGTTCTTCTCGGTTGGCTACATCTTCATTAGTAACAGGCCATGACAGAGTTAGGTTGGGGGACTCCTCACATAGTTCACGGGTTCGTGTGGGAGGGGAATATCTAGCATCGGAGCAGGTGTCTGGCCCCACACGAGATGAAATGGGTACCCATCGACTGGATCGTAGAATGTGACACCCTTGCCGCCACCCGGGGCATCTGTGAGCTCGTAAATTTTGGTCGCTTTTGGAATTGTCTCAGCCGCGAGTTTTAGGTCGTCTTCCGATTCGACGACGAAGGCCGCGCCTCCAAATTCGGGCTTATCTGACTTGGTGGCGCACAGTACCCATGGATCTGTTCCGTACCCTCGGAAGTAAACCTTTTCGTCCGACACTCTCTTTTCTTCAGTGAAGCCAAAGTCCTTCAGGAAGGTTATCGCCTTGTCTAGGTCTGGGTACTTGTAGTACACGTGGGTTATTTTCACGATTTGGATCTTTCGTTCTGCCATGTTGAATGTCGAATACTCGTTGTCTTAGTTATTACTCTAATGGGCAGTTGTCAAAGCCATGCAATGCTGATCTTTCTTGAACGTAGATATAAGCGAGATCAGAATGAAGGACTAGTCTCCAATGGCTTGTGGCGGCGAGATGCCCTCATATTATATACGATATATGGTAAGGACGTGTGAAACGGAGAAAGCCGGGGTAGTGTGTGGAGGAGTCCGTTCGCGAGCAAATCGGCGAATCAATGTCCCCAGGTGAATAGGCTTGCTACAGGATACATACATTGACGACATGGTAGCTTGAAGACTATTGAAAGTGCAGCTAACGTTCGATGTGCTCAAGTGCTCCTGTTAGGCGTATTCGAGACAGTCTTCTTGTGTGACAACATTGTTGTTACCCACTAGACTATTCCCCTCAGCCGCGGCCCCGCATGGGTGCTGGTGTTTCTGCCATGGAACATATTCGGCAGTTATCATTTTGCTGATAATCTGTGGGTGCTCACCCCTAAGATCCCGAACTACGAACGTTTAGGGGCGAGCTATTCGAGCTAAACCCTTGTAAGAGAGCCGCTGAGACTCGGATACCTAACGTCTATTGCGTGGTCTCGATGCCAAGGTCTCAGCGCACATGCATATGATGGGAGGCTGATGGAGTTTGCTTTTGTCACAAGTTGGTAACTGGACTTGCTTATTGTAGCATTAGAAATTGATTTAGACGACGCATAATGCTCAGGTAATAAGCCCGGGTCGTGTGTCGGCTCGTTAACACCGAAATCGACGAAGTGCATTCGGTGACACCCCTTGCATGCGCTTTAATATACAAAAGTTGGGGACTTTGGAGATGTGCGAACGGAAATAGGACAACGAGGTTTTACAAATTTGGAGAAAGGGGAAGCATCGCCAGCCGTCAAGAAATAGGATGACGTACATGCCGGGCCGACAAAGGCTCTCTCCGAAGGGACTCCGAATTTAAGAAGCGGGAAGGAGGCGGGGAATCGGTTCTGCTTGTGATCCATGATCTCAGGAAGAAGCCACAATCGGTATCGGCCTTAACAATATGCCCGGCATCCATTGAGACGTAGAAGGTTCTAACTAAAACTGGATTTGTTTCATACGTCACACCTCTTAATAGAATTTCGAAAACAGCGCCTCGATACATTCCTAGCTCCAATCTCTACACCTTCACACAACTTAACATCCATTTACCGACCGCGAATCGGTACCGAAGTAACCGTCCCGACCTCCCCGATCTCCGCAAAATGATTCGCAAGCTCTCCAAACAACCCACCCTCCCGCTGAACGACCCAACGACTCTCCCTCCCATCCTCAGCGACGGCCTCCCGCTGCCGCGCGCCGTCGTCTTCGACCTCGACTACACGCTGTGGCCGTTCTGGGTCGACACGCACGTGTACCCGCCGCTGCGGGCGGCGAACCCGGAGCGCGCGGCCGCCGTCGACAAGGTCGGCGAGACCTTCGCCTTCTACGCCCAGGTGCCCGCCATCCTGCACGGGCTCGCGCTCGCAGGCGTCAAGCTCGGGGTCGCGAGCCGGACGCACGCACCCGATCTCGGACGGGAGATGCTTAAGCTACTACAAATACCGCCTGCTAGTTCGTTGTTGGAAGAGGCGAGTGTGGATGCTGTGATAAAAGCTGCGGCGGCGGGCGGGAGTGGGGGCAGTGGTGCGGGGAAGAGGGAGAAGGTTCGCAAGGCGATTGATTTCTTTGATGCTGGGCTTGAGATCTATCCTAGTAGCAAGATTCAGCATTTTAAGGCGCTGGGGAAGAGGACTAGGATACCGCATTCTGAGATGTTGTTTTTTGATGATGAGAGTCGGAATCGGGATACGGAGTCCCTTGGCTTGACGATGTGGTTGGTGAGAGATGGGGTTACATGGGATGAGGTCGTAGAGGGGATCAAAGAGTGGAGAAGACGAAAGGAAGTTTGAGTTACGGTATCTTTGCAAGACTGCTGAGTCCTACAGTTATGTGGCGTTTTGATGGCCCATAGAACGTCGGTTACAGAGAATACGGCATATACTAGATTACGAGAACACACATTAGGTATGGTTACGATAGAGCATAGACAGTCTAGAGGGCGTTGGGAGTTCAGGTTATTATATTCACTCCGTACTAATGTCAGAAAGACACCTATCTATCCTATTCGTGCCAAATCCTCCAAAATAGAGCAGCACACCATGGTTCCGTAAAAATGCCCCAATATACCCTAATAGGAAGATCTTATAGAAATTAAAATAAACCTTGAAACGCTCGTATGGCCGGCGTAATATCCCTCCATGTGTATCATGTACATAACTTATGTCTATATCTTCAGCGATTCTACTCCAAAATTCGCAATGGGTATTCCAAGTCCGATCTCGATCTCGATCTCGACAAAGTCGTTTATACATCTCGCATTAGTTTTACTCGGCCACCGATAAAGCCGCGATGCTCGCTGTCGGAACTTCGCCGTTTAGAGCAACCTTCTCGGAGGTCGGCGACACGAAGCTCTCTTCACCTTCCGTTGGGGCGTCGGTCTGTGATACTTCAACGGAAGCAAGGGTGTCTGCGGCGGATTTAGGAGGGTATGCTTTTGTAATGGTGCAGACGCGTTCTCGCCTGTCTGTCTCGCCTTTACTACCCACTGCAAGACATTCAACTCGCTTGCCGCCGTCAATAGGACGCCAGTACAATGGGCCTGAGGGGAAAGCGGTGTAACCATTCTCCCACTCGCATATTCGTTTGATCTCGTCACCCCAAGCAGGCTCATCGAAAAAGTCCCACTCCAATTCACCGCCATAGTGCTTAGGAATATCTTTAATATCCATGAAAGACGTTAAAACGGGTAAGACATCGTGGTCCGAAAGGATAAAAATCTTGGATACCGTTATGGGGTCAAACCAGCGCTTAACCCAGCCCCAGACGGTTGAGAAGAATATCGGTGCCCCAATAATGAATATGCCTAGTTATTCATGTTAACATGTTTCTAGTTTCACAGCATATAAACCTATGTATGTATACTAGGGATATAATATGAGAGTTCGTGGACATACGGTCGAGAGTCTCGGGGTAATGTGCAGTCGCAAGTTGACTCGCCGCCTGCATATGGGCCTTCAAGTTCCAGAACATGCGTAAACTGACATGGGAAATGTCGACAATGTTGGTACTTAGGGTAATTGGGGTTTCGGGGTGTGGGCGGTCGGTGCACTCAGATGACAACGGTTGTACGAATCTTGTAAGATTTTCGTATAACGCAATAAGTCGGAGTAGCTTAGCAGGCGTTTTCCCATCCGTCTTTGCTCTGCTATATGTCGTCTCGGTGGACTTCTCATATTTGGATACGGCGTGGGAGTCTAGATGTCGGATTTGGAATACGTAAATTGGAATGCCTCTGCTAGGATGTCAATTCATCTTGCGCTGGAGCTTATGTCGAGAGTATACAGGTATGTATTACGCACCGCTTATCACGTCGCCCGGTGAATCGAGGATACTATATTGATAAAAATAACAAATGAGTTCTCTGTGCCAAGGAAGTTTGCGGGGTTCTTCGATGTAACATACAAGTTTCCTGGTAGCCTCGAACGACTCGATATCGATGGTGTCGTAGAGCACATTGATCTGGTTTGCGTCACGGAACTTTTCCGTCTCGCTGAATTGCCCGTACGCATCTTCAGGGACCCATTTCCGCGCTCGAAGATATCGACTGGAGATTGGCGATAAATATTAGAGCCAAAACCCAACGCGAATCTAGGGATAACCTCGGAGGAGTTTTGTTTACATACAGCAGCGTGGGATCATCGTGAGATGGCGGATTGCCCGGCTTATATAACCCTTTCTCCTCTAGAAGAGTTTTAAATTCTACCAGAGCGTGCTCCTCGTGCTCAGTGAGATGACCCAGATGTCCGCTTGGATAACCATGCTCGACGGCCCCAGCCGAGGGGACTCGGTGCATAGAAGACGATTTTTTGGTCATGGCTAGCGTTCTTTTCTTACGACCTAGTCGAGATATTTTCTTTCCTAGATTGAAAGCAACGAAGCAATTACGAAGCCTTTGATTTGCGCACGTCTAACCTGACCGGATAGGTCGAAAAACAAGCGGTAACGGAGAGCCTTACTGGAGAAAGCGGCAACGATGGTTTCCGAAATCAAGGGCTGAGCAGTGAAAAGTGAAGGAATAACACCAGACCCCTGTTCGGCATCTTTTACATAATCCTCATGAATCGGATACAATTGGATCCTATTGGTGGACCAATGATCTAGCTTGATCTTGTGAATGCAGATCCTGATCCTCATCCAATTGCCACCCTTAGATTTTTTTTTTCTTTTTATGATTGTCTCTAGCGCTTCCAAGACCTGCAACTCCGTCATTGTCTGCACTATTCCTACGCGTCAACAGTCAGCTGGTTATTTGTGGATTGAGCTTATTGTCGACTTACCGGGGAAATGGAAGTTACACATAATTGAAGTTCAACGCCATCACTAAAACGAGGAATGGATTCATATATACTTCAGTTAAGCTTATAATATCAGATGAAGTCATGGAAGCGTGGACAAGCTAGTAAACTTTAGTTGCCATTGAGTTTTCGGAATTTTAACGCTAGAACCCAGCCACAATGAGCACTGGGCAGTGACGATAGGCTACTAGGGCTACTCTATCTAGGTCGGACTATTCTGTATGGACCTTATTCATACAACTTCCATCCATGCGACAACAACTCTTCATATCACAAAATCCTATCTGTTGGCTTCCTTCATACAATACAGTATGCAGACACGGACCATAGAAGTGGGCACGAATGCCTATACGGAACACTTATTTGATGTTAGCGACATCTTGGGGTAGCGGTAACGCCTAAAAGAGGCAATCCGATATAAGGCAACCCCGATTATACCCCATATTCCACAGTCCCCCACACTGGAGTACAGCACGGGGGACGCTGGGGTGCGCTGGGGTGCATATTTAGAGACTATCGTCAAGAGTCTAAACTGTATGTGTTAGATTTGTGAGCTGATCTGATCTAGCTTAGTTGCTTACCATGGATAGATTGTGACAACAGCCTCGGAGTCTCATTCGGCGCTCCTCTGAATAAGCCACCTACTTCGTCTCGGGGCATTATAGGAGGCCGTCGGTTTAGGTCGATGCGAGTAAAGGCTGTCTCCTGACAGCTATCTATTACGTTCGATGTCAATTGCGGGGCGATGAAGGACAGCTACGGCGATTTATACCTGATTCACTGTCCCGTATGTCCGTATGGTACCTTCTTACGGACGAGTTTCGTGGAGAGCCTCCGGCTTCCCTCCGCAAGATGCGGGGTCTTGTAACCACCTGTATCAACGTGAGGAGCTTATCTATAAGCTCGAGCTCCTGGATTTTGACTGTCTCAACTTTGAGGTTCCATCACGTTTCCCTACTTAGTCCTGTGCTGTTTCTTGAACACTTATCAACATGACATCCTCAGACGCTCTCCCGTCAAGTCAACGAGTTGTTCCCGGATCTGTGGATATTCCCATCGCACCATGGCCGGTAACGACCAAAGATGAAACCGTAGATGCCTCTGCGGTCTCTTCTCAGATTATAGACTCTTTCAATAGCTCGCTCGCAGCACGAGATTATAAGGCCCTTGCGAACCTCTTCGTCGAAGAAAATAGCTACTGGCGGGATCATCTCGGTATGACCTGGGATTTCCGCACAGCAAAGGGAAGAGATAAGATTATTTCTTTCTTAGAAAAAGGCCATTACCTGAAGAGTATTGGAACAGACCGAGAGTATCCAGTCAAAAATGCTGGACCAGAAGTAGCAGACCTGCGAGGCGACGGGACCGTATACGGAATTCAATTTTATGTACGAACTACCTCTGAGCATGGAATTGGTCCTGGGCTTGCTCGTCTCATCAAAGTCAATGGAGAATGGAAAATATGGACCTTATTCACTTCGATGCAAGAGCTTAATGCTCACCCAGAACCAGTTGGACGTTTGAGACCAATCGGTGTCCAGCATGGGGCACAAGCCGATAGGAAAAACTGGCTTGATAGAAGGGAAGCGGAATTCAATTTTGAGAACGGTGACCCCGAAGTACTCGTTATTGGTAAGCTATAATCTATTATTTGATCGACGTATGGTGGCGCTTACACTTTACAAGGATGTGGGCAAGCCGGACTTTCAGTACAAGCTCGATTGAAAATGCTCGGAGTCCCCACACTCGCCATTGACATATGTGATAATATCGGCGACAACTGGAGGGGGCGCTATCATCAACTCGTGCTGCACGATGCTGTGTGGTACGACCACCTCCCTTACTTGCCATTCCCCGACTTTTGGCCCGTATTTACTCCCAAGGACAAACTAGCCGAATTCCTGAAATCGTACGCTGAAATGCTCGAGCTCAACGTGTGGAATAACACAAGCCTAGAGTACAGTTCGTGGGATGACAAGAAAAAGCAATGGACCGCGGTTCTGAAGCGGGGTAAAAAGGACGGCAGCGTCGAAGTACGCGTAATGCATCCGAAACATATCATCCAATGCACCGGCCATTCTGGAAAGAAAAACTATCCGAATTTCAAAGGCCAAGAGAATTTTAAGGGCGACGTACTTTGCCATTCTTCTGATTTCCGAGGTGCCAAGAAAAATGGTAAAGGTAGAAAAGCAATCGTGATCGGCGCCTGCAATTCGGCGATGGACATTTCCCAAGATTTCTACGAAAAGGGCTATGATGTAACTATGATCCAGCGATCTTCAACGACGGTCATGACTAGCAAGGCAGTATTGGATCTTTTGCTTTGGCCCTCATATCGCGAGGGTGGTCCTCCGACCGAAGAAGCGGACTTGTTGACATGGGGTAAACCGGGTGAGGTTTATAAGGCGATCCAATTCGATCTCAACGAGCGCCAGCAAGTTCAAGACAAGGACATCCTCGAAGGTCTTAATAAAGCCGGATTCAAAACCGATAGAGGTCCGATGAACGCCGGACTGTGGACCAAGTATCTTCAACGCGGTGGCGGATACTATATCGACGTTGGTACCTCGCAATTGATCATTGACGGTAAGGTGAAGGTTAAACACGGGCTCGGCATAAGTGAGATCTTACCGCACGCCGTGAAGCTCGAGGACGGAACGGAGTTAGAAGCAGACGAGATTGTCTGCGCAACGGGCTACCAGAACATGAAGACGGCCACAGAGGTAATATTCGGAGACGAGATCGCGAGCAAAGTTAAGTCCAACGTATGGGGCTACGACGAGGAAGGCGAGACGAAGGTGATGTGGCGACAAAGTGGTCATCCCGGCCTCTGGCTTCACGGAGGTAACCTGGCTATGTGTCGGTACTTCTCTCGACTCGTCGCTATTCAGATCAAAGCGCAGTTGGAGGGATTGTCGAAGATATCTGACCTCTAGGTTGATATATAGTTGTATATGTATGATTGAAACTGTTCCGTAATACAGTACGTCAAATCCGTCTCCGCCCGTCTCTTCGCACCATACCTACAGCCTTAGGGAGGTGTTCTTAGGTACACTAATGCTCGTTTCGTTTGCCTTGGTCTAGTGTCCAGGGAGGTCCACTTATTGATGCGTTTTGAAGGATTAGTTCCCGTCGAACTGAGCCAATCAATGTGGTGATTAAAGCGTTTCCATGTCCCGTTTGGGAAATGCTCGAGGTTGTTGGCGACCCGATACGAGATGACAAGATGTTTTATCTTTCCAAGTTCTTGTGTGATCTAATTGGTGCCACATGCCCGCATTAACTGCCTAATGCCGGGGCTTTATCTTGCTGACACAATTCTTTCCTCCTCATTATCATCATGAAATGATGTTTAAAGAGCATAATCATCAATAAGATGGCTCGCATTGCGAGCTCCGCAGATGCGGTCGCTGTTTTCTCCATTTTGCTTTCGTCATTGTTTCTTTGCGTGGCGTTTTTTCGCTTATGGCGCTTACGTAGGGCGCCCGCTGTTGTTATCTCCGGGTTTCAGGGGCATAGCAAAACGGTAAGAACTCACCCGACACCGAAGCACAACATCATCGACTGACAGTCCTAACAGGTTTTATCAATTTTGTTTACAATATCAAGTTTGGGTCGTCTCATTGCATTAGAAAGTTCTACGCTCAATGAACTTAATTTACATATCGCTTCTAGAACTCTAGAACTTGCCGCGGCGTCAGTGCTCTGTGTTCTATCATGGCTGAAGCATCGGCGGAGCATTCGCCCGTCGGACACAATCATCATTTACCTCGTCGCATGTCTCATTCGCGATTGCTTCGAACTACCATCTTCTATCCGGGGGCAAAGCGATTGGCTGATGCAAGACCCAATATTAGCACAGCTAGTTCTCGAGACTTCTTTACTTGCGACCGAAACTCTTCAAAAGGATCTTATCAAGAAGTCCTCAAATGAAGATGTATCTTCCGAAGAGAAGTCTAGCATACTTGGCCGGACGTTCTTTTGGTGGATTAATCCTATTCTATATGAAGGGTACCACAACGTTCTCTTAGGCTATGACCTGCCATCAATTGATGCGAAATTATTATCAAAACCTACTCGTGCCGCAGCGCTGCTTGCTTGGGAGCAAAGGCGTAGGTGCCTCACTCTATGAGATTCAAGGGCGAAAACGGGCTGATTTTTATATAATTCTTGATATATAGTAAGACCTGAGAATGCGATGACACTCCCGAGAGTGTTGCTCAAGTGTCTCATAAGACCGTTCTTATTCGCGATACCCCCGCGACTTTTTCTCACATTATTCCGGTATTCACAACCAGTCATCATTCGACAAGCCATCACATTCGTTACTACCGACCAACTCAGAAATCAAACATGGACTGGACCTAGTCTCGTTATGGCTGCGGTCGTCGTTTATATCGGCCTAGCTGTAAGCTTCTCGCTTTACTTCTCTGTGTCGACTGCTAAACCTGTATTCAGATCTCAACTACGGCATACCAACATAAACTCAACAAATTGAGAATGATGGTTCGAGCTGCCCTCGTAGGGTTAATCCATGATAAGACCATGAATTCTTACGCCGAAGCCATTAGTGAAGGTAAAGTCTTAACTCTTGCTAACACTGATGTTGATAACCTTGACACCATTGGAGAGATGGTGCATGAAACTTGGGGACAGGTACTTGAAGTCATCATCGGGATCGGAATGTTGGCTTGGCAGGTCGGCTGGTTCTCACTAGTTCCCATTTTTATCATTTTTCGTAAGTTAATATCCCGATTCGCATGTGTTTCTGAGCCTCTTGTTAAACTATCCCTAGTGTGTTCTCGTGTGAGCCAATATGTCGCAAGAAACCTACGATCGAGGTCGGGTAGTTGGAATGAAGCAACCCAGAGTCGCATTTCCATGACAAGTTCTGCCATTAGTGCTATAAAAAATATCAAAATGCTTGGCTTGCAAGGCGCAATTTCAGCGCGTATCGAAGAGCTTCGGCGCAACGAACTCCACAAGGCAAATAGCGTACGATGGATGATGACTGCTTATAACGCATCCGCAAATGCCAACGGCATGTTTGCACCAGTACTCACCCTCGTTCTCTATGCCATTTCGGCCAAAATGAGAGGAAGTGGACTGGATACTGCGACTGCTTTTACCACTATTGCGATTCTAACAATGGTAACGCACCCGGCGAATATGGTTATGACGATTATCCCCAAGGTCATTGCGTCTTTTGCCAGTTTTGAGAGGATCCAAAACTTCCTTCTTGAACCATCTCGCCAAGACTATAGGATTGATATCTCTAACTCAAAGGCGGTCACCGAATCTGGCAGTTCTGAAAGTGGTTTTGATACTATTTTACCCCCAGCTCTCACTATAGAAGGCCTCTGTGCCGGGGAGTCTCGTCTTGCTCTAGAAGATGTCCATTTAACTGTAAGACAAGGATCTATCGTTGTTCTCTCGGGTGCTACAGCTTCCGGGAAGTCCATTCTAGCTCAATCCATCTTGAGCGAAATCCCCTCAATTGGGATGATTGCTGTATCCTCCAAGCGCATTGGCTACTGTTCCCAAATACCATGGCTACCGAATGGCAGTATCCAGCAAATCATAACAGACTTTCATGATGACTCGGTTGCCGACTTTACATGGTACAAGACGGTTCTCGATGCATGTTGCCTTATGAAAGATATCGACGCACTACCAGACGGAGACGAAACACTCGTTGGTAGTAGAGGAATCAACTTATCTGGTGGCCAACGTCAACGATTAGTATGTATACCACTTCTTTAAGAGACCAGTTATTAACGCGGTTTAGGCCCTTGCGCGCGCGATATTCGCTCGAACGGAGATTCTCATCCTGGACGATCCATTTAGCGCCCTAGACGGGAGAACTGAGAGTCAAATTGTCGAAAACCTATTTGGAAATGAGGGTCTTTTCAGAAAGCTTGGAACGACGGTCCTGTTCATAAGCAACTCAGGTATGTAGTCTAGGTATCCCCTGTGACTACAAGTACAAGTACATCCAAGCTAACATTCTGCTATAGCTCAATACTTTTACCTAGCAGACGAGGTAATTGTTTTGGAAAATGGACGTATCAAAGAACACGGCAAATGGAACGAGCTTGCCATTAGGGATCCCGAAATATTAAAAATCATCACAAGTGAAGATGGCGAGCCTAAGAGATCTGTCACTGGGGGATCCGACCCGCTATCTCAGCAACAGAGGTCATACGAAGATGTCACGATTGATTTGAAGCGAAAAACCGGCGATTCAACACTCTATGGTAAGACTGAAAAGCTACTGGCGTGAAGAATACCACCTAACTATTCGCAGGCTACTATATCAAGGCCGCCGGACTGGGCAATTCGGTATTCGTGATAGCCTGTACCGCAATTTACTCTTTCTTTATCACTTTCCCTCAGTACTGGGTTAAGATGTGGACCGGCGCAGAGTCAAGCAACGACTGGTTCTTCATTGGAGGATATATTTTTCTAAACTTCGTCGCATATGTTGTTACGAATATGCATGCCTGGTAAATCTCACCTCACTACCACACGAGAGAAACTCTTTGATAGTAAGACTGACATCGTGACTAGGGCGACCAATCTTCGGATGGCTCCCCATTCGGGTCTTATCTTACATTTCAAACTTCTACACACAATCATCCGGTACTCTCACTCACCCCTGTTCAACGACCCAGGAAACTAATTGAAATGAAGCGCGCCCCTTCAATACTTCTCCATGACAGATAATGGGTCAATTATCAATCGGTAAGTATTGCACCTGATTTACCGATACTAGGACTGATGCAGTACAGATTTAGCCAAGACCTTCAGCTTGTAGACAGGCAGCTCGCATCCGTCTTATCTTCGGTGTTCGTCCGTGGGTTTAGCCTACACTGAAAAATATTGGATCCAGTACTAATAACTATTACAGAGACCTTCAAACTCTTGGTCCAGGTCATCCTGCTATTTGTATCCCAGAAACTACTGACATTTACCTTGCCCATATGTTTTATCTTCGTTTATGCTGTCCAGAAGGTATATCTTCGAACGTCGCGGCAATTGCGCCTTCTGGAACTCGAATCTCGATCTCTAGTTTTTATCGACCTCTTGGAGACCGTTGACGGATTGACTACAATACGTGCGTTCGAAGGCCAATCAAAGGCAGAGTTCGGACATCTTCACCGCCTCGACGAGTCACAGAAGCCATTCTATCTACTTTTATGTCTCCAATGCTGGCTCAAAATTGTCCTCGATCTTCTCGTGGCGGCGGTAGCTGTTGGAGTTATTGCTATCGCTGTGATTCTCAGAAATACTACGTCGGGTGGTCAAGTGGGTGTCGCACTCAATATTGTGCTGATTGCAAATACTACGTTACTCAAACTTGTACAATATTGGACAAGTCTTGAGATATCCCTCGGTGCCATCGCTAGAATCAAGAACCTGGAGGACGAGGTGTTTCCTGAGGACCAGCCATTTGAAACTAGTGTACCCCCTGAAACTTGGCCGTCGTCTGGCGCAGTGGAATTCCGAGGCGTTACAGCCGCATATAACACAGAGAATACCGTACTCGAGGATGTATCGTTAAGAATTGAGCCAGGGCAGAAGGTTGTCATCTGCGGCCGAACTGGGAGGTGAGTTTTTAATGAATCTGAAATTCAGGGGCTCGTGCACTGACCTTCTTTCCCACAGCGGCAAGAGTTCCTTACTACTCACTCTTCTGCGGTTATTGGATACGAAGTCAGGCTCAATTATAGTCGACGGCGTGAATATTGGTCTCGTACCTCGTTCAGTCATACGCGAACGTTGTTTTGTTACGGTGCCTCAAGAACCCCTCCTCTTCAACGAAGAATCTCTTCGATTTAATGTGGACCCCACGGAGACCCTCTCAAATGATACTATCATCGAAGTGCTTTCGAAGGTGTATTTATGGCAACACTTTAGCTCTAATCTAGACGAGGATGAGCTGGGCGATGACAATGCGAGCACACATCTGATCCTCGACCGCACACTAACATCACTTCCACCCCTCTCAGTTGGACAAAGACAGCTACTAGCCCTCGCACGAGCATTGTTACAGGTGTACGTCGTAAACACCTCGGGTGCGAAACCTATCATCTTGCTTGACGAGGCTACCTCATCGCTCGATTCATCAACCGAGAAGGTGATACTTGATATCATCAATGAAGAGCTCGCGAGTAAGGGTCACACAGTAATTATGGTCGCTCATAGAGTGGGCGCGGCTGTGTCGCATCTAAGAGAAGGAGTAGATGCCGTGGTTTGGATGAAAGATGGGCGGATTGAGAAGGTAGGGGATGCAAACGATATTGTCAACTTGATTGAGCAGACCGTAACTCCTGAAGAGGGATCTACGAGTGGTTTATAATTTGACTACGAACGTCTCCAGGCAACGAGGGTTTGGGTTAGAGTCGTATAAATTGGAATACTTTTGCGCTGTATCGCGTTTTTCTTTAGTGGCCAAGCTCCTTAAAAACGCTTAAATTATAGCGGCTATCCACTAAAGTTTAACGCTGAACCCAATACGGTCCCTATGAAATAATTGCTTCTAAGCTTCATCACGCACTAATGGCCTAACATACCTAACCCCGCACTAAATGGCGTCTTTCTTCGGTGGCTAAGCTCCCTCAGATGTAGCAGTCACACACTAAAACTCAGCGGGCAGATCACTATTACTTCGTTAATAGGGCTGTATTCAGCGATTGAAGAGCGCAAATTGCCTTCATCACCCTCTCAAAACCACCCTAACAATTATTCCGCAGTCTTCATGTCCCTCGGCACCAACCTAACAAGCAACGGCCGTCGAAACCAAATCACAAACGCCTTCTGATCGAACCAATCCCCACCCCCCGGCACCAACTCAACATCAAACCTCCAAAGCAGCCGGGCCAAAATCATCCGCAGCTCCAAATTCGCCAAATTAACCCCAATACAACTCAACGGGCCAACCCCAAAATGCTGCACACCATCCAACTCATCACCCGCATACCGCTCACCACCCCCCAACCACCTCTCCGGCACAAAATCCCCCGCATCCCTGAACCGCGCTGAGTCGCGATACGCCGCGAACGCCGTGACCCCGACCGCCGTCCCGCCCGGCACGAAGCGGTTCAGGATCACGCACCCGTCCGCGGGCGTGCAGCGGCGGAGGAAATTCGGGTTGGGGGGGTACAGTCGCATGGCCTCTGTGAGGACGGCGAGGAGGTACTTCTGGCGGGGTAAAGTGGAGGAGTTTATCTCGCTTTCCGACGAAAACGCGGTGCGGATTTCGTGCGTGAGTTTGCGCATGACCGGGGGGTTTTGCAGGAGGAGGGATACGCAGCCTGACAGGGCCGTGGCTACGGTTTCGCTGCCCGCGAGCAGGATTTGCGCGGATGTGGGATAGACTTCGCCGGTTTCGAGGAGGGAAGGCTCGTTTTTGGGGGTGCTGCGGAGGATGAGGGTTGTGAAGTCGGGGCGGTTGGTTGGTGTTTGTAATCGTTTGTTTACCATGGCTTTGATGGAGGTGGCTTGCGCCCGCTGCTTTTCCGCTATCCGTCTTGGTGTTAGGGACTTGAGGATGGAGAAGAGCCAGGGTGCTATGCTTTGGATGGCGATGGCGTATGTGAGGATCTCGAAGCGGGTGAGGAGCTCGGAGGCTAGCGGGTGGAAGCGCGATTTTTCGACGCATTCGAATACGTCGTGCCCGAACATTAGGTCCCCGATTATGTCGAAGGTGATGTAATTGAACCAACCCGATAAGTCGATCGGTTTTCTGGCTTCTGCGTTTTCGCTAAAACGCGACATGGCTCGGTCGACATAACGTGTTATTAGGGGTTCTTGCTCGCGTAGTGCTCTTTCGGAGAACGCGGGCGCGAGTTGTCGCCGTTGACGGGCATGGCCTTCGCCGTCCGCGCTGAATAATCCGAGTGCGCCGTAGAAGTCGAGATCGGGTTCTTTGGGGAGATTACGGTCTACTGTTATGTTGCACATTTGTGAGATATTTTCTTTCGCAGATGCTGGTATGGACAAGGACCAATACGGCTCCACTTAAAACTAGGAATAGGGGTAACTTACGGTGAATCCCTCCCGGCGCTACGCGATTTCCGTAAATAGCGTTCCATGATTCTGAGCTGGTATAAGATATGTCGTTTGGTGCGATTCTTACTGTCGGTCCGTATTTATGGTGAAGCTTCGCGAGTATGAAGGGTTCTTGTCCCTTTACCTGGTGCCAACGTAGAGGTAGCTCAGACACTCCGTAAAGAAATGGGCCTGGGAACGACGCGAGAGGGTGAAAAATGCCATTATAAATCCATTGGGATACTAGCAGCACCAACAACTGCTTGGGTGTAAGTAGATTTTGTCTAGCGGTACGGATGGGGTTGAATTGATAGCAATACATACAAAAACAAGTCCCAGTACGGTGATTTTCGATAGAGTAAGGTTAAAAGCAACGTATACCGCCGCTATAACATCTCTTATAGACATGTTAAAATGATGGTGTTCCTACTGGGTAGGGATTGTTAAAAGAACGGGGGACGAAACTGCGTTACACAAGGCGGGACTACAAGATACCTAGGTAGGGGTTGAAGTTACAGGTATTTAACGTCTTCAAGTTGCCTTGGTTCATACCAATAAATACATTTCTTTAACTGAGATTTCTATTATTACAGACCGAAAATTCTACTTCTCTTTGGATAGCGACTCATCTGCCATTTTCCATCGTGTAACCTGAGAATAGGACAAACCTGCAGTCAGACCTCGAAATGCCATCGTCACCGAACCTCTGCATCTCAAATTCAGATTTCGCAACTAGAACAAACTCGGACAATAACACCTGAATTACGTCTTGTTACATTGTGACTGTGTGGTGGTTCCTGATAGTAACATGGCACAGTATCCTTCACCCTCCACTATCTGCGTCATCGTCGTGCGGAGTCTTAACTTCTCTAGTCTGCAATTGCGGAGTTTTGATGACTTTAAAAGGCTGATATAGGCTAGCTAGTCGGTTACACCAAATAAACGGCGACGTAGAAGATTTTAGTGTAGATACTAGTGTGGGAAATGTTCACGTAAGATTGGTTTCATCCAATAAGAATGTAGGCCGTTCGGAGTTGTTGGACTCAATATTCCTAGTACGGCTGGCTGGCTATCTTATTCAAGACCAACATTATTACCGGATGGTATAATCTTGTCTTGATCATATGTGGTCATGAGATAGGGAATAGTTGCCAAGCATAGCACCAAGTGATCTTTCACGAATATTCATATGTTGGTGACATAAAAAATTCCCATATTTACTTCAAAATAACTACAAATATGTACGTATGTAAGAATTGAACCGGTTTCCCTGCAACCTTAACTGATATGTCTAGGTAGGCACCTAGATGACTAGGCCTGGTCCACGACGCAAGGCCCTTGAGATTGCTTGCGAGGTTTCATTAGTATTGTTGTATGTACAGACCGACCAATCATCGACCCGCGTTTCTCCCCAGGCATTTTTAACTGTTCGATCAGGAGTGCATTCTTCCCAGACGATACCGAAATCGAACGTCAAGCCATTGGTTAGCACACCAGTGCCTTTCCCGCTCTTATCGCTTGTTGTCGCACTTAGTTTGAATTGGAGCTTCGTTTTGACGTCGCCCGTGCCTTCACCACCATCCATGCATGTCGACCATTCCAAGTGAGAACTGTTTCCACTAGCTTCAAAATCGCTATCAAAGTTCCCGTCGCCGCCAATGGATGTCTGAGCCGTGTCATCTATCTATAAGTTTATTAATAAATAGGTATGTACTTAACAGATATTATTTTGGGAAGAAGGGGCGAGAATGAATTATAGTGGTAATCTCACCATGGTAGACATAGACACGTTCCAAATATCAGGTGGCGCCCGTCCCGGATTGAGCTTTCGATTCTCGTACCTAAAGACCGAATTGGCAGTCATTTGGTACAACTGGACACCGTCGGTCGCATTCAGATGCCCTCTGTAGGTCACATCCTGGATCGCAAAGCGATACTTGTACCACCAAGAGGTATACTCTACGGTGAATTGACATACGGAAATCTCATCTGTTCTGCCATGGCCCTCTGCGCCAAAGGTCATGCTTGGAAGCTCGAGTCTAAGCGTGTTCGGAAGAAAAGTAATCTTCATGTTCTGGCCTGGGGAGCACTGAACCGGGGTATCCGACACGATTCCTAAGATGACTGGCGTTTGTGGAGGCGGCGGATCACCTTCCGCAAGGACAGATCTCACAAGGGAGATCCCCGCGATCAAGCTAGCGATCTTCATGATGGTGTTTTGTCGCAATCGTGAGCAGGATCAGGAGTTGCTTCGAGTTCGTCGCTGCAATTAAGAGGCGAGGACAGCAATTGAAACAAGGGAATAGATTCTGAAGTAAAAATAAGAATTGGATGATTTTTAATTGCGTCGTGGCCTAGAGCCTCCTTTGTCTCCTAAAATTAGGATCCGTTGGGAGGACCTTGTGTCGCATTCTAGCTCACAATTATCCCCTACACTTGCATTTTGGTAGGCCTTTCAACCTTCTAGAACCGGCTAATCTAGGTGCTGTTAGCCGTACCGGGAAATATTGTTTACCAACTGCTACCTTCTTCGCTTATGATAAGATCACGAAGATCGATGCTTGATTGCACATCAATTACCAAAAGTGCTGATAGATCCAGGTTGGTTTCCCTTTTTAGGAACCGAGATTATACGGGAGCGACAGGAACCGTCATCACGGAATCTTACAGGGCTGACAGGCACCTGTTAGGTCTGTAGAACATTTCTATATATCCGCCCGGGCGGACCTCATCTTCCTTAACTACCTGTAAACTTGGATCATACGTTTCGCGAATCTTCTAGGATTAGGATATCGATTAGCAATTTGTCTCATTGACATTAAAATATGAAACAATGTTGGTCGTCGTCTGCTAGATAGTTCGTATGTGTGGTGTCGGTGTTAGATGAATGTTTGTTTCTTAGAAGAGAGAGTTGGTCATTTCGTTGTTAGAACTTAGGACAGAAAAAAGACAGGAACCCTCAAGCCACCCCCACCTTACGTAACTGGGAAACGGCTTAGTAATGATTATATAAGCGGTTGCTTACTAAACAGCTATCTTGAATACAGTAGGGACGTAGGTTAGGAATTTCTGAATATTTAAATGTTAATACGGTAATTAACACATAATAGTTATAATTTGTAACTTATAGTATTATTTACTTTTGAGACTGATAGAAGAAGTATCGCGTGTATTATATTGTACTGTATTCCGCATTGAGAAATATCCCCTGCGCTGCTTATATAAGCACTTTACAATTGTCTGTTAGGTGATGAATGTCGATTGTGTAACGCAGGGGATAGCTTAAAAGAGACAGTGTAATACAGTAACATTAACACATAGTCAACTTTGTTTGGTATTTCGTGCCATACTCTTTCCTGACATTTAACATAATATCGAATTTTCATGTAGAACGTTAATATTAGTTTTATTTCATTATTCCGGTGCCGGATCTCGTTTTCCTTCTACTTATCGATCAAGCGTTTTCAATATACCCTTTAAGATCATAACTAACATAGCAGTACAACAGGTACTCTATCAAATTGAAGTACTAAATTATGGCACTGAAAGAGAAATGAACTAACAGTATCTATGTGGCTTTTGTTAACCTACAATTAAATTTACTTGAAATTATACTAACTTCATTTAAGATTCAAACTAGCCGATAACCTCGGTATTGATGCTACGGATGGGATAACGATTTATGTTACAATTGAAATAAGAAATCTTCTCAATAAACAAAGGCAACGTAACTAGCTACGTTGGCCTATATGCTTGGCGCTGTCGTGCCGTGACATTAACCCCCGCTCGAACAAGGAGAGAAGATACTATGGATGTTGATATCCTTGCTAATATGAAAGTGATGGGGTATAGGTTAGTCTACTATTGAGATATCTCAAAAGTTACTAAGTTCTTTTTGGTTTTTATAACTGTTGAGTTGTTGAGGTGTTTAGACAATGACTTTAATAACATAGCCAGCTAGATACTAGCTAGGTATCTATTATGTTGGGTCTGCTCATAGTTCAAATTGGGTGGTTAGTCAGCAGCCAAATTTCCTTTTGAAAAAAAGCCAAGAAAATGCATTCTCGCTTTTGGTAACTTTCTAAATGATAACTCTTTAAGGAAGTTCTGACGGGGAAATGTCAGATATCCACGAGGACATAGACTGTGGGGTGATGCGGAGAGGGCTGCAATGATACAATATCTAATTCCCCGGATTGGATCTTGGTATTAGGTAGGGTTACATGAACCGGGGTTATTGTTCACATTGTTTAGCTTATGCTGTTAGTATGTTCACTAATAAAGTCTACGATATGGATATTCTAACAAAGAAAGAGCTCTTCTACGCCCCACAGAGTATTCTTGTGGGGGCCGGCAATGCTATTACTGGACGTATCGAATATGATCTTGGTAGATGACCGAGTATCCGAAGATATGAGAATATGACGGTCATTAATTTCATCCGACGCTTGTTTCTCATGAGCGAGTGAATGCGGAAATATGCCCGAGTGATAGCGGGAAAGCGGGAAGTTTGCGAGAAAATATGCAACATTTTAGCCTTAGACTTCTATCGACCTGCCAAAGTGCATACCATATCTTATAATTGCGATTCGATTTCGGGTCCGTTAGTATGTTCTAACGTCATAGAATCCTAATTAGGTTAAATGTTTTGGATGTGTGATCAAAGAAAATCTGGGGTAATGCAAGGGGACATCAAAGAACACCACTCAACACAAGCCGCATTAAGTCTGTTGGACAAAGGATTGCCAGCTGACTTCGTACACAGGAATTTCAGCCCCGATGTCTGAAGCCACGGCGAAGCTCAACATGCCGAGCTGGAAGTCAAACATCCTGCTTACCCTCGGACCGGGTAAGAGGATTGTCTTGTACTCCCAACTCCTCCAATCAGCTTAAAAGCCGTGTATAGAAACAGGAATATGAGCCGTCTATACGAAGGGGTAAGCTATCACCCGACCAAAACATGTAAGCCCGAAGCTTCCTTTAAGCCCCGATTGTTCGAACCCGATGTGACTTAGTTGTGACTTACTGGCTGACATATAATTGCAGAAAGCTGCCGTTTAATATAGGGAAATATCGAGTAACAACAGGGCTGCATGACTGAGTTGCCTGACATTTACCCGAATATTTATCCAAATGGCGATTTTAACGGTTCCGGGCCTCTGGGTCTTGTTAAGCTTTTTTGCATGCTATGCCTATAGTGCACCGCCTGCCAAGCAAGCTCGCCAATCTGCGGGGTGTACCGAGGACTATTTCAAAGGGATCGCCCCTTCTGGAATATCAATCGAGCGAGTAGAAAAAGTCACCAGTGGGACATTTTCAGAAAGCGGAGATATAGGATACCCATCATTCGCTGGTGGGCTTCCCTCGTTGTGTGCGGTCATAGTCAAGAATGAAACTGCGAATTACCGGTTTGGGATGTTCCTCCCAGATAATTGGAACTCGAGGTTTCTCGCTATAGGAAGTTACTCCTTCCTTGGCGGTATAAACTGGCTTGATATGGGACCCGGAGCGCAGTACGGCATGGCAAGTCTCTCGACCGATACCGGGCATAGTAGTGGTCAGGGAGATCTCACATGGCCAACCACCCAAGACCTTAAGGTCAATTGGGCTTACCAAGCATTGGAGGGGTCTATTATCCTAGGGAAAACACTCGTCGAATCTTATTACAACAATAAATCTATCGCATACTCGTATTGGAGCGGTTGTTCAACAGGGGGGAGACAGGGTCTCAAGCAAATTCAGGTATATTATATGGATATCTTCTCCCTCAAAGCTTGGTTTAACTTATTTTCAATAGAGGGATCCTGATATGTTTGACGGAGCTTTGATTGGAGCACCTGCGTGGGACACGAAACATTTGATGCCCTGGATCTCCAAGCTCGCGACCTGGAACCTTCCAGAAGACGCAGCAGGAAGTATCAATGACACGAATCTCTTCTCGCGCCTTCAGGCAGAAGTTGTTAAGCAATGCGACTCACTTGATGGAGTCCAAGACAATATAGTCAGCTCGCTCTCGGCATGCAGAGAACATTTCGACATTTCGAAAATTCGTTGCGACATAACGACGAACAAGACATCTTGCTGGACTCAAGCTCAGATAGACACAGCTCAGAAGATGTACACAGATTATACCACCGAAGACGGAAAATTCGTCTACAGTGGAATGGATTACAGCTCTGAAGCGGATTGGGGAACCTATCTTACACCAGCGGGCGCGAATGATTCCAACAATGTAAGAAGGAATTTTGACGCTGAGTATGAGCGAACGTTCATGAGCTACGGCTCTGATTGGCAAATTACTTCCTACAACGACAGCGTTGTGGCCGATGCGGAAGTGCGTGACGAAAGCATCCAGTGTACCGCCGATCAATATGATCTTGGCAGTTTTAGAACAAAGGGAAAAATCAGTAAGTTCAATCCACAACTGCTCCCTTCCGCGCATTCAGATCGGACCGAATGGTGCTAAGCTCACGAAAACTAATCATCTTTTTTTTTTTTTAGTAATGTATGGCGGTCTCGCAGATTCTGTCGTACCAGTTCAACATACCACTTTATACTATAACAGAACCATTGAAGCAATGGGAAACGTTGATGACTTCTTTCGCTATTTCCAGATCCCGGGTATGGGTCATTGCTGGGGCACTCCTAGCAATGTCAAAGCTCCCTGGATGATAGGGGGTGCCGGTCAAGCTGCTCAGATGCCGCCGTACAACTCCGGTTTCTCGGTTCCTCTCGGTAACAATAACAGTCGCCACGATGCACTCCTGGCCTTGATTGATTGGGTTGAAAATAATAACGCGGTCTCTCAAATAATTGCTTCCGAATTCAATTTCACGGATTCGACGTTGCAGAATATTGTAACGTACAGGCAACGACCCATTTGTCCATACCCTCAGACAGCTGCGTGGGATGGGCAGGGATCTCAGGACGATGCTGCGAGTTGGCAATGCAAATAGTAATTTATGAGTTCCAACTGTATGGAACATACTATAATAAAACGTTGGATAGAGGTTTAATGTTTTCGCTCATGATAAGGTAGGATTAAAAGTTACTGGTTAATTAATGGGTTAGGATAATAGGGGTTAGGGTTAGGAGTTGGACCAGGGTTAAGGTTGGGGTAATTTTGGGTTAGGGTTGATTGATGATGTAATTTCAATTGGATTACTAATAGCCATAATCACTGCAGTGACCACGAAGTAGATCGATACCTCATACCTAGGTATACTGTAGAACAATATTGTATTTGAAATTCGCGAGTCGATGTTCGGTTCTCGATAAGTGATAGCTAGTATCATAATTGATGTGGATAATGCAACTCAATGATCTGGTTCAAATGTGTGGGAATTTTAGCATGGAGACTCATGGGTGATGGGCATCTGTCAGCTTTTATGTAAGAAAACGATTACCTAATATCGGATGATTAATATGATTATGTAAGAAGTTTTGGATGACTAAGATGACTAAGATTAAATGTGTCACGTGAAGCTATGATTACCTATTTACCCTCGGCACGTTGTAAGATGAATTTCCCCACCAAGTTCCGAGGTTTCATTGTAAGATTATTTACATTTACATTCGTCTATCAACGATTCCCTCCTCATAAGATCGTATGTCGTATTACCAATTTGTGTTGTTTCTTATAAGTTAAATCTGTGATTGGACAATATTCGAGGAGTACATCGCCATCATAAATAATGCCTCCGGATGTAGCCGTTTATCGGCGACTCACATTTCAAGAGATTATGAGTTTAGTTCCTCTTCAGGATACGGTGGTGGATGGGAAAATCATAAAGCGATATATGAGTCAGCGGAAGCCATGGTGCCCAGAAGAGGATGTGCCAATCGCGAGTGAAAAGACCAACCCGGAACGGGACCTAATGCAGAACTCAGGCCAGCCAAAAGTGGCGTTTGGTGGGCATGTTTACAGCCAAGCGGGAATGGCTGTTTCTAGAGCTCTGGCCGATATTCAGGCTTCTCAAACAACCTCTCGGAAAGTACTTGGTATTCATGTAAGACATTTTCTACTCAGTTTACGTTGACAATTGAAGTCAAGGTCAACAGACCTAGACTGAAGAAAGACCCACTACTCTTTACAGATCTGTACGGTCTCGCAGAATTGGCCATACTGTACCCCTATTATCTAATGACTAACAGTCCTCGGTCATTCAAGCTTACTAACAGACATAGACTATTCATGGCTACTTCTCCGAGGCTGGGTTGATTGACAGACCTTTCATATACCATGTGACCGCCATTTCGACCAATACATTATTTCCAAATCTCTTCGTTACAGTGCGGCAGCCACTATCACCGAGCACAAACGCCATCGGGGATCATTACCCACTAGCAGACGCCGCCCTTCCTCTCGGCCCGGTCTGCTTCAGCGCTATTGTATCATTTAGGCCACCCGGGATCTCACAGCATATTGCTCAGGAACCACCAGTCCAGATACGATTCAAGGATATCCTAAGCTTGCGACCGCCATCTGAGTGGGACCCTGCACCACACATCGATATTGCTAAGAAGCTGGATGATTTTCCCATGAAGAATCCGGGCTCCTTTCCGGTCGTTGATATGAAGAAGGTCGATTTAACCTCATTTAATCAAGGTAAACCCTTGTGCGATCGTCGGGAGCTACTGTTATATCGGCTTCTTGCGCCACTTCCTGCGGATCAGACAGACTCGCATATTCTCGCCCACGCATACGAGGCGGATAGGAATGGGCTTCTAATGATAGGAAACCATGTGGGGTTCGGTTATGACTTCGCTCGAGCAGCTAGTTTAAGCTATTCTTTCGTCATACACGTTAATCCTGAAGATGCGGTAATGTCTTACGGCGAGAACGAATGGTGGATCCAAGAGGCATGCTTTCCTAGGATTGAGGCTGGGAGGGCTATTATTATGAGCAAGATTTGGAGTCCAAAGGGTGTCCACGTAGCCACGGAATACCAGGATGGCGTAATACGACGGAATTGGAAGCCTGGGGAGAGACAGGGCAAGTTGTGAACTGTACGATCTTGAGCGTATTGAGAGTTGGCATTTCTAGCGTAAGATCATATCCTTTGAATCGACGACTAATCTATCTTAATATTAGAAATATGTCGCAAACATTGAACAAAGCTATAGATCTAATATGAAGCGACACAATTGCTGGCAAATTGAACAATATGTTCCAATCATGTATTGTCGTATACGTCTAAACTAATCCTACCTAGGTAGATAACCTTACAGAGAGTAAACCTCCTCAGATCATACCGGTTCCCCGCTCTGAATATTGACCTCTCTCAAAATAGATTCAACTACCAAGCTTTGGAAACACGACAATTAACTTCCGGCGGCTATGCCACGCTTGTCAAGACTTGGCTCCGTCTTTTCATTCTTCGCAACCACGAACGGATCCTTACTGACAGCCTTGTCGACTTCCGCGCAAGCGTCATAGCCAAATAGCCAGGGTTGGACCTGAGGGCAAACCAATCGGATCGGGAAGGGTGCGTGTTTTTCTTCTTCATTTAGCTGCGATAGAAGCAATTCGTCTCGTTCTCGTTGCTTAGGGCCATCGACGACTTGAAAGACGTCGCGCTAGGTTTTATCAACAATTGTAAGTAGTTTATTTATGGCTATTGTGGGATTCTGTAACTTACCTGTGCGAACGTTTCTTTCACGATAGCATCTCCTCGAGGCTTCCGAAGCTGCTCGTACATTTCCAAAGCCTTACCGATCTGCTCTTTATTCTGGATGTGTCCTAGCAAGCGACCAAGAACAGCGCCATCCTCGATAGCTGAATTCGCCCCCTGACCAAGATATGGTAGCATGGGGTGGCAGGAATCACCGCTTCAAGATGGCGTTAGCTTGGCCAATAGGCCGAGAAGATTTCTTAACTCACAGGAACGCAAAGTTGCTATTTGAAGATGCATAGACCCATCTTCTCATTTCCTTCCCTGATGGGTTTCATATTAGCACACAAGCTTCGCCAGTTGCTATAGTCCGAAACTTACTATGCATAAGTTTCCACTTCTTGACAGAATCAGCGACGGCAATGAACTTGGTTAAAATCGGATCCCAACCCGTAAAAAGAGCTCTCATCTCTTCAACAGAACCGGCCTGTTTGCTAATACCGTTGGGCAGGTCGTCGGGGACCAATAACACGATGTTAAACTCGGTTCCTCCCCGGAGTGAATATCCAACAGCATGCGAGTGAGGACCGATCCATACATCAAGTGACGGCTTACTGACCCACTCTCTTAATTCGGGATCTTGAATTTGATCCAAAGTTAACACCAATCGGTACGCCAGATCACCCGTTGGTCTCGGAACCCCTTCGAAGTCCTTAGGGAGAAACTGGGCGCGGCAAACAGACCACAAGCCATCCGCTGCGATAACGACATCCCCCTTTGCGCTTAATCCAGTGTGGCTTGTAATTTCTCCAGTTTCATAATTCAGTTTACTTATTCTCATTCCGAATCTAAACTCCACGCCCAGTTCCTTGGCACGTGTGTACAACGCGGTCTGAAAATCGACACGATGCAACTCGATGAAAGGGGCATCGTACCTCGCCCGCATCTTCGTATCGAACTCTCTCTCCAGGACTAATATCTCGCCCGAGTATCGCCGAACAGAGAGCGAGGTGGGTTCAGTAGCTGAGGTCCACATTTCGGCTGGGAGACCCCACCGTTGTAGTATTCGTGAAGCATTTGGGCTGACGTTTATCCCAGCCCCTATCTATAACTGCATAAGTAATAGAACACTTTCTAAGTCTCATATAAATGGTGAAACGAATCAAGTTACCTCATGGATCCCCTCAGCGGATTCGAAGACGACCACATGATGGCCGGACAGCGCCGTCTCTATTGCAACTGCCAAACCACTTATCCCCGCGCCTATGATAACCACATCTAGGCGAATAGCCGGTTGAACTGCATCCACCTGCGTTCATATTGTTAGTCAATACAGAATGGATTCATCTCTGGGTATGACGCACCATTTTGAACTTGGTACTACCTAATTTAGTGGCGTTCTTGCAACACTACCAATGCCCCGACCTGTTTAGGAAGCGCTCTGCGAAGTCTCAACTCACAGGAGCCTGATAACGCAATTTAACTGAACTGGAAATCCACTCTATTGTAGGTGAGTAAACATCTTATTTGGCCGGATATCTCGGGTTTCTGCTGATATTATACTCCCCCGCTTGGTGGCTGCGCCCCGGGTAATTCTTCGAGAGCCTGCTTATGTACGAAATCCTACCCCAATCCATGCGAGCGCCACGCATTATAATTGGTTTATTACTTATAGGAAGGCGTTCGCTGTAACACGCTACGAATACAGTGGTACAGAGCGCTATACGTCCTGTATTCATAGCAAGTCCTTATTCGTCGGCGTGAAAGTGGCGTTCCTAGTACAGCTATCATCATGGGGCATTTCAGCAGTTCTTAGGCGGCTTAGCTCTGAATAGGCGCAGTCCCTCACAGGATCGAACGATTCTACCCGATATTTCAAATTATCAAAGCGTCAGCTCTTTCTGGATCGGGAATTACAAGATTGAGTGTCCAGATGACAATTTAATCTAACTTCGTGTCCCCTAAAAGGAACTTATCGCTCAAAATCTGCTCTCAACCGTCATACTTCTAGCCTCGGTGTACGACCATATCCTCAAGCCCCGAGGGTTGGGGTTAGGGTTGTTTTGTCAATAACCCTAACCCCTGATTTACCAGCCCCTTAAACCTCTTCAAAGAACGTCTCGCAATAGGCACCTAGCATGAAGACAGAGGCTTCCACATCGCATTTCCTGAGTAAATACGGAGCCGTTGAAATTTCCCCTCAATGTTTCCCATCGGCACCCATATCAACTACCATGCTGCCCCACACTACCACGCCGCCGGAAGTATGAACGCGGAATCTCCGTACCTATTCTGGTAGAAGGCCAGACATTTGATAGTATTTGTCACGAAACCCAGGATAATCAAGATTTCTCTTAAGCCTTTATGTTAGTTAGACCCGGCGTGCTAGCGTCAAAGCTGCGGCAGCCACTGGTCTGTCCTCAAATTTCGGTACCAGCGGATGCTGACATGTCAATAACGCGTGGACTTGAGGCACGTAGAAAAGTAATTGAGAGGGGAGTTCCGGGAGGATTGGAAGTCTTACGGTCACACGATCTTACGAGCGTATTTGATTTTCGTTGAAGCAATGATGATTAGGACTTGAATGATCTTCGGCTTATTCCTACTAGGTACCTAGAGACGTAAATTTTCTCCATTCTGAGCAAGCAACCCCTATGCCCTTATGACTACCTGCCCAGTACCTACCTTGGTAAATACAGGCTTAAATATTTCCGAGAAATTTCGCTTTTGCTTTTCTTAGAGGAAGTAAAAGAGGGGTAACCAAGATATATAAGGTAGGTAAGCATGAAGGTTGAGATGCCGGCCATGCTGTACCTGAATCCTAACCCTTCAGTTGAAAAGGGGGTTCTTAACAACATCACTGCCAAAAGGCGGAACCAGAAGGCACGGAAATAATAAAGATGCTGCGCGAAGAGTTCCCAACTACTCCACTAGATAACTATACATACAGATAAGGTCCTTTGTCTAATAAGAAATGAAAAACTATCTGATATGCCCTTGCGAAAGGAGTAATAAAAGTTTATACCTAATATAGTAGAGTATTCAAGTGTGATATTGCGTTAGGCATAAGAGTACCTAGGTAAGTATCGGAGAAATCGACAAAAATTGCCTATAATTTCCTCGTTTGAGGCGTATTTCTGAATTTGATAGGTGCATAGGTAGGTAGGTAAGACGTACATACAATAATATATATCTGGAAATTATAAAGTGCGCATATTTCAGATGCCTATAATCATGGCCCATAAAGCTTCCTCATTGATGTAAGCGATTTTCGCGGTTTTCATGAAATCATAGGGGTAATTACCTAATTTATAAAGGCGCAGGATAAGTGGTATAGAAGATGCCAAATTGCCTCAATATGGCGACCTGTCCATCTGAATAGTACTAAATAGGTACCTACCAATTATATCACTCATAGGTACCTGTAGGTAAGCATATGCCGATTCTATACCAGGTACCCAGTTTAATGAATCCCCCAATGCACGGCATATATATTGGCGTCGATTCCTCCGCAAACGTATCTATACACTTCATTTTTATATACCTTGTACCCCGCGAAGCAAACACTCTTCTTGTAATGGTTCGCATGGTATACGTTATTCGTATGCCATGCATACCAAAAATCATTCCGCTCACCCCTATTCGTTTTCGCCCCCGCCTCTGCGGCACATAGATGTGATGCTACCTTACCAGGTACCTACCTTACCTGAAAGTAGAGTAGGCGAAGTCAATCCTACTAATAATTAAGCTTATATCACAGTGGCACATCCGAGAACGGTCTGTGCCGTCACTCCGCATAGTAGCCAGCATTGGTAGTCATCCCACTTATCTATATCGACATACCTGATTACCTAGTATATGCCGAAGCCGTTTATGGTATCCATACGTTTCATTAACCAGTTGCAGATCAATCTCGTAGGTCTCCCTCCGTTCCACAGCATGCTTACTATACTCTCACAGGGCTGATATGATCCTTCCGAGGCCGAGTCGTATAGTACCTACTTATGCAGTTCAACCATACCGGCTGACATAAGACCGCTAGCCACTTCAACACATAACGGAAATTATATATTCATTCTATTAGCATACAATTTTCGATTGCAGACACACTACAGGCCCATTTAATCAGCTGACAGGCATACTTCGACGTCGACCTACCATAAGTAGGAAAATCCCTGATGATCATGGATCTCGATGGACGGGACGGGACGATTACTCCTGATCAGGTTCCCGCTCCGATTCCTTCTGTGAGTCGGCAGCTTGTCACGATAATGATTGGTGATTATACTATACCAGACCAACTTGAAACGCACTGTTAATGTATCATCGGACAAGCCATTGAAGTACAAGAAATTTTATTTGACCGAGTTGGATTGTAGGATTATTTTTCATATGGAGAGACCGGTCTCGGTAGCTTCCGATCGATCCCAGAAAATCCTGGCTGGAGCCGTAAAACACGGAACTATGGTAAGACATATAACGGATACCATACATTTCCCTGACCCCCAGCCCAGACATACCATGACTTTATTCCAACTTCGAGTCTCAGTGTGACCTTGCGGTTGCTTTGAGAATCCTATTGGCTCGCGGCCGGGCTTTTGTTCCCCTACAATCATTTTAGTACTGTTTTCTAGAATCATGTGAAGATTGTCGAAGCTTTTCAAAGCCAGATATTATCTAAACTGCACAAAGAAGGACATAGAAAATCGGTCTTCCCTAGATAATCGGGTCCCGAGTACGTGGCCACGCCCATTAAACTGTTGGGAATCTAAAAGTAAATCCTTGTTTCACCTCGAGCCGTCCTTTGGCGTCCTTCGGCGTCCTTTATTGTTATTATGGCAGAATAATTCGGTCCACATAAACGCTTTTCACGCCACAAGATATGGAAACTTTCTCTTTCTTACTGTTAGATCTACCGTCTAATAGGCAGTATATTAGGGCTCTTTGATAGCAATATTACCGCATATCACATGGTTTCTTTATTCTGCCACGAGCCACTACTATCTCTCGGGACAGGAGGATACCATGCAGTCGGGTCGCTATTATAGACTTTCTGGGTAAAACTACCTGTCCAAGCGGACGGGTTCATTGGCTACCATAAAGTACCAGCAATCATGTTAGAGGGACCCAGCCGTATACGTAAGTGAGCCTCAAATTGGTAGCTATACCGCTAGTATTCAAGTCCTTACTTAGGTAAATAGGTACACATACCTAGGTATCTGCCTCCTATGCAGCCAGTCTTAGCGATTACAACCTACCTGAATTAATATGGCCTACCACCTTCCCCAATCATGAGTCGGTTGATCCAGCTTTCTACACGCCCATCTCAAACTCCTTGTTTGGGTTTAAAGGTTAGGTATGCGACTAAGACCTCGAACCAGTCCGTAGAATACAAGATGATACCTGCAGAGGAATTCTGCATCTGCTTACCAGCATCATACTAGCCTAGACTCGCACGATGGGCATAGTCGAGGGATCACATAGCCTGCTCTCCGTGTCCATAATTCGGTGTAACTCAACATTTACTGGCGATGGCACCCCGTGTCCTTAAAATGCAAAACATCAGAATACATCGACTCATGACGCGCAATCTGACTTAGGTATCTGCATTCGAGATATCATCGGATATCTGCAAACATTATCCGTAAGTGGAGTTGACGTCGTAGTTCCGAGTCTATGATACCAAGCTCGGGTTCTAGCCTCTTATCTTGCGATGATGCAGGAATTAAGAACGGTTTGTTTGGATCTCGCCTTCCCCGGGATGCATAAGGCATTAAACACATGCGGGAAACGGCGCTGTGCCTACCCGATTAACTAGTGAACTAGGGTTAATCGAGAGTCAATGACTCCTTTGAAGACTTAAATTTTAAGATACGAAGGAAGCAATGACCTCAAAGAGTACAACCCTTACAACCCTTACTTGAGCGAAATACCCTGATTCACCTTTGTTGTTAGCCACGTTCTTTTTGTCGACAATCTATATATATCCATTAAGTTCACCTGATCCCAACAGTCAACTTGCTACCTCACCATTAGCACCGCCATTACCCAGCAACCCAGCAACCCACATAGAATCTTCTTTGGAATATCACTATATTCGCAATGGGTAACCCAAGCAATCATCTTGCCAAGGTGTGCGAGGCATGGGACCTCTTACAGGAGCGCATTGATGCGGGAAGCTATGTCATAAACGGCCAAGAGCTCCATATCTCTGATGTTGTGGCCACCGCGCTGTATGTTACAACTTGTGCACAAGAGCCATGAGAGGTCTTTCTTTGCTAATGAGATTTTAGCCATGGATGCATTCCACAGATCACGGATGACCCAAAGGTCGTTAAGAGCATCCAGGATAGCGTGGATGTTCTATACCACTACCTTTCAAAGGGGTGGTATGTCTATGGTACGTTAAACCGATCCTCGTCGTTAATGATATTGACTAACCAATACAAGGCGTAAACACGGGATTTGGAGGAAGCGCAGATACACGGACTGATCAAGTTGTAGCTTTGCAATCATCTTTGATGCAACTTACTCAGTCCGGTATCATCTCCAGACACGCTGATGGATCGAAACCAGGTCATTCTATGCCCGCAGAATGGGTCAAGGCGGCTATAGTCGTGAGGTGCAACAGTACCTTACGAGGCCACTCTGCCGTTTCCCTCCCGGTCCTCAAGGCTATTACAGACCTTCTTGAGAATGACTTGACCCCCGTTGTACCATTACGCGGTTCAGTCTCGAGCTCCGGTGACTTGATGCCACTCTCATATGTGGCTGGTAGCATAGAAGGAAACCCAGATGTTCTAATTGAAAAGAACGGCAAGGTCCTTCCAGCACCCCAGGCATTAGCAGAGGCAGGACTTCAGCCGGTGAAGCTTGGCCCCAAAGAGGGTCTTGGTTTGATTAACGGAACATCATCATCGGCAGCACTAGCTTCCATTGTGATCACTGAATCTCACCGACTGGCCCTTCTTACACAGGCTCTCACTGGCATGGCCGTGGAAGCGCTTCACGGAAGCAGAGAAAGCTTTAACCCATTTATTGCCAAGACGCGACCTCATCCAGGCCAGATCGAAGTCGCACGAAACATTTACTATTTCATGGGTGGCTCAGCTCTTGCAAGAGATGTACTTGAACCGAAGAATCGTCGCTCCGAAGATTTGGTTCAAGATCGTTACTCCGTACGAAGCGCTCCGCAATGGATTGGTCCTCAGATCGAGGATTTGCTTCTCGCAGACCAGCAGATCAGCATCGAACTCAACTCTTCGTGCGACAACCCACTTGTCGACGTAGAGACCAAAGATATCCATTACGGCTGCAATTTCCAGGCGGCGAGTATCACATCATCCATGGAGAAAGTACGACTATCGTTGCAAATGTTCGGTAGGATGCTCTTTTCGCAGCTTACCGAAATGGTTGACCCGAGTCTCAGCGGTGGACTACCAGCCAACCTTGCCGCCGATGACCCTAGTCTCTCTTTCACATTCAAGGGAGTCGAGATCAACATGGCTTCTTACATGGCAGAGCTATCTTATTACGCCGGTCCCATGAGCCCTTTTATCCAAGCCGCCGAGATGCATAACCAATCAGTCAACTCGATGGCATTGGCGTCGGCTCGTATGAGTGCGCATGCAACAGAAATTCTCACCATGATGACTGCAGCACACTTGTATGCTAGTTGCCAGGCCGTAGATCTCAGAGCACTGCATATGCATTTCGTGCGAAAGGCCGTCGAGACAATCTCATCAATCACCACCCAATTTTTCTCCGGAAAACTAGCATCTGATGAACTAGAAGATTTCCAGAAGGCCCTTGCAGCCCACGTTTATCCTTCCTGGTCGTCTTCGAGCAAGAAGGACCTCGCGGACCGTTGTGAAGCTCTCGTAAGCACAGCAGTGCCTATCGCCGTCAACCACACAAAGGGTAACGTCGAAGACATCACCCAATGGAAAGAACAAACTGTCAAAGCCATCAATGCCTTGTGGGAAAAGACCTTTGAAGAGTTCTGCGCCAGGCCCCACACTCCCAATGTCCTGGGTAAGGGTTCAAAGGTTCTGTACACATACGTCCGTGAGAAACTTGGTGTACCGTTCCACCAGGGCTTTGTTGAGCATCCCACCAATAAGGTTGATACTTTGAACGGCCGACCCAAGAAATCCATCGGTGGCTGGACCTCCATTGTTCACGATGCGATCAAGGATGGTTCTTTGTATGGCGGATTAATAGCATTGGCCTCGGAAGGTCTGCTAAAGGAAACTAATGGTCACACAAACGGCTACACAAACGGTCATACAAATGGACATGCTAACGGGTACACGAACGGCACGAACGGGAAGATCTGAAGTGACTAACTATTCAATTTGTCGCGCAATCATTCCGTCATAAATATGCCTATCTCCTCTGTCTAGGAGTTGGTGAAGGCCCTTCATACGGCGTCGGTGCTTTGAGAAGTAGAAAAAGAAAAGAAGGTACCTAGAGACTGCTTAAACCTGGCTCGGAATTTTGCTTCTACATGATGTATTATCATATATAGCGTCTTTCCTTTGAGGTGTCTGGTCAGTTGTTGCCAAGTATTTCTCTAAAGTTAGCGTTTAGACAATCGTTACACTGTCAGAATCCACCAAACATGTTCGTTTTCCCCTTGACGGTGACTTGTGATTTGTGGCTCTTGATGTAATTTCGATCTGTACTTGTTGACATGGCTTGGTGAAACCCGCGGTTTGCTTTTTGAGTCGTTAGGGCGATCGTCCTCTAGACTTGTGTTACGAAGAAGCTATTTTGAATTGAAGGTGGAAGCTTCAAGGTTTTGAATAAAGGAGCGCACGTGCGATGTTGATCAGGGTCCTCCGAGGTCCTTTATCAAAGCTTATTAATCACTTATCAGGGAATCGCGGTTAAGCGCGGAAATGATTCCCTGTAATACCCCTGACCCTTGCAGTGCCCAGACCAAGACCCCTGACCCCGGACTTATTAGGGTTGTCAGGCTTGACAGACTTGCCAGAATACAAAAAGACTTGGATGCGCGGCATGCGGCACGGGCCAAGGTCGCAGTTCTAACTTCTGTGGTTCGTCTTTGATCTTTATCGATGAAACCAATGCGAAACCACGGGAATTCTGCCAAAAAACATCGACAGGGTCCTGAATTCCTGCTGAGCGATTTCGAATTTCTATTTACGAATTGCGGAGTAGCCGGAGGCGTTGCGAAGAGAGTGTTCCGGGAACGGGAGGCGTCATAATCGAACCATTCGGCTCATAGAGTAGTAGTGTTACTATTGTGCGTCCCGAAGACGTCAGGGCTGGGGGTCTCGTGCCCTTCTCTTCTATGCGAATTGCACCCTCCGCGGTTCGCAAGGTTTGCTATAAACCTATCAGCGCTGAGGCAATCGAAGTTGTGTGAGAGGTGCTGATGGTGAGGGATCGACTAGATGCGTTGAAATCTGTTAGTCACGGGAAACATCTACGCATCTACGTACACACGCGCAGTTGCAATATGACTGGGCGGGGGATCTGCCCTCGACTCTTGGCATACAGGGCAAGCGGATTACAAGTTAGTAAAGGACGAAAGATGCAGATTTTTCCGCGCGCACAGAATGAATCGTAGAACAAGCTTCGACTAGCGGGGGCAAGACATGTCTCACGAAGGACCAATCGTGTCTTTTCATCACTTACCTAGGTATGTGTAATCCTATCCATCGGTAGAGGCACGTTCGTTCCCGGGTGTCTGGACCTGCATCACCAAAGCTCCTTATGAGAGGAAGTAGATCTCCCGAGCTTGCGAACGAGCACTCCGTGAAGATGTGGCTGTTCAGAGTCATGCCATTACTGCATCGCTGTGGTTGAACGACATTAGGCACTTCAGCCCCCTTCACCATATGGTGTCTGGCAGCATGTTGACGTGGCATTGGCAATTAAATGTAGATGTTTGACATTCCAAGCCGTGGTACCGACGAGGCTTCGAGCTATGAAAAACTGACAAGCAGCCACCCGGAGTGAGGGCTAACTGCAAAAGCCGAAAAGAGGAAATGTGGCTGCCGACATGCTGGACCGATAGGTTACCAAACTTGATTTCTTCCCTCCTGCACATAAGGAGCATGTACGCCTAATCGAGATTCGATTTCGCGAATGGAGGTCCATCGATCAACGTTCGTCACTCCGTCACTGTATGTGCGTCAGGCGCCTGGCTGCGAAGGCCAATTCTAGATCGCCACATCATTCCATTATGTATAATAGCAGAACGTATTACTACTTCTGTATGACTTCCTGGATATATAGCTGCCTTTAATGCTTGTCGTATCACACCGCCAACTCACGCTCGAATGTGTGTTTTAGCGAATCTCGGCTATGATTGGTGGGCGTGAGAGTGGGATGGTGTTGAGGCAAAATCTGAGATGGAAAAATTGACGTGCGTTTTCTATCATAGGTACATATGCTTATCATTTCATTAGTGATAGTATATGTGTACGCTGTACGAAGTAGGTCCTCATCTTTCTCATCGCCCTATTATAGCCCCCACTAGCGAAATCCCGTCTTTCGATAGCAAGGAACGGCTAGAGTTAGTGGATATCTAATAGGGGGGGAACTCAAGTTATTAACCAACCTACTAGTTACATAGGTGGCGACTAGAGGCTGTTCCTGCAGAAATATTCCGTACATAGGCGTCTGCTATTAGGAGGTAGGTAGCATGCTGTTTTCCAACCTCCTGCATGATACATTATCAACACCCACTACGGGTGCTACGGTATCGTACTAAGTATTCTTTTGCCCATGATCGTCTATTTCTTAGATCCAGTGAGACGCGGAAAAGAAACCAGCCATCGTTAAATATTTTAGGGATCAAACCTGTGGCCCAAGTTTATGGTCTTCATCCACGGCTGGACATACATAGTACAGACAAATCTGTGTCCGAGCACAATGGACTCTACCTTCGGGTCATCTTGTATGGATGCGAGGTCAAGTTCGTTAACCGTTTTATCGATCCCTGAGAATTCATCCATTGAATCCATTTGCGAAGAAACATCTGCCCGATTTGGAATCTGCAATCACCCTTGAAGGAAACCTGGGGTAACCAAAACGGGAACATCGAAAATGGAAGCTTTGATTCCCGAATGCTCTGAGAGTTTTGCGGTACGGGCTGTCCAAAGATTTTGATTGGAATGTGAATGACATTTCAAGGGTTCTGCGCAGGGATCCTGGCGTGAAAGTTTAATTAGGTACAGTCTAATCTGGGGTGTAGAGGATCTTAGCGGCCTTAGATTTAGTACTCTCTAGCATCCATCGTGGCTGAAGAAGTAGAATGAGAAAAGTCAATTAACCACAACAGCATTAACGTAAAGCCGTTTACAGACAAAGTGCTTACATTTTAAAATATTAATAGATATTATACATAATGCTTGATTACCTACCTATCTATTGCATAAGATATTAATTGCCATGTATGAGACTGACGATGCAGATTCATCACAGATTCTTATCTTCAACGCACGTGGGTGAATGTTGTAAGAAAAGGTACTTATCTACGCTACCGCGTATGTACTAGGCTACCTGCTAGGTAGTACCTAGTATTACGGGTTTATAGGGATCCATTCACCTGCACTCACTTTGCTAAATTCGCAGTAGCTGCAGCGCGTTCCCTTCAACATCAACCCGTTTTAGGTATGTGGGGGCCACATCATACAAGGTTTGTTCGTTAACCGTTGGCTGCTACTGCGTGCTACCAAATTGCTCACAGGAAGGATCTTTACTTGTTAGATGCAGGTGCTGCAGGTACCATAGACCTAACGTCTGCTCACTGTCGAATGTAGGTAAGTGAGGGTAGGTACATCCCGTAGCGAACAAGGCTTGTTCGGAAAATGCAACCATCTCATCTCTCTCGGCCAATCTGTAACCTTTTTGATTATTTTTCTTCTGTTGACAAAATTCTGGTCTTAGCCCCTTATCCTAAGATGAGCGTTCATCTAATGTTTTCTTTGTTTAGTTTTAGGTTCTCAAGATATTTTGTTTGATTTAGTCATTCAGTCATTGAGTCAGTCTTGGAAATAACACTGTTTCTTTTAACACTACCTACAAAAACTGGCATTTCTCTTGATTTTAGAGAGCTGTCAGCCCTGACAGCCCTTGCTGCAAGCAGGCAATCAAGCAAGTATCCGTACGCGCTTAGTTGTCTCGATCCTTTTGCCCTCGAACCCTGTCAGGCTATATGCGGCGTCAATCAGGGTCAACCAGGCGTCTCGAATGAGAAGCTCCGTCCTCGACAAGAGTTCGTGACGCCGATTGGCTTTCGGCAGCCCCTTGAGCAACGACATACTACATACAGCAGACCCTCTTCCACTGCATTGTGGACCATGTCGCATCTATCGCTTCAGTGTAGCGAAAGTCCTCCAGACAGTCAGGTTCTAGAGGATAGTCCGACAATTGGTAGGGTCGTCGTGAATTATCCCTCGGCTGACACCGACTTGTCTTCTTTCCCATCCGTACCATTTAGTACCCAGGGCACGTCAAAGTATGTGAGACATAGTTCCCATTTTTTCCTTTGGTTCTTAAGTCCTTTCTGCCTTACCTAAAACACCATTTACCATCGTCCTATCGTCACAACAGCCAATTGCTGTTTACCTAGGGTACATCTAGGCGGGTTCTGTTAATGTATGCAATGTAATGGAATGTTAGGTGGAGAAGGTTTTTCTTCTTTTGCCCTTCTGTCGGCCTGTTACGAAACTTCTAGGCCTTCTTAATGTCTAGAAAACTCCCTGCGACCTTTGCTGCATGTCTCGATACTGGCGCTGACCTGAATCCCCACTCTTACCATTAGACAACGAAAACCAATTCCCAGCCCTTTACAAACGAGTACGGCCGTGTCTCCGCCTTCCAGCGCCAGCCCATCTCAAACGAAATTCCCCGAACCTGTACATGAGTCGTTCTCAGCCGCTTCATTCACTCAGGTCCTATCGCGACAACCACCGCAACGCTCTCCTGTAGACGACAGGGCGAATAATCCCTATCTCCCGGGAAATACTTATCGCAAGGGGGATATTTCTCCAGTTTCACCTCTGTCTTCCAACTACGGGTTAGTACTAGTTTGCTCATTCTTACAACCTTTTTTCCCCCTTCTTTTCGACAACGACCTTTATCTGCCTCATCAACCGATTTTTGAACAAATCTGACAAGACGCGTTTGCGCTTTCAGAGCGAGACTCTTATATTCTCCTTCGAATGACACTCGAAGTGTTTCCGACCCAACCGCAACTACAAGGTCGCCAGTAGGCTCTGCCGGTGCAAGTCTGCCCAACATGGCTGGCAACCCGGTATCCTCGAAGCCCGACACTCCTCCCTCAGGCGCTCCTAGAACATCATCCATCGACTCCGCCATATCCGCAATTTCTTCGCGAACTCATTCCCATCAAGGCTCGCAGGATGCTCAGTCTGGAACTGCAGATATTTCTAATTTGGTGAGGGCGGCAGGCAGTCCGGAGGCTGTCATACAGTACCTCCTGAAAGAGAAACACTCCCAATCCCAACAAAATGCTCAATTATGGAGACTCGTTGATAAACAGAGGGCCATGATCTTAGGCCTAAATAAGGATCTTGAGCGAGCGTTGAAGGATAAGGAGAAATACAGGAAGAAATTGAAGGATGTAATGGCTGCGCATGAAGACCAGAGTAAATTCGACTTTGGACAATCCAGTGCATCAAGCATTCCTAGGGTTAATGTAAATGTTCCCAAGGAACAGGAAATCGAGGTGCCAGCGTCGCCATCGAACCTCGATTCGGATAGTGTTAAGCACTCGCCTATCGATGTGTCCCTAGCCCCCTATCCCATCACGCCCCCAGCTGATCACATTACCAATGGGTTGCCGTCAGCGGTTGGCGAACTTTTAGATCCATCGCATGCGATGCCAAAGGCGTCTGAGCATGCGTTAGACCATTTCGACCGTGAGGGGGAAGATCGTGCTGCTGAAGAAGCTAGGAAAGTATCCGATGCATCAAGAGACCCGGGACTACCGATCAATCTCTCGCTACCACCATCTCGAAGCCTCAGAAGCGAACCCCCTCGGGTGCCACCTCCTAAACGACCCGCTGACCCACCACCAGCAGTGTCAGTGATCGAAGCCACGCCTTTGGTTGATCAAGGCATCTCTCAATTTCCACCCCCATCTGCCCCGCCACCGCGCAAGCCTCCTCCCGCCCCATTACAATTGAAAAAGGAGTCGAAGGTCCCTGCTCTAACTCCCCCGGAGGACGAGGAAGACTCCGACTCTGATTATGATTCGTTGCTGGAGGTGGATGAATTGCCGATCATCGAGAAACGTGGCCGGAGAAAAACGAGAGAGGAAGACGACCGAGAAAGAGAAATTCTTGCTGAGAAGGAAGCCGAGGCTCGAAGTCTGTCCAAGAAGAGCAAAAAGGGAAGCCAAAAACCTACCGTCAAAGAACCTGAATCACAATATGGTGTTGCAGCGAGTCCCCGAATGGCCGGCATACAACCTATGCTAGCACCCGACAATATGCACGCATCGCTAGCTGGTGTCCTGAGTGGCAACGAGATCCGACAGACCATGGTAGTTCCCCCATCTTTGGCCCCTGGGCTTCCGGCCAGCCCGAGGCCAATGCCTCCAAAGTCACCTATGAACTCGCCGGCGATGTCTCCTCGCTCCTTCGGAATGGGATTGCCACTATCACCACGAGCTCCCAGACAACCTATTCCAATGCCTCCTAATATGTCTAGCCCGCCTGCTGCCCAATCTTCGAGCCAGTCACAACCGAGTCCTCCCGCGAATCGCGATAGCCCTACCGAAAGAACGAAGATATATAAAGGATTCGTCACCGAAGAATATCCCGATCTTTTACTACCCCCGAACGCGCTACCATCTATCGAAGTCAGAGTTGCGTCATCTCGGATGAAGCCGTCAAGGGCAAGTCTTCTATCACTGACCCAGTTGGAGGAAGATCCTGTATTTACACTGGCGGTTTTCTCGCGATCTGAACGTGTTGAGTTATGGCGCGTGGAAAAAGATACTACCTCCCTCTCTAAACTCGACCAAAAGATGAAGCAATGCTCATCATTCACTGCCAAGACACCGGATAGATCTCTGTTCAGCGGACATTCACCCGCTAAGCTTGATGCTCGCCGTACCATTCTTGATCAATATCTTGACGAGCTCCTCAATAGCCCCTTGGACACACCGACTGCCCTAGAACTTTGCAAGTACTTGTCAACCAATACACTCCGGCCTAGCTTCGATGATCCTTCATCGACCAACGAATCGAGTATCGAGGCCAATACTCAAAAGAAGGGCCCCGGAGGTAGACCATTCAAGAATGGATATTTGACAAAGAGAGGCAAGAACTTTGGTGGATGGAAAGCTCGGTTCTTCGTTCTCGATGGACCTCACCTGAAGTACTACGAAGCACCCGGTGGCGCACATCTAGGAACTATAAAGCTTCAGAACGCACAAATCGGGAAGCAGTCCCAGCAAACTAACGATGGATCACCCTCAAGCGGTCCGAACGGAGACGAGTTGGACAACCAGTACCGACATGCGTTCCTAGTCCTTGAACCGAAAAAGAAGGATTCCAGTAGCCACGTGAAACACGTTTTATGTGCTGAGAGCGATTTGGAGCGCGATCAATGGGTAGAGACGCTACTTCGTTGGATCGATTATAAGGATAAGGATGATGAGGAAGCACATCCACCTGCTGGTCACGACCGAAGTCACGGTGGAAGTAACACTCATGCCAACGCAAACTTGAAGAAAAAGGGACATGGGCATGTGAAGAATCAAGGGCAGAAGGGTAGCCAAGATGGTTTAATCGGGATGAGTTACAACGCGGCGAAACAAGGCGATATTCCTGACGGTGCTCCTACTCGACGCAAAACCGGTACACCTGATCTTCAGGATAGGGCGAACGGTCCGACTTATACTATCTCAGCTCCTAAAGATCCGCAATTGATTCCCGATTCTGCATCGTGGGGAAACAAGATGATGGGTCTGGCTCCACCCGGTCCTACGACGGAAGAAAAGAAGCAGAGAAAGCGCAGTTTCTTCGGATTTGGCCCGAAAACTCGATCTTCCAGCGATGACCAGGACCCGTTGTATAGTTCTAACGCTGGAAGTGTTCCTCAGGGCCTAAATGAGCCTCGAGGGCCAATTCGACAAGTCTTTGGAGCGCCTCTCGCTGAAGCTGTGAGGTTCAATGGACCGTTTGATGTTAGCGTGCCTCTTCCAGCAGTGGTATTCCGCTGTATCCAATATCTCGATGCGAAGAACGCGATTTTGGAGGAAGGCATTTTCCGACTCAGTGGCTCTAACGTAGTAATCAAACAGCTTCGCGAACGTTTCAATACCGAAGGAGACGTTAATCTCGTAACTGACGAGACTTACTACGACATCCATGCGGTTGCTTCCCTGTTGAAGCTCTACCTTCGAGAGCTTCCCACCACCATTCTTACCAGGGATCTTCACATGGGTTTCGTCGCAGCGGCAGAGATGGACAACCAACGAGAGAAGATTGCGTCCATGGCAGAACTTGTGCAGAAGCTGCCGTTGGCGAACGAGACGTTGCTGAAATATCTGATTGCTTTCCTCATTAAGATCATCAACCACGCGAATATGAACAAGATGACAGTGCGTAATGTCGGCATTGTCTTCTCGCCGACGCTCAATATTCCGGCTCCGGTTTTTGCGCTGCTATTGCAGAATTATGAAGGCATATTTGGATTAGATCCAGAAGAGTATGAGCTTCCGTCGCCAGACATGGAAGCTGATTCACGTCCACCACTAGAGGCTCAACCACGTCGACCATCTACAGCAACAGATTCGCCCCAAAGGCAACGGCTCATGGAACAGATGCAGTCACGGTCAACACCTACCCCGCCACCTGGCGTATCAAGTAGCCTGCGCCCAACTGCGACACCTCCGCCTCGCCAGACTTCATACGAGCCGCATTATCTAGCTCAAGCGGGGTCTCAATCCTCTCTCCGGCCATCATATGAGAGCGGCTTCGTACAACCAGGCTATGAAGCGGGCGCGAGACAGCCTGGCTATGATCGTCCAATTTATGGAAACTCCTACGAGCAGGAGTTTAACGAAAACTCCCTATCCGCGTATGACCCGAATTATAATAAGAACAAGAGAAGAGAGAGCTCGATGTTTATGGGGAATGTGATGCTTAATCAGCAAGGCTCCAAGAGCCGCCTGAGGGAGGAAACTAGAATGTGATCACGTCTAACGTTGCGTTTCGACGCAAGCTTGGTGACGTGGTCACCATAAATGGCCAAGCCCTTATAAACCACAATGCATTACTATTTCAGGGTCGGAGCAGATACCACCATTTCGTTGATTTTTTTGTTCAATTCCCCCGCACCCACGATCGATTCTGTGCTCGCCGTATGCTTGGCAGCCGGAATTAGAACTGGGTACCTAACAACCACTCTACTTCGCACATCATTGACTTAGATCGAGCATCATTCCATTAATACTGCTGCTACGGACTGGGGCCTTAGCAAACCTAATAGTCTAATGATAGTTTTTCAAGACGAAGATTCTGCGATGCGGTTCTACAGCACGGAACAGATTTGGGAGCGAAGGAAGATATCATGCAGTTACCCCGGAATATCGTGCCAATTTTCTTTCGGCCGAATCGGCGTTGCAGCAGCTATGATTAAAGGAGGTCCGTTGTCGATTTGTACGTATGGGTGGAATTTCTTGAATGACGCGACGGCAAAATATTGTGGCGTTGGCGGCTATGGTGGCAAATGATCACCAAATTTACGTAGCATCTGGCAAATGAAAATAACTAAAAATCCACGTTTTCTCGGGAGCTCATCTTATTATTCGCATGATAAGCTGGATTGTGACTTGGCCGTCATGAGCGCGGATAGGCCTCCGACCTAGTTGTCGCATTTCAGGGGCTCCGCGTATCTCTTGGGCTTGGCATCGGGCATAAGGCGCTATCGCCCAATGACACACAGCGAGGCACCTTTCCTCTTAATAATCAATATAACGTCAAAGCCGGGAAAATTTCTAGGCAATTTGAAATAATAGAACGAATTATTATCGCAAACACATTTGACGGGTTGTGAGGGTTATCATAGGTGTTTATCAGTTAAGGAAACCTCATTTGTCTTGGCTTCGCACTTCTAACACGTAGGACTTAAGCAATATTCTTGGCTAGAAGCTCCCACAGCCCCTTCACGATCTTGGTAATACTCGTTACCAGACTTTTACTCCTTGGTTTTTGGGGGAGTTTTTTTTCTGCTGGGGTTACGGGAAAAATCTTCAAGAGAGCATTGTTATTAGTCAATTTAACATGTAACGCGTAACTTTATTAGGCATTTAACAAAACCTCAACATCTAAATTGTTAGAAAAAAGGGGGGGAAGGACTCAGCAAAACGGTTTGTAAGCCAAGTATCGCAAGACACAGCCTCGTGTCCTAGATTCAAGTGGCCACCAACACTTCGGCATCCCCTGTTCGATTCGGTATTTGCCGTAACCTCTCTCTCTACGCGTCCCCAAATTTGGAGCTAGTAGACTCCAAGTCCTTGATCCGACGATGCCGTTAGGGCGGGCCCCAAAATCGGCCAATCGCAACTAAACCAACCTTTGAGAGCGGTCTGGAGGTAGGTAATTCGTAACCTAAGTAAATATGTATGTCACGGGTTGTACCGATAATGCTGGTCACAACTGTTTCATTGGATATATAGGTGGATAGATGGATGGATGGCTACCCGCGTCGTCGTCGTCGGGGCCGGTACGACTGCCGGCTCTCGGATCAGGGTTCGGCGACCTGGGAGCTCAGTTTCATGCCAAGGAAACGCTGCCCAAATGGCTCTTCGACTCAGGAGGGAGAACATAGCATGTGAAAAAAAACGCTCTCCTTATCTGGAAAACGGCAGCTTTCCCCGGCTTGGGTTAGCAAACTTTTTTATTTTCACTTTTTGGTCCTGTTTCTATTGGGAGGGTTTTCGGTTTCGAATTTTTTCGCTCATCCCTTCACAGCCGGACACCCGACCTTTCCTGGACGGAAGCCGGGGAAGATGCCGGCTTCTGCTTTCGGAGAGGTGCGTGTGGCAGAGACGGGTCTAGACTCGTGATACCCCCACGGGGATCCTCTCCGGGGGGTACGCGTGCTGGGTTGGCAGATGCTGAATTACCGGAAATGAGATGCTGTGCAGTAGTATATGTTCATGCGTGGTAGGCTGGCGGTGATCGAGAACGCTGGACCCGACGGTCTGGGCCTGGGGCGCTGATGTGTACCTATCTGGGCATCACTTCCATTTCGAAGCCTGCTTACCGCTCTGTTTCATATATGTGGTGAGGTGTTTCCTTATACAGTTACTATGCGGTATTATTCTATGTATGTACTCGTCTAACAAATATCGTCGGCTTCTCATATTTACGTATACTTGCTTTGGAATAATCCCCAAAAGTTGAGTGGTAGTTAGTTGCTGGAGTTACATCGTACTAGTCAAGAAGTTATTCTTGGTTCGGGTGGAGCTTGCTCCCATCTACCATGCTGGAGAACCCTGTTGAAAACTCTGGATCTTGGAGCACGTCAGTTAGGGCGACGGTTCAGATTAGGATGCCTTAGTAAAAGTCTTATCACAACTAGAGGTCTATCTTCCGCCGCTAGAGGAAATTCTAGTAGTCATGTTACAGGATTCTACCCCCGGTTTTTTCTTCAGACGAAGGATGATCGAAGCTTGTACGGAAGACACTTAGGACGAAGATGACACTTGGAACTATGTCAGTTAACTACTAACCTAGGTAGGTGTTGAAGCTGCTATTTAGATCGAGCAGTAGAGTGAAGTCTAATTAACCCCTCACGAATAACCCGCCGCCAATGCCCCCATTTCAGGGTTCTCAGGATGATCTTTATGCAAGTCCGAGTTTATCCAGAGCTAAATTTGACAGCTCTACAGCTTCAATCCTTGCCCAGGGTCCAAGCTCTTTGGTAGGTATCTAACAGAGTTTTCGAATATTATTCATTATACCCCGGGTAAGTAGGTATTTTCCGGGTTCATATCTGTACCGTACCTTCGATATCCAAACCCAGAGACATATTTTGTGCCAGATGCGTTTTAATCCAACGAAAAATTTTCGTCCAGAGAAGTAATATGGTTGACATACTGCCGAACTTGAGTTTGACCCCTATCAGGATTCATTGGTGGTTCAATTTGGCTACAGGTTAAGGCGTACTCGTAGTGGGTCGTCCACTAGCGAACTCTAGCGATGCGCGTCATGGAGACCCTAAAATTTGCGGGTTCTAATGGGGATCAGGGGCTTGCTTCCCAACCTTAAGTCATCAGCCCTATCATGTTGTAGATATCCAGTTTCTAATCGAATCTGGCAATGGCTAGATCAGCCTTGTTGGATCAGACCAGGTCGAACGAGCTCTTTGTTGGGGTGCGTCATCAAATCATTTCGGTATTGAAGCGACCAATAAATAGATAGAGTGATAATAGAGGGGGTAGGATTCTCATCGACAGGAAGATTTGCGATATAAATCGGCGGGATGCGGCTACATCCATACAATCAACGGTTGAAACTTTCCAAAGACCTATCAGGCCTGGAGTTATTAGCGTTAAGCCAATTCCTTGGGCTGCAGGTTTCCTGCCATCTCGTTCGTCCAGAGAAATTGGGTATGTTACTTCGTATATGTATCTCTAATCCTGCAAAGCCACATATTAGACACAACGTCGGAACTTCATCCGAGCCAACCGGTTAGGTGGGTCACTCCTTTAGATTATTAGCATAGGGAATTAAGGATATTATCTAAAGGCTGGTCAAATCTAGAGGAGACGAGGGCATATGATTAAAGGATACCTCCTAGTAGGTTGTGTTGGCGTATGTGCGGGTGAGTCGGGTTAAAAAATAATTATGGGACAGGTCGAAGTTTATAACCGGCTTAAGAATGACTAATAATCTTAGGTCGTATCTAATGTATCTTGACAAGGTGTATACTCTTGAAAGCTTGTAAGAGACTACAAGGTAGATCGCATAGCCCGACCGTGGGGAATCATCAGATCCATGGAAATCAAAAGCATAAGGTGGCGACTTTATTATGTGGTCTTAAATCATAAAAAGACTAGAAAAGTCCGCATAGGTACCTTATGAACCGGGGTAACCACTGATAACTATAGTATGGACGGTGAGACTCGAGTAAGCCAAACAGCGTGTCGAAGGCGTCGAAAAAGGAATGTGGGGTTACTACTAGGTAGGTACCGAAGAAGGAGCAGCATCTAATTACCTAACTTGGATTAGCATTGAAGCCTAGGGTCTTTTCACCGGGGACAAATTATCAATCTCATGACTGGTATCTACTGTAATAAGTTTCACCAGGGGCAAATTCAACTTTAAACGACGTGTGATAGGTACCTAATGTAACTACTTACTAACCTAATTTATATACATAATACCCTTACTAACCTACTACTACGTATACAAGTAAATGCTGGGTACTCATATGTACAGCAGATTCTCTTTGTCGCCCACATGCATGGCTCAGGGCTTGCAGTTAGCATCCCGTGTGTACGTTCCTTTCCAGGCAAGCCACTGTGTCACACAGTTTGCGAGCGAGCTGGGTAGGTAACTACTGGGGATGTACCTACAAACGAACGAATTTATCCACTCATATTTGAGCCGGAGCCGGGTCCGAACCGGCTCCATGTTCTTCGCGGTACATGCATGCTAGGTACATACAGCCACGGGCACCTGGGTACTTCGATGTGGCCTGTAGTCTGCGATAACACGGTACCTACACGCTGACCCCTAGCGACTTTATGATAATAAGGAACGCCTTTTTTGAAATACAGCCCTGTATTTCCTATAGAAAGTTAGCAGATCATTTAATCACTATCGTGGTTTCCCCGAGGCAAAACAAACATCTGATGTCGGCCAAAACAGATAGGGAATTGCCGTCTCCTCCTTTAAATATATCAAGCTTACCATGTGCCTACTAATTCCCGAGATCGAAAGGACTAGGCCCAGTATAATAAAGTTCCATCGACGAAATTTAGACACGATTCATCGATATTCGCTTCTCTGGAAGAGTAAAACCCGAGAACAACTTTGTTCGACTGCGCAATACGGCGCACCACTTTATCTCCGTTTTATCCCATCGATCTTCGAGGATTTAGCAGAACTGTTTCTTAGTATCCTCAAAAGGTCAACTCGAGATATACCTACCTTAGACTCGACACACTGCTACTGAAACAGGCGCGGTCTCTATAACCCGGTATAGAATATTGTAAGCATGAATGCAACCGTCGGTATCAGCCAGAAACAGTTCGACGAATGGCAGGATGACGTGTCTCCGTGGGCGCCGGCGATGTTCGCCTCCTCTTTTGGGGAAAATATACAGCATATTCCAGACTCGCACTTCTGGGGAAGCCCCGGGAATAGCTCCGAGGAGTATTGTAGAACGAATTCGCAATCGACCCACGACGATTTAAGGCACAGCTTCGACAGCGTCGATAATGTAAGCCGCCTATTTCCTTCCCAACCCAGGTTTCGGAATATTCCCAAATATTACCCTTTTTTAATAGACCCCCCACTCCCAGAGGTAAATATTGGTCTGACCATCAATAACATCGCCCATGTTTCTTTTTTCCCACATGCTAACAACCGATCCAGTTCGACACGGGGTACACAATCCACGCCGCCCCGCCGGAGACGAGGCAACCACCGGCAGGAACCGACCACAACACGTTCGGCTACGACTATCACCGCCACTCAGTCGCGCACATGACTGGGCTATCGGACCCGCGCCAACCCATCGACCCCTACGTGCTTCGCGGGCGGCACTACAGCGACGGTGACTCCGGCGGCGCCACGCAGAGCTTCCACACAGCAGACGACGAGGGGCTCTTCGACGACAGCCTGACCTCGTCCCCAGCAGCGAGCAAGCAAACGTCAGCAAGCCCATCCGCGCTGCGATCGCCGGGAGGGTCCTGGGACTGGGGCGGCGACACAGCGGGTAATACCCTAACAGGGGCAACGACGACAACGACAGCAGGGCGCGGGGGCCAACCACCACCGAAAAACCGACGGAACCGCGAGCGCAACCGCGTGGCGGCGCATAAGTGTCGGCAGAAGGCTAAGCAAAGCATGACGGACCTGCAGGCGCGGGAGCGCGAGCTCAGCCAGCAGAACCGGCTGCTGCAGGAACATGCGGGGAGTCTGCGTGATGAGATCCTGGATTTGAAGAATGAGATCTTGAGACATAGCGAGTGTAATAGCGATATTATACAGAATTATATCGCGCGTGCGGCTAGGGATGTTAATTAGGGGACATGTTTGTTTGGGGAGGGGAGGGGAGGGGAGGGAAGGGGAGGAAAGGGAGGGATAGGGACGGGATGGTGAAAAAGGGGTATGAGATGATGGGAAAGGGAAGGGAAGGGAAAAGAGAATGGAAAAAAGGAAGCGGGTATGCGACTCTTAAGAGACGGGAAGGAGAAAAGGGAAGGAAAGGAAAATGGACAGGGACAAGGGATAACTCAACGAACTTTATGAATGGTAATGTTTTAATGATATTAATGAATGGGTCAACCGGATCAAGGTCAACAAGGTTAACGGGTCAACAAATCGAAATAAATACTTGATACCGCGTTGTTTCAAATTTAGGGGTTTTTGTTTCTTTTTTCTCTTGGTTTTCCTAGGTGGTTTCACTTTTTGCTATCCCAGAACGACATTCTTGCCGCGCTCTTAGGTATAGTTATTTTTTTTCACTCTTTCTTCAGGGTACCGGCGTGGTAAGGAGGTAAAATAAATTTGGTTTCAATTTACCTTTTCCCCCTTCGGACCCCGAAGAAGAAACTCCTTTTCTTTTAAACCATTTGGATTCTTCTCACCGCCCAAGAGGCAAATTCCAGATCTGGGAGGTGCTTATGGGAAGTATTACATCAATCTAGGTTTTTAAAACTCCTAGAATAATGAACAATCTGACCCCATGTATATACCACTGAAGGCATGTTGTTGTAAAGGTCTCGTGGGTACCATTCTTAACGAAAACGTAATATGAGCCTCATGACGAGGTGGTGGTCATGGCCGTAATAATCTTGTAGTAATGACGCTTAAATAAGCGAGAAGGCCGATATTTAGATGTAGGTAGGGAGTGATCTAGACATTGGCGCGATCTGCCGTCAGATATATTCATCGAATTATTTATTCCTGGGGTCTGCGGTGATTATTAGGAATATGCAGTCAGACGCGACTGGACATCGACGCACATGCTGTACGCGACCCTGTCAGTCCATCGTCAGAATATGGATATCCACCCACCACGTGCGGTTGCAGTCATCAGTCCCATGGGAGCTTATGAAGATGCACCCGCACCCCCGCGAGTGGATTCCATGGCAACATACCTGGGAAATTAATGGGTTAGGGGATCTAATCAGAAGTCCTCGACCTCGTCCCGTCATCGCATTTCCCATCAGCCCACTTGTTCGGAAATTCCAAGGAGATGATGATGGCAATGCGCTTATGAATGAGGGCATCAGCCGGAAGGGAACAAGATGGTCTCATTTTAGATCGTCTTCAATTATCCCACCTCACCACTCACCATCCTCTCAACAACTAGCTGAGTACCGATTCTTATCTAGGACGTCCTGGCGCTTACCCCGAAAACATCTAAAATGTATCTACATCTTACGATAACCACAATTTTACAATGGTTGATGACGTCACTATTACTTCGGCTGAGGCCTTTCAGACGGCCGCTTTCTTGATTCGTATGAGGGATTGACATGGGTATAACCATCGGAAACTTGTAGAAACCCGGTTTCGTTCTATGTAGGTCTTCATAACGAGAAGTGAATTCCAGCTAGCCGCATTCCGGGTCTCTATTTATATAAAGAACCTCGCATAATCCTGCTAACCGGTACGCTGTCGCGACACTCTCTCCCCTAAACGGGTCCGGGTCCGTAATCGACGGACACCTGCACCGGCGATCTCGTCTATGCGTACCGATCATTTACTTCCTACGGAAAACACAGATCTCGATCGTCCAATATTGGGATAATCGACCTGTGCGGATGCAACTACAAATCCGGAATCCGACCCCGAATCTAAATATCGCGAGTACGCTGATCGTTCCCGGCCCGCTATTCCGGATCCCCGGATCATGAGAATGTAGCTTCATGTTAGCCAAGAAGTAGTCTATGACACCACATCATGGAAAATGGCGATCTATGATATATAAGAAGCTGATCGCAGAAAATCACCATTGATTTACGTGAACATCCCGCCATCTTTCGCACTATCATCGTATCGAAACTAGAACTTATCGCGTTAAAGTACCTAGGGGCCATTTATACGTCACCATGAGGCATGCTGTCAGTTATCATATGCTGTGTCCTTCCCATCCCCCTCATCTTCATTCCCAAGAACCACATGATGATAAGTATAGGTAGGCTGGGTGCTGCGAAGATAAACACTAGGAGACTATTGCCCCAACCATGCCCCAGCTGCCGGGTTAAGCGGTCGTACAGCTGAGGGGTGAAGACCGGAAACATGAATTTTGTGCGGTTGGACAGCAGTCGTATGGTGGCATTGACCGAGACACCAACATTGCTAAATAGGTCAAGCGGGTAAGCTAGCATCGCCTACGTTAGTATAGAGCTTCTGCAAGTGAAGATTACGGTACCAACGTCGACCATAATTCAAGTACCATGGTACTCGGTCGACCATCCGTACCCATGGGAATTATGAGCGCGGCGGAAATCGTATCCGCAGTGCGGAATCATGGTCGACCTTCTCATTTATACCTTGGCTGGCCACGTGGGCGTCCATAGGTGGTGTCAATTATTCGGCCTTCGGCTTGCGACATGACGCAAGATTCAATGGATATTGACGAGTAGCGCATACCAGGTACCGCTCGGTCCGCATTGTCGCAAAAGACATACCACTCTACCAGAACCCTCCTCCGTCACGGCCAAGAACTTGCCAATGGTTAGCATGGCCTTCAACTTCGCTGCCGGACAGAGCGATTGCCATAGATTGCGAGATGAGCTGCCAAGAGCGGCCGCCATGATGCAGGCGGACATCAGTGTGACGAGCTAGGCGATAGAGAAGACGTTACTGCCGGATAACTCTAGCTATTTGGTCTAGTGGTATACGTTGTCAATAACATCGTCACGATCGCCAGGTCCATTCCACGTCGCGTCATACAGCTCATGGGGTCTAGCGCGGGGCTTTTTTCGCTTCGACGTCTTGGTTTTCGGGTTGGTCCGAAAGCTCTTAAATCCCAGTTATTCAGGCATTTACCAAACATATTGTCCTAGGAGTCCGGACACGATTGTTTGGCGTCTAGAAGTGAGGTTCTGAGCCTGACTCCAACGCTATGTCGCCTCGAAGAAGAAAAAAAGGGAAAAAAGGATTACGAATTCTTTCCAATGGAGGGCCACCCAATGGAATCTCTTTATAGGATCTGATAAAGTTTCTTGGCATACAATATGCAGTAACGATCTGCTAGCGCCATCTGATAAGCTTCAGCACCCGAGATTCTTCGTCTTAGCTGCATAATGAACACGAGGGTATATTCATGAGCTATTGCAGCTTGAGGTATTTTGAGAACATAAAAACTGGATCGTCGTTATATCTTCCGTGTATTTCTTATGTCGGCTACCTTGCGTATGTTGTTTCTTCTGTTCAGCATTGAGAGCTATTAAGTATTAGTAATCACCAAAGATCACTGACCATTCGACTTTATTGACGTTTAGGTAATCAGGTTTATTTCGCAAATGTGCGCGTCTGGATTCAAGGGGAAAAAAATAAATGTCAATGATGATCTGAATTATATGAAGGAACGAAATGATAAGGAGAAGTATCTTATTCTTCGGTACAAACGACATAGCCAACGCTCTCAGAAAATAATATCCATTTCTTTGAATAACACTGCATTTATGCATAACTCATACAGAATATTTCTATAAAGAGACATTTACCCCTTTAAATAGGATGATTAAGGGGTTTAATTTCTGCAAGGGAGACTTCAACAAATAACAATCCATTCCCACGGTACGCAAAGATCATACAGAAGGGAAAATTCATTGGATCATATACTGAGAATAAATGAATTATATAAATAGGAACATCTACATTAATTCCTTGAGCACATTACCCCTTTATCGACTATTCCGTATGTGACATACTGCTACACAAATGCTCGCGGAACCTGTCCCGAACCTAGCAAACGACATACACTATTGTTTTTCAATATGCATGATACTTTATTAGGTGACTTTGCAGTTTCGAGTTATTTATATTGGTGCAAGCCATAACAACTCTACGTAGACGGAAGCCAAAATGTCCACCGAAACTTATGACACACGATAAAGCGCGGATATACTTAGAACATTGTAAAGAGGTGTTAAGTCGTTAGAGATCTATGTATAAATAGGTCATTACATCCTACCTATCAAATAAGTTGTTCATACTACTTATACATTGACCCAAAATTTTAGCATCCCATTTCTAAAATGACCTTCAGGATACCATTTTTTCGTCCACTAATGCTATTGTTTGCCGTGGTAATTTTTACAGACACAGCCTATGGCATAATTCAAACCATCGATTGCCCTACAGGATGGAGCGATATCATTGTGGGGCTGAATGAAGTTATCGCTGTTGCGAATTGTACGTTGCGTTCCTAACGTCATTCAAAATGATACCCAGGTATCTAATTATCATTTGGGAATCCAGATACGTCGAAAGTCCTGAGCACCTTTGATTCTTCAGTGACGTATTCCAACACAACGGGGGACCCTCGCTTAGCCATATACGGCCCATTGTTGAACCCAGACGATAAATTGACGCTTAAAGGCAAGTATTAGATATTGTTGACTTTTGGACCCCTATCCTTGCTTGGTTCTAATGTCCTCAGGTTACCTTGACTCAATCGCAAATATCACCGTGTCAGACGAAATTCAACTTGCCATATTCTGCAGCGACGGCTTTATTATCCAAAAAGAGTCTCCCGCGGACCACCAGCAATATTGGTGGGATATCGAATTCCATGACAACAACAGTACAGAGCCGGTTTCGCTACCAATCCAAGATGGCGAGTTGCCATCTCCAACGGAGAAGACTTTTACCAAACTAGGTATGATCGTATCATTTTATCTAAGCCAATGGAAAGATAGGAGGGGGGAGGATGGAGTTTTAGTATCGAATTTTGAAGAAGATAGAAAATACTGACACGCAGTAGGCTACAATGCAGGTATCGATCAAAACGCGACTGGCCAAGCCCATATATACATCAGTCCCAACACATTCAACTTGAGCCAGAGTCCCAGTGTTGATGGTCGAAATTTAGCCGATATTCGTACGGAGGGACTCAAGGCAGATAAAAATTTCAATAATATCGACTACTTAAGACCGTTGTCACGATCAATAATGCGCGAGGTACGTTGAATCTAACCTCAGGAAGTTTTCGAACATATATCTAATTCATCATATTAGCTATTTGTCGCAGTGGGTGGTCGTGAGTGCTTCAACCCCTCTACTAAGAATCCTTACTAAAACCTCTTAGTGTTGGATCCGAACCTGAACATGACCAGGGTGATCGACATCCCAGGTGAAAACACGGACATCAGCATGTTTAAAGACTGCATCGCACAGAAAAACCAGAATCCGGCGCCTATTACAATAGCTGAATGTCTGACTATTGTGGCAACAGGTAAGCAATATCTGACTAATCCTAGTATACCTGTACGCTGGTGCTAAGTGCTACCCAAGGCTTGTTCCTGCAGATCCACGACACCCCGACTTTTTGGTCTACCGGTGTGGTCAACCGGGATACACTTCGAGCGGAGGAACCCGGTAACAGCTCTTCCCAGGACATCACGTTTACCTTGAATTGAAACAATAAAGAGTAGTCATCCAGCTATGATTCAACTTCGTTCTCGATTATGCGAGTTGATTAGGTACCTATTGAGAATATTCCATATGAACGAACATTCAATTGGACGATTATAAACATGTGAAAGAGAGAAAAAAATATTTTCCACCGATGACACGAGTTTCATAGGCCGATAGCTTTAATTGTTACGCCATTTTACGTACGGCTGAGACATTTTGGGGGTTCCCATCAGTATTAAGTATAAACTGCACACTGTCAATGTCGTATTAAGGGTAGCGGAGGCTGAATATGAGACGAAAAGTCAGTAAGAACGGCGTTGTACAAGTCTCGGACGTGCGTTTCCCAAGGTAATAATCGCCGAGTAATCGTTTCTTTCTCAGGTTCTTATTGTTACGCCTCGTTCGTCATACTATGCTCAACCAACACGATCTGTTAGTTGTGCGCGGGGGGGTTATTGATACCATCCAATGTCCAATGTCCAGGCAAGCCGCCTGGCTGCATTTGTGGGTATCAGAGCCAGATGATAGGAGTATCTCAAAAAACAGTAAACTCCGATGATAATTTTATACCGAGCTTATCGTCCCTGGGGCGGCTGAGAAACGTTTTGTGTTAGGTTCTACCACATAGCTGAGGATGGATGATCGTCTAGTGGACCGGTTCCGGACTACACGGCACAAGAAGGCTTGAAGATCTTGACGTCAACTCTGGAGTTCCCGAACGCGAATCGCGACGTAACTCTCAAATTAGAAATGGAGCCTAAAACCAAGGAAACTGGCTACGTGATACCAGATATCGATCAGGATTTCTGTCTTAGCTTCATTAATGACAGGATCATTGACATAGTGGATATGAATAGCTGCTTATAAACAAAACTACAGAATTTTAGGTGTGTACCTGGAAGAAATAGCCAATGTTAGTAAGGGTTTTGACGTCTTGTATACAAAAGTAGGTATATAGCGAGTATACTAAATAAATTATACATATAACCTATAATTCTCCAAGGCCCAATATTCTATAAATCTCTTTACTGCCAGGCAGCTAGATACCATTATAATGGGAATGCTATGCGCCCCGCGAATGGCATAATTCTGGGATCTCTACCTACCTACTAGTTACTAGGTACTTTTATGGGCATAGCCCGCAAATGAAGGCTAGATCAGGCTGTCAGGGTAGAAAGCTGAATGGCAGTAGGAAGTGCTGGATTGTACTATTTACTTACTACCTAGGTGAGTAGGTAGGTAGTTAAGACATCATCTTGTCTGTGGCCTTGATTATAAGCACCCAGGCTATTGATAACTACCTACCAATGCTCGGCGTTAATAATTTGAAGAAATGAAGACGAGTGGGCGAACAATTTCACATGCTTTGAAGCCACAAAGTCATGGATATATCTTCGCAATGTATGAACATGCGCCAAATTCGGAGCTCGCCGGCTTTGTCTAGCGCTTATTTAGTGGAGCTCCGTATTTGATGGCACCGTAAATCGGCTGAGTATTCAGAGTTATGGGGCTCGGTAAACTTCGACCAGTTCATCCAAACAAGCAAATTTCGCTCAATGGAGACTTCGGTAAGCGGAAATTTCTGTAAGTATATCGGTGGTGAAGAGAAAACTGTGTTGGATTCGTAATACATATTCCTCGGGCCGCGGGAATATAAATTGTGAGGGGTGTCGGCGAGCTTGTTAGAAGTTTGGATCCATTCCATTGGGTACCAAAGTTTAACTTACGCTCCGACTCCCGTCAATCTACCGCTGCCGCAAATATAACGAACGTGATGGCACCTCTCGCAGATCTCTCGTTCGGCCTCATTGAACTGCGGCTCGGCAACCCTAGAATTATGCTCCTAACCGCCATTGTTGCCGCGGTCGCATGGATGTCGGTTAGCCTTATTCTGCGACGCAGGGAAAAAACGGGGGGCCGTTTTGTTCCATCACCGGGCAAAACCTTGCTTCCAGAACTTCAAGAACAAGAAGCTGAGGATCTACCGTATCCACTCGACGCCCTACCTGGAGGCCGGGACGTGATCACTCCATACGGCTCGATACGCGTTTATGAGTGGGGTCCGGAAGGAGGGGAAAGAGTTCTCTTTGTTCACGGCATAAGTACACCGGTAGTTTCTCTCGGGGACCTCGGACACGAATTTGCTAACAAGGGTTACCGAGTAATGCTCTTTGGTAATTTGCGCTCCCCAAGATCCTCAAAGCCAAAAGATCAACACCAGAAAGGAGATTTACTAACTGATTCTGTCATAGATCTCTTCGGTCGTGGATACTCCGATGCACCCAATGACCTCGACTACGATGCGCGTCTCTATGTAACGCAAATACTGTTGGTTCTTGCCTCGTCGAAGTTGCCATGGACAACGTTCCATCTCATAGGCTATTCTCTCGGTGGTTGTCTCAGTGTCTCATTCACGAGATATTTCCCGCATCTAGTTAGGTCACTTACCTTAGTGGCAAGCGGTGGTTTAATTCGACCGTACCACGTAGGCTGGCAAAGTCGTCTGCTCTACAGCTCAGGCCTCATACCCGAATTTCTGGTTAAAATGTTAGTTAGGAAGAGAATACGGCCTAAGCATGAGCAACCGCATTCAACCGCTAGCGGTGCGGATATCATGTCTGCCGAGACTACGAAGCGCCTCCCAAATGGAGACGGCGATTCCAACGGCGGTGACGGGTTTGACAGTGCGGCCATTTCAAAATTTCGACCAGATATTACCGTGGCCTCGGTTGTAAGATGGCAAGTCGACCATCACAAGGGTTTTGTCACGGCGTTTCTAAGCACGATAAGAAATGCCCCCATTTATGCCCCCCAAGATGACTGGAAGAATTTAGCTATGGTTCTTGAAACTAGGAGACGTCTTGAACATGGTAATAAGCCGGGGTCTGTAAAGGGGATGCATGCTGGGAAAATCCTCATGGTACTTGGAGATGATGACCCAGTTATTGTCAAAGATGAAGTAATTGAAGATGCAGAGCAGGTGCTAGGGCTTGAGGGTGTAGAGTTCGCAATTTTACCTGGTGGCCATGAAATACCCTTCACAATGAGCTCTGGCATTGCGAATGCGATAGACGGGTTTTGGCATAAATTCCAAGATAAATTGGTAGAAAGTTAAATACGAGACTTTGGATTCGACTGGGAAATGGCCCTAATCAGATTATCTCTCCACATTAGCGCATACTAACAAGTGTGGAATAACCTCATAAACAAGCATACCTTTTGGTTCTACTAAAATGCTAAGTCACGAGGCAACTCTGAGACGTGGCAGAGAACTAACCCAAGCCGATTCTCAATGAGTCCCCATGTGTTGTCAGCTTAGCAACTCCAACTACTTTCTTTTCGACCTACATATCAAAATGCAAATGCAAGTAGACGTGGTAAATGCATACTGATGAGTAGGTATGCTTGCAACATACCTGGCGAATGAAGTTGCTGTGAGGGGTAGAGATGCGAGTCATGCTTCGTTCATGATGCCCGCAGAACCCAGCTATTTGCATACACCCAATTATATTGTTGCTTCTTTTCTGCTGTAAGACAATAGACGAGTCCGGTAGTTGGCTATTGTTTCATGCATCCCGCCGAATCAGTGAAACTGTTGTCGCAGAACGATACTATCAAACAGAGGACTGTTTATATGTGAATGATCACAGAGACCCGAGATCTCAAACCTTGCGTAGTACACATTACAACATATGTACCTCACACGACGACATTTGATTAACGCTGCAGCCACCAGGGACTTGCCGCTGCCTGGGACTTAGGAAATACTGTAGATACCATGCCATGGAATATGGTGTTACGAACACATTCACATGTTGTATAAAATGGCCCACTCTACTTGGCAGAATCGCCAAGTTTGTACGTCGCAGTAGGGGGTTAGGTGATTTCAGGCAGGGCTCGTTATAGTACGATGTCCTGCATAGGAAGCAGAAGTTGTGGCAGTCGGGGCAATTGTGATTTGTTCATCGAGATGCGGATTCGCCGACGGTTTGCTCGGGGGACATGCCAGGTTCATTGGTGTCGGCTTTCAGACCGGGCGCTACCAATCGTATCGCATCCCAGATTATGGGTGGTGTGGATATGGGCTATGGTAGCGTGCATGCCGCCGCTACGACGCTACGTCGTAGGGTGCAGCCGTGCAGTCCGAAAGGAAATCTGGGGATGGCTTACTGATGCTTGTTACCCACATGGCCCTATCATATGGATCGTAAGCGTCGACCCCAAGAATGCGCCGCCTTGGCTCTGTCTCGACCACGACAGACCCCTTTCAAAGGGCTGCCATGGCGTTGAGATGGCTGAGATGGACGATGCCAGATCGACACACATCTTTCAGAATGTAGAAACGGGTGAAGGATTGGGCGGGGTCTTCTTCAACGGCCAAGTAGTATGTGTGACACGTTGCCTTGACAATCTTTAGGTTTATCTTTCGCTACTATGCTTCTATGCAGAGTAAATACCGGCAATATGAGCTTCGATATTGAACTTGGTCGGGGATGAGCTAAGAGAAAGTGATGACGACCGCTAGTAGATCGAATGTTTGCAGATCGGATGATAAATGCAAGTCGAAGAACAACTCCGAAGGCGATTGGGCAAGAGACTCATCTGCAATGAAACACAACACAGTCAATTCTGTGAGTATGTTGTTGTAAGTATGTAGCATATGAAATAAGCCCGGAGGGTAAAGCCAAATAGAATATTAAAGATCAGCAGTTTGATATTCTGAAGTAAGATGTGTACCTTAGAAGAAGGTGGGTCCGTGTTAGACCCGAAGTCCCCGGGAATTTGAAAGTTCATCTTGATACAACGTGGACATCAAAAAGAGTATAAATTAGATAAGTAAGCTTTTCTCAGGGACCATGTGACGCAAGTTTAATTCCTTAGTGTAAGGGAATTACATCAAAGGCTACATCAGATAGAAACCTTTTGGGCAATCTGGCAATGTCGATGGAAGTTTGTGAAGGGCTCAGGGCTGAGCCGGTAGGGGTGCCCTTTCTACCCCTTTTACCCCGCAATTCTTTAGAGTTCTGGATTGTGGGTGACGTAGTGGCCACTAAACGAGCAAGTTGATCGGTAGAACATCTACGCTGTTAGTGTTATCAATGATTTAACACCCACCAGACACCAAATTCCTTATCGTACCCTACCAGATGTCCCTGGTTCTCTTTGTAGTAGCTCGGAGCTATGTCTTGTGCATGCGTGGAATATCCATGTAGATGTACGCGCTAGCGTGATGTAGCTTTAGTTAGTTGACCAATGGACTATCGATATTTGTCTTCCAGTTTTGGACTAGCACTGGTGATCGTCTGAAGCCCCAGTACCAAGAATTTGTCTTACTGGGCATTGGGCAGGTAGGTACTGGAAGAGTGAGCAATCGCATCTAGCTACAATATCCATATGAATCCACATGAATCCATCCTTGCCAATCTTTGCCAATCCTACCATATCTGAGATTCTCATAAGCAACCTTCTTTCAATTCGCCTTCTTCATATTAAATATTTCCCATACCTGACACTTTCAAAAGTTCAACCTATCCGACCAATTCCCAATTCTCAAGTTCATGATCTAGCCAAGCCAAATCCCCTATTTCAAAGCTTTGTTTCCGTTTGTTTCTACATCCGGACACGACATTCAACCACCTTTATACCAATTCAATCATCTGAACCGGCTCCATCTAGAAGCCTGAATCTACCCCGCTTGAAACAGTCCGAGTCAGTCGATACTACACAGCACTGAGGCCATCATCGTCACTTTTCAATTAACACCACACAAACGATTGGACCCTAGTTGTCTCTATTGATAGCGTGCACCGGTCTCTTATCGCGTCAAAGGAAAAAGCGGCTGATCGCATTGTCGTTGCCACATTTACACATTTACGCATTTACCTACCGACCAACCATACTTGACTATTCCCTGACTATTAACTCTCGTCACTCCTTGTCACTTTTGATCCATCTAACGTTGACCATCTACGCTACTGGTGCCATTATCCACAAAGGAACATCTCATCTTGTCTCATCTCTTTACTTTTCTCGTCCTATTCTTCTATTTTCTTGCGACCTCGAACCAGTTGCCTGATTAAATCAATCATCCCACGAAGCAAGCGAGGGGTTTCACCTTTGCTACTTCAACAACACCACATCATACCACCCTTGCGGGTTGAAACACGTGCAGCACGAATCTACATCGCGCCATCGAGTCCACAACAAGAGACCAAACAGGAACTCTACATAAGGCGACCGGAATTCCTTCCTTGTCTACTATTAATAAACCATTAACTCTACAAATTTAACCATCATACAACTATCAACATGTCGAACGAAAACGGACCATCTAACGACCGCCGTGGCTCTGTTACGTCAGCGGCTTTCTCCAATCTCTTTCAGCGAAGCAACTCAACATCAACTGGAAACAATGGTCGCGAATCTGTCACATCGGTCGCAGCTAGAGACCAACGACGACGACTTTCTGTTACCACCATAGGACTCGGCACTTCTCCCAATGCTCAAAGTGCCCCGTTTGGGATCCGACGTGGTAGTATCTCTACCAACAACTCAGACTCCATTGACGAAAATGCTATCGATGATGAGGAATCTGCTAAGGCAGGCCCTAATTCTCCATTCGCTCGTCGAATGAGTTTCGGTGCCCAGGCCATGCGCAATCTGCGTACTGGACCGACTAGTCCTGGAACAGCTGGTAGGCATTCCCAAGAGTCAAGACGTATCTCTAATGGACATATACGTGCTCCTCCTACCGGTGCTCCGTCCGCCTCGGCTGCTGCGAGACGGGCAAGCACCTCTCAGGCAAGCCACACATTTTCTTACAGAATTCCTTCTGACGTGTATTCTGCTCGGGCAGACAACGCCTACAATTGGTCCGAGCAGCTTAGATCCCGCGCCGAGAGCAGCGTTCAAGGTCACCGACCGTCCTTCGGAGCCGGTAGATACGGCTCGCCGCCACGCGGCAATGGCCAACACGATCGCGCCAAGTCAGTTTCCGAGATGCCAGCTCCACCTCAGCAGGCTGCTACTGTTAAGCCCAAGCAACCAGAGAGGCCGAAGCCAGACCATATGCAAGAACGCATTCTTAAGGGCGACTTCTATATGGACTGATCGCGCCTAGCTTGTACAAAGGGAAATACAAATACCGACACTTTCAAACGATCCATCAAACGATCCAGGGCGGTGTCAACTCTCGAACAACCACCCCAGACAGGCCTTATGATTAGGTACTCATAAGACTGTCATCTGTTCTATCTCCTGTATTTCCTTTGCACTACGTCTCTTCAACTGACGTCATTCGTTTCGACGACTTCTTTTTACAGCGTTGAGACAGAGAAGTGCGGGGGGGGGCGAGCGGGTAAATTGTTTTTGCAAAATAGCTAGCTGGAACGAGAGACGAACAAGGCCCCTTCTGGGGATGACGTGACAATTTGGAGAATTAGAGATAGTGGCCAAGGGGAGGTCAACTTTGCTAAATGGCCTGACTGATTTTTGGAGCCTAAAACAGGCAATGTTCGGCGTCAAGGAAGATGGATTTGAGTTGTACTAGTGATTATCAAAGCGCTGCCGAGCTGCGCTTGTATGATATGACGTCGGATCGGGGCGGTCTTTCTGTTTTTATGGGAGGACATCGGACAGGGTAAACGAGTCTAACGATCATCGCACATATTATGTACTCGGAGATCACCAAAACAATGGGAGCATCTGACAGGGCGCTATGAAAAGGAAAAGGCCGCGGTTACTTCCGCGTGTAAGACTTAGTTGAGCTAGCATATCAGACTGAGAACCAGATATTAAATCGTTTTATCACCATTCAACATCATCATATTGGTTAAGAGCATTTGTGTAGGTAATTTGGTAGCAGTTGCGATTTGGGAATTGTCTAACAATATCTTGCACCAACAAACCAGATGGGAGAGAACATCATGAATCGATCGTTCAAAATACATCCCATCCATCGACATTCATCACGACACCTAAGACTCCATTTGTTCGCCATTCCCTTTCTCTCAAATATCCCCTTAAAAAAAGTCCTAGCCCAGAAGCCGAAACATACGTACACACATCGCATTGAATTTGCATTCCATTACGCCCTCTTCGCCAAATACTCCTCCCGTTCGTCGTTGTTTTGTGTATATACCAGGTATAGTAGTAGTAGTGGTTGGTGATGATGGTGGTAATAGTAGCTGTGCGAGACTCGACTTCCGGTTTCGACCTTTTCCTCCTTTCGTACATTTGCGTAATCAGTAACGAACTCACTTTTCGCATGGCGTAATGCGAATCCTAAATAACGAACGTAAGCGGGCGCTTTGCCCGCCTAAGTAGTTGTAGTAGTTTATAGTAGTAATACAGTGAGCGCGATTATCTTCGCCTCCGCCCGTGATTCTAGTTGAGGTAAGGAAGTCCTCAGAAGTACGGGCGCGTCAGAATCCCTGCTCGAAGTAGTACAAGGCGCAACTCTCGCACCAACCCCCGTGCTTCGCGACCGGACATTCCGCGCTTGCCTAGAACGGGTAATAGTTTCCATTTGGACCGGCTTGCGGGCCCTGGGGGGCGGTGGCGAAACCCTCGACGGGGACGGGTCCGAGCATATTGTTCTGCATCATGTAACGCATGGTGTCCTCGTACGAAGCCGGGTCGCCGGGGCTACCGCCGCCGAAGCCTGTTAGAGTGAGGCCCATTGCTTGCTCGAAGCCATCGCCTAGGCTGGTGTAGTCGAAATCACTAGATCCGAACGAATCGGCCATCCATGGCATGAATGATTGCTCTGAACCCGGTCCCGGTCCCGACATCCCTCCCCTGGATGTAGCTGCCACGTTGCCCCCGGTCGGATCGTACATGAATGGCTGAGCCGGTTGCGGTACAGATCGCAGCCATCCTGCATTCGCCTGGTATGGATGCGTGTTAGAGTCTGGTGCCGGATTCTGACCGTTGCTGCGTGGTGGACCATTACCGGTCGCAATTTCGGATAGGAGCTGGAGCGGCGTGTTCGTCTGGCCAGAATTGTTCGCTTGTGCTTGGTGATGTTGCTGCGGATGTTGTTGGGGAGGGGCCGAGCCTTTCTTCTGCTCATTTGTAGGCATCCCCCCTCTTAGATCTTGGATGGCTGCTGAAGCAGCTTCATCATCGCCCAAGCCCTTACCATGAGCCTGTCCTTGTTTATAGAACCAACTGCGTAACATAGCTAGCACAAGTAGAAACTTGCTAGCTGGGCGGGACTTATCCGATGCGGCAACCTCTCGGAACTTCTCAAGCAGTTTCTCTAGGTATTCCGCAACCTTCATGTTATCCTTATTAATGACTTTGCCTAGTTCTGAGTTTGAGTTACTCGCGCTGAAGTACATCTTAATGAGGACGACAACTGCATAAGCGACCCGAACGAAACTAAAAATCGGGATACAGCGAATGCTACGGACGTCCATTAATAAGAATGTCTCAAAAATGCCATCGATGGCAGTAAGACACGATGATAGGGCACTGATATGTGATGGCGTGAGCGAGTCTTCTAAACCCGGAATAGGTTCCCGAAGAGAATCAGCATTGCACGGAGGTCGGTATTCCTCGGGGCTCTTATCGACATGAAGTGCGATCTCGTGCATATATAGATTTAATACATGGAAGCCAAGAATAAGGGAAGCTGTTAAGAGTTAGTTATATGTTGTTAAGTAAAAAAACGAATGAGTATAGGTGGACATACGTCTTTTCTCTGCTTTAGGTATAGACTCGCTATATTTAGCTAGATCGCGTTCGAAGCCTCGTAGAGCATATTGAACTTTCTGTTCCGAAACGTTGACGAAAACACTAGGGTCATCCATAGAGAACTGGATACCGACATCCTCGGCAAGTCGATGTGTCCAAACAAGATGACAGAGATATCTATCGGTCGGCGCGGCCTGTGGAGAAGATTCCAGGATATCCATGCATTCGGTCATAAACGGTTGCCATCTAATGAGGTTTGGGCGATGTAAAGCCATCGACACATTCGAAGCTAAAAAGTACACAGCCAGCCACGTTCGCCGTGCTTCGACAGACATAGGATCGGGAAGAGGCTGCTTTCTGAAAGGATGATCTCGCCAAGTATAAGGCACAAGCCGAGTCTTGGGATTATGCTTCTTTCGACCCAGCCCAATATCGATCGACATAACAGCTGCTAAGTGTACGAACTGGTAAAACTTGAGCTCCTCGAAATGTTCAGGCGGATAGTACCAAATTACGCTGACTAAGAGCGACTGGATTAGCTCTAAAGATTTCCTGCCCGTGATAATAATCTGATCGGCAAATATTTGCATGATTTCTCGCACAAGCTGACGTTGAAGCTTAGGGATTTCAGAAGAAGCAGCTGCCATAATGGCGAGGAACAGGATAGGCTTCGTTTTTCGAACTTCGATAGCAGTTGTGCCTTCGGGGAAAACAACAGCTGGTAAATGCGGAACCATGTCTTCTGTGAATCGATCGAAGAATGCGGCAGCTTCGCTCATAGTAATTATTCCACGATCGATTACATCCGGCTCTGATTCGGGTCCTGTACTGGACTTGGGCGGTACCGGCGAGGCACTGGCTACGTCAGGTGAACCTTCGTTTGATTCCGTGAACTTGCGCTTCTGGCCAGCCATAGAGGTCGGGGCCGCATATGAAGAACGCTTTTCTGGCTCGGGCGCAGATTGAGGTTGGTGATCCCGAGATGGCGGAGCACCCCAATCTTTCGAGGTAGAAGCATGGCCATATCCGTACGTCGGTTCCTCCGATGGAGTTGTATGCGAAGCGGTGCTTGGGCCCCCTCGACTCGCATGCAGACTTGCAGTCAGAGCATCGATCTTTTTCTCTAACTCTGCAACACGACTATCCGTCTTCTTCTGTCTCTTTCGAGTAGGTTGCGTCACAACGCAATTGCGTCCTGCCTTCGCACATCTCTTACATGGCCCATCAGGATTCGCTGGGTCAGGTTCGCATTTCACCTTCAATCCACGACAAGCTTCGCAAGCTCGTGGTCGCTTAGGATCGTTCGGGTCTTGCGGGGTATTTCCAGGGCCGTTAGGTGTATCGCTGGCGGCGGAATGGGTATGGTGACCATTAGGAGTATGGGGGGTAAAGCCAGTCGCAGAAGCTACAGGAGATGGACCGGTTGATTGAGATTGAATTTGTTGCTGAAGCGGTGATTCGGGAAGATCTGATTGTTGAGAATTGTGAAGACCCGCGACAGCGAGTTGCTGTTGTTGAGACGGATTTGACGGACCGTTGACGACAATTGAGTCCTCTCCAGGATCGCGAAGTCTTGGGTCAAGGGAACCCGGATCCATCTCGACTTTTTTCCTTTTTCCCCTCTAAAAAAAGATCGAGATGGGTCGCTTACCTAGGGGACTAACTGTTAGAGGCTTACACGTACAATGTCGCGGTAGATGATGTCCGATTTTGCGGTTGTAACGGTCAACATAAAACCCGGCAGCCGATCATAAAAAGATGGGTGGGAATTTCTTTCGACGGTAGTAGGTGGCTGGACCTTGAATCTGGGCAGTCCTGTCCTGAGCAAGGGCTAAAAAATGTCTTGGTCAGCAGCTGCTTTCAATGTTCAATGTTGCCTGGCAGCGTGCGTGGGCATGTGTACGGTACCTCACTAAGAAAATGGGGCAATCCCGTGGCTCTCCACTTTATTTGGTGTAACGGACCTCAGCAACCACTTCCCCCACGATAGACCGATAATTTTCCGGATTTCTTCCCTGTTCACCTATTCTGTATCGTCACACCGTTACTCTAAATCCTGTCCTGAATCCCGTCAACGATGACTCAATCTTGAATGAGGCTTAAGACACCATGAAAAGGTTTCCGTAAGAACTGACTCCTATCCAGGTACTTGTACCACAATTATTAAAGCCACTTACGTTTGTTTCATGGAACCAATTTATGATCAAGGGGAATGTTGTAACACAAGGAAATCGACTCGTCAGAATTGTGGCAAAAGCCAACAGTACTAGGTACAGTGCTATTCCATTTCATTTTCCATTGCAGCTACTTACCATAAAAAGAGTGCCTACCAGGGCTGCCAGATAACAATTACGGTATATAATTACCGCAATTGCCTGGTGGAGCTAAGTTCCTCCTTCCTCATGTTACGCGGATCAAATCTCGCATCAGACATCAATTGGAAACCGCAAACATCAGTTAATTAATAAAGTTTTATTGTTAAAACTCAATTAGTAAATCTATACTCATCCTGCAATGAAACATTTACGCTTCTACGTGAACTAACAGAACTTGAAATTATCAATATGATCATGATATTGTAATAATCATCGATCAAAGGTATACCTATGCGCTTAGGGTTTAATAACATCTAGGTTACCGTGGTATGGACCATCAAGGGATATCACTAGACGCCGCTCATCCGCGACCCGATGAGTATGCTCGCATTAATGGTCTAACGGTTGATTCTCAGGGAGACATATCCCCCCTATTTAGCCATGTTCAAGACACTCAGTTATTATCCAACGAACAGACTAATGATGCAGCTCTTCCTCAACTCCATATTCCATATATCGTTCCTCGAACCGAGCAACTCAGTGTATCCAAGGAGTCTATTGAGTTGTTAAGCATCGCCACCATAATAGGACGTCAGAATGAACAAGCGTTCAAAGTCCCCTCCCTTAGAGATATTGCAAAATTGAAACTAGAGCCACCCTTACTTCGCAGTGACCCAGAGTACGATTGTCGAGAACTAGCCCGATGTGTCCAGGAACAGAGGAGGGATGATATAGACCTAACAAGTGTACCGTCAGAGCCTCTAGACACATCGAATGATGAGAGCCTCGACTTCCCAGATACGGCCTATCAATACAGACGGAGGCTCCTTAAAGAAATCCAAAACGAGAAGCTAGATATACCACGGGAAATACTATGTTATCTTGCCTCTACCTTGAAGGATGAGTGGACACGGGATGAGCAACAAGAGTTAGAAGAGACACTGTTGAGCCGGAAGGTAAGCCTTTCACAAGTCTGAGTTCATCTTCTTGGTGCGCTGACCCGTCAACTGGAATAGCGTTTCCGGGACTTGGCTATCACGCCTCCTCTTAGCCCTCGTGATCATCAAGGAGACTACTTTGTTCCTAGCGAGGAGGCTTGCCAAATCCCCATTTCATCAGATCCTAGCACTCTACTTAAGGACGATTTGAAAAAGGCTGAAGCAGGCCTACTTCACCAAGATGATTTCGATCCTGCAACTCACTCAGAGTCCCTACTTGCTTCTTCCCCTAGGGACTTGCCATTGCTCTATCCAAGACAGCCGAAGATCGACTCATTGAAGGTCGAGGGGCCATTAACCCCATTGGACTCTTTACCACCGTCATCGGAGTTAGCAATAGATATTTCAGATTTCGCAAATGACGTGGATATTGATTGCGTCTTGGTCAATCAACATTCAGATCAAGTCTCTCGAACAACTGAAGAAGTGCTTGATAAAATCTTCAGCGACGATACTCTGGCCTTGCTAGAGGATAAAGCATCATCCGTAAGGAGAAATATTGACCAGGAGCAGCTGCAAAGCGTGGATGCGATCGCTCGAATAGAAATCCCCTCGATGGACTTCTCAATTCCAAAACCCGAATGGCAAAACGTTTCTTTGGACGCTACGTCGCAATTGAGATGTATAGAGAAAACATGCAAAGCTTTCAACATACCGCCGTGGTCCAAAAACTCACAAGCAGAACGGGAGCTCCAGTGGTCTCCATTTCCATCTCGGATGGGTCATATCTCTTTGACTGAATCGATTGAGAGCAACGATATAGTCAGAGACCTTCTGAACTATCCTAGTATCAATGGTATAGTCACGAGTGCAGACTATGTTTGGAAGAAACCAGGCCTGGCAATTCTTCAGGAGTTCGAAGAAGAGGAGGAGCAGCTGAGGCATTCCTCGGAAGATAGCGACAACATAAATATAGAGTCTCTTGTAAGAAAAAGAAAACTCGAGATCGCTAACTTAGATCTAGAACCTAGAACTTCGGGAGGCTCAGATTCGCCAGTTGACCTAATTCAAAATACCCAGAACACAGCATCAGAATCAGAGCAACTTCCTAACCTCCTTCTCGGTCATAATGATTCCTCTGCCACATCAACGCTACTTTCTAACCATATCAACTTTCATACCTCAAAGCGACAAAAGAATATGAAGAGTTCCTTCTTTTCACATTCAGCTAAACCTGTGGCCGCAGCCGAGGAAAAGGGGAGCTTAGAAGCTGTTGCCACCAAGGAACTGGAGGCAAAGAACCCATCCAAGTCTGATATGAAGCCTAAGCAAGGATTTACCACTCCGTGTCCCAAATACAGACCAACATCTACCCCGACAAAAATCATCAAGGCCCTAACACTTGAGCGCGGGGTATTCTCACGTCTCGAGAAATTTTATCCAAATGCTGAAATCATCGAACGAGACTTCGACCGATGGAATAGGTTAACATGGGATCGCAACTCGATATCTCGTTCACCGATTATCTCGCCGCTTGCGGCTGAAGCGGACGTAACCGTCTCGCCCGCAACCGGGATCATAGTCACTACGCTACTCAAAGCTATGCAAAAACCATCACCGGGCCACAAGGGTCTTGCAGCAATTCGCGAACGTATTCGCAACGTCGCGCATCGATACGAACGCCTCATTGTGCTCGTGTCGGAGGGAAACCGAATCGACGAGACGGCGCGAGATCTCACACCATCTGAATGTGCCGCTTACGCCGACTTTTCCGGGTTCGTGGTTGGACAGGACACTAATGCGCAAGTATATTACGTAGGGGGCGGCATTTGCACACTCACAAAATGGCTGGTCTCCTACTTAACCTGCTATGCCCCCGAGGCCGCTGAAGCGAGAGATCTTCTTATCCAGGAGGAGACGCTATGGGAGCTGTTCTTACGGCGAGCCGGGATGAATGCATACGCTGCGCAGGCTATTCTTGGACAGCTGAAAGCTCCAGATGATATAAGGGAAGAGGACGCCGATAAATATGGGCTGCCGGCGTTTATTAGAATGACACCCGCAGAGAGAGTTGAACATTTCCGGGGTGTAATGGGCGGGGAGAGGGTATTGCGTAGAGTGAACGATGTTCTGGAGACGCGGTGGGGTTGATTAAATTGTCAGACCAAAGCTAGATACCATGTTGCTAGGGCTAGATTATGTTGAGTTGCTATGTCGTGCGTTGTAACGTGGAGGAAATGAAATCTGGCGGATAACCAAAAGATGTCTTGCACCCTTTGCCTACTGGTTTTGGCTTACAATCTGCTGCTTTAGATAGCTTCATAGATCAATAGCTCACCATAATGCGATAATCCAAGAGTCGAGTAAGAAGACCTCCACAGCTTCTAGAGAGATTCGACCGATGGATATTTGTGATTGGGCCAATTCGTGAAGCCACCAACATTCAGTAATGGGTATTATTGCTCAACCTCATCTGATTCCGGTCTCCGGGGTTCATCGTCCTCGTCTTCCCCGCTGTTCAATATACTCCATATCTTCAAGCTACTCTCCTTGTTCCGTCTCCGCATCCACAGCGCCTCGGTCCTGGAAACATCGCTGTCGCTATCAGCACTACTACTCTCGCTTTGCGAAAACTCCCCATCTTCATCATCATCATCGGGAAACTCCCAAGATCCAGAACATGTCGCCACAACAGCACCACTCTGATGCACACACGCACTCCCCACCGTCGACCGCCCCGCTGCCGCCTCCCACCCCCAACCCGGCTCATGCGCGCCCTCGCGTCCCCCAACTCCTTCCCAAACCCTAACCATCCCCTCCGTCGTCCCAGACCAAACCTCAAACCCGCCGCTCCGCTCGCGTCCCGGGAACACATCCGCCGTCATCCGCTGATTCCCACTAGCCTCCCGCCCCGCCAGCCATCCTAGCAACTTTCCCGTAACACGGACATCGTAGACAAGAATCCCGGTAGACTTGCGCTCGGAAACAAGCAGGTACCGTCCACACGGACTCCAAAGCGTCTGCGTGACACCATCGCCCCCGACTTTCGCCTCGTCGGTTCCGGCGCGGGAGATACTCCACGTCGCGGCGCAGGACCCGTCGGCGCCGGCGAAATCGTACAGTCCGATCCACCGCGTCCAGGTCCCGGCCGCGACTAGGCTCGCGTTGGAGGCGTCGGCGGGTTGCGCGGAAAGACTGGAGACTACGCCGCGCATGCCGACGCCGTTGCCTTTCGAGAGGTGCCGCTCTGAGGGGATGGTTTTCACGCGCAGAATGGGCTCGCTGTTGGGCCGGGAAAGGTCGTATTTCGCTAGCAGGGACCGGGTTCCGGCTATGAAGTGCGTTCCGGGCGCGGGCCAGATTAGGGAGGTTGCGGTTAGGAAGGTTTCGGAGCGGTGTTTGGTTAGGGGGTAGGATGCGGAGGGCGGGCAGTGCGTGGGTGTTGTGGTGGGGGTGGGGGTGGGGGTGGGGGTTAGGTAGAAGAGCTGGAGGGGGTGGTCGCGTGAGGAGACGAGGATTTGCTGGGTCCATGGCGAGGAGAGGTGGAAGTAGGGCGCGCTGGAGAGGACGGCGCTGGGTTCGGAGAGTTGGATGTAGGCTTGGGGGTTTAAAGGGAGGGGGTGGTTGGCGTTGGGGGAGAGGAGGTCTTCGGGCACGATGTACCCGGAGATTAGGTTGGTGGAGGAAGATGTGAGGAGGGTGGTGCCGTCTGCTGTCCACTGCGCGTTTTCGAAGTAACCGTGGAGGCCATTGTTTCTCTCGTTGGAAGGTGAAGGCGATGGTGACTGTGACGATGACAGTGATGAGCGGGTGCGATTTTGTAGGGTTATATCCCCAGTCGAAGCTACAAGCTCGACCCTACTCTCCAGCGGATGCACCTTTTCTTGATCCATCCCGGGAATATTTCCGTCGCTTGCTGGGTCTTCATTTCTACGAAGCCGTAGCTCTAAAGTTTTACTCATCGCATCTTGAGAGAGTGTGAAATGCTAAAATGTAGTGCAAATGCCATGTGAAGCTAGATCTCCATCGAGCAGAGCTAACTGTCTTAGGTAATAACTTTGGAAAGCTTGGAATGTCAATGTTCATAAGATCGCAATGTTTCTACGGAAATGGAGAAGCTGATCTGCCCGCTGAAACAAAGTGGGTCTTATCGGAATTGTACAAGCAATGGATGCCAAGACTTTTGTATCCTGTTAACAAGATGCTCCTATACATGTTGCTTATCGGCAGATCTTATATGGTATGGTACTCGCCACCATTTAGGACACTATCTTGCTTAAAGTGCAGGGGCATGTGATGGGGGTCCTTTAATGTACAGTCGCACGCGGCAGCTGCGTGCCACAGCTTCCCCCCCGGACCCTGAACCGCTAATGGGGTCGCCTAGCATGACTGCCTATCATGACTTGTTCCTGACCTCTGACTTTCGGCGTACCTAAATCGAAATCATCCTTCCTCCCACGTCCACGTCTTTCAGCGTCCCTCAACTAAGCTTATCGCCAAAACAACATCGCATCATCGCGGTATAGGATTTCGTTCCATCCGCCATGATCCGGTAGTGAAGAAGGGCCATCAACTTGTGGGCGTGACGCGCGCATTCCGTCTTCATTTCCATTCTATTTAGATCGCCTTCGGGATCGACCGTCCACCTACCTGGTCAGCTCTGGTTGGCCCATCCTCAACAATCCCGCATTGGCTTCACCTTTTTCTGTAATACTTTGGGAGGGAGGCCTCTTTCCAGTTACTTAATATTATATTCTATCTCTTTACTTTCTATCTATTTGCAAGAGAAAGTGTTGTATAGGTATCAGGCATCATGGACAGTTGGAGTGTATATGTCGCCGACCGTTGTGACTCGCTCCGTGAGGGCGGGTTCACCAACTTCTTCATCTCTATGTTAGTAGATAATCTATTGTCCTCACCTACGACCTCATGATCATGGAGACCTCGGTAATGCTAATTACAGTCTGTGCCTAGTTTAATCGTCATCGGTATAATGCTATCATACGTAACACAACACTATCGAATCATTTCTCGTGGTTCCTCAGAAGGCATTTCTCCGTATTTCGTCCTACTCGGTGTCACATCAGCGAACTCCCAGTTCGGAAATATCCTTACGCTACCTCAGTCCCGAGCCGACGTTGCCTGCTGCAAGGAAGTTAGTCCGTTTGAATGTACTGCTGGGTTACTTGGGATTGCACAAATCGGAACACAGTGGATATGTTTCGCCGTCATGTTAGTCGCTGTCCGTAATTGTACTTGTGTACGAACTGGTTGCTGACTGCGTATAGTCTGGTCCTATTCTTGGTCTTCTTCCGTAGGGACGATGTCGACGACGAGTACGAGCGGGATCCTGGCCAACCGACCTGGAGAACCGCAATTACGGTGGCCGCAGTATGTTTAGTTCACGGCCTCCTCGTCGTCATCATATCAGCTGCATTTGCACTAGGTGCACCTGGATACTTAGGAGCCTGGGCGAATTTCTTGGGGATCATGTCTGCTGTGCTCGCCGCTATTCAGTACATTCCTCAGATCTACACCACATATCACATCAAACATGCTGGTAGCCTGAGTATTCTAATGATGTGTATACAAACCCCCGGTGGACTCCTTTTCGCTGCTAGTCTGGCGGCACGTCTTGGCTGGGCAGGTTGGAGTTCATGGGGTGTATACGTTCTGACTGCTATAATGCAGGGTATTCTGTTAATGATGGCCATATCATACGAGTGGCCTTCACAGGAAGAACGGGCCCATCATTCCACACCGCAACCACAACGACCACCTTATAACCGACGAACTACACCTAGGGTCTTACCTTCTCCTGGACCATACTCGGCTCACTTACAGGCCTATGCCGAAACTCAAGAAGAAATCGAACGTGCTCTTGATCGCGAAAGTGTGCAAGGAGTAGGAGAGAACCAGCCTCTCCTAGCGCCAGGGGGCTTGGGCAGTTCAGGTGTTCGGTAGTGGATCGTACATTAAGAGCAGGGACGGCTCTACTCTCGTTTCCCCATCGGGTCTCTATCTCTTGACCACAAGAATGTCCATATATGTCTGCTTAGCAACCTATCCAGATTTGAGAGGTGTTGTATAAAAGAATGAAAATGACTTCTAGACATGCAGATGGAGTGTATTCGCTAGTGCAAGTTGATATTTGATAGATCTAGCTTTATACAAGAACTAAATTGATTGGGAGAATAGTGGGCTTGCTATGTGGTTAATTGATACAGAAAATGGGTGTATAGTGAAGAGTATCCTAGAATAGCTTCAGTGTGCCAAGTATGAAACATGATGATTCAGAATGACCCTCGGGCTATTGTTCGTGGAGCTTCAATGCTAAAAGTTTAGCTTGAGTAAGGGTTAGGCTACCTGCAGGATGGACGGGGGTAGTCACGCCGTCGCTGCACCGCTGCACCTGCTTAAAGAATTGAGTGCCTTGCTTGCACCTGCGGTGAGACCAACCAATAATGCGCGTGATTGCGCTACGAATCTGATTGGCCAGAGCTCAAGGGCATCTATCGCTAATGGGGATTTGAGTCAATGTCAATGTGTCATGAATCGCATTCGTTCTTTCCTCGACGACATTGACTTGGTCAATCCTTTTTTTCTTATACCGTGTCATCCAATAGACGGCATTTAGACATCCTAAGACTTTTTTTTTCTAGCAACGTTAGATTGGATTATTTTCCTGTTTTTGTCTACCAAGCTTATCAGATCTCGCATCACAACTTCAGGCGGAGTTCCGTTATCGCCATTATGGCGATCTACAGTGCTGTCCCGCCGCCTCCGGAATTAATAGCCACGGCGACTGATTCGAATCAACAACAGCAACCGCAACAAGAATCGCATCAATCTCCAACTTCGACTCTGCCTTTTACAAGTCCATCGCCTGGCGTCGATATCGAAGCATGGACGGTTTCTGCCCTCGAGTCACTCAGCATATCGGGAATTGCCCGTGGCACCGGTACCCCGCTATCAATTCCTCTAGATGAAGAATCCCTCAAGAAATCATCGGTCACAATCCAGGATCCTCGTGCTAAGTCCACCGCAATTACTCCACCCCCACGCCCATTGTCTCGCCGCGATAGCCAGAAGAGACGAGAGGCATTGCTTAAGGGTAAAGAGGGCAGTCGACAGCGGCGACGCTGGGAGAATGGTACGTTTCCCTGTCTCCTATTCATCCGGTCTTATCTACTCCAAATGATCAACACACCGGTGAGACTAATGCAATATGCTTTTTTCCAGACCGTCTGATCCACGTCCCAAATGTACAACCCCCCGAGCCTTGGGATTGGGAACCGCGTCCACTCTATCCAGTTAATCACATCCCTTACCAAATCGCGGTTGCATGGGACAAACGAGTTCGTGCCGAGGTCGAGGAGAAGAGAGCTTCTGCTGCCCGTCGTAAGCAGATACAGACTCGTACGCTAGGCGATGAGCATGTTACCGGACGCGTCCCTAAGGAGCTTTTTCAGCGTGCCAAGAAGACTCCTGCTGTGAAGACATGGGTCCGTTCGCTCGAGGAGCCCGTTCGACAGTATTTGGTCGATCAGGAACTTGCAAAGAAACCAACTTCCTCTAATGGCGAAGATGATACAGAGGACGAGGAGATCGTGTTCGTTGGCCGTGATGGCAGTATGCAAGAGGGCTGGAAGAAAGCTAGACGGGAGAATCAAGGCAAGACCGAGGACGAGGGGATGATCTTTGATGCCTTAGGCAATGATGCCGATAGTGCGTTCAGGTATGACTTAAATTTACTGCTATTTTGTGTATTAGTATTAACATGATGGTAGGCGCTGGATTACGCATTCCATTTCTGATTACTACGGCTTGAACTCGCGCTCTGTTCTGATAGGCAGCCCGAAACGCAAGGTTGTCTACGTGCAGATGAAGACGGGACATTCACCACCGGTGCAAGCGGATCTTCCTCGACCTTTGTGGGAGCTTTGCTGATAGCTGAACAAAGGTTAAAGAAACTACGTCTTTTCTTTCAGGTTCCGTTAGGTTACAGAATAACAATCATGTATGCATAGACTTTTCCAGGCAGGTATAGACTTGCATTGGTAGATGGTTCTCTCCACATAATTCACCCTATAGGGATTATTCACAACTTTCTGATGAGACTTTTCTACTGCGATTTATATAATACCTACCAAGTACCTAGAGAGTATTGTCATGGAGACAAAGACTGGGCTCTATTAATCACTCTCGTGGATTATGCTTCACCACATATCTCTGTCAAATGCAATTAGCTCGAAGAGCTATCATCCATGTCCTCCAACTCCCAAGGATTCACTACGTCACCTGCGTTCATCATCACTTGACCCCTTCCGTCAACCGTCAACCCCCTCAACCCCTTTCCCCACTTACCCCACCATTTCTCTCCCCAGACAAGCCGGCAGACATCACAACTCACCTTCATCATACACTCACAATATCACATCCTACCTAGAATAACTACGAAGCCCTCAAAATGTCTCTATCAACCCTCCCCTCAGAAACCCTCGCCCTGATCCTCGAGTTCCTCGCAGACTCAGACCTGGCAACCCTCCTCCTCGCCCAGCGCGTCAGCAAGCACTTCCAAGCTGTCATCCAACACATCCTCACCCACCACTCCGCGCAGAAACAGTACCCCGAAACTCCCGCCCCCATCCTCGAGGCTATGAACCCGCTTCTCCGCCACTCCTTCGCTAGTATCATGGACACGGCGAAGCTGGCGCTGAGCCCGGGCCAGCATAGGTTGTTTACGGGGCCGTTTTATAAAATGCCGTGGGTTAGGGGGGAGGAGGGCAGGGAGAGGGATGAGGATGGGGATGGGATGGGTAGGTTTGCGAAGGCGCTGCCGAGGTGTAGGTATATGTGGGGAAGCCCACACCTTAGACCCGAGGCGAGTTGGAGGGGCATTAGTGTTATGTGGGGTATGGATCCGGGGATTAGGAGGGTTGAGGTGGTGAGGTTGGTGACGATGTATGGGGGCATGGGGTTGGGGTGTGAGGAGCTTGAGATTCCGACGGGTGATGGGGAGGGAGTTCTTACGATGGGGTTGCTTTACGATACTATTATGGCGACGGATGGGCCGGTGAATACTCTTGCGACTAGGGGTTGGGTGCTATTGCCGGGGCGTCGGCTGGGGAGTTATGATGACTGGTTAAAGCTACGGGCGCAGAGTCGGTATCCGAGTAATGAGGATATTATGGAATTGTTTGTGCAGGATGAGGGGAGCGCCGTGCTGTTTGTCAAGAAGTTTCAGGATTGTATGGGAGATCATATGGTGCGTAGGCGAAATGTGGAAGATGACGAGAATTTACTTTGGGAGCCGGAGGCGATCGGGGGGTTACCGATCGTGTTGCGCCCGTGGCGGGGCCCGGTTGCTGGGGGTAAGAGGTGTAATAATAGGGAGAAGGAGGTAGAGGATGATGATGTTGGGGATGGCATAAAGGTCGCCTGGGAGGGGTAATGATGATTATGCGGTGCGGTTTATGGCAATTTGTTGCGACGACTATGGGCGTTTGGGGGAGACATCTTGCGACTGTACGAACATTGAAGTATGCACATTGAAATTACAAATGCAATTTCCGGAAAGGGTAGACGCTGACACATTTAACCAATTAAAATGCAGGTTTTACTCAGTTGCCAAGCTCACTAGTTGACTGATAAATTTGGGGAAGAAGAGACTTGATTTCAATTAAGAAAGAACCGAGTTGTCGGGGTAAGACACAAGTGAAAAAATACCAGCCGCCTAGATCTCCATCTATCTCAGCCATAGAAGATATGATTTTTTTACCCCATTTCGCTCCGGACCGTCACATCCATCCAACCACGTCGTACAGAAGATCCAACCAATCCTTAGGGGCAGGTAACGCCTCCTTCCCAAGCAGCCCCCAAGAAGTCGACGCCCTGCATAAGCTCCAGTAACACGCCCAACTATAGCGTAGATAACAAGACTCGGGACCGAATGCCTAAACCGGATTCCCCGATGACCCACATTCGCAATGAAGGTCCGGATGGCAGTTGCTAGAAACACGTGTATACCGGGGCTCGCGTCTTTGACTAACATCCGAATTCTGGGGTTTGATTATTAGCTGACAAAGAGAATCGATCTTCTTGTCTGTATGATTGAGCTTCATCTGGTTCGGCTTTCGGACGGAGGTCTGGTTTTATCGCGAGTACACATGTTGCAAATGCGCATTCAGGGGCATGTTTTCCCGGTTGTGTTCTATCCCATTTCTTCTTGGACCCCTGTTCACGAGGAGACTGCGCCGCAGTAGGTAAACATCACATACGATAGTGATGACACTAGATCGGAACATCCCATTATCTCGGGGACGTTGGGACGAGTTTGCGCTGAAAGTATGGATAACAGCTGTTCGTTCAGCTAAAGAGCCAACGAAGATACAACAACCATAGCTCGTGTAGTACGAACGAGAAGGTGTAGAATACATAAATCCATCCTAGACATTCCCAAATCATCATCCTATTCATTTCCATTTCGAAAAACAGCCACTCTAGTGCGTTTAGGGCGCGAGTGATCGTTCGACGTCTCATTAATCTACGAGTTAGATATGGCGCATATCCGGGAAACAATACGTACGATATCAAGCCAATAAAATCCATTTTCCGCCGATGCTCTCCGGGCCGGTCTGAAGATCGTAGGTTGGGTTTCCTAAGATGGTGCAAGGTAAGTGCCAACGTATGTCAATCGTTTAAGAGGCTGGCCGAATATTAATAGATACATACATTATTGCGATCTATGTTCTATGTTCTATGTTCAGTTATTTATTTGCTCGACTTCTCTAGAGGCGATGACTGCGAAGGCTTAACTTTAATTATCATCACAATTAAAACTTATTGCCTCGAGATGAACTTTCATTCAGCAGTGGCAATCTAATTTCAGAACAAGCGAACAGTTCGTTTCTCATATACCCGCCCAGTACCTAAGAAGCTGTAGTTAAGATACTTTTACTAACTTATCTCTCTAAACCGTGCATGTCAAAATAAAGTCATTTGAATCAAGTCTATACTCCAGATTTTCCTTCCCGCTTGTGAAATCGGGGTTTCAACTCAGACTTCAGCGGTTATTTCGTTTGTCGGGTTTAGAATGGAAATGCTTTTCTTTCCCCGGTGAGTTCATGAAGTTGTAAGACGACTTCCGCGTCCGGATCGGCGGCAATCCCGTATGTGGATCCGGGATGATCAGGGTTTTAACTTCGGGGTAGGAACGATCAATAGTGTCTAAAGGGGAAACCACCCTTTTCGAGAGTACTAGTTATAGGAGAATAAGACAGGTGAGTAAATATATCAATTATGATTGCCGCGGTGCCTACTAGGTACCTACCGAAGCATCACAACTAATTGATATGCTTCCTAACTTTCAATAGACCTAGCTGTCTTGGCAAAGCGTACTTAAAGCCACTGTTGAACCCTAGGTGCGCATGGCCGTTCTATCTTAGTAAGACCTAAACGGATCTATCGTAATACCAAATAAGCTTCATGGAACCGATTAAAGCTGAAAGCTGTAAGATGAGGGGTGAAATGAAGGTTGCTTACCCGGCTACCGATTTCTATTGTGACATTGAAGATGGATTCTCTAAATTTTATATAACATGATACAATTTATAAGGAATCATGTCCATATGATGATATGGTAAAGGATTGCTCGCTAAAGCTAGGAACGATTACTAGTCTATCTGTAGCAAATCCTGAAAAACAAATGTCTCACTACCTCCCATCACAACGAAAGTTTGAAGAGGCGGAGATGGAGTTACTTATGTACCTGCAGTTAGGATCAGCTGAAAGTCCTAGTTAGGCCTATCTTCTAGAGGGCCATCCTGTATTTTAGGCCTAGAAATCTTGGACGTAGGTGCTCTGCGGCCTATACCGAATCTGATCTTGCACCAGAAAAAATCTAGTAAGATATTGTTCCACAACATCTCGTTAAACCTCTATTTAGAAATTTGCTCATGTGATCTCAGTGGGAACTCTAATCGTGGCTTTCTTAGCATCAGCCTTCGCTTACAATTGGCATATTATGTCCTCTTTTGCTTTTCAAGATGAATCATTTAAGCGGACTTTATTGGTAAGACCGAAGCGCTGGAATATCATCCCTGGCGTTAACTAGTATAGCCACGCAAAGAAATCCTCTTCAGACATACCGCACACTAAGAGTTTAGTCCGGACTTCGTTGTTAACGTTGGTCAAGTTGTGCGTAGGTAGAATAGTGAAATTAGATGGTCTTGCTCCAACGATCGTTTGCATAAGGTAATGTAACCACAATGCGTGGGTACCCGAGGCCTAATATAAAATTCCAACAATGTTAAGCACTCATGCTATGCACTCATGCTGTATCCGGCAATTCCGTTTACGCCGCATATCACGTATGATAGGCAGCTCCAATGATGGATCAATAACACGATTTTTCCGTAAATGCAGAAAGACCATCATGATTTCCCAGCCTTGAATACGTTGTGTCTCCATGTCCCCATGGCTTACGTGGCGTCAAAGGCCGAATTGAAGCGATACAGATAAAATGACTACTGACATAGATCTTCGTGGTGTCCCGGACCTCCTGGATAATGGGTGCCGGCGTATTAGAAAGAACTTAAAATGGGCCATCAACATATTCCCCTTTTTGGTAACACGATGTCCGGCACCTTTCGGTATGTCTCCAACAAGGTCCGTAAATCGTCCCTCGAATGGTGTTGTGCGCGCACTTGGGATGGCCGCGACAAATACGCCCTTATATAGAAAAGCGCCTCTCTCCTGGAAATGGTCCTGGATTGATCTTGATACTCATCACCAAACAACAACCACTACCACCTCATCAAACTTCAACTGCAGCCTCTCCGCCACTAGGATCACTCGATAAACCCTATATATCTATCGCATCCCACTCGAATAACGTTTCCTCATTCAAGATGCCTAGCGTCACTAAGACAGGTAGCAAGTACGATGCCATCCCAGGTCCTCTGGGTCTGGCATCTGCTTCTCTTGAGGGCAAAGTAGCTCTCGTCACCGGTGCTGGTACGTATCTGAAAATTTCCTCGCCTGGAGTTTTGCTTTTCGTCTGTTTTCATGCGTGGCGTGGCGCTCCGATTCCCGACCAATACATCGGGTGTTGAGCAAGGCCCAAGAGAAGCCGGCGGTTACTCGCGTTCCGACACCACAGCTGTGGCGTCCCAAGTGCGGGCACCCCCAGGCAAAGTCCGAATCTACTGAAACGCCATTTCATAAATTGATCGAAATATTGGTCTGAAACAGGAAATGCAATGGACAGAGCTAGCTAACGCGCTAATGCAGGCCGTGGTATCGGTCGCGAGATGGCTCTCGAGCTCGGGCGTCGTGGCGCTAAGGTTATCGTGAACTACGCCAACAGTTCCGAGTCGGCTGAAGAGGTGGTGCAGATGATTAAGAAGAGTGGGTCGGACGCGAGGGCCATCAAGGCCAACGTGTCGGATGTAGACCAAATCGTGCGGCTGTTTGACCAGGGTGTCAAGGTCTGGGGTAAGCTCGACGTAGTCTGCTCTAACAGCGGTGTCGTTTCCTTCGGTCACGTCAAGGACGTCACGCCTGAGGAGTTCGACCGTGTCTTTGGCGTCAACACCCGTGGCCAATTCTTCGTCGCCCGCGAGGCCTACAAGCACCTCGAGGTTGGCGGCCGCCTCATCCTCATGGGCAGCATCACCGGCCAGGCTAAGGGTGTACCTAAGCACGCTATCTACTCCGGCAGCAAGGGTGCCATCGAGACCTTCGTCCGCTGCATGGCCATCGACTTCGGCGACAAGAAGATCACCGTTAACGCCGTCGCGCCTGGTGGAATCAAGACTGACATGTACCACGCCGTGTGCCGAGAGTACATCCCCAATGGCGACAAGCTAGAAGATGAAGCAGTTGATGAGGTTAGTTCGTCGTGTGGCTTCTTTGCGGCTTACCTACTCCACAATGTTGATTAAGCTAATAAATGATTCGCAGTACGCCGCGACATGGTCGCCTCTTGGCCGTGTTGGTCTCCCCATCGATATCGCCCGTGTTGTCTGCTTCCTCGCATCTAACGACGGTGGATGGGTCAATGGCAAGGTCCTCGGAATCGATGGTCACGCTATGATGTAAAGGAATTATCTGCGGTATTAAGTTCCAAGGTTGACGAGATAAATTGAACAGTGGGGGTTCTCTGTTAGTCCTACCTCGCATTTGTATAAGTAGTAGTATGGTGCCGAGACAACCAACAGAAATCGAATTATGGCACATAGGCGCGGTTTGAATCTAGATATCAGATAGACCATTAACGAATATCCAGGAAGTTAGTCGGTTTATCTTTCATGTTAGAATAAGCGACATTTCCGCATTAGAAATCACTAACAAATCACGATACCTTGCTTATCTCACACAGACCATTCGCTTATAGGAAATATGATGTCATATCATGGAATATACCTACATATACCGTATACCTAGGTATGTATCTAATGGAGCACAACACGCAAAGGAATAACCTCGAACCGAGAGCCTCATTTCACGGTACTTATACGCCTGGGCACACATACGTGATGTAGTGTTCCTACGTTACATACCTAAAAGATTAAGGATTCCAATCTCATGATATCATGACACGAATGCCAACTCAGAGACATGGCATCGTGGCACTGGATACGTTGGATGAGCTGTCGTGTTGGGGAGAGATGCAAGTTAATATCGAATCACTAGCCCAACATGAAGGGCACTAACTGCAAGTCTTTCGTATCTATATGTAGGCTGTGATAAAAAGCCTTCCAAGTCATTACGGCAAGGCATATTCGGTACATATATACCTACGCTACTTATAAGCAGGCTGTGTCTCCTTTCCTCCGCTCCATGTGGCATCGGCCTGGGCGCTAGACCTGACGGTATCGGTTTGGCAGACAGCCTGCATGACTACCTAGTATTACCCAATGTGTACATGGGTAACTGGATACACGTACTAGGTAAAGAGCTCGAGTCAATAGCTGAATACCAGCTTCTTGTCCGTCCAGGTACTAACCTAGGTAGTCAGGTTTTTTGCTAGAACTTCAAGTAGGTAGGTATTTAAAAAGAATTGGTTGAATGGCGTCTTCATCTAAATCTCTCCAGCATCATTACCTACTAAAGAACAACTGCTGATATTTCTACGACACCAACTCGAAGCGCCTTAGAATCAACAAAGTATGGCGATCGCCGAAACAAACGGCACTTGCAGAAATATACCGCCGGGGGAGAAGTGCGAGTTCAAGGCCTATCATGAGACTTTAAAACATGGCATAAGCTCTACCGAAACTACCGAAGATCCTTTTAATAAAGGCGCCTACCATGACGAAGATAGCGCCTTTGCCTTGGTTATTAGGAGAAAGTTCCAGGAGAATAAGCCAGACAAGACTACCCTACAAGTAAATTCTCCACATATCCTGAAAGCCTTCCGCGAAATAATCAAATCGTACCTTGCTGTGCCGTCCGATTTTACTTCTACCGTGGAACTACATACCCCGTTCGAAATGCTAGTCCACTACTGGTATGAGTTACATGACTACCGGCAATCGCAGACGGACACTGTCGTGCAGGAGCATATGGACCTTCTATTAAAGTTCATGGATCATGAGATTGGACCTGATTTTGAGCGGGCTCACAATATGATCCAAAAACAACAAATCAGCTACGATAATGCCTGGGTCATCTTTCGCCCCGGTGATATTATGTACTCCGAGATGGGCGGCCATTCTTGGCTCTCAGTTTGCCAGAAGACAGCGTATGAGCAGAATATGGACCTTGGACCTTATCTTGAGGTCCACTGTAGCTATACAGACGACAATGGCATGGTTGTAGGTCAGGCAACACATGTTGTCAACATGAACCAGAGGGTTAAATTTCCCGCGGGCAAACCGGTCTCAATTACTGACCTATATATTTACCCACGTAAATTTATTAAGGAGGGTGAAAGCCTCGAGCGCCGCATTCGACGCCGCGGAGAAAAGTTTCTAGCGTTGATGAATAATTCGACGGTAGCTTATGGTATGTGCAAACCCCTTTAATCTTCATCACATCTGCCTACGTGAAATGAACAGAAAAAAGAGACAATGAAACCCACTCATCTCAACTGAGTGTAATACAAAACTGAGCTACCAAATATAAAAACTTTGAAATATTAGGGTAGACTGTTAATGGGATTGCAGATGGTCCTGCCGAATGGCTTAAGGAACCACCTTTTGATTTCTACGATCCGTCACAAACCAAATTTCGCGGGGTATGGCTACCATACACCGAAAATGGAAGGGTCGTCTTAGATCGGAAGACTTTTGGAGAAGAGCAGCCATTAGGTACAGCTCGAGTTAAGAGAATGGACCCTGAGCCGTTATTTTGCCCGCCGTACACGCTTGGCTTCTCACTCGGTCGTAAACAATGGTGCCGATTCTTCGTTGACTGTATCAACGACGTAGAGTGGAAAGCGAAGGCATGGGACTCTCTGATACTTCCGGATAAGGAGAAGCATCTACTTCAAGCTCTAATCTCGTCTCATACGTACTCGAGAAAGCCGCGTGATTTTATGCAGCAGAAAGGAAAGGGGCTTGTCGTTTTGCTCCACGGTACACCCGGCTCTGGCAAAACACTAACCGCCGAAACGGCTGCAGAGGGAACTAGAAAGGCTCTCGTGTCTACTTCGGTTGGCGAACTCAGTAAGGGTGGGAGGTAAGTTGTCTTCCCACTGTAGAATTTTTTCCCCGTTTTCTGAGTCAATACAGTTTCATTTCCGGATCAGCATCGTTTGAAAAAGAGCTCAAGAAACTTCTCCAATACGCAACAGTATGGCAAGCGGTAGTACTTCTCGATGAGGCCGATGTGTTCCTAGAATCCCGAAAGGATATCGGAAGTACCGAACGAAATTCCCTGGTTGCAGGCAAGTTTCTCATCAAACACTGACCTAAAAAGTCTCTAATGCATACACTCTAGTCTTTCTCAAGGAACTCGAATACTTTGGCGGAATAGTCTTCCTAACAACGAACCGTGTGAACTCGTTTGACATTGCTATGAAATCCAGAGTCCACCTCTCTCTTAGCTATACACCACCAGAGCGCGAGGCGCGCCAACGCATCTGGTTTCATTGTCTTACGAATGCGCATACTGATGCTAGCGAGATCGACGTGGATAAGACTATCGGCCTTTTAGTGAAGCACGTGCTGAATGGAAGAGAAATCGCTAACGCTGTGAATACGGCGAGGACATTGGCGCGGTTTGATGGCGTACCTCTGAGGCTGAGTCATCTCAAGACTGTACTCGATGTTCGACAGGGTTTTGACGAGAGTCTGAGGAACGGTAATTCTCTTTGATGATATCGATGAGCTGCCCGGTTATTACGATCATGTTAGCATTCACAACCTTTCCTACTAGGTATCTGTGTAGTTTCCTAAACGTCGACAAATATTGATGAGTACCGCTAAATTGTCAAAACAATGGATGATTTTCAGAGTATGAGCTTTCCGCGATGGAGGGTATAAGTACTTCTCAATACTAGGAGAAATTAATATACCTAGGTACTTATTAGGTGCTAGTTACTAAGGCATATATACAGGGCTTAGCTAGATGACGAGTTGCACACTCAACCAGTGAAGCTAAGCAAAGTTTTAATATTCTTTAATTTATTAATACTGTGTACTAACGTGATTTATAGTGACTTACCTAGGTAGGTAGGTAAGTACCTATCTAATCGCAGCCAATTAATCGAAATTCATAGCGTCTGGGTGTATGTAGGATTAGGGGCATATTCCTTGACGTTATATTCTATTGGATATCGATATCCAAGTTCCGGGTCATCACAGCCTGCCTACCTACACCTACCTACCTACCTGTAGGTGATAAGTGAGCAGAATTTTGAATCAGGCTTTCCGGTTCCTATCCTGACCGACCTAGCAGCCTAGGCATTCATTTCTCAATAACTGCCACGTAGTGTGTTATAATTTTCCAAGTTACCATCTACTTTTCGTACCTACGAGGGAAATATCACTGTAATTAGACTACAACTTGAACCATGTCAAAATTCAATGCCTATACGGTCGGATGGATTTGTGCTGTTGGAAAAGAACTTGTTGCTGCAAAGTCATTTCTTGACGAGGAGCACGACCCGCCAGACCATGTACCCAACAACGATAATAACACATACATATTGGGTCGAATAGGAAAGCATAGTATCGTCATCGCTGCGATGCCAGTCGATCAATATGGCCTGGTTAGTGCTGCGACCGTTGCTAGAGACATGATGCGAAGCTTTCCTGGTGTTAGGATTGGCCTGATGGTAGGAATTGGCGGTGGCGCACCGTCTTTGAAGCACGATATACGTTTAGGCGACATAGTCGTGAGCTGCCCAAGTGCTGGAATTGGCGGCGTGTTACAATACGATCACGGCAAAACGATACAAGGCAAAAAGTTCTCTGAAAAAGGACATCTGAATCAACCGCCACAGTTCGTCCTGACAGCATTAGCAGTGCTCGAGGCCGAGTATGAGAGTGAGGGCCATCGGATAGAGGAAGCCGTTGATGAAATACTCGAGAAAAAGCCGAGACTGCGACAAAAGTACCGTCGTCCAGACGCCAGCACAGACAGGCTATACGTATCAAGTTTTACGCATAAAGGGGGCGATGAGGCAAGATGTACCGAAACTTGTGGTGACGACAAATCCAACCTAGTCTCTAGGGAAGACACATCGGAAGTGAGAGATAATCCTACGATCCATCGCGGTTTAATCGCCTCTGCAAACCAGTTGATGAAAAATGCTCTGGTTAGGGATACACTTTCGAAGGAGAAGGATGTTTTATGTTTCGAGATGGAAGCCGCTGGGCTCATGAACCACTTTCCTTGCATAGTGATTCGGGGTATATGCGACTATTCAGACACCCACAAGAATGATCAGTGGCAGGGCTATGCAGCGATGGTGGCAGCTGCTTATGCGAAGGACCTTCTCTGTAAGATTGCTCCGAATAAGATCGAAGCCGAGAAAACACTCAGCGAGGCCCTTTCTAATAGTTAGTAATTCTTGCTCATACCTTTACAATGTCATTGAGAGCCTATATTAATAATTCGATAGTTGATTGCAAATTGAGTGACGTCCAATCCCGAATCGCCAACTTGGAGGATGATGAATGCACCCAAAGGCTTGTGACTTGGCTTTCTGCCCCAGACCCATCAACCAATTTAAATCGAGCCTTAGATCACCACCACCCAGGTACAGGTTCATGGCTACTTGATAGCGCCGAATACTTGTCGTGGATAACTAGAGAGAACTCCATCCTCTGGCTTAACGGCATACCTGGATGCGGCAAAACAGTTTTGTCCTCCACTATCATCGAGGACCTAGAAAACGCTAAGGGCTACGCTTCCAAGCTCTTGTACTTCTACTTCGACTTTAATGATTCGGCGAAGCAAACATTTCAGCACATGCTTTGTTCATTAATCATCCAACTATACCGTAAAGAAAACAGTGTTAGACATCACTTGGACTCCCTTTACAACCGACAGAATAAACATGACCGACGCTTAAGCATCGAATCATTACGTACAACCTTTAAGAAAATGGTCTGTGAATCAGGCGAATTGTTCATTGTGCTCGATGCTCTGGATGAATGTGGAACCCCAGACTATCCAAAAGGCGGGCTACTGGGATGGAGCTCTTCTATAGGGGCATTGGAAAAGAATATCCATCTTCTCGTCACTAGCCGTATTGAACATGGTATCAAGAGCGTTATTAAGAAATGGCCATTTCCAAAAGATACCGTTACTCTAAGATGCAGTTTCATACACGATGATATAAGCAGGTATATCGAAGCAAGACTCCAAGGACCTGAGTTTTGGGATTGGCCAAGAGGAGTCCAAGAAAGCACGAAAATAATATTGGTAAACAAAGCCGACGGAATGTAAGTACCTCGGAATCAATTAATATCTTGAATTGTACGTTGACAACATAGGTTTCGCTGGGTCGTATGCCAGCTCGACACCCTCAAACATTGTCATCATCAGAAAGCAGTCCAAGAAACTCTGAACTCCCTCCCGAAAACCCTAGATGAGACGTATGCTCGTATCTTGGAAAACGTACCTGAACAACAGCGCCCCTATACAACGCGAATTTTACAGTTTCTAGCCTATTCTGATAGGCCCCTTACAATCCGTGAACTCGCTGAAGCGGCTGTAGTGGAAATGGAAAGGAGAGACCCATTCGACCCGGCCTGCAGACTGTGGAATGCCCAAGAGATCATCAAATATTGTTCCAATTTAGTGGTTATTGCCGCATGGACTGGGACGGAAATACAACTTCATTGTGATCGAGATTATTCAAACAGTTCCATAAAAGTACGACTTGCGCATTCCTCGGTCAAAGAGTACTTAACTTCAACAAACCTAGCTGGAAACCTTGGAAATGACTGTTTAATAGAGCTCAGTGCTAGAGCTTCAATTGCCAAAGTTTGCATCGCCTACCTCCTACAAATATGCAAGAGAGGGAAAGTTCCATCGGGCTTTATAGGATTTGACCAAGACTATCCGCTAGCTTGCTACGCTGCTTCATATTGGATAAGCCATGCCGTAGTGGTTGAATCTAGTTCAGCAGCAATCACAAATTTCATATTGGAATTCCTTTCGTGCCCAGAGGCGTGGAAGCTTTTCAATTATATACGCCGAAAGGATCATCAGCTATACAACCTTAAGCTCAATTTCGCAGCGGTCCATGGACTATTCCATACAGCTCAATATTTAATCAAGGACGGGGAAGATATAAATGTCGTGGTAACTCGGGACTTCACCTCTCGGAGCGAAAACTGTGCCCTTTGGAATGCCGCGCGCGGAGAACATCATCAAATAATCGAGTTACTAATGAACAATGGGGCTGTCCTCGTTGACAAAAATGCAAGTTTTCTCGCAGCCGCTGCAAGTAGAGGTCTCAATGACATGATCAAGAATATGATCAGCAAAGGCGTAGATATAAACAGCCACGATACCAACCATTGTGTGGGTCTTCTAGCAGCTGTGAAATTTAACCATGAAGACACGGTCAGGATGCTACTTGACAACCACGCAGATGTAAAATTCGAGTGTGGAAAGCACGGTACTATCCTTGATGCAGCAGTGGAAACTGGAAGGTCAAATATGATAAAATTACTACTTGACCACGGAGCTGTCTTTGAAACGAGAGATAATAGGGGAAGAACTCCTCTGCATAATTCGGCTTGGTATTATTCACCGGAAAAGGTCAAACTATTGGTTCATCTCGGTGCCGACATCAACGCAGAAGATTGGCAAGGCCAGACTCCTCTACACCTCGTAGCTTCACGTGTAGCTTCAGGAGAAGCTTTAAATAGGAAATATGATGAGGTAGCCAAGATCCTGATTGATAACGATGCTAATGTCAACGCGGAAGACGATGCAGGCAGGACGGTTATACACATGGCTGCCATACACAGCCACAGGAATCTGATCAAGCTACTTGAAGATCGCGGCGTCAACATTGACACAGAGAATTTCCAAGGAAAGACTCCTCTGCAAGTGGCCATAGAGCGGGATCATGAGTTTGGCGTAAGGAAACTACTCGAGTTTGGCGCGGACATCAACAGGGTGGATAAATGTGGGAGAACTCCTCTGCAACTCGCCGTTGAAAAACGCTACAAAGGGGTAGCTATGATACTGCGGGAGAGTGGAGCGAAGGATAAGGACCGCTGAATTCTGATTAGGTACCTATATTAACGCTTAAGGTACTCAAAATACACTCACTTCATGTATACCACAACCACTTAAGCCCCCGTATCCTGCGGCCACAAATCCAGCACAAACGCCTCGCCCCTCAGCGTAAAGTTCCACGTCGCCTGCGTCGGCACATCAACAAGCAAACTATACTCCCCGGGAAACAACACCAAATTCCCCTCCCCATCCCTTCGTCCCAAGCTCCCCAGCGTCAACGTCAAATCCGCAACCTGCTCTCCCCCTCCCTGAACACCATGCAAGCGCTTATACCCCACAAGCCGTTTAATCGGATACGGCACCGGCCCATGCTCCCCCGCCACAAACCCCAAAGCCACGAAATCCGAGTCCGTGGAACCTGTGTTCGCGACGGTGACGGGGATCACCTGGAACGGACAGAGGTCCAAGTGCGTCGCGCCGACACACCCCGCCGTTAAATCCGCGATCTCGAACGCGGTTTCTGCCGGGGCGTTGATCGTGGCGCTGAACTCCGTGTAATGCAGCCCGAACCCGAAGGGTACCGTGGGCGTCTCATACCACATATACGTGCGTCCTGGATTCCCCGTCTGCGCGTCGGGACGTAATCCCATATCCGTCATCGGCACCTGATCCACATAGCTCTCGGGGTACTGCGTCACAGGCAGCCGTCCCGCAGGCGCCACCTTCCCCGTCAACACGTTAACGATTGCATCACCGCCAGCTTGGCCGGGGTATCCCGCCCACAGGATCGCGGAGACGTTCGGGTGGTTTAGGAAGGGAGCGTCGTCGCGCTGGCCGCCCATCTGCGCGAGAACGAACGGCTTGCCGAGGCTGGCTAGCTCGGTCATGATGTCGATGCTTTCGCCGGACCACCGGATCAATGTGCGGTCGTTGCCTTCGGCTTCGGAGGCGACGGTGGGGCCGTCCGCGAAGACGATTATGTCGGCTGTGGACGCGGCTTCGAGGGCGAGCGGGTAGCCGTTTGTCACGGGATCGCCGGGCACGCCGGCGTATACGGCGTTGATACCGGGGGTTTGGGTCGCGGCGTAGTAGGGGGAGTGGAGGTACGGCGCGATGCCTTGGTAGTTGCCTTGCATGTCTGTTGTTGCGTTGGCCCAGTTCCCGATGAAGACGACGGTGAGGTTGGTGACTTCGGAAACTTGGAGGGGGAGGGTGCCGTCGTTTTTGATTAGTACGATGCCCTCTTCTGCAGCCTTGCGTGCGAGGTCTTCGGCGTAAGGGGTGGATACGTTGGAGAAGCCTAGAGATCGGTAGGGGTTGGAGTTTGCTGGGTCGAAGTAACCTAGCTTGATAAGACCCGCGTATAGTCGTGTGACGGCTTTATCGAGAGTGTCATCGTTGATAATGCCTTGTTCGTAAGCTGTGGGTAAGTGGATCTGGTAGTAGGTACCGCAATTGAGATCCGTGCCAGCGAGAAGGGAGCTGGCAGCGGCGCCTTCACGAGTGTCGCGGTAATTGTGAGGTAGGTAGACATTTTGAAGGGCATCGCAATCCGAGACGACGTATTGGTAATCTCGTGTCCAATTCCAGTGATCTCTAAGAATGTCTTGCAGGATGTACGAGTTCGAACAGGTTGGTACGCCGTTCAGAGAATTGTACGAGCACATAACAGAGCCAACGTTTGCCCTCGCACAAGCTTCGAATGGCGGCATGTAATACTCGGCCAGTTCTTGGGAATTGACTTCGGCATCAAATTCATAGCGTTCATTTCCTAGCCAATCCTCGATATCGTATGCAACAAAGTGCTACGATAAGATTTTGGTTAGCATACCTCCATGGAAGAAAGAATTTCAGGAACTATGCATTTTAATCTCACCTTGCAGGTAGCAATCACTTTGAGGACATCGGGGTCCTCTCCACCTTGAAGACCCTTGATTAGGGCCGTCACATAGGAACTCAGATGGAAGGGATCTTCTCCAGGAGTTTCCTGTCCTCGCCCCCATCGAGGGTCGCGATAGGGGTTGATGTTTGGCGTCTACAGCATCTTGAATCAGTATTTATCACCAATTGAAAACGTCTATATTCAATTGGCGGAATTGAGATCATTCAGTCACTACTCGGGGCGCAGGTACGCATTCCTAGTACGCCACATTAAGGAAAATAGGAAAATAAAGAAATTCCAGTGTAGGCGTACCCAATAATCCAATCCCGATCGATTAAAATTGTTAAACGCGCGGGCTTCGGTGCTAACAACCGTCGCCACAGCCTCGATAAGATCGTCGTCGAATGCAGCCCCCATTAAGATCGGCTGTGGGAAGGATGTCGCATAAGAAAAGTCGCCGGAGTTGCTGAACGCCACTCCAGGAGAGGACGCAACGCCATGCAGAGCTTCTTCTGTAATGGTCTTAGCACCTTGCTTATGGCGACCTGTAATAATAAAAAAGGGGGATACATACGCCACCACTCGTAGCTAGGCAGCCCAAGTCTTTCGACCCCGGGTGACGTGCTAGATAGTAGCCCAAATTTCTCATCTTTCTCGAGGGCGGCAACGAGAGCTTGAGCTCTTTGCCCTACAGAAAGACCGGTGTTGCAGACATCGTTGCCGGCTAGGGGACCGCTTCCGCAATCTGGGAAGATGTGGCCGACGGCTGAGACGCCCGAGCTCATCAGCCATATGGCTGACCCTAGGATGAGCGCCATATTGATTATTCTGAGACAACAAGATGATCGCAAGCCGTCCTACCCCAACGGCCGAAGATCGCTGCTCTGTCTTTTATAGCTTCAGAGCTCCTCCAAGCGGTGGAGCAGCGTAGCAGCTGGTCTCCTCATCTTTCCCCGCATCGATGATGCGTCGTGTCTGCGGGATAACCTGCATAGCTCCAAGTCGAGCCCACACGGGGCTGACGGGTTCCAATTGTGGCCGGAAGAAATGTAGATGTCCATCGTAGAGGCACATTGGGATCAGCGGTAGGTGCATATGTGCGCCGGCTGGCTCGGGTGAGATATTGCCGGCCAGACTCCCCAGATTAAATGCTTTTCCGATCGTCAGGTTCCAAGGATCGCCGCCTTCCGAGTTCATTGCCGGTCGACCAATACATATGTTATACTATTATTTATTATTACTAAAAAATACTAGGTAATATTTTAGGTCGAATTCTTTTTCAATTGTGTTATTTAAAGTGCTGTGAGAGGAGGGGATGGTGATGGTAAAGTTTTTACATACATACAAACGCCGGCTTTCAATCGACTAATGCAAGGTTACCTATGTAAGAGGTATTTACCTGACGAGATGCTTGAGGCGGAAAAACACACCCTTGCGGAAGAGAGGTCGCAGCTCATGTCACGCTGGGTAGCTGCCGAATAGTCAATCCCGAGTAACCGAGACAGAGCCTGACTGAAATACCTCAAAACTACTATGAAGTAGCTACCGAGCTTTCTTATGTTCTTTCATGCGTCAAGATCCATAGTCCAAGACAATAGACGACGCCTATATCGACGCCCCCAATGTTGTCTCAAGTATCAGATGATCGTAACGTTACTTCGGTGGCCGTAGAGTTCATCCACTCCGCAGGTACAGGTCACACTGCAATCGCCGATATGCTTCCGCACTTGTTTTCGGGAGTCTCTGGGGACGCCGACGAAGGGTCTTGATGTAGGAAATGCCCAAATTGACGGCCAAGGTAAATCTCCTAAAGTTGGAAGTCGCTCGAGATCTTTTTCAAGCTGTTTGACGATGACAGAATTACAAGTCAAGGTAGTAAGTCCGCCTGCCCAACCGTAAGAGAAGACTGATCTTCCGGGATTTAGTACGCTTTCCAGTGTTTTCTTAATTGGGTCCGTTAATCGGTATTGACAGTTACTGTCGTTCAGATCGATGATACTAATTGGTAATTGTAAGTAGGGAGGGACTTCGTGGATCGACAACGGTTGCGACTCTTTAACTCGCTGCTCTTGCGATTTTCCGGAATCGGGGCTCAGTATTAAATAGGCACGAGCCTTTTCGGAATCAGTTGCTAATGTGTCGACGATATGGAAAAATGTATCAGCCGCTTCCTTAGTACACACGAGCTTATGATTACCTATCATAGGGTATACCAAGGATAACATCGGCCGCTCACTTTCTAGGTCAACATGATCATTGTGAGTAGGACTAAACCAAGGCTGCTTAACAACATTGGTATGAGAAAAGTCAGACGCAAGAGCAACTAAAAGGGAGGTGTCAATGTTAAGAACATCTGTAAAATTTGCTTTGGGACTTGGTGCCATTATATGAAGGAGATCATCCGAGAAAGGTGGCGCCGGCGATAACGCCTCCCCACAGAGTAGAGTGACACCTAGCTGACGACAAACCTCGAGAACTTTATCAACCTCAGCACACACACCTTCTTTGATGCGTGGTAGGATAAGGAAAGTACTTGGACTTTTGGTTTGAATGCGATGTCCTTTGGCCGTGTCAGCTAGGTTCCTGGCCAGCTTCACAAGAGGTATATCCGAATAATCTTGAATAGCTGGCTCGGTGTCTTCATCGTCGTCACTATCCCCGTAGTATATAGCTTCCTTTGCTAAGTCAAATAGCACTCTCTTGTTAGTCATGGATGAAACTTTGGACCACGAATGACCACCGTCTGCGATCACGTCGATAATGAAAGTTCCCGACCGGGATTGCGATTGGCCTTGCGTTCGGACAATACGCGTTCCCGGTGCGAGAATTTGGTTCTTGAATGGACCAGTAGAAACGGCGCATCGCAATCTCACGATATCCCGAGATCTCTTGGCTGTTTCCCATACAGGCTCAAGAAAGGCGATGTTGCTAGACTGCGCACGATCTAATGTCCGATGGTTTTCCGACTGGAGTTCTCGGTAAGTCCTCTCCAAACTCTCTATTTCGGCGCGCAGTTCGTGGGAGAAAGATGTGTGAACATATGTAAGCATATGTTGAAAGTAATCACTGTAGACATCTTCGACATGAGCGACGAAGCGTTGGACTTCGGATTGTACCAACTCCGCGCGCTTGAGCACCTTTTCGCATGCAGCTAACTTAGCTGTATAATCTTGTGTGGCATCACCTGAATGACTACCATCTATTAAAGGGGTCATGATAGATGGTGGAATGCTGCAAGACTAAAATAAAAGAATTACGTTCTTACTCAAGAAGTAAAATAATTTTATAGTGTTCAAGATTAGAAACCTGCTGAAATTAAATGCAGTTAGACATGTAAATGACCCCGCACATTATTTTCGTATATGAATTTAGACTCTCGGTTAAATAGATAATGTATCTTATATTGTATTAAACCGAATTGAATTGTTGCGGGGTTGTTTGCTTACCTTAATTCCGATTTACACATCGATCAGACCACTCCCGACTCCTGACTCCTAATTATCTTGACAAGTTGAACTATGACTCCCAGTTCTGACAATACTTTCTATGACAAGCCATTATTCACCTGAAAACATAATATAGTGGTAGTCATAGGAAAGATTAGTTGATTTGCAAGGGGCCGAGGATAAGTCGACAGATAGTTGGCATTTCCATCCCCGAACCAAACAAGAAAAGTGATAGATACAACTCGTTTATCAATCAAACCACAGGAAACATCTAACATACAGTACTGTCAATAACAATGCCGCTAAATATTATCATCTGCGGTGCCGGCATCGGGGGTCTTTCAGCCGCAGGGTTCCTTCGAGCCAAGCACAATGTCACAGTCCTGGAACGGGGAGAACTTGACTTCACAGTAAACGACTATGGATTATCAGTCGTCTCTAACTCGTTCAACCTCTTAGAGAGGGCCGGTATCAAGACGGAAAATCTTGACACTGTTGTCATGACACATGTTTGGCAGAGGGGACCTAATAATGAAGAGCTTAAGACGATGCATTTCGATACGAGGGCACGATTTGGCGGGGCTCCCTCTGTCTTGGTGAAACGTGCGCTGCTACAAAAAGAGTTGCTGCGATTTGCAACTGGCGCCGAGTTTTCCGGAGCACCCGCGAAAATCGTTCAAAATGCTAAGGTAACAAAAGTCGACCCTGCCGCCGGCAAGGTCTGGACCGAAGACGGCCAAGTCTTTGAAGGCGACTTAATCGTCGGAGCAGACGGTATTCACTCAGTCGTTCGCGCCGCCGTTCTTGGAGAAGACATCACGGCATCTATCAAAACCCACGATACTCTAACCTTCATGGCGCAGCTGTCAGTTGAAGATCTTAAGTCAGATCCAGGCTTTGCCTACCTATCTGACCCCACAACCCAAGCTGGGCTTTGCAGCGCCCATGCAAATTCAGGACCTCGCGTCAACAAACGCATTCTAACTTACCACACATCGCCCCGCAGCCTGCAGGTTGTGGGATACACCTCCGAGAAAGAATTTTCCGAGAAATTCGACTCTGCCAAAACAGCCATTATCAGGGACGTCCCCGTATCGCGGGTAGTCGAGGATTTCGGCCCCGAGTTCGCAGAAGGGTTCGTCAATCTATTCCGACATAGCCAAATCGACGCCTGGAGAATCCGCGATGTGGCGCCCCTAAGCACCTGGTTTTCCGGCAAGGCGCTATTGATAGGGGATGCAGCCCATGCAGTAACGCCACACGCGGGACAAGGGTGCAATGTCACAATCGAAGACGCCGAAGCGATAGGATATCTCTTGAAAGATGTTGAATCGCTCGATTCAATTCCGGAAGTCTTGCAGAAGTTTATGACGATGCGAAAGGACCGTGTGGCTTTCGTAGCGCGGCGTTCGCACGAGTTGGGTAATATAGCGACGGAGGAAGAGAAGTCTAAAGAACCCATCACGCCCGAACTGTTTGCGAGGACGATATATACGTACCAGGGTGCCGAGAAAGCGTTAAGCGGGCAGATGCCACCAGCGATGCGACCATCATGAAATGCATGAGCATATGAATTGATCTTCACAGCCTTGATTTGAAAAGGCTTTTACGATTTACGATACGAGAAGCGATATTATAATATCTACCTGTATGAAAAAGAAACTAACCCTACTCAATCCATTCGAGATGTAATAAAGATTGGATTACGTTCCGAAGTGATTGTTCATCGCCCAGGACTTCGGAGTATTGCTGTATCGGCTTATCTACACTAACAATGAATCTATGCGGATCGACCTAAATAAAACGTACCCTCAACCTCAACGATATCATCGTCGTTCAGTCTACCCACCTCAACGATCGTCCGAGGCGGATATCTACTCGGGTCATCTCCCCAAATCTCAACTTGCGCCTGGTTACACATCGGTCGGTACCGGAACATATCCGTCACGTAGACGACCAGCCGCACACAGGAATTGACATCAGAGCCCGCCATCTCAGCGAGTGCCGCCATGTTCTGATAAGCTTGCCGCACTCGGGTAAGGCCTACTGGTGCGAGAGTACTATTCGAGGGGTAGATGCCGCGCATACCTGGTCGGCAAGTAAGTAAGAAGCAATTAGATCCCAGAATCACTACCCTACCGGAAATATATAAGGTATCCCCCGCAATAGACATCAGACTCCACGGCCCCGTGGTGTTGAAAAAGGTGGACGGGTTAAATATCTGGACTCCGGATGGGGATGTGTAGTTCGGTTCCAGCTTGCCGTAGGAACATGCTGCTTGGGCAAGAAGCCCGATAGACCAAGGGATTTTGATATGCATGGTCTGGTAAGCCTTCGTATGCTACTAATGTTACTGCTGATGGTGATCATAGGGAGTAAAGATGCAATTTTCATTTAAGTACGATGTACGCTAATATCTAGGCTCAACTATTTCCCCTCCTGTATCTATACCAATATCGTGGAGGTCGCCGCCTTGGCATACACGAGTATGCATCAGCATACCGACTAAGCTAAGGTTAGTATGGATTCTAGTTTCCCGATAAATCCGACCGGAAAACCGTCAATTCGTTTGAAAATACTCTTAACAGTTAAGAAAGTGCGGATTGACGAGGAATCTATCACTCTAACCGAAGTAGCAAGTACTTGGTAGAAGCTTTTGTGCCAACGCCATATTACCCTCCACCACAAACATCACCCTCCGAAATATGTGACTCTAAAGCTTCATGTCGTATTTAAGTTTTATAGCAATTTGCCAATAATCATAAAATCCAGTAGCGGCCTCGATATCATTTCTAGCACTTATGATAAATCTATTCCAACTATCCCATATCGAATAATACATCCGTGACAGAAGCTGTTTCAAGCCAACAGTCCCGGTTCGGGATATCGTCTCAATCTTCTTTTTTTCTTTCATCATCGCTTCCTATCTATTCCAAACACCGGTAGAGAATATTCAATTATAGACTTAATTCAAGTCTATTTTATATATTAAATGGCGCAACCCCCAAAACCATCATATGAAGTCATTATCCTTAATTCGTGGCATGCAGCCCTTCCTTAACTGAGGTCACGATGTTTCGAAACAACAATTAATCCCTTTTAGATCCATAAGTCAATTATGAGATGATCCGCTCGGACCTAGATCAGGCTCGGATGATCATCGCAACATCCGTACTGATCCTCTTCAGAAACACTATGCATGAATGCTCTAACAAGCCCGGTCTCCGGAGAAGCGTTGACAAAGATATAGATTAAGAAGTTGCTAGAACCGCTCTCTATTCGTAACCAAATCTTTAATCACTCTTAAAATATCAAAATGAGGTTTAACGACATAATAATAAGCATAATAGCCACGGCATCGGCAGCCGATGCCGCCAAAGCACGTCGGGCCAACTGCCCCAACATCCACATCATCGGCGCCCGCGAGACGACCGCGCCTCCGGGCTTCGGATCCGCCCAAACAGTCGTCGACCTCATCCAGAAAGCCAACAATGGCGCCACATCCGAATCCATCGTGTACCCCGCGGCCGGCGGAAACTCGTACGCCTCCAGCGTCTCAGCCGGCGTACTCGCGGTAGCGAACCAGACGAACACGTTTAACCAGAAGTGTCCTGATTCGAAAATCGTCGTGGTGGGGTACTCGCAGGTGAATTTCCTTCCTTCCTTCCATAAAGCCGATACCTACCTAGGTACCTATTTTAAAAGATTTTATTTATTAACGATAAGAAGGGCGCACAAATCGTAGACGACGCCTTCTGCGGGGGCCCCGACGGGACCAGTCTAAACACGAGCATGGCCCTCGTCTCCACGGGCGTCAGCAAGATGACCGCCGCGATCATCCTGATGGGCGACCCGCGCCACGTCAACGGGCTGCCGTATAACGTCGGGAACGCGACGGCAGGAGGGGTAAGCGTCCCCCCCTCTCCCTCTCCCCCATTCCCCAGTCTTAGACCATTTGAACTGACTAAATGTAACAGTTCGCAGCCCGTCCGGTCGGGTATAAATGCCCCGCTTTCGAAAACATCATCCAGGCGTACTGCGATGCCGCGGACCCGTTTTGCGCGAAGGGGGATAGTCAGGCTACTCATCAGGGGTATGGGAGGGAGTATGGACAGGCTGCGCTGAGGTTTGTGCAGGGGAAGTTGGGGGCGACTAATACGACGTCTGCATCGGCATCTTCGTCGTCGTCGTCGGCGGCGGCGGCGTCTAGTGGAAGTAATAGTGTTACTGCGAGCGCGGCGGAGAGGATACGGGTGGGTGAGGGGTACGTCTTGATGTTGTTGGCGCTTGGTGGACTGGCTCTTCTGTGTTAGGCGCGTTTAATAGGTACGTAATTGATAGTTTTATCACCGGGATTGGAGAAAGGAGTTTATGTGCCTCTTATATGAAAAGGGGGCACTTAGGTAATGAGGTAGAGAATGAAGGAAAAGGGGGGGTCTCTCAAAGGCATACCCTGGTTTCCACCACCGACTAGGTAAGATTCGCTTTAATTGAGGCCTACATTTACTATAAATCATATTGAATTCACCGCCTTAATTGGAGAATAATAAAGTTTCCTTAGGTACCTAGGTACCTACTAAGGTACACGTTAAAATCTTCCTTGCAACATTCAATCCTTTCAGGTACTCTCTAGGCAGTACTCATAATTCCTGGCCCTTATTACCATCCAGACTCGTATGATCATCCAAATCCGCAAAAAGCTCCACGCCCCAGCTCTCGCTCGGGTTATTCATCCTAGCCCTTTTATCCTGCTGGCTGATATTGTACATTTCGAGGACGTTGAAGTTGATTTCTAGAGAGAACATGTTCTGGTATATGTGGTTCTCGTGCACGCTTTTGGGGATCACAACGGTGCCTCGTCGCATTCCCCAGGCAAGAACGGTTTGTGCTACGGATGCGCCCTTGACGTCAGCTAACTTCTTCCAGAATGGGTCTTCTAGAAGGGGCGGCAGGTTTCCGTGGCGGCCGTTGTATATCGGATTGGTGTTCCCGAGAGGCGAGTAGGCGATGACTTTGATACCGACTTCCTTGTGGAAGTTGACGAAATCGTTCTGCTGCAGATACGGGTGCAGCTCGAACTCATGTGCGTACGGGCATATATCGCAAATATCCAAGATCACATTGAGGTTCCTTCTAGAAAAGTTGGAGATACCGATAAACCGTGTGAGGTTGGCGCGTACCAGGTCCTCCATGGCTCGCCAGGTATCGACGATCGACGTCTCCCTGTCAAGTTCAGTGCCATCACCAGGAACAAATGCGACAGGCCAGTGCATAAGGTAGAGATCCAGGTAATCCAATCCAAGATCTGAAAGCGACTGCCTGATGGCGGGTTCAACTCTGTCGGGTTGGTGGTCCGTATTCCACAGCTTGCTCGTTACCCAAATGTATCTCCTGTCAACATTTGCGTCGGCAATCCCTTTCCCAGTCTCGTCCTCATTCCCTGTGAATCGCATTAGCGGCCGTGGTCAATTATCTAAAGCGGGGGATATCCTACGATATATATGTGCGGCGTCGATGTGGTCATACCCTAAACTAAGGGCGTATTCGACGGCATGCGCAGCCTACAAAAATCGTAAGTATTCTCAAATTCGCTTCATTGAAGAATTATTGTTATATTTACTTGATCTCCATTTGAACGCCATGTACCTAAGCCAAAGCCTGGTATTTCGTGTACTCGCGACCATTGAGCTTGTGCGGCGACGGGAAGGGTGAACAGGGGTTGGCCGAGGAAAAGGGGGGCAGCTATAGCCATAGCCATAGCCGATATGATTTGAAGCAATGCCATTTTCGACCCGAATGACAAGATTAGATAATAGCTAGTTAAGTACCTAGGTGTCGACTAGTAAATGAAATGTGAGAATATGAATTGCGACCGATTTCAAACCGTACGTGATGGTGTTCTAGGAAGAACCTAGTCGATCTCCGCATAATATGTAGGAAAACTCCATAGTAGTATTGATCATAATGTCGATGCATGACATCATTCTACTGCACCCTTCTAGAAAACAGCACGTAAGTCCAAGCATATCAACGTCAAAGAGTGGTGATTGTGGTGCTTCAAGCTTTCATATCAACCGATGCGATCAATCGACGCGAGAGGCTGTCCGGAAACACTGCTCCTATGATGTTGCAATGATGACGCTAGACGATCGTGCACTACGAGATATATAGATATCAGCTGCGCTCTAGGGGGTCATGTCAACTTTTAACCTCATAGCTATCGGAATTCCACGATATCCCTAGCGCATATCTCACATCAGATTGGTCACACTCCTACTTTTAGCTAACCAGAATACCAAACCACCAACATGTCCAACAACCACGGATTTGCCCGTATCTATGAGCAGGGCGACCAGGTGAACTATGGGCGGTCTAATGTGGCCAACGAGGAGAGGCATCATACGAGAAACGCCGAAGGCTATAGACCAAGTGAGTTTAAACTCGTTCTCGCGCCTGATATGTTACTAAGACTTATACAGAGGATCAGAACAAAGCAATGAACCAAATGCTGGAAGAGAACGTATGTCGTGCATCGCATCCGGGTAGTTCTTGAATTTTAATTCCAATGTTCGCAGATCCAGGACGATGTCGCCGAGAGATACAAGCACGACCCCACCTATCGTGTAGGTCATATATAGAATAGATGGGCGTATTAATCCAGGTTTACTTACATTTTTGGCAATAGGCGACCATGCACGGGAATGAACCTTCTAAGGGTGCAAAGATCGACGCCGAGATCCAGCGCGAGGAAGAGGAGCTATTGAGAAGAAAACAGGAGAAGACCGATAGCTTGCCGGGAAAGAAGCAATAAACCGAGCGATTGAAAGTTCTTGGAAGGGTGGTGTACACTGAGTAGCATCGTCGAACAAGAGGACCATGCTGTGTCCTTAAAATCCGACCACACATTAAATGTCCCGCGGAATAATAGATAACTGTGTGTATTGGAGAACAAGCTAGTCCGAGGGGTTTCCGTGACGGACATTGACCAGGTTCCTGTATGTCGACATATGCGTGAATCCAGCTTCATCGTGCATGGACTTCGAATGAACCATGTATGTTGTGATAGTCCGAGATTGTGGATTCTGGCTCTCGCTTTCAATGTGATTCGTCTGCTTGCAACGCTCGTTTGGTAGGCAGCCGTATAAAGTTCCTTGGATTGGTAATAATATTAACTTAACCTCGAGAGCGAATTTGGCCGTCGGAGACTTATTACCAAAGACATCTTCGCCATTCGCTATCAAGTTCCCCCATGCCCACTGTCTGTTTACCTCTATACTTTGCGCCGGTCGCAAGTCTATTTCAGCAGGAGAACATGCAGTATGAAGCAAACGGTGCTTAATTACCGATAAAGAAGTGATGAGGACAGGGATTCTTGTTCACTAGATTTCTAATCGTTATTCAAAGTATAGTAGATGAAACGTCGGCATCTCGCGATTATTTACGTGGGGAAATTCTGATTCCTCATCATCCACCGATGTCTGACTCCGGGGTATTTTGGGGCAGTACTACATGCGTAGGTAGGGACGAAGGTGCGAAACAGTTAGGATACATACATACATACATACATACAGGTAGGTACCTATGTATGTATATAATGAGATGATATCTCTTGGTATAGGTCCAGCTTGTGTCGCAATAATCAAAGATACTTACATTTATTCACACAAACTTGATACGTACCGGGATACCTGATTTGATCAGCCAAATATTTCGTCGCATCATGGCATCCCAAGACTTATCAGCTCCATTCACCCTCTATAGTTACACCTACTCAATATGCGCTCTTATGGTGCAGATGGCATACGAGATGCGCGGATCTCCTCGCGAGGGAAGACCAGACCTCAAGCTGGAACGAAAAATGGTCGACATCGGCCTCGAAAGTCGCGAGCAGTTGAGCGAGTTCTACTTGCTCAAAGTCAACCCGAAAGGAGTCGTCCCCGTCCTCGCCAACGAGAAAGTCCTCGATAAACCCATGCCCGAGAGCATAGATATTTCGTACTATCTCGCCGATTGGTACCCCAGCCTGCTTCCGGTCCAGCACAAGGAGGCGATTCGAGAACTCCTAGAAGAGCTACACAAGATTAGTTTCAAGCTTTTGACCTTCGGTACCCAGACCAAGTATCCTAGCATCGCCGTTGACTGGATGCGCGAACAAATCCAAAGGCCGGATATATCCGACGAGTATAAAAAGGCCTTGGAATACAAAGCGGGATTGCAAGTAACCCTAACCCTCGTTGCGTTCTTATCCGGCCAAGCCACGTTAGAAGCAAAACTCCGCTAACGGATATCGACCAGGACGAAAGGATGGGCGGACAACCATTCCGAAGCAGATCTTGCGGAAGCCGAAACCCGTGCGCGAGCCTTTTGCGCCAAGATCATTGCGCTGATGGAGAAACGCCCCGAAGAGAAGGACAAGATCACATATATCTTCGGACCTGAACCGACATTATTGGACGCGCATGTGGTAGTGTTTCTCGGACGAGTATACGAGAAGAAAAGATTCGACCTTCTTCCGCCGGTTTTAGTTCAGTGGCATGAGCAGCTAAGGAAGACGGGCATGTGGGAAAGAGCCGTGCCAGCTGGAACGACTCTTCCGCCGATGTGGTAGAGTAAATAGTAAGACTCTTGACTGGGTATTTATATATCCTAAAGCAAGATGTGAATAGGTAATGATGAAGAAAGAAAGAAAAGCAAAGGGCTTCTTATTTCGGAATAATACCTATGCACCCCTCACAGTGCGTGTAGCGCTTTCCTCCAATGTAGACATCATCTCTTGTGTAAGCAGGCACACTCTCCGGCTTTGATGCTTACCTACTGTTACACAACATGTTGATGACGCAGTAACAATGCTTGAGGAATTGCGTACTTTCGCAAGATAGCATCAGTACTAGGTACCTAGTAGGTAGGTAGGTAGTTAATGCAGTTTGCTATATAGACCGGTGTTTGTGGAAAACTATGATTTTAACCCCGTTACAAGACGGCATAAATCGAGTAAGGAGATAAAAAAGAATTAACGGGTTTATCTGTTTGGACTCGGGGGGTCGGATACTTTTGGCGTAAAAAGTGGACAGATGCTAACCCCGGTTTCCACCCGCAGTACTATTTTAGACTTCGGCATTTCGTATCATCGTTTCCAATCACCACGTTCTAAAAGGGTTCTAAACTGGCTCTAAACTAACTTTAAACTTAGCACCCGCTGTTTAGTGCAGATCACCCGGAGACTTTAAAATAGGAGATAGTGGCTATGTCGGGATACGGGTTCGAAACATCCATTATCTTTACCTTGTTCGTGGAGGCACTCCACATCCATATGTGCATACCGTTTAACTATCGACGTTGCATCAGATTCGGACGATCGGAGATGGAACCTATTACCATTCATCCACTTCACCCTTACACACATCCATGACTTCTAGAACGCGTAGTACGCTGGCAGACTGCGAAGACGGTAGGATTTTCGGCCGTTTCGGTGGCATATGTGCAAGCAACCCGACCATCCGTCTTTCACCGAACTCCTCGTTGATGAGACCAATGCAGCCGCTCCCTCGCGCTCATCATTGCGCGCTCCTCGAATATCCTTAGAAGAGCGAGGACGGCTTCGGAACGGGTTTCAAAGCCGGTAGGTATAACATATAACATGATCTTGTAGCCATGGAATAGAGACGACTCATGAACATTACAAAACATATTCCGGCAGTAACATATATATCTCTTACAAGTCAAGAAACATGGCGCCTCTGCTAGCAAGCAGTCCCCTCAACTGGGCGTTGATTGGCGTATCACTCGTAAGTCTACTCCCGGCCGAACCGTAATAGTCGGTCACGACAAAAATAAGAGGCATTCAACTGACCAAAGTTCAAGACTGTCGCATTCGTGATAGGCAAGGCATTCTATAACATCTTTCTCCATCCTCTCCGATCTTATCCCGGACCTTTTCTTTGGAGAGTCTTCCCCATTGCTAGATATGCTCGGCTGGCGCATGGAGATTTGCCTTTTTACATGAAAGAATTACACGCCAAATATGGACCCGTTGTGCGGATAACACCGAACGAACTTGCGTTTTGCGATCCCCAGGCATGGAAGGACATCTACGGCCACCGTTCCGGAGGCGCGCCGGAGCTGCCTAAGTACGAGTATTTCTACCGCGCCGTGGACAACATTCCGAGAGGTATCATCAATGCATTCAGAGATGAACACGCCGCCTTGCGCCGCCAGCTGTCTCATGGGTTCTCCGAGCGATCGATGCAGCTTCAGGAGCCTATCATTGGATCGTATGTAGACTTGTTGATTAATCGACTTCAAGAAAAATGCCAGGGAAATGCCGCTGGTGTCGACATGCGAGAGTGGCTGAATTGGACAACCTTCGACGTCATCGGAGATCTGGCCTTCGGTTCCGCATTCGGCTGCCTCGAAAGTTCCGACTACCACCCGTGGGTCAGGCTTGTAGCCAATTCGGTACAGCAAACCGCATTCATGCAGATAATCTCCGGTTTAGGATTTCGACCTATCACTCGCGCTCTTCTGAATATGAAGAAGATGGCAATTACGGACAACCAAAAATTAGTCAAGGAGAAGTTGGAGCAGAGGATAGAACTCGGTGTCGAGAGACCTGATTTCCTCGAGTCGCTTATTAAGAAGAAGGAGGCGGGCGAGATGAGCTTCATGCAGATCGCGGCTAATGCCGCTACTCTCATCGTAGCCGGAAGCGAAACGACGGCGACTCTTCTCAGCGGCGCCTTATTTCTTCTGACAACTAACCCGGATAAGCTTGCAAGACTCACCAAGGAGGTCCGCACATCGTTTAACAACGACGACGAGATCACCTTGACTTCGGTTGGAAAGTTATCGTATATGCTGGCTTGCCTCAACGAAAGTCTCCGAGCCTACCCTCCCGTCCCAACCGGAATGCCGCGACAATCTCCAAAAGGTGGCTGTTTTATCCTAGGAAAATTCGTTCCAGAAGGCGTAAGTTACAAACCCCCCTTTACCACTTTAGCGCAGAACTAACACAATTCATACTTAGACTGTTGTAGCGGTCTGGCAATACGCGATAAACCACCACTCGGAATTCTGGACCGAGCCTAACACTTTCGCACCAGAGCGATTCTTAGGCGACCCGAAATTCAAGAGCGACCAGACCGACGCGATGCAGCCATTCAGCGTTGGCCCACGTAACTGCATCGGCCGCAAGTAAGTTCTCCCTGTCTATCCATCATATCCGTCGTCATGAACATCACGTGCTAACGTTGGATCAGTATGGCTTACGCCGAGATGCGGCTTATCCTGGCCAGGATCATTTACAACTTTGATATGGAGATTGCAGAGGATAGTCGACAATGGTTGGCGACCCAGAAGGCGTACACGCTGTGGAAAAAGCCGTCGTTGAATATCATTATGAAGCCTGTTGTTAGGTGAACTAGATGATTGTGATATATGTGAGATAGGAAAGATAATGGCAGGCCTTCAGATTGATAGTGGCTTTGTAGCCTCGCTCTTCTCTATCTATGTATACTTATTCATGGCAATATTGGGTTGGGTGGGATGGAAAGGGTTTAGTTAGGAATTCCACGGTGTTTTATCTAAATTGGACCGGGGTGCGGCCTCTATCCGCTCCCCCCTTACGAACATTGCCCATACCTAAGCTAAGGTGGCTTGCCGAGCCAAGCCATGCTGTCATACATGAGATGTTGCTTTTGCCGTGAAAAATCATACCTTATTAGCTGCTTAAAATCTTACTGCGTCTGTAGGTACATCCTAGCCTAGCCTTGGCTAAAATTATTGAACAGTTCCTAGAGATTTCCTTTTAATGACACCTCAGAACTAGGCTCCTCCTATATTAAGTATTTTCGTATAATTTCAGCTAATACATTATTTAATAACTAATCCTAAACCTTCAGGTTTGTACGAGACCCCTTTTCCTTAAACTGCATAGCGATATTGCGGACGAGCCTCCATTCCCGGGGCGTAGGGAATTTCCCCAGAATCGAGTTTCTTATTGAAACGGGCGTAATATTGTCGCATCACCAAGGCCGTAACGAGAAAAACACCTTGCGTACAACCAACTGTGATCAATGCAGGTCGATAGACGGGTGCGTCTTGCTCTCGGTATATCAACGAGGAAACGATGCCAGCCAAATTCATCGCCATGTAATTCATCCCAAGTGATACGGCCCGGCCAGTTGTGGTAGGCGTGTTTGATGCGATCCACACGGGAACCAGGTTACTCGGGATAAAGGTGGCGAATGTGATTAGGTACGTTAAGAAGTACCCTACTTGAGGCTGGTGAACCAGGTCCAAGGTGCCTAGAAGAATCCAAGCTATTAGGGAGATGACTATGGTGCCACAAGCATAGGTCGCGCGTTGCTGATACCGGTCAGAGAGCCAGCATATCGTGACTTGGAACACCGATGCTGTTAAGTTAGGCCCGACAGTATACAAATTAGCCGTAGTAGTTTTGTTTGTAAGTCTTTTGATCATCGTCTATACGAAGTCAGCCAAAACATCCTTCTTTTCTCATCAAGGATGCGAAATCTTAACATACCGGAAGAAAGTTGGAGCTACTCGCAACGCCGACGCCATACATCAAAGCCATAAATGCGAAAACCCACGTCTGCCATTGCTTGACCTGTTTCTTCGCATCGTCCCAACGGAACGCCTTGTCTTGGTCTTGAGAGTCTTGCTCGAGTCGGTATTTGGCGAGTTTAACCTCTTCGTCGGTATACCATCGTGATTTCTCCGGACTTCGCGGAGCAAATACGTAAAGATAGGCTGCTACGACAACTGTGATTGAACCTTCGATGAGGAATAAATATTGCCAACCCTTTTCCCAACAATCGTGGTTAGGAATCCCTCTATTTTCTTAATTACCTTGGTAGATGTTAAAAACTTACATTCAGTCTTCCCTGCCATTGAAAAACACTCCACGATATTAACCCCGATACAGCCCCCTGAATAATAATGTTAGTGAGATACGTGAATTAACATGTTAACTCCGGAGTCTTTCAACTTACCGCGATGAACCCCATTTGTCCAATCCACGACACTCGGAAGGCGATCTCCTTTCTTGTATAAAATAAAGATAAATAGTAAACTTCGCAGGGTTTATCTAGTTTTCATTTTCATTAACATCATCTACCATGACATGTGGTATTCTCTCACATACTAGGCTACTCGTTAGACACTAGGCATTTCTCAAGATAACAGTCGCGCACATACCAAGCTGCTTCAATTGCACCCATCACGATTCTCGCCGCCATGATGCCGGAAAAGTTCTTAGCCGCAGCAGACGCCATCGTGCAAGCGCCCCAACTCAGGATCGCGAGAGGAATTATTCGAGCCGGATTGTACTTTTTTGCTAATATCGACCATGGGATATTGAAAAGACCATAAGGAATGTAAAATAAGACTAATAGAAGCGAGAATTGGTTGCCCACCAGACCTAAATCTTTTTCAAAATCATCGGTCTTCGCATTTCCTAGGTTGGCGCGATCAAGGGTATGAGTGAAATATGCGAGAGCTTACGCGGTTAACAGAATTTCAACGTGAAATTGACAAAAACGCTCACCTAAGCCTGGCATCATCAATAAATCAGTCTTTCTCACAAGCCGTTTCTCTGCTGCCGTATCATTTTCGGACGACGATCTATCATCCTCCACGGCCACGGCATCGTGTCGCTTTTCCTCTCCGTCGCTGTCTCCCATGGTTAAAACGCGAGTACGCGGCTAATTGAATTCGCGTATCAGGCCTGGAGTAGATGACGGAGGAGGGCATGAAGATAGGTATGTTTGTTATATTGACGCTCTAGGTTATCGAACTTGATATCTAATATCTGAATAATTGCAACGCGAACACTAGTACGTACGAAGTGTGGTCTACGAACATTTTAACGTGTCTGAGGCTCTGGTGTAATTGGAATTGCGTGCTTATCAATTGTATTCCTCTCTTTGGACGGGGGTAGAGAAACCCTGTAGAAATTGAAGATATTAGAGGGGGGAAGCGAACATCTCCAACCAACCTGCATGCTTGTCTGGTGTGCTGCAACCTCGACGATAATCACCTAGCTAATCGAGCTGACTCGCTTAACAGATTCGGTATTCCGACCCCCAAAACTCGCGAATATGATAGGTAGAATATGTGTCTCATCCGACCGGACCGAGTTTTTCTCATAAAAAAACCGAAGCGTTGGAGAAAACGCGCTTTCAGCAGCGACGGCTCTTCTCCCCTAAACGGACGCAATAACTACTCTATGATGCGATGTTGGGGTCACATTACGCCACCAACTTTTTAGTTAAATATGAGAAGTGACACAAGAGTTCACGATAACGACGCGTTTGGAAAGCTCCATCGCTCGCCCGGCAGGCAAGCCGGGTTTAAATCTTGGCGTCGGGGACGCGGAATCACGATTCCTGAAACTTCGGCCGAGATGTACCGACGAATCCCGACATCGCAGATAATCTTCGATCTCAAAGACGATCTTGGACGGATAAGTTCCATATTCAATTGACAATCATGTCGAGCGATTTCTTCGTGTAGCTAGGATATAACGAAGTCTCTGGGACGGCGACGGACGTTACACAATGGCACCCAATGCCGAAACTGATTCGAGGCCGGGAACACCTCTCCAGACGGCAATAAGACCGGATCGAGTAGATTCAGACTCGGATGGAAATGCCCTCATAATCCATCCTCAAGCATCGCAATATAGTTGGTGGACGCGTTGGCGAAGCACAATAATCGTAGCCAGTTTCGCGGCTCTCATCACCCCCTTTACATCTCTCGGAAGTTGGCTCCTACCAGCGGAATCCCCAATCGACCCAACCAACTACGCCCTGCGCACCAAACGCATATTAGAGACGACGCCACTCATCGACGGCCACAATGACTTCCCGTGGCTTCTGCGCGTCGAGCTACATAACCGCATATACGACGGCAGATTCAATCCAAACCAACGCTTGTTAGGCCACACGGATATCGGACGGATGAAGCAGGGGATGATGGGAGGTCAGTTCTGGAGCGTGCATGTCAAATGCGACGTCGCGCAGAAACACTTCGAGGATCCATCTGTACGCGTCTCTGATCGACTATCTAATTACTTTCATCAGGTTGCTGGATTCTAACCCATTCACGCCCATATTCAGTGGATAGTCCGCGACACGCTCGAGCAAATCGACGTAGCTAAGCGGTTTATCGCGGAATCGCCAGATGTCTTTACGTACTGCGAAACACCCACATGCGCTCGCGCCGCGTTCAAAAATGACCGTATCGCGAGTATGTTAGGGATCGAAGGGGGTCACCAGCTTGGAGGATCCATCGCTGCGCTGCGACAGGCTTATGACTTAGGGGTCCGATATATCACGACTACGCATAATTGCGACAACGCCTGGGCGACGTCTGCCTCGACTGTTGCTCGTGGAAACTCTGATGAGGGACTCACGACTTTGGGCGCTGCTTATGTCCGCGAGTCGAACCGTCTAGGGATGATGATTGACCTTTCCCATGTCTCTCACCAAACTATGCGAGACGTGCTCTCTATTACGCAAACCCCTGTCATATTCTCCCACTCAGGAGCATATTCCGTCACGCCTCATTTACGTAACGTGCCTGATGATGTACTCCGTAGTATCCGTCGGAACGGGGGGATAGTTATGGCTGTATTTGTGAACCGGTTCTTGAATATGAAGGATCCGAGCGCGGTCACCATCCACGACGTCGCTGATCATATTTGGCACTTGGCCGAAGTCGCTGGTTGGGAACATGTTGGCATTGGGTCTGATTTTAGCGGAACTCCTTTTACTCCTAGCGGTTTGGAGGTAAGTAACTCCTATATCCTCGGTTGTTTGTAGCTGCTGCTTACTCATCGCTACCTACATAGGATGTATCAAAGTATCCTAACTTAATCGAGATATTGATGGCTCGCGGAGCTACTGATGACCAAATCAGACTCCTAGTGGGGGATAACATACTACGTGTTTGGGGGTCCATCGAGCGCAGAGCTAGGGAGATTCAAGCCGAAGGGCGAAAGCCCGTCGAGGAAGAGTGGGAGGGGCGGAAGTGGCATAAGGGCTATAAACACTCGCCTTACATGTACCGAGAGACGAGGGAGTTGGCGGCGAGAGAGGACTGGGGTCAGCCTGAACAGTTCAATGTTGATAAGTCTGGGAAACATGTTTCCATGGTGAAAGCCGATAATGATATCTAGTTAGTTCTATTTCCAGTAGTAGCTTAGACTATTAGGAATCAAGGCAATGGGAATAATCTACCTAGTTAGCATCCGGAGTTGAGGTAGTTACTAAGATATGCCTCTATCTAGGTAGTTATTTCCTTTACTCCATTATAAGTCAGGTTTGAATTCAAGTTGGAATAGGTAGGTGGATAAGATCGGGTAAGTCATCAGCGTTCCACTACATCGCGCAATTTTAGGATGGTGTCATTCAAAATACATAGAAGCCATACTCTCACATGATAACGATAAAAGGTTTCGGTCACCAAGATCCGAAACTCGACATGGGAATACTCGATACCAGCTATTCGGGTTCGTTAACACGGCACTAATGATGGATCTTGGGAACTGACCCATTTTCGTATCAATCAGGATACGCGGATTCGTTGGAAAGGTTGCATGCAAGCGGCCATCCAACAAGGGTCGAACATTGTTACCAGAGATGGGTTAAGGCGGCAGGGCGACCCCAGTCCATTTTTCTCGTGCCGAGAATCATCGTGTCACAATCTATAATAACCCATTGGTTAGAAAGAGATCGCAACCTACCATGCGGGGATCTCGCTTGAACGGAATCCGATCGTCCATCGATGGTACCTACATGATATGATGATTCCATTCCTCGTTCTCGGAAGACTTTTATCCTCTACCTCATCATCATAGTCGGGAGACGAGACGACTGCAGGATATCCTCTATGGTAAACTTACCGACTAAGATGGCGGTCGTGCCCAACCCTCTGAATGATCTCGCGACGTTTGACAAAAACCTTCTCTTACCACTGGCTAAGCTATTATTCTTCGCTCCGGCGATTTTGTTAATTATATACGTTGCACTGAATGAGGTAGTGAGGCTACGAGCTCGAATACGAAACCTGCCGGGACCATGGGGCTACCCCTTATTCGGGAGCATCTTATCGCTGCGCGGAACGGCGACGTCAGACGAGTATAGAATAGTACGTACTTTCTTGAGTTACTTCCTGAACACGAACTCGCGTTTCCTAAAGACGCCTGATACACTCCGAGAAGCGAAACCCATGCTAACGCTACCATCACAGTGGGCTGAACGATACGGCGATGTCTTCCAGGTGCAGTTAGGAAACACCACAGCGGTAATAGTCAATAGTATAGCAGCAGCTCGCGCGCTCTTCATCACCCAGCGCGAAGCAACGAACTCGCGGCCCGTTTTCTACGTCTTGCACAAGAAAGTCCAGCAAGACAAGCCGATAATGAGTATCGGAACAAGCCCTTGGAACGAAAGCTGCAAGAGACGGCGTAAAGTGGCCGCTACGGCTTTGAACAAGACCAGCACGGAGAGTTATTATCCAGTAAGCGTAATTGCCAGCTTAGCATACAGTGATCCTTCCTTGCTAACTTCCATGTACGATAGATCTTGGATCTAGAGTCGAGAGCGTTTATTGCAGATATCCTATCTAGTTGTGGTGGCGGCAAAGAAACCGTTCACGTTCTTGACCTAGCGCGTAAATTCGCATTGAACCTGAGTTTAACGTTAGCTTATGGGACTCGGTAAGCATTTCCGGGTATAACAGTAAAATGAAATAGCTAATAACCACGTACCCAGTGTCGAGGATGTCAAAGACTTGCACCAGGACCTCATGATCTCGGAGATCCTCTATATCGAGGGAGAAATCACCAAGTTCAGAAACCCTACCAGCAACTACTCTAACTACATCCCGCTACTTCGGCCCATATACACCATTGCTGGATGGTTCGGACTACAGAAGGGCTCGCACATGGCCGATATTGGAAAGCGACGGTATGCTTACCACCGTGCGCTTCAGGAGAAGCTGAGAAAGGATATCGCCGCCGGCACCGACCGCCCCTGCATCCAGGGCAATGTTCTTAAAGACCCAGAAAGCAAAGGCCTTACAGAGAATGAACTTCTTAGTGTCGGGTTGAGCATGCTCGCGGGCGCTGATACTACCAAGCGATCGATCATGTGGGCTATCGTATTACTAGCGCACCGTCGAGATATCCAGGACAAAGCATACCAGGCGATAAAGGAAGCAGATCCCCGGTTGCTTCAGTCGCCGAATGTTGCGCATACTAGGGTTCCGTATATAGAGGCTTTCACGAAGGAAGTCGGTCGTTATTTCGTGGTTCAACGTCTCGCGCTCCCGAAAGCGACGTACTCGGAAGTCCAGTGGAACGGTGCGACGATACCGCCCAATACACTAGTATTCCTGAACGCATGGGCCTGTACAAGAGGTAAATAGCTGCCAATGGCTCTTAAAAACACAATATTGCCTTATTTACTAACGATTATCCGGTCATTTAGATCCATCCGCGTTCTCAGACCCGAACATCTTTGCACCGGAGCGTTGGATGAGTGGCGAACAGACAGCAAACCACCACCAGTTTGCCTTCGGCATCGGAGGCCGCATGTGTGTAGCAAGCCACGTTGCGACCAAGGCTCTCTACGCTGCCTTCTTCCACCTAATAGCTCACTTCGAAGTCTTTCCGGCCGAAGACACAAGTAACCCTATCGTTGCAGACCCCATAGAGGGTCTACTGACCAGGGAAAACCCCATCGCGGGTCCGAAGGCCAGGACTGTCCGTTTTGTGCCGCGAAATGCCGATGTCACTCGGGAGATGATCTTCTCGGGGGACTTTTGAGATGCATATGTGTCTAAGAGGGGTGTACATTTCAGATAATATCATGCTGTATATACGCTTGAGTAAACATGGATCTACTGTATGAACGAAGGGGTGGTACAACATAGTACATTTTCACTAGGGGAAGCACTGTAAGGCATCCATAGCAGACAATCATGGCGTTAGCCACATCAAACAGAACACCAATAGGAGTAGTGATTCAAATATCTCCGTCCATCTCCGGCTTAATCTCGTCTATCTCTGTACCACGCCAACCTCCAGCATCTCCGTCCTTACAAGCCAAGTCCAGCTGAAGCCCCTGACTCAGTGCCAGGCCATCTTATGCAGATTCTTCGCGAGCTTACCCGCGACAGCCGCCTCCGTCGCAGCCTCCACCATCTTCCCTAGCTCCTCGTCGACTCGTCTGAACATCGCTGCATGGGACTGAGTCAGCTGCATTATCCATATCCAATGACTCAACTAGAGATCAAGAAAAAGTAGGAAATTAGTTAGGTAGGAAAGGAACAACGTACCATAAGCCCCCTCCCGAATCCACCCCGTCTGCGCACCACTAAGGTGAGCAGCCACATTCCCCACGAACCTCTCCTGCGCGCCCTCCTGGCCCGCTAATATCCGCCACAACGCCGCCGGCTGCTCGAAGTCTCTATCCGTCACCTCCGAGGAGAATACAACCGGCGCCGCATTCCCCTCCAAAGCCGTATCCAGGCTCCCAACCCGCTGCGGTTGAACCTTCCTATCCTGTCCCCTCTGCAAAAACCTCGTCGGCCTAATCCTCGCACCGATATAATTCGGCTCCCCGCCATAATTCCCCGTGAAGTTCATCGCGCCGTCGCGTTCGATGGGGCAGTACACCGCGCTCTTCGGCGCGTTGGTAGGGAGGAACTGGTAGTTTGCGCCGAGCCGGTAGCGCGCCGCGTCGGGGTACGCGAACATGCGCGCCTGGAGCAGCGGGTCGGGGCTTGCGTCGATGCCGGGGACCATGGTGCTCGGGCTGAACGCGGACTGCTCGATTTCCGCGAACCAGTTTGTCGGGTTCTTGTCGAGCGTCATGCGCCCGACTCGGCGGCGCGGGTATTTGCCTAAGGGCCAGGTTTTGGTCGGGTCGAAGATGTCGATTGGGGCGGAGGCCATGTCGGAGGGGTGGATGGCTTGCACGTACATGTCCCATGAGGGGAAGTCCCCTGCTCGGATTGCGGTTTGGAGGTCTTCGAGGTTTCGGTCGGGTTCGGTGCCGGCTAGTATGGCGCCTTCTTCCTCTGTGAAGTAGTGGATCCCTTGGTTCGTTAGGAATTGGATGCGCACGTAACAGTATGAGCCATCGGCTTTGTTGAACTTATAGGTGTTTTGGCTATAAGCGTTTACGTGTCGGAGGGAAGCAGGGATTCCTCTGTCCCCGAAGAGGAACATCAATGCGTGGATGCTTTCTTGGTTGTGGATGTGGAAGTCCCAGAACATATCCGAACTGGCAACTATATGTGGGGTTAGGGGCTGTTGAGATAGGGAGTCTTTAGGATACTAGAGGAGTCTACTTACTCTCAGTGCTTGGGTCGCGCTTGTGGCTACGATTCAAGGAAGGGAACTTGATCGGGTCGCGAACGAAGAATACTGGCTATATACACATTAGTGGTATGCTATGTAAACTGGATAGTGTTAATAATAGCATACCTGGTTGTTGAACACAAAGTCTTGGTTTCCTTCCGCAGTCTTGAACTTCATAGCAAAACCCCTAAAGTCCCTTACACTATCCGCCGAGCCTCTTTCAGGGGCAACAGTGGAAATACGAACAAGGCACTCAGTCTTCTTGCCGATGCCAGTTAGGAAATCAGCGTCAGTAAGATCCGAGATATCATCCGTGACTTCGAAGTACCCTCTCGCTCCTCCAGCTTTAGCATGGACAACTCTTTCGGGGATTCTTTCCCGAGAAAAGTGTGCTAGATTCTCGATCAGCTGTGTCGATGTAAGTAGGACGAAACCACCACCGCCACCACCAGTGCGTATCTGAACTGAGGTATCATTTCTTGACATAGGAGTACCCTCTGCCAGAGTATAATAAGGTGTTTCTTGTGCCATAATGAGAAATAGTTGAACGTGGAATTTTATGTGACTTTGAGTAATAAGTAGAGATCAGGCAGGTCTTAGGTCTATCTCGTCTGTTTAAATATACCTAGATAGGTACCTAAGGCTCAACACAGTATAAACTCTGGTGCTGAATAAGCGCAACTTGATGATGAAGCTCACTGCAGTAGTTGCGATGGAGTTGCTTGGGGAATGACCGGTAATATTTGGAATTTCTCTATGGATCTTCCTAGCGTGGACATGATGATACTAGCCTCCATGTCCTATAGTTCGGCTTCAAGGGCCTCTATATGATTCCAATATAGGTAGATTCAGATTATTCTACTATACAGCGTTCACAAAGAGGCTATTGATACTAGTATAGTATCAAGTCGGGTGGTGTATAGGTAGAATTAGGTAATTTTGGTTCTCCGAAGTCCGAATCATTGTTGGTTGAAGGCCGGATAGCTGTACTCGGTGCTATTCGGGTTTCGCTCGGATTGTAGTGCCTACATGGAATAAGCCGTACTGTATCTCCTCGGGATGTTTAACAACCAAGTCAAACTTCAGATTTCCATCGCTATTGATTATCAATTACTGAAAGGTCAAATTCGTAACATATCGATACTCTAAGAGGATGCGACAAATTTCGCGGTACCGAGATTTAGTCATGCTATCACAAGTTCTTCATGATCTTGATGAGATCGTCAATCCTTGACTCATATCTCTCGCGTTGCTGATTAAGCTCCTCTCGCTGCTTTGCTTTTAATGCTTTTATATCCAACTCATATTTTTCTTGCTCCGCTTTCAAAATTTCCTGAAACTCATCTTCCATATTTTGTATGGTATATTTGAGCCGTTCAACCTCCTCGACCGAGGTAGGTTGAGTGTCTCTATTACTTTCCTTCAGGCGCTTCCTCGGCGACATACCCAGGGTAAACACACGCGAAATGGAATCGTCTGAGTCGGAAATTTCAGACACGAAGCTTGGGATAGAAGGAAAAGTCATCGTAGCCTCTTTCTCCTTGTTGCGCTGTAACTTATCTTCAATATTGGCTTTAGCGATGTTTTCCTCATCCTTTTGTCTCAAATGGAGATCTTCGAATTGTTTTTTAGTTCGGGGGACCGTGCAGGGATAGCCTCTCGCTACACAAAATTCGCATTTGCTGGGCCATTTTCGGTCCACTGGATGACACTGGAGAGGATTAGAGACATACAATGACAACAAAGTGTCTATCTACTAACAGTTTCATGGGCCTTACGGCAATAGTCGCACTTGACAAAACTCCGCGTAAGAAGGCGAAAGCCAGGGGTGCCTTTTTGGGGTGGGCAACTGAGGCCCTTCTCTAAGCATCGGTCACAAGCGTCGTCTTGCTGCGTCCATGTACACTATTAACCTCGTTAGAGTGGTAAAGACTAGCAATGCCGGATCTTGGATATACTTTGTGCTTTTGACGGCGACATATTCCACAGCGTCGGGCGGAAGTTAAGGAAGAAACGGGCATGGTAATCTTATAATTAAAATGCCGGTCATATCGACACGACGAAACCGTAATCGTAAATTTAACGACGAAATAGCCAAATGTAAATGCTTAAGTAAATAATAATTTAATTAAAAATATGAAATTCTGTGAAAAATCATTACCGTCTTACCGTTTTCGGAAGTATTACATTCCAGTCGGACTTTGTTATATTAGTTGACGCATTCCCACATAGGGGATTGAACTATCTGCAAGCCATATCACAATTCACATCCTCGTCGAGCTAGACAGACATAACATCTGTGCGGCGAGCAAATAGAGAAATGTGTAGGCGAAGTTTTTGTGCTTACTTGGCAGCCTGGCAGCCTGGCTCCTAGTTAGTGAACTCGGATACTTACCCCCACAACCTCTAATGAAGTTCTTCACGCTTGTAGAATCTTTCACTCGAGACGTATAACTCGGATTCGAATAACTAGGTGTCTGTGTATAGTATTATATAAAAGATTATGGCGACAAGCTGACAAGTTCCATGTCATCAACTTCACACGTTATAAGAAGAGTCACAAGAAATCGCTTGGCTTCGGCATACCCCACAATTCGATGGCCCACTCCCGACCGGAACCTAGGTCCCACCCGGATCTAACGGTGGCAGTTTCCCTAGACTTGTAGCTTTGCAATTTCCTCGGGACGGTAGGTGCTAATAGCATTCATAAACTTCGGAGGTAACTGAAATAGATCCTGTGTATGTCAATGCCGTCATATTATGATTCGCGTGCTAAATAGCTTCCTAGAAATAGGGGTAAGCCAGCTTTTACCAACATTTCTCACCCTCCCAAAAAGCACCTCCACCTCCCACCCTCACAACCCTCAAAATCTCCCAAACACCATCCCACCCCATCCCATCCCATCCCTAAATCGTATAAACAAACTTCCCAGCACTAACCCCCTTCTCCCTCAACTCCCTCAACCCAAGCAAAACCCCCTCCAGCCCCTTCCCACCAAAATTCTCCACCGTCCTAATCGTCCTTACCTTCCCCGACCCCAACAACTCCGCCGCAACCTGCAAGAACCGAACCGCATTCTCGTGCTCATCCTCTTTCACGGGCACAGGGTTCCCCATAAACATATACGGCTCACCAAAAACATCGTACCCGATGTGAAACACAGGACCCTGAACCTTCGGATTGATAGCGTGGACGCGCTCCGCGTCGACGGGCATGATGCTTGCGTATTTACTCGGCAGCGCGTCGCTGAGCGCGTGCGCGACGAGCTCTGCGCCTGTGCCGACGCAGTCCCAAGCCAGCGTCAGTTCATTGCGCGTTAAGGCCCTGATTTCCGCGCCGGCGGTCGGGGAGCGGTAGTCGAAGACGGTGTCTGCGCCGAGGGACTTGAGGAGCTCGAAGTTGTGCGGCGAGGAGGTCGCGATGACGGTTAGTCCGGACGCTTTGGCGTACTGGATTCCTTGGACCCCGGTCGCGGTGCTGCCGCCGTGGATTAGGATCGGGAAGGGCGTTGGGGTGGGGGAGGTGGGCCATGGGAGTTCGAGTCTTTTGTAGAGACCTTGGGCCTGGTGGTTTATGTTAGTACGGGTTTGAATGTGTGTGATTTCTATATCGCTAGGTATAATGGTTGAGTCGGATTTGGGGGCTGGGACATACGACTGTTATTGTGGATACGCCGATGGTAGCGGCTTGCTCGTTAGTGAGGTTGTCGGGGATCTTGAATTGGAGATCCGCTCTGCCAAGGGTGTATTCGCCAAAGCTTCCAACATTTGGCTCGAGCTCGTTTCTGTAGGATATGTTAGAAATTGGTCGTGGGTATTGTTTTCTCAGTTCTACTTACCCTCCATGAACTATTCCTGTTATGCGATCACCCTTCTTGAATTTCGTCACGCCGGGGCCGAGCTCCTCCACAACTCCGGCGTAGTCTGCGCCAAACCTGAGGCCAGGTGCCGCCTTGTATTCAATGCCCTTCCAATCCGCCGGGTTTAGACCGACCGCGGTCACTTTGATGAGCACATAACCCTCCTTCACATTGGGCTTTTCCACATCGCGAATTTCGACTTTCCCCTTCTCGACTCCGACGATAGCTTTTCCTGACATTGTCAAAGATCTTGATCTTGGTTGCAACTTTATCGATTGTCCTTAATTGAAGACTGTTTAATCATGAGATATGTCTAATTGGGAATGACGGTTTATATAGGCCACAATGTTATAGCGATATAACGTGAGGGAGGATTTATAATCTGATGTATGGTTATGGGAACGCTATTGATGACAAATGTCGAGCGAACGATCGTGATGTAGCAGGAGCATACACCAATCAGTAATTAATCGGCATCGTGTAGCTTCCTGAATGGATGCTCTAATCAGTAATTGTCTCTAAAGTGCATAACTATTAACCTTGTGAATTGTAACATTAGAACCAGGGGAATGTCCGGAAGTGGCAAGATGCCGAGGCTTGTGAAAAGAAACGATGCCGGTAGAGCGAGTTAGCAGCAAACCTTAACTCTATTCCGTTAATACATCCGGCACCTATTTGATCGTTTAGAAGCTAGAAAATTCTGGCGACGGCGACAGTATCTACCTAGGTCGGTGATTATTCAGCAATCGTATTTCAAGGGTTCGCAAGCGAGTTAGCCAGACCCGCATGGCCTTGAAATGGTCAACTCCAATTTTAGGACGAAATAGCTGGAGCGGATAAGGCTGGTAAATGATCGGTTCCGAGATTGAAACCCTTGTCCGAAGCAGGTATGTACCCTAACCCAAATTCATTCAGCCCTGGAGGGTGTCATTGATGGAAAAGGGTTCAATGTCAAAAGCAATTGCAAACAGAAATGGTGAAAAAGCATATAACTCATATTGGTATCTATCATGCCATCTAAGAGGGCGTAGTATCCTCGACAGAAATAAAATGTCATCATATAGAATCATCCCGCTTGGCGCCCAAAATCCCAGGTATAGCTTCTTATAATCGTGTAAACATCCATTCAAATATTAATACCATCCTCCGAAAGTTAAAATACTCGTGTAATCATGCCGACAAGGTGAATCGTTTTAGTTTTCTACCGACCGCCGTAGTCGCTAGCATAACCGATTGATTCGCCAAAATTCTGCTGTAAGCCACCTTCGCCGAACCCAGTTCCCGGACCGCTGACGTAGCCCGTATCATCGCCGTCATCGTAGTCCGACGCATCAAAACTCGAGCGACCGCTAAGTTCTTCGTCCACATTACCCATTTCGCTCGGAGCCCAATTCATTTGTGCCAGTGCCGGGTACTGTGCTAATAAAGCTGCAGGTAAACCATAACCTGTCTCCATTCCAGGATAAACGTTAGGGTCCATAACTTGCGGCTGAGCCATGTTCTGCGCCATGCTTTGCATTCGCTGTTCTTGCCAAACGCGTTGTCTCTCCATCATTTCCTCATCTAATAAAGGCTTTATACATATACGGCCCGCCTCGGATCGGAAATGACGGCCGAGCGCATCTGCTCTGGCAAACCGTCTGCCACATCCCCATTGACCTCCGGCCTTCAGGTCTCCTTTACAAACGAACTTCTTTTCGCCAGAATGAAGGCCTTCGTGACGTTTACGGTCATGTTGTCGAGCGAAAGCCTTTCCACAGACCGTACATACGAACGGTCTCTCATCGGTATGTGTACGTAGATGGGAGCGGAGGTTATACGCCCGAGTAAATCGCTTCGGACAAAGTGTACATTGGAAGGTGGCGGGATGTTTCTGCACTCGCTTCGTGCTTCCGTTGTCCTGGGCAGCTTGGTATTCAGGGTCTGCAAGGCGGAGTGCGATCACATTATTAGGGACAGCCGACATAGATTGGCGTCTCCTGGATACAGCATTGGCACTACCAGATCTATCACCGGGTGAAAGTGATCGAGCCGATGACTCGGAACCGGAGCGGTTACGATTAGCCAAGTCGGCACCGAGGTGCGGCGACAGGCCGGGGGTGTTGGGTCGCGAGAGCACTGCTCCTCCACTATTGTAAGGATCCGTAACTGCACGTGGGCGTGATCGCGGTCGGCCTAAATTTTATTAGTAAACGAAAATCCGGGCGGCACAACCATGGCTTACCTCTGTCGGGTGGTGTCAAGGACTGAGCATCCATGGGCGGCTTCGGAGGTTCAAAACTGTTCTGCCTCGAATTAGGAGCAAAGTCGATGTTAATTGACGGCGGAGCCATGGACTGAGTTATGGAGGGATCTATGACCCCATCTGAAGACAGAGAAGGGAACTCCTCTGAACCCTGGACGGGATAACCCATTGTTGGAGGATTCGGGTATGCAGCGTTCAACATCAAGCCTGTATGGCTGGCATCGGTCATCTGTTGAGGGAGTATTCGAGGGGAGATAGCTGGGCTATGAGAAGGGCTTCGACTGTTCTGGTTGGAGGCTGTTATACTAAAGTTACCCAACCCCATGACGGGGTCATAGAAGCCGTCTTGAGGTCTTTGCATGGGTGAGTGGCCGTGCTCTGGGTGCTCGAAGCTGTCGTTACCTGTCAGATGTGGAGATGGCGCAGCCGAAGATGCATCTGAATATTCTGACGGCGTCCTTCGATGTCCTTGGAACTGGGGCTGGTTCCAATCCAGTTGCCCTGGCATAAGAGCCGCTTCGGGACCTAGCGACGCATGTCTTGAGTGACCTGGAGACGAGAACTGATGTTGGTTGAAGGCGGGAGATTGGTGCGCCGAACCAGGTTCCGGCTTCAGAAGGTGGGGCGGAGTAGGAGAGTGATGCGTTTGTGGAGACGTCATATTGGTCAGATCGCTTGGATCGAGGGATTGCGCATGAGTTTGGGAAAGGTCGCCAAATAGAGGACTCGTATTGAACTGATTATCTTGGGTAGAAGGGAACAGGGAGAAGTCGCTGTTGCTAAAATCGCTAGCTAGGAGGTTTTGCGAATACGCGGGTTGAGATTGCGACGCCAAGGATTGGGAGTAGTCTGGATTAAGGTCGAAAGATGCCGGGTCCGGAAAAGACTGCTGTGATGTATTCATGAATTGATTACCGGCATTGGTATCGTAACTATTGAAGTCGGAGCTGTTGAACTGGGGGCTTGCTGAGGAGGGGTCGATAGCAATGCCGAGGCCGATCGATGGCTCCGGGGATTGATATGGATGAGGCGAAGGAGAATGACTATTTCTTATATGAGGCTGGTGATTTCCGGCGGAAGGTGAGCGGCCACGAGCCGACCCTGCAGGTTGGACAGCTTGTTGATCCATGGCGCGTAAATTGTTTCTGTCTTTAGAAATCCCAAGCCTGGCAAGGTTGAATGCGCTTGACCCGCGAATCTGCCTGACAGCGTGGCGCAGCCTAGGTGCTACGTTTGAGGGGGGCTGTGCTTAGGCGAGTCTGACCCCTTCTTCCAAATACCGTCTTCGCGCCGTACTGAACACGATAATGGATGTGGATCTGATGCGAGACACCTTTTAAGTTTAGATACTCGATATGATAGGATAAAAAAGAAAAAAAGAAAGAAATAATGTGGGCGACTCGAATTAGTCTAGTTGTATGAAGAAGGCTTTGCTTTGTCGACTTGACCTCACTGACGTATAAGCTTGAAATACAGTGGTCTTAGCTTTTTCTTTCAGAAGGTTGGCGAGAATAGGAGGGGAATCAGGTGAGGGGACCTCCAGTAAGACCAGGTCTAGCTAGTACTTCGGATATGTACCTGTTGAATGCTCCTACTGTCTGGTTTGCGTGGTATGTGTGGGTTGCAAAACGCTATGTTTCGCTGTGAGATCTGCGACAATGAGAGACCCTTGGCAATTCTTTCCGAATATTCAGGCAGATCAGAGCACCATAAAGGTCGCTGTCTTAGGGTTCTGACGTGTCGCGAAGAAAAACACAGTGGTTATACGGCCTGTGAGGCGGTGTAAGTAGCCGGCAATAACTACAAACTCGCAGCCTTGAGACGAGTAGCAATTGATTCTGTATGACGGCACGCCGAGGCACTTGTTCCAGTCTATTTCTAAATGCCCTTGTTTCGTATCTTAAAATAATCCTGCCGATAATTCTAGGGCCGACCCGATAACGAAACGGATGTTTAAATGTTGGTAGACGGTGGTGATCGCGGAAGTAATACGACAAGCTATGGCGTGGATGAATAGATCTCTTCTTGGTGTTGCGACAAGTTAACCGAATAGCTGACCGCAAAAAGGCAAGAATTGCTCCAATTCGACCGATCGTGAACCGTCTTTAGAGCGAGCGAATTGATTTGTTAGGTACAGTCGATTCGGCAATTCGCACTTCGAAAGCGGCGCGGGGAAATAAAAACGACAGAGGCGGTTGGACGTCGAGTCTAAGGTGGGAGAGTTTAAAGATGCGAGATGCAAGATGAATGGAAGTAAATCACAAATTTCACTCGGTCGCAAAGGAGATGGTGAGTTTAGCATTCTGGGTAGGTAGGACACACAAAGTCCATCACCCCTATCACCCCGCCCAAGTCGCCCCACCTACTGCCATGCTAATAATCTGCGAACTTGGAAGTCACTGATAATTCTATATCTAACCCATGGATGAATATGGATACGCTCCAAGACCGCTATTCATTCTAAAAAATCTAAAAATATGTATTTAAAAGACCATGTCCTATAAATTAGTGTCTCGGTACAGATTTAACTCAGGAATATTTCAAAAAAAAACATCAAGAAATACAATGTGTTAGGTAGGTAAATATTCAAATTATTAAGTTCACAAGAAAAATGGATTGTCACCATACATAATAGGCGAATTCAAACGTCAAGTCAATGCATTGTTCCTGCTCATTATTAAGCGCCCAGATCGTCTCCCTAACTTTAGGGCTGGGCTAATGATCCAAGCACCGAATCCCAAGGTCCAAGGGTGTCCTCCGGTAAAGCAACCTTGGAAGTTGGAACATCAGATGAGTGGACTTGAGGGCGGACTTTCATTATCACCAACAGGACCCGGCTCATATTCAACTCCATAGCTTTTAACTCCTTTCGGACGAAAAGGCTTTATTGGGCTCATAGGGCTACACTCGAAACCATCTCGGGCTGCAACTCACCTGCATTCATATATTAAACATGCCTTAGTCTGCCTCAAATACGTCGAATATTAGGAATCGGATGGGCAGCTAGAAAAAAGGAACAAAGCATGATAGAACCTCTTTAGGTGATGCTTTCGCAAGCAGGACCAAACATGTTGCATATACATAGTAGGTCCGCCAATCGTTCTGCGAGGTTGTCAATCTAATATCAGGCAACCATATTTCTCGAGGGGACCTCCCTTTTCGAGGCGGTGAACGGGGATCTCTCGTTGCTACGCATAGTACTATTGTGTATTGTCTCGACAAAGCAGGAAGAATGTTGGGTACCGACCGGTCTTATTCGCTCTCGCTCCAGGAGACGTCACCCCTGACAAAATCCTTTCCATATCATGGGATATTGCCGTCTTGGCAAAAAGCGCCCGTTCACTAAACGGCGTTTTATTCTATCAAGCGGTCTTGGTCTGGTCCGGTCTGCTTTCTACATACTACATTATCTCAACTCTCGAGCGAGGATGAGCGAAGCCGGTCTTCCTGAGACAGCCTAGTTGACTCAACCAAATGCGTCATGCATGTCTAATTCTGTTTTGCACACCTATCAGCCCTATCACATATCCATTGGCTTACCATAATATTACCGCTACTGAGTATTAAGGCAGTTTCTTTTCTTCATTCTCTACCGAACGGGAGATCGTGGCTGTGGCGCCACAAGCCATAAGCTACTGTGCCGTCCCTCGCGTGGTCCTGGTTCCGGAATAATTCTGGAAAACATCCATCTAGTCGTCCGCATCCCCTCAAATACGGAGTCCGAGGTCCCCGCGAAACGTCATTTACATGGGTACTTTTTATGGATCTAATTGGCTAATAATACGCAGTACGTATTCCGCACAGGTATGTAAGATGTCGATTCAAAAGTTCTGACCAAATCTTAAACAACGCACATTGACGCTACCTTGCGCTGCATTCAATACGCCGTAGATCATCGCGATTCAACCTCCCAGAGAGCAGTATTTTTTCAGGAATATCCTTGACTATTTCCCCACACGAACAGGTCCAAACGCGAGACAAAACAGTAGAAACCTAGAAATGGAGAACCTGGCTGGCTGCCTGGATAGTTCGAATAATTCAAAATAAAGATGAAGTTCATCAGCTGAAAGCCGTGTCGGTAAAGAGCCCATCATGTCAGCAACTCACATGCCGTTTCCCCCGGATCGGCAGGTATCTGCCGTAAGTCACACCAATAAAATGAAAGAAGGACTAGGTTCATAATCTAGACCCTGATAGCTTCCACGTGGAATTTGGAATGCAATACGGCGGCAATATCCTTTTGATGTCCTGAAGACCTCACCGAACCGAATTGATACAGAAAACGAGTACTTACTAGGTACCTAGTAATTGGTTACCAGAAACTACAGTCGGTAGGTACAAGTGGGTATACCGAAAACCAGCCTCAGTGCCATGAGAACATGAAGTCGTAGTGCCCCAACTAGAACGGCACATGCCTTCAGGGATATTATCAGAACCAGTAACCAAGACGACTAAGGATAACATTTTCTGGAATTAAGGTTATCTTGTAGTTAAAGCAAGCTTTGTCACTTTAGATTTGAGGCTAAAAATAGTTTAGGTAAGATCAAGTGTTGTTGAATGTATAATCCAGAAGTCAATTGGTTGGATTAAAAGTAGGGACTTGATTACAGAAGATTTCCATATAAACATCAAGAAGTTATCAATATCTCTCTCCCATATAACCCTCACGCTATAATGATTGATTTAGAGCGGGAAGTCTAGTCTGAGCAATAGGATTCAACATGATGTAACGATAACGTTGTTAACAACGTTGGAACCTAGGTATCAAAAACGTGCTCTATACTTAGTTCACCTTACTATGTTACTCGAGGTACCAAGTAGGTACTCTCTATCGAAAATTTGAAGATTGAATTACTCCTTGGGTTAATACCTAAGCATTAACTCTTGCTTGCCCATCCCATTATAGTCTCACTCACTACTTAGGTAATCATTCCTACCTAGTTTAGGGGTAGAGAGAAAGTGATCTTAACAAGCCCCCTTCATTCTTCCAAGATTCTCAAGTCCACATAGACTAATCCTTTACTAGGCATCTGATAACAGTACCTATACTCAAACGTTATTCTCTCTGGTGCCCATGAGGATTTTCTTTTGTCACACGAAACTCTAGCTCTGCCCCCTCCTAAAGGGGGTACTCCAGACGTCCTATGAACCAGCGTGCGTCGAAGCGATGTGTAAACAGGTACCTAGACACCTAGATACCTACCTAGCAGATATACGTCTTGCCAGACGTAAACAAGGCCATCATCTGGTGTCCATGACATGGTAAGACAGTTAGCCATGTAGTTACTACTATAATGAGCGATGACGGGAAGGGATTGTGTATTAGATACAAGTTAGCCCTATCAATTGATAAAACCAATGATATCTTCTGTGAGTTTAATCGCCAGTTTGACCTCAGATACGTATAGACCTCTCTCCAATAAGTAATCGACGGCCATAACGCTACGGATAGCTCGACTTATATATTCAGGTAGGCTTTGTCGGGGAATAAACAGCATTAGTTGGCGACCTTAATCAACGTTTGGCACTCAATGAACCATTCCTAATCTGTAGTGCTTTCAGTTCCGGGCGTCAACGTATGTGCCTAGGTAGATAGGGGTATGATAGAGTTGTATACTCGAACACCATTAAAAATAGGAGCAGGGAATCCAGATGTTCTGAGATGACCATCGGATACTTACATCCTGGGGTAACTAGCACAAGCCGTCGAGTTTGGAACCCCCAATAGGTAGATATTCAAGACAATACGTACCTGCCAGAATGGAATCAGGTTTGACCGCTCAAGTGCTATGTGCCAATTCTACTTGGTACCTCGTTGCACTGTAAGCTTAACTATATCATACCCAGGTAGCCTATATTAAACTTACACATGATATGGCAGTAATGGATGCTAGCTGTATTACACAGGAGATATTAGATGACAGTGCAGTACAGTAAGATTAGCACATGGGCGGTTTTTTCTGACTCCACTCGGCCATGGTGAAGGTGCTTCCATCTTATGGACTAAGACGATGACCTAAATCACCTCGAACCAGGATATCAATCGTCACTGTCGATATCCCAAGAGTGGGCATGCCGCATGATAGAAGGTGAGCCCTTTTAGTTGGATATGAAACAATTCCCCGCATTTTGTGGGATAACCAGCTTACCTTGGATCAGGGATTCCGGAAGTCACTGCATGTGGGATAGGGCATTAGTTTCCATGATGCATGCATGGATGCATGTTGACATCTTGTGAGCGATGAGTGAATGTGTCAAACAAAGGGCTCTTCACATGGCGGGAAGTGGACTATAAATACACGATCCCTTGGTTAAGTGAGTGCCAACTAGTAAGGGGCGCCTCTACTAAAATTAGATGATAATCGTGATATTTTAAAAAGAAAGTAATTGTCAAGATCATAACGGTGGCGGACTCCGGCTCTAGGGAGCGAAAATCTTAAGTAAAACGAGATCCTCCCACAGGACGGGAATAGGAATATTACCATACTAGGTAATCCCAGAGACCTAGACCGATTATTGGGACGTACAGCTTGGCTAAGATCTTGGGTTACACAAGAATGGAGTCCTACATACGCGGATTCTTGGCAGGAAATGTGACAGTGTCACCAAGGCCTAGCCCTACCCGAAAAGAATGAAACCTGGTTCGAAGACTCTATTCACATCCTAGACAAGACACCATTATCGAGTGAAGTTAAGGTGTACGATACCTACCAAGGTAGGTATTGATTCGAAAATACTTTGAAATATTATTTACCTATGTGTACCTATTCAAGAAAAGGAATATTTGAATTATCGACTGCGGATTTAAGGAATACCGTATATCCAGTGGCTGATATGACTAAACTCAGCTGTAATATGGAATCTCCGAGGTTACTAACCGACAGTCCCGACAGTTCGGGCGAACCTATTGCTCATCTAAAAAGTAACAAGTACTTAGGTACGTGCTTATCAAAAGGACATCCTTTCGGATCTTGGTAAAGTCATAGAATCGTTTTCATTCGACGACTACCAAACAAACACACGGCAGACGGCTCCCACGGTCGGGACCATCGGTCTCTATTAAAACCCGTAATAAGCTCCCGTCTACTAGCATCAGCCACACCAGACTTGGAGATAATATTAGGGCCAACGAGAGCTCGCCATGGCTTGAGCTGAAAGATTCGGGTCCGATGGGGATCCACGAGAGACGAGCACGGCTCACATCATCTACTGCAGGATCACCGAGTCGCACGTCAATGATAAGGATTGGGCATACTTTGTGTGACCGGATAGATATAAGACCCCGAGGCTGACCAACGCTCGATGGCTTCGATAGTTCTTGGAAGGAATTAGTAAAAGACGTAGCCACGGTGATTTAATCCTTTATGACAAGAGGCGAGAGCAAGCCTCATATGCACTGACAGGACTGAGCCCTACGTAGATGGGTGTTGGATCCTTAAGACTTGAGTCTCCCTTCGGTCCTAAGACCTATATATCACTCCACCCCTGCGCGTCCAAAACATTTACTCTTATAGTTTAAGAACGCTTCTGGGAGCGAGGTATATCTGGTGTGCCAGTTACCTAAGCATACCAAGGGCTCGAAGACCTCCAAGATGGAGAAACGACCTTACCATGAATCGGAGGGCGATCCGAGCGGAGCGCCATACTACTCCGCAATGGTTTCCCCTATCTCCCAGACCGCAGATAATCACTCGTGGCATACGAAGACGGAATATGAAGATGACTACCGACGACAAAGACCGACCTCTCAAGCCCTGCTTGAAGAAGTTCAAGAGCTTCGCCATATGGTAGCAGAGCTAACTACGAGACTTAATTCTGCACCCGCCACCGGTCCACATCCTATTAATCGCATCTCTAGCATAGTCGAGGAGCCCGTGGACAAGACCCTAGATCCACAGAACGAGAACTTCGACATCCGGCAATGGCTACAGATGTTTACCAAAGGGCTCGAGGAGCAAGGACATAAGGGTCTCCGCACTGGCGTGGTGTTTAAATCTCTCAGCATATCAGGGTCGGGGGAGTCAATGCAGTATCAACAAACGGTCACGGATATCCTACTAGCGCCCCTGAAACTCGCAAAGCTATTTTCCCACGAGAGGCAGAGGGAGAGGAAGATTCTACACAGCTTCAACGGTCTAGTCAGGAGCGGGGAACTACTGCTCGTATTGGGTCGCCCCGGTTCAGGATGCAGCACATTGCTGAAGGCTCTCTGCGGAGAGCTTCACAGCTTGCACGTTCACGAAAAGTCTGTTATCCATTACGACGGCATCCCGCAGGACAAGATGGTGAACGAGTTCAAGGGCGAGGTGACGTACAATCAGGAGGTCGACAAACATTTCCCTCATCTCACGGTCGGGCAAACGCTCGAATTCGCTGCCGCGTGTCGTACACCTTCGACTAGGATTAATGGGATGTCTCGGAACGAGTTCTGCCAACATGTTGTGCGGATCGTTATGGCTGTAAGTTTACATGCTGGTACCTGGTTGACAATCCCGCAATATCGATCTTTTATTGGCGGAGTGAGATGATGTTTCACTAGTATTGACTACTTTTTTTCAGGTTTGCGGCTTATCTCATACGTACGACACTAGAGTCGGAAATGACTTCATCCGAGGTGTCTCTGGTGGTGAGAGGAAGCGAGTCAGCATAGCTGAGATGATGCTAGCTGGATCATCAATAGCAGCGTGGGACAACAGGTAATTACAGGCCTCATTATTACCCGTATCATCCCCTTGTTACTAACAAGGTGCAACAGTACACGAGGACTCGATTCGGCTACAGCGCTCAAATTCGTTCAGAGCCTGCGCTTAGCATCCGACATCGGTGGAAGCGCAAATGCCGTAGCCATCTACCAAGCCAGTCAAGCTATTTACGAAGAGTTCGACAGGGTCACGGTCCTCTACGATGGCAGGCAGATATACTTCGGCCCCGCCAACGAGGCCAAAGAATTCTTCGAAAGGCAGGGCTGGTACTGTCCACCCCGACAGACAACGGGCGATTTCCTCACCGCGGTGACAAACCCCGGTGAGAGGAAAGCCCGGCCAGGGATGGAGGGCCAAGTACCCCGAACGGCCCAAGAATTCCAGCAATACTGGCGTAACTCACTGGAGTTCAAGGAGCTGAACCGCGAAATCGCGCAGTACCAGCGACAATCGCGTATCGTGAGGAGCAACGAAGTCATCACGGACCTCCGAAGCGCGAAAAACTTCATGCAAGCTAAGCACGTGCGCCCCAAGTCGCCGTACACTATTAGTCTACCCATGCAAGTCCGGCTGACGACTAAGAGAGCGTATCAGCGCATCTGGAACGACAAGTCGGCGACGGCCTCTCAGGCCATGCTAAACATTATAATTGCCCTCATCGTAGGGTCTGTCTTTTACGGAACAGCGGATATCACGGACACCTTCAAAGCCAGAGGATCCGTTCTGTTCCTTGCTGTCCTCATCAACGCTCTGTCTACTCTCTCTGAAATCATCAGTCTATATTCCCAACGGCCTATTGTCGAAAAACACGCCTCTTACGCTTTCTATCACCCAGCAACCGAGGCTGTCGCGGGGATAGTAGCCGATATACCCATCAAGTTCACACTCGCGGTAGCCTTCAATCTCGTATTATACTTCCTTGCGGGACTACGTCGAGAACCCGGGCCGTTCTTCTTGTATTTCCTCATCACGTTTATTCTCACCTTCGTCATGAGTGGTATCTTCAGGACGATGGCGGCTGTCACGAGTACCGTTTCTCAAGCGATGTCTCTGGCGGGTATAATGGTTCTTGTCTTGGCAATATACACTGGATTCGCCATCGCCGTTCCTCAGATGGGAGCATGGTTTAGCTGGCTTCGTTGGCTCAATCCCGTCTTCTACGCCTTCGAGATCCTAATTGCCAACGAATTTCACCATCGGGAATTTAAGTGCGGTACATTCATCCCTGATTACCTCCCGAGAAACGGCACCACGTTTATCTGCTCAGCTGTCGGTGCATATGCCGGGAACGAGACTGTTAGCGGCGATGACTATATCAGAGACAGTTATGTGTATTTCTACTCGCATGTATGGCGGAATTTCGGTATCTTGATCGCGTTTCTGATATTCTTCCTGTTCACGTATGTCACGGCGACGGAACTCAACTCGTCTTCCGGCAGTACCGCCATCGTTCTCGTTTTCCGAAGAGGACGTCGCTTTGGGAGCCAACCTGAAAAAAAACGCGAGCAGGAAATCGTGGACGTACAGTCTTCGGCAGATTCTCTTATAACGGACATGGCTGTTCCTTCTGAACACAAGATCATGGGCATTGAACCGCAAAGAGACATGTTTACATGGAGAGATGTCGTATATGATATTGAAATCAAGGGTAATACTCGCAGGCTACTCGACAACGTTGCAGGTTGGGCAAGGCCGGGAACGCTCACGGCTCTCATGGGTGTATCCGGTGCGGGAAAGACGACTTTACTAGATGTGTTGGCGCAACGGACTACTATGGGCGTGATCACCGGAGACATGTTAGTCAATGGCAAGCCTTTATCTCGTAGTTTCCAGCGCAACACCGGATATGTCCAACAACAAGGTAAGTTTATTCTCATCGCAATCTCACTATACCCGTTGAACTAACTCACCATCTAGATCTTCACCTCGAAACTGCCACCGTTCGCGAAAGTCTCCGTTTCAGCGCTGTGCTCCGTCAACCGCGGTACATAAGTAAAGCGGAGAAATACGCCTTCGTCGAAGAAGTCATCACGATGCTCAACATGGAAGACTTCGCGGACGCCGTCGTCGGTGTCCCAGGTGAAGGTCTCAACGTCGAGCAGCGTAAGCTCCTCAGCATTGGCGTCGAGCTTGCCGCGAAGCCAAAGCTACTCCTCTTCCTTGACGAGCCGACATCAGGTCTCGACTCACAGAGCTCGTGGGCCATCTGCTCCTTCCTGCGCAAGCTGGCGGACTCGGGACAGGCCGTGCTATGCACCATCCATCAGCCCAGCGCGCTCCTGTTCCAGCAGTTCGACCGCCTGCTCTTCCTCGCGCGCGGTGGGAAGACCATTTACTTCGGTGATATCGGTCCCAATTCACGCATCATGCTCGATTATTTCGAGGAGAGGGGCGCACGTCCTTGCGACGACCAGGAGAACCCTGCGGAGTACATGCTCGAGGTCGTGAATGAGGGTGTCAACGACCGCGGCGAAGACTGGCACGAGCTCTGGAAGGCAAGCCCGGAACGGCAGGCTGTTAATATAGAAATCGACCACATCCACGCCTCAAGCGCCAACCAGATGTCAGCAGCCCAAGATCAAGACGACCAAGGCGAGTTCGCGGCACCTTTCTTAACCCAACTGCAGGTTGTCACGTACAGGATCTTCCAGCAATACTGGAGAATGCCCAGCTACATCGGCGCGAAATGGGGACTAGCCACGGCCGCGGGTATATTCATCGGTTTCTCGTTCTGGAAGGCGAAGTCTACACAGGCCGGAATGTCGAACGTGATGTTCGGCGTATTCATGATAGCCACGCTTTTCTCTCCTTTTGTTCAACAGGTACGCGAAGTCACCACCTCACAGACCCAATCTCCCAATCTCGCAATCTCTACATAGACACACAACTAACACAATAGAATTATAGATCCAACCCCTCTTCACAACCCAACGCTCCCTCTACGAAGTCCGCGAGCGCCCGTCCAAAGTCTACTCCTGGCAATCCTTCCTAATCGCCAACACAATCGTCGAGCTGCCCTACCAAGTCATCGCCGGCATCATCGTCTTCGCATCCGTCTACTACCCCATAACCGGGATCCAGAGCCCCGACCGCCAAGGCCTCGTCCTTCTCTTCATAATCCAATTCTTCCTCTACAGCAGCACCTTCGCGCACATGACCGTCGCCGCGCTCCCGAACGCCGAAACGGCTGGAGCCCTAGTCACCCTGCTCGTGCTCATGTCGCTTATCTTCTGCGGCGTGTTCCAGACCCCCACCGCGCTCCCCGGTTTCTGGATCTTCATGTACCGCCTGTCGCCCTTCACGTACTGGATCGGCGGCATCGTCGGGACCCAGCTGCACGACCGGCACGTCGACTGCTCCGTCACCGAGACCTCGATCTTCGACCCGCGGCCCGGCCAGGACTGCCAGACGTACATGGCGGACTTCCTGTATCCCAACGGCACCGCGCTCGGGTACCTGCAGAACCCGAACGCGACGGAGGCGTGTCGGTACTGCAGTTTGTCGAAGGCAGACGATTTCCTCGCGCCGAGCGGGATTTACTGGGATGATCGGTGGAGGAACTTTGGGCTGGTGTGGGTGTATATCGTGTTTAATGTTATGGTTACCGTGGGGACTTATTACTTGTTCCGTGTTGCGCGGTGGGGGAGGAAGTAGGTTAGGTTAGGGGAGGCATTCATATATAGGTAATGCAACGCATATGCATAGCATGGCATTCACGATTGGGGTACGGGGGAGTTATGCGGATTGATATTTGTTTAGTTATTTACTATCTAATTTGAAAAGTTATAGAGTTTAATGCGGGTGGGTAGATTGGGATACTTAGATATGGGTAGACATGGATAGGGAATGGGAAGGGCTTGGTGGTGATGTGCTTAATGACAATTTTTAATCGTATACGCCGACTGAATCCCAACTCGTGCTTATGCTCAACGTACCCGTCTATATTCTATATGTTGTAACGAAATTAACAGAAACACCGGACTCCCAGTGAGATAAGGGTGCGCGACGGATTTTGTTGATTCACTCGAACTGCTGTACCAAGTCACACTGTTGAGTCTCGGTTCCCTCCGATCTTCTAACCTACCTACATAGAATCCTAGGTAGATGTCTGGTTTGAAAAGATAAGAAATGTAGGCACATAAGCAAAAGAAACTCGCAAACAACGGAATTATTTCCGCCAAGGTAATCCTCAACATATTACCTACCTACTTTGATATCACCCAGCTTACCTCACCTGTGTCCGGTGGAACGATGGATAACGTCAGAGCACGGAGTCGCTAATACACCACGCGTAGTACACGACCACCGGCCCGGTGAGCGCGTGGCTCCTGTTGGGTTATACACCACTACCACCCCTACTACAATATCACGATGAGGGCTTTAGGTAGGTAGGTACATCTAGCGAATAAGAAAAGTAGAGATCATGTTAGTTAATCTAAAGAGTTGAGACCCGGACCGGAGAAACACCACTGCAAGTTTCTTGCTCCAGTCCATTCTATATCTGTATAATACGGGTATTTTGATGTCTAGGTAATCATCGTCCAAGCACAATCTGGGACTGGTTCTCCCGCATAATCTGTGCCAAACGCCGTCCCAATCTAGTTCTACATCGCTAATCAGCCGATGATAATGCAAATGCGATGCAAGCAAGCTCAACCATTCCTGCGCCCCTTTTATGCCGTAATCAAGTGATGAATTCAACGCGTTCGTTGAGAAAGTCTGCAGGTCCTTTCCCCCATAGGTTTTTACATGACTTCTTCCCGTTCGTAGCCCATTGCCTTCAAGGCAGGTCTAGGTGGGCCCTTTCCGTCCTTGTACTGGCTGACGAAGGGGTTGGGGTCTTCTTTCTGGTTCAGGTTGCTGAGAGTGTGGTTGACACCCCTGTGGCAAGCTTCGTCAGCTCGGATGTAGTAGATGAGGTCTTTCATCGATCGCTTTCCCTCGGGCATACTCCAGTACTGGACAGCGATATCTGGAATGACGAAGTTTGGGTCGGTCCATTTTGGTAGATGTCCCTCTTCCATCTGTTTGATGCAGAGGGTATAGGTGTGAACGGCTTCTTCTTCCAGATAGCCAACTAAACAAAAATTAGTATTTTAAATAAATAGATAGAAGGGCTTAATGTGCTACTTACCAAACCGATGTGTGATCTTAGGCGAGATTAAATATGTCAAGAAAAGACCGTTGAAGTAGACGCCTTGAGCACCGATAAGGAGCATCTTCATGAACCAGCCTAGTATATATGTGAGTAGGTGAAGTTAAGTAGGCATACATCAATTGAGTTATTGCCTACCTGGCTCGCACATCTTCATAAATGTTAGAAGATGCATACGTTCGTTGTAGCTTTCTTCGAGGAGGGTTTCGATCCAGCCGTTGTCCCTCTTAAGTCGTCGTATGCTGTGCAAGTGTCGTAGCATTCCTGCAACCATGCCTGGAACACCGGCAATGGACTCGAGGAAGAGGAATCGTAACAGCCATTGACCTTCAGTCAAAGGCTGGATCGTGTCGACGGCGGTGGTAGGGTTCGTCTTGTCAACCTTCTGATCCTTCTTCATCCCCGTGAAGAAGTCCATTCCCCACCTACACGACCGCATGAATTTCCAAGCGGCCCAGTCGCCCCATGTCTTCGCCGGACGGTGGGATGGGACAACACTGAGCATCTCCTTTAATAAGTGGATCAGTTAGTAAAATTTTCATGTATTTCCCTTGACTGACATATACAAGCGGAGACCGGGTCGATATTAAGAATCCAACTATGCCGAACCTGTGGCGACAATGAAACTCTGTTAACACTAACCTCTTCAGTATAGCCGTGATGTGGCCATGCCGCCGGTGTCTGGCGGATATGTTCCGTCTCCTTGATGGGAAAGAAGTCCTTGAAGTGGTTGGTTGGGGTGGTAGAGAAAGCCCGTGAACTGGCAGTAACAATGCCAACACGGATTCCTGCTGGATAGCTTCCAAGTGTAGAGGTTCGAATCAAGGGTACCACGGCTCTAGATAGCCGGGCAGCTTGTTTCGATGTGCAAAGGCTGGGTTGGACCTTGACTGATAACATCGAGGGCAGGTAAATATGGGACAACCACGACCAGTGGAAATGTATGTAGTAAAATGGAATAAAAATTTTCAAGTAGTAGACTTGAAAATAGACCAGTAGACAAATTACTTTTCAGGGTGGCTTGGGAACAAACAAAAGAAAGGTCTGACAGTTGCCTCAGGAAGAAGAAATACTTATACTTGACTTACATGCCGCACACATACGGCCGGGAAACCATAAGCGGCAAGACAAATACCTCAAGTCTCACTGACCTATTAGTGGCCAATGCCCTTGAATTAGAGATGAAAATACATACATCCATAACAATGAAGGATTGAAGATTGCCGTCCGGTATACCAGCGAGAACCTGCAAAGACTTGCAAGACCCAGACGCCGAACATTGTCGGCGAGAGAAGCGGATACCCCTTCGTCCCTAGCGCGTACCGATTATGGTAACAATCCTTACTCATATCCTTACAGCCTCATGCTTGGCAAAGAATGGCAATGGCAATCAAGCATATCGGGTACTGTAGTACAATACAGTACAATAATACTTATTACCTCTTCGGTCATTGGATATTCGCTAATCTGTCAGGTGGTCTTCAAAAGTCGGGAATTGAAGGAGGAAAAGAGATGATAAATGGGGGCTTTCTCGTAGGGCTCCGGTATATTTTCGGTGCCAAACAGCCTCAAACGGGCTCAACTCGTCGGTTCTCGGCGGTCATTCAGAGCCCTGTAAGAGATCAGTACCTGTTCCCTTATGATGAAGATTTACTTCAACATCCATTGGGCAACCCAAACAAAGAGATAAAGTTATGAAGATTGAAGTCGCCGAATTCCATAATTCTAATACTAGAACTTGGAATTGGTCCGGTTTTTTCATATGGAAAAATATTTTCTTCAAAACCCGCTAGATAATTGTTACCCGTTAGTGAATACTTTAGAATTGCGCCAACATTTTGGCGGAGCGCATTCCTTTCTTCTCGTCATCAAAAAAAGGCTTTGACAGGTCAAGCGCCAGAACTTCAGATGACTCACCAAAAACTAAACAAGTTAAAAATACGAAGACAATGTATTTCCACGAACAATCCTACGCGCACATACCCAGCATAAGTACCTAGGTACGTTCATGCGAGATGAGAGCTGTCGAATATCATAATATGTAGTGCGACCGGGTATGTATGCGCTGCTATCCATCAATGCAGGTGGCTTACAAAATTCCCAAATTTAGCATGATTCGGATGTTCCAATCAAGCTTCGACAATATCAGCCAGTACCGCCATGTTGAACGTGGGGAGTTGTGTTGATCAAATATATTATCCGTGTCATTTAACGGCCGAGAGCCATTTACCAGCAAAGGCTTGTTGAGGCCGGGGATAACATCAGAGCCTAGAGAAGTTCCGTCCGAGTCCCGAGCCGAACCGGGCAGCTACCGGAGATTTCTAGGGCGAATCCTGACCCAAGAAGGCAACCCCTTGAAGCGGTCCTGGGAAAGCCGCTAGGCCGCGTCACACGAAAATATTCCAGGGCTAGACAAATTCCTCGGAGTACCGTGGACGTAATACCTATGTGTCGGGTGTCCGCATGACATAAAATCCTCATTCGTGTTCCTGAATCGTGAAGTCATAAGGAGAATACAATGCGACCCACTGTACCTAGGACCTGGACAAAAACATGTGAATCCATGATCAATGGAGACGGCGAATGCATACTAGAAAAAGTCTATCGGGATTTGAAAATGATTTAGTATGGTATCGGCCCCTTCCGTAAGGCTGATGAGGTCTGTTACCTTATTGGAATCTTTAAGACATGCGTAGCTCTTAAGCGAGCGTTGTGACATGACGACTCATCTTAATTGAAATATAACAATGAACTGTTGTATAGACGAGTCGCGCAAGATCCCTTCTTTGAGACTGGGAATCCTTCATTTATATTGTGATTGTACAGCAGAGTTTCGGGGAGGAACAATAGTTTAGCGTAATGTAGCGGGACCTTGGTCAATCTAGGCGAAGAGAATTTATTCAAAGTATTTTTTTAGGGGACGTTTTTCAAATTAGAATTGCCATCGTAGAGAGATGGGATATTTGGCAATTCTTCATGCCAAGCTGAAAAGGAAAATACAAATTTTGGTTGTTTTAAGTTCAAATTGTAGAAGTTATTAAGGTTTCTTTAGTCACTTGCATGTGAAGCAACCACAGTCTTGGGATTGTCTATTTTGAGAATTAAACCTTCCCTTGCATTAAAATGGAACTTACGTCATCAGGTAAGAACGGATGTACTTAACGATAAGGCCGACTTTCTACCCAATTTACTTATCTTATCAAATGCCCCGCATCACCCCGCGTCCCTTCGCCGTTGCCGTTTGTGCAAAGCCTATTGTTCTTGACACACCTGGAGGTCGTTTGTCATATTAACTGCGAAAGTGCCCTGTGGTCTCGAACCGGATAGGAGCCGTCAGGCATAAATATCCACTGCAACTGCATTCTTTCAGGTGTCCCACCACACATAACAGCGCACAATAATTTAGGCAAACCTAGAAATATCTCTCACGCCGATTTTTAGCCTTTGTGCCCAATCCCCGAAACTTCCTCCTATTTCTATTTTCCAACCTCGATCTTCAACAATTCTTTCAACGCCGCTTTTCGCAACCGACCACTGCTTCTTACTTGTCGCACGACTATTCTAAGTCAACCAACCTACATTCTAACAACGTCAATCTAATCACGATGCCTGCCCGAAAACAGTGGGGTAAGTGAATTCCTTCCCCTGTATCGGCGCAAAAAAAGCGCGCGTTCCTGGTGTTCCAAGTTGCCACATCTACTTTTTTTGTATCACCATGTGAGAGATTGGTGGTGAACGCGATACCAATCCTTGGGGATCAAGGCGAAGAGACGCGCGACAGTTTCCAGTGGATCTTCGTCGCGTCTATTATTCCTAGTCCATTGGGTTATTCTAACTCCCGTTCATGCGACATGCCTGCGCATCTTGCATCTGTCATAATGAACCTTACTGACCGCTCTTTCGGATATAGATGAAGAGGAGGAGTCCGACTCTAGCACCACCCCTCCCTCTTCCCCACCTCCAGGTGTTGGTGCCATTCGTCGCAACAAGTTCGAAGACGAAGAGGGCGACGATAGCGATGTAAGCCGACCCCGTGTTCGAGGTCCTTTCTTGATTCAACAATACTGACACCATACTGTTTGTTAGGTTCTCGAGTCTTGGGATGCTGCTGAAGATTCCGAAGTAGAACGCGAGAAAGCTAAGAAGGCTGCCGAGGTCAAGGCCAAGGCCGATGCTGAAGCTGCCGCCAGCAAGAAGTCCAAGGCTCAACGTATCGCCGAAAAGAAGGCCGAACGAGCTCGCCAGTTAGCCGAGTCTGACGAAGAGTCCGAGGAAGATGAGGCCCAACGTCGCGAGCGAATCCGCCGTACCGAACAGGAGTCCGACTTGAAGCACGCCGAGGATCTGTTCGGTGATGCTGGTATCAGCCTGAGCAGTGGACGCAAGGCTACCACCGTTGGTGCTGCCGTGCCTATCGATGCTAAGGACCCGACCAAGACCGTTGACCTGAGTTCGCTACCCCTGTTCAACCCACAGACTAAACTTCAGTTCGAGAATCTTCGCAATACTATTGTTCCGATCATCGGCGGCAACCACAAGAAGGCTCACTACTCTCTGTTCCTCCAGGAATTCGCTAAGCAGCTCGCCAAAGACCTACCCAGTGATCAGATCAAGAAGATCTCCAGCACTCTCACGGCCCTTGGCAATGAAAAGATGAAGGAAGAGAAAGCGGCTGAGAAGGGTGGCAAGAAGACGAAGGCACAGAAGACCAAGACTACATTGGTGGCTAGCCGAGCTAACACAACTGATACTGCTACCTACGATGACGATTTCGGAGAGTAAGTTAATTCCGTGGCTTACTCGATGTTTCCCCCCTACTAACATCTTACCTAGTGACGATTTTATGTGAAAGGCGCCGAGGGCATCCAAATCCCTTCATGGCCATCACGGCACCTTCATACAAGCCATCCAACTCCCGACAATTCTTGCCATTATGGTGGACTTTCTAGAGCTATACCCACGACTTGCAACATTTGGCACTTGGCACCCCTAGATCACGCTACAGGTGCCAAACACTCTACTCCCTCTGGAGTCGACCACAGGTGTGGATGGACGATAAACTGGAACAATGATGACGGACAGGCGGTAATTACTACGGGGCTACAGCCACAATGGCATCGGTCAGGCTTTACCTCCTGGCTGGAGAACCAGCAGGGGGTTCTATCTGGCATTCGCACTTGCATCCCACTAATAACTTGCAACGATAGAGCCGAGCCGTGGCCAGGCTAGGCTTGGCTGTGGGCTCTGATGACGGTGATGATAGTACGAATGATGCTAGATATGCACACTATTGGCTTGGTTGGTCAAGTTGCTTGGGACGGTGCGACTTTGAGAATGTAGACAGATAAGAATGCACTTTGCGAATTACTTTAAAACGGGTTGTAGTGTAAAAGTTTAAACGGTGCGATACTTTTCTCCCTACTTAGGTTTATCTTCGAAATATCCCGTGATAAGATTCAATAAGTTCGACGTAAGTAATGTTTATGCATATGTATTTCTTTATATTTCTATTTGTATTGCCTAAGGGGGGTATTTCCGGCGCGAAAAAGACAGACCCAACCGACGACACCCAAAACTCCATACGTGACGTGTGTATGTGTATATACCCAACCCATTCAAACGAAGAAAAAAAAAAATATCGTCACCGGCGTTCGCGTAGGCCATTTTCCCCGTTCCTCATAAATCCATCCGTGCTTGCGTACCTAATCATTTTATTTTATTTACAATAGAGGGGTAAGGGGTTAGAGTGGGAGTAGGAGGGAGGGAGGAGGGTCTTAGATGACGTTCCCCGCCATACCCATGAAGAGCGCATGCACAGCCAAGCTCAAGGTCCAGAAACCGACCTTCTTCAAGCGACGAACACGGCTCTGCTGATCTTCAACATCGTGTGCGAATGCGGAGTACACTTCAGCTGAGGTATCATCCATAAGCCCGCAATCGTAGATAGTCCAAGAGCCATCGAAGTCGGAAGCGCGCTTGACGATGCGGCAGCTGATGGGGATGTAGGTGCGCTTGGCGTTGATGTAGGCTACGATGGGTCGTACGAGAGCCTGATTCACGTATGATAGGTTGGAAGTGAAGACAGGGACGGTGGCCTTGACATCGTTCAGGTGGATCCGCAAGTCCATGACAAGGTAGCGCGGTCGGTCCTCGTTTGATTTCGAAGGTGCTGGGACTAGGACGAAGCCGTCGTCGGTTTCAGTATCTGTATCCGCATCTGCGGGTGTTGTAGCATCAGTAGTCTCTTCCGGGGTTTCGTCGGACTGGAGGTGGCTCGGAGCGTTAAATATGACTTCTTCGTCACGACGGGGCTTGTCCAGGATACGAAGATAACGGTTTGATGTAACCGCTTCCTCGAGTCGGTCATAGAAGTCTGACACTACCTTCGTAATGCCGTCATCGTCATCAGCCGGGAACCTGATATCAGATACGATATCAACGTTGCCTTCGTAAATCCAACCGAACGGACCTTCGACGCCCCGGTTGAGGTGATCTATCTTAAGTCCATCTATCCGAATACGGCTAAACTTCTTCCAGGCATCTGGTTCCCCTAGTGGATCGCAAGCGATGTGTTCGCGACCGGCAGGAACACCGTGGATTTGACGAGGATGTATGGTAAACAGAGATCCGTCGTATGATCCAGACATGTGGTTGGCAGATAAAAAGTCGTAGAATAAGAATTGTTTCCTTAGTTGAGGAAGTTCGCACGAGTATATGCTCACTGGGAAAGGTCGGAACCCGCTTGGCTGGTGAACGGTGACGAGTAGGTCCTCTAACTTGAATGCATCGATCTCGAAGTCGCCGGGGTTATGTTCGTGGCGGTATGATAAGGGATCGACTCGTTCACTAGACCACCTAACCGAGGTCCGATCCACCACCCCTCGCACACCTTTGATCTCGACATCTTTCAGTAGGCCTCTACCGTTCCACCATTTGACGAACGAAAGCGTAACATTCACAGTATTGAGTGTGATATCAAATTGTGTATAGTTGCCATCATCCACTTCGACGACGGGACCCTCTTTGTCGGATTCTCTTCCGGCAGCAGCTACCGCTGCAGCGCTCGAGGAAGATCCCTTGCTGACAGTAGATTTGACTTGGCCGGGCCTTCGGGAGACGAATACATTTCGGAATGAAATAACACCATCCTTCCATCGGGGGACGATAGCCGACTCAAAGACTACTGTCAATCCAGCAGACTCGGTTAAATAGTCCCCGACCCATTTCGCAAGAGTTTCTGTAGTTGGTTAGTTTAATTAATCTGCAACATAGTAAATAGTAAGAGTTCATACCTTGCGCAAAAACGGTGTTGATGAAGAGGATGGCGAGCGAGAAGAAAGTAGTTGTGCCGACCAAAATCCAGACGAGATGACCGAAGAGAAACCATGAGACAAAAGCACCCCACTCATCTATATTCCAAGGCCTCATGCTTCTGATAGAAAACCACTTGAACCGAACTTTTAGACGCTGCCAAAACCCGGTCGCAGCAGCAAGAAACTCTTCTTTAGTTGGTCGATGAGGTAGATGTGGTAGCTGAGGCATTGCAGGTAGATGAAAGTATTTGGACACAGACGAAGATGCCGACTCCTCTTCGGTGGGCGTGACGCCGGGCTCCGAGTCAGGCTTTGCGTCAGGCGTTGAGCTTTGGGTAGGCTTTGACGGAGTCATATTCTTCTGGTGGGCGACAGTTGGACTCGCATTATCGGTGTTAGATTTTGAGGTTTTCGTCCTTCGATGAACCCTTATTATTCTACCCCGACCACCTCGAGAAGAAGTATGTATTTCCCTAGTCCACGCTTGCCTCGCTAACTTGCTGATGCTGGACGTTTGAACCGCATTTCCGAGTATAGCAGAGTCCGCAGCAGCCGAACACGTTGCTGTGACTGCTGAGGTGGTTGACGTGGGTGATGCAAACCCAATAAGCAGCAAACCACTGGACGTAAAGCTCCGTCGAACATGATTGCCGGAAGGTTTTGGTGCTCGAAAGTATGACCATGGAGATCCCGACGATCGCGGCCTTACAATCGAAGTATAAGGCGCTGTCTGATGAGGTCCAATATTATTGATCGGATTTCGTTTCATCGGCACTCTCGATGTAAAGGTATCGATGCACTCGTAAAGAGATCGCCATGCCTGGCGTCCCTGGCCTAATATCGTAGGCCTAACTGCTGAAGACATTGTACAGGCTCATGATGGTGGTGTGGTCTCTAGGCATAGAACGAGAACCACACCTCGAAATCCCGAAGAGCACTTGGATAATCAGGATGGAATAGTTCTAATAGCGGATCAGCAGAGTTGTTGAAACTTCTGAGGTCTATTTAATACAAGAGGCAATAATCCGAATGAGGTTCATCGTCCTATTCGAACAACAAACAACACGGAACGCGAGGGGTACAACCATGTAGAGATGAAAAAATCATGGGAGAAGCATGAAATCCCAATCAAGAATTTGCTTGGCTTCAAGCTTTAAAAGTTTCTAAGGTTCGTCATTGGCACATCAGTACATTGTACCACGAAAAACCCTCTTGAAGCTAGAACCGATTGAGTTTAATGGCTTTTTGTGCGCTGCGATATGCCGCTTTCGCTATTTCCATAACGCCACTTACCCATAAATACCTGGGTACCTGTCTATGTTACCCCCCTCTTTAATCGGAGCTTAGGATCGATCTTATCGATAACAATTTGTAACCCACCAAAACCACTTATCGTTAATTTTTTTGAGTCCTCCAGAAAACCATCACCAAGTTAGATACGACGCTAGCGAACAAACTTCGAATAAATCATCAACCCTCCTTCAATACCAATCCTCTACTCGAATACCCGCATACATCAAAAGAGACAACTCAAAATGCCGGCACCGACAGCCCTGCTCAAGCAGGTCGACGACACCCCGTCTCAAGTCCCGCTTCTAGAAGCCAACGAAGATGTAGATTTCGAGCTAGAGGGCATCAACGTGCTCCCCGAGGACGCGAACGCAGTTCTCCAACCCGTGAAACGAACCGAAGAATCCGACATGGAAATCGACGAAGAAGACAAGCCGCAATTCGCACCCGCCCAGAACACCGTATGTCATCTCCCTTCCCTCGCGAGGCTGTATGCTGTGGATGCACAATAGAGAAGAGGAGACGGAGGCTAACAATGACCTGCAGGATCCCACGACACACATCCAATCGCGCAAGGTGTCCATCCCGCCCCACCGCTTCACGCCCCTCAAGAACACCTGGCCCAAGATCTACCCGCCGCTGGTCGAGCACCTGAAGCTGCAGGTGCGCATGAACGTCAAGCACAAGCGCGTGGAGCTGCGCACCTCCAAGCACACCACCGACACCGGCGCGCTACAAAAGGGCGAGGACTTCGTGCGCGCCTTCGCGCTGGGCTTCGATGTCGACGACGCCATCGCTTTGTTAAGGCTGGACGACCTGTATATCGAGACCTTCGAGGTGAAAGACGTGAAGACCCTGAGCGGAGACCATCTCGCGCGCGCGATCGGCCGTATCGCGGGTAAGGATGGGAAGACGAAGTTTGCGATTGAGAATGCGTCGCGGACAAGAGTGGTGCTGGCGGATTCGAAGATCCATATCTTAGGAGGTAAGTCGAGTGTCCGAAAATTGTGTTCGTTGGAACCCGCTAACGTTCTGGATTGCAGGATTCAAGAATATCCACATAGCTCGCGAATCCATCGTGAGCTTGATATTGGGTAAACCGCCTGGAAAGGTGTATAACAACCTCCGAACCGTGTCCGCGAGGATGAAGGAGAGGTTTTAGTTTTTTATTGGTTCAATTTTCGCACTTTCACATTGGGCGGAGTTCCGGTCTGGCGTTAAAATGAGCTTGTGTTAAACGCACTCGATAGATTATGAGACACGAGAAGTCTCTTAAGAACCATTAAGTCATCATACATCTTAAGGGTATCATGAACTATATAAAATGGGACGTCACATCTATGGATGACACTCGTCCCTTGATCACCCGGCATGTTTTCCCTCTTTTCCTCCATTTTCCGACATACTCCTAGTGATGACTTAACATTTTTCCTGTAATACAAACGCTGGCCCCTGTTACCCTAAAAAAAAGCTCGATGATATCCCTTACTTGATATGAACTTCTAACGAGTCCATATCTTCAATATCTGCCTCCTCCACGGTCGTTTCGTCCTCCAGCACCTCGCCATCCCAATGAAGCTCAATGGTCTTATCTTCCGGAATACTCGCGAGTCGCCGATATGCTTTTACAAGTTGAGCGGCCGTAGTGCTCGAGCGAACCGTCACCTTCGTAGGGGGTCGGTCCTTCGCCTTGAAGTGGACACGAATCTTCTTCTCATCTTGCGAGGTTTGTGGAGGCTCTGGTTCTTGACTTCCCTCATATACCCCCTCCAATTCGTTGAGGTGTTGCAATCGTTGCTTCTCTTTTTCTTCTAGGTATTCGTCGTACAGCTGCTGTGTCCATGCCTCAAAGTACACTTTATCCCGTCCCTGATACCCTTCCTGGTCCGGCTTCCAATCTGGGTATAGCCCCCCGTCTCTCTCCGGTTTGATGCCTAATGTCTTCAGCGTCGTATGTGGATACACCTTATTGCCTTTCCACGTGAAGAACATAGACTCGAGAACCAGGCGGGGCACATTGCTCCTCTTGACTATTTGCTGCTCAATCCAAGTCTGATAAACCACATTGAGCTTTTGAGATAGTCTACGCCGAAACATCAGAGGGTTGATGCCACGCATATGTGAATGGATAAGAATCTGTATGATGGGATCCTCTTCATCAAAAGCTGCACTATCTCCTCGTTTTTCTCTGGCTTCACGTTCCGCCTTTTCTTTTTGCGCTCGTTCCCTCGCAAGTCTAATGTAGTACTCCGAAGGATCTTCGTCCTCGTCCTCCTTTGGCCCTTCTACCGTGTCATCTTGAGGATCGCTATCGTCGTCTAGAGCAATTATATCTGGCTTTGACTCTAGTTTAATGGGTTTGTTTACACTTTTAGGCTTAATTGAGGGACTCTCAAGTGGAGATTTCGGTGCAAAGGGATCATCGTCCTCGTCTTTTAACGAGATCAAGGAGGTACGTGCGTGGGAGCGTGTGAATCGACCTCCTGCGTGCGGGCTTGCAAAGGAACTTCTACGTTTTGAAGTGGGTGTGAGTGGCAGAGAAGGCGATCTTTGCTTTTTAGGAGGCTTATATTCACGATCGGGGGCATCTTCATCCTCGTCTTTGCAGGCGATCGAAATGCGTCGTCGCTTCTTCGCAGATCCTGGTTCACGGATAGGCTTTTCATCTAGTAGATCGATATGTTCGACTTCAGACTCTCGTACTAATCGCTCTTTGCGCTGATGTTTTGCTTTCGCCTCCTTTGCTTCCTTAGCCTCCCGAGCCTTCTCAGCCTTTTCCTTCTCAGCTTTCTCCTTTTCGGCTTTTTCGTTCAATAATCTCTGATGTTCCTCAAAGAAATCACCAGACCTACTGAAAAGAGAAAGGCCATCGTCATTGGGCACTTCGATCGATTTGCGCCGAGCCGTGCGCTTGAATGGGAGTTTTTTCTTGGTGGCAGATTCCATTATGCATAAACAGAAAAGATGCAATTAACGTTCTCAATTGCAATGGAATGTAAGCGTATTATTCAAGAGATTAGGAGCACGTAATAACCGAGAATAATTGGCATCGTTCGAAATGCCTTTAGAGTAAGGATTATGTATAAGGACAAATAATAATAATAGAAGGGGTAAGGACGAGAACCTTAATTGTTCAATTAACAATGGAAGTTAAAATCACCCTCAGCGCGTAGTGGACTTTACATAACAGTCTGGTGAAGTTCTTAACGCGTCTTTAACTGCCCCGCTTCTAGTCGCTGTTTCCAGCTGCAGTTTGATCTTAAAAAGCGGGTCCTAGCGCATCCCACATCGCACTAGGACTGGGCAACACTTTACCTGAGGCCAAGAATCGCAAACATTGACACCGTTGATTATCTGTCACATTTTCAACTACAATCCACATTCCTTCTCCACGGCCATCATGGAAAACGGGACATCTACCAATACACCGGGTGAGGGCAAGGACCCGTCTGGCTTCCTCTCAGATATCATCGGCAATCCTGTCACCGTCAAGTTGAACTCAGGCGTCGTTTACAAGGGTCAGTCCGGATACATCTTAAACTATAAACCTTTATACCAGTATACTAACATGACATTAATAGGCGAACTACAATCTGTTGACGGGTACATGAACATTGCTCTAGAAAAGACAGAAGAGTACGTGAATGGCGTAAGGCGAAGAGCATACGGTGACGCCTTCGTAAGAGGCAACAACGGTAAGTACACTTGATCCACCTAAGTAAATAATATTTTTTCCACATTTGTACTAATGAACATCTTACTCAAGTCATGTACATCTCGGCGGACTCATGATTCTTAGTTATTGATATTTCCTAATGGGAGCCTTCTGAGAATACTATTCAAGGGGAATTCTAACGATGCATACCGCACTACTCCGCCACGGTCGCATTTAACGCCTCCTACCTCTCCTCCAGAGGTCACAAGGGATATGCGCGTTTCCATTGACCGCATGCCCACGGATATGAGAGAAGTTGGAGAAGCTTTGCATCATGATGGTTATGAATTCCTCAACGCTGATATTTGATCAAGAGCAATGTTCTTACTTCCCATCTCCAGGCATCTTCTTGTGACATAAAGGCTCTCTTAGAGCCTATCCGTCCACGTGAAGAATGTGATACCATGTACCGCGATTTGACCCTTCTCGTTCCTTTCGACATCATCGCCCTCAAGAGTTTCTTTAAGAAGCCTATTCCAAGCATCTCGTTCATCACCCTTGAATATGGCAATCTGACTTAAAGTATTGAGTCGTAATGAAAGTTCTTCTTCACTTAGCCAGACCGTCCATTTCACAATATCTTCTCCACGCGGAAGGCTAAATTTAGGCATGCCGTCGGTAAATGTGTCTTTGAGGGCCTGGAGTGGGGTGGCTGGCAGTTGTTGCTCAAATACATCTTTCCATTTCTTGCCAGAGTGTCAGCTTCGTTCAGAATTCATCTTCCGGAAGAGATTACTAACCTGGTGTTTAAAACGAGGAAGCCCATCATCCAGTGAGTAGATGAAGTCATTTAACTTTTGCTCCCACTTTGTAGTTGATGGCCAGCTGTGAGGTTTGTTGTCTAAGCCCCGATTAACGATTCATATTCCACCGACTTCTTTACAGTAATTTGAGACGAGCTTACAATCCTCGATGTTCCAAATGGCTCCGAACACGGCGCCTGGTCTCAACACACGATGAATCTCTTTCAACGCTTCGGGAGTCGCAAACCTTGATTCATCAAAAACAAAGTGAGTTTCTAACTTGAAATTCTAGCCGGATAACTTACCAATGAAATGCCTATGTGAGTTAATATTAGCATTTCTCGATGTCCGGAACTATCTGAGCAATTATCAACTCACTTGAGCGGCAACACAAGCATCACCCCACTCATCCTCAACTGGCATCTTATCGGCCTTGCCATCAATCACTTCGACGCCGGGTAAATCTTTTTGTACAAGCTTATCCCTCATTGTGTGATGAGGTTCAATCGCTTTCACGACAAATCCCTCAGGTCGCTGGGCTATAAGCTCTGTGAACTTGCCAGTGCCCGAGGCAATCTCCACGATCTTGGCAGAAGGATATTGTGCAATCTTCAAACTTGATAGGAATTTCTCAAAAGCATCTGGCGGGTAAGAAGGGCGATATGCATCGTACGAAGCAGCATCCTTGAACCCCTCTTCCGCCTCTTTTGGGAGGGTGTTGTTGTTCTGGGATGTCATTTCGAAACAAGCAGACACAACGTTAATCTCGAAAAAATAACTTCACGAATCCAGTCTAAATATTGTTCGAATCGTTTGACATTGCAGACACCTATATCAACGTATTCCTTTGTCGGAGTCTAGGTATTTACAGTATGATTGAAGATACATACCCCACAATTGACTACTGTTAGTAGTGAAACCTGAACCGTCCCGTCCCAGCTATCCAGATTGACGCAATATCTTAGGAGTAGCCCTACGCTTATAACCGGCAATGACGGCAGAGCTAGGTATTAGCCGATGTATCACAGGTAACATTAATCTACGGATGTACATATGTGCCATACAAAATAATCATTGCTATGATTCCTATCAAGGACACCATGTCTCATAGTTGTATGTCCAGGTACATGTAGGATGATAAGTCAAGCTGGGAGGTTTCCGGACACCCTTGGTTTCCGGACCCATGCAAGGCTTTAGCCTTTTCGGGTATGGCGCAGGATTTTACTGATGTACCGTTTTGAACCAATCAACCGATTTTATTCTTATCGATATATTTTTATGGAAATAGAGCCCTTTCATTGGACGATCATTTTGATGGAATTACATAATTTCATAAAGATTGCATAAAAGCATAAACTTTCAACTAATTAAATGATTGCTTTTTAAATATTGATATATTTAAATAATAATTGATCATTACGTAAGTCAGTTACGAAAGCCTAAAGTAGCTAGCGCTTCGGTTAAGCGAATTAAGGTTAATCCGAGCCCGACATTAGCCATATTTGGCGAATCAGAACAAAGCTTGCCAAAACACTAAGCCTATTTACAGCTAGTATATAGCTTAATTGACTAGCACAGCTAGGCTATGCTCAAAATGTTAACTCGGACACTCTTAGCCAATAATGAGCTAGTAATCCTCCTGTCATTTCTCGAATGTACCGCGTTATACCCAAAGTGGCGTAAGCTATGCCCAAGGAGGCTAGCACCACGTTTCGTCCGGAATCTAAGGGTGTCCGAACTCTTCCCCCCTTGACTTAGATTAAATCGCACATCGTACCCAGGTTATCGGATCGTAGAACAGCATGCGTATATTTAGGTATGCATAACTAGGATAGTCGCAAACTCATAACCGAATTGGTCCTATGGTTTCATTTGTGCTTTCCGTCTCACTGCATAGATCCTACCGTACCGGACTTTCCTATACACAACTTTACTGCTCTAGCACCTGCCATGTAATACCTCACCTTACCTAAGACAAACATTGATACGTCGTACAGAAGCATCCATGGATGCGTTTTCCAAGTCAGCTTCAGGACCAATTCTGTGGCAGTTGCTCAAATCCAAGACCCCCCTAGATTCCAGGGGCGTTATTGCCCCATCTAAAAGGCCATGGATTAAAATAGCTAGCCAAGTTACCAGGATGGGCCAAGAGTCTTGATCTTCTCTTTAACAGTTTAATGCATCTTCATTTGGCGCGCTTCGTACGCCTAGTATCCAACCACATATTTGCACACGTAACACAACCCCTTAGTTCCAAGCCTCGGCGCATCAATACTTATTTCTCATTCAATAATCCAATTCTTCATCAATTCTCTAACATAGTTCCTATATAGTAGGATATCGTCAAGAGCCTCATGAACTTCCCTCTTTGTTCCGAACTGCTTCATCGAGACCGGGGTTGAAGGAGACCATTGTCGTTTATCGAGAATGTCATGAGCTCTTCAAAATCAACTTGACCTCCCTCTCTCATTTTCCTTTATTTGGAACGTCTTTCTAGGTAGTCGTATAGCACATTCTTTTTTCTAGATGATTCTTAGATACCGCCGGTTCAGGCGTAACTACTTACGCCCGATCCTCTTCGTCCTATTCTTCCTCTTCACCATCGACGCCATACTCCTCGTGCGCCGTCGTCCTAATACCTATCGAGCGAACCCAAACGATATTGACCGACGATCCTCCTCTTCTCCGTCGGGAAACACCACAGTCTTCATCGCATCGGTACATCGGAATACGGAAGTAATACAGAGGTCGGCATGGAATCAGGCGGTATTGGCTCTGGTCGATTACTTAGGCCCGGAGAATGTTCATTTATCGGCCGTTGAATCGGGCTCCCAGGAGGGAACAAAAGAGGCGCTGATGGATCTGAAGGCGGCGCTCGACGAGAGATCTGCTTCGAATACAATCAATCTGGGGTTGACGGTATGGGAGCAATTAGATGAGATTGACGCGAGGCCACCACCCGGTTCGCGGGAGCCCGGATGGATTTGGAACGTTGCCGAAAGTCAATTCGAGTTGCGCCGCATACCCTACCTTGCCAAGGTTCGCAACCAGGCCATGGAACCGCTCAAGCAGCTGCAGAGTGAGGGGAGAAAGTTTGACAAGGTCCTATGGTTGAACGATGTCGTGTTTGACGTAAGACTCTCGGACCTCACGTTTCTCGAAAACGTTGGAATAACTAAACCACTAACGCTGAGTTATCTAGGTTGAGGACATTGTCACATTATTCAATACTCGCGACAATAACTACGCAGCCGCTTGCTCCATGGACTACAAGGTCTCGCCTCTATACTACGACACGTTTGCGCTTCGGGATGACATGGGTCTGAAGACGATATCCCTTCATTGGCCGTGGTTCCAATCACCCACTTCGAGAGCATCAGCCGAACGCAATGCGCCAATTCGTGTAAAATCGTGCTGGAACGGAATTGTGGCGTTCAACTCAGCACCCTTTTATGCCAACCCGCCCCTCGAGTTCCGCGGTATCGACGACACACTAGCAGATCTACACTTAGAAGGCTCGGAGTGCTGTCTAATACATGCGGACAATTACCTTACGTCTGAGAAGGGCGTATGGCTGAATCCGAATGTCCGTGTCAGTTATGGTGTTAAGGCATATTACCAGATCCGGACGAACCGATTCCCCAACCCGTTCTGGACGGTGGTGGGCGCGTGGATCAACCGGCTTTATAGCTGGCACGTCAGCATCCAGAGCCGGCTCGAAAACCGGGTAGTCCAAAGTCGGGTGGAGCAATGGAAGCTCGAAACCCCCGACGGGGACTTGCCACGATACGAGCCCGGAGAGGCATGTCTCATCAACGAAATGCAAATAATGTGGTCGAACGGATGGAAACACTTGTAAAAATACACTCTTGGTATAGATAAAATGGAATTGGCTGGAAGGAAAAGGCTTTTTGTAGAATACCCAAAAGTCTAGGCGTTGTATTGAAATTTAATCCTCTTGAATCGCATATCATGGTATAGCTGATAAGTCGAAGCCATGTAGCTTCACCGTGATATAGACGTAACAGATTATGTTATACGTCAATGTCATCACTTATACTTGCGCCGCACAATTGGCATAGGTAGTTATTTTCTTTGAAATACTAATGGGTGATGGAATGCACCTACTCGAGCGTGTATAATATTGCACCCAGTCCACTCTATCACCTACAAAATATGTAGAATATGACCGTCTACCTGCCTACCACAGCACCTGCTCTGTATATACGAGCCGGTATATTTGCCGCCCGTCCAAAAATGCATGAACTATACATCTCAGCGCAATATTGTGTATCTAACCCCCGAAAAGCCATGAAATCACCGCAGAACGCCATTATACATCGTGATACCACAGCCGTGCGCTTCTCACAGCCAGTCCCAACTCAACCACCTCCCCATTCTTACTCCAACCTTGACAGCTTAGTTGGCAATTACCAGCCAACTATTTATTATGCCACATAAAATTCCTCAACCCATCCCACGTATCCGACTGCTGGTAAATATACGTCATACTACTCCTAAGCGACGGCTGCAACTCCTCGGGATGGTAGCGGAAGATATGCATAACCGCGCCCCACGACGTCGCTGCGAACACCGGCCACGCATAGTACGATATCAGCTCCGAGACATCAGGCCGCGATAAAAACGGCAGACCGCCCGCAAACCCATCCGCAGACGCGGGCTTTACGGCCAACCGCGCTAGCGCTAGGATCACGCGCGCGAACACGTACACCACGATCTGCTGGTTCACGCTCGATATCTTGCCGCTGCGCTTTCCCCTCCCGCCGAACACCGCGTACCCGCCTACCAGTCCCGCGAGCATGGTGTCGTATTTCCCTTCTTTCCCCGGACTCGCGCCCCAGTTCTTCAGCACATAGCACACGAGCTTGTATATCACGGCGAAGCGCGCCAGGTTCTGCGCGTGCGTGCGCGTCGCGCGGATCACGAGGGACGTCTTTTCCGCGAGCGTGCCCGGCCGGAAGAGGAACACCATTACCAGGGCGTGCGGGAACCGCACTTTGGCCCCGTAGACGGCGCCGTTGCGCGCGGCTTTGAGGATCGCGAGGACGTCGTGGTACGCTGGGTTTAGAATTATGCGCTCCAGCGCTGCTTTGGCGCTTTCGAGGGCTGTGGGCTCGGGGGGGAGGATTGGGGAGGACATTTTTGGGGGTGGGTTGAGGAAGCCGGTTGAGATGGGAGTGTGGAAAGGGGCGGGTGAGGTCGATTTACGTCGCGAGGAGAGCGACGTTGTCGGGAATTGGGTAGTTCGGGGATGTTACCGGATCATTGATGTTATGTTATGTAGGGATTGATCGAATCTGCCGAAAGATGATAGATACTACGATTTTCGTATGGAATGGAAGGAAGGCATTTTCCCGTGGAGGCTGGAAAGATGGAATAAAGCTGACGTTTCTTTTTGTCGGCCTCGGCAAGTGGCACATGTTGTTTCTCGGCTCAAAAGAAAGCTGGAGCCGGGATTCCAGGGATTCCAAGATGCGCTAGCGGGTCCCCTACAGCTATGACGCAGCATAACTCGTCCCTGCCCGTCCTGTACAGCGAATTAGAGCTATGCAATTGATTCAATTGGGATATGCAACCTGCGATTGCTTTGCATGTGATCGCGATCCCGATCTCTTCAACTTGGAGTTCATAACTCGTCTAAGTCAACTTTATAATTTGTTCTTCAATTAGCAAATAAAATCCTCTGACATTAAATTTGTGAAACATAGCATTCAGCCAGCCATTAATAGATATAAGCTTAAATTGAGGGAAATCTCAGCACTAATGCGGCAGCCTATCTCAAGCCACCCTCCTTATAGAAATCACCTAGCAAAGAAATTGGTTCACTAACATTCAATTAGGCAACTATCGCGCAACGTACACCGCTTCAAATAAAAGAATTATGCGACAAGATAAATGTTTACGCCAAATATTGATGGAAACTATCTCGATATACTTAGCCAGATATTCTTCGTCTTATTAACGGCACTAAATTTACTCACCCACCTAGCTACCGGAAGGTACCTAATAGGTGCTTAGTAGGTACGATAGTCGCTAACAAACCACCTGAAAACAAAGCGGTTGAATCGACGAACCGATGCTCTCCTTCAGGAGTCTGGAAAAGTATCTACTTCTTTAACTATAAAACTTCGTGCAAGGTGATTTCTTCATAGGTATTGTTTAGTTGTTGTTATCGTGATGTTGAGACCCTCGCTAACACCGGCTTATAACGCCGTCTCGTGATTTCGGCATTGTGATGCAATTGAAAAAAAAAAAAAAAAGAAGGAAATAGCAATTAAGGCAATGCATATATAAATAGATCTTCAAGAAGAATTCTACGTATCAAAAACTACGCTAAGAATGGGCATACCGGTTCGCATTCGGTTATACCTTAGTTGTTGTCTTCTTTCCTACCAAAGACATGAAAGGGGGCCATAGGCTAACGCTGCTAATAGGGATAAAATCGTTGTAAAGTCGAAGATATCTTGAAGAATCCCCTCTCGAATATATCAGAGAACACCGCTAGCGGTTACATAGATGTATTGTTGGGAAAGAGTTATGATTTTCAAATAACTTTATGGATAGGCCGTGATTATTTCTATCACATCGATACGGTGAAAGAGTGAAAGCTACTTGGAAGAGTACCTACCTTTAATATCTAGAAAATTTCCAACGTCTTTAGTTCTAGTTCATGTACCTATTCATAGATTAAAGCTTCTTATACCGAATTCATCCTGGATTACTTAGCCCAGATGGGATTCTACCCAACCCCCTATTCTCTTTGTGAAATATAGCCAGAGGAACAAAGGCTTCATTTTATCTTACTATCAAAGGTATAGTAGGCTCTAAGTGTCAAGCTTCTAGCCTAGTTTATTAAGGACTGTTCATTGAAATTGCGATCCCGTCAATGCTGACGAACACCTTAGCTTGTAGGTATACCGTGACTCCAGGTGATGAATTTTGGAGCTATTCACGTAATATCGGGATTACTTCCATATCCATTATGTCCGCATCATATCAGCACGTAGCAGAACAAGAATCATATCCATTTGAAACGATCTCTACCTCTCCACGATCTGATTGCAAAAGGCCCAAGCAAGATATGCGAAGGACTCCAGTTCCATGTTCCACTACTTACTGAAACTAGAAGTTACTGGAAATTTGGTCGCCGACCTCTGCTCCTTTCATGAACCCCTACTCGAAGAACAAGATATCTGAGATGTTTACATCCATATCTAGGTACCTATTAGTCTCGGCCAATAGAAAGATTGGTAACTACCTATAGACATGGTTCAAAATCTGGGGAAACTAAGCCTTTTAATCAGTTGATCACAACAGGGCTAGCTGAGCACAGGGAGGAATGAGTAAGGTATAATAACAAATTGCGGATACCCCGATAATTATAGACGTGTTGGGTCCTTATTGCTGGTTCATCAACAGTATGCTGACGACAGCTCCACTAGCGACTGTTTGATATTTGGGTGGCGCGAGAAAACAAGACTCCTGTTTATTCGTGACTGAGTACGATCGATGCTAAATGAGGAAGAGTCATTATCTCCGATATGTTCAATCGCCGACCCCCTCGTAAAATCTTGTCCAACTGGGTTGTTTGGACCTAACCAAGTGCCTTTACTTATATGGACTGGTGATATATGGAGAAGAATCCTACTATCCTAAAGTTGATGTGATTGACGCCGAGAAAAAACTCGCAAGAACACCACAGAACTTAGGAATAATCTTCAAGCCAGGATTATACTTCACCATAACTAATAAACCTTAAACATCGACGAATTAGAGTATCGTGAACAGCAACGATGTTATAACCGATTATAACCACGTGGGAAATTATCCAACGATGACGCTCTTACCTGCCGTTTAGGGTTATGCACATCTCCTCAGTATCCACAGGCCTTCCCAGGCAGCCAGGGGGGCCAGAAGAACCCACAACATGGCACTGCCATCCAGCTTGCATTCAGCTCACGAGTGGACATCTTCGCCTTCTGCGGCTGGATGCTGCGCACAAGCCCTGCTTCAAGGCCATAAGTCCTAGGCTAGGACTGCCAAGAGCTGCCAACAATGACTGGTAATGACAGTGACGCCATCACGGACTATGAGCTTCTGCGTCGGATATAGGGCAACTTCTACAGGTTGCAGTTATACATATATAACATACAGAGCGACGCCTTAGATCATGTAGTAGTTTTGTTCTGTACCGCTTGGTCTCTTCATCCATTTTCTTAGTATCTTTTCCCTTTTTTGTTAGATTTCTTTTCCTTTTTTCCTATTTGTCTCTCATTGACAGTCATCATGTACGCGACGAACTCCTCGCTCTGTCTTACAGATGCGTGTATCAAGGCATCATCTACCTTGTACTCTAATCTGAGTCCCAACTACCAGAATATCGACCCATGTACTAATTTCGAAGAAAGTATGTATCCTGTAACCCCAAAGAGCTGTAGTGAGAGTTACTAATATCGACTGAAAGTGGTCTGCGGTGGTTTCAGAGAACGTTACGCACTATCAGAAACAACAAGTTCGGTTAGCGAACAAACTTTGTTCACTCTTGCGAATTATGTATTCATGAAGAATATTCTCGAGGCTCCGTACGATACTTCTCTGGTAGGCAAGCCTTCAAACCGATGTGTTAATATAGCAACCAGCTAACTAGCCACTCAGGGTACAAACCCTTCGGTAGATGAGATGAATTTCGAGAAGCTGGTGAAGGGGTATAACACGTGCTTGAACGAAACCGCGATCACGGAGCTCGGTGTTCAGCCGTTGGTGACGTTTCTTGGGAACATCACCGAGATCTTCCCCGTCACAACCGCAGAATATAAAAGTAACAAGGCTTTTGGACCAAGCGATTATGAATCGTTCAGCGATGCCATCACTCACTTATTCCAGTATGGAATGGAACCCTTCTTTGGAATGACCGCTACCATCGATCCATTTAATCCCGTATGTCCCCTCGCTATGCCTCTATCGAAGAGCCATGCTAACTGGCCAGGATACTTATATCCCGGTTATAGCACCTACAGGTCCTGTAATTGGATCAGCGGTCTTTGCGGACGAGGAGTCGCTGGCGGCATACGAGAAGGTTGTCGCGGAAACGTTTGCCAATGTTCTGCCTACAAATGAGTCGCGATCTATCGCTAAAGAGTTGGCCCATGACGTTGTCGAACTTGAGACGAAGGTCGTTTCCATATCATCGGAAGCAGTGGTTTCTGAACTTTTCGTAAGTGGGCTACAGAGTGCCATTCCTAATGAAAAAAAATGAAGGCTCTGTTGTTGACTAGAAGATAGGATCTGACGAATATCACCGCGTTGGATAATGCCACCCAGCTTGCCCCGGCTTTCAACTTCGCCTCGGTGCTTAAGACGATCATTCCCGCGGCAGTGAACAGAACATCCTATCCCTTCCCAGAATATTCTGCCTCGATCTCCGAAATATTGGCGAATTCCACCAAGCGGGCGATTCAGGGATATTTCCTTTGGCAAGCTATCGTAAACCTCGAAGATACTGTTTATGCTCCGGAGTTACAGGCTCTCAAGCAACTCATAGATGTCACTAAGGGAAATGTAAGAATGCGCACTCTCCTTTCCCCTGCTTCCTTTTTTATATACTTCTGTGCTATCATGTCAGGGTTCTAATACTCTCCATAGGACCCCAGCCACAGACCCGAACGATGGAAGTTCTGCATGAATGATGTCAATGAGAAGATGTCATGGCTGCTCAGCAAACCATTCGTGGAAGCCAAGTACACGGACGCAGTCGAAAAGACCCTCAGGGAGATGACCACCAGGATCCAAAACCGTCTCGCCAGAAACATCGATAACATCGAATGGATGACGGACAAGGTAAAGGCGATCGCCAAGCACAAGGTCGAAGCCATCACCCAGAAGCTCGGATACCCACAAGCAGTAAGCACCTACCTACCATCATCGCACCAAACCAAAGCACCACTTCTACACGATGTCCTAACAGTCAGCATAGTTACCTAACCTCGACGACGCCGATTCCCTGCGGAACTACTACTGCGACCTGCAAGTAACCGACTCCTACTTCGCGAACAGCCTCTCGCACCAAAAATGGTACGCGCGAAAGACCGCGCTCCTAGTCGGCACCAAGCGGCAAGACAAAGCGTGGCCACAGCCCTCGACGGTCTCCGCGCTCACAATCAACGCCTTCTACCTCGCGACCGAGAACTCAATCACCATCATCGCCGGAACCCTGCAACAGCTCCTCTTCGACCCGGGGCTGCCCGCGTACCTAAACTACGGCGCGCTCGGCACTGTCATCGGGCACGAATACACACACTCCCTCGACAACAACGGCCGGCGCTGGGACGACCGCGGCGCGCTCGCGAACTGGTGGGACGCGGAGTCGGACGCCGGGTTCGAGAACCGCACACAATGCTTAATCCAGCAAGTCAGCGGGGACAACATAACGCTCAGCAGCGGGACCCAGCTCCCGGTGAACGGAACACTGACGCTCGGGGAGAACATCGCGGATACGGGCGGGATCAACACGGCGTACGACGCGTGGCTAGACAAGAGACAGGAAGACCCGGCCGCGGACTTCGATATCCCGGGGCTCGCGGAACGGTTCACGCGCGAACAGCTGTTCTACGTTGCGGCGGGTCAGTTTTTCTGCGATAAGGCGAGCGATGCGGCGATGGCGGGACAGTTGACGGCGGATGTGCATGCGCCGAATGCGGTGCGGATTAAGACTATGATGGAGAATTCGCGCGGGTTTAGGGAGGCTTTTAAGTGTCCTGTTCGGGAGCCTACTTGTGTGATTTACTGAGGGGGTGAGATGGGATGGGGGAGGGGGTAGGGGGTTTACTTTCTGTACCTAGAATATCTAATGGTTAGGACTTACTGTTTTGGAGGTTTAATGAGGGTAGATGCGGGCTTACGCAGATATGAATGATACATATTCTACGTATCTGTACATGGATCAATATTAAGGTGATAGTGGCTGTGAGCCCGGAGTTTTAATGATCTCCTATATCGGCTATGACGCCATTTTCTGCAGCCACTTTGGCTAGATGTCTCATCCCGCGCGCTCTGTGTCGATAGCCCGGTTACGTGATCCGGGGGAGATGGAGTCGTACGGATCTGGTTCCGTCGCGTTAAAAATAAGGGACCCACGTGGGAGAGATTGACTAGGGTTCTTCGGCTCACCCGATATCTAGTCTATACTAATTAGCGCTCTTGTTATGATTGGTAGTTGTTTACTCTATACCTACTAGGGAGGTCAATCAATCTCAGTGTTGCATTTTGATGACGATGGTTACCTGGTTACAGAGGATCTAATATACCTAGTAATCGAGACTTGGTGGTTGTTACGTTGTCGACAACATGCATCACCCCTGAGCACTTCATGTTTACGTGGTTGATGACTCTTCATAAATGAATAGTGAAATATGTCATTTTCATGTAGAATTTCAATTGTATTCAACAGACAGCAAATATGTCATTAGAACTTGCACTGGTTTATCTTAGGTACTTGTTTAATCTACCCAGTAGCCGTACAAATCACCCCTGATTTTCACCTAACAAGCACATCTACCAAGCTATAGCTTGGCGGATTCCCCCTCCTTAAGGAACTCAACCTTATTAGTCACAACACCGACGTTCTCAAGCTCGACCTCGACAAGATCGCCATCCTTCATCCACAACTTCGGGGTGCGGCCCATACCGACACCGGACGGTGTTCCCGTCCAGATCAGATCGCCAGGGAGCAGAGTGTGACCCCTGCTCAAAAATGAGATGGTTTGCCTAACGTTGAAGATCTGGTCCGCCGTGTTGCTCTCCTATAGTTCGTTCGTGTTAGTCAATGTTTCCGAATCCGTATATGCTTGAGTAATTTATCCTCTTACCTGTACAGTCTGTCCGTTTAACCTGGTGCTGATCTTCAGCGTCTGAGGGTCCTTGATGAGGTTGCTCGTCACGATACCCGGTCCATACGGTGCCCAGCCATCGAAACCCTTGCCTAGCGACCACTGACCACCACCACGGGCGACTTGCCAGTCACGGTGAGATACATCGTTGCCGATGGCGTAGCCGAGCACGTAGTTAAGCGCATCTGCCTCCGAGACGTCCCTAGCCTCCTTGCCGATTATGACGACAAGCTCACACTCGTAATCTAAGCCCTCCTCTTCTTGCGCTATCGGGTGCACGGGAATGGGGTCCGTGGGCCCAGATAGAGAGGTGACAGGCTTGAACTATTCGATAAGTTTAGCATACCGATCCGTAGGGTTTGCAGATGAGGGGTCCCGGGTTACGTACGAATAGAACTGGGTATTTGGGTAACGGTAGACCGGCCTAGGGATAGATATCAGCATGATAGAGCCCGAATAGCGATGCCGAGAAAAGACCGACCTCCTTAGCGTGTAGCGCATAGTTAAGGCCTAGGCATCGGACTGTCTTCACATCTTCTAGTGCGAGGGGTGCCAGCAGTAATCGGACGTCCGCGATTTGATCTGTGACTTCATGTTTGCCAAAAATATCTCCCTTGATAACTTTTGCTTTCTTCACTTTGGCAATGTCTGTTACACCCGCGGGTAGAATGGCGTCTCCGTAGTATGTTTGGCCATTCTTGGCGAGGAAACGGATTAGTCGCTACTGAGGAGTTAGTATACTTAGGTACATGGATCTATATGTGAGTTGAGAGGTGGGCTTACGTTGAAGGCCGGCATTGTTTTATTTTCAAGGCGTGTGAGATGTGAATGAGATTTGGATCAAACTTGGGAGAATAGTTGAAGATGAGTAAGATTCAGGTTATATAAAAGCAAGATATTCTAGATTCGGATCTGTGTAATATATCGGGTACGCCGTGTCTATTATATGTCTTCATTGAAACAAGTGGAGTAAGATGTAACTAAAGCTACGATTGAGGGACAGTACTTCCAGCTATGTAACAGAGATCGGGGTTTCGGATAACCTCGGACGGGATTGTTTTTAGCCTATCGCAGCCGCTGAAGCAAGCCCCGAGTACGGAGTTCGGGTTCCCCACCTAACGGCAGTTCGTTACCCCCCTCAGCCCCTTTTTCTTTTTCCCCCTTTTTTAATATGTAAACGTGAATACCCCACTATAAACTCCGACAATAATGATAGATCATTATTAATATATCACTAACCAACTGCCCTCATCCGTCCCGTGTATGACGTGAAGGCTTTCTCAGCATTCGCACCCGAGTCCCGACCGAGTAGAAGGATTTCTAGCGTTTCATTGGTTTCCCTTGCTGAAAGTTTACTGCATCTTATACGCTGCGAAACAACAGGCTTATGAAAATGCTTAGGAATGACAACATTGGCTGAAAGACGCGCGTCGGACTCTGAATGAGCACAAACCTTTGATAAAACACCTAATTCGAGATAAGTTAGAGAACTAACATTTTTTTGTAAACTCCACTAAATAACATTTTGAAATCTCAGCCGACCCAGATTATCGGCCTTAAATTTAGCTACTAGCTCATCCTGCTTCTCCTACGTTTGTGTCTTGGCTTGGCACTAATTCGTCGTAGCTAGCATGCGACTACTTTTCCGGCTACCAACAGAGGCAGTCAGCCTGGATCCTGCCGTGGAACCAGATGCAAACCTACTAGAATGAACCGACCGACACGCCACGAAGACTCGGTAAACCTCCCCGGGTATTGATGGTCACTATCACGTGACATCAAACGGTTTGGTTTATTCTGGAAATCATCATCTGATCCAGAGGCTCCAGTGCTCGGTCTATAGTCATGTTCGGGTCTGTCGTCAAAACAGACTTTCCAGCAGTCATCGGGTGGCGCTCCGGAGCTGGGTTCTTGAGGTACGGCATCACTCGACCTCGATGAGCAGCGCGATATTGCTTCGTCAATTAGTCTAAACTCATATGAGATCGTAAACGAGGACGCACCTTGATTTGATTGACAAGCGCGTCAAGTTCTCCTCTCAGCATCGGGTCCTCGTCATTTCTCAAGCTCTGACGAGCGGGATGGGTTTTGATAGTCGTGCATAGAGACTGTTGGCTGGCGGGAATGTATCTTTCCATGTCTTCGTCTGGAAGATATCTCTCCATTCCCAGAAAAGCATCCAGCGCCTGGAAAACTAGGATATGGTTACCGGACACTCCGTTAAACCGTACGAATTCGTTGTTGATCATTCTGCCAACACCCCATCCGTGGAAGCCTTGTACATAGTTCAACCAGATCTTGCGCGAAATGTGGACTTCCTTCATCTGTTGGAAGAAAAGTTGGATCAGCGTGCGAAGAGCAGAGTTGATGTTTCTCAGGCTTTCTAGACAGGCGTCTTTTCGGCCATTCTCAAAGGAAACTAATGCAAGAGTGATGTTATAGTAGATATCGAATCCCTAGATATGATAGTCAGAGTCATTTCTAGCGGTGCCAAGAATCCAAACGAACCATGACTTCCACATCATATAACAGTTTGAAGAACGCCTCCTCTGTCGACTGAATCTGTGGAGGGAGCGCGATAGTGAACTTGAACACCCTCTCGCCCCTCTCATTGAAGTTTAGCAGGACATTGGATGTGTGGTTGCCACTGTCTGAGATTAAGCCGTAATATCTTTGAAGGTATGGGAATGGTAGCTCCAATTCAGGGGGTAAATCCACAACGTCTTCTGCTTGCGCAACCTTAACAACAGGTAGTGTAGCCCATCTGCACCCCTATTAGCACAATGGTATCGGTATATGAGGCTGTGAGGGGCCTAGAAATATACCTATATGCGTGGCGACAAAGGCTTATGCAGCAGTAGAAGGCATTAAGCACATCCCGAGTGACGAGCTCCCAATTATCCGCTTCGACGTCCTCAAGAATCTTCATGACTGATTCGAGGCGAACCCTATCCTGGAGTAGCTTCTTCATAGTACCACGATACCTCTCTCGTCGCTCGGTATTGACAGCATCGTCTAAAGACGGTGTAGCTGTTGCCAACCAGGGGGCGAGTTCCAAGAATATTGTTTTATATGGAAGAAGTGCTTCTGGCCATGAATCATGATTCGCTCTAGGCGGCCACTTCGGTCTTGATATTAGTATTCAAGATATTCTCAGGGATGTGTGAGAGGGAAGGGAGCCTACATCACCCGCTCCATCCCTCTCAATCATATATGCGAAGGACGCTGCAACTGTATTCCGGGAGGCAAGACTTCGGACATGTTCGATCTTGCTTGTCCTACTAGAGAGAGGGGTTGTCTGTGGATGGCTTTTGAATTTTCTATAAGAGAAAAGTATGATAAACAGTGCAATGACACAGATAGAAGCTGTGGTAGACATTTTGGAAATATTGTGAATACCTAGGGGTTTCGCAGTAAGCCTTTGGATGATGAAATGGTGATAACCTATATTCAACAAATAGCTAACTCAATGGCGAAATAAATATATATTTGATATCCATCGAATGTACATTCACATTCAGTACAGAAGTCAGATCTACCCTTGGCATACTCCCATCTTTATACAGACCCTAATATTTCAATTACTTAGTGACACATCTAAATTACAATATACTGATCCCATGGAAGGGATACTAGATGTGTACGTAGAAATTTACGTATTACTAAGATAAAAAAGATATCGTGGTGGATGAGAGATTTTACAACCTTTCCAGGTAATAATAACAAAATCCTAGCCATTCAGCCCTAACAGGCTCGCATCCGCGCCATAAGTACCTACCCATGCGAAACCGAAAACTCTAACCCGGGTATAACGAGAGCATGCAGTGAAATGTAGTACCAGGGGATTCAGCTGTATGTACCTGAAGGTGCGTTCGTAGATATCATGTATTTTCGAATATTTCGATCTGACTGATTGCATGTAAAGGGACAGCTGAATGCTGGTTCCCCGAAGCACGCCACAGGGGTCGCTTATAATCCTTTACCAACTGAGGGTGATGTTCTCGGTCCATTACGTTTGTCCGTTAATTAATCAAAAAGGCGTCTTGAAATAGATCCCCATAACATGTGTAGTTATATCATGTTTGTCAGCTAATATAACTTCCTTATATAGGCCTAATTATCAATAGGTAAACCAACTCAGTAATGGGATCCCCAGGCATTGACGCATGCATGCGATACGCTCAATACCTACGGAGATACTCTATTTTTGGATAGGTATGTACTGTTTCCTAGGAAGGTAGATAGGTCGTCAGATATGTTGTATGAGTCAAAGATGAAGTCAAAGTGGCTCACCGACGACCTTTTACCACTATTATGGGCTATGATATGCGGTATCCAAGCGGCACAAATGGTTGTAGCGATTTACTACATGAATACGAGAGTGCTAGTTATGTAGTACGTTTACTCTAAGGTCGACCGACTAGACAGTAGGTAGATAGATAGTAGATATATACAAGAACAACTAGTTAATCTACTCCACCGGTGCGAAGAAACTGAACCGGCCTTCAGGATCATACTTAGTCTTCAAAGCCTTAAGACGATCCTGGCGCCACTGTTCGTAGCCGTACCAGTTCTGCGGCGTCTCGTCCCCGTAGGCGTAATTTACATACGCATGCAGCTCTTCGCTACCGCTACCTTGGCGGATAATCTCTCTAAGTTGATTGCCAAGTTCGGCCGCCCGGTCATCAAGGTCCTTCCCAGCGGGCGTGTACGTGATTAGCGGGGCAGTGAGCATGTTGTCGCTTCGGAAGGCGAATGCCGTAGAGTCGCCGTCGATTGCCTGTACGCCCTGGACGGGATACGATTCGAACATGAAAATGGAGGAGGTGAATGGTGAATCTCCTGACACATTCGCTGCGTAAGTGTCGTATGCTAGCTTCTGAGCTGGGACATTGTATTCTTTGATGTAAGCGGGGAAGCGTGGGTTGGCGAGCCCAGACTTTTGGCACGGAGCGGAATCGAGGGCAATCTGTACCCACCCAGCAACATCTTTGTAGGTACCAGATTCGGCTTCGACTGATAGAGCTCCGATATCGTGGAAGGGTTTCGTATATGTCGGGTCGACGGATGTTGCTCCTTCTTGGATGATATAGAACAAGATGATGGGCTAGAGAGTGAGGTAAGTACTGGGTATCAAGCAGGATATCATCAACAATGAATGCATTCTCACTTACCTTGTTCGGGTCAAGGCTAGGTATGTTAAGCCAGTACGACCAATTGATCAGATTAACGGGTATGTTTGCAAGGTGGTCATTAGCGGCTTGGTAAAGAGCCTCAACTTTATCGCCGTCGAATATAAGGGTTTCAATTGCCCAATCGTACTGAGATCTATCGTAAATCTTCGACGTAAGAGAGGTGACGATGCCGAAGTTCTGACCGGCACCTTTCATGCCCCACCAGAGGTCCGAGTTTTCATCGATTGTCTGCAAGGTACCGTCTGCCAATACCACATTCATAGAAACGAACTGGTCTGCTACAAGTCCGTAATGTCCTTGAAGCCATCCGTGGCCACCTCCAAGCGCGGGGCCAAGAACGCTCACGCATTCGCAGGTACCGGTCACTGTAAGTGACGTGAGTATTAAGTTTTATAAAAGAGATCCACGGATATAAGCGCTAACCTGTTTCCTTTCCCGCACTCCAGAGGGTATCGGTGACAGCTTTGGATAATGTGCCACCCCCAACTGTTACCGTCTGATTATCTGGGGCAATGCTCACACTTGATAATTGGCCTAGATAAATCTCGATCCCCCCCTGCATGCGGCCTAGCGTGGTAATTGCGGCGTGAGCACCATTGAAAGCCAGGATGGGCAAGTTTTCCTTATTTGCGTACTGGACCTAGGAGAGCGAATCATAATGTCAGATCCGGATTTTGTGAGACTGAGGCTGTGCCAAGACGGCAGCCGATGCGAAGGCGTCGAGGATTCAGACACTGCCTGAGACATTGGAAGATAGTAAAGCTAGTAAAACTTACAATCTTAACAACATCATCCTCTGTAGCAGGAACCACAGCAACGTTGATGATGGGCTCTGCCAATGAGGACCATCTCGTTGTCAATGTACCGAACTCAGTCGAGTTCGGAAAATAGACCTTGGCTTCAGGTGAGAGTGCGTCGGTAAGGGCTTTCGCGTGTCCCTCAGACGCTGAGCTGCCGAGGACGTTATCCAGATAGGCAGACATCAGGATTGTCGCGAATAAGAAGATACTGATCCTTAACCAGCGCATTTTGGCGGCGAATTGAGGACTTTGTGCAATACTTAAGAGACCCAAAACACGTGGAAGAATGTGCAGAACCCGAATCTGCAATATCACCCAAACCGACGGTGATACAGAGAGACATTGTTTTGATTGATGGGTAGCCCAATCGTTCGGTTTTGTTCTCTACACCATCCTCCCTTCCATAGTGTGGTCCACGTTGCAATGGAAGTCCTCCTAACGATACCCGTACCTGGCTGCCTGGGCAGCATCCTTCGTGAAGTGACTTACGATCTGTCGCCATTCGATCCGTTTGGGTACATCGGTCTATAACCTTGGAATTAAATGGATCGAATCCCTGCTCTTCTCCACTATCATGATCAAAGATCCATTTAATTAGCATTAGCCCCGCATCTAACCGTAACTTTGGGTCTAGAGTTGAAGCTAGGGCTGGCTAGGCTGAGACTGAGTGAGGATAGGGTTAGTCTTGACCCACTATCGAGCCTCATCCGTGTACTTTGTAAACGGATTATAGAGACTTAAAAGGTTAATTACTTATTATTTAGAACTTAACCAACTTCTTCTATACAATATCTTTTACGAAAGGTTCGTTCTGAATATCATTTGTAAATGTACTGGCACCCCACGCAAGGATGATCCATCCCTGACGGAATTACTTTTGCATTGACTAGTCGCGTCATTTAGAAAATGATATATGATATCAGATTTAATTGGTTCCGTGGGTTGCACAAAAGACTCAAGGACCACAGTCTACATGATACTTACAGGATTACAAAGGCAGCACAACATCACGTCGACGTATACCTAAGCGACCTATTAGAAAAGAATAATAATGAGAAAATGTAGATCTGCGGACATATCATTAACTTACTACGACGCCACCATGGGTAGCACACCACAGCACCTGCATACAAGCCCAGACCCGTGAGTTCCATGAGTCCTACGACTAGAAGATGACAAATAAGGGTTGCGTGTCAGGTCGTAGGTATCAACCTTATAGGCTCCTACAAGCCACAAACCCCGAAAATTTTAAAAACACAGCCGCTATTTTAATTCACAACCGCTCCCGCGGCCGTACTGAAATGGCGGACCTTGCGGATGCTTAGACTTGGAGATCGCACACGCTCTGTGTTCGGTACTCCCGCGCTCTACTAGAAAGCAGGGTTATTTAAGGAAATTTTATCATTCCTTTTCACCCTCCTTCTCTGATAGCTAAGTATCTAGCCTAGGACGCAGTCTAGTGCGGAAGGGATGGAAAGCTTCATGCAGACCCATGCTTTATACACTCCTCGCAGGATCATGAAAATCATGACATTATGATGAGCATCCCTAGCAGCAGTTCAAGCTTTCCATGCATGCTAGGTAGGCGGCAGGTTACTGGCTGTTTTATGTTCGACTGTAACCTCTGAGGACTGATCTGCAGCACCATGCCGGGTCTAGATCACGAGAACTAAGGGATCGAGAAGCAGTCAGATTTAAGTGAACTCCTTTAATAGGTTTGAACAACTATGCGAGACGTTGATATAGAGATGGTTCAAAGTTGTAAGTCAGCCATGGCGGTTTTCCTTCCCTTCACCGTGATGTCAGCTTTCGAAGTTCAATTTACCAAATGTCCGCGAACGCCTCCACAGACCCAGCGGCGGCGGCAGCGGCTGCTGCCGCTGCCCGTGCGGATATGACCCGCTTGTGGACCCTCTATTCATTCGGGGTGTCAGTGACGATCCTCAGAACATACGCTCGCATCAAGGCTATCGGGGCCAGGAATCTCCAAGCAGATGATATCTTGGTGTGGGTTGCTATAGTCCGCGCACTCCAAAGACATGATATTACCCCGACCCACGACTAAGTCTTCATAGCTGTTCTATAGCGCTCAGACAGCGTTGGCGCATAACGTAGGGGCCGTTGCCCAAGGTCTTGCTAATAATGGCATGACCGATGTGCAACGTGCCACGATCTCCCCTAGCGATCCGGAATACCAGATGAGGTGAGTCCTGTCTTTGATCTAGATAGAGAACATATGAATAAATATTAACATTCTCCAACTTAGAGTAATTGGATCGAAAATTCAGATGGCCGGCTGGGCTACCTATGCTGCGTTGATGTGCTTTCTGAAGCTGTCCGTGTTAGCGTTTTATATCCGACTTACGGTAAACAGTAGCAGATATGTAACCTCTGACCATTAGAACATTGCACTAACCTGCTACCCCTATAGAATGGGTTAAGTCGCCGATATCTCCTCCAGATACGGTTTGGATTTGCTCTCGTCATTGGGACCTCTCTGGCTTCGATCCTCGCAGTCCTCTGTGGATGTTCGCCTTTTTACAAAAATTGGCAGATCAACCCAGATCCAGGAAGTAAGTTAACGAACGACCTCAATCTTCCAACCTAAATTTTACTAATCCTGGTTAGACCACTGCCAACCCGCTATATCTCGACCTATCATCTGGACTTCATTTGCTGCCAATGCATCCACTGATATATATCTGATTCTGATACCGATACCTATGCTGTGGGGTTCCTCCCTAAGACTTATAAAGAAAGTGGCTTCTAGTGTTGTCCTGGGTGCTGGTATATTCGTTCTCGTTTGTGCTATGCTAAAAACTATTTTCGTCACTACGGTATGTCGTGCTATCGCCCCTGAGTATAATGGCAATGTTCTAATCAGCTTGCTGTGCATATAGGATCCTATCAACGGCGCAGAACTTGCTGGCGAATGGGGAACGGTAGAGGCTTTCGTCGCGGTATTCACGACCAACCTCCCTATGATCTTCCCCCTTTTCAAGGCTTGGTTGAAGCCAGTCTTTAGCGAATCCAACAAGCCATACGTAAAACGCAGCGGATTTAATACCATCGGTGGTGGTAGTGGTGGTAGCGGCGGATCTGCTAGTCGGAAGCGCTATATGGGAGGACCTCCTAGCATCAACCCGCTTACCACCATTGGGAACGACAGCCTAGAACACATAGTTAACGGCATCTCGTTGCAAGAGTTAGAGGTCTCTGGATCTGCTGCGGACCCAAAACATCCTCGAGACGGAGTATATATCTCTAAGAAAGTCGAAGTGACGAGCGAACAAGGAGGCATCGGAAATGACCGACGCGTTGGACGGGCCATTTGATGGGTTAGTATGAAAGGCGTCATTTTCCTATCCTTATACCCAAAATTGAAGGCTGTTCTACCACCCAGCGACGATACACAGGCGAGATCAAGTGGTATACTATCGTGTTGACAGTAAATAGCCTGAGTTGATTCTTGGATGCCTTATATACCCCACCGAGAAGAGAGTATTTTGTTGAAATTGGCAGAGTGACGTAAATAGAATTGTTCGAGAATCTTTGAACCCAAGCCGTCCAAGTCTGTCAAGCGGAACGGACCAAAGCACGCGGTCCACGGTAATCCATCGGCTTACATACCCAATACATAGTAGAGCGCAGGGGTGGAGATACCTAATCTTACAGTGAGATCCCCATAGGAAATTTTGTACCATTGAGTTGGTCACTGCGGCTTGACGTTATATCGAAATTTGCGCGATCAAGCACTATGTATAATGAAGGAATCCTTTTTTGTCGAGAATGACGTCAATCCTCATTATATTCTTAGAGAGGTAGAGTTAGATAGGTATTGGGTCCTTTAATAGACGTGTTAGTGATTTTGTTTAATTTGGGGAAAAAATAAATGATTAGGGCATGAGGCTTTTCACGAGGCGACAGCAAGGCCCGTGATACCCCATTGGATAAATTTTGAAAAATACGTACCGAATTTACCGCAGGTATCCACATTCTCTATAATTAGATTGTTTTAATTGGTTACCGTAGTTTAAGATAATTTACCTTCAAGGCTCGTATTATCTAGCTTGCTTAACCTTGTAGTACTGCTTGGCAATTTAGCAACAATCTGCTAGTAATATCAGCATCGAATTCTTTCTTGAAAATTAGAATCATGGTGTTGATTCCAAATAAGCCTTTCATGACATAATAGAAGAAGTCTGATATGTTCGGGGTTCTAATGGTGCCCTAGCCCGAAATTATGAGGTCCCCGCGATCATCACCAACGAGGTCTGAGCGTGAATATCTGTGCGCGGTATGTGCGGATGCGGGTAAGGATATGGTAGCAGTATATTTCGTACGAGATTATTCATTCATCGCTATGATACTAGGTAATTAATATGATTATTTCTCCCTCCAGTAATTCTGCAAGTTCGATCACATAGGTATTTGTCATTCCATTTTGCTTTTTAATATCGTACGTATGCACGCCCCCTTTTCATAATATACTGATTCACCAACATGCAGAGATAACATCATGTTCTGCAGCTATGGACATACAAACCTGCCTTCCTAGGCAATAGGTACCTAAGCGCATAGCTGATCTATATTCCAAGATTTTTACTCAAAACAGCAATGTGCTGGCACAAACTTATTCGCGAGGAAGAAACATTGTTCTGGATTGTTTCTACAAGGGAATCCCCCCTAAAACCAGAATGGATTAGGAAACTCAAGTAGGACGAAAGCCTTCAATCATTACTAAGTTTAGACAAGCCCATGCAAGAGAGAATTCGGTAGGTCAAATTTGCGTTGTCGATCATGTCCGCATTCGAAATGAAACACCCCAGCTCCCAGAGCGGGCAGAGCGGGACGAAGCTGACAGGCCACACGTGGGGATGAGCTGACAGGTCACATCGAGCCCCTTACGACCCCGGAGACGAGAAGCCGCCTCATTCGGTATTCGACATTACGGCGCCTGTGGTGCAGATATGAGTATTACCACGTACATACGCACATACATACATACCTACATAGAAACAGCCAGCAAAACAACTTGGTTGCCGGGAACCGTAGATCTCTTCTCGAAGAGCCCCCAAAGTTTGAATCTGTGAAAGCGAGAGGGCATAGAACTCCCCTTCTCTTCTTCGCTTAAGCAAAATAGTTTTTATGCATGTTCTACGGCGCGTACGCAGCACGGTGACGCTATTCAAGACCGGATAAACCAGCATGACTCGGACTCGCCTCATCCTTACATAGCACATACATTCGACAGATCACACACACAGACCTGAGAGCTCGCAACAATTTAAATAGGGGCCCCCCAAATGACGGATACGTGCAGTCGAGCCATCCCTGCACGATAACAAACAGAATAATTCATCAACCCTTGCCGCCCTCGTGCTCTCCCTGGGCTGGAACCACGTAGATTTTCGAGAACGCCTATCTTGGCTTTTTTTTTTTTCCTTATTCTTTCTTCTTTCGTCTGTCTATCTATCTAATATTGTTTCCTCTTTTTCCTTTTCCTGTGTCGTCACGTTTAGCGGGTTTCCTATTACCTAAGAATTCCAACGACGAATGCGATCTTCGAAAAGGAAAATATTCCACCGTGCTGTCACGGAACCTCGGACCGGGTATATATGTAAATGCTCGTCGGCGAGTGAGTGAGGGCACCTCACTCTTCGAAGCGGAACGCGAAGGGCGGTGGTGAGAGGGGGGAAAGGTCGAGGGACTGGGCGATTTGAGACCCCGATATGTCGGCCGCCGATGACCGGCTCACGATTCTGCGAAAGGACCTCGCGACGCCGACTGTCGACCGCATCGGAACCAACTTAGTGCCGCCCAATACCGAGGGCTTGAAGATCATCGTCTGTGGCGTGGTGCTGGTTTTCCTGACGGCGCTATGGACCTACCTGCGATTTTGGAGCCTCAGACAGAACGGCCGGGCGTGTCTGATAGAGGACTGGTTTAATGTTGGGGCGGTGGCTTTGTTCTATTGTCTCGTGGCTACGGATTTCGTCATGGTGCTTGTGGGTGGTATGGGTTACCACGATTATGAACTGCAGGCATGGCATCTTGCCCGACTCTTGAAGGTTAGTCTCCTGGACGTGCCTCATGAAAGGATGTATGGCAACATGCCTAGCCTCCGATTCCTTGGTGATTGTAGGCAATGAAAGTATTAACTTGTGTTGATCGATGTAGGCTATCTACGCTCGCCAATTCCTATACGCGGCTTCTTTAGGTCTCATTAAGATCAGCGTTATCCTCATGTTTATGCGTTCTTTCTTCGGCACAGTATTCATGTTAGCCGCCAAGGCTACGATAGCTTTGACGGTCGTCTGGATGTTGATGATCGTGCTTGTCAACTTATTCATGTGTCATCCGATCAACATGTACTGGGATCTTCAAATGCCCGGAGGATTTTGCGGGGATCAAAGGGCAGCCTTCGCCTCGGTAGGCATCGTGGATATCGCAAACCATCTGATAATTCTGATGTTGCCCTTGCCTATGATCTGGAAGCTTGGGGTGGAAATCCGATATAGAGTTGCCACCGTCTGTATATTCACGATTGGCATTCTGTAAGGAAGAATTCTGTCCTGGTGCCCGGATATCTTAACTAATTATTATTCGCCAAATGTAGTGCACTGGTATTCGGTACCATTAACCTATGCATGATCCTGCAAATCGACTACAACGACCTCTCGTACACAGCAGTCCAAACCACAATTTACGGGGCCAGCGAAATCGGCGTCGCCATCATCGTATCGAATTCTCCGCTCCTCCGACCCGTTTTCGACCGAGTGCTCCCGGTTTGTAGATCCGAAGTCTCAACGTGGCGAGAGAAGGGTAGCGAAATGGTCATGGCAAGGAAGCGCAAGAGTACTAAATCTAGCGGATTCACGCAGATGATGGGCGAATCGCAAGAGGATCTTGAGTTGGGTAATATGGGAGCGCACCGAGCGCGGCGGAACACGCATATCACGGTTGGCAAGCGGCCGCCGTCCCGGGATGACGATGATGACCGCTCCATACACAGGATCGTAGTGACGAGCGAGACTATAGTCAGCAGAGACAAGGGGGAGCTCTGATTTTCGAAAGATTTCTTTTCATCAAATCCTATGCGGTCTAGAAAAAAGGAAGCAAAATCGGGCGGCGAGGCTGGCATGATTTTTATCCATACGTTCAAAACGAAGGGTCTTCGCAACTAACGTTTAGACCATTTTCTCAGAGATGACTGTTTAGATTCTAGGTGGCGATTGCGCAAGAGTTAAAAAGTTTTCCCTACAATTATTTCCATTATTGCATGACACGAGCATGGTCTTCAGCAATTTCTACATGTCGGTACCTAACTAGACGTTATAAACCAAATCAGTATACGGCCAGGTTGGACAATGCCTGCTAAATATCACACCAACACAAATGGCGAGGGAGCTAGACGGTTATCCCGGGGACCATACGATAGGAGCGAATCGAGTTCGAATGAGAGGTATGAGTACAAAAACCAAGTTTCTGCTACAATTGAAATAGATAGGAAGATAGATAAATTTTGTAATTCCAAACGATCCATTCTGACCTAATTAGACCTGTCTTAATGACAAGTCTTGTGAAATGTCAACGATACTCATGATTGAGACGATAGTTAGGTCACCCCTATTCCAGATTGTACCTAGTGGGGAAGTCCGAGGCCAGCCAGCCACGTTCCAAGGTATTTAGTGATGTAAGACATCGCCACATCGGCCGAGTACCTATGCAGCTATGGTCCTTTATCTTAAAAAATCATATCAAGAATTGGCTGACCTAGCGTCTTAGGGAAAGCCCTCCTTATGATCGAAGGCAGCCTTCCCATAGGCCACCTAGTACTCGTCGCCTGCTGAATCATCTTCATGGTAATCTGGGAAATGAGATTAAGTTCCTCTTCCGTTTCAGATCCAGTAAGATCTTCTAGAGCCTCGCAAAAGGTATCCCAACCAGTGGTCATTCGAAGTGGTAGGTGGCTCGATTTATCTCCGGGAAACAAAGTCAACCCAACAGTCGAAACACCCAGGTCCGCTCCGTACTTGAAGAAGTCATCCAGTGTCTTAAGGTAGGAATCAGAGGCAGTAACTCTTGATGGGTTTCTGATACCCGAGCAAACAAAACCAACCCAGGCTGTAGTGAGAGGTGTAGGGTGCGCATTTGGATCGGCGCCATGATGGAGCAGGAGCGAAAAAACGGTATTATCAAGACCAACATCGAAGACTTGATGTCCGGCTAGCTGAAAGATACCCTGGCTGTAGCTATGAAGTTCGTTTTCTACTTGGCGTCGAGGACCAAAATCTCCGCAAATTTTACATTTAGTTAGATAGGCTGACCAAATAGACGCCGGTGGCTGTCGCTGAAATTTAGAATATCCAAAATAGGAACGCGGAGTTCCAAAGGTCTTTTCCCAGATCTTAATTGGCCCGATGGACACTCTTTGACAAGTATCCCAATCATAGACAATTTCGTTCGGATCGTGACCATTTCGGAGTAAGAGATGAAGGAATTTCTTTCCCGCGCTGAACCTACTGAGTGCTATAGCTGACCATAAAGCCGATCGCGATATTCCTTGAAAGTATTCCGCATTGTTAGAAAGCTTCATAGCAGCATAATCCAATGCACCCATCTGGATTAAGCATTCTTTGAATGAAGAAGATCGCGAAGGATTGTATAGGAGTCCGACGGGCGTTGACCATTGATTCAAGGATAATTCTTCCTCGGGGTATGTTTTTAACGTTGACATATCCTCGAGACAATCAATATGTTTGAAGACTTCATCTTCTCTCGCCCCGTTATTTATTGCAGCACCAACTAACGTGAACAGTTTCTTGTATACGCCGGAATTTACGAAGTATAAGACATCTGCAGGTGTCGGTTCATCTTGTTCCACCAAGTTTAATGTGCCCATCTTTAAACAAGCTACCCAGGCTTTTAGTATCGAAAGGTGAGCATTAAATCCTTCGCCATTTCTGGACTGGATGTAATTCACCATTTCAGGCGTTTTTAAATAGTCCGATGCAGTCCGATGGATAAATTCCAACGTATTCTGACGTATCTCTACTATGCAGCAGCACTTTGCAATCAATCTGCGAGATGCTCGGTGGCGGAGAGCCCGAACATCATTCTTACTTAGTGTCGTCCAAGGCATAGTAATCGCGTATTCTGGATCAGAATACTCGCGCTCATGCAGCAGAGTTACTGTCCATGGTAGTTCCAGTGACATGCCCGTCGAAATCAGTTGTATTTGCAATAAGTTGGCTGATTTGCGCCGATATATCGGCTCAACTGAATCCAGCATGTCCTTGTAGAACGCCTCTAGGCCTTTAGGGAGAGCATCTAACCTAGTATTCAATTCATCCATGGTATCGAAGTTTGTCAGTCCACGCCGAAGAGATTGTACAGCTAGGGTAACCCATAGAAATACGCCACTAGCCAAATTAGCAATATTCGAGAGGAACAATTGATATTCTTGACCACCTAGGCCAAGAGCTGGCCAACGAGGATGCTCCTCTAGGCGAGCCCGGGCGTAATCCATAATGTCATTTCTAGTCAGCTCGTGGACGTAAAGAGTAGATGACTGGTCGGCGCCAAACTGGTCCTGGAATTCATTCAAGGGTCGACTGGCAACACATAATTTAATCCGCGAGCATTCTGCGATTTCTGACAGAGTTCGACAGATGTCTATATAATCCCCATCGAATTCGTCAAGCCCGTCAATGAAAAAACAGAATTTCGTGGTCGAATTTCCATTCTCCTTTATGGCCCGGAAGCAGTTGACCAGTTCCTTGAACGTCCAATCCTGTGTGTGGAGGTGGGATGAATCGTTTTCCCACCTAGATGGACACACCTCCCTAATTAGTTCCGGACATCGTCGAAAGATTTCGTATAGGAGAGACTGAAATAATCCCTCCATGGATTTCTGCTTCGAAATTCCTAAGGACCAGAAGAAATGGCTCGCGACAACTACCCTTTCTGGAGTTGCCCACTGCTCTAATGCTTCCATTGTCTTTGTATGGCCGGCTAGAAATTTCATCAAGGTTGATTTCCCACTACCCGGTTTGCCCGTTATCCAAAAGACTCCATCTGACTCACGAAGCCATCTCAAAAAGCCATTTTGTCTCGTTATCTCTTGATCGGATGCCTCGAATATCCAGCTAAAAGTGCGAACATGAGCTTTGGAAATGTTCTCGCGTCTCTCTCCCCTCGTGCTATAATCGAGGCTACTCAAAATTGCCTGATCCCTCGCGATGTTGCGTTCTGTCAGAGACAATTGTGATAGCTTGTTCGTTAGTTCATCTAGATCGATATATGAAAACATGAAACCGGGCCTAGACGTCCTTGGCTCGCTAATTTGCAATTTTATTGCTTGGAGGTTGGCCGATATTTTCTCCAATCTTTCTGAATATTGAAGTTGCAGAGCTGCATCCTGGCCTTTAAGATTCTGCAGATGTTGATTCATATTTTGAAGCCATTTACTAGACTTCTATAAGTTTAAGACATTGGCATAAACGAAAGGATCAGTAGCTTACTTTGATATTACACATATCTGTAGTGTCATCGCCGATTGATGGTCTCTCAGGCGGCTCGTCAACCTTTCGATTTCTTGCTCTCCCTTCCAAGCAATTTTCAATGCAGCCCGGAAGCTCTTCCATGCGCGATGATCATCCTCGCCAACCTTTATGCCATTCAGGACCGTTAGAAGGCGAGAACAATCAGCACTGCACGATTCGGCAATGCTTCTGAGGGCAGGTTCGCTAGCTGTGCTCTCTGGGGTGGCGAAAAAGCCGCGACTTAAGTTAGAAAGGCGCTGATATATCTCTTCCAATGCGACTTTTGTATCTAAAGCCCCTGTAGAAGACTTATAAATTTCTACGCTTGATGATAACAGCTTCGTAGCAAACTCGATGAATTGAAGGATATTTCCCGCTAAAGAAAAAACCGATAGAGGGTCCATTATGCCGTCGTTGTATTTAAGAGCACTGCTGTTGTCTTTTTCTTCAAGAAAAGAGACATGAAGGTATTCACAGACAATCTTACTATGTGAGAGATGGGGAAAGCAGACCACTAGGCAGAAATGAATTTCTACTTATAGTTAAGCTGCACATCCTCTAAAACAGGTTGTTGGTGCTGTACACGAAAAAGGAAGAGGAGGGGGTGGCACCCAACCGCCCAATTGTACGCTGTTCTGTTAAAGGCCATCTTGGGAGGTTGCAATTAAGTAGAGGGAAAGGGTACCTATAGATTAATCTGCGTCATATTATATAGATGATGGTAAAGAAGAGGAAGATTGGTATAAAACACCTTGGTAACTACAATAAAGTTAACTATTATGATAATTAAGAAGCTTTCTTAACTACCAAATTACCTAATTATGCAAATTATCCTATTTTATGCAAGTACCTAGCGTATCAAGGTTTAACAAAACGGAAGGCGGTAAAAATCTATTTAGCGGCAGAAACGGCAGAACCCCACAACGGCGCAAAAAAATTTGGAGCTTGCCATCAGTTTCAATTGCTTTTAAAGTTCTTAACACAAAATTCTTCTTTCGCACCACCTAACTTCGCAATTGGCGCAAATGTCTTCAACGAAACCCAGTTTGAAGCGCAAAGCTTCTATAGTTGAAGTTGATCAAAAAGATCAGGCATTTTCTGACGATGAGTTTGGAGATGGCCTTCTTGAGGGTGTGCTAGACGACGAGTCAGACGATGAAGAATCCGAAGTAGAACATGACGATGACGATGACGACGTTAATGAAGATACTTTCGATCCTGAAAACGACGAGTTAGACAGCGACGATATACCAACCGATGATGAAGGCCTAGAAAGAAAGAAATTGGAGAATGGACCTGAGTCGGATCAAGAGGATGTTGGTCCTCATTATAGAGTTGAAACAGACGCCAACGGGGGGACGAGATATGTTTACGATGATGTCGACCCCGTCTACGACTCAGATGACTCGGATGCTCAAGAACCCGCAAACACGATTGGCAACATACCTCTTTCATTCTATGATTCGTATCCTCACATAGGGTACGATATCAATGGGAAGAAGATCATGCGCCCAGCCACTGGCGAGGCTTTGGATGCTTTATTAGACAGTATAGAGGTCCCTAAAGGATGGACTGGTCTTACCGATCCTGCCACCGGAAAGCCCTTGAATTTAAGCCAGGATGAGCTAGAATTGTTGCGACGAGTTCAAATGAACGAAATTCCAGAGGAGGGATATGACCCATATCCTGTAAGTTTTGCTATTCAATCCAATATATTCTTCGATCTAATTTGTCCACAGGATACTGTAGAATGGTTTACAAGTTTTGAAGAGACAATGCCATTGAGTGCCGCACCGGAGCCGAAACGACGCTTCTTGCCCTCGAAGCATGAAGCTAAACGAATTATGAAGCTAGTTAAGGCAATCCGGGAAGGTCGCATTTTACCATACAAGCCTCCAGAGGAGAAACAGAGAGAGGAGGAGGAACAAGAAGAAATCCATTACGACCTATGGGCCGACGAGACACCTCGACCACCTAACGTAATGCACATTCCAGCACCCAAACTCGCTCCTCCTGGCTATGACCTCAGCTACAACCCACCTCCAGAGTATCTCCCCACAGAGGATGAAAAGAAGGCTTGGGAAGAGACGGAGCCGGAGGAACGAGAAAAGGAGTATCTGTCCCAAAAGTACGACTCATTACGGAGAACTCCAGCATATGACCAGTTTGTCAAGGAACGCTTTGAGAGGTGCCTTGATCTCTACCTTGCACCCCGAATACGGAAGAACAGATTGAATATTGACCCAGCTTCATTGCTCCCTAAACTGCCACGACCCGAGGAATTACGACCATTCCCAACAGTTGCGTCGATAGAATATACCGGTCACGAGGGCAGAGTACGGTCGGTTGCTGTCGATCCATCAGGACAGTGGCTAGCCAGCGGCGGCGACGATGGTACCGTCAGAGTCTGGGGTCTTACAGATGGCAAACAGCAATGGCAAGTCAAATTAAGTAGCGAAGACCCGGTAGACGTCGTGCGATGGAGGCCAGGTCAGGAGGCATCAATTCTTTCAGCAGCTGTGGGCGAAGATATTTTCTTTATGATCCCTTCGTTCGGAAATCCGGAACTAGAACAAGCTAGTCGCGATATATTGGATGCAGGATTCGGGTACGCAACCAACGGCAAACAGCTTACGACAACTAACGGAGCGGCGCGAAAAGACCCACCTGCGAAATGGGCTCGACCTGGAGCACGACTGGAAGACGAAGGGGTGCTGTTAAAAGCAACAGTTCGATCGCCAGTGAAAACTATCAACTGGCACCGAAGAGGAGATTTTCTATGCACCGTATCTCCGAGCGGACAGAGGAGTTCTGTGGCTATCCACACGCTTTCTAAGCATCTGACTCAGATTCCCTTCCGGAAGCTACCCGGGTTGGCACAGGCGGCATCATTCCATCCTTCACGTCCCCTGTTCTTCGTAGCCACCCAACGATCGATACGCTGTTACGACCTTCAAAAGCAGGAGCTGATCAAATCAATCCAGCCCGGAGCTCGCTGGATTTCTTCATTTGATGTACATCCTGGCGGTGATAACTTGGTTGTTGGGTCGTATGATCGTCGTTTGCTCTGGCATGACCTTGAGATGTCAAACCGGCCTTATAAGACCATGCGATTCCATCCTCAAGCCATCAGGGCTGTAAGATTTCACCGGTCTTATCCATTGTTCGCAGACTGTAGTGATGATGGAACTTTACAAATATTCCACAGCAAAGTTGTGAGCGACCTGATGGAAGGACCGACCATCGTTCCCGTCAAGATGCTCAAGGGGCATAAGGTTGTTAATAAGCTTGGCGTGACGGACGTCGACTGGCATCCCCAGCATCCCTGGTGTGTAAGTGCTGGCGCTGACGGGACTTGTAGGCTATGGACATAAGCCCGGTTTTGTAGGAAATAATGTGTAGGTGTGTACCCAATGACATCCTGGCTAGGACGTTACAAAGAGTCATATAGCGACGGCGTTTTGTTAGAGAAATATACCTCTTATCACCCAAGATCCTTGCGCGTTCTTCCAAGGGTCTTAGGGTGGGTTTTACATACAATCACCGCCTCGTCACATCCAATCGAGATACAGCTTGTTGGTCTTTCGACCCACCATTTTCATCCGTTTGACAACGGCACCCAATCAACTAGTACATTTCTGTCTTGCCCTGCCATTCGTCGTGAACGCCTGCAAATCATGCCTTAGCATCATGACTGGCTAGTCCTAGTGTATTGGCGCATATACATGCAGTAGATAGGTCAGGACTCGCACGCAGGCCAGGCAACATGCATCCTTTCATTACTGCCCGATGACTCCCCTTTTTATATTACACTGCCTAAGATATTGCCGCACTTTACTTCTATTTCTATTCTAGAAGATGGCTTCTCCCCTGTCTTTCCTTCTGCTCGTATGATCACTAAAGACGTAATATCGATACCAAAGCCTTCGAAACGTCCTATGCATCTATATTTAAACTACCTACTATTTACCTAGTATAAGTACCAACGAGGCACGAGCCGCCAGAGCCGAGTCGTACTACCCAGCTAGACAATGGAGGATCAACGAGGGAGAAAGAATTTGAAAGAGAAGATGACGGTGATGCCCTACAACAACAGCTCGATTTTGGATATCTACCTAATTACCTTGGATATTCTATATCCAAAGTTGAAGAATGTCTAATGTTGGTGATGGTGATGGCGGATCCCCGATCGACCATAAACCTTCGATCTTGTCTACCCATGCCTAAATACAGACGAGCACAGACGCCCTTGGCGAGTCTTATTCCAACCGCTACTATCAAGACGAAGAACATTGGATAATGCGTGAATACCTACACAAGCGTCTTGGGAGACAGGCAATGATACTCACCTAGGATTTGGGCTACTTCTAACCCCTTTTACCCCTCCAGTATAACATTATATTAACAACTCATGCAATAAGCCCATAAAATAGCACCATGAACTAACAAATCTACGTACCCCTTACATTTTATTAGCTAATAACTATTTAGTGTTATCGTCCCTCTGGCCAGGGAGGTTTCCGATGGACATATAAGAGCCTTGATGATGTCCATCGATTACAATCAAGACTGCTAAAAGACAAGTGAGATGTCTTTGTAAGCCATCTAGGGTCAAAGACACATGTACCGAGAATATACACTAACCAATTAATAGTCACTTACAAAGTCATACCCCCTAAACTACCTAGTAGTTAACTTAGAACGGGTTTCTATATAATCTTACTAGAGCATGTCCCTCAAAGGCTTACGAACGAAAGACATTATTTCGTCCCTAGCAATCAACACGACGCTAAGAATACCTAAGATAACCAGTCTATCTCTCTAATGGTGGGAAAACTATAAACTTATCTCGATCGAGCCTCATCGTCGACTCTATTACAACCCTGAAAGGGTAAATACTATGCTACATACTAGTTCGGAAGATGAATCAGGGGAAATGGAGAGTCACAGTCACAAGCTAGGCATATTCAGTAAAACAAAAGGGGGGGCGGCATCACTCAAGATAACTTAATCGACATCCAATGACATCAAATATTGGTTAGGAACCGTAGACTCGATTCGCAGACTACCAGCACTGGCGAGCTTTCTCTGCAGGAGACTTAGGGGATACTCTTGAAATAACATCAATACCGCGTCGTTCCCCTCACACTTAAGACGGCATTGAGGGTATCCGAACTTCAAAGGAGTAAACACAACAGCTAGGATGGATATGACGTTATGATACTTACCTAATATGACAAGATGGAAGCAGAAACACAAGTTGATCTCAAGGAACCAAGTCTAGACCGATCACCAGGATCAAGTTAGACGGGCCAAGCACGAACATCAGCCCGATTTTGACATCAAACACAGACACCACATAAAGGGGAAATGGAGAGACAACTAGACCCGGGTTCTCAGGGTATTAAATAAACAAGAACCAGCAGCTTACCTAAGGACGGCACGACGCATACCAACATCTGCACCAGGCACCTCCCCAGCACCTCAGGATCGCACCACTCGCAACGCCACAAAACAGCCAAACGGTTATCAACGGGTCCGCCTCCCCGAGCCTCAGCGACGCCAGCACCAGTCGATCCTCAACACACACATCTCAGACACTCAGAAGGACCTTGATAGACACGTCAGCACGCGCAGTACGTAGCCTTCAAGAAGATTAGCAGCGAAGGATCGAAAGAACCGGTAGTCGCCGACATCAACACATGAATCTATCGCAGCCATCCCCGAGCACGCTAGCATCGAAGCAATCTCCAGTACGCCCCGCGTTCCTACTGCTCAGGGGCTAAATGCTCGGTTCCAGTCCAGCCATCCCAGAGCCTCAACTGCAAGCCCCAGTCAAACGGCCTAGACCACTCCTTTCCCCGTCCGCCTCACGTTTATGTGGGGGATTCTGGGTGCTTGGTTTTATTAGCCCAGGCGGGGGAGGGGGAGGAAGGGGAAGGGAGCAGGGGAAGGGAGCAGTGGATGACTCGGGCCGAGAATCCCCTTCGACGACGAGGACGACGACAGTTTACGTACCAGGTAGTAGTAAGTAAGGATCCCAGGTAATCCACCGCGCGGTGCCGGGTCCCGCGGCTTGGACGCACGATCTACGATGAGCCTACCTGTGCAGCAAGGCCGGAGGAAATATCAACCATTCGCTAATCGAGGCGAGCATCCATCTGCAGTCTGCATTCTCATCCACGAGCTTTATTCCTCTGTCGAGCGCGGGAAGGAGCGAGAAATGGGGGGTTTGGGGACATGGGTAGCGTAAGACAGACCGCCGTTCCAGTCTGGGGAACGGCGAGACGCAACGGGAAAACACACACCCACACACACACATACACATATTAGGTACGTTCCCCTGACATGATGTGATGACAGGAGCGCAGCCTACATACCGACGCGACCTTATTCCAATTGTTCGCCGACGAGAAAATCCCCGGTTGGTCGATGGGCGATCGATCTCGCCCGGGATTTACGGGGACGACGGGGGGGGATGTGTGGTACGACATCCTTCCGCTGCATTACATCAATGCTTTATATGCGTTGCGATCTTTTTGGGGAGAGGGTGAGTGTCGGGGTTGAGCGAACGGCTGCTTTCTGGCTTACCTGCTAGGTAGGGAGATAGGTACTTACCTACCTAGTGCGTAGGAGGTGTGTGTCTCCTCTCGTCCGTTTTTTCTTCAGGGCTGCGGTTGTGTGGTTGGGGAGGCGGACACGTTGAATGCAGGTGCGTATCGTGCAGATCTTTTGTCCATCTTGGCTCTTTCTCTAGTTATTTTCGTTATTTTTTCTAGGGGATTTTTTTCCCCTTAGGGCTGCTACGGTGCCCATGGGAGGATCGATAGAGGGGCATGGTGTGGTGTGCGTTTCAGGCCGATGCTGCATTTCGACACCTTAGGATTCTCACTCGACGGTCTTTAGGGTCAGGGGATTCGTGCCGATACAGCGATGCAGTGATGCTGTGGAAGCCCCGGAAATTCGGTACCTAAGGGGTACTTACTCTAGTAAATCTAGCGATTAACTACCTGTATGCTTTTATTCTACATTCCCCATTATTTATTCTTTTTTTTTAATTTATTGCCCTGATTTCGGGGCGTTGTACGTCGCTCCGCAGCAGGATCGGGTACTTGCATTTCAGCAGAGCGGACTCGTCTCCGGATGAATTATCCAGTCGTTGTCTGTTTTTACAATGCGAGATTGAAGCCACATCTGCGTAATCAGGTTGCAAAAGAAAAAAAAGAAAAGGGAAAAAAAAGTCCCGACAGCCTGGCTACGAACTGTTGACCTGCATGTGATCCAAGTGGATGGTTGTGGCAGAGCCATGCCGCATGGGCGGGTTAAGGAGTTAAGGATGAGGAGAAGGAAGAGATAATAAGGAATGATAATGGGTAGAAACCGATTGCGTGAAGACTTCCCCCACATGGCAGGCCTAAGTTGGGTCATGTTTTCTGAGTCAGAATGGTGGCATTCGTGGCGGTGCGGAGAATATAGTGAAAGGAATTTGGGGTTAGGCATCGATGCGTGATGACGGTGAGAGAGGTCGCTCACCGTTCCCATCTGCTGTGTGATGAAGCACGACGATGGTGATAAGTGGTTGCGCAAGCGAGGCCAGCATATCCCCATAGGGTAGGAGTTGACAGCTAAAGACCGAAGGCTTAAAGATCTAGAAGCGGCTAATACTACGGCATGGCTTTAAACTTAGCAGGGTCGCCATCGCCACCTCTTGGGTTAATCAAGATCGCGGGACCAAGGACGCCTTGGGTACACGTTAGGTCTCGACGAAAAGTCACCGGGGAGTAAGGTGTGTTACGAGATTAAAAAAAAACGATCGCATCTATTGGCTTTACATCACCGATGATTACATGATCCTTCCAAAGAGCAACTACCGCAACGCCGTACGGCTGCTTTTAATGAAACGCCAGTGATTGTCAGACCACTCGCCCGAATAGCTGTGCTTTTTGTGGCCATTGAAAAGATGGATGGGGAATAATAGAAACATGACATTAGCGGTGGTAGACACAAGAATTATTCCTTCAAACAGTGAACGGAAAAGAAGAGAAAAGAGAAAAAAACAACACATTTCCGTCCTATTAAATACTCAAAAACGCCAGACCAATGATCATAAAACCCATACAAAAATCGCTATTATCGTCATCGTCATCTTCCTTAAACACCATTACCTAGTATCCGCGTCCGCAATGTCACTAGCAAAGCTAGTCTGGGGCGTCGAAATGTCGTTCAAATGGGCCCCTGCGTCTCGGATGATGTCCGCTAAAGGATCCTCGGGCGCTGGCGGAACCATCACATAGTTGGAGCTCATAACCGATGCCTGACTTTGAGGGGCCGAAGAACCTTCCAAGTTCCCTGTGCTTAAGTCAAAGCCAGAATCGGCATGGAAGTCAACTGGGAGGCCAGCTGGGTAGTTGACGTTATAGCCCATCTCCCAGTCGTGGACGTTGCCTTGATATCCATTTTCGTTGTTGTGGTTCAATGTGTCAATGGCTTGGGTAGTCAAACGTGCGCTGCCGTTTCCGTCATAATTAAAATAATCATGGTTAAGGATATGGTGCAAGTAGCGGCGACCTCTTAAGGTGCTCTCCGTATAAGTCGTAGAATCAGCATATGGCTGGTACGTATAATCGCCGGCGCCGTCCGTCACGTGCACCGATTCGGGTATAGCATCGTCGGTCTCGATAGACTTGACTCGCCTTGGTTGGGTATTATAGCCGCTAGGTTGAGTTGACGAGAAGTTGTCTCCATTGAGATGTGGCGGACGATACTCGGTATGGCTGCGGGTGTAGTAGTGCTCCTCTCCATTCTCCCTCTCTGACTCGGAGACTCGGCCGGTGGGGGGGATGTTGTCGGACAGATGTTTCTGGGCAGGCATGTTGAACGATGAAAATAATCGTAATAAAAAGTTAAGGAGGTTAAAGTATGACTGTCAGGCAATTCGAAGTCGAATAGCAGCTCGACAAGAGAGATCCGTATTAGACGGGATGCCCTTTCGATCCGGGATAGACGTATTTGGTATGACACGGGGGTTTTCTTGTCGGTATAGGTGCGGAAAGGAAGTAATGTCTTGGGAAGGATACATCCACGGAGCAACACGTCTGTATGTGTAGTCGAACTTGATATGATATAATAGTATATGTGAAGCTGGGTGGGTACCTAGGAGGGTATAATAAATGTTGGTGTAAGTCCTCAAGTGTTATGATACCTAATAAGAAAAGTATACTGGAGGGGATGATTTGGGAAAGAAATAGGCGGGAGAGGGTTGGTTTATGTAGTGACTAGTCTGAAGTCAACTATTGAGTATACGTATGTCCTGATTTTATATTCTTCTAGTATAGTTATTTTATTTTATTTCTCTTTAACTTACCAGAGCCCAACGACAGATCCCGTCTAATAGCTTTTATTTATATTTCCTACAAAACCTTTAGGATTAGTCTAGTTAGGATTGATTCTCTGTGTGACAGTACAAGCAAGTGGGCTATGCGACTACTCGCCATGTATTGTATGTAGGTAAGTATATTCAGGTACCCCTAGTATACAGTAGAAGTTTTTTTACCATACTGCTCGTGTCACCTCCAGGTCTCGTACCTCCTGTGTATATTTACAGTACGCATACGCACCTAGACCTAGGTAGGTGGTACGTAAGATACAAGAGACTTCGACATCTACCTCCGGTAGTGAGGACGGGCTTAAAATGGATACATATCCTGGTCTACTATTTCTTCCGCCTCACTTTTACGCACCGTTTTGTTTCTTATATGTACCTAACTAATATGTAAGTATTCTGATATCCTATCCTACCCTCTTGTATTAATGGTCATCTGGATGAGCGGTTTTTCTCCTTTGCATACTCCGTGTTCAGGTAGTAGGTAAACCGGCCAAGCATTCGAGGGGCTATCCCAAATAGTAGAGGCAGGTATAGGTACAGTACTTACGAATTGGGATAAGGCAGACCAGCCCGTGTATGTGGCCGCATGAAGACCGACCGGAGAACAGAGAACGTATCACGGAGCTCCCAAAAAATACTTTTAAGGGTGTCGGTAGCTTGCCATATCGACTTCAAAGCGTGGGGGGGTAAGTAAACCGCATATCACGACTTCCAAGGTTATACTACCTTGAAAATAACGACTTGTAAAGACTGCGGGAGGTAGTTCCTAGGTAGTATCCGGTTTCTAGGGTACCTATCGTCGGCAAGGGTTACTAAAGGTCAAGGGTTACCCCTGCTAACTGTACCAGTACAAAGCGTGTCAACATCGGGCTAGAACCCTTATTCAAGCTTATTCTAATTCCCGGATTTAAATCTTAAACCATCCATATTGATGGATTGGCTCTAAACATGCAATGAAGCCTCTTATGACTGTATCATCTGCTACTTCGCGCATTATATATCTGCAGCTACGGAAGGGATGACCATGTTGAACAAGCATTGTGCGAGCAACGGTGAAATATCTCGTCCGAAAGATATACTGAATTCACCAAACGCAAGCATGAATCATCCAATGAAGGTATAATGAGATTGTAGCGCCGATAGCCTGCTGATCTCGAGGTTTTATGACTATTACGTAGGTAGGTAGCTGTCTGGCCCGTTCAAGGTTGAGTCGAAACAACATGAACACATTCAGCAAGATACCTAGTATCTACCTACCTACCTCGGCACCAGGTAACTCTGGACGTACATTTGCAAGAGACTTGACGCGCAAGAACATTTGAAATGTGCCTACGATGTCTAGAGGTATGGGTGTGTGTTACATAGTACCTACCAACTACCTACAATATGCATGTCCCAGGAACATGGTACGTAGGTTGTGTAGGTGGTTGTCTCACATGTAGGGACTTTACGCTGGAGAACTAGGTAAGTACTAGGTAGGTAGGTAGGTAGAGATCTAGGACTCTACGCTCGGCCTATTTCCCGACATCGGATTGCGCCTAGGCTGCGCTACCTTTCTACATTATTTTCCCCAATGGATTATTAATGGACTTTGAGAGATAGCTTGGGCAACCAACTAGTGCGCACCCCATTATGGGATACTTACTAGGTAAAAAACCAAGTCACGTAGGAGTTCGTGGCAATAAAATACGCAAGACGAAACTGACTGTGCCTAGGTATGTATGCAGAGTACCGGCTTACAGAATAAAGCGTTCTCGATCCCCTTACTGGTTGGATATTTAGGTACCATACTGATCAGTCTGTCAGTCTGAATTAAAGGTGGACAGGGTATCTAGGTAGGTAATTACTGAAAGGGGTATAGTAAAATCCTACCCTGTACCAACGATATGGTACCCTTTTTATCATCTCGATTTATCTACGGGTCTTAAAGATTTTTTTCTTCTTTTGATGCGTTGTAACTTTTCCGGTGAAGGCTCCCACAACCCAAGATGTAACATCCATGGACCATACCATGTAAGTAATTATTCCACTGGCGTAAGGCGATGGGGAAAAGTCCCGGATGGTTGAGATCATCGAGCAACAAGAAACATAACTAAAAGCAGTTCACCGAGATTAGAGAATGCACGTACTGTATGAACACGTTTCTCCCCATTTTTAGCTTGCAGTTAGAGCTACCGGGATGTGCTGCTGCCCCGTGCCCGTGACGCCGATGCATAGGAGCCATGATAATAATAATAGCAGCAGTGACAATAATAAATTCCAGATTTCTCGAGACATATTCCGTAATCATTTTGGTAATCATCCTTCTCGATGCCTTGCTGGGATGGCTCGGATCCATTTTTTCCAATCTATTTCGATACCGAGGTGACAAGTCTAACACTTGATGGCAATGTAGCATGAAGAACATTGTAGAGCGTACAAAGAACGAATGCCATCCTACAGTGTACACACACGGACACATCGAAATTTAGGTAGGGGAGAAACTCACCGCTCCGTCGCTTCGCCAAGTGCGCTATCCCATAGCTCTTCACATCCTACTGTGCATACTATGAGTATGTCCCGAGGTTGATCTCCACGCTGCCCCGGATGCCTCGTGGATAAACTGCTTACCCTTTACCACCATCTTCCTCCCCCCCTTGTCGGTAACTGGGGTGACTTGTCAAACATCCCACGTTCAATAGGCGGCATCGCTTAGGCATACCTTGCCTGCTTAAGCGCGCGCTTTGAAGTAATAGTAGGTACCGACCTATCTAGGTAGTATGCATTCTCGTCAATCTTCAATCGTTCATCCTTCCTCGTCCTCGGATTATCAGTGGCAATAACTATAGCCTACGTTGCCCATAAGGGTTTGTCAGCCGCTCAGCTGTTAACCCGGGGTTAGGTTATTACATGTCTACGTACAGACGTCACTTCATTTGTGACTACCTACCTAATCATAGATTCATAGCAAGTGTTCGACTTTTCCCAAGAAAGAAACCGACAGTGTGACCAAGAACCGTAGCAAGAATACAGAGTGTGGTGACAGTTTAACGTCAATTACACAACGTGGGTTGGGGATTGGGGGTGGTTTTCTCGCGGGGCTGTCTTAGGTACTACAGGCGAAGATTATTAAGGGATTAGCACATACTACGGATGGTTAGCTCCCACCTATACGCGAAGCTATCCTCATTACTTAGGCATTTAAGAGCTAAACAGTCCCCCTAACTCAGCAAGCAGCCTAGACAGTCAGAGCCACTAAATAAGCCGAAGTACTAGGTAAATCATTAAAGAACCGAACTCTCTCTTTATTAAGAACTAGTACAAGCTAGAAACAAGGGACATCTTACCTCGTACTTTGGTTTAGAGCATACATATGAATTATATTGTGGCGTTTAGTAACTGCTACGGTACATAGTTCCCGAGTCTGTAAGGTGAAACAGAACTGTTGGAGTCCTACCGCACCCCCGGACCGTAGGACTTTGGGTTTCATGGTAAGTAACGTTCTATGGATTAGGTACTAGGCACTAGGTAGGTATGTAAGCAGACCTCTAGGACTAGGACTACCTAGCTAACCTGTTCCTTGAAATATCTTGCAGGCGTAACTAGATTCGTAATCCCAACTATGTAAAGACAGGGAACCTTTGCAATTGGCCAACAGCAAGAGTCAATTAATTTAAATCAATTCGAATATGGATTCTTGCAGATAGGCTCTGCCAGTGACCTATGACGAGTCTGTAGCGACAAGGTTCCTCGACTCTCCCCCTTTTCTTTTCGACATTCATCACCTATGCGGCCGGTTCCGGACCCGCCAAATAGCCCTAAAAAAGTGCAAGGTGCACTCCTGCGCCCTATGGAATGCTTCCAGAAACCCATTTAATCATGCAGGGTCTGATCAGATTCCGATTTCCTTCTTCGCTACATCACATAACAGGGGACCCTGACATCGTCAATGTTTACCTGATCTTGCCAACCACTGGGCAGAACCTGAGCTTATTACTGGCACGTCACAAGTTGCCACTAGACTTGGCGTATTGGAAAGAGAAAGAGAAATATATCTAGGTAGAGTTATTGTTAATCTGGAATCTTCCCGAAAGTCTTCCGTATGCTCAGTACCTAGCGTCTACCGTAACATCGATTTCTAAGGAACACGATGCTACGAATATCGTATGAATGCGATGTGATTACCACTACGATTAAGATATTACTGCAACGACGCACAAGCAGGGCATATTTTTACTCTCGGATCCATTGGCGACAACTTGGAAGTCATGCAGCAGGTAAAAGGGGTAAAATGCCGTAAGCTTAGGTAGATATTGGCCATATACTTCGTACCTACCTAGAAAACATTCACTTGTTATTCAAGCTTCTCTGCCCACATACGTACGAACATGTAGGCGCATGCAGATAAAAAGCAAAGACTTTGAGACAAGCGTCACCTTCGCAGTCACCAGGCAGGATAGTCCACTAGCTACCCACCGTAGCCTTGATTATGGATTTCTAATTCGACCAAGTACCAGATACCTATTATATTACCATACCTAAATTTCTCCACTTCTGCGATCCCGGGGTTGTCCTACGCACTTATTTACGTCGTGCAGGTCGTGATGGCTAACATAGCGCAAAGCAGTTTACTTACATCAAAGTCATCAGTTCTTGGCTTGACTCTTGGCTCTAAGAGGCGTACGCATCGCATGTCCAATACCACATTAGTTCTACGACGTACATCCAATGTACGTATGATCCAGTTGATGTAGCCTACATGTATGTAATGTACGATCTCTTCGATGGCTCAAACGCCCAGTCCCGAACACACAGTAGGCAAAAATATGCATGGAACCTGCAAGGAACCACACGAAAGGAAAAAAAAGAATTCGAATTATTGGTGCCGCGCAATCCAGGCGGTATGCTATTTACTTAGTAGCTTACGCCCACTTCTAAAACCGCGATGATGAAATCGCGATTCCAATATTACAACGCAAACCATCGTCATGTCCGACACCTCTTAGCTAAGATTACCTCTTCTGCGCGCTGCGGTTTTTCTCCTGCATTCACACACTCTCTCCCACTTTTGCTTTCCCCCGGTCCCCCTCCCTCATCGCGACGCAACGTCGAATAGGAAGTATTCCATTCTCCTCGTAGCACAAACAATACGCATGAGGTAAGACGACGGGTGAGCGGATAATGTGGCAGAGCGTCCCGTTCCCTGCTCTTGTAATTCTGCCACCACATGCGTAATACAGAGTACAGACCTGCAACTTACACAGATTTGCGTATCGCACATCCACTCGCTCATCCGTAAGGGGAATGCTTCTCGAAAACTTCTTTCAGCTGGGGCTGGCCCGAGCGGTAGAAGCAATGCTAGGCGACGCCGGCTCTGCACTAACATAACCACTACCACCCACCAAGAGCAGACCAGCGAATCAGGTCCGACGAGAAAAGTCCCTAAACACCCATGCCAGGAGAGAAATGCGACCTTTACGTCGCAAATGGTAACCCCCCTACCGTCGCCGATCCCGTCTACCTGCCTGATACATCTGTCCATGATCCCATCCAGTCCGCCAGTCCATCCCCAATGGACGCGCACATACATACATAGACTTAGACTCATCCATGGCCGTCGACCTATGAGAGCCTCTTGTATAGGTATGTACCTATCGTACGTACAATACAATAACCGCCAATCCAATCGACGTTGCGTCACCAAACCAATAGATCTCAACCCAACCCAACCCCATCTTCGCGCATCCTATCGCATCCAGGCTAAAAAAACCCATCCCATCCCATCCCTATCTCCGCGTCCAACCCTCGCACGTATGTATGTATGTATGTAACAATCGCCAATCGTCCTCACCGCCACAGTCCCCATCATGCGGCTCTGCTGCTCTCCCAGGTCCGGCCGCGTTTTCGCCGTCCCCTAGCTCTTGGCTCCGAGTCAGCGAGATTGTGTCACGCATTGCATTTATTTGCGAACCGCCAATCCACGTATCGCGGTTGCCGTCATGAGCATGTATTTCTCGCATGCCTTGCCTTTCCCTTTAGAGCCAAAGCCAAGCCCAAGCTTACTTAAGGGTATGCGCACGTACATACATACAACACGCATACCTACACACATACACAATACACGCACATACGAATCTTGCTTTTCCCTCATACTACCTATCTACATACATCATACCCCTAAGTCCGCGAGCTTACCTAACCAACCGACCTTAGCCCATAGTGACGCAGCGTAACACACGAACGAGCGTTTGCCGGGAACCAAGCCCAAGCCACGTCAGAAAACGGCAGGCTTCGAGAATGTCAGCAGGTCAATTCCATGCATTAGCGCAGAGCTCCTCCAGCGCACCCCTGCCGTCCCATCTCCCATCTCCAAAACCACGGAGCGCTCGACTTTCCCCTTCGTCTTTGAACTTTAATATACGCACGGTATGTACAAACATCCCCCATCCGTAGTACTAGCAGCCCAACGCGAATCGGTTCGCGCCCCCGCTGATGCCAATGCCAATGATCGCCGTCGTATTAGCATCCCCTGCCCTGCATGTAGGTATATAGTCCGTAATCTGATTCCCACTAGCCCCTAGGTAGGTAAGTACCTCATACCACAAGAGTACCTCAGACCACGAGAGTACCTAAGTAAGTAACAAACCGAGGCTGAACACTCAAATCGAGTATGCCCCAGCGCCATATTCGCCCCCCTACTCAGTCGCCTCGGTACACACGGCATACAGAACACCTACCAACCCGTGCCGCCGTAATGCATGCATAACACACACCCGTGCGCGCAATCGGGCAGCAGCAGCAGCATCACTATCGACCGGATGACCAGCCGGGTCCAGGATCTAGTATCATCTCCCATTCCCCAGGCTGCCTTGGGCACATTCGGCCCATGTCATCGCCTCCTCCTCCTCGGTCGCAACATAGGACGATATCGGGCACGTCCCGTCTAACCCATCCCCATCCCCATCTCCCTCCCCATCCCAATTCTCTTAGCCTGAGCCGTACTCCTCGCGTTCGCCTTCGCCATCTCCTTCCTCCCATCCCCTCCCCTATCCAACTTATCGCCACCCTCTACTCCCACAGTAATCGTAGGTAGTACTATACCACGGAACCCCTAATTCGCGCTCGGCGGACCATCCCCATCCCACGACGAAGCACCGCCCGCGCCCGCGCCATTGCTCAGCGCGCCACTGCTAGCGCTCCTGCCACCACCACCCCCAACTCCCAGCGCCCCCGGCGCCGGTCCAGGACCCCCGGTACTCGCCTTCCTTCTCAAGCCGCCCGCTTTCAGGCTCCTGGCGCGCTGGTACGCGCTCTCGATCTCGTACTCGACGGCGCATCTGACGGCGAGCGCGCCGATCGCAGGCCAGACGCTCCTCTCGCCGCGCGTGATCCAGTAGTCCAAAGTCTCGCGCGTCGGGGTTTCGAGGAGCCTGACAAAGTCTCTCGCCGACACCTCCGGGACGAGCGTCGTGCTACTGCCAGACGGGACCTCCTCGTCGATGAGGAAGCGTCTGATGCCCGCGGGGAGCATGCCGAGGGTGTCGAGCTGTCTGAGGCGGTGTCGTGCCTCGAGGCCGACGATGCGGAAGAGGTGGCCCGTGATCTGGGACCGCTTGTGGTGGGCCGAGTAGAGGGAAGGTCCGTGCATATCGGACTCGAGGAAGGGGATCAGGTACGGGCGGGCTTGGCTGATGACGAAGTGGTTCACGTTGAACAGCTGGGCCACGCGCGACAGGGGCGCCTTGTGGTGGTCCTTGTCCGAGGTCGCGCGGCCGCCTCCCCTTGGCCGCGACGAGCTAGCCGGCGGTGCCCAGGGGACGATCGCGCCGCTTACGTCCTTGCATAAGATCGTGGTGCGTCTGGTGCCGTAGAATGAGGATGTAGATGCGTTCGATGCAACGGCGGCGGTCCAGATCAGCTACAACGCCACGGACCAAAAATGTCTCGTTAGCACGCGAGCTCTTACCGCTTTTGCGATATGTGCACTTTTCCAAGAAAAGGAAAACAACGAAAAGTGCCTTACGCTTAGCGCCGAGGGTCTAGGCTTCGGCGAGGGCGTGGGGGTTTGGGTTTGGTCTCGGGAGGATTTACGTACCACATTGGGGGCGGTGATGTAATTCAGCAGTGCGGGAATTCCGTCCTGTTCCGCTGTCGCCACCGTGATGTTCAGCACACGCTTACTCTTGTGATATGCCTCCTCAAAAGTCAGGTCGCCCACGTTGGCCTTGACACAATCTTCCAAAACCTTTACGTCGAGGAAGTGACCTTCGCGCCAGAACCTGAGGATCCTACGTAACAACGTGTCCCAGCTGGCTCCAACGAAGGGTGCCAAATTCTGATGGTCGCTATGTACTTGCTGCTTATGTTCCTTGAAAGCGGAGAGGTTGATACCGTCACCTCTCAATACGCGAGGTAGCTCCTCCTCAGTATGGATGGCTACCAGACTCGCGATGAGCGCGCCGGTTGCTGTGCCCGTGATTATTCGCGGTAGCAGACCCCGTAAGAATAGCGCTTTCACGACTCCGAGATGGCACATTCCAAACATGGCGCCGCCCTGTAGCACCAAAGTGCTTCGTCCAAAAGCCTGTCGGGAGTCATGTAGGAAGTCGAGCTTACGTTGGGTCGAGAGGGTGTATGTATGTGTATACTTGTCGTGGAGTGGCGTCGCAACACGGTGGTTGATGTCGCTGATGGCGCCAGCCACCTGCGCGATGTACTCTTCGATCAGATATTTGGTTCCGCCGAACGCCCGGTTGTACAACTTCGGAGAAGTGATGTTCCCGAGGTTGCGAACCAGACCGGAACGCACAAGATCAAGGAGAGTTTGTAAGTCATTCTTGTCGCGTGCTTCGATGATGGAATTGAGACGGTGGTTTATGAGCATCCAATCGTAATGATGAGATGCAGGATTGTTACGCCTACGAACGAAACGAGCGATCTACTTGTTAGTCTTCTTCAATGATGTTTTCCTTACTGACATTTGCTTTTTCAGGACGACCGATCGCATACCAGAGATTTAGTTCCTTGTAGTTATCCAACTGCAACGCGGCATGTTCCCAATCCTCGTATACCTCGGCATTGCGTAGCGCATCGAGCCATTCGTCTACAACACCCTTTGTCGTCCACCGCCCCCAAAGTTTCTACGAGATATCGTTAACGAGATATGATAATCTAGATGTTATTGTCATAAGCAAAAACATACTCTATACCAAAACAAGAATACTTCCAATAGTAACGAAAATATAGCAACGGGCACTCTAAGAATGGGCTGCATTCTCTTCGCATTAAGATACCTCGGTCGGAACCATCGGTAGGGAAGGACGCTGACCGGTCAGCAAAGGGGCACGCGTGTATACAAAACAAGTAAGGGACAGAGGTAAAGAAGTTGGCAGAGCTAAATGAAGACTGTCTCCGCCATTATATGTCGCTTTCCGTTCGCGACGCCACAAAATAAGCAACTGCGGAAAGAGTCACCGGATGTTTGTTCAGAGACGTTGTCTAACTGGAATGGTTTCGATTCGATCCTTCCCTGCCGGACCGAGCTACAATTATAGGAAGCTACCCCAAGCTACAGGTCGGGGTGCATGTGAAAGGGCAATTGTGACGACCGTTGGCCAGTCAGAATTGCTCGATTACATCTGGATTACCAGGATTCTCCATGTCGGCGGCTAATGTTTGCCAAGCCCGATCTGGGTGTCACAACAGATACATGGATACATAAACCGGAGTTATTATTCCTTACCAGATTTCTTACTTGCCTAGATACATTGAAGTACCCTTTAGACATGTACATAATGCTTACAATGTGATTTATGAGATGCAAGACTGCATCTTTCTAGATAATCGGACTTAGGGGTGTATTCACGTAAATGGTATTGGCAAATTAAGCAAAGCGGCTTCTGGAGGTGACTACGAGTAAAGTACAGACCGAAACTCCTTTTCCCGATAAGTTAACGCCCACGGATCCTTTACTCCTCATCCTCGTCTTCGTCGTCGATGATGTGTCGCCTTCGTCGGTGAGAAGACTCGCCGGCTGGAGCGGGCGCGTCTACGTCATCCAGGTCAGCATCCGCATCAGCGTCAGCATCTTCCTCTGCATCGGCCGTCTTCTGTCGTTTCTTGCGAGGCACTTCTTCCTCCTCGTCATCGTCCAGGATGTCTTCCTCGTCATCCTCATCTTCGGCGCCTCCTTCTTCCTCTTCGTCGCTAGAGGCGATGAAATCATCCTCGCGGTCATACTCGTTCCTACGGTGAGCGCCCGATGCGAAGTCATCATCCGAATCATATTCTGGCTGGCGTCGCTTCCCTTTCGATGCTCCCGGTGCACCTCTCTTGCGAGTACCGCCGGGGCCTCTTCGTCCCTCGAGGTCACCAATAGAAAGGCCACTCTTATAGTTGACAGAGGAACCTAAAGCTCGACTATCCATGCGTGCGGATGCGTTCTCCCGTCGTCGCTGTGCCTTCATGCGCTCTTTCTCAGCGGCCTCGGCCTCCCTCTTTTGGAGTTCCGGATCTTTATTAGTTGTAAAGATCATGTTGGCGCCTTGTTTTCTAGCGCGTGCCGCTTCCTCCATGGCGCGACTGAACTTGAGGATAGCCTCGTCCTTTAAGTTCGAGGGCGGGTTGACGGTGTACTGCTCATTTACGTGGCCGACAGTCACGAATAACTCGCTCGTGAAATGTGCGGCTGCGACATAGTAGTTGGCGTCATCTCGCTCTTCGTAGTACGGCTTATCGGCTCCTGGTGCCATTGTCTTCTTTTGTATCTCGTAATGTTCGGCGCCGACTGACATAGTGACCGATCCGTCGTCCCATCGGTGGATAAGCGCGTTGCTCTTCAACTCGCCAGTTTCGGGATCACGAGTGAAACGAACTACGTTCTTGCGCTTATCGGAACGCGCGTTCTGGATATCCCACTCGGTCGCTTCATACGTGTCAGGCTTGTATTCTTCTGCCTGTAACTTAAGGAAGGAAGGGATTTTTAAAGTTTGTAGCTGGAATATCAAGATTAGATGCGGTCAGAATTCCGGCCAGAGATAATGTGAACATACGAAGCCAGCGCCGTCCTTAGAGGTTCTGGGGATCCTGTGTCGATGTAGCGTAACACCCATGATGCGCTTCACCTTCACTTCTTGATCACCATTCTCGATATTTTCATCGCCATCTTGGTCGATGTCACGGTCGCGATTCTCACCATCATCAATTTCCGATCCGAGATCCTGATCACTTAGTACTTGATCTTGGGAACCAACTGATCCTGCCTCGTCACCGAAGAGATCACCACCGCCTTCTGAGTCGGACATCGTGGCGATGGTTATGCCGATGTACGCGATGTAATTGGATAAATAGGATCAAAATATTGGAATTGACGTATCGCGACGGGAGAAATCGCGTCGAGTTGCGATATAATCGCCGTTGGAAAATGTCTCGACGAGGATGACAATGTTGAAAAAAGGAATTAACTCTTGGCAGCACGGTTCCAATTGAAGGAACACCTGCAGCTTCAGTAATTCGTGACTTCCAGCCAGCCGCACTGAGGTAAGCTGCAGCTTCCGAATTTTAGCTTGGTATTCTTATCGATAGGCTGCAGGTTGCAGGCATACCTATCGATAACAATGATTGGACTAAGATGGACTAGCGTCGGGCGTCTAAACGAGCATCTCCTGAAACAGGACTCAAAATATCATTGGGTCAACCCAAAAGTTCAATGTGGGAAACTTCCACACATCGTAAAGACTCTACATTAACGTGACACCCCCCTTCGCCCCCTTTTCTTTAGACGACAAATCGACGATTCTTTTTACCGTCACCGCCCGGCGCGTACTCTCATACGATTTTTATTTCAACAAGTTTACCGTACTCTAATCCTCGCCGTTACCACCGCATAGTATTCTATTTTGACTACTATCCCCCTCGTTCTTTATCCTCTCGACGTGACGGTCGTTAGATTAAGCAATTATGTCTAATCTATTTTCTGGAATGTAAGTATATTCATTTCTTTCTTTTTTTAATCGTTATTATCGTTACGTATTTCTTTTCCCCCTGGGCACAACCTGCATGGATACGTTCGAAATGTCGTCACCGGGATTCACTCGTGATTGCTTGCGTAAGCTACGAGGCATCGAGGCATGAATTCACGAATTCGAGAAGTCAAGTTCAAAAGTTTGGAAAATTGGCCATCATGATATACTGGCAGTACGAAGCGGCTGGGGGGTTTATTGACATATTTATTATGGACGTACCCTAGTCTCATACTACGGTGTACATGTACCGCCTAACCTGATCAGCCTGATCTAAAGAGCCCTGACCTGGACTGAGCCGTTGAGGATGGCTGGTTGGGTAAATTTGGGTTCCGTGGGGATCAAATGTTGTCCTTATTGGTTTCAACAAACCTGTGAACCATACGATGTCTTATACCAGCGACGTTACAAGGCAAAGAGCGGACATGTTCAACCACGAACAGCATGAGGTCGTGCACGTGTGCTGTTACTATCCTGGATAGCGTCTAGCACCACCCAGGCTTTTCATGGACAATTACCCACTATGATGTCTCACGTTCTTTGTGAGAAAAGTTTTGGATATGTACGAGCCTGGAGACGACATGACTAAATCCCTTTGAAAAAAAAAAAGTGAGAAAGGCCAAGAAGCTTAAGCAAGCTGTCCCTGGAGCTATTTCCCCATACAGGACGATTCCACAGAGAAGCTCGTGGCGGTCTGGGTCTTTATGGGTCAATTATATGCAAGTGCCTCTATTCGACCAGTGTTGCCGCAGTTTCACTTCTGTACGTCGGATACGTGGCCGAGGACATGAAGCTTCAAAAACTCGGTAGCTCCGACTACCTAGGTACTATAAAATTGAAGCCTTGTTAATTCTTCCCCACTACTCTTTCATCTCTATGTGATGCTCGACACAACAAAGAATCAGAAGATGCTAACTGCTCATCCTTAGAAACGCTCGATTGAGAGGGACTTCGACCAAAGCTCCAGGTCAGAACAAGAGCCCCATTACAACCAGCAACGGCCAACCCAATTCTCCCACCAACCTGTCTCAAGGAAGCCAATCATCCTCAAGTCTAGCACCAAAGATACCTCCACTTCCAAGCTCACCATCCCTAGCCCAGAATATCGGAATGGATGACGCCGGCAACGCGGATGCCGCCGGAGGCGATGACATCTTCGATGCTTATCGCCTACCTCGACCGCTTCCGCTCTGGCTCAATGCGCAATACGCCAAGCACATCGTGAAGGGCAACTTCATGACCCTCAGCGCCCGCCCGAAGACCGTGGAACAAGGTGAATGGATTGCTCATCAAGGCAAGTTTAACCCCGTTCTCCAGCTTATTCAGACCTAGGTTCCTAACGTGTCACAGTGGTCGAACACTACCGCAACCTGTGGAACTTCGTACGAGTGATCCACGAGAAGGAAGACGATGGTACCACGATCTGCAATCCTCAGACATGCCCGCGCATGTCCGCTGGAACGTAAGTAAATCTACGAAGGTGAGTAGCCTGTTATTGCGTCTGACTTGGAAAATAGAAACCACTCATTCACATGGCTTAACTTTCGACGAGAGCCCGTCGAGTTGCCGGCCTATGAGTACATCACGCTTATGCAGCGCTGGATCTCAGGCAAGATTGATGATACAAACATCTTCCCTACCGATACCAATGGTGTTTCCTACTCCCATAATCCGTCGATCACTACCACGCCCCTCTCGCAACTAACGAATCCCGAGGACAAGGACTGGGTCGGTAATTCTAGCGGATTCCCTGAGAACTTCGTGGAAGTGTGTCAGACAATCTTTCGCCAGATGTTCCGAGTGTATGCCCACCTGTACTGGGCACACTTCATCGATCCCTTCTACCACCTGAACCTCGAGAAGCAGCTCAACAGCTGTTTCAGTCACTTCGTGTTGACAGCTTGTGCACTAGACATGCTCAAGCCGCAAGAATTAGAGCCCATGCAGCCTCTGATCGATCTCTGGGCTGCCAATGGCACTTTCCCGCCCGGCTCGAAAGCATACGAATATTCCAACCACCGCGCTGGAGAACGACTGATGCAGCTTGCGAACGTCGCATAGAAGGTGCATATCTAGTCGCGCAGCAATGATACCCACATAGGATTAGTATGGTTGAGACATACGTCCTGACTCGCGGAAACACCAAAGAACGAGAACATAATAGCATTTGATCATTCGCCTTCAGCACGGAAATGCATATCGAGAGAGTCAATAAGCAGGCACAAAACGGCGTTTACGTTGACATTTATTTTCCATGGGAAAGATTCACATTCAGAGAAGTACGACTTCTGGCTTTTGCTTTGGCAAGTTAATTACGTTCGTTCGTATTCAACGGCGTCTGAATTTCCATTGATACGACACGACACGATATCATGCGAGTTTATCTCGAGATTTCCCATAGCAATGAATGGCAGATGAGCTAAACTGCATAACAAATATCTACCGACCTTTGATTTGCTTTGAATGTGAATAGTGCGTAATTGAACTTGATACAAATATACCTCCAGCTATCCTAGCTATCTGCCTCGGCCAAGAGAGCTTGACTGATGGTGGGCTGATGAGCTTCTGAGCTTGCCCCGCATCAGCTTTCCCAGCGTAGAAGTCAAAGCAAAACAGGAAACCTCAACCGTCATGGCCTCTAGCCTGCCATCCCTCGAAGTAATATTTCTAGTGATTTCACAAGTCTCATAATATGTATGACTCTACGTCCCTAATAAACAGGCCGAAACCAGACTTACAAGACACAATCTGCGAATCAAGCCATATAAGAGCGTCGTTTTAATAAACCGTAACCATTCTCTATTCCCAAATACCTTACACAACCTTAAACACCATGAACACAACCAACTTCGCAAACACAAGTCCAGCAGACGACGCCCATCTAGTGCGGTGTTGGAGGATCCAGAACTGCAAGGACTGTCTCACGACGCAGCCGGACTGCAGCTGGTGTCCGTTCGTACGTGTGCCACATTCACTTTGGCACGTTTCTTGTATTCATAGACATTAATTAAATTCATCCATATATATACTGGATATACACACACGAATAACTAGACGCTTGGCTAACATATGTACAACACCCATAGTCATGGACCTGCGTCCCCAACACCGCCCGAATCCCGCTCCTAGCACCGGCCTGGGACGAGGACGTATGTCCGCACTGGGCGGAGCGGTGGGAGATCCGCACACGGCCGCTAGGATGCCAGGTCTCGACCATCACGACTCTAACGTCCCTCGTGACCATCGCATCCACGCTCGTCCTCGTCTTACTCGTCACTTTGATCGTCTGGGGAGCCCGGAGATTGAGAGCATACGGGAAGAAAAATCCTGGCTGGTGGAGGGTATCTAAGTCCGATTTGAAACGACTGCCCGCCAGGTGGCGATTGTGGCTGCGCACTAAGGTAGGAGCTAGAGATGTGGATGCGAGCACGCGGGATTCAAGAGATGAAGGGGACCGGGAAAGGGAGCCTTTACTGCCATCTTGAAGACCAAACAATGGGACCGACAGTTGGGTTGTATGCATATTTATAATTTATTGATTTCGAGCTCGATCGACTCTTCTATGCAGGCCTCAGCCAGAGCTTACCGGCGGAATGATAGCGACCTCATCGCCCTCTTTGATCGTCACGGTTTGAGAAGACTCATCATCGGGTCGTGGAACATCAACGTATTCAAGATTGATCGTCACCATAGACGAATTAAGAATCTTTTCTGTAATGCCATTGTATGTTTCTTCCAACTTCAAGAAAAGAGCCGAAAGAGTAAGCGGGGCGGGGAATGTATCGAACTCCTTCGAAGTGTATGACTGCGCACTTGCGAAGTATAGGAGGTTGAACCAACCATCCTTTGGCTTTGGAACAGTGCTCATGGTTGGGTCTAGTCGAGATCAAGGAAGGCAAAATTGAATCTAGTCTGGTAAACTTCTTGTTAGCCTCAATATTTTTGATGAGAATGACAATAAAGTTGATAGATAAGTGTTGAGTCAGAGATCTTGGTGATAATGAGAACATCAGTGATGGTCAGGTAATACATGCTATTTTTATACATCATTGCAACAGAGTATTGAATACTGAAAGAAATAAAACACTTACGAAACTATGAAATAATCAGTTGTTTTTGTAATCCAGGTATGGAGATTGTTGGGAGTCGAAATGATGAAGAAGAGAGAAGGTGAAAAAAATAAAGTTGGTTAAATTATATAGAAAGACTCTTCGGCGCTAGAGTAGGATTGGTGACTAAGCGGAACCACCACTATTCTACTCCGAAAATTGTTAGCAGCCTCATCGCGGATTTACCTTTAATGGCGGAACAACTGAGTTATCTATGGATATGCTCGCCCAACTTTCATGTTGGTCTTCGCAGTGGAAGTTGAGGAAAAGTTAGGGCTTCGAGGACAGACAAATATTGGATCACGAAGAATAATAGTCGGGGTATGAATTGTTCTTTATTCGCAACGCAAAAGGCCCATCATAGTCCGGTGACTCCTGTAACAAAAGGAATCATGAATGCGAATGCCGTATCATGCGAGGCTACTGCTCGTAGACCGTAGTCATCAGCTAGCAGCAAAAACCCGATTCTCTTGATCCTATTCCCTCCCAAACAAACACCAGCTTATCGTAATCGTCGGGCCTCACGTTCGGACTCGAGTAGGCAGAGAATGTCGTCTTCACGAACTGTAGAATATCAACGTTAGCCACTATGTTGCCCTATCGTAGTCGGTAGATGTGTATGGGTTCGCACCTGGTCCCTTGACGTTTCGGATAATGCTTCGGGTCTGGTCGTCCATGAATTCGACGCGGACTTGGGTAACACCACCACGAGAACCTATAACCGTCAGTTTCTGTTCATTTTTTCCTCTTGTTTTTCGTATAGTATCGCGTAGTTCGCATCGCAAAGATTTAACAGGGAAATCGTACCGGTTCGGCCCAGGACACGGGTGACCTTGACAAGCTTGACAGGTTGCTTAGAAGATTCCATATTGGCGATCTGAGTATTCTGATTAAAATTAGGTCTTGAATGTGATTTCGGGAGTGTTGACCGTACTGGTGATGAGGTTTGCAAGGGTTGTTGCTACTTAGTCGCGAATATGGAAATTTGTCAAAAGGCGGGTAGGTTGAAATTTTTTGATCAAATCGAAAAGATCCAACTTTCGCTTAAGCTGTGCTAGTTGTGGGTAGGGCTTTCTTTCTTGTGCATGGACCATCATCTATCGATAAGGTGCTTTATTAGTGGAACTTTGATGCTCGGACCCGCTATATTACCTTACACTTTTTTAGGACATAAGTATCATTAAAGGCATGACAAAGATACCTTCTAGTTGCATATAAATTAGGAGAGCATTGATTCTACTTCCTCGAGATGATCCATTTTCAAGAAAAAAAGCATTTGAATATCACATTCATCATTTAGCCAATAGGGTATCAGAGCTAATTCGACACAGAACACCAAGTAGTATCTCCATTATCATGACAACGTAGCGACCTTGGCCTCTAGGTCTTTCACCCATCCTTCCACCACCTTCATGTTCGCAGTCATAGCTGTCCCTCTTTCGCCCATGGACCCTTCGATTTTCTCTAGGGCTTCTCTCCATTCCTTGATATCAGCAGCCATCTCACTTTGAGAGTTCTCGATACGCTCTAGGGTATCGTTGGCTGTTGCTGCATCGGCATGAATAGCCCTCAACGAACGGAGTCGATCTAATAACGGAGGTAGAAGTGGTGTTAAGCTTTCAATCGTTGGTAAAGTACCATAGAGCGCATTAATCTTGGCCGTATGCTCCGAATCATCTGGTTCCACAGGAGAGGCACCCGAGGAGGCTAGAGAATCTTGCGCAGCCTTAGCAGCTTTTCTAGACTTCTCTAATTGTTCGGCTTCTTGGGTCAGAGTCCGTACTCTGCGACTAATGCTGTCGAGGGACGAGGTAGAAGCTTCCGACAACGTCAAGATCTGGTTTTGAAGTGTATCTAGTGTAGGCATGATAGCACGGGACAGGCCGTTGCTTTCTAACTCAGGCATAGCTGACGAGGTAATACCAATCGCCTTTTCGAGCAGTACAAGTCGTCGATCGAAATCGGCAGCTGTGGCAAGGGCATGGCTTTGTTCGTAATTCGGCGCGTAAGTGACAGTATACGTTGCCTCATCCACCGACTGAGCCGAGTCTCGATTCTCGTCCTTCGATTGTTTGCTAGATTTCTGATAGTCCCGAATAGCTATTTCTCTTTCTGGCAGCGTTGACATCTCTTCTAAAGCCTGGCTAAGTGACACAAGCACTTCTTCCTGGTCTGGCGCAGAGTCCTTCGACTCTGCTTTCCGTTTACCGTACTCTTCTTTAGCCTCTTCAATCTCTCGCTTCAAGCGCGCGATCTTTCTTGCTAGGTCTTCGTCTTCCTCCTCATCGCTCAGATCACCGATTTGCTCGGTACCATCTTCGAGGATTCGTTGTCTTCGGCTGGAGGTTTTGTACGATTTCCGTTTTCCATTTAATCGGTCCGAAAAATCTACGTCTCGAGCGTCGACTTGCGAAGGCATAAATCGAGACCGTGCTTGATCTATTCGGAGTCTGGAGTGTGAGATCCCTGGGGCGTCATCGTCATCATCATCATCGAATTCATTGTCTGACTGCGATCGGCCCGCGGTAGTCTGAAATAGTGGCTTAGAAATAGACTTATTTCACCCTGGGGTATCATTACACTCTTACCGGAATAGTGGAGTTATCATCCGTTAACTCGGGGGTCTCGTAGATGTCAGGCGCAGAGTCCTAGATATCGATTAGCATGATAATTAGAGTTTCAGAGACCTCAAGTTTCAACGTACCAGATCTGGTAATGCAGCATACTTTCGGTTTAGCGCCATGTTCAAGATTGCTCCGCCTTAATGATCGAAATCATATAGTAGATGGGAACGTAGTAGAGTGTAAACAAGTGTGAATGTTCTCAAGTTGAAGTTTAGTGGAGTTGAGATGGACATAAAGAAAGCATGGTCCACCTGGTGTTCATTCTTTCCCAGTTGTGCTCTTTGTGGCTGTGGCTGTGGCTGCTACTTCCTGCATTTGACGCGTCTCAAACGCGTTGTTCTTACTCACTCATCCTTAAGCAATTATCGTTCACTTTTCAATGTAACATTCGTCTTTTCAGTAAACCCAACTACTAAATTGTGAGACTCGTTAAGTCGCAAATAATGGAAATTTCATTTTGGGTCAACCCAACCTAAAATCCTCTCATTATCTCAATTCTTTTATTCAGCTTCTACCTATATATCACATAACTCACTCATTTCTCACTCATTGCCAGAAACGAACTCAAGCAAGTTATTGGTCCTCCATCTCAATCATCGCACTTCCTACGCACTTTTTGACAAGGAAAAACCAGGACTCTCAGTCAAACTCGGTATTACTAGGAATCGGATCATTCTCGAAGTAATTCTGTTACAGAAGATCCAATGCCCATCATTACGCCTGGAAAACGACGCATCGGACTAAGTGCAAATCAACGACCGTATCACCTTCTATCGCAAATCGGGGGTAAGGTTATTGGAGCCAAAGATCAAGTCCCCACCTCTAAAATGAGGGGAGGTGGGAAGGTTCGAGAACCCAAATCCATCGATGCACCGCCTGAAGGCAGTAGTGATGAGGAGGACGACTACCGCCAATTACGGGACTCTGATGACGATGACAAAGGGAGTCAACTTGTAGATATCAAACCGACTACTTTCAACAATTCTCAACAGCTTTCTTCACAGACAAGCAATGTGCGGAGAAGTGGACGAGAAAAGCCTACGCAGTCATCAAAAGGAAATAATGTCATACGTAACTCTCAATCCACCGAGCCCTCGAGCTCAGCTGGCTCGAAAAGATCTGCCGAGGATCTCATTCCAGAGACAGGCGGTCATCTAGTAGATTCTTATGGGTTCGATCTCAAACCTAAGAAAGCCAAATCTAGTTTCAGACGTACTACGACGTATTCATCCCAGCCTAGGTCTTCGCAGCCGAGATCATCACAGAAATCTACTGTTAAATCCTCGACTGCGCAGTCTGGTGAGTGGCATATAGTTCTCATGCTTTTTTTTACAGATAAAAATACTAACGTTTCTACCAATTCCTAGATTTATCTCCGCAACGCAGATCGTTTAAGGTCTATAAAAACAGCCCTAATCCTGATGATGTTCAATCTCCTCCAGCAAAGAGATTCATTAAACCTGAAAGTCTCAGTCCAGAGAAGGCTAGATCCTCAAAGAAGTTCAAGATGCCATCTTTGGCTTCAAGTCCAAGTCAAGAGAGAGCAGCTTTTCGACATACAACTTTACTCTCAGATGACTCTCCGGCAAAAGGCAAGATCAAATTACTTGACACGGACGATGAATCAGACGCAGATGTGAAGACCAAAGTGAAGACGGAAGTGAAAACAGAAGTGAAGACAGAAGTGAAGACAGAAGTGGAGACAGAGCTTGATCGAAAGCCCAAAAGAAAAGTGACAAGAAAGTCTAGGGCTAAGATGCGACAGGGATCTCCCAAAATCAAGTTAGAGGAGCAGAAACCAGCGTTCAAGTTACACGCCTTGGATGAATCGGACTACCTCGATGATAGCGATGATAAGTTGGCCGCTGTATTTGAGGATAGTTCCGGGGATGAAGAAGTAGGTGACGTAACTATAGATGACGCAGTAGCTGCTGCGGCGAAATGCCCTATGTGCCATGAAGTCGTTGATGCCGAGCTGCTGGCGAAGTACTCAGACCATGGCAGGATGAATATTAAGAAACAAACGGCATTCTGCAGACTACATAAGCGACAAACCGCGCTGAGTTCTAGATCTCAGAAAGGATATCCTAAGATCAACTGGGGAGCCCTCGACTCTCGACTCAAGGTCCACCAGGATTTCTTGAAGGATATCTTAGAAGGCACTCAACAGTCACACTATCGTGACATCCTGAGGGAGAACGTCGAGTCTGGAAAGAATCGGACGTTGCTCACAACAGAGGATAGTCTTACGCCAGGCTATTACGGACCGCGGGGGCTCCGCGCAATGACGGAGTACATCATGCGGACATTGTCTTCAGTCGTACGGAAACGCGCGATTGAGGATAGACTTGTTTCCGCACGAGGTTATACTGGATATGTCCAGGCGGTGTTGGTGCCTGAATTGACGGTCCGTCTAATTATGGAAGACATGGGTACCACAGAGCCAGATGCACGGAAGATCATGCAAGACAGCATTGAAGTTGGGGAGCTCCTATACGAAGATATAGGAGATGTTATCGCCGCTGTGAGCGATGAAGAGGAAGAGCCCTAATAGATATTAACGTAATGAGCGTCAGTTGATGACAAGATCTTGTAGACCGAGTCTGTCTGCATTTGTCGTCGGACTAGATATTACCATGTACCTAGGTAGGTATGTAACACAGGCTGTCGCATCACATACTAGGTGCTGTATATGCTATGTAGGCAATTTTCTAGGCAATTCAATTGCAATGTGAACAAATTCATGGATGTCCGATGACAATCCGACCACAATCTGATCAGCACAGAGCCTCCATATTGATATATGCAATGCGCATCGGAATTTTAGATACCCTGGACTATCTAGCATACATCAGACGCTAGGTAAAGCGCAATCTATCGTTTATCAATCACAAGAGCAACCTAGATCGTCATCTCAGTGTTCCCAAAGTTCAAATCACACACAAACCCTTGCTAATTATCTAGATATGAGTTTGAGCGCGGCATATTAGAGCGATAGTGGATGATCGACGAGCTCGGATATTCCCTAACCACGGATCGCATTATTACGGGATGGACGTTGGCCCTGCAAGGCCTGTCGGTCGTACGTTTCGTCGCAAGTCGCGCACGTAGTCGCGTATGTAGTGTCACGGAGCCTTACCGGTCCTGCCGATAAACGGATATTCGTCATGTGAGAGGGTTGATCGCGAAGCAGGTTGGTCGATACCTGGGTAGGTATGAAGTCTAACGTTCTCATCACACGCACGTTCTACTAAAAAAAGCCAATAATGATAGCGATGGGTTGGGGGTCTTGACAAATAATATAAGCTCTAAAAGCACATGCAACGTTTGTGTGAGAGCGGGAACTGAGAGCGGGAACTTGCCACAACAAACTTCCCGGGCGCGGATTGGGCGCATTCCATCCTATCATCCTCCATCCCATCTCGTGACATTTAACAGGAACTAATACTTGGACCTACCAACAAAGGTATTTTTAACTTCAAACAGCACTTTAATATGAGTTGACAAGCCTTATGCAAGCTTGTCGGACCGTGGGCTGCGTGGGTAGGCGGCGGGACCAGTCCCCGGGAATAGCGCCTAGTTAATCTCGCAATAGCTGCAACACGAAGACGAATCCAATTTCTTGCCTCCCATCCAAAGAATAGCGCGGAGTGACAGGTCGACTTTCGAGGAAAGATTAGTGTTAATCTTACAGCGTATTAGATAAAACCTGGAAACGGGGACTAGGAGAATTTACGCTATCCTCTGGATGCGCATCACTATTGCTTAGCTGTCTTGATTCTTCATATGTATGTACTTACCCCAAACCCCAAACATACATGGATCCAATGAGGTATTTGGATCTAACCTTGGAAGAGATGTTTTAATATAATAAAAGGGAAAGTGTTGCGAACTTGACTTAAATTTGATAGGGATAGGACAACGCATACTTGTGATATGAGTTCGAACAAACTAGCATCTCCAACCGATTCCGCCCAGGAAGATGCCCACTTCCCACGGTCTTTTTGAAACTTATGGATGTACTATGGGAATACATCCAACACCCACATCCATATTTCGCCCTTGTGAACAAGGATCTCGGGAGCGACGCTAGGACTTTCTGGGGGTGTCGACATCTGTGGAGCAGAACCCGGTTTTGAGGGCGGTAATGTATGTACGCAAAGACCTTGAGGTGGTCAAAGCCCTTTTAAAGCCCGCAATTTTGGCTTTCACCGAGGCCATGGCAGTCTGGGCACTGCTAGATCCTACTGGATACAGGACACTAAAAAAAGTGAGCTTAGCATGTAAATTATGTACCTACCGTACTGTATGTAGGTGCCTCATTTGTATGAACCACGGATGGGAAGGGATAGGATGTAGGTAAGCGATTGAGGCTCTGATTCGAGTCACGGGTCCCTCTGCGCTCGAGTCATATTCGACAAGATAGAGATCCCGATTCATGAGTGAGATGTAAAATTTAAGATCGGATATGACTCTTTCGCTTCGCCAAGTTAATATCTCTTTGTTCGGGCTGGGTAATTGGTTAGGAAACGAGCTGCCGTATTTTGCCAACACACATAGAGACAGACGACGTATTATATTCGTTTGTATACTAGTATGTGGTGAGACTCGGTATCCTTAAGCGGCATTGCATTTCCACCGCATCTTACTATTAAATAGAATGATGTGATCGGCCCTTAACAAGTAACGCTCGATGCTATTATAGTAAATGTCAGAAGACGACAGGTTGAGTATGCATATCGCGAAACGGCTTGGGGTTTGGAAGGGCCTTTTCGTTTTCTTTTCTTTTGGTTGTTTTTTTCTTGGTCGTTTATGACGGGTATCCCCTCTGCGTTGCGCTGTCAACGACCAAACGGTTAAGGTAGAGGCTTGAAACGGTGACGACACTTCGGTACCCATTAATCCACGAATCGCTTCATAATTCAGCCTCTGAAATCGTAGAGGGTTAGATTAAGCCTTGAGACAACATGTAGTTCAATAATTTGACGTAGTTGCAATGTCAATCAAGATCTGGAATCTAGATAGACTAGAAACTAAAATCGTTGGTGAGGTCAACTATTGATATTTTAATATGTGTGACAAGTACTAGGCAGTGTACAGGTCGGGAAGTCGTCACCAAAAAAAGATTTAGTGGTCCCACTGATCTAGTCGATACATCAATGCACCTTTAGATGTACTTCGCTAGGACCAGCAGTTCCCTCACTCCGGCCTTGTACCGAAGGTTGCAGCCGTTGTAGCGGTTGTAGCACATACCACACCCGAGCCACTGCCCAGAGCTACTTCCAGCTTAATCTGACACTACTAGGTACTTGCATGCCCAGGTGCGTATTGTACTTTCGTACTACGTACCCGCCGCCTGCAACAAGTCGCAAATGTAGGTGCAATACATACCTGGTAGTGCAAGTGCGAGTGTGAGCAGGAAGCACCATCTTGCCCAGCCTACCGCTCCGCCCTGCCTTTGCTTGACTTTTTGCTACATCCAATCTGAGTCTTGCTTGAACCAAAACCTTTCAGCCCTCAAATTCGGCACCGGGCTATACTGTCTACTCCTTCATCGTTAGCTAACCCACCCAACTGACTTGTCCATCTGCCTACTATAGCATTTTCTTTCTTGTATACCTGCCGAGGTTCTCTGGTTTCTGGCATACATCGGAACGCTCGCTGCTCTCCGCGCATTCTGGACTACATCCGCCACATTAAGATACATACCTCTACCTCCACCTATACCTCTATACCTCTATACCTACCTATCTACCTACCTACCTGGAGCTTCACGATTTACGATACAAGACATACCGGCCCTATAATTCTGTTCTTTGCAGGGAAATGTCCCACTTCATCTCCCTTTGATGGCGCCGCCCTATTAACCTAAGCTGCGAGGACCGTCGTGAAGGTGAAGAGTGACAATGACGAGAGATGACGGCCGCATCACCTCCTTCGCGAGTACCAGTAGTGGGCACTCAAACATTACATTGAAACCATCCGTTCCTAGTCGATCAGTTTCCGTCTCCTCAGCCTCTACTAAAGCTACGCCAAAGCCCATCAAGACTGGCGACCATGTCAAGCTCAGGTACGTCATGCCTTATTCTTTCTCCGTAATATAATCTCGAGTTCAATGAATTATGGGGAGCACATGGCCCTGCCACATTTTAGTCCGAAACCCATCGAGTATTTCTCACCTAGTCAGATTAAGTGGGATGATGGGGATATCAATTGAAGCATCTCTTTCTTTTCATTAGATCGATCACTTCATGCACAGAATGCCCTCCAGTGAAGGTCTTTAGAACTAACGACGGGTGCCTGTCGCGCCCTTTTTAGACAATTTAAAGACGACATCTCGCCAACAGCGTCGGGCAATCGCATTGCTTTGTCGCCCTCCTCGACCGCATCCAGTAGTTCCCTCCTCGACAATCGCCGCATGAGTGACCTTACGAATTATCGTCGCGATCTCGCCGTCCTCGATCCATCCGGTGGTCGTGTTCCACAAATTCAACGAGATTCCCCGATGGCTAGTCCGAATACCCAGAATATAGCTCCTTGGATGTCCGTGAACGGCGGCGCGGCCGCGTCCCCGACCGGATTTGGCACGAGCTTTTATAATGATTCTAGCGATAATGTCTCTACGGCTTCGCAACTATCGCCTGCCCTTAGAATGGGCTCTTCAAGACCTGCTCAAGCTTCGAGTAATGATTCACCCGATGTAGCGTATTTTACTGATGATAGGCGGCCATCGGCGGCCAGCGTGACAACGGCCAGTAGCCAAGGTTCGAAAAACAGTGGTAGCAGAGGCGGGTTCAAGAAATTACAGGGGTTTTTCGGGGAAGATTTCCCAGGACGCGACTCGTCCGAGACCAGCCTTCCACCACCACCTCCTTCCCAAAATCAAGGGAAAGAACAACGCTCTTATTCATTTAATCGGCCACGTCGAGGAAGAAACGATTCTAACGCCACCGACCACACTAGAGAACCATCACCGGCATCCTCCCGACCACGAACGCCCGTGCCATCGAGCGAAGTAGTCCCATTTTTATATCAGGAGGCTAACGATATTGCTAAATACGGTGAAGCTCCAGTCCGTGATATGTTAGCTGGTCCGGATAAAGAGCGCTATCAGCAGGAGACATTTGCGCAGATACCGCCGAAGACCTCATCTTCGCAACGCTCCGGGCATTCTATCGTACACCTATCTAATCATCATCGTCATCATAAGAGCAACGATGACCCCAATACACTCAGACCTGTAGTCAGCCGGGAAGACTCGATTTTAAGCATCGCCAACATGAAGGACAGAGGAGGTTCCATGCCGACAGCGTCGCGATCGCGAGCACAGAGTCCCACTCCAAGCAGTAACAGTACCGGCAGTAGACTCGCATCTATCGATGGCCAAACGTCGCCTGGTGCACCCGGGAAACGAGGCATCTTTGATCGCTTACGACGACACAAGCACAAAGATGATCACTCCAGCCGCTTAAGAGGCATGCCTACTTCTACACGGTCTCTCGCGCCCTCTGCATCACGGCTTGATCTGACGAAATCCCAATCGCCTTACGATAAACCACTTCCGAGCATAGATTCCCCGGGCCCTCCAGCCCGGCCAACTAATCCTCGACAAGCGACGTTTAATAACAAGTTTCCGTTCGCTAAGAAGGGGCGTCCGCACAAGGCTTACGATGACCCCGATGAGCATATTGGCCCGACCGATAGAAACGATAGGGGCATGGTGTTCCACCTAGATACGAATCTTAACGATATGGAAGGTATCTTGGCGCAACCCCAACCGTTAACGCCGATGGATAGTACGAAGATGTTCCAGGAACAAACAGATATCGAGCTTGTCGAACCAATTTCAGCCCTAGGAAACGGAGCGTGGAATGCGCCAGACAGCTGGGCTGTCCGTCGTAATGCAGAGGAAAGGGATGTACATGCGCCCGAGGTCGACGATGTTGGAACGCCACCCCGGCCCGAAGAGAAATTGAGTCCTCACTGCATACGTGTGTTCCGCGCCGATGGTACTTTTGCTACAGTGCAGATGCCCTTGAACTCAACAGTCGGCGACGTTATGGCGCAAGTCGTTAAGAAGACCTTCGTCACTGAAGGTCTTGAGAACTATCATATCGTATTGAGGAAGCACGACTTGTCTCGGGTCTTATCTGGCCCGGAGAAACCACTATTGATTCAGAAAAGACTACTACAACAGGTTGGATACGAAGAGAAAGATCGCTTGGAAGATATCGGTCGAGAAGACAACGGTTACCTGTGTCGCTTCTTATTTCTGTCGGCAAGAGACAATCATTTCCAAATGAGTCCTCAAGACCTTGGATCCGGTAGGGCCACGAAGTTTAATCACGTTGATCTCTCTGGACGAAACCTAATTACGATCCCAATAACCCTCTATTCTAAGTCTGGCGACATCATCTCTCTGAATCTTTCCAGGAATCTTTCCCTCGACCTCCCGCGCGACTTCGTTCAAGCATGCCCTCAGTTACGGGACATCAAATATTCTAATAATGAGGCGCGAAAACTTCCTATCAGCATTGGAAGAGCAGGCCGGCTTACATACCTTGATGTGTCGAACAACCGCCTAGAGGACTTGGATCATGCCGAGCTCGGCCGTCTCACAGGTTTATTGAAGCTTACCTTGGCAAACAATCGTCTAAACCGCCTGCCTCAGGAGTTTGGCTGCTTCAAGGCGTTGCGATCTTTGAATCTATCTTCGAATTTCTTGGAAAAATTCCCAGTTTTTCTATGTGATCTGGAAAGTCTGGTAGATATCGACGTTAGTTTCAACTCTATCTCAAGTCTCCCCGACGAGATCGGTGGGCTCCGGAACCTTGAAAAATTCGTCATGACCAATAATCGACTTGCGGGATCATTACCATCGACTTTGAGAGAACTGGTAAATCTTCGAGAATTGGATATTAAATACAACACCCTCACCGCCATCGACATCGTATCGGACATGCCCAAGTTGGAAATTCTATCCGCAGACCACAACACAATATCCCAATTTGTGGGCAGTCTCGAGCGAGTCCGGAATTTGAAGCTGAACTCTAACCCCATTACTAAGTTTGAGATAACAAGACCTGTGCCTACTCTGAAGCAGCTCAACTTGTCGAACTGTCAGCTTGCCAGCATCGATATCTCGTTCAATAACATGATCAACTTAGAGAAGCTTGTTCTAGACCGGAACTATTTCGTATCTCTCCCTAATACCATTGGTAACATGAGAAGGTTGGATCACTTCAGCATTGCCCACAATTCAGTGGGCGAGTTACCCCCAGAAATTGGATGTCTAAATGAACTCAGAGTTCTGGATATCAGAGGAAACAACATTAGGAAATTGCCAATGGATATCTGGTGGGCAAATAAATTGGAGACGCTGAATGCTTCCTCCAACGTGCTCGAAAATTTCCCAAAGCCTGCGTCACGTCCGCCTCAAATACCCGGAGAATCTTCAGGCACTCCTACTCCTAACAATAAAACGCTGACAGGGGCCTTGTCTCAAACGTCCAGCTCCGAGGATCTCATGCCCGATGGATCTCGTCGACCCAGCCAAGCATCAAGCACGTTGCTTAGCGTCGGGCCTTCTCCCGTCCCTAACGGAGCGGACCGCAAGAGTTCTGTTGTATCTGTCTACGGGAAGGGAGGACGGAAAACCTCGGTCGTCTCGAGAGCCACGACGGCTAGTAGCAGTATTAATGGAACTATGACTCCGTCTGCAACATCGAGAAAAGACTCCGGGCTTTCCAATCGGCTAACTAGCACATTCGCCGGCTCATTAAGAAACCTATGTCTTGCCGACAATCAGCTCGATGATGATGTGTTCGAGCAGATTATACTTCTAGCTGAATTGCGCGTTCTCAACCTATCATATAACGACCTCAGTGACATGCCACAGCGCTGCATTAAAAATTGGCCGCAGCTTGTGGAACTTTACCTCTCGGGTAATGATCTGACTAGTCTGCCGGTTGACGATTTAGAGGAGTATAGCTTGCTTCAGGTGCTTCACATCAACAACAACAAATTCACGAACCTGCCAGCAGATATCTCCCGGGCCAAGAAATTAGCCGTGTTGGATTGCGGAAACAATTCTCTGAAGTACAATATCTCAAACGTACCATACGATTGGAATTGGAATCTAAATCCAAACTTGCGATTTCTCAACTTGTCAGGAAACAAACGCTTGGAGATCAAACAGATAATGCTTGGCCCAGGGGCTCTCAATCGCGAGCAATACACTGATTTTGGTCGACTGCAGAATCTCCGTGTGCTCGGATTGATGGACGTCACTCTTACTAACCCAAGTATTCCAGATCAGAGTGAGGATCGCCGTGTTAGAACGTCAGGTTCATTAGCTGGCCATTTACCATATGGTATGGCTGATACGTTAGGGAAGAACGAGCATTTGTCAACTATTGATCTGGTCGTTCCAAGGTTTAACTCTTCGGATTCGGAAACACTCCTTGGATTGTTCGACGGGCAGGCGCTGTCTAGTGGTGGCTCTAAGATCGCTAAATACCTGCACGAGAATTTTGGTCATATCTTCACGATGGAGCTGAATTCTCTCAAGACGCGTCAGAACGAGACTCCTATGGATGCGCTCAGGCGTGCATTCCTCGCCCTCAACAAGGACCTTGTCACCGTTGCCATCGAGCATACCGAGAAGAGATCATTAATGTCGCATCGTGGTTCATCAGCACCGGTAGTCCTTAGCAAGGAAGACCTCAACTCAGGAGGAGTTGCCACTGTAGCATATCTTCAATCCCAAGAGCTTTACGTCGCCAACGTCGGTGACGCGCAAGCTATGCTTATTCAATCTGACGGTTCACATAAGATCCTAACTCGGAAGCACGATCCTGCCGAGCCGAACGAGCGTCAACGAATACGAGATGCCGGAGGCTGGGTGTCACGTCAGGGGAAGCTCAATGATTTACTCGATATATCACGTGCTTTTGGCTACGTCGATTTGATGCCAGCCGTTCAGGCGGCTCCTAATATTACACAGACCTCGATCACACCGCAGGATGAAACGATCTTGATCGCTACAAAAGAGCTATGGCAGTATCTTACCCCTGGTTTAATTGTTGATGTCACCAGATCAGAGCGAGGGGATCTTATGCGCGCCTCGCAAAAGCTACGAGATCTTGCCATCGCCTATGGCGCAAATGGAAAAATCATGATTATGATGATCAGTGTCGCCGATCTCAAGCGGCGCCAGGAACGGTCAGCGCGTCTGCATAGAGGGCAGAGCATGTCGCTATACCCTTCCGGAGTTCCAGACGATTTTCAATTTCCAGCCAAGCGAGGCAGGAAGGCGAAGGGCGAAGTTCAAGACTCCACATTACACAGACTTGAAGCTGAAGTCCCTGCCCCGACTGAAAAGCCTTCTATCGTATTTACCGATATCAAGAACTCAACTAATCTGTGGGAGATGTATCCATCTGCTATGAGATCTGCGATCAAACTTCACAACGAGGTGATGCGACGCCAACTGCGGAGAATCGGCGGATACGAAGTTAAGACTGAAGGAGATGCTTTTATGGTCTCCTTCCCTACTGCCACCTCGGCCTTGTTGTGGTGCTTCTCCGTCCAGACTCATTTACTCAATGTGGATTGGCCCTCGGAAATTCTCAACTCTGTTTCCTGCCAAGAAACGTACGACAAAGACAACAATCTCATATTCAGAGGTTTGTCGGTCAGGATGGGTATCCACTTCGGTGAACCAGTGGCTGAAATTGATCCCGTGACACGGCGTATGGACTACTTTGGCCCGATGGTGAACAAAGCGTCTCGTATATCTTCCGTGGCCGACGGAGGTCAGATAACGGTGTCGGCGGATTTCATTTCCGAAATCCAGCGTTGCCTTGAGACATATCAAGAAAACGAACGAATTGGGTCTGCGGGTTCCGACGATACGTTCGATGACGATGTAACATCTGGGTCAATTAGAAGGGAATTGAAATCCCTAAGCTCACAAGGATTCGAAGTGAAGGACATTGGTGAACGAAAACTCAAGGGTCTCGAAAACCCCGAGTACATATACTCTCTATATCCGCATGTTCTCGCCGGCCGCATTGAACATCACAGCGCTGCGACAACGGCTGAGGTCGCTGAGAAACCTGCCACACTTCAGGCTGGAAGTGATCTTGGATTCGATCCGGAGATCATTTGGGCTCTTTGGAAAGTCAGTTTGCGGTTGGAAATGCTTTGCAGCACTCTAGAAGAAATGTCCGGTAGAGGCTTACAACCTCCCGAGACCGAACTCTTGGAGCGCATGCGACAACGTGGTGGCGAGGTTACTGAACGGTTCCTATTTAACTTCATGGAGCACCAAGTGAGCCGTATAGAGGTATGAATTCTCAACCTATGACATTTTGTTCGTATTTACTAACTCAGTTCCTGAAGACTTGTATATCCACACTGACGATGCGACACATCGCCATGGGCAGTGGTCCTATCCACTCACTAGAAGATCTACGAACACCAATGGCCGTCATACTCGACAATCTTGCCATTCAGATGGCTGAGCTCGAGCGATATAAAGCCAAATTTGGAGACCTCCCCACCGACAGCGAAGACGACGAAAGCGGTGTCTATGAGGACCAAATCTAATTAGCCACACACCCGATGCTCCTCGCATACATCTATTCCCCTGTATTATATTACTCCTAAATTTGCTTTTCAGTTCTAACATCATTATCACCTACGTCTTTACTCACGTATTCGAACGGGACTATAACACCCATCCTATATACAATAAACCGCTTTTAATGTGCTATGACGAAGATATCGCTACGACTACTTCCGGGGGTTGCGAGGTTATTTGCTTTTCTTTTCTGCTTTTCCAAGTACGAGCCAGGCGGTTGGATAAACGTCGATAACGACGTCCCGCGAGCAACCAAAGTTTCATATAGCGAAGTACCTCAACGGCGACGCCTTAGAGTCCACGGGAAACCCTGCTACGTTCTGTGTGCTTCGAAATATCCGAAAATGGTGTGGTTTTTGTTAGACATGAAAGCCCTTCCTGTTACTGTTAGCTAGGTATGGCATTTGTTGGAGAGGGGTCTTTACTAGGCATAATTAGCCGCGCCGTCATCTGTCTTAAATCCGCACAGACGGTCGCGAGTTGGCGTTATCATCATCTTATCTCGGGAGGGCAGTTGGAATACTGCGAAACTGGAAATATGGGAAAGAAACGGGAGGGCGGGTTGATATTTTTTCCTCGCTTTTTTTGTTCTAAAATTTTCATGCCCTCTGTCTTCTGTTTTTTTATCCGGTAACAGGATCGCTGACATCGACATTAACGTCTCTGCTCGACACGATATGACGTTGTTTACGGCCGGCTGGCTGGCTGGCTCTTTGTCTGTCCTGTCGCTGATACAGTATGCTTACGTACAATGAACGAGGCTGCCTCACTAGGTAGCTCCTAAGACAAACCCGAAACATAGTCCCGCGAAGCGCGGGCGGTTAGGCCTTGTCGAAGGAATGATCGCGTTGATTTACCTACTACTATTTTGTGTCTTCAGATATGAGTGCGTGTGAGTGAGTGAGTGATATGAGAGGGATATACTAGTTGATATCTGATGTGTATGTACTATGCAGGCAAGAATGTTACATGTGAGAAGACGGCTCGGCTGATTCATCGATGATCGATTCTGGTGGAGGTGATATGGTAATATTTATGAATATATGATCATATATACTTGCATCTATATATACCTAGTATAGAGTGCTCCTAATTATATCTTTGGATACATGGTAGGGATAACCCCTTTTTCACTAGTACATGTCGATTACATTATGCCCATTATGTTAGAAAAGACGCGAAGCAAACGGCGATGGGAAAAACCAACTATCAGAATACAGAATGAAATTGCGTGCTTCCTGAAAGTCATGTTTTGAGACATCTACGAATAGCGAAATAATAATATCAAAAAAAAGGTTAAAAAAAAACAATTGCACCCACCGGGATTCGCACCCGGGTCTTTCCCTAACCACGATGGGAGAGGAATGAGCTAAACTACTGCTCCATAGGTGCCTCACACATGTCGCAACCATGTACCAATCTCATGTCTACCTACTCAAACTGTCGACAATTATGCCTTATAAGCTACCTAGCTAGCTAGGTTTCTTGTCCGGCTAGATACCGGGCGGGCAATCTTCCGGAGGAAGGAACGGGATGACGGTTGGTGGAAGGAGCGTTCGTGGTGCGTCTGAGACATGTGCCTTCCTTCTTTTACTAAGGTAGCTATCCGGGTTTAGGGGCTGAGATGGTGTGTAAACGCGAGGCTACCTATCTAGCCTTGTGAGTACTGGGTAGGTAATTTTATTGCATTGGTGGTGACTCCTAGATCATCAATATGGTACCTATCTACCTAAGCACTCAGCTCGTTTCTATCTACGGTGGACTATCCCCCCTACTTGTCTACTGTCACCATCTTACAATGTCATTCTAGGTTGTAAAAACGTTGAGGTCCCTATAGATGTCTCTGCAAACAGAACTACCCACAATAACTACCTAGGTATGGAATTGCGGCTACCTGCTTAAGGGGCAAGGGGTATCACATACATATATGCAGACAACACCACATTAGTGGACACAGACAAAATTATAGCACGAATCAACAAACGCAAGTGATTGAAATCCATTCATTATTCCTGATCCCTAGGTATATAACGAGTGATGCTATGCTACGCTATGCTGACTTAAATTAATCCGTACCCGATATAGATCGCGAGGCTGTAGGTTAGGTGTGGGGGGGTATATCGATTTTGTATCGCTCAAACCACATGTGTATCAATCAAAAAAACTCCTGCTTTATGTCATTCCCAACGTACATGATAGATATGTAAAATCATATAAATGTCATCCAATCGGGTAGGGTCGGGGTGTCGTCTGGGGTAGAATGGAACCGGCTTCGTCCAATCCCCAATCTATGTTGCTTCCCCCATCCCGCTCAGCCTTGCCACGTCACTCGTACACACTGAGCATAACCAAACACTATACATCCCACGTTATACAATACAATCGAAAAAAACCCTCAAAACTCGTGAACCCCATAGTTGAGACAAAAACAAGGGCAACGATAGGGAGTTAGTATCCCTGAGGATATACGAAGATGGCATGAAAGCCAATCCGAAGAATGTTACAAGCCCGAATAATGCTTTCGAGCAACGAATTGAGCAGAGACACATCTGACATATTACTCCAACGGCCAATTAGGAGGCCACGCCCCGCTAACCAAAATTTCGAACCTTTAAGCACCAGTGAGCTTCTTCCACCAGCTGCTTCGAGGCGTGGAGTCGGTGAACACGGCCTCACGCGGTCCTCCAGCTCCACCGCTACCATCCGAGCCACCTACGCGACGATCTCGGCGGTCTCGCTCCTCGCGGCGGTCTCGTTCTTCGCGACGGTCCCGTTCCTCGCGGCGTGCGCGACGACGCCTTCGGTCATCGTCCACCTCAGCCTCGACATCACCATACTTTGCGCGGCGACGAGCAGCTCGGCGAGCAGCCCGGCGGGCCTCTTCGTCATCTTCCATCGGAGGTGGGTCGTTGACAGGGCCACCGTCTTCAGGGGGTGGTCCAGCATCAGAATGCTCCTTCACCCAAGAATCCGTACCTGAATGCGGCCAAGCGGCAGGTTTGCTTCGCCTACGTTCGTCGACCGCGAATCGTGAAGTTCTTTCCGGGGGGTAGACATACTCGTCAGCCGGCATCGTGCGTCTCCGGCTGGCCTTTTCCTCGGCGCGTCTGGCTTCGTGTCTTCTCCGTCTACGCTCCTCCTCATCTTCGGAGGCCTCGACATGCCGCGCTCGCCGTCGTTCGGATCGAGCTGCGCGTCGAGCTTCAGCTTCCGCTTCTTCGGCGGCAGCAGCTTCTTTCTCAAGCCTGCGTTGTCGACGCCTTTCGGCTCTCTCAACCTCTTTAGCTTCGGCTGCAACGCGCTCCGCCTCACGTTCTCGGGCAGCTCTACGTTCGGCTCGTCGAACCTCGCGCTCAGCCTGCTTGCGTGCTTCAGCTTCGTCTTCTTGTCTCCTACGCCTTTCGCGCCTCTCTTCCTCTTTTGCGAGACGTGCCTCCTCGGCGGCCTTTTCTTCGGCCCTCCTTTGGCGACGAGCCGCACGGCGAGCTTCCCTTTCCTCATCTGCCGCGTCAACCTCCACAGTATGATAATCCCGCGCATCACGCACAGATCGCCGAGGCCTCTTATCAGGCCTAACGTCGTCATCTGTAGTATAATATGTGCTGCGGCGACGTGGTGCTTCGGGTCGTGCTTCGGAGCGCGGAGCCTTAAGTCCTCCGAATAGGCCCGCAAAGCCTTTTTTAGCGCTCGAGTTCGATCGTTTGAGAGGTGTTGGTTCGGCAGGGTATCCATCGGTCATGATAACTTCATCCTCTGTCTTTATCTACATAAAATTAGCGATGTTGCATTTCGTAAGGAGGAGTATATTTACCCTTGTTCGCCTACGAGTTGGCTTTTCGGGGCTTGAAGGCGGTTCGGCAGCTCCGACCATAACGATATCTTCCTCGTCCGGGGAGCGCGGATTAGAGATCTTGCGGGTGCGAGTCTTTTGGCTCTTGTCAATGCCAAAGATTTTCGCAGCCTTAGAGGACATCGCGGGCATTTCTTCGGGCGGAGGCGACGCTAGACCACTTGTCATCTCGACTGATTGACGACGTGAACTTGATTTGCTCATGGGGGGGCGCTTCTCCCGGGTTGACATGGAGCGAGAAATAGGCGGGGTGCTTTGAAATAGGCTGTTTGTGCGCTGATGCTTAGAAATTGACGCAGACTTCTTTTCTGGGCGCTCTTCTGCCCTATTATCCCTATCGGATGATGAGCCCTTCGAAGAAGATGACTTGTCTTTCTCTTTCTCTCTCCTAGGTCTCTTCTCTTCAAACCTTGGCTTGGGCTTCTTCTCCTCCTTACGAGGTGTCGCTGACCATACACCCCACGACGCGCCCGCATCGCGACTTATCTTTGGTCGCTCTTTCTTAGACGATCTATTCTCCGGAGGAGGCGTTGGGGGCGCTTCGGGCTCCTCAGGCTCCTCTTCGGGCGCTGCCGGTGGTGGAATGGGTACTTCGGGAGGCGGGGGTATCTCTACAGCCTTAGACTTGTTCTTCTTGCTCTTCTTTTTCTTCTCTACCGGCGCCATATCAACAATTTCGACAATTTCGTTCTCGTCTTGTTCATCTGGGAAAGCTCCGGGAAACAGATCTTTGGAGGACCTTTCTTCGGAAGATGGCGCGACAGGAACACGTGGTTTTGGCGGCGGAGCAGCCAGCGCATCAATCAGATCATCGTCTTCGTTTTCTTTGGCTGGCTCGAATTTCTTTAGCTTCTCGGAAAGTTTACTACCTTTAGTCCTGGTCTTTTTAGGTTTCATCCAATCGTCGTCAGTTGTGGTAGCTTTGTAGGATGATGGCGCGTCCTCGGCCGTCGCATCTTCGAGAAACTATGATGACTCAGCACATCTAATCTCGCTTCCTCCAGATCTCTTTTGTACTACTTACCTGATCGGGTAACGGGCTCTTAGCCTTAGCCCTAGAACCCCAGAAAGAAAATGCGTCCGATTTGACGGGTGGGGGTGACGGCTTAGGAGGCGATGCGAAGCCCGATAAGAGCTCATCTACTTGTTCGGGAGCTAGGTCGATATTGTCAAGATCGAGGTCGTCGTCGTCGTCAAAGCTCCTGCGATTCTCCTTTTCTTTCTCTTCCCTTTCCTTTTCTTCCTTCTCTCTCTCTTCTCTCTCTTTCTCCTCCCTCTCTCTCTGCTCCTTCTCCCTCTGCTCTCTCTTGGAAAGTTTATCTTTACTACTGGACTTGGACTTCTTCTCTTCCGTCTTAGAACTCTTCTTCGACTTCTTCTTGGCAGCGGCCTCGGCCTCTTCACGTTCACGCTTAGCTTGTTCTTCAGCTTCGCGAGCTGCCTCTGCGGCTGCCTGAGCAGCTTGTTCCTCTGCTTCGCGCGCCGCCTCCTCTTCGGCCGCTCGTGCCGCCTCTTCCTCAGCTTCCTGTGCTGCTAATTCATCCGCTTCTTCGTCTCCCTCTTCCTCCTCATCTTCCTGTGTGGCTTTGTCCGCCTCAAGAGCGGCCTTCTCATCAGCACGGGCCTGGGCTTTCTCAAGAAGTTCGTCGAGTCTCTTCTGGTTTCTCTTGCTAAATTTCTTCTTTTTCTCATTTTTGGCCGCCGTTAGCGTAGCGATTTCCTCTTCTTCGGCAGCAATCTCAGCTTCAAGTGCCTCTGCCGCAGCATTCATTTCAGCCTCACGAGCTTCTGCGGCGGCCTTCTCTTCCGCCTCCAAGGCCTCGGCTGCCGCTTTCTCCTCGGCTTCGTGTCGCGCCGCTTCTTCCGCTTCTTCCGCTTCCTTAGCAGCCTTCTCTCCTGCGCGACGTTTGGCGTTCTCGGTAAGCTCGTCGAATCTCTTTTGGTCGCTCTTTGAGAATTTCTTCCTCTTCTTCGTGGCTTTAGCCGTTAGCGCAGCAAGCTCCTCCTCTTCAGCAGCAACCTCAGCCGCTAATGCTGCTGCTTCAGCTGCTGCCTTCTCATCATCCTCGGCCTTCGTATCATCCCAGACGTTTTCTTCGAGTTCTTGGCCGGATAGGCTCATCGCTAATGAAGGTGGAGTAGGCGCTGGAGGTGGAGATGTCTTATTGCCCTTTTTTAAGCTCCCCCAACCCCAATCGTCGTCGAGCCCTTTGCCTTCTTCGACAGAGTCTGGTTTGACGCCATTTAGATGAGAGCCGTTCTCAATCTCGACTGGAACATTCTTGCTTCCTTTTTTCTTTTTGTCCCTTTTTGAGCTAGGAGCAAGACCCCAGATGTCATCATTCTTGGGTTCCTCGATTGAATCAGGCATAATATTATTTTGGGACTTGTTCTTGTCAGTACCAAAACTATTCCAAAAATCGTCCCCTTCCACAGCATTAGGTGCTTCCGGTACAGCGGGTAGTAGATCTTCGTGGTCATCCGATTCTTTGTCGAGTTCAACTAGAGCGGTCGAAGCCTTCAATTTCTTCTTGCTCCAGTTCAGCCAACCATCACCCTCTTCAGTCGGCGGAGGTGGAGACTCCTCCTTCGTCTTCTTAACAGGTTTCTTAGTTGCCCCCCAGAAGCTCCATACACTAGAACTATGTTCCTCAGTAGCGGGTCGACGAGCCGACTCCTGTTCTGGTTCCGGGGCTGATGATTCCTGTCCTTTTTCCTCGGCAATTTCATCGATAGGAGTAGTGGTTTTAACCTTCTTCTTTTTCTCCTTTTCTTTCTCTTTCTTTGGGAGGCTTGAACCCCACGGATCATCATCGAGGGTGGAAGGTGGCTCCGATTCTTTTAGAGACAGCTCATCTAAAATACTCTTCTTTTTCCCGTTTTTAGCAGTAGAGGTATCCCAAGTGGTCGCCCAGTCATCTATCTTCTGCTCGGGTAATGGTTCCAGTTTAAGGGGAATCTCTTCAGCAGCACCTTTTTTCTGCTTTTTCTTATCTTTCTTCAAGGAAGTGCCGAGTACTGTAGAGAACTCCTCTTCTGCAGGTTTTTCTTCCTTGATAGGTTCCTGTTGTGGTGCCGGTTCTGGATCGGGCTCAATAATGGCCTTATTTTTCTTCTTCTTTCCCTTCGATGTAATTGTGAAGGACATGAAATCCTCCGCTTCATCTTTCGCAGGCTCGGGTTCGGGTTCAGGTTCATGCTCAGGCTCGGGTTCTTTGGGGGGGTCCTCTTCAACGAGATTCTTTTTCTTTTTCTTCTCCTTCTCCTTCTTAGAGACGGGGGCGTTCCAAGTAGCGAGGTCATCTTCCTTCTCGGGGATGGGGGCAGGTTCTGGTATGGGATCTAGTTCTTTGACTTTACCTTTCTTGTCTTTCTTTTTGGTGGATGTCGCGGTTATACCCCAAGCACCACCGCCCAAATCACCATCCTTCTTTTCAGGCTCGGATGGGGGCTCGGGTACTGGATCAGGTATTGGGTCCGGTCCTTTGGATTCCTCGACATTTTTCCCCTTCTTGCTCTTCTTCTTGTTGGTAGGTGCCGTCCAGTTAGCCCAGTCGATTTCTGGCTTCTTCTCAGGTTCAGGTTCAGGTTCAGGTTCAGGTTCGGCCGCAGGCTCAGGATCAGCAATAACGGCCTTGCTCTTCTTCTTATCTTTCTTATCCTTCTTTATAGTATCAAAAGTGCCCCATGTGTCGATTACTTCCTTCTTGTTCTCGGTCTCAGGTAGCGATACTTCTTCGATTTTCTTCTCTGCACCTTTACCTTTCTTTTTGTCCTGCGCTACGGCGCCCCAGCCCCAGGTGTCATCGACAGCAGGTTCTACATCAGCTCCTAATTCAGGCGCCTCGGGCCCTTTGCCTTCTAGAGCACTCTTCTTCGTCTTGGTGCTTTTATCGGCCGAGCTCCAGGGTTCATTCCAGGGGTCTTCATTGACAGGGTCAAGCTCTGGATCAGGTGCGGGAGCTTTTGGTTCCTTCACTTCCTCCGAAACACCCTTCTTTTTCTTCTTCTTGGTCGCCGTGGGCGAGCCATTTGGCGGAGCGGAAGGGGTCTGAGCCACAGGTTCGGGTATTATTGTTGCAGTGCCTTTTTTCCCCTTTTTCAGCGCATTTGACCCCAGATCATGACTTTCGACGAGAAACTCGTCCTTCTTCTCAGCCTTCTTCTCAGCCTCCATTTCTTCCCAGATACTAAGCTTTTTCTTCTTTTTCTCCTTCTTCTCATTGCCGAAGCCGAAGTCGAAAGCTTCGTCTTTCTTTTCCCCAGGCTTCTCAACGGAGATTATTGGCTCTTCAGCCTTGGAATCTGCTCTAGTTTCATCAGATCCGCCAAAGCTGAACCCCGCCTTGTCCTTCTTGGTAGAACTAGGCTTGCTGAGACTCCAAGCACTGCCGCTGTCGATTTCATTTTTCTTGTCTTCTTTAGATTTATCGGCGTCTTTAGGTGCAATCCAGCTGCTCCATGCGCCAGTAGCCAATCGACTACCCCACGTACTGAGAAGATTCGACTTGGGTTCCGGCGTACTGCCGCCAGAATTGATATCTAGCGATGGTCCATGGTCATCTAGCTTGATCTCGTGGAATGTATCAGGCTTGGGAGCAATGTCTATAGGTTCTGCCCCCTTCTCAACAATTTTCTTGTCTTTCTTCTTTTTCTTCCCGGCAGTCTCGAAGCCACCCAAGGCATCACCTGGTTCATCCTTCTTGGTTTCTTTTTCCTTCTCCTTCTCCTTCTCCTTTTCCTTCTCTCTTTCCCTCTCCTTCTCCATTTCTTTTTCCTTCTCCCTTTCCTTCTCCTTCTCTTTTTCCTTCTCTATTTCTTTCTTTTTTTCTTCATCTTTCTTATCCTTATCGCTACCTTTTTTATTACCATCCCCATTACCATCGCCATCACCACCTGCATCTCCGCCAGACTTTGCCGCATCGCCGTTTTTATCTCCATCACCACCTCCACCGGCACCGGCACTGGTACCGTCGTTGTTTTGTGACTGTTCTGCCCAATTGAACGCAGGCGCGGTCTTCTTCTTCTTTTTAGCGTGTTGGATAATGCCAGCCTCGGAAAAGAAGTCCAAGTATGACTCAGTTGTCGGGTCGTCAATCAATGAGCCTTTGCGTTGCTCGCGACGTCGGCGTGAATCATCCAATGACGGAGGAGAGCAGTTCGTTGAGTGGGATGGGTTTCGCTGGCAAGCAGCATCACCACTTCGAGTTGGATCGACCAGGTTTTCAGGGGGTAGAGAATCTTCATCGCGATGTTTCGATAGTCGTCGTGATCGTTTCGGAGTTGGATCGGGTAATACTAGTGGCTTAAAGAGGCGACTAGATTCCCAGTTCTGTTCCTGTGCCGGACCGCATCAGTCAGTTTAGAGTTTCGACTGGTGTTGTAGCCGGTTCAAGACTAAGCGCGTTCACAGTTTACACCAACGACAGATCGCGCTACGAAGCCGGATGGCTTGTCGGTATATTCATAACATCGCGGTTACGACACTCTGATAAATGGGAATATCGAAGCGTGAATACATACCAATGATAGTGCAGGTGCTGCTAAAATCCACGCTCTTGCGATAACTTCCAATCGAGTTTGTAATTCTAATTCATCCCACAGAGGAACGGCTATCGCCGTGGAAGGTTGGATATGTGGCTGACCACAGGCGTTTCTTGTCACGCCTGCGCAGAATTCCGTAACTACGGCCGCAGCCATATTGAGATTGAAAACTCGACTGGTCGCAATAGGATAAGAGACTCATGGACGCTAAGATATCGTCTTCGACGGACTGGACAAATAACAGAAGTTGATTTAAGCTGTGTTGTTAGTTCAACAGTTTGGGGGAGAGGGGGGGGATATTTTAGGAGCGAAAAGGTAAAAGGTGAAATCGATAACCTGTCTATTCCTACAGCCCTAGGTTTAGGGATTTTATTAGTATCTAGCCGGAAGAAAGATGGTGGTGGTGATAAGTCGAATTGGGGGTTTCGAAGACGTTGCAATCGTTAAATCGTTGTCGGTTGACAAAGCGCAATTAGAGGGTCCATATGGTTAGAAGTCCCGAGCTTCCAACTTGGTGCAGAAGGTTGCAATCTAAGTAATTGGGTATCTTCGTCTCCTACCCCGTTCAGCCCTCTTGTCTGTGCCGGGGGAGAAAGAAAAAAGACTGTGTTCTTGTGCAACACAATGATGGATATAAAAAAAGCAAGGGGTAGGTACAATAGGTAGTACAAGAAGCAGGGAGGTTGAGTGGTGATAAGCACCAATGATGTTGAAGTGCGGTAATTACGTTGGACGATAACCGTAAGATCCGCCATCCCGCTAAATCATTTTACTTTATACATATAAAAACAGTATATTATTTTTATATGCATATATATTTATGAATATTTCTTATTAATAAATTAAAAAATTATATATATTTAAATAAATTTATTTATATTTATAATATAATTTAATCGAATTTAATAAACTTATATTTTAAAATAATACAAGTTATAAATATATTTAATTTTAATTTTTATAATAAAATAATTTCTTAATTATTTTTATTATTTAAATATTATTAATAATAACATTTTATGTTTTTTATTTTCGTTTTATTTTATTAAATATATCGTTTTTTTATTAATAGTAATACGTTACGAGTAATTTCGAATATTTAACGTATAATAAAAAAATTAATAACTTTTTTTTTTCCCGATAATAATTTTATAAATAAAATAAAATAAAATATTTTTACTTATTTATTATTTAAGTTATTATAATTAAAACGAAATATTAAAATTTATAATTATTAATTATAAACGTATTTAATATAATATCGTTTATTATTTTTATTATATTATTAAAATATTAATTATAAATAAATTACGTAACGTGTATAATTTATATATAATTTTATTTATAAAATTACGTTTATTTCGTTATATATATACTTTTTAAACGTAAAAATAATAATATTAATTTTTATTTTCGTTTAATTTAATCGTTTTAAAACGTAACATTATTATTATAACTTAATTAATTTAATATATATCGTAATTAAAAATATTTAACGAAAAAAAAATATTAATAAAACTCGTATATTTCGAAATAATTTATTAATTAATATTTCGTTAATTAATAACTTATTAATTAAATAATTTTCGAAAATTATTAACGAATATTTAAGTTTTTATTTAAATTTAATTTACGATAATAACGTTAAATTTATTTAAATATTAAAAAATAATATTTTAATAAATAAAACGTATTATTTTATCGTGTTAAAATATCGGGATAAAAAAAATATATTTATTAACATTAAATTTTAATTTTTTTATTTAATAAAATTTAATAATATATATTTTAATAAATCGATACTTTATTTACTTAAACTTTTTTCATTAAAAATTTTCGTTAAAATTATTAAAATTATAAGAAAATTTTAAAAAATAATTTAAATATGGTAATAATATTAAAAATAATTTATATCGTTATATAAAATCGTATCGCTTCGCCGGTTAAAAACGAAGCATGTAATTTCGAAAATTAATAAAAATTAAATAAAATTAAAAAATATAAAAAGATTTATTATTATAATTAATAACGTTTTTTTTTATAAATTAAACTTTTATAATATTATATTTATATTAAAATAAATTCGTTACGTATTTAATAAAAATGTAATAACTTCATTTTTTAAAATAACGAATTTTTTTAATTACTTTATTATATTTTAAAATTAAACGGGAAAAGTATTTTAATAATTATTTAAATAATAACACGATATTATAATATATAATATATTTTAATATATACCGTTTCTCGTAAGTTTATTTTTACTTTTTTTATTTAGTTTTTTTTTTAATTAAATATTTTTTTATTTAAACGCGTTAAATTCTTTTTATTTTTTTAATATTACGTAAAAATAAATAATAATAATTTATATCGTTTTAACTTTAATAAATAAAAAGTAAAAAATAAAAAATAAAATGTTAAATATTAAAGATTATTTTCGGTTATAAAAGGGCGGTTTTAAAAAAAAAAATACATTTTTATTTATAAAAAAAAAAGAAAAAAAATTAAAGTTTTTTAAAAATTTTATATAAATAAAGTTAAATTAAATATGTTTTAAAATGATAAAAATAACCGTATAATTTTTAGTAATAACTTTTTTAATAATAATATAAATAATTTTAATAAAAAGTTAAATTAAAACACTTTTTTCGAATAAATAAATAACGGTTAAAAGTTTTTAAGTAATAACGAAAATATTAATTTTTATAATTATAATTAATTAAAAAACCGATAATAATTTAAACCGTAATTATTTAATTATAAAATATAAATATAATTTAATAAATCGTAATAATAGTATTTTAAATTTCTTTTCGTTTTATATTAATTTTAAGTTTTTTTTTAAATAATTTAATTAAAATTATTTAATTAATTATTAAAATAAGTATAATAATAACGAAAAATATTTTTAATTTAACTCGAATATACGAATAATAATATTTTTTTATATTAAAGTATATTTATAAGTTAATTAATAAATATAATTAATATATAATTACGAATTTAATTTATTTATTTTATTATAAAATTTAAAAACTTTTTTAATAAAATTTACTTTATTTTTTAAATGTTATAAAATGTTTTTACTTTTTTTATATGTAAATTAATATTATATTTAAATATATATTTTTTATATATTCTTTATATATTTAATTAACTTTTATACGAACGGTTAATTTTTTTAGTTTTATTATATTATTATACGTGGCGGAATAAACGTTTTTTATACTTTTTTTACATAAAACGGTAATTATTTTTAAATTTAATTAAATTTAAACTTGAAATAATTACATTATAAATGCCGTAAATAAATATTTAAGTTAAAACATTATTAAATAATAAATAATAATTACGTTTATATTTATTTTAATAATATTTAAAACTTAAATTAATTATATTAATTTAATTAAAAAAATATATTAAGTAAATTTATCCTTATTTATTAAATTTTTTCGTAAAATAAATTATAATATATATTAAAAGCTTTTAATAAACGTTAATTTATTAATATATATTTATTAAATAAATATTAAAAAAAATAAATTTATTTTTAAATATTTTATTTTATAAAGTTATTTTTAAATATATCGTTAAATATTTTAAAGTTACGCTTTAATTTAATAAATTATTTCGTGAATATATTATTATTTATTTCATTTTAAATATTTCGTCGTTAATGTTACTTTAATATCGTATTTTTTTAGTAAAAATTTATTCTTTAAAAAAGCGGTTTTTATATATAATTTAATCGAAAATAAAAAGTTTTAAAATTATGCTTAATTATAAACTCGATAAATTTAATATATTTTTATAATAAATAAGTTCGATATTATTTAAATTTTAAAATTAAATGGAAAAATAAAATTTAAAAAAAAATAAATAATATTATTTAAATAAATATTTAAAATTTAAAATGTATAAATATTATTTTTATTACGTAAATATTTACTTAATAAACATTTTTATAACTTTAATTTATAAGGTTAATAAAGTTAATAAAGTTAAATAAAATAATAAACATAATTTTTTATTATTATAATATAAATATAACGTTTTATATAATATTATATATATTAAAACGATAAGGAAATTTTAAATATTATATTAATATATATAAATTAATTTTAATTATTTAATTAAACGCGTAATTATAACATTTATTATAAGTAATATTACCCGCGTAATATAAAATTTATTTTTTCGCGCGTAAAATTACGTGACGCATTTTTAGTATTTTACCCCGCGTATAAATCGCCGTATAATTATATATATAAACGATAACTTAATAAACATATAATAAAAACTTTATTAAATTTATACGTTTTTAATTTTAACCTGTTTTTTTACGATAAATTAAATTAATAAAAATTTAAACGAAATATTAATTAAAATATATTCGAAAAGTTTATTAAACAATATAAATTATAATAATTTTAATCGTAAATTAATTAAATTATAAAATGTTAAAATTAAAACTATATTTTAAAAATAAAGCTAGTTTTTCTTTAAAAATTAAATTCATTATTTAAATATACGTTTTATATTTAATTTTTTATTATTTAATTAACTTTAATTAACGAATATTAAAAACTTTAAAATAATATTTAATAAATTACGATAGTTTTTTTTTTTTTCCTTTTTTTAATATAAATTTAATAACGATTATTAACGTGGTAATAATTATTAACTTAATATTTATTTAATTAATAACCGTTATAATAAAAAGTAAAATTATTTTTAAAATGGTTATTTCTTTTAATATAACTTTTATATAAAAGTTATAATTACTTTTAAAAATAATATTATTTAACTAATAATTAATTAAAAAAATAACTGTAAATTAATAATTATTAATTAATATTATGTTTATTTTTAATAATTATTTTTATAATTATATTTATTTAAATATCTTTATAATTATATTATTATATTTTCCTTTTATTCGGTAATAAAATTAAAATATAACGATTTTTTATATAATTTATTACATTATTAAAAAAAAGGAGTGTTTAAATATAATTATAAAAATAATTATTAAATGTAAATATAATATTAATTAATAATTATTAACTTATAATTATTAATTTAATTAATTATTAATAAAATAATATTATTTTTAAAAATAATTATAACTTTTTAATAAAAATTATATCGAAAAAAATAACCATTTTAAAAATAATTTTACTTTTTATTATAATATTTATTAATTTAATAAATGTTAAATTAATAATCGTCATTAAATTAATAATCGTTACGGAATTTATTTATATTTTTTAAAAAAAAAAAAGGAAAAAAAAAATTATCGCAATTAATTAAATATTAAGTATTACTTTAAAACTTAAAAATATATTTTATTATTTTAAAAATTAAGTTTTTTTTTACAGTTAAAATCATTTAAATTATTTAAATTATTATTAATTTACGAAATTTATTATTATATTACGAAATTACGATTATAATTTATATAATTATTAATTTTAATTTTTTCGAACTTTAATATATAACTTATTTAAAAAAATTAAATATACGTAAAATACGTATTTTAAATACGTTAATTTAACATTATATTAAATTTTAACATTATTATTAAGTTTTAACATTATTATTAAAATTAAAAATAAATTTAATTTTAAATTATTATAATAATTATATTTATTTTA